TTCGAGCATGGAAGAGACACCCTTCAACTAGGATTAGGAGAGGTTGAAACCCTTGGTAAAGGACAATGCGAAGTCAAAGGGATCCATCCAGTAACCAAGGAATCAACATCAATCATCCTGTCAAATGTCCTCTATAGCCCTGAGTTTAGATTGAATCTACTCTCTTACTGCGCCCTGAACGACAAAGGAGGCGATTGGGTGCCTTCGAAAGACTATCTTATTGATAGGGACGGGACACCTGTCCTAGCTATTCAAAGGATTCATAACCCAAATTTATTGATCGTGGAGCCATTATTAGCTGAACAAGATTCAGATAAAGAGATAGACAAAGAGACACCCGACGAGATTTTTTCGGCGGAAAAGCATGCATACATAGGCAAGGATTCCAGAAAACCACTAGAATCTAAGGCACCAATAGAGCTCTAGCATCGTTGTCTAGGTCATTTATACCATGATGCTATATAGCAGCTTCCTAAGCTCGTTGACGGAGTCATTTTGAGCGATCAACCAGACTCAACTGAACCAGTCACTGACTATATAAATGGCCAAATATAGAGCCTATACTCTATTTGTAGTCTTACTAGAGCTCCTAGACAGATATCTAGATGTTATCTTGGACATAGGTATGGTCGATTTGGACAGATCTCTCTAGACCTGATCCAAATATTAATCGCGTATAATAAAGAGCGTTGGATTTGCCATTTTTACATTAACGGAATTCACTTCTATTAGGTCGTCACCTATCATATAAAGAACCAGATAAATGATGCGATTCGATACTTCATTGAACTCCTGAAAAACTGGTGGAATTTACCTATTCGAGCATTCCACTACGATAATAAGAAAGCTGCAGGCCTTACTACAGAGCGGTTTCTGGTAGATCAAGGTATTATAGTGACGCATTCAATTCCAGGACATCCTGAGATGAATGGCCTAATTGAATAGGCAGGCGGCATCATAATTACACACGCCAGGGCCCTCCTAGAGGAAGGAAAGCTCCCTATCAGCCTATGGCCAGAGGCGGTAAAGGCTGCGGTTTATATACTAAATTATACACCAACAAACACAAATGGTTCCTGGATAGTGCCCTAGGAAGAGGCGCGTAAATACGCCAATTCAGACCTATAGGATAAACGAACGACACTACCTAAGTCGAATCTCGCGAACATACGTCTATACGGCAGTCTAGCTTACTACAGAATCCAAAAGATTCCGAAATCAGACAAGATGCTGAGAAGGGTAGAGATTGGATTCCTTGTTGGATATATGGCATCTAATGTCTAGAGAATCTGGTTTCTAGATTCAAGGGGTGGTCAAGTTAGGCCAGTCAGAGACATCGTTTTCGACAAGAATAGGCGATATATAGCTGATTTTATACCATATAAGCTGGTGGAGATGCCTGTTTTTTCTGGTCCTAAGCCAGTTATCCTGACTAAAGAAGAGGCTGACGACGTCCTCTAGAGGGAGATTGGAGTCCTACAAACCCACCTATAGACCAATTTACAGGAGATATTACCTGAAACACAAGTAGTTGACTATTCATATCTATCTAATCAGGATACTAACAGTCCTATCCTCTCTCTCGATGCTCGATCAGTTCAACAACCTGACGCATTTACTAGAAAAAGCAACCAGTCTAGTATATCCAACAATGCCGAAAACCCATTTTTCGGCCGAAATTCTGGACTAAATATACCACGATACCCTACACCAATAGAACATGACTAGATTCCTAGGACATTCCTAGAAGACCTAATCGAGCCTAATATAACTAACAACACACCGAATTCACCAGATTCGCTAGACTTAGTGCTAAATCAAGGGGTGGGGGTGGCTCCTATAGAGCCAACTAAAGGGGATTCGCCCCTGTTTACTGCTTAAGATAGTGAACCATAATTCCGACAGATTGGTCTAGACTTAGACGAGTCGAACATTATCCCTAGTAAACATATTCGCCATCTAACCAAGAGAGATGATGCCTACTTTATATAGCTTATGCTGCGGCTAGACAAGGATCCAGATGAGCTTAAGACATAATCTAAAGCTTATTACCATACATTCTACACCAGAATGGTGCAGAAACCAGCGAGCCAGATATATAGAGACGACCTTCCACCACCTCCGAACATATTTAAGGAGGTAAAAGGGCATGCGTTTGAAGATATGTTTAATACTATAATACAAAAGGAGATCGATAGTCTTACTAAAAAGCACACATTCTCAGTCGTCCTAAGGCCAAACAATAGATCAAAGCAGATTCTGCCCTTGAAATAGGTATATGCTTATAAGTTTGATGAGAATGGTTTACTCCTGAAGTATAAAGCTCGTATCTATGTACGCGGAGATATGGAGTGGATATCTACTAAAGAGAAACGTTCAGCTACACTAGCCATCAAAACTATACGCATGCTATTCGTAATAATAGCTACATTCGATCTAGATGTATGTTAAAGAGATGCTGTCGCAGCTTTCCTGAACAGCTTCCTTAAAGATAAGGAGGTTTACATAGAGCTTCCCTCTGGCTTCAGGAGCACCAATGGCCAAGTTTGGCACCTCCATAAAGCACTATACGGATTACGCGTCTTACTAAAGCTCTGGCAGAAGGAGGCCTCTAGAGTCCTGTTAGGCCTAGGTCTTACATAGTTACTAGAGGATCCATATGTCTTTATAGGCGACGGAGTCATAATATTCTTCTATGTTGATGACTTCCTGATTACTAGCCATAAGATAAAAGCTTAATACACAAGGCAGCTTGAATCGGAACTCGAAAAAGCATGGGAACTGACTGATCACGGCGACGCAGAGTGGTTCCTGAACATACACATTATACGCGATCGTAAACAATGCAAGCTCTGGCTATGCTAGGACAGCTATATTGATAGTATGGCTGCCCGTTTCGGCCTAAATAACCGACCATCAGTGGCTACACCAATGCCAATTAAAGAACTCTTACCGTATAAAGGAACTGCGTCGCCTAATACGATCAAACTCTACCAGGAAAAGATTGGTTTAATATAGTATGCAGCTACTATAACCAGGCCTAATATAGCTAAACCAGCCACTAAACTGGCCCAATTCCTACAGAACCCAGGTCCGCAGCATTCTGCTGCGGCAGATAGGACAATCACTTATCTGTTCCACACCAAGAACAGAGCACTTAGATATAGTTTAGGACACTATTCTGATGACACCTCTAACCCTGATTTCGGCCGAAATAAGGATCAGACCAACGACGCAACCCACCAATCTATAGGCACATCGGCACTAACCATCGCCAGTGACGCATCTTATGGTGACCATAAAGACCATAAGAGCTCTATAGGCATGATATACATGCTCTTCGGCGGCCCTATAGATTAGAAGGCGTCTAAACAAAAGACGGTGACGACGTCCACTACCGAAGCAGAATTGCTTGGTTTATCGGACGCAGCCAAAACACTGGTATGGTGGAAGAGAGTACTAGTCCATGTTGGACTAGAAATGGAATACGACAATATAACTCTCGACTACGACAACCAGAGAACAGTTGATCTGCTCACTAAAGAGGGAGCATTTGAGACCAAGCTACATCACATAGACATACACCACAGCTGGCTACGCCAGGAGGTGCAGGAAGGACGTATTAAGATCAGATGGGTCCCAACAAAGCTTATGGTGGCAGATGGCTTCACGAAAATCTTGCCAAAACAGAGATTTGACGCCTGGATTCGTCTTCTCAATTTGGAAGATATAAGTGAACTGCTCTAATCTAGGGTCTTACCCCTAGATTCAGAGGATTTAGAGCATCAACTGCCTAAATCAGAATATAAACTACGTTTTTAGAGGGAATTGAGGCGATTCAACAGCCCAAATCGGCCCTGTGTTTAAGGCCAGTTTACACCTTGGAGGGGTGAAAACTGAAGGGGTGTGTCAAAGGCCCGATTCCATTTACAGTTAGTCTATTTTAGTCAGCATTGGAATCCCACAATGGGATTCCTCCATTCTACAATCTATACACATACACTCTTTGGTACGCATACTGCGTTCTCATTTGCCCACTAGAATCCACTATTCCTTGGTAGTCGACCTCCATTTGACATATAGTTGTTCCCCCGTGACTCGGGGGTCTGTTTGTTCCGTTCCGGGTTTATGGTATTGCATGATTGCAATATCCATGTTCCGACAGGAACTATGTTACTTATAAAGGAGTCTTGCCGAGTGGCGCCCAACCTGTCCGTCTAAAACCAACCCGTTTATCACATCCAGATTCATCGACATAGACTAGGTGATACGATCGAAAGTCCGACAGATTGTGCAGATAATAGTCTCGTAAGTCAGCATTCTGCTCCTTAGCGCGTTACCGTGCTATTTTTTTAGACCATCCTTCAGCGACAAGGGATCTTCTAATACTAGAGGTTATGACCATAATCTAGAACTCATCCCAGATGAAAATAGCCATCTCATCTAGGTAGAGATTAGGTTTCTCAGACAGGTGATCGCAGAGAGCTTCTATCATCAGTGGAGTGACGGTTCTTTTCCGGCCTATTCGAGTTTAGGGTGCGTAGATGCTTCCAAATTATCACAAGTTTCTGCGAATATTGATAATCGTTAGTTTGTTGCATTCAGCTTCTTCGGCCATCTGAGAGGTGGTGAAGGTCTGGCTCTCTATCATATCACGAATGAAATGAAGCTTTAAAGCAGGAAGCCTTGGAGCCATGTTGGTTAGATGGAGCCTGTATCAAATCCAAGAGGGCGTCGAGCGATAAATAGGAGGAGGGGGCAGTGGTAGCATACGTATGTATGGCTGTTTCGTGTAAATTACATTCTTTCACGTTTCGGATTAGTATTTAAAAATACAAAAACCATTCAAGAAAGCGGTCTAGAAGCGGAGTGGATACCCTATTACTATACTAGGAATAGCGCACTTCGGATTCTTTTCCGGGAATTAAGTCATAAGAGTGTTTTGGTATAACTGATTTCGAAAACTACTGTAACTAGAATACGACAATCATCCATTTAAAATGCCGAACCAAATCCGCGACATTTGCACCGTTGATACGGAATCATTTCCCTACATTTTCGAACAAAACATTTCAGTATTATTAAATGATGGAGGGATTGTTCGCTGCAATGTCTACCGGCCAAAGGATGGCAGCACATTAACTCGTTACCCCGTGCTGGTGACGTATGGGCCTTATGGGAAAGACATCCCGTATGAAAGGTAGGTGACTGTCTAATGAACACTCGCCCCCCCCCCCCCCCCCCCCAAACTAGGTGGGCCCAAGGCTAATAAGAAGATTGAAGTTTCAACAAGAAAAGCTTCATCGAAGTGAACCCCAATCACCAAACTCCGCATTCATCGTGGGAGACCCCGACTCCTGAATATTGGACGAAACACGGATACGTCGTGGTGCGCGCCGATGAGATTGGAAGCGGCCAGTCCCCCGGAACCCTCGATCCTCTTTCTGCAAAGAGCATTGACGGGTTTTGTGAAGTGATTGAATGGGCCTCGGAGCAGAGTTGGTCGACCGGCAAAGTTGGTCTACTAGGAATCAGCTACTTTGCTGCTACCCAATGGCAGGTCGCAGCGCGCAATCCCAGGGGCCTAGCTGCAGCAATCCCGTGGGAAGGGCTCTCGGACCTTTATCGAGAATCCTTTCGACATGGGGGCATCTTATCTAATAGCTTTCTTGGCCTCTGGTGGGCTCGTCAGGTAGCATCCAATCAGTATGGGTTGCCGGGCAAAGCTAGCAGGTGCTGGGGCCCCGACACTATCGAGGGTGATCTGCCGGAAGATGAGCTGAAAGCGAATCGGGTGAATCAGTTATTATTCGCTTCCGATAACCGTTATCGAGACAGCAAACCCTTCATTTCAGACTATAAACTCGAGGATATCAAGTGTCCAATTCTCAGTGTTGCGAACTGGGGCGGTATATTGCTTCATCTCAGAGGAAACGTGGAAGGTTTTACTCGCGCTGGCTCTGATCTGAAGTATCTTCGCTTTATCGTGGGGCGTCATGATTTGCCTTTCTACTACGAAGAAGAAGTTGAGCTTCAGCGAAGCTTTTTGGATGCATTCTTGTTGGGCGACGATCGACGTGGGTGGTCGAAGAAGGGCACCATACCTCCTGTGGACTTGATTCTTCGGAAGGGAGACGTTGGTTTCAACGATCCAGCAGCAGAAAAACACTTTCCACGAAGATTCGAGAAGGAATGGCCGATTGCAAGAACCGAGTATACACAGCTGTTTCTCGGCCCCGATGGAGAGATGGTCTCCACACAACCACATGTGACAACCCCCGTTCAGCAAAGCTACGAAGCACCTGGTGCGGGGCGGCCCTCAGATATGGCTTCATTTACCACAAAGCCATTCAAAGCAGCAACAGAGATCACTGGGCATATTGTCGCTCACCTCAATGTTTCCGTCACTCAATATCAAGGGGGTCCTGTTCCTTCTGATATAGACATATTTGTCAGCCTTCGACATATTTCCTCTCAGGGTACAGAGATTCTTTACACCGGTACAACTGGAGAAGGTGTACCAGTGACGAAAGGATTTCTCCGAGTCAGTCTACGAAATGTCAAGCCAGAGCATCCTCGACATCGGTCATGGCTCCCTCATCGGGATTATTACTCAACCGATATTCTGCCAGTCCTCCCTAACACAGTATACGGAGTGGATATTGAGCTTTGGCCCACGAATGTAGTGGTTGACCGCGGGGGTTGCTTGTCGCTAGAGATTAGCTCGGGAGACACTGCTGGCACTGGAATGTTTGGCCATAATGATCCAGTCGACAGGTAAGTCTTCAATAACTCCAATCGATATGCTTACACGAAGTCTGACAAACATCAAATGCAGAGCTGAGACCGTCTTCAAGATTGAGAATCACATTCACTTTGGCGATTCATACGTCAACTACATCACGATCCCAGTGATACCTTGAGCTTCTGTTCGAATGGAATCGAAGTCAGAGGAAAGCGATACGAAGATCAAACCCCAAAATTTAACTCAATAGTTCCACACTAGTACTCTTACTTCAGAGGTTCCCGCGTAACTAGCAGTGAGATATGGCCGAGATATTCTTGGACTGGACCTTTTCTGCGTTGTTGTTTGTCCCCAGCCATACTTTCAACAGCTTCGCTGCAATTTCCAGCAGATTTGGCTGAGCTTGAGCTGTTCCTTTATATGCAAGTGTCGTGTGAGCTACTTCTGGGGTATAGAGTAACTCGGAGAAGCGAATTGTGCTCTTCAATTGCTGTTGTGGCGGCTGTTGTTAGCATCTCCACAGCTTTATCCAACGCGGCTGTTGTAGTGGAAGGAGGCCGCGAATATTTCCTGCGCCATTCCAATTCTATGCCGGCCGGCCTTCTCACAAGGTCGTATGTTCTTTAATACCGTGTTTTGCTGTTTCCGAATGTACCATTCTGGGTACATAGCGCGGTAGTCCAAGCCCTACTGTTCCCAGGATAGATCGCATTCATGAGCCCTTCGGATCAGTTGGTTATTGTCTGATCGATGTTTGATGCTTTTACCTGGTTGGCTTAACAGAAAAGAGCCGTGTAGTGGCCCGTGGAAGACCGCCACGAAGATGAAAAGCCAATGACCATTATTCTGTTGGGGTTTAAACTGACACCACACAATTTGCAGTCGCAAACGAGCCCTTCCCATCTAACAGAGCAGGCAGGTTAATGTAGTATAAGCGAGAAGAATACCTGTAGCTACTAAATAAATGAGTCTCTCAGGCAAAAAGCAAAGTCAATTATATGTGTATGAGTCAGCCACCACTTGAATTGTCTAAACTTGCTTTCCGAATGTCGATAAATGAGATAACGAAAACCTGAATTAAATATGGGGTGGGTAATTGAGCCAGGTTGATTTGGTAGGCCCGTTGATTTCTCCCCCAATAAAGATGGCCCAAACGAACTGTTTTTTTTACGGTGCCCTGTTCAATAGTCTACAGAAACTCCAGATTTATATCTTAGGCTCAAGGTCAATATATTTTAAAGGAAATATGAGTAACGTGCCTTCAACTGTTACCACTCAGGCTCCATCGAAGCAAGTAGGAGCTTATCGTTGCCAGTGTCCACCTCATCCAAAGCGTCAGTCATGCAATATATTATGAAAGCTAGATCAAGTACCTATTTCAGTTCTTTCCAAAGTATGCTTGGGGAGATATCATTAATGCCGCCATTTTCTTTGACATATCGCTTCAATTTGACTTTTGGTATCAATAGGATAGATACCACGGTCCTTAAAACCATCCTGAACGATACGTGGGTGAATACTTCTTGTTGAAAAGGGTGAATGCCAAGGCCACGAGGCGATAAGGCCAACAAATTGGTGATAATTCTGAATTCGTTCCAAGGTCGAGAAGTTAGGTGGTATTAATGGAGAGGTACTTGTCTCGAAACCATACAGACAGGCGGGAATTGGATTTCTTCCAACAAAACCAATTATGGTAAGGAAGACAATAATCAGTCATAAGAGTCCGAATTTCTGCTTTGTCTCCATACAGATCCCCATTTTCGAAGGGTCCAAACAGCAAGTAAGCTTGTACCACCATCCACGAGGGCAATGAGCGTAAAAAGCCAGGAGTACCCAATCACCTCGACCAATGGCTGAAGGGCCGCAACGGCAGCTGCGGAGAGAGCACATCGTGTAATATTATTTGCAGCAGCTGCTGCGCCAGGACGTTGTGGGAAGATATCAACCAATAAGGCACTGAAAAGCTGCAACAGAACCGTACATTTTCCACCAATCAAAACTTGCAATATCAACGGAATGCTGGGGTGGACATGAAGCTGAACAGCCCATCCATAGCCAATCAAGAGAGCAATAGAAACCGCGAGGATGCTGAAAGAGCCGCGAGATCGAGCCTTTTCAAATGGGAACTGGCTTCGATCAAGTACGTCGCTTTCAGCCTCGTGTCCGATCTCTCGTGCGGTATGTTTGTAATTCCAATCCATGAGTCTTCCCGTGACAAGTCCCGCGAGAATGACTCCAACCCCCCCAGGAAGAAAGCAGAGGCCAACAAATAGGTCGTTGAACCCGTAGCTATTCCCGAAGATTATTGGAATGGATGTCTGAATACAGTACCATACTGCGTAGGGCGATGCGGCAATCCATAGGATTAAGAAGATGTCATAGTGGAATATGATTTTGAGAGAATCGAATGGGTTCGGTATGATCCATTTGCCCTTTCCTGTCCTGTTGGTGTTGATATCGGCCAGTTCACCTTGCTGTTCTTGTGTCGTGGGGTCGTTATTCAGTATATGAATGCCAATATTCAACTTGGCTCTTTTCTGGCTGAGTATGCTCCACCACGTCCTCCAGATAGCCCGTGGATACACAGCGCCATTACCAACGACTGTCCTTGCGGTCTCAGGTAATGCCCATCCAATCAATAGGAGAGAAGTACCTCCAAAGATAAGCAAAGCCCAAAAGCACCACATGGCATCGCCCGAGGCTAAGATAGCGCCACCAGCGATGACAGGTCCAACGCATGGACCTAGATTTGTCGATGTAAGCATAGGACCTAGAATTTTGCCACGTTCCGAATGAGGCGAGATGTCCGCGACAACGGCGTAGCCGAGCGACATCACGGCTGATCCCCCAATGCTTTGGAGCCCGCGCAATAAAAGCAAGGCGACATAATGAGATTTGTTGAGGGCGAGCCCGAGGCTGGCACAGGTATATATGGAGAATGTCATTAGAAAGACTGGACGGCGACCTAGGGTATCAGAAAGCGGGGCCCAAAAGGCGGGCGAGATTGCTTGGAAGATCACGTAAAATGTTATGGTGAGGTTGATGAGCTGGGTGGAGACATGGTACTGGTTGCTCAATAGATCTATTAGTGGGAAGTAAATTGTCGCTGTCAAAGAGGACGCGAGTGTAAGATATCCAAGCAGGTAGGTAAAGAAGCGTTTTTGATTGAGTGTGAAGATGGTGTATGGCTGCGTTGGCCGCAGGGACCGAGATATATCTTTATTTGACATGAGGAAGAAGGCGCTTCGCTGACAGTGTCACAACACATTCAACTTAACAATAGCGACCAGATCACTACATATATGTCCACTTAATTTGAGCTAATAACAAATGAGAGAAGCTACTTGTAGCTAATATGTACCTTTGTTTCCCCTGTAATGATAATAGTAGGCCGTGAGCGTTTCTCCGGCCAACCCCTCTTCTACTGGGTATAATACTACGTGTGATGACCCTAAGGATTGAACTTGCAATTTAATTACCCCTTGTCGGACCAGTTTGCCACCTCAAGCCAGGTTTTATCTGATTTCTGAGCCTGGCTATGTGTATAGTATCATGGTGAAAGTTTGGGTTGGTAAAAGTCGTAACCCCCACTCCAGGTTCTGCCACTACCTCCAAGGATATCTTCCCCTCATTTCTTCTTTCTGTTATCATACTCAACCCGAACAAAAGAATGGCGGTGGAACGCAGCCAGCGTACGATATGTCAACTGCCTCCGTGCATTCTAGAACGTACGTTGTGTTAGAACGGTTCTGCAAACAAATAAATTTTCGGTGTCTCCATAGTAACGATTTCCTTCAGATCTGCCAGTCACTGGCAGCACGGTAGTCGATGTGACGCAGCATGGTAAATCCCATTATGGACGCACTGCACGTGTCACAGTCCAAATTCCATCAGGGTTGTATGTCAGTTATTTTTTGAAGGTAGGGAAAGACAGTACCATCCAATGGCCCCCCAGTGATACTCTTCGTAGAAACAAGCTGAGCAACTCATTAGGTCTTAGAAGGTAAACTTGGAATGATGACCTGCCGAGGCGAGTTTGAGTCCCTCAAGTCAATCTACTCAGTGTGCAAAAATGTCCCAGAACCGCTTGCATGGGGCCTGTACACCGAAGACAACATTGAATACTCTTTTCTTCTCGTTGAATTCTTGGTCATCCAGAAGCAGGTATGACTTAATCCAGGGTTTCTTTTTCCACAGTTGAGTTCACATAGATAATGATTCTGCTCTAGCCTGCTGATGCAAAAGGCCTGGCCAGTGCCCTGGCTGACCTGCACTTCAAGTCTGAATCCCCAACTGGCAAGTTTGGGTTCCATGTGGCCACATGTCATACCCTCAATATTCAGGCTGTCAATATTTGGACTAATTCATGGTGCGAACTATTCTCCAGCCATCTTTCACGCATCCTCTCCCATGCTAAGGTCGGGTTTATGTGGCCAGAGTTCGATCGGCTGGGGGAACTAGTTCTTTCCAATGTAGTCCCTGCCCTACTTTTACCACTGCAGGCGGATGGACGCTCAATCAAACCCTGTCTTGTCCATGGGGACTGCTGGGATGGAAATACCGCGACCGGAGAAGACGGTCAAGCTTTCTTTTTTGACGTTGCGTCTTTCTATGCACACAATGAATATGACCTGGGGGATTGGAGGGCACCTAGGCATGTGCTTAGTGACCCAGTCTATACAGATGCTTATAAAGCACTCATTCCCGTATCTGAGCCAGGTGAGTGCCTAGAAAAGTTTCCACCACAATGAAAGACAAAAGACATTGACAAATTATCTTCTTGGTTCTTCAAAGCCAAAGATTGGGATAATCGAAATCTGCTTTACTCATTGACATGGAACATATGCAATGCCTTATTTGTGCCTCATTCTACACAAAAGCCCCAGTGAGTCTATCTTCTCTATAGTGCTGGTCAGTGTTGCAAATTGGCTAATTTGAAATTTTTCATCATTTCAAATAGAGTTTTCAACGACATGCTAACTCTCTGCGAGAATATTTGTTTGCATGATCTCAATCTACTGTTGAACTCAGAAAGGAAAAATAACATTGATGGTTTGCTAACGCTTGATTGCGAGAGTTGAGCCATTATATGTCTCGTCTCAGGATGAGGGGCGTAATGGCTAGCCCGTCCTGACAGCCAAGCTAAGCCTTCTAGAACCATTGAACATGCCTTGCTCTGTGTATTCAAGACCCCGCTTTATAACGACAAGCTCATCTAGTTTAACAAATATGATCTCACCTCCACGCCCTAAACCAAGTAGCAACTGACCCACGGAACCCATCCAATCGTTGGGAAAAAAGAAGTGTCGTATTGCAGGCTGCCCCGTATTTTCCATATTTATGGAGCATACCCAGTGTTCAGTGTCTAGGTATATTATACGCTCGTCAAGTGCCCCGATCATAGCCTCGAATCTTGATGATGTGGCGTCAAAGCTGTGCACAGGGCATTGAATTGACTTGTCAGAGTTGAAATCTCTAAAATCCCACACGTTGATTTGCAACTCAGAGACCTGACCGGAAAAGACATTTTTCGTTATCGTGACAAAGAAACGGGGGTGTTGTAGGGGAATTACACGTTCAATCAGCGTCGATTCTTGGGGAAAAGTGTCCGGAGGCACATCGCCGATGCATTCAAGAGAGATCCACTTGTACGCCACAGTTACCATGTGCGTCACAAGGATTAGATTATTCGGATCTATGGCGCTCTGGATCCAAAATCGTTTTCCTATAACCTTGTTGCGAACGAGAGGAGTCTTATCCTCCGAGGGAGCTAGGTCCCAAAGAGTGTCCTCGGATTCGGTTGCCACAAGAAGCCTGGAGTTCTTGTTACATGTGAGAACCTGATGTATGCTTGTGCCTATGCGTATGTCCAGAAATGGGTTCTGGACAAGCCAGCTCGATCCAGGCCGTCGTATAAGTCTCCTGCTCACCACATGACTGCCACAGTCCGCGCAGGTGAGAATACCCTCGTCGAAATGCAGGAAGGTTATTGAGACCCCTTGAGTCTGTACAAACAGCTGCTGGCTCTGATGCTCAGAGCCGAGGTCATAGACATGCACAGATCCATCATCTTTTCCGCAAAAAACAATAGAGGCAGATTGGACGCAAATAATCGCCGTGATCTTCACTGTTTCTGAGATTTTGTAGTCTATCTCTTGAGGATTTGTTGAAATGGATGCCGTGTCACTATTTATTTCGTCCATTTCCTGTCTCTGTAACACAGCAGGGTCCCAGATCCGACATTGATGGGCGCGACCGTCGAGAAGTCGATTATTGTCCAAAGTAAAGGCTAGAGCTTCAGATCCAGACTGATTGTCGTTGAAATTGAGCTGGTATATCATTTTAAGAGTTTCAATGTCGTATAGCTGAATCGTGCCCTGTGAGTCGGCAGTTGCTAGTGTGCGGCCGTCTGGGGAGCATGCCAGAACGTGAGCATTCACATCCCGTAGAGCGCCTCGAACTCGACCGGAGGAGGTATCGTACACCACCAGATCTCCATCCGAGTAGGCCGCAATGAGGGTGTTCGCGTCGATGGCAGGACTGAATGCTAGGGCCCAAACCGTAGTACTTCCGTCGGCTCCTTTCGACGACTCGTATAGATAAGACCCAGTCTCCTTTTCGTATATATCGTGCATTCTTTCCAGCTCAAAGTCCCACAAAATTAGATCTTCCCCACGATACATCACAGCCAGGAGCTTTTGGTTAGGGCAGAATGCTGCTCCCGTCGGTTGTCTACGTTGATAATTGCCCTTCTCGAAATCCAGCGTCCAATTGATTGGCTCGTCCTGGCATGTGCCACCGTTTTGAATATCCCAGTGAACAAGCTGGTTGTTCCTCAGCGCACCAAGCAGCAAACTATCGTTTTCTAAGAATGTCATGGCGATGCACAGAGTCGAAATAGGCAGCGTACACATGAGAGAACAAGAATCTAAATCCCAAACAGATATAGACTTGGCACCAGCCGATGCCAAGTAATTTCGACTCTCTCCAAACGTCAATTTCAACACCGCACCTTTTTGTTGGATAAAATTGTATTCTTGGCATGTGAAACTGTCGTAAACAATGATGCGCCCATTGGCCATGCCAATGGCCAGGTACTTGTTCGATGTTGCCATGCTCATAAGTTTCTCCGAATTGGGGTACGAGATGATGGACAGGCAGTCGTCCCATGCGTGAGATGACAAGCCATGCACGGATAGTCCTCTGGGAGATGAACCAAACAGTTTGCGCAGAGTAGAATCTCGGGGACAAAGAGCAGGGACAAGATGGTGAATTGATAACGGATAAAGAGAGAGTTGATGCCCAAATCTAGTTACCAGATGAACCATATCATTTCCCCATTCCTGGATGAGCCGAAGATCTTTTTTGAGACCCATTGGAGGCGTATGTCTAGAACGGCGGGCGAATAGATTGTCAATAGCTTTCCCTGCGTGAAACACAAGCTGCAATTCTCCATGCCTAGCAAGGTACTCAATCCAGCCCAGAATATTGGGCGACATGAGAAATTTAGAAAGAGCAAGAAAGACATCATTATCTGTTGAAATAACCAGAGGCAAATGCTTGAAGACGAATCTGCATGCGTAGTCTGCGAACGGGGACCTTTTCTCAGCTTCTGTGGATAGACTCAGTTTTCTTGACCGCGGAGGCTTCATTTCGCTGCTAGAGAGATATTGAAGGCACACCAGAGTAAGATGTCTGTGTGCATCTGACCTTTCAATTCTCAACTCCCGAACAGTATTTTGACGTAGGAGAAAATCTCGAGCTGTGGAGTGGATCAGTCGAACCGTTCTCTGGCTGTCAACGTAGGCAACGTTGCGACAGCACGTGTTGATGGAGCGCTCAACATCGTTTATCTTATCATTGAGGCCAATCTCAATGGCCCGGTGTATTTCATCTATTGAGAGTGGCCGGAATGCACATGCTGTCCATGTAAGGATGGCCTTTGCAAGATCCTTCCCGAACCGAGCGTCCGCAATATCTATTAAAATCTTGTGATAAAGATTATCCATACCATCGGAGTTGCTCGCTAATACTCTCCGAATATCTGCAGACGTGTTGGCTTGCTGGAGCTCTTTTAAGACTAGGCCAACCCAGAGAAAGCAACCGTTAGATGTCTCGGCAATGTCTTTCGCCATCGCCATCTTTTTTTCATCGCTCCTCTGGGGCAGGAAGTTCACATGGGCTCTCAGAAGTAGTGATATATCTTCCTTCGTGTCTCTTTCTTCGATCACTTCCGAAACGATTTCAACTGTAGGATTTGTCAAATTCATAGACATCATAGGATGCCGAGAAGTGACCAAGATAGACAACGGCCATAGCTCCTGGGCCTTCGCCAAGAAAGACATAAGTTCGGTGCCTGCCTTACACTCATCCAAAGCATCGATAATCCAATATTGTTGCTTCATCAGAGGAACTTTGAACAAGCCACGTAGATAAAGCCTTTGCCAAACGGGATTATGGTCAGCCTTGCTTATCGCCGCGTCCTGCCATGTCGCAGCGACGTCGAGTACGGTAGATAAAATATCGCCGTGTAGCTGAGCCATCTGCCAGGCTAAAGATCTTAGGAAAGAGCTTATGGTGACTTTTGATTTGTCCTCGTCTTTGAAGAAGAAGAAACAACAATCCCGCCCATGGTTCCGTAGGTGATTGATGATGTGGCTGGTCAAAACGGTCTTTCCTGCACCTGGTCGCCCTCGCAGCCAAAGAAGTTGGGAACGTGCAGAATTAAGCCACCGCCCGAACGAGGGTTTGCGAATAAACCACTCACAAGAGCCTGGAATCCGAGCATTATCTTGGCTCATCAGGTCACCTTCCGGAGCTTCAGAAAAACTCAAGAATTTATTCAACTCCTCTAAGCGACCACCTTCCCTCACCTTCCCTTTCGAGATTTGGGACCCTCGTTTGCTATCGATATATGCTGCAAGCGAGTTCCTAACTGTTAAGAAGGATGGGTCATTTGGAGACGCAAAGCGGGCGACATCCCGGTGATTTGCGTTGAGATACATCTTCCTTTCGTTGACGTAGTTCATCACCGCAGAGCTTTTGTCCACAATCAACCCTCGTCCAAAGACAAAATTCATCGGTTTATTTTCGTAGAATGAAAAAAGTTGAAGTTCACGACAAAGCTGGGGGAATTCTTCGTTGATCGATGCCAAGGCTGGCGATCCTGGAAAAAGGTCCTGTACAAAAGCCCGTGTTCCCGAGACTACCTGTAAAATCCGACTAAGGGTCTGCGCAAGATCGGCTCCTTGGTGTGGTGTTGCGAGGAAAAAGATGGCACAGACTCTGCGAGCAAGCGGCTTCATTTCTTCACTGCTGTGGGCGGAGATGAACGCTTTCTTAATGACCAATCCGCCCATGCTGTGCCCAACGAAGACTAATGGGACCTGAAAGATGCATGGCAGTTAGCGTGTTCAATAGGAATGGCTGGATTTCATCCCAATAATACATACCTTGCTATCTCTCGTGATGACTGGTGAATCATGTATAGCATACAGCAGAGATCGTGCAAAGTCCGGGATATTGAGAAATGATTCCTGGTTAAAGGCAGATGCATATCCAAACGTGTGAATTCGCACATCCTCGAAGGCCTGGTCCTTGGAAAGCCACTCCTGAGGCCAGAATAATGATGACTCGCCATTCTTAGTCCATGTACTGTAAGAGCCCCCATTGACTCCATGAACAAATATCAAGTCCACCACAATGTCCTCAGGAGGACTGTACAGAGTGGTCAGACCGATTGGACCCTTGATACCGCCTTGTTGATCAGAAGAGTCTAGAGTATCCTTCCGGGTGAGGGTGCGACTAAGGAGAGACTTCGTAGTGGTGATGGACGCGAGTGACGTGCGTCTATTTCCAGATTCTGATGCCATTTTATTTAATTGCAACCATATAGTCTCACATTTCTGAACCAGAGGCAGAATGTTGGGTTTTGTCCCCCGTGGCTATCATTTCAACAGAGGGTGCTCTTGGCCGTTCATTCTGGACCTTGCAGGGATTAATCTGACATTCACCCGGGTGAATTATCCTTCTGCACGAAGCCCATTGAGGCAAGATGTTCATTCCAGTTATTCTGCCTACAGGCATCGAACACGTCACGGCGACTTGCAAGTCTGAACCTAGGCTTCCTTTCGAAAGAAAAGGCAAGTAATCTCGTGTCGGAACTTTGCCCTGTCTTCTAACGTTGAGTTTTTGGTTTATGATTTTTTCCTCCCCTTGGAGACTTGAAAGAGAGGACACCTTCGCTACCTGATTATATATTTTACTCCTTTCACGGTGATACATAATATGCCACTGAATTCGACTCGTCTGTCAAAACTGCAGCCGCGGGTTATTCCGGAAGAAAAGGGTCTTGGCGACTGAGGTGCGTCCATGTCCACCAATATTGTCACGTTATTCAGTGCCACCGACCCCGCTTGAGGCTTAAAAACAGTGGTCACGCTACAGGCGCGAGGACTGTGCATCATGATGGGAGACTACAAGCGACGAAATAACAAGCAATCCTCCGGCTATTATGCATGATGGCTTGAGTTATAAAGAAATCTTGATCCTAGAAGCAGCTGTATATCAATAAAGAATTATCACCCAAGCAAAAACTCATACACACCTACATAATGGTCGACCGTTCGATCTGGGACGAGGAAGTCGCAGTACCTGAAGATGTAGTATCGTTTGTGGATGATAATGTGTTGAAGGGTAAGACATCTACCTTGTTAGCATTTTTTTTCACTTAGCTGATCAATATTGGCTCTTTTGATATAGAAATTCCGAAAGGTATAACCTTGGTTAGCATCTCTCAATACGGTGCCTCTTACTGGACACGGACAGCCCAAATTATAGGTACTGACTGTACCGGGACTGAGAACTCGTTTTTTTTAAAGGTGAGTAGCATGGATAAGTTTATTGACGTCGAGTTTTAACTAGTTCTGCAATCAAATAGGTTGCGCAGGGTGTAGTCGGCAAAGGGATGATGTACGGCGAGTTCCATTCCATGACAGCCATTTATAATGCTATACCTGGTATTTCCCCAAAGCCATTAGGGCATGGGACCTACGAGAGCGATCCTGACACTCACTTCTTTCTTTGCCAATTTCACGCCATGACTGATGGCATTCCAAACGTGAAAGATTTGTCTCTCGCGGTGGCCAAATTGCATGAGCTGGGAACCTCCCCGAACGGGAAATTCGGGTTCCCCGTGATAACCTTCCAAGGAAGACTTCCTCAGGACACTTTCGAGTGTGATACATGGGAAGAATCCTTTTCGAAGGGTATCGAGCTATTTTTTCAAGCCGAGGAAGAAGCTCAAGGTTTCGACGAGGAGATGGCCGCTCTCAGGAAAGGAATTATGGAGAAAGTCATTCCTCGACTTTTACGACCCCTGGAAACTGGTGGAAACAAGATCGAGCCATGTTTGGTTCACGGAGATTTGTGGGATGGGAATACGTCTGTAGATGCTGAGACTGGATATCCCCTTATCTTTGACGCTTGTTCATCGTACGCGCATCATGAATGTGAGTTTCATGACGGATTCCTACGCAGAAAAAGGCTTGAGTTAACAACTTCTCCTGAACCACAGATGATCTGGCCCCGTGGAGACCTGTGAGACACAAGATTGGAAAGCCGTATGTGCAGGAGTATCTCAAATTGTATGCCAAATCCGAACCGACGGCAGATTTCGATGATCGAAATGCATTGTACTGCGTGTGAGTCAAGAACTTAGGCCTTTATATTGAGACAAATGGTTGGAATGAACTGACTGAATGGCAACCATAGAAGATTTAATCTATGTTCGTCGGCATTATACCCTGGAAACCTCCGATTCAGGAATCTGTAAGTATTCCTGGGATCCCTCGCCATGACATTTTAGCACTAACTAGGCTCCAAGTGTAAAAGAAGAAATGCGCGATCTAGTGAATAAGTTCTCACTAGGGTATGAATGCTACAGCAAGACAGAGATGGAAGTTGGCTTGCAGGTAAATGACATAAATGACGAGAAGTGATATCCATAGTGAATTGATGAAATGATATTAACTCCTGAAATCCCGCTATGATCTTGTAATAAGTAAATCGATAAAATATGAGGAAAACGCCTGCGTCCCTAGTCATTGTAGTCTGACTGCCGTGAACCATCCTTATTGACAGCATGCAGACCATACAATGTATTCAAATTGTCGAGGTGACCTACACTCGCGTATGGGGGAATGGTTGCACCACACGTAAACCACAAATAACACTTATCTTTCTTTAATACATCCACTATAACCACAATCACTATGCCAAAGGTCACTCAAACAGATTATCTGTGTCCACGGGTATAATTGAGACCTGCGTAGAAGCTGAACGACAAAAAAACATCTAATATCGCACAAGTTGTCCATGATTGTGGGTTCCCATATCGGACCGTCTATGAGGCCGGCAGATGGCTCCTTTTTCTAAATTTGCCGACTTGGACTGTGAAGCAGGAAGACCAAATGACGCAGAAGCAGTCATTACAAGAGAAATGGAGATATTCTATACCCATATGTGGGAAAACATCGGCACCGGCAGACACTTGCAGCTTGCACTGATAGAAAACTTTATTTTGCGTGGCATGCTCAAAAAGCCGAGGATTGCTTATCAAGGTTGGTTCCAATCTTCGAAGCAATTACTGAACCTGACACGATCCAAAATACTGACCATTTCCGGGTATAGGCTGAGTTTGTAAGGGCATCTCATTTTCAAGGTCACTTGGATAATGCTCTTGTTCGGTGGTACTGCCCATTAGGCATTGTAGAGAGTTCTGGATGGATGGAAGGGTTCATGTCGCTGCAGTTGGGAAGCCGGCCGTCTTACTGAGGTGGTCGAGCTTCAACTGAATGCTACTCAACGCCGTAGACAGACAAACCGCTTTCAGGTAGTGGTATCCACGGAAATGAATATTGCGGTTATTATGAAGTCTGATCTTTTGTTGATGAAGATAACTAGCTACTTATAGTACAAATTGGTTCTCCCACTTCAGAAAAATGTAAGCATTCGTCTGAGACAGAAGAGCCGTTAAAGACGGAACATCACTGTCGCAGATGTACGTCACTCAAGGGCATCTCTTGCGACAATGCATCTCGTTCAAGGATGCCATGACGTGGTCTTGACCAGATACTAGCCAGTTCTTATGTGACGTGCTTCCATCTGAACCGCTCCCACGTGTTTATATCCTTGTTTCCCATGCGAGTATCGCAACAGTTCAATTATGAGATTATCCTGTTCTCTGCTGCTCGGGTGTTCGCTCGAACTTGAAACCTAGATGAATGCCATGATGCTCTTGAGAATGCACAAAGAAGCCCGGCCGCTGAAGAAAGGAAGTACTGGTTTGTGGGTATTGGCTGATACTATCATGTTATAACTTCACTCAGAGAGGCTGGGCTAAGCCCCGTGGTCACGCGAACCAAGGAGACAAATGATTTTCTTCTTAATCAAATTTTTGGCTTCTGACTCACAGATTTGATATCCAATAATGCATCAGATCTGAAATTAGTACGGGCGGTCATCCATTGCTTGCTCCTGGCTAAAGGCCAAAATGATAGTCATGTGCAAGGACAGGATAATCAGCTGAACGTATAGATCAGATCGACTTTCCCGGTTTAGAAGATCGTCTCATTGAACAGAGATATTGTCCTCGATGTAGAATGAGATACGTTGTGGGTATGAAAGGAAACACAGGCTTGCTCCTAGAGAGGGAAAGGTCAACATAATAGTTGTCGTTCGTCTCTTGGAGTGATGATAACTTCTGGTAAGCTCTTGATGGCGAGCATTCATGTATGCTAATATAAACTTACCTCTTTATTATCACTGAACACTTCATTTTAATTCCCAGAGCCTAAGGTAGCAGTTCCATGGCAATTAGCATCACGGTTCTTTTTAGTAGGAGTCTGATTTGGTGATGGACTTTGTCATGTTGAAACTCATATTGGGGTGCTTCGGCGATAAATTCGTAGACTTCTTGAATTTCTCGATCCGTGAGTGATGAATATGGTGTTTTCCATTCTAGATGGAAGAATGCCTTGCTGATTTTGCTCAAGTTCATTTTCTTTCCCTTGAAATTGTAAACTAGGCTATAGCTGTCTCCTCACTTTCTCGGGCAAGGATTTCCCGGTCTCTCCTCTTCTTCTTTTCATGCGAAATGGCCAGGACCATATTTATTAAAAATATTATAGCGAACAAGACTCCCACAAAACACACAACTGTTGCCACGGTGACGATTGAGAAGACCGCAAAGCCGTAAGAAGCCCGCTGAAAGGCATAGTTCGTGTTAAGTGGCGGTATAGTGGCACCGACCTGCATCGCCGTGAGTACGAGGGAAGAGTATACCAATACGATGAGTATCCAGGCGAAGTTCCTCTGGAAGAAGACTGCATAGCGGTTATAGCCGTACAAATAGCCGCGAATAAAGTGTGTGGAGAAAAATAGGGTCCTGTATATAGAGTTTATTCTTCCTAGTCGCAACTCGCCAAAGTGATAGCGTTTGTTGACCTGGTCGAGGGCATTTACATCAACATTTGAGATGAATTCTGCCACGAAGCTCTTCCACCAGATCCACGTTATCTCACACGGGAGAAGATCCAACTTGTGGGCTAATTTCAAGTCAAGAGGAGAGCAGATTAGCCAAATATAGGAGAGCAAGATTCCACAAGCGGATTTGTGAAGCTCCTCTGATTCGCAGAGATATTTGTCCCAGAACATGAAATCTAATATATAATCCGGAAGCGGCTTGACGAAAATCTTATTTGAGAACTTGAGGAGATGGAGGTCCGCTTGCTCTGTTAGGAGGATATCAAACCCCATCATCTTCTGTCGGTGTATTGGCCTAGCATTTAGGGGTCTCCCAGCCATCCATAGATGCCTATGTATTCTGTTGAGCCTGGTGTGGTCCAAATCCCGCTTTAGATATGTCTCAATATCGTCTGTGACCAAAAAGACACGTTGATCTTCATCCCGGGAAATAGTCGGTAAGTTCACCAGGAAGACAGAAGACCTATTAGCAGTAGGATCTTGATGGGCATGGCCGGTGAGATTGGCAGGATCTGTCACTCGCACGGAAAAAGGAGGCCTCAATACTTTGTTCTGGTCAACATCAGCACCTGATGATTACGATAAAGCCGTAAAAGCCACGGACAGCTGGTTACAAGAAGTTTACCTTAGTTTCAACCATCCTATCAGTCTCTTGAAATGAGGTAGGGTGTTCGGCAAAGGGCGAAGTTAAAGCAGGCCATGCATGGTAAGAGTCTTCGAAGAAGTGTAGGTCCTCAGATTTTGTTGATATTTGCGAAAAGAGGTAATGGATGGCAAAGAGCGCCAGGGAATAGGAACTCTCGTACTGCTTGCTGCTTAAATCGAACTTTTTATCATAAGAGGCTGCGCCTTGAAACCTATGTAGATTAGAGCTAGGACCCGCATGTGATCACTCACCAGAATGGCTGACGTGTGACTTATCTGCGACCAGTAATCGGGTGTGTACACTGATAATTACAGAGTGAGCGCTGCTTTAGCGTCGAGCGAGCGGGGTGAGCATGGTGGTGCGTAATTGCAGGGCGAGCAGCCGAGAGAGAGCGGATTATTTTCACCTCCCGACCTATCTTATGAGACTCTGTGGGATATAGTATGTCCCAAGTGAATACACTATCAAGGTAATCAGAGACCTAGAAAAAGTGGGGGAGTAAGTATATCCGAACATATGGGGGTTGCTGGAGTGCAGCGGGTGGATACCAATCCAGCCAATTATAGATAGATAGATAGATGAAAAGTGGAGAAAGTGAGTAAAGTAATTCACCACCGAACGGGCCACCCAACCAATTTTACGCGTCAGATTCGTGTCTTATTTTTTTCAACTACCCACCATGCCTCCTAAAATATCTCCTATCATTCAGGATAAACAGGAGCAGGAGAGGAATATCTTATTAGCTATTAAAGCTCTAAAAAATGGCCAAATATCGTCAACTCGCCAAGCTGCAGCTATATTTAATATACCTAGATCGACCCTCCAACGCCGCCAATCTGGTGTCCAATTTCGTCTAGAAACACGCGCAAACGGCATTAAATTGACTGAATCTAAAGAAGATACACTACTTGAATGGATCCTTAGTCTAGATGCTCGCGGCTGTGCTCCTAGAACTAAAGATGTTGGTAGAATGGCCAATATCCTACTCGCCGACCGCAGAATCGACCCTCCTCTTACGATCGGACAAAACTGGGGGACTAGGTTTTCTAAACGCATCTCTAAAATAAAGACTACCTATTCAACACCCCGCAATTTTACACGTGCGCGCCAGGAGGACTATAATGTTATAAGTGACTGGTTCAAACTGGTTCAAAACATGATCGCAAAATATGGTATTACCACTGACGATATTGTTGAGATGGCGGTATACTGCCGCCACTCACCGCTGTCGCAGGCAGACTTTAGGTTGAAGTGTAGTTAGTTTCTTCTCTTCTCTAAGGAATCGAATCACTTTCACCATCTGTTTTCCTCGAGCCACTAGTCCCCTAGTAGTCTCAACAGATATCTATAATTTTGACGAAACTGGCTTCGCAATAGGACGATGTGCAACTTCTAGAGTGGTTACTAGGTCTAGTTATTATGATAGACGCGCAACAAAACAACCTGGTAACCGGGAATGGGTGATAGACATGTGCATGGGTTGGGTATGGGTCGAAATTCATACCCATACCCAACCCATCAGGGGTAAGGCAAACCCATACCCATACCCAACCCAACCCACGTGGGTATGGGTTGGGTATGGGTCCCATATGGGTATTTTTGATGCCTTAATGCCTGATTTTCGCCTCAACCTAAACTAAATTAGGGTAATTAGTGCCTTAGTGCCTAATTTTTGCCTCAATCTAGTACTAACTAGGTGACAAATATCACGTGAAATAAAAGTCTTGGCAAAAAGATGGGTTTATGGGCTGGGTGTGGGTTTTACTTCAAACCCATACCCAACCCATATGGGTTTTGGGTAAAATTTCTGACCCATACCCAGCCCATTGTGGGTTGGGTTGGGTTGGGTATGGGTTTACCCAACCCAATGAACATGTCTATCCGTATTAAATACGAAGCCGAACATTCAGGAATAACCTGGGTTATCATTTAATTACCGAAAAGCATTCAATCAAGTCTCGGCTCTTGATTCCAAATTTATCAATTTAAATCTTCAGTGAAATATGACTCACATAGAATATATCACTACAAATAGATCAATTACAGTACTATATTCGTTATTTCGTTGGTTTGTAGAAGCTTATGTCTAAATCTGTCATGCATAAACAGCCTCGCCATAAGAGGGCTATTCAGTAGAATCGATCTATAATCTACCTTTTCACAGATAAGACAGACCGATATGAATGTCAGCGAAAGTGGAATCCTGGGAGCAGGAACGTAGCTCCTAGGAGCATTTGTGTCAGCTAAAATTAAATAATATTATACCAGCGAATCACGATAAACACACATAGATGATTTCTTTTGTAAACACTTAAGATCCTAAGAGCAAATAAAGTCCAAAATATGATGGACCAATAAAATACTCAAGGAAACCCACTGCGAGTCGCCACTAAGCCAATATGAGACTCCCAGGAGAAATGGCTATTATTCTTTTTGGAACCTCTTTTGTTGGTGGGGCAACGGTGAAATTTAATGGTGAAATCTAATGGAGCTAGCGTGTCGCAGTTTATTGAGGTGGCTTATTCAGCTCCTCAGTGCCTACTCAGTGAGCGAATCAGATCGCTCAGATATTACACAGTGATTACTCAGGTGATGATCAGATGATGATCAATGGGGGGTACTGGGCTCCTGAAAAATGTCGCACACGTGATATTTTTATCAGGCTTAGCGTCTTGGCGTAAATGTTTACAATCGCGTCTAGGTGTTCATCCCTATCTATACACGCCCTATCTATACACGCGTCATTAAAAATTACCCTGCACCATGGATACCACTACCTTTTTTTGCTCGAAATGCCGTAATCCCCGTCCGACCGAGGATTTTGATCTTAATAAGCAAGGGAAGCGAAAAAGCCTTTGTAATCGTCATACAAAGAAGCGTTCTCTTCAGCGCGATGATTGGGATGAATTTACTATGCTTCTCTCCCAGCCTCAGCCTCTTAATCATGACTTTGAATTTGATCTTGATGCTTTGCCTATCAAATTTGGCTCTGAGTTTGATAAAGAGGAGATGGGAATAGCAATGCATAGTCTTTCAGATTTGATCTGGCAGGAAGGTGGATTCCGATTCCGCCATACCTCAACTGATTCCCAATATCATCGGTATAGATATCATTGCTCTCAGGATGAAGCGCATACCCAAAGCTATCAATCTAAGGTAGAAGTTGAAAAACAGAGAGATGGCCGCCGTATAGAGCGATTTCCTTGTGGAAGTAAGCTTATTATACAGCCATCCTTACTTGATCGGACCCTCCGTCTTTCTATTCAACATCACTGGCACCCGCCTTATGAAGATCTTCAAGTTCCGCAAGTCATACACGATCTTATTGACTCCCTTGTCTTGACCCATGCTCCTGCAGAGATTTCCCGCCAGGTTAGGGAGCATCCTAAAGGAAAGGAAGTGTCAAGGCACCAGGTCTATTATATCTGGCATAAGGCAAACTCAAAGAACTGGCGACGCCATGATGATCCTCTTACCTCAGCTCAAATGCTTCTAAATGAGGCAGATTTCCAGAATGGAAGGTATCAGGCCCACCAAGAGATCTTTAAAGCAGGCAACTTATCAGCATTAGGTAAGTGTTGCGACAGCCGAGAAACAAGGCCATCAACAGACGGAAAGTATTTCGGCCGAAAAAGCTTCTGCCAAGACAGTGACTCTGGAACTAGATTAGTATATCACGGCATCCTTGAACGATACGCATTCATCGCAAACGACACCCTTAAGCGATACGCATTCGCGACAGCAATGTCCCGTCTTCACCGTCTCTTCTGTCTCGGACGAATGATGACATTCGTCCAGGGCAGAGGGGCACCCATATACTATAAGTAGCTAGTTCTTTCATCAATGAAAAAGCAGACTTCACAACAACCATAATATTCAGTACTATAGAGACCACTACACTTGGTGGTTTGTCTACAGTGTTGAGTAGTGGTTTGTTGAAGCTCACCAACTCCTTTCTACTGCAGTAAACTCCAATTCCCTTTTACTGCAGTAAGAACTCGAGCACCATTCTCAGTAACGAGCGACTAGCTAGCTACGCTCGCTAAGCGAGCGACAGTTCTACTAAGTCGTCTCGTCCCTGATATGGTCTATCAAATGAAGGCTATATTAGGTAGAGAGCAGCGGATCTTTAAAGGACGATGGAGAGAAGCCTTTAAAAGGTAATGGAAAAAGGATGCAAGAAAAACTGTTTGTCTAGATCAGATAAAACAGCATCATACAGATCCTTATCAATGGGTCTGTGCCTGTCCTGCCTTCTTACTTAGTCGATTCTTATGCTGTAAGCATATTTGTCGGAACATGGATATTGCAATCATGCAATACCATAAACCCGGAACGGAACAAACAGACCCCCGAGTCACGGGGGAACAACTATATTAGGAACTCAAGTAGCTACATGAATCGAACACATTTCACACCACTTTGCACAACGTATATACTAAGAATCTAGGACGAACCATACCCTTTTCCAGTGTATATAGTGCAACGTGTGAACCCTGTCCTTTCAACGTAGTTGATCGACAATATTATCTACTGTTTCAAGACGCCACCTCCTCAATTCTTTAATACTGTTTCCCGCCATGATACTTGTCCTTTTTGGCGGGATGAGCGATTAGAACTTAAACCAGAGTTCAAACGCAGTGGTAAAGAGCCTACTCCACTACCAGATTATGAAAGCGATACCTCTTCAGCATCAGATAGTGAGGAAGAAATAGAGGAGGATGAGGAAGAGGAGGAGGATATTCAAGCTCAATTAATAGCTTGGCGCCAATTCCAATTTGATACTATATCAATGGTTGATGATCAAGGAGAAAGGTTTGCAAAGAAGTGGCTTCAGTATATCAAAAGCCAAAGGACTCAAACCCAGAAGCTGATTAATGAAGCTAAAACTATTCGGAGCATGCGGACGATGCCTAAAACTTGGCGGAAGCACGATCATCCACTAGGTGTTTATTTACAGTAGTTAGAATCGGACTTAGAAGAATTGAACTTGATTTGAATTAGTAATGCTATTGAGATTAGTAAGGCTTGGCAAATATCACGTGTGCGACAGTTTTTCGGCTGCCCATTACGCACACTTTGATGATCAGGTACGATCAGGTGACGCTCAGTGACGGCGTTCGCATGATTACATAACGGTCACTGACTTGCTCTTGGCGTTCGTGGCGTGCTTAGCTCTACTCAGTGAGCAAAAAGCGGCAAGCACTGAGCACTAAAACAGAAGGGGAAAGCCAAGAACTGGGAAAGAAAATCTACTACCTAGGTACTCCCGACTCACTGCAATTTCATCTCCAAGTCATTAAGGCGTTTATTACAAAGATCCAACTTTGGAGGGCTTTGGGAAGAGAATTCCCGTGGCCCCGACAGATGTAAGTGTAGATATGTAATTCAAATTTTCCTATATATGTTCATCTCAAAAATCCATCCATCCAAAATCGCCTGGCATGAAAAATATGAATCAATTCAATATATAAATCAGGAAGATGCAAAAAAATTAATAATAAAAAAGCAGTGCTGAAAAAGCCCAGGGATATAATAAGTCGTAATAATCAGGTATAAAAAAGTAATGGCAACGTCCAAAGTCGTCATAAAATAAAGACATCCACTTGGGGTGTAAGAAAAGCAGAAAGGGGTATGATAGAAGTGAAGAAAGAAGGTTACAGCAAAAGAAAAGGTGCATGGCTGCAGTTGAGAGGAATTTGCGGATGCGGATTCCTCAGGTCATATATACACTTGCGCTACCCAGCGATAAGGTCATGTGACAGTTTGAGGCATATTTACATCTTCATGGCTACGGCTGCCATGACGCCGAAGATAAGACCAACCATAGAGGCAGTGGTGCTGGTAGCAGCATTGGCCTTGGCGGAGGTAGAAGAAGACGAAGATGAAGAAACTGAAGAAGCTGAATCAGACGAGGCGGACCCGGTCGATGTAGCTGCGGTGGTTGATGTCGTATATTCGGAGATCACGGCACTGCCGGAGGCGGCAAAGACGTGAGGACGGTAAGTGTAGGTCATAGAGGGGCTTTGAATGGACTGCTTGGTCTCGATTGTAGAGGTGGGGACAACAGTCGAGGTAGAGCTGGAGGTAGAGGTAGAAGTGGTGGAAGTAGAGGTTGAGGTAGAAGTAGGGGTGCTGGAGGGAGTGGTTGAGGTCGAGCTTTCAGTGGTCGAAGTGGAAGATGGTGTAGGAGTTGTGGTGCTGGAGGTAGTTGCAGCAACAGTGCTGGTAGAGGAGGTGCTGGAGGCGCTGGAGGCGCTGGAGTCGCTGGAGTCACTGGAGTCGCTGGAGTCGCTGGAGTCGACATCGAAGACAACAATCTTGGCAGTGGCACCGCTAGGGACAGTAACAACACAGCCGGTAGCACCACCAGCACCAGTGAAAACGTCCTCGGCACTCATCTCGTTGACACCCATAGTGGAAGGATCGATCTTGCAGGGGAGACCATTGCATTCGCCTCCAGTGCATTCAACCTCGATACCGAACGCAGGCTTGACATTACGGAAAGGGGTGGTGGTCTCCAAGTAGATAGGGTTCCAGCCAATCTTCATGTAAGTGATGCCATTGGCAACGGTGTTAGCACCGGCTGTGTAAGGAGACCAGTTACCCACGGGGTTGGCATTGGTACCCCAGATACAGCCCTCCTCAGCGGAAACACCCGGAGCGTTGATGTAGTACTGTGCGGCGGTCTCACACCAGTAACTCAGGCCAGGGACGGCCAGAGTTTCCAGCTCCTCAACCAGGGTCGGGATCAACATGGCCTCGTTTCCAGGCAAAACGGTCTGGCAGAAAGCCACGGACTGGGAAGCCTTGTTATGAACGGACACAGCACCGGTGCCTGACTCGCAGTAGGCCCTGCTGGGGTAGGGCTTGGAGATATTGCCATCTTCATCACAGTACAGACCACCATTCTATAGATGCTGTCAGTAGACCCCCCTTGCATAGTAAAGGTGGAGGTGACGTGTAGATCTTACCATAGAGAGGGGATAGGTATAGGAAGTGGCCTCAGGGTCCCACTGCATAGAAACTTCACCAGGAGGGCAAGCATATGGGCAGTAGTTGCCAGGCTCACAGGTCTGGTCAGGGCTCATGGCCCAACCAGCGTTGTTCTGATCAGGAGTCACAGAGACCAGACCAACATCGGTAGGGAATACACACTTTGCGCTCTTCTTCTCAATGTTCTCAGAGCGAGCTCCATGACTGTGGGCATGACCATGATTGGCAGCATCCACGCTTGCAATGAGAGCAACGAGCGCGGCAGCGTGAGTAGCAGTAATCTCGAACTTCATTTTGTATTAATTTGAAAGACTGAATGAATGAAATTGAGTTAAACGAATGACTGAAATTGGCCGAAGGCCGGAAGTACGCAGAGTGCTCGCAGGGAATGTGATTACAGGGGAGGAAAAAGGAAGTAAAAGACGGGGAAACACTGGACACAAAAGGGACAAAAGCCCAATTCTCAGCGTAAGCTGGGCAGTGTTGACTAGGCCATGGGCTAAGCTGGAAAAGGAACATGATCTGGGCAGGTGTGCGCCTAGCTCGAGGCATGGAGTATCTCAACTCGTATCTCAACTCTGGAACGGACCCTTAGTGGTTCATAGTGAAGCAGCACGAGGGGCCAGTCCCAATATGTAGCCATTGGCGGGACAAAATGCAACTAAACTTAACTAGTGAACAGCCACCTGTAGCCCTAGCGCCAGGGGTATTGCCACTACTATCCAATGGTCTTGTTACAAACCCGATGGTTCATGCTTGGCAGGTAGAAAACGCCAATAAGCTCATTGATATTGAGTTGATGTGGAGATTGATGAACCATGAGGTCCATTCCGTCCCAAGGTTATCAGAGCCGCCTTTTGCTGAGAGACTGGAAGGCTATATGGTAAAAGTTAGAAGTTATCCATTCAATAGAAATTTAATTGAATCTGAAGCAGTCTCCATAATTTTAAAACGAAAGGGGTGTTTGATATGGAAGAGACGAGGAGGTTTGGAAGGGAAAAAAAGGGGGGGATGGCAGGTGACTTGGATGCCCCACAGAACAACATCCTTCGGCATCTCATCTACGGCCGATCGTCATTATACACTAATGTTGCAATTTACCCATTTTTCCTTTGTATTACATCCATGATTTGTTGGTAAGGCTGGACTTTTTAATGCTTGCTCAAAGCTTAACCTCGAAAATCTAATTTATCTCAGAAGAGTTCCCACTAGAGCTTCAACATTAATAACCTAATATGAGCTTCAACCCCATGCAAAGTGCTTGAGTAACAGCCCTATGTGGATCAGGATCTTCATTTCATTCTAAATCGGTCTGGAGTTCAACGCTATGTCTATCCTCTAACAGTCGAATATTTTCATTTCATTAGGGTTACTAACCTCTTTATATGTTGTCCTTGCGTGTTATACGCATAGTCACGTTTGCTTCCGTGGCGTCTATCAGTGAGAGACAATTTCAAAAAGCCGTTGCAACCTGCATAATCATTATCACGAGATCTCTTGGCTGCAAGGGCTCGTGGCTTATGCATATGGTCCGCCATCAGTAGTTTGTAATTATGCACCTGACTACCTAGAAAGCCTAACATCCAACTCTTAAAGCTTTGTCAGTAAGGAAGTTGGTTCTCTTCCACATTCTGTTCGATTCATATCACGTTTATCGACATTATTCACCAGGCTGACTAGCTAGGCTGGTCCACCCACTAAAAGCCGAGGCATCTATATCTCTCCATCCCCATGAAATACAGTAGTGACGCGCAAGTAGCTGCCACTCCTCCATCTCGTCTAACATCTCCAGGCTAGCAACACGCTCTTTCTCGTCCTCGGCCACCCAGAACCTCCAGAGAAAATCGATATCAGCCGCAGATTGGCCGCTGGTAAATCCATGCTGGAGAAGCCGGGCCCTCTGTGCCTCTAGCGAGTCGTATTTATTAAGTGTTTGAAGTTGAATACCTCGCGCTGCAAGGTTAGACACCATCGTTCGACCGAATGAATCATGAGGACGAATCGGTTCATATACGATCAACCCCAGCGACACAGTGGAATCAAGTAAACTCTCTGTGAAGAAAGTCACCACCTGGGCGGCTTCTGAGGGAGAAAGGTACACCAAACAACACTCTGAAATCAACAAAGTCGGAAGCTGTTTTTCTACGCCGGGGAGTATTTCTGTGATGGAGCTGTTCGACGACAGAGACCGTAAATCAATCGGATGAATATGGTATGATGGAGAATGAAGCCCATCTCCCGCTTCGGATATAGTCACTTCATCACCAGGGGAATTGATTACTAAGGCCTGCTGTAGAAGTGGTGTTGACCGGATCGCACGAATCTTTTCAGTGGTATTGACGGGAAAATCAAGTTCGTGGTAGATGAGATCAGAGGGTTGGCGCGCAGAAAGAAGTCGAAAAACCCGAGTGTCTGATCCAGACCCCAGAGAGATTATTTGTTTTTTGTGCTTGGATTTTGGTGAATATGGGCCGAGGAAGCGAGCAACGAGTTGGTCGATTGCGGTAGTGCGAACATAAGTTCCTGGCAGATTTCGAATTAATCGCTGAATTAGCAGACGGAGAGCATCTACGCACCTCTATTGATAATTGGGAGCCTCCTTGTCGCATTTCCCGGGGACGTCAAAGATGTGGCGTAGGGGTCGTCCATATATCCAAGAGCAACAGCGCTCAGTCGGGAGACGCTGGCGTCATTATCAGTACCCTGTACGATGCGATCTTTAGCAGATGGGCGACTGTGGCCATCTTCGACTGAGCGACTAGCACCACGACCTCTTCCTCGGCCTCTTCGAAGCGTATTGAGGTTAGGAATGTGCGGGGAAGCCATAGAGAGGGGTATGAGGAAGCTTGAAACTTGGAGCTCGTGGATGTGGAGAAGGCGGGAAAAGCTTGGAAGCCACATGGAAGTATTTTGGACTTTTTACAGCATTCCATGTTTACATATTTCCATACCCAATTGCTGAGATCTTAAATCAATCTCAATCCCTAAAGCTTCAATTATAATTTATTCTCAAATTGATTAATTAATTCAATGAGTAAGGTCAAGTGCTGGCCCCCGCACATGTAACTGTTTACCTGGCTACGGATCTGCCTAGGAATTGATACTTCCAGATGGAGTACAGGCATGATCAACGATTTTCTTTTTACAGATTCAAGGTCAACTCGGCCATTTTGTCATTTATTGACTGTCCTCAATCTTAAGCATTAGTTACTGTACACCGTAACACACATCAGACATAAACAAAGTTGTTTCGGCACAACGGGCACGTGCTCTGGTTGCTGCTCTTGAACCAGCGGTACAGACAACTTCCGTGGAAAGAGTTTTTGCAAGTGGCGCATCGCTTATTGGGCGTTTGCATATCAGTCGAAACGATCGAGTAGCAGATTGCACACTCAGTATGTCCTTTAAGGGCGCCCTGCACGTTCTTCCGGAACGCCATCAGCCCATCAACAATATTGCCGTTGGAAAACAGGATCACTCCCTGGAATGTGAGCATCCAACTTCTCCATTTCTTCTCATCAACAAGCACTCGGCTGCGGCCAACCACAACTGCAGGCTGGAGAGGATAAGAAGGCGGGAGAGATATGGACATGGCGACAGGTGGTGAATCTTCATCGACAGGAATGCTGGCCACGATCTCCGCTATCCGGGGTGAAATCTTCACTTCCAACGCTCGCTCCTCGTTCGGATCTTGAGTGGCAATCCATTCCACGATATTTTGGCATGAATCATAAACCACGAGTGGTGAGATCTACAGGAGAATTAGCAGCGTTAAAGATGACTTGGTACTCTACTTTCACTCACGAATTTCTCTGTCCAGCTTTCCACCGGACCCTTCACCCGTTTTTTGGTATCAATCCACCAGTTTCTAGTAAGAGTAGAAAGATGTGTCAGAGATAAGTAGTAAAGATGGACCAGAAGCCACTGGAATTCGTTTTCTGGCTTGTCATGGATATCGAATTCGAACGACCTGATGTCAATTTTGGATGCATCAATGATCTTGCCCTGTGATGATTGCAGGAAGTCAAATGTGAATTCTAGCAGCGGAATAAGAACATCGTTTTCCTTGATGTTCGCAACGTAAAATTCCCGGACGGGAAGTGACTGTTGGAGTTGTTAGCAGAGATACTGTTATTTTCGGATGAAGAAAGACCTACTACGTTTGAAACATGATCAAAAACTATCTTCCAACTCAGAAGGTATGATCTTATGCTAGTCCACATCTTATCATCACCCCAGTCGTTGTTGACCATGCTGATGTTCGGGGCTTCGACCAACAAAGATAGGAGCTCATCGGGCAGACTGACTGTAGACTTTGATAAGGCAACATCAATAGATACCTGCTCTTGGGCTCGTGGAAGGTAGCGATGCAGAATTGTGTAGGCAGCACGCTGGATAGAGCGGCTTTGCACGGTCAAAAGACGGAAATAACTGTTGACATCCTTGATGCTTTCCATCGGCATGACGCTAATCAGACACTGCAGAAGACTGACAGTTTCGTCCCGTGGTTTATGGAAAGTTGTGGAGGCATCTTTTGAAATGAGCTGATGATCCAATACAGAAATGACACAGAAAGACTTACCGAAAAGGAAGATCGTGGAAGCAAGCTCACTGAAGATGACATTCTTCTCCTCCAACCAGGCATCGCGGAGATCATCGTTGCAGTCTCCTTCAGCCATGGACATAAGGCGAGTAAATAGTAGGATAGATGCCATTAGCAGAGGAAGAGCCTGTTCACCGTCATTGGTCTCACCAAATACCGAGCCCAAGATCTTCATGCTATAATCCCAATGCGACCCGTAGATTTCGACAAGATGTGGAAGAATATTCACCAAGGTTATCATTATTTCAGCTCTGAGTCCGATTGACTTGTCAGAGTTTAGACATTCGAGAAGGTTCTTTGTGAGGAAAACCAAGCGCTGTGTCGGGATATGTGTCACAACGGCTTCCTCCCCTAAGAGCAGAATATTGAGGAGAGAAATTTTCCGCAACCCTAAGAAATGATGTTAGCGATCCAACACGGAAGGGAGGCTGTATGAAACACGGTTAAAAAATACCAGTCGAGGAACCATGCTGAGGGTTAAGCCCAGTTAAATCAGCAACGAGCTCATTGAGAATTCGATTCCCAACAGGGTTAGCCAATATGGAAGTTCGCAAAGAAGCAAACCATGCGGCAGAGCGAATTGGATTGGCAGTTCGTGCCTCTCTGCAAATTTTCGCAAGTTCGTCAGAGGACTTGACATTGTGATTGTTGCCCAAATTGATCATCTGGGCAAAGGTCTGTCCAATACGATAGTCATTAGGGGAAATTCCAGCAAGTCCCTCCAATTTGCTTTCCCACAGAGAGAACAGAAATTGAGAAATACTAGTCTCTGGTGATGATCTCAACGGTTCATTAGACTGACACCATTTTCTGATAACCTCCTGTCCCTGACGCAGGAGCTCCGAATACTCCTCACGTTCCTCGGCAAACAGAGCTCCTGAAATACCATTGTACTCTTCGATATTTAGGTCGTCTTCGATCAGCTGTATAGCCAAAGGTAGGAAGTAGAAGAGAGTCTCAAGACTTTCAGCGTTCATCTTGGCGACGAATTCAGAAGTGGAGAGGGCATTGATTGAGACTGTTGCAAGGCGGAATGCAGCAGAACAGCGGGCCGAGTCTCGGGAGATGTCAAGCCGGAGTGTTTTCAACGACTCCGATAACTCAAGTTGAATCAAGTGAACAGTGCCTCTCAATGGGCTTGTAATAGCAGTCGAAGGAAGCGGTGGGAGTTGCAGGAAGGGTGCCATAGCGCTGTCCCATGCTTGGAAAGAAGGGAAAATATCTTCTAGGCCATAACTGAATTCTTCTGTCTCAATACCCTTTATCAATTCCTTCACGATGATAACAAGAGATTCAATTCTAATGCAATGTTAGATAATGGCCATAAAATTGGAAACTCGCAGAACGACTTACGATAATGACTCTGGAGTGGCAAAACTGAACCCATTCTGGAGAATTTCCAACTTTGACTTGGTGCTCGTATCACCTGCAACTGATTCCTCGAAAGTCTTCATCACCGATTCCGCTAGAGCGGCCACTTCTTCCGAAGTAGACTCTTGAAGGAACAACAATTTCTGAGTCAGACTGGATCCATTCTCTCCATTTTGGAATTCTCTCACGGCAGATGGCACTGTCTTCCCTAGGTGAGAGAGACCATGTAGCACGTTAACAACGTCCGCGAAAGATAATGCATCAATGATTGATACGAATATTCTTTTTACTAATTCGCCGCGAGAAGTCTGGTTTTGGAGAATAGTGGTGATAGTTGACCAGTGCAGTTGAGTACCTTGAAAAGCCTTATCCAGAGCTCGATCCACAAGAGAATTAAGTTTTTCCCGGTCACCAAGTTCATTGAAGTTGAGGGCTGACAATAAGCTTTGGAGAATATGCGAATTGTATTGTTCAGGATCTAGCTCCAATGCTCGCTCAACCACACCCTCGAAGCTGGAGGAGAAACCATCCCACTCACGGCAAGCCAAGACGATCGATATGAGGCGATCGGCTGACGGTGAGTACAGAAGATCTGAAACGTCTGTTTGAATAAATTCGGCAAGTTCCTTTGAGCGTTTGGCTACGGAAGGCATTTGAAGAATACATTCTTCCACTATTCCAGCTGCCCCGTAGGGCTTCCCATTGCGTGAGTGAAGAACTTTCAGGGAATTGTCGAGAAGGAACAAATTCGATTTTTCAAAGATACTTCGGGCTTGAGCTTCGCTCTCTGCATTTTGGATTCTTGAAAGAGTAGCAGTCTCCAAGGCGAAGAGACGTTTTGATTCTGCACATATTGCGTCTTGGGAAGATCGGAAATCCTTCGATTGTTCTGGAGATGACAGCTTCACGGCTTCCAGCAGATCTTCTGATAATTTGGTCCAAAGAAGTTGAATTTCGAGTCCCTGCTCATTGGAAATGAGAAATGTAATGTACTCGGCACAAATATCCGCGGCTGACTGAGGAGGAAGGGACCACTGGGTAAATTCGAAATTAGGCCGCACGTATTGTGTCACCAAGGGAGACAGTCGTTGTTGAATAAACTCAGACCTCTGCTCTTCCGGCAGAAGAACCGCAAGCCAAGCTCCAACTTTGATGTAGTGTTTCCACCCAATAGCAAAATTTTGCCGCAGCTCTTCTCTCAAATTAAGTCCTTCTTGGAAAGCTTCCGTGATTGATTTTGCACTACCAATGGCGAATTTCCCGTCCGTGGATGATTTATCGGCTCCTGCAAGCACTTCTTGTGGAATAATTTGAAGCAATTTATCCAGATTCGACCAGAAAGCTCCGCTACCTTGTGACCCTTTTTTGATGTACTGGAGCAACCGTTTGGAGGCGGAAGTTTTGCTGGAATAGTCTTCGATCCATATGGATGGTCTTGAAGAGGTTAAAAGCAGAATGGACTCCGATAGTTCTAAAGCAGAGCCAAGCTGAGGGCGAGAAAGTGCTTTTCCAATGACAGCTGAGCTGACAACCTTCCAGTCGAGCCAGCCAGGCTCTCGAGTCACAACTGTTCGCAAAAGGACATATACAGAGCGACGAACAAATGGGTCATCATGATCGCAAAAAGCCCATAGAGACTTGCTGCCAAGAATTTCCTCTATTTCCGGGACTCCTTTTTGAAGAACGTCATCTGGAGAGTTTCCTATTGATAAAGGTCATTGATTGGTTCGAATTCAGCAAACGCAAGTGAAAAAAAAAATGGATGGACAACTAGGCGTACCTAAAATGCGGTTGAAGAGCATGAGTGCAGCCCCAACAACACGTGTATATTTCGTCTCTGCGTCATCCTTCTTGACGGTTCTCTCGTCGCTTAGAGTCAAAGCTGTCTGGTGAAGTAGGACGTCGTCTATAAACTCTAGAATCGCACTTTGGTAAATCTTCCACACGTTATTTCTTTTCTCTTCAGTAGAAAAGACTTTTGTGAAAGATTCCAACGCCGCTTGATGGACTTGGCGATCGCTGTCATAGATACCAGCAAGCCATGCGCCTATCACTTTAGACAAATGAGGCACAATTCTTTTGCCAGCAAGACGAGAAACAGAGCCCTGAATGATATGAGCCAGCTGTCTGGCCCGTCGGGAAAGGTCAATTGAGACACGAGGGTAGATTTTCATCTTCCAACATGGGTTAGCACTTTAGATGAACAAACGAGAATTGAGTAAACATACCCATGCTTCTACGAAGCTTTCATCAAGAGTTCCCTTCCTGACTTCCACCGATAAAACATATTCCTTCAGCTCCTCTAGAGCTTTTGTACGTGTGGTCTCGTCTTTCTTCAGCGAGTTCTTGAATGCAATCACCAGTTGCTGCTCAGAGATGCGAGAAAGGTCAAGTGGTTCAGAAATGTAATTGAGAGAAGACGGTTGACGTCCAGAACTGTTAAAACCAGAGAACCCCCCAAAGGACCCAAAGCCCCCCGCAGCCGCACGACTGCTGGAGGCTTGAGACTTGAACTTTTTGCTCATTAGGATGTGGGGTATGAAGTAAGTGAATGATAGTGGGGGAGAAATTTAGGCAACTGGCAAGGTTGGGCTGAGACAAGCCTGGGCAGTTGAGTGTGCCCCTAGGACAGTCTTAAATAAATGAAACAAGACTTCAAAAATTTCTCGTTCTTCTTTCGCAATGGTTGTTGGAAAAGATTGATATAAATCGCGGGCGGCCACCCGATACGTACGTCACGTGATACCGTGTCATCGCTGTCCCAAAAGGGAAGAGATCGAGAGCTCATCTCGCGGCTCATCACTTTCTTGCCTGATTTCAATGCTTCGGGGTTATCAGCCACCATGAAGTTCTTCATTGAGTATGCTCCTATAAAATTACTATATGGGTAATTTTCTCTACTAACATTCTTTCTTCACTCTAGTGATCTTCCGGTGCTTTTCCCGTATCCTCGAATCTATCCAGAGCAATATGCCTACATGTGTGACCTCAAAAAGACCCTCGACGCAGGGGGTCACTGTGTCCTGGAGATGCCTTCAGGCACCGGAAAAACTGTTTCTCTGCTTTCTTTGATTGTCGCTTATCAGCAGCACATGCCGGAACACAGAAAGCTCATTTATTGCTCGCGAACTATGTCAGAAATTGAAAAGGCACTAGCAGAGTTGCAGGCTTTGATGAAGTACCGTACGCAGGAACTAGGCCATGAGGAAGAATTTCGCGCTCTAGGACTAACCAGCCGGAAGAATCTTTGCCTGCATCCTTCCGTGCGACGAGAGAAAAGCGGTACTGTGGTTGACGCCAGATGCAGGAGCTTGACGGCGGGCTTTATGAAGGAAAAGAAGGAGCGTGGTGAGGAGGTAGATCTTTGTGTCTACCACGATGTTTGTATACCCGATCCTTTCCAGCCAAATGGGACATGTTAACATGATCTAGAACCTCGACCTTCTCGAGCCACATAATCTTGTACCCCCGGGAGTATTTACTCTTGATGGTCTTTTGAAATACGGAGAGGAACACAAACAGTGTCCTTACTTCTCTGCTCGGCGTATGGTAAGACGATCTGCTGTGTTCTTTGAAAGATTCTGGTATTAACGAGGCTAAGATGCCTTGGTGCAACGTCATTATCTACTCCTACCACTACCTCCTCGATCCAAAAATTGCGGATCGAGTATCCAAAGAACTCTCAAAGGACTGCATTGTGGTATTCGACGAGGCGCACAATATCGATAACGTCTGCATCGAATCCCTGAGCCTCGACATTAGCGAGGATTCACTCCGCAAAGCCACCCGAGGCGCAATCAACCTTGAACGCAAGATTGAAGAAATGAAGACCACGGATGCAAACAAGCTCCAAAACGAATATTCAAAGCTTGTAGAGGGGCTGCAGCAGGCGGAGCAAGCTCGAGAAGAAGATCAGTTCATTTCAAATCCAGTTTTACCAGATGACCTGCTGAAAGAAGCGGTACCCGGTAACATTCGTCGAGCTGAGCACTTCATGTCCTTCTTGAAGAGATTCATTGAATATCTTAAAACTCGGATGAAGGTGACCCATACCATATCAGAAACACCGCCTTCTTTCTTGACGCACTTGAAAGATCTTACATTTATTGAGCGCAAGCCTCTAAGATTCTGCGCGCAACGCTTGACACTGCTTGTGCGCACACTGGAGCTTGTAAATATTGAGGATTATCAATCGCTTCAAGAAGTCGCGACTTTTGCGACTCTCGTCTCAACCTATGATAAGGGCTTTGTTCTCATCCTAGAGCCATTCGAGTCGGAAGCCGCCACTGTGCCGAACCCGATTTTACATTTTACCTGCTTGGATGCTGCAATTGCTATCAAGCCTGTGTTTGATCGGTTTAGCTCTGTGATCATCACTTCGGGAACATTATCCCCGCTGGAGATGTATCCAAAAATGCTTGGATTCACGGCTGTCTTGCAAGAATCATACAGTATGACTCTGGCACGACGTTCATTTTTGCCCATGATTGTCACCAGAGGATCTGACCAAGCGCAGGTCTCCTCATCTTTTGGCATTCGCAATGACCCTGGTGTTGTCCGTAATTACGGAAGCCTTGTGACGGAATTCGCACGTATTACACCCGATGGCGTTGTGGTCTTCTTTCCATCCTATTTATATATGGAGTCCATCATCAGCATGTGGCAAGGTATGGGGATTTTGGATCAAATTTGGAATTACAAATTAATTCTTGTCGAAACACCCGATGCCCAGGAATCATCTCTGGCATTAGAGACTTACCGGACAGCCTGTTGCAATGGACGTGGGGCTCTCTTGTTTTGTGTTGCACGAGGCAAGGTGTCTGAAGGTATCGATTTCGATCATCATTACGGTCGTGCTGTGATATGCATTGGTGTACCTTTCCAGTACACTGAATCGCGTATCTTGAAGGCCCGCCTCGAATTCTTGCGGGAAAACTACCGCATCCGAGAAAATGATTTCCTTTCCTTCGACGCCATGCGACATGCTGCCCAGTGCTTGGGTCGTGTCCTTCGTGGCAAGGATGACTACGGAGTCATGGTTCTTGCGGATCGCCGATTCGAGAGGAAACGACTGCAGCTTCCCAAATGGATAAATCAGGCCATGTTAGACAGCGAGACAAATCTGAGCACAGACATGGCTGTCTCAAATGCCAAAAGTTTCTTGCGCAGTATGGCTCAGCCTTTCAAGTCTAAGGATCAGGAGGGCATTTCTACGTGGAATTTGGCTGATATTGAGCGACACGAAGCCAAGCGAAAGGATGAACATGAGCGACTGAACCACGAGCCCACACATGGGTACAAAATGGATGGCATCGTTGCATCTGCTCCCAAGGTCGTAGATGACAACGAGTATGATGAGGGCATCGATGAGGATATGATGATGCTCGACGCTTGAGTTAAACTAATCATTATTAATCTTTATTTGAATTTTTTGTCATTGAAGGTTCATAAAGAGAATGGACTGAGCAACTTAGGCGTTTTGAGCTCAGTCACGGAAATATAGCATGGATGGTGTTTTGGACCAGATTGATGGTCAATTTTTGGCGCTTTTTTCAAGCATTATTTTTTCCCCAACTCTCAAGCAGTCAACCACATAATCCCATTCCAATAATACTTCTTTTCAAAACAGTCCAGAAATCAATATTTGAGCAGTCCACGTACTCCTTTTCATCGCAACTTGAGTGGACCTCGGGACTTACTCGGATAGACAGCTCAAATAGTAACTGATTTGTACCTGATATGTAGAGAGCTAATATAGATATATGGATACCAGCTAAGTAGAAAAGGTTAATGAGTGGGCTGAAAGGCTCTATTTTAAACAAATTGTTATATAGAAAAAGAGACAGACACTTTTGTTTCCGCTGAACAGAAAACTCCAGATCATCAACACATCACTATAGCACCCAAGATAACATATAATAAAACACGGAAAGGCCTTGGAAGGGTTTTGGGAAGAAAATATACAAAGACAGTAAAACATCGCGATGCAAAGGAACTCTGGAGGCCTAAAAACTATGCAACAGGGGCAAGGACATCGAAAGCACCAGTACCAACAGTACCAACGCGTCCAACGACGATTCTAGCACTGGGACCCTTGAGATCTTCGGTGTCTCTCTCAAGAACAGCTTCCTTCAGGGCACCGACGGTGGTCTCGAAAGACATACGAGCAAATGCAGAAGTAGCGTCTTTTACCAGACCATTACGGCTGAAGGCCTTGAATCCACCAGACTGGGTCATAACATCGCCAATAAGATTCAAATGACGGTTGTCAACGGAGATACTGTGACCAGTGAAGACTGCATCCATTTCGCGGACGATGGTAGCACGCGCAGCTTCAACGCCGTAATAGTGGAGCATATCGTGAATGGAATTGGTATAAAGCGAATGCGGCTTGATAATGTCCTGATATTCGCGCATGGCGAGTAGATTGACACCATCGGTGATGATGTTTGCGGGTTCTCCCTTGATGTCATCCGCGTCAACGTAAACACAGTTTCCAATTTTGGGAAGTGACTGGATGACAGCGTCGTGGATTGCCCTTTCAACCAGGGGGAGAAGCAGAAGCTTGGGTGTCTCAATGTCGTATTGCAGCTGTATATTGCACGACTTGCCCTTCTTGGGATCGAACTTGAACTTGGTGATCTCCGCGTACTTGCTCTTGACATCCTGCTCACGCAATTTGCTTTCTTGAACAGTCTCATCGTCTGAATCATCTTCTGAGTCGTCACGGGCAGGTTTGGGTTTTTGGTTCACCTCCTCATCACCTTCATCCTCAGAAGAAGAGTCTTGTTGCATGATGATATCTTGTTCATCATCATCAGGACCTTCGTAGGATACCTGGTTGCTTCTGTTTTGATTTCCGCTAGCCCGCTTAGCATCATCCTCATCATCCTCATCGTCGTCGTCACCTGGCTGGTCCCCACGATCGGGGCCGCTTGGGGCCTCTGTTATTCTACCGACAGAGACGCCAATCTCGGGCTGAGCAGTTGAAGACTTTTTACCGCTCTTGTCCTCGTTGCGCTTTTTCAGCTCCATCTTAGTTAATTTCACCAGGCGAGGAATGAGCTTGTTTTGCAGGGCATTTTGCACATCCTGGACCTCGATAGCGTATTCCTTGCAGTACTCCTCAGGGGGGAAGAAGCCAATTTCAATATCATAGATCTTAGCCTTCGCATGACCGATACCCGAGCCAATCCGTTCCTTCACTTGGACCTTGTCGACAACCTCAGAGATACTGAGCTTGCTGATGGCCTTGGCGAAAGTCTCGGCATCCTTCTTAGATATCTCTTCGTTCAAAAGAAGTGTCATAGTTGGGGTCATGATCGATGCACTGGCTGTCATAACGATTTCACGCAGTCGGGGAATACCCAGTGTCACGTTCTTTGCAGAGTGACCAGCCAAGTGGAAAGTGTTCAGAGTCATCTGTGTGGACGGCTCTCCAACAGACTGACCAGCCATGATACCAACAGCTTCACCGGGCTCGATAATCGACTTCAGATACTTCATGTTCATTAAAGCATCAAATGTTTTCTTCGAAACAACTTGCTTGCCGACTCCTACAAATTCCTTCTTCTTGTCTTTGATCAGGTTGTCAGGGTTCTCGTCCTCATACTGTGAACGAAGACATTAGTTAATAATCCTGGATTAATTGATAATGGTAAAATTATCCATACCTTCTTTAATGCTTGAGCAAATGCCTCCGATGTACTACCCAAGTGGCCTCCAGGGTGGTAGCGAGACAAGACAGGATCCATAGGCTCGGCTTTAGCAGCTTTGCGAACCGATTTCATGGCACTCTTGTGCCAGGCGATCACATCATCCTTTGCCAAGCTTGTATAGTCCTCAGATTTGACTTGCTTTCCAACTGACTTGTGGTTCTCGGCAAGGAAGGAGAAATCATTGAGATGGACTTGTTTGGTGATGTCTAGACCGTCCTCTCCGTACAGGAATTGGACAATCGAACCATCAGCTGCCTCGCGGACGGAAGAGTCATATTCAGCTCTCAGGCCCTCCATACCCTTGATAAGACAACGTTGCAGATAACCAGAGCGAGAGGTCTTGACGGCGGTATCAATCAGACCTTCACGACCAGCCATTGCGTGGAAGTAGTATTCCTGAGGTTTGATACCAGTCAAGAAACGACCAGAAACAAATCCACCGGCCATGGGATGCGTGTCAAAGGCTCGGAAAGATGGCAATGTTTTACCGCTGATCATAACGGGTACACGACGACCCTCCAAGACCTGCTGACCAAGATTGCAGGAAATTAGATTGGCATTGACACCTGAACCTTTGGCTCCGGAGATTGTCATAGATTGCATTTGGTTCCATGGGAAGGGCTTAGCAAGGCCTTCGGGAAGACACGAGCTGGTAATATCGGAAGAAAGCTTTGCAGATCGGGCGTTAGAAACACTATCCAAGCCACCTTGCTTGCTGTCATCGCGAAGCACGTCTTCCAGACGGCGGTTCAGTTCAGCGTCTTGATCAGGCGCGGCGACTTGGTCGAGTGTGACATATTTCAAAGCAACCTCGCGGCCCATAGCGGCAGCAGTGCTTAGTTTCTCTTTGCGGATGCGGTCGCCTTCCTTGGTTAGGCGAAGATCATCGATACCACAAGTAAAAGCCCGCATATTCAAGACTCTTGTGAGGAGTCGACCGAGAATACTAAGAAGCTTTCCTGCAATAGTGTGTCCGTAGATCTCGTGAATTGCATCAATGAGACCTCCAGCGGTAGGACCAAGTTGCTTCTTATCGAGAATACCGCACAGGAACTCGCCATCCCGGAAGATGACCGTGTCCTCTTCGTTATTCTTATCTCCCCATCGGCTACCAGGAGTTGAAGACTTGCCCTTGAGGGTGAGACCGTGGCTCTCCGGGGGTTGAATGTTCTTGAGAATGGTCGTGATCACCTGCTTACCGGTCCACATGTACTTTGGCTTGACAATAGTAGGCTGCACCAGTTGGATGCGATCCCCAACGATATGAGAATCCTCCGGTCTCAGGCAGCTGTAGAGAAGTTGGTGGTAGTCCTCCTCATCAAAAAAGCTATCACGGCAGGTGAACCAGGTTCCCATGGAGATATGATCTTGAATCAAACCTCTCAAGGGCTTTCCGGATGTTGCAACCAGGTATTGGTGATCTGCGTCTGCCAGCATTCTGGCTTCTGCTTGAGCAAGCTCATTCTGAGGGAAGTGCATGTTCATCTCATCACCGTCGAAATCAGCATTGTAGGTGTTACAGTTGGCATAATGCATGCGAATAGTCCGCTCATTTGGAAGCACTCGAGCCTTGTGACCCATGATGGACGGTTTGTGAAGAGTGGGCTGACGATTCATGAGGACGTAATCACCGCTGGTAAGGTGGCGGTAAACCTTCTTGTTTCGATTGCCCTTCATACGCCAGTTGGAAGGAGCAAGCAGCTGATTTGCAAGTGCTGTGCGCTCATCGAGGCTCTTAAACTTCAAGTTGATGACTTGACCATTCTCATTTTCGATCGCAGAAGCACCAGGGTACTTGTCCGGGCCGTTGATCACAGCCTCCTTCAACTCCCAGAAGTTATGATTTGTGACAGGCTCCGGGAAAGTAAGCTTCTTGGCAAATACAAGCGGCACGCCAATTTCATTTGTTTCAATGTTGGGGTCTGGCGAAATGACACTGCGGGCAGCAAAGTTGACACGTTTACCCATCATGTTTTTCCGGAACAGTCCTTCTTTTTTCTCCAAAAGCTGCTTGATACCGTTGGGCAATGAAGCCACAGCAGAACCTGTGACGGCTGTCCGTTCCTTATCAATCAGACCGTTGACCTGATCCTGAAGCAAAACAATGGCCTGAAGGAGGTCACTGTAGTTGCGTGCCCGCAGCATGGTCTTTTCCTCCTCATTTTGTATTTCCTTGCTAATCTGGTTGATGGTATCGCACTGCTTCAGAACTGAAGTGAACGGGGTGTTTTGTTGTGCTTCCATGATCTCGCCGGGACCTTGGGGGGCCGCAGGGCGATATTTGTTCGGTGGTACCAGAAGGCTCCTGATGAAGAACATGTCTGCGCTGACGACTTTGACACTCTTCGGAACAGGTCGGGAGTTGTAAACAAGCTGCAAAACCTCGCCATCCTTTTGGAAAAGAAGCCGCAGGGCACTGTAAACCTCGGAGGAGGTCAAAAATTCCTGGGTCTCCCCGGACGCGGTTGTTTCTTTCGTGACCGCTGCCGCTCCACGAAGGATTTCTTCCTCGGCACCATTAATCTCAGAAGTTCCGTTCGCTTTCAGCTCTGCTTTCCTTTCTTGGTCAAGGAGGACAAGAGAGTTTGGTGCCTGGAAACCAGCTTGCACCATCGCCACCTTAGACTTTTCGGGAAGTGCCTTTCGGAAAATCTTGTTGTAACGGTCTTTTCGGTATCCCGGAGTAATACTAATGTACTATGTTAGTTTATAAAAGGAGACTATGAGGGACCCTTAGCTACTTACCCACTGCAGCTAGCGCATTTGCGCATGCCATTGATGTCCTTCAGGAAGGTCTTTACCAAGGCTCGTCTATGTTCTGCGGCAATGGGATTCTTTGCACCAGCCATGAGACCATCCAGTCTGCCATCTTTCTTGGCCTCCTTGATGGATCGGTTGACGAAGGCAATTCGCTTTTCCATTACGGTCTCGTCGTCATCTTCATCATCAGCAGAATCGTCACTGTTGGCCTTACTCTTACTAGACTTTGACTTGGAGCCAGTAAAAGATCCTATGGTTTCGATAACAGCCACTTGATCAATCAATCCATATTGCAAGAGGCGCAACTTGCAGATGTATAGGTTGACCACAGCGCGAGGCATTTGCAGACGATGACAATACATGCACTGTGCCCGGAGAAGACGGTAAATGTGATCGAAGAAAGTAACATTGTAAACGGGTACAGGGAGCTCAATATGACCGGAGTGACCGGTGCATGACCAAGAGTTCAGCCGGCATGTAGTACACCTGAAAGCAACAAATTCAACACGATTAGATACAGAAACGAGAAGCTGAAGGAGAAGGAGAGAACTCACACATGGTCTCCCCATGCGCCCATAGCAGGGTCATAGAGACCACCGGGAACTGGGTTGTTAAAAGAATCTAAAGTCGGCGTATTCTGAATCCTTTTCACCGACAACTTTTTAATCTCTTCGTCAGAATACACAGTAAAGTCAACAGCAGCAATGCTCGAGGCAACTGGGCGAGTAAATGTCGCCATTTTGACCTGGAGCTCTGAGAGCAACAGAAACTCCGGCAGTGCAAAATTGAGGGCCTCGAAGGTTAGATATCTAGAAAGACTTGATGCGGCAGGAAACTTTGGAGAACTTTTTTTTTCTGCCAGTACTCACCGCTTACTGACTTTGGTAAACGCGACCAATTCTCTGACACCTTCCATTCAACCATCCATGGCGAATTACCCCTTCACGAAAGTGCGTGAGCTCAAAGCTGAGCTAACGCGCTGTATGATTCTTCCCCTAACTAGTCTTCGCCTCAAGGATCACTTCATTGAAAAGCTTGTTGCTAACGATAATAAGATGCGTGAGGTGGCATTATTAGCACCACTATTTTGAACTTACTAGTTCAGTGCCGCATCAGTATAAGATCCTTCGTGGCCAAAAGGGCCCCTATGTAGATGAGTTGTTCCCCGTCATGCCGGCCCTTTTCCTTCCTCTGACCGAACCATCGATCCGCCATCCCCGAAGCTCTTCACTCTTTACCGGGCCATTGCGCTCATTCTCAAGTTGAGCGGTGCTGGTGAATATATCGAGAAGATTCTCCGCAATATTGACCATGTGAAAATCCCTCTATTACCCCAACACTCTCACAGCCCCAATTTGAACATTTCTCCCCTCCCTTTGAGCTGAGCATTTTATTACTAGAAACACCTTCTGCCTTGCCTTCAACCATTAATGCCCTTTCAATACTTTTTCTCTAGTCTGCGCTACTTTTCTAGCATACTTAGACGAGAGTTATGTGTGCCATTCTTTAATTACGCGAATAATAGTTAATGGAGGGACTCGAGTTTTCCTATATCACGAATGGTCGCTCGTATCCTCCTCCACGTTCTTAGCATACTGTTCTGCTTCCTCTGTAATCAGTCTCCAAGAGCCAACATCCTCTATTACAAGAGTTCTGTGTTTATATTTAATAGCGTTTCATTCTCCTGTTCACGACCAGAAATGGAGAAATACTGTCTGCAGAAGAGACTACCGGGTCTACAGGGCCATTACATAGCATGTCCATCAATCAAATAGTGGGGCTACGTCAGTTACCATTTCTAGGTATAATCAACACTAAACCCTTTTAAGAGAAGGAATATACTTACGTAATTATTTTTCGGTACAACACGAGTTGTTGCGACACAATCACTACACCTCCAACACCCCTCCTCTCTTTCCCACGTCTTCATCCTTTTGGACTTCTTTTATTATCTCCCCATTTCACCTTCAATTTTCTTGGTATTATCTTCAATTAGTTTGTGCAACCAAAGAGTCGTTGCAACAGACCATCTGAACCACTTCACCTTCAACACTCTTCTTCCTCACCTCTCGATCCTCTCCCACTTCTTTCATCGTTCTATTCACTTTATTGAATTTCAACCAGTTTGCGCGTTCATTAAAAGCCTGCCTTCGGGTAGCGCACCCTCAGCTATGGCGGACAATAAGCTCAAGAGAACCCACGGCGAGGATGACGACAGCAACGCTCACAAAAAAAATCGGTTGGATCATGGCTCCCCTGCGCCGTCGACAACCACACAAGCACCCCCTCCAGTCGACATTCAGAAGATGATTGCCGACGCACAGGCAAGAGCTAAAGCTCTTGCTGCTCAGGCCGGCCTCAAATCCACGTCTGCTGCTTCAGGACCAGCTCCTGCAGCACCACGCAAGTCTAAATTGGAGGAAATGAAAGCGCGAATTGCAGCAGCCACCAACGCGAACCGCAGTGAAGCCACCCATAAAACCCCAGTATTCGACGAAAGTCTGTCTAAGGCTCGTGGCGGTCTCGAAGTCGGCCTTCATCCGGCGCTACTCCCCGATGCTCCTGCTATCAGCCAAGAAACTCAACTTGAAAAGGATCCCAAAAAGAATCCTTACCTTGCGCATCTTTTGGATCAGAGTGATATCGAGCCTGTTAAATTGAACTCCCGTAGTGCGCGGCCTCTCAAGTTTGTCGAACATGGCAAATACATAGAGCAAGGTGCAAATTTGCGTCGATTGGGACAGTTGGAAAAGATGAAGCAGAGAATTGAAGCGGAAGCGCGTGAGGCCGAACTTCAACGGAGCATGGAACCAGATCTACTTATCTCCGAACCACCAGATTTTGAGTGGTGGGATGAATTGTTGATCAGTGGTGACGATTATTCTGGTATTGATGATCCAAGAACTCTCAAAATTGATGGAGCCGACAGCATTATCACCCCCTATGTTCAACATCCCGTTCTCGTCGATTCTCCGAAGTTGAAGCTCGCACCTGTGGTGAAACCCCTGTACCTTACGAAGAAGGAACAGGCTAAGCTTCGTCGGCAGCAACGTTTAAAATTGCTGAAAGAAGAGCAAGTCAAGATGACGCTGGGTCTTGTGCCCAAACCCGGCCCAAAAATCAAGTTGAATAACCTGATGAGTGTTCTTGGAAATAAAGCTGTCGCGGATCCCACGGCTATGGAAGCCGAAGTTCTCCAGGGCATTAAGGATCGCCGTGACAAACACGAGGCTACGAATGCAGAGCGCTCATTGACCAAGGAGCAACGACAGACGAAGCTCGCAGCACAACAGGAAAAAGATGCTAAACTTGGTCTATTTATGAACGTTTATAGAATCGACACCCTCGCTAGTGGCAAGCATCGCTTCCTAATCTCGAAAAACGCGCAACAGAATGTCTTGACAGGTATTTGCCTTTTAAACCCGAAGTGCAATCTGGTGATTGTCGAAGGCGGTGCTCACTCAATGCGCAATTTTCAAAAACTGATGCTCAATCGAGTTAAGTGGAAGATTAACGAGGGTGTCAAAGCCGGGTTCGCAAATGACCAGAAGGAAGGACGCGAAGACCCGCCATGGCTGAACCCACTTGATGAGTCTGGCAGTCCAAAAGACTTCAGTCACAACACTTGCACCCTTCTCTTTGAGGGCCCAATCAAAGCCCGCCAGTACAGATTATGGCTGAGCAGTAAAATCTGCGAGACTGATGTTGAGGCCAAAAATTCACTGAGTCGGTTTAAATTGGATAATTTCTGGGCCATGGCAACCAACCAGCCAGCCGAAGAATTTGATGTGCAGACTTAGAGCTGAGAAAAGCTCGTTCAAGACTGTACCTTGGTATGGCTTAGGGACTGTCAGTGATGAAAAAAGTTTCAGGTAGATCTACTTCTCAATGCCCTCATTTTCCCAAACTTGGTTTCCAGTTCCGAATTTCTATCGACATCATAGCCTTCTCTTTGCATACGTCTCGACTGGCAGTATTTTCGAAAATTTTGCCAACGCAACTCGGTGATTTCGAGTCGCCTCCTATTATGTGTATCATCACCCCAATATGAGACCTCTTTGAAGGTTAACTATTATCCTACAGTTTTAATCGAAGAGCCACCAGGTCTTTTCTGGCAAAGCCAAAAATAAAATAAAAATTGTACATAATCTGTTGTACTCTATGTTTAGTGTAGTCATCCAAGACATCGATAACATTTAAAGTCTTGACAAGAATGATACGTAGGTAATGACCTCGAATACACTTCAGATGTTATGGTCTCAACTGCTAGCATACTACAGGACGTTCATTGGATCCAAATCGATTCTTAACATAATACTATCAAGAGCCTTCGAAGTTTCATCCAGCGAAATATCGGAATGCTCAATTTGTCTTAGTTGAACTGATGCTGAAAACCAAATAAGACTGTCGTAAAGCTTTTATATCCCCTATAGAAAACTCCGATCCCGATGCAAAATTTTGGTGCAAAAGCTCCTGTTGACTAAAGTTCTAAAGCTGAAATTTAAGAAGGTGGAGGCCCCTGGTTTCCATTGCTCAAGCTCCGTAGAAGATCCAGCTGGGCTTTAACCTGGTCGAACTGTTGCTGTTGAAGAGGTTGCAAAGGTTGCGATTGTCCAGGTTGCTGCTGCTGCTGTTGTTGTTGTAGTGCAGCCAGGAAAAGAGGGTTGATATGAGCACCCGTTGGAATGGGCTGGAATGGCTGCACAAACCCTTGCTGAAAGGGAAATTGAAATGGGAATTGTCCCTGGGGATACTGCATCTGCTGCTGCGGCGCAAACTGCTGGTAACCAGCAAAATTCTGAGGCATAGCCTGATCGGGCTGTTGTTGCTGTCCTTGCATCCAAGGATGCTGAGAGTATTCTGCAGGCTGGGGTTGAGGAGCCGCGGCTGGCTGTCCATATGATGAGTTGCCTCCTTGTTGAGGGTGAGATCGACGCTCCTGGTCTCGCTCCCATGCCCCTCCTCGTCCACCGCTTCCTCTACCGCGTCCACCTCGGCCACGATCAGAACCCCGACCACGACCTCTTCCACCACGGAAGCTGGGAGTCCGGTCAGACCCTTCAACTGGTGCCTCGCGCACGCCCATCATCTCATGGAGATTAGTCGGGCGTGAAAGAGGCGTGTATCCATCCTGTCCAGCTTCCTCATCGTAGTTGAGTTCATTGTGGCCAAGCTTGGAGGGTCCGGCGGGTCCTCGCTTTTTCAAGGCACCGTCTTTAGCTTCTTTTCTTTCCTGTCGCTTCTGCTTCAACTTCTTTCTGTAGTCAGCCTCAGCTTCATCATCAGAGAATTCGATTTCGTCTTCAGCAACTTCCTCGTCATGGAAGTTTGAGGCATCGCTTCCCTTAAGACCCTTCAGCGGCTGAGTAAAGACAAATGTAGAGTGCTTCACAACGTAGTAAACAGGTAGGTCTTTAACCACACCCTTCTCCTGAGCCTCTTCAGCGGTCGCATACATGAGTGTATACAATGGATTCTCTACTCGTCCAAGAGTCTCCGCCACAACACCCAGGAGCTGGCGCTCCGCAGTACAGAGTAAAGAGCCAGACTCGAGAACCTGATATTCACCCGAGGTATTCGCCTCGATAAGAACCGCATTATCAATGGCCGCTTGAACCTTTCCCAGGTATACGACTTCCATTTCAGGTGTTATTTTGACGTCTGGGATTGGCAAAACCTCGTCAACCTCGTGAGCTGAACGAATTTGTCCGCCAGTTTTGCCCTTGCTGTCACCTTCGTCGTCAGAGCCAGCTTCAGCCATCATGAGAATACGTGCCTGCTCCTCAGGGCTGAGAATTGGGTAATCTTCATCGTCACTGTCATCTGAATCGGATGAACTCGAGCTGTCGGAAGATGATTCGTAGGGAGAGGAGTCAACCTCCCATTCTGGGTGTTCTTCTTCCTTGATTTCAACGCCATCTTGTTCAGCCGGTACTCCGTCTGCAACTTTCACATTTTTAGCCTCGGTAGTGTTCTGATCGATCTCCATTGCTTCGCCTTGCTCAGTGCCGCGTTCTTGCTTGATTGTCGTCTCGCTCAGCTGTTGCGTAACCGCTTCTCCCAGGTCCTCCATCTTTATTTCTGTACCAGTTTCCTTCATCTTGAGATCTGTGCCATGTTCCTCATTGGAAACTATCGCGTCCGGTTCTTGCTTAATTGTAGTGGTTTGCGCTGGCTGCTCTCTCGCATATTGGTCGTTTGGGCCGACAAGACCGAGTCCTGGGATTATCGGGGCCATTTTCGAAGAGACAGCCGGTTGTGTTGCAGGTAAAGAAGTTTGAGTGCCTGTTATGGGAGTTCCAGGGTTTACAGGAGTATTATAGAAATCACTACCATCATCTGGAGTGTTTGCGACGGGGTCGGTCATGAAGGGCGATGTCGAGGAATCTCTATTGCCTGAAACGGTAGGATCTTTTGTAATAAATTGTTTGTCAATCGTCGAAGAAGGAAAAGACTAAACCAGAAAAAAGAGAGAGGTTATGTTGTAATTAAAAAAAAAAATGAACGGGATCTTTTTTTTTTTTTTCAGATCTGCCGCGGCGGTCAAGCTCGTTATCGTTATCGCTATCGCCATAGCGCCACAACTTTGATCTTGCCAACACGCAGTATGGCAGACAAGGCGGAGACTGAGTACACTCCTCGTACTCCTCCCTCTAAGGCACAGTATGCTTGTCCTGTGATGTTTATAGTTACCAATTGAAGCTAAAAAGATTAAATTTCTCTAGACCTTCGCCTTTCTTCGTCCCTCTGAACATCATTCTATACTTATGTCTCATATCAAATGGACTCGCTGCACTATATGCTCCCATTCAAGATTGTGACGAGGTCTTTAACTTCTGGGAGCCCGCGCATTATCTTCAGCATGGTTATGGACTGCAGACATGGGAGTACTCCCCAGTCTACTCTATCCGGAGCTGGCTGTACGTGTCGCTTCACGCTGCAGTGGGAAAGCTAGCATCAACATTTCTTGAGAGCAAGAGTGCTCAATTCTATGTGATCCGTCTATTCCTTGCGTTCTTCTGTGCAGCATGCCAAACACGTCTATATTCTGCCATATGCCGATCTCTCAATCCTCGGATCGGTGTCTTGTTCATCACGATTGTCATCTTCAGCCCTGGTACATTCCATGCTGCTACTGGATTTTTACCCTCCACATTTACCATGTGTACCTCTATGCTTGGCTTGGCTGCTTTTTTGAACATAAAAGGTGGACCGAAAACAGCTCAGGGAATCATGTGGTTCGGTCTGGGTGCAATTGTTGGCTGGCCATTCGCTGGTGCTCTCATCCTACCTCTTCTGGTTGAGGAAATCATCATTGGTTGTATTTCAAGATCCTTGGGATCTGTCTTGTATGCTATCTTTGATGGTGGTATGAGATGTCTCTATATCATGGTAAGTCAAGAAAATTTGACAAATGAGTAACATTTGGCTGAAACAAGTCACAGATCCTTGAAGTGGCCATCGACTACGCCTTCTTCCGTCAGGTCGTTCTGGTACCCTGGAATATTGTCGCCTACAATATCTTCGGTGGTGAAGGTAAAGGCCCCGATATTTTCGGCACTGAACCCTGGACTTTCTACATTCGAAACCTACTCTTGAACTTCAACATCTGGTTCGTCCTAGCGCTCTTGTCGGCGCCACTTCTTCTCATCCAAGTGCTCTTTCACCTCAAGTCTACTTCCATACAAAGGTTCGGGCGGTCTATCGCATTGGTCGCGCCTTTCTATATGTGGCTTGGAATATTTACCCTTCAGCCTCACAAGGAAGAACGGTTTATGTATCCAGCCTATCCCTTCCTGGCCCTCAACGCCGCTCTTTCATGTCACCTTATCCTTGCCTACCTTGGATCTAGCTATTCAAATCGCACAGTCAGCCGTATTCCGGTAGATATCAGGTTAATCGCGGTTGTGTCAATCATCCTGGCAGCTGTCCATGCCGGTATGCTGCGCAGCTTTGGAATGATTACAGCTTACAATGCCCCCTTGAATGTTCTCCAGCCATTGCAGCAGGTGAATGTGTCGCAGACAGGAACCTCTGTCTGTCTTGGCAAAGAATGGTATCGATTCCCTTCATCATACTTCTTGCCACACAATATGCACGCCAAATTTATCAGGAGCGAGTTCCGAGGTCTCCTTCCAGGCGAGTTTCCAGATGCGCCAAGCTATCTGGACCGCTTAGAGGGTGCTTCACAGATCCCATCTGGTATGAACGATCTCAATATTGAAGATCCCACCAAATATGTAAGCAAATACCACCCGTCTTTGGCTTTTTTACCATTCTCATTTGAAAATACAGATTGATGTTTCAGAGTGCGCTTTCTTGGTCGACTCTTATTTCCCAGGCCGCGAGGCAACTGAGCTCGAACCTCACTACATCCTGGACGATTCGCAATGGGAAACCCTCCAGTGCGCAAGCTTCTTAGATGCAACCCAGACCAGTTTAATAGGACGCCTAATATGGGTCCCCGGTCTTTCCTTTATTCCTGATTCCCTGCAGCGAAAATGGGGCCAGTACTGCCTTCTCCAGCGGCGAGCAAACGACAAAATTGTACAATAGTGTTAGTTCTTCGCCAAATATGACTACTCCCTAGGTATCATTACAGATATCTCTGGTAGTTCATTTCCATTAATTTACACTATCTCATGGTTACCTTCTAGTCCTTCGGGGAAAGAACAACGTCTGTTTATTGAATTTGCCCAAGGAATGCTTCAGTCGGAACCAGAAAAACGAGCAACTGCATGGGACTTCTCCAAGATCATTGGCTTTCTTCTTGGGGGCATGGACAACAAGTTTCAATTTAGAAATTGCTCACTACAAAATCTGCGTGTATGAACTGCAAGGGCTGGAAAACTGGTTGCTGGAAATTCATCAGTGAGTCTGTTGCTGAGTCAGGCAATGTCACTATATCTTGTATAGTTGGGAGATTATTTTTGGTATTTAACCGAGCAATGCATATCCGGGACTTTGGGATCCGTTGTTTGTTGGAAATGAATAGTACTTATGCCGGAGCTGAAGAGGACTGTGTGAGGGGTGGCACAGATGCGGTCGATGTATATAATATGATATTTTCCGGCACGTTCTGGTCCGACGCATTCTTGTACAATAGACGTAGCTTGAACGGTGATGTGGAGGGGACATTGGCTTCCAAGGCTAGTTAACGCCACGTCAGTCCGATAAAGATTTATGTCGTATCGGCTTGACAAAAGCGGAAGCCCGCGTGAGTTTTGAGATTAGATATGATTAAATCCCGTTCCATGGTTCCGAGGGCAATCACTACTCTAATACGTCTACATTTATAAGAAAGGTCTTCACTTTCTTGCCTCTATGTAATTCCCTTAATACAGTGTTAGATTCTACATCCCTTACATAGCAAACAAGCGTCCTTTTTGTGCCTCCTTGCGGCTTCATATACCCCTCCAGTTTCCAGAGTAATGACGACAACACCACTCTGGTCATCCATCCTGTCCGCAATTCCCTACAAATTAGTGAGCGGCTTTTTAATTCTGAATATATGCATATGCATCGCGATTGCCATATCTCGGAGGAAGAAGCCCTCCGAAACAATAGGAATTTCGTCGAGTCCGGTCAAAGAGAAAGTCGAAAGGAAGCTTGGTGGTAGGCACCCTTTTCTCAGTTGTTTTATTTTGAGCCTTTGGATGCACGTTAACCCTCGACGTTCTCATGTAGAATGGATTCCGTCTGATTTTAAGAGGCCGACGGCATCCCCTTACCCTGACTGGAATGTTCATACTTCGAAGCCAATCCCATATAGACCGTTTCGATATGCCCCGTAAGTGATTACATTACTATTGTATTCTCAACACATCTTCTCATCGTTTCCGATAGAAACTTTTTCCAGACGATGGGTTTGAGACGCATGAAATGGGATGAATGGATCGGTAAGAATGCAGTAAGAAACCCCACTCGAATATAATCTGACAGGCCATTCTGCATCTAGAGCTTGACAACAAATATCTTCAATACCATGCCGACAAAGCAAGACGGATAGAAGAACGTGGCGAGAAGTGCTGTCGCACAGCACCTGAAGCGATGGACGGGGCAATCGAACTGTTAGAAGAACTGTAAGCGACAGCCTTCCCTCTCACGCTCAAAGCACTAACCAGAAGATCAGATGTGAATATCTTCCTGAAAGATACCCAACAATGTTCAAAAAGACTCCGACAGGAATAAGGAACACCGTAACAAGTGAGACCTTCAACATAACTCAACGTCCGCTCCCCGAAGATCCAATGGCAACAGCAGCCAGACTAGTCCAAGACGATCTAGCGCTGATGATTGAGCGCCCAGATGGAGAGTACTACTTACTAGCAGGTGCAATTCTCCTCGCGGGCTTCTGGCGGCTACGAGACAAATTCGGCATGCGACTATCAGAAATCCACATATCCGGCGACGTGCCGCAGTATCGCGAGAAGCTAGAGCGAGGAATGATGAGCTTGTTCCGCCGATTAAAGCCCGAAGAGCCCGTCGTACGAAACAACTACTTCATCCAGGTTGATGATTGTGTGGCGTGGTCTTATAGCCTCGGCTCGGAAGATTCGCCGTCGCCATCTTTTAACTCAGCTGAGAAGAACAAAGCTATTGAGCATCATTTTTTCCGCTCGGAGCGGCAGTCCTTGCGACGGCTTCCGAGGTCTGGGGCTGTGGTCTTTACTATTCGTACTTATTTTGAACCTGTTATGGGTATTTCTCAAGAGCCACATGTGCCTGGGCGGTTGGCGTCTGGTATTCGCAGTTGGGGGGATGATGTTTCTCGGTATAAGGGGAGAGATAGATTTCAGGAGGTCCTTTTAGAATACCTGGATCGAAAGCATGCTGAACAGGTTGCGGATGGGTTAGATGTGGAGGGAAATGAACGAAAGTATCCATTCTGAGATAGTCAGGGGGAATTACCCAAGTGAGAGCCATATTTGCAACTGAATATCAAGTAAAGTTTGAGGGTATGAGAGAGTCTGTCTAGATTATGAACAATAGCTATGAATATACAACGAGTCGACGGAGGGTGTGATTAATGCCGATAAGACACAAATTTTTTAGACTCTATTCCGTCTCAAATATTGGAGCTCTCGTTCTTGACGCCAGGAACAATCATCTTGAAAGTCACAGATACGACATTTCCAAGCATCGGCAATATTAACGCCTCGGGGATCGCGCTGGCCACGCCACCACTCCATCTGATCGTTGACATAGGACGACATATTATTTGGATCAAAAAGGAAGGACCTGCTCCCAAGAAGCCGAGATTGAGTGTCTGCTGAAGCTGCCGAGGATAGATAACGTGCTGTGAGAACAGGAGAAAGGAGGGTTGTATATTCTTCAAGCATTGTTGGCTGAGTGGGTGCTGGAATAGATGGTGCAATATCCCGTGACTCTGACATTGAAGGGATGAAAGTCAAGCGGAGCTGATCTTTCATATAGCTCCATAGGCTGGATAAGTTACCGTTATCTACAAGAATGGTGGTTGAATCTTGACTGGCTTTTAATGGACTAGACGGTATTTTCGGGTCAGGTGATGACGTGTTTAAATCTTGTGAATCGGAAATATCTTGCCAATCAGCCTGTGGAGAGGAACACGCATCGAAGAATTCATCGTTCAACCCGCCTACTTCGGAGATGAAGGCGTCGGTAAAAGGGCGATGCTGGTTAAGGTGATATCGCGCTGCAAGGATATCCATTGTCACATCGTCGCTCGTAATGAGGCGATTGAGCATATGGTAATAAAGGTGTAGTTGGAGCAGAGTAGGACGGAATCCCGTGCTCTTTACCGTAGGAAGAGAGCGATTGGCCTTCGTTTTGTCATCTGTGATATATATCCGAGGTAACGCATATAGGTCTGGGGCAGATTCTTGGATAGACTCCTGAGGATCGACGTCTTCGAGTTTTTCTTGCTTGCCCAGGTCTGAAAGTTTTATCCCACCCTGAGATTCGGATAATAGGAAGTCCGACAAGGACATCTGGTACTCCGGCAAAGCATCTCGCGATGAGGCCGCATCGGCATAAAACCCAGAGGCCGTAGCCTCAAGCTCTAAGTCAGGACATTCGTATGACAACTGATCAATGACCCCATTGACTAGCTCACCGTCAATCACGCCCCAAACTTCCAGCTCGCGCGTGATTCCATATTCACGCAACAGACGCAGTCCTTGGATTACATTCCAGATTCTGAGCGCCCAGGCATCCTCCTTAGTAGTGATATCCACAGGAACCGTGGTATAAATCTCATCCTCTAGTGACTTGTGCACACTGCTACCCTTCTTCATAGCAGCCGTCCTTCTTTTTCTCCCATGTTTTGTCAGGGTATACCAATACTGCAGTTCACACCATGCAGGGGATACCAAGTCTGTGACGGAGAATGCCTTGTTTGGGGGGCGCCGGAAACGTTCCACGGGAGATCGAGGATCCTCCGTTGGTAGCGCTTGCGTATTCTGCGTCCATTCGCCCTCGCGTATGGTGCAGCGCTCTCGTTCTCGTTCTCGACCTTCGGTTGAGCTAGGGTGCTCTACTAAACGCTTCGATTATCAACATATCAGTCTGAGTGCAAATTCAAGATTTTCAACGTGTAATCAAATCATGTAACGGGAGAATCATACCAAAGCCGGAGGAGTTTGTGTAGTTTGCGCTATTACTTGGGTCCCGAGACAACGTATTGTGTGGATTCGGCTGTCCCAGCCAGGAATGTTGACTCGACTGCCTCCATAGTGAACGAGGCTTCTCCCGGCCCAAAACTTTTGGAAGCCTGCTGCTTGGTGTACCCTCAATGCCATCCTCAATATCAACGATATGGGCTGTAAGTACTGATGGTCGTGGGGATTCAATATCAGTGAGTTCAATTGACGTAGATGTATTTTCTTGTGAGCTTATCTGGCGAGTTAATGTGGTAGGTAGAGAGCCACTCTCAATCGCGCGTTTTGAAACTTGGGTGAGTAATTCTGTCAGAAGCTCTTCTTCGTCTGTAGCAAAATCAGAGTAATCACTAGAGTAGGATTCATCGGGTAATTCTGGGCAGGACATGCCTGCGACTGTTGAAGGAGGTCATATCCAGCAGAGGGTATTTGGGAAACGCGAACGCGGGAAAATAGATGAGGTAATTACCCGTTCCGATTGGGTACGGGTACGGGTACTTCGAAGTAATAACTATAAAAGTACTAAGTAAATAAATAAATATTTAGTAGATCTCAGAAGTATGCCTACATCTTGATTTCTTGAAATCTCCCTCAATTGCCTTCATTCTCATGAGGTACTTCTTTGCTACAGTACCTTCTCTAAGATTAGCAAAATTCAACTTTCTTCTGCCACATCCATGGATATCTTATTATACATTTCTCAAATGTCTTTCTTTTTTTTCTCGGCGCTGTTGCCTCTGTTGAACACCGAAGGTGAACGCATTTGAGCTTGAAGCTGATACTCTGAGTATCAGATGCAAAGCCTCAAAAAGAAAGGAAAATTTCTTACCTCATGACGCCACTGATTATATTGACCGGGACCGTATGAAGGCTTTCTAAAAGCGAGTTGCTGCAGTTGTTGGGCGGCAGAACCTTGAAACTACTCTATATTAGGGAAGTTGAATAAGCACTTTTTGGATCGAACATACGTAGAGGTAGGTCTTTTTAGATGCTTTTGCAACTTCCTCGCTCACGGATTCTCCACCAAGAACCCAGATCTTGTCCTCTATGGTGCGCTGTCCGCTCTGGTATAGTTCGATTATTTTTGCGATATTACGAGCCCGACCAGCGTTGCAGGATTGAAGGCTTGTGAGATCGGCAAGAGACTGTAGTCCGGCGATTATGTCCTCCAACGTCAAAGGGGGCCTGGGGATCATTGGGTCTTCCTTCTTAATTCTGGTGGGTTCAGACATGATCAAGAAAGTTGCTTTTGTGACAAGAATATAGATGAACAAAGTGGGATGCGAGGTTGTAGTAAGATGAAGGTGAGAGTCAAGTGAATGGTGAAAGAAGGACAACAGGTGCTACCCTACACAATCTTAATGACTAATTTTTTAAAAGTTTAAGGAACTCGAAATGCAAATTGTACCTGTTTTAGGTCCAAAACTCATTATGGCAAAGATTTCGAAGATTCCTATCGGGAAATGTGCATATTCCATGTATTTGTGTGATACCTTTGTATTTGGCGAACCAATCTACTTGAATCCTTCTCCTGGACTATATGGCTTATTCCGTAAAACTGAATCTAATGTTTCATTCCTTTCCTCGCAGCTATACCTTTTTTGTCGTGAAAGCTGCTAATCAGTGGAAGTCTGACAAACTATGGAAGAATTACGGAAGGAATATTGAAGTGCTAGAAGCTTGCAACAATGCCGTAACTATGCAACCATTTACGAAGACTACCCTTCTTGGGCATTATTCCAGTTTATGGGCCTCGGAACACCTCTGCATAGAGCATGTGAACTAGAAAAAGAGGACGCAGTTCGCTATTTTGTCAGCAAAGGAGCCAATTAGAGTATTAGAGAAGGGGAAGTAACTCGATTTCTTTCCTCTGTACTTGAATGCTTTTTGGCTACTCAGTAGATATTCGGAATATCTGATCCGAAGAATAAGATTAGGTGAAAGATTTGGATCATTCACTACCGCAATACTGGGTGAGGCCAAGCGGATGCATATGCGCTCACTGGTAAGGAGAAAGCAGTCTTATTTGATGTTAAACCACAAATGTCCGCAAATTTAAAGACTTGCGGTCGTGGTTGCGGTCATTTGCGATCTGCGGTGCTTAAAATCTCTACCATCAAACCTTGCTGTGCTGGAATTGAAGTGTATTGGTCCATACATTTAGGAATGTATGCTGTCTGTTGGGTGCTTGGACGAGAAGAGTGACAAAGTTGGATACGGCGGCAAAACAAAGCTGATTCCCTATACTACTTAGCGGTTTAGATACCCTCAAAGCGCAAATATAACATACAGGGGTGCCAGTAATCCGAAATCATGAGGAAGCGATGACCTACTAGCCTGATTTGTAAGGTTGAGTCCAGGTTGACTAGGTTCACAATAATTCCAAGATTTATCGCCCATGAATGCTCAAGTAGTTCTTCAAGTCGAGTGGTTTTTTCTTTTACCACGCAGAAATGAAAAAGTGCTTCATTAAGTCAATCTAATGTTGCTGCGATCAAGCCATCTCGCCATTTCAGCCATATTATACCACCGCCAGTCAGTCTAAGACGGCCTTTAGTGGAAAGTTTAGTAGTCAGACTGGTGTCGTTGCAGTCATCGAGAAACTTTCCCTTTGCTCGTTACCCCCACTAGATTATGGATTTTCTCCAGAATATGATCGGTGCTGTAAGGCTTGTGTATAATATCGTCCATCCCGGCGTCAAGCATTTCGGTTTGTTGTGTTTTTCTGACATTCGCAGTCACTCCTAACACGGGAGTATATGTACCACTTTTCTTCTCCAATTCCCGGATCTTCGTGGTTGCCGTATTACCATCCATCACAGGCATTTCTTGGTCCATGAGGATACAGTCAAATGTGTCATATCGGGTTAAATCCAATGCCTCTTGACCATTACTTGCCTCTGTAATGTGAAATCCCAAAGCCTTCAGCTTCTTTGACAAAACCTTTCTATTGATAACGTTGTCCTCCACCACAAGAATGCGCCGACAAGAATTTGCGTCATCTTGGGGCCGTGACTCGCTTTCATGATTGTCGTTGTTGTTGTCAACCTGATGAGCTATCTTGGCGGTATGATTCGTTCTCCCATCACGGGGAGCGCCAGATTTTAGCTCATCGATATTGGCCATTGGAGGATCTTTAGGAATAGATATTTCTTTTGTCGATCGATCGTCTCCAGCTAACTCTTGGCCAAGTATCTGGATATCGCGACATAACTTGTCGAGCTTTAAGGTGTCGTGGTTGTTGTCTTCCTTGCATGCATCAAAGCTTCGACGCACTTTGAAAAAGAAGCCGAATGTACTTCCTTCTCCCTCCTTGGAACTCACACCAATCTCCCCACCATGTAGTTGACAAATTTTTCTGCTAACATTGAGACCAAGGCCAGAACCACCATATGTCATTTCTGTCTTCGGGGTCGCCTGATTGAATCGTTCAAACAACCGTTTCTGGGCATGATCACTAATGCCAATTCCTGTATCCTTGACAGCGACCATAATGTATGCGATCTGACCAGCCCCCATTCAGCTGTGTCTGTCACGTCAACGCGGAGTGCCTCCTTGCTCGGATCAAAGAATACAACGTTTGGTGGATAGGATGGCGGGCGTTCAGTTGAAGCTCCAATAGAGACACGTATCCTTCTGTCATTGTTTGACTTGGTAGTAAATTTGATCGCATTTGAAATAATATTTATAAGCACTGTTCAATAACACAAGTCAGATTGTGCACCTTGTGGTGAAAATAATGGAAGACGAGACGGAGGTACGCACCTTGGCCCATCCGATCAAGATCGGCCATCACCCAATCAATTTTACAGTTTGAATAAGAATAGTCTGCAACATATTCAAATTTTATGTTGTACCTCCGTAGCTCAGGTTTAAACAGAGACAGTGGGGCTGCGAGATGGTGTTTCGGCTTTACCTATAGACGAGTTGGTTTCATGATGGAACAAGGCTCAAGTTGTAATACATACTCTTCGCGGCGATAGAGACAGCATTGATGCATCAAGTTTAGAAAAGGTAAGCACGTCGCTAACTATCTTCCTTTGGTGTTCAACGCAAAGGCTGATTATCTCAGTTGCCTCAGCAATGTTTGGCAGCAAGATATCTTCCCTATTTTTATTGTGCATCGCCTCTTGGATGTCCTCAGTACAATGCAAGATGGCAGAAAGAGGATTTCGTATCTCATGACTGATCATATCGATGAACCGTTCCTGCTGTTCCTTGCGTTCTTCTGCATCCTTTGTGAGTCGTCGCTGGGAAATTTCGGCTTTTTTCTCGGGGGTGATGTCCGCAAGAGTGCAAATGAAGCCATAGCCACTAAGACCAAACAGCTTTCGACTTGTTTCATCCATGGGATTCAAAGTCATTACACACCACACTGCGTACTGGTCACGTGTATGATATTCAATGCGCAGGGGACGGTTATTTTTCACGGCATCGCGATAGCCAGTGGACACCCGGTCAAGGTCATCTGAATGGACTGACTGTAGCCAACACTCGGAGAAGCTTGTATTAGAACATTTAATAAAGCTGCGGAAACTGCGATTGGCAGAGACTAATTCATCTTGGTGATTGATTATGGCTATGCCTTGCGGAATGATATCGGCCAGCTGCTGCGCAGTCGTTTTCTCATTAAAGTTGAGACCCATTATGTTTCTCCATTCCTTGAAAGCCAGGACACCGTAGAATGAATGAGTATGATGTAAAAATAGATTTTCAATTAAAGGTTCACATCATCCAAATGTCGTCTACGTCATTATAGAGCACTTGTAAGCTTAGCCAATCAAAGCATAAATAGAGATATCGATCTAGATTTCACGGGAATTTTACTCTTCTTCTGCTTTGAGCTGAAGAACCTTTTCAGGCTTGGTCACCAAGAGTAGAACTCCTGGTTCTTCTAAATTTCTAGCGATGTTAAGCGATCTGCGGTCTATTGCAAAAAATCGCAAAATCGTAATGACCGCAACCGCAAGTTTTTTTGCTTAATACTGATCGCAAATTTGTGGTCAAACCGTAGATCGCAAAAAATCACAAAATCGTTAATGATCGCAACCGCAACCGCAACCGCACGTATATAACCGCCATCAGTCGAATACAAAGTCGCCACGCCCACCATTCCAATGATGTTTCATAGAGAAGCGAAACCGCAGTTCGATTCCTTCAGAATCCAATTTCTTTTTATTTACCTTCCTAAATAGGTAAGATTTGCGGACAACCGCAAACCGCAACCGCAAGTCTTTAAATTTGCAGTCATTTGCGGTTTAACATGTCTAAATTGATGAAATTTGGTCTGGTACGGCTAAATTAAAAGTTGGGTCATAAGGGGCTTTTAAGGTCTCAACGCATATGGTTGAGATCTTGGGTAACAATGCGCTTTGTTTCCAGATAGTGACTAATCGCCGATAGTGGATATGAACAAACAGAACAAACCTAGCCCAAGCTTATCGACTGGGCCAATTTCAGTTTTGTTTAGTCTCCATCACACACCGTGTTTCCCTTTAATTCGCAGTATGAGCGTTCTTGAGTCTTATTTCAGTTTTTGATTCAATCTTCATCGCCTCCAATCGTTTGGCTTCAAAGCCCAGACTATGTTCCACAATTTGTACGGTGGAGTGTCAGAGGCCACAGTCTCTGCTGACACTACTACCCCGCTCACCTACGCTTCCGCTAATGGATCGAGCATGGCGCCTAGATGGAGCCCAGGACGTTTCCTAGACGAGCTTCAAAATGAATTTTCACCAACAAGAACAACCCCGACCCAGAGACCAGCTTCACTCCTCCCCCCGACCGAAAAGCTTGCAGAAGAAGACCCAGTGGAAGCCCAGGTCCTAAGAATCGAGAAGAGAATTGAGGCAGAGGAAAGAAAAAGGAAGGCCCTCGATAAACTAAAGGCCTTACAACAAAAGAATGCTGAATTGGAAAAAATGATGAATGAGCCTGTTGTGGAGCCTGTTGTGGGACCGGCTGTCCCTCGACTGGAAAACACCGGATCGAACCTGAGAAGAGAGAATAACGAGTCTCATAGAGGTCGAGTCGGCTCCCCGAAGCCATATCATATGACCAGAGAGAGATCAAAGACACCGGAAGATATTCGAGCCCCGGACATCCTGCCGTTCGAGGGAAGAAGCCTACCAGAACAGCAACTCTTTATCAAAAGTTTAGAGCGAAATTTCGCTGCTCATAAAAGCTACTATAATCGTCGCCCCGATAGCATGGTACTTGTAGCCATTCGAAGCCTTAAAAGCCCATTGAACTTCGATTTCTCCCGATATCAGAAGAACATTGGACACAAGCTCAACTGGAAAGAGTTCCAGGACTGGACAAAACAAGTCGTCGCCGGCTTAGAACATGTGACGCTGTCTGCCGCCCGAAGCTGGTATACAGCGAAGCAGCTACCATGGCAACGTGTCCGTAGCTTTGCTGATCATCTGAAGAAGATCGCCGAGGATATGCCGGAAATCTCTGAGGAGCATCAGAAGCTTCGATTATTCACAGGGTTGCTGCCTGCTGTCCGATTTGAAGGTGAACGCCAAGGCTATGGCAAAGGGCTTCGATACCCAGAGTACGTTGACTGGTTACTCCAGTGCGAAGATGTGGCCCCAGGCAGGTCAGATGAGATCAAAATGGCGAGAAAGCATTGGAACGGAAAAACGGACTACAAAAAGCCCAGACAGGACTCGAGACTTAGTAACGATTGGAATTCGAACTCATTTTCAGGCCCAAATGAATCCCACGACCAATCCTCTCAGGGCGTGAAGCGTGAGAGAATAGACTCCAACATGGAGCAAGGCCACAACTACGAACTTGGCCATTGCACAGTTGATGCCAGAAGCCCCAAGAGGACCAAGGCTAGCCCTGGTCACCTTAACTCCCAGTGAAACCGCTATTGCGTGCTACTGATGTGACAGGATTTGAAGGTACAACAAGGTAAACAGACAAAACTTCCAGTGTATGAGTTGCAGTGATATTTGAGATATTGAACAGAATTAAGCTATATCATACGTGGAAATCCAAGTCTCAAAAAATGTAGTTGCCCAATTGACTGCAAGATCAGAATCTAATACCATCCCTTCATATGTCAATACCCACATCCAAAAGAGAGATATATATATATATCGTTAAAGTATCTCCAGAGCTTCTCATGATTGCTAATGACGTAGACATTATACAGACAAGAGCTCGAATTAAACTTGTCACTTAAAGTCTAAAATACACCTAGCTAATGAGTACTTGCGGTCTATCCCAACCTTGGAAATTGAGTAACGTCTGTGTATGAACCTTGATAAGGCTGTCTACATACCTACCGGCATCATTTGTACATGGAAACGGAACCCGTGCCGTCAGCGAAAAGAGAAGTTTATAGTATCTATGAAATTGATCTGGAAATATCAATCGATTCTTCTTGGGTCTTGTCGGGTTCGGTGTTTCCCCGGCTTTCAAGTTGCTCACGTCGTAGTTTTACTCCAATTAGGAGCAGATTCTACCTAAGTACGATCCAGTCTGTGGTATACAGTGGCGGCATCAACCTCATTTCGTCTCTTCTCAACTACGGCCTTGGTAGTATTCCAAGTAACCTAGCAGGCTGGTGTATCATGTACCTCTTCGCCGGAGCCCTCGCATTCTGCTGGCGCTTTGTAATTTGTGCCTCATTCCCCGCTGGCCCTGCTACAGCGACCAGGATTACAGAGGAAGAGCGCGCTTAGGCTATCCATCGGTTACGCAAAACCAACATGGGTATTGAAAATGCACATCTGGAACGTAGTTACATTTGTGAGGCTGTGACAAACTGGTACTTTTGGACAGTCTTACTGATGTCAATGCCTTTGCAGTATCGATAGCACTGCATCCAACACATTTGTCTCGATCGTCATCAAAGGTATGGGCTTCGACAAATTCCTGGCTCTCGTGCTCTATTTTCCCTTAGGAGCTATGTCAATCATGACCGCTGTAAGACCCGGGCACCTGGGTCGCAAGATTCCCAAATCCCGTCATCATATCTATACCGCCGCCTGTGTACTTGTAATTTTCAAATGCTGCCTTCTATGGAAGCTGCCAAGCTCCAATACCGGTGGTAGCCTTGTCGGCGTCTACCTTGTTACCTTCTTCGGTTTATGTTACGTCCAGGTCATTGCCCTCGGCAATAGCAACTTTGCCTGCTATACCAAAAAGTCAGTATATGCTGCTGGTGTGTTTATGACCTACCGTGTAGGATATATAATAGGCCCACTGCTTTTCGGTACGTGGGTGTCTGCCCCACGCCCTTTACCTTTTTTCTGCTAGACAGAAGTTCAATCTGTTGCTACTCAAATACAATGTCTTACTTTCATCAGAAAATTTGGACTACGATACGGCCAGGCCTTCACCAGCGTTATGGTTTGCTTTGCTGTTGCCGTTGTTATCTGCGAAACTACCCGCTTCATGCTTCAATGCGAGAATACCAGAAGGGATAGAGAGTACGGGCTTTCGAGAGAAAGCCACGGTCTGAAGATGTGACCGAGAGCAATAAGTAAGATTTTAGGCACTCGCTGTAAATATGCACTGGTTATTTCATTATGATCAGGATTTTAAACCGAGAGATTGGTATGAGCGGCAATTCCTTCACTTCTGGCGATGCATTTGATGCTATTCGAAACTCCAAATTGCGCAGGGGTAATTTGTTTGCTATGTCAACATAAACCTTAGCTTAGACTGAAAAGAATCACCGCTAACACCGCTAATAGTCAAGAATTAGACGACCAAAAATTCCATTTGGTGCATTGATGATGGAAATTAGGGATGTCGGTTGAAAGTCTAGGTAGCTTGGATTTATCCAGGAGGTTGACATCAAATATGACGAAATGTGCAGGGGGTTGTCCAAGAGGGGGAATTTAACAGCGGAGCCACTCCGATATATAAAGGCAAATGGAGTTTCGTGCTAGTAGGTAGCATTCTACATATCGATTTGCTTGCTAACGCGCTAGTGCATCTTATCGGACCAGAATGATGTGATTTACCTCCCTCATGCCAATATCCATACTTTGCACTTGAATTGACATTGGAAGTCTTCAGACTATTAAAGGCTTTTTAGAAAAAAATCAGAGTTATCAATTACTAATTGTTTCGAGCTCACTGGTTCACGTTGAATGTTAAGTCAACATAAAGTTGCTCCGACGGAGCTTGTTACAGTTCAAAGTACACTAAAACGTCTTCGCGCTCCCCAATGATGCCATATAACCCCACGGCAGCTAGTAATTAATCCTTTATCCGAGCATTTAAAACTCAAGGTAGACTCGGTAGAATGATTTATTCGAAGATTCAATATATCAGCTTCCAAGGCTTTAGTTCTTCATAGCCAACATGAGCTTACAGATACCCGAGAAAGATGCTGTTAGAACTGTTACTTCCGTGACCGAAACCAGCCCAGAGGAAGAGAGGGCTCTGGTGAGTATCTCACATGATATACTTAGACATCTGATACTAACATGATCACTATAGGTATGGCGCCTGGATCTATGTTTTCTAACCGTTGGTTTTTTGGGCTACGCATTCAAGTACCTGGACCAGACCAATATTGTGCGTTTCTTAAAGCCTCGAAAAAAAGATGATGAATCCTGACACTTTTAGAGTAATGCCTATGTATCTGGCATGGAGACAGACCTAAATCTGTATGGAAATGAGCTAAACTACTTTACAACGTACTTCAAGTATGTTTCCCGCTTTATCTTGAGCTCTTCATCAGCTAATTCTAGCGAAACCCAGCATTGGTTATATGGTCATGCTGTATCCCTCGTGCATTATTATCTCCCATATTGGCCCATCAATTTGGTTACCTGCGTGTGAGGTTAGTGAATTAAGTCAAGACTTTCATCAAAATAGGATTGACAAGATTAGGTGATATGGGGAATCTTGACATGTTGTCTGTCTAGAGCAACCACTGCAAAACAGGTAAATAGAAACGAGCCAATAATGCAGTTTCTTGACTAACTTGTCTACTGTAGGTATATGGTCTTCGCTTCCTGATCGGTTTTTTCGAAGGCGCAACTTGGCCTGGTTATAACACCCTCATCAGGTATGTCCCTGGGCAACCTCCTACAGAACCGCATTGCGTATATTGATGATTTTTGGACTCTAGCCAATGGTACCTACCCCATGAGATGGCTCTTCGGATGAGTTTGTATAATATTGCACAGCCAGTTGGTGCTATGCTTTCTGGCGCAATGCAGGGTGCCCTTTCAACTAACCTAGAGGGCGTTGATGGCCGAGCGGGCTGGAGGTGGGCATTCATCATAAATGTCAGTCCTTTACCACCACGGTTTTATAGTCAAGCTAACCAACTTTTTAGGGTGTTTGCACTATTTTCATTGCCCTACTTGCTTTCGTTCTTTTGCCAGGTTTTGTAAGCAAACTTTCTGCAACTTCACAGAACCTTTGTCCTGACGAATAGCTAGCCTGATCGGCCTAATCCACTTGCCAAAATATATCTCAGGCCGCGTGATATCGGTAAGTCTGGTTATCTACTTGACTTGAGAAAAGTTTCTAATGTTCGTCCAGAGGTTGCTAAAGAGCGCATTATCCGAGTTGGACGTGATCCCCAAATCGGAATTACGCCCAAAACTTTCCTACGTTGCTTCAAATTTTGGCACATCTGGGTCTTCTCAAGTAATTAAACCATCAATCTCCAACTGGGAGATCTAACTGGAAGAGCATTGCTAACTTTCATAGTTGCCTGGTCTATCGGAGGCAACACCGCCCCGTCTAACTATTTCAACCTATGGCTCAAGTCACTAAAGAACTCCGATGGAACTCTTAAATAGTAGGTGTTCTCTTGTTTTTTGGTATTATCCTACTAATACATTGCTCAGCTCTGTAGCTATGCTCAATTACCTGCCAATTGTGGGTCAGGCAATTCAACTCGTTGCAGAGCTTTTATTCAGTGGCTTCAGTGATTATCTTGGCACTCGATTGCCATTTTTACTTCTACACTCGGTATCTTAACCGCTGCAAATTCTCATAGCATGAGCATATGACACTAATTTCAGCCATTCTAGGTGATCAACATAACATCTCTCATCATCTTGATAATTCGACCAGGAAAGGAGAGCGTTTACATGGCTGGCTACTATCTTAACTATGTTGGAGCGTAAGTGCCCTAATTTGTTTCGTTTCAAAGAGATGTACAGTGTCTGACAGTAACAGAGTTTCGACGATGCTTCTTTGCGCCTGGGCATCTGCCTATCTAGAGAAAGAGCCCCAGGTTCGAACTGTTCTCTTCGCAACTGGTACCCTTTTCTCGTACCTCTTTTCTGCATTCCTACCCATTGCTGCGTACCCTGCCTCTGAAGCACCTCATTGGAAGATTGGTGCAAAACCATATCTTGGACTTTCGGTTATGGCCACGGTGCTTTTCATATCTATCGCTTTTATTTTGAAGTGGCAGGGTAAGAGAGAAAAAAGACCAGGTAATCGACGTAGACCACTCTGTGACTCACGCCGAGCCTCTTTGAGAGCTATCTTGGAATAAATAGTTGGTTTCTCTGAAAATTTTAGCCGTTAATGCTAGAGACAATTTTTGATGGATAAGATGGGCCAACAGTTCGTCCAAAAGATCTGCATGAATTGTATAAATTATGTATTAGTGAAGAGGAAATTGACTCAAATAATGACAAATATTTTCAGAAGTAAAGGCCCAGCTTCTTGTTTCATCTAATCCACTTCAATTCACTCCGTTTTCCACTAGCTCTGATAATGCTATCTAGGTTCCCCTGAACGTGAGGGAGCTCCTTTTTTGCTTCTTATCGCTACGTCTTGTATCTAGAATCAAGGATATAGGTTAAAATGGCAAAGATAATGTCGCAAATTAACTCAAGTGAAGTCCAATGAAAGGCTCTAGAGGTGTTTTTCAGTGGTCAAGAACCGTTCTCTCATATCGACCTTGCGGCTGCAGTAGTGGTTGTTTGAAACTGGACCGCAAAGTCTTACACCCAGCTAATGTATCTCTCGAATATGAAGTGATCATTTATTACAGATAAATGCCCGATCAGATGATAAGTCAAATAGGCCAAGTTCTGGTCATTCCAGGACAAACAGACTAGTTTTAATTGCAAGGCCGCACTTTTGCATGCAAATCCTCTGGTCCTCTTTCTCGGCCAAACCAAAAAAATTCGTTTTTGAACTGCTCATTCAACTCAACGGCTCGTTGGTAATACTTGGGCCGTGTCATGTCTCCTCCCAATGAAATGAGCCCTGTGTCTTGGAGCTGATGAACAATGTCCGAGATACTCTCCAAAAGATCCATTTCGCCTTGATTTCTGAGTAACTCCTCCCCGAAATCAACGGGACATGACTCTAGCTCATGCTTGGTATCAGCCCAGTGAGCGATAATATTGATCAAGGAATTACGAAAAGAGAAAAGGTCTTCTCGTTCCCAACATGCAGATACTAAAGAAATGGTGTTTAATTTCAGCTTGTGGAGTGCATAATTGAGACTTTGCTTTCTTGTAGAATCGCCTTTCTTAATGGAATTGTAGTAATTCCCCAAAAGAATTTCTTCCTCTTACGTTTTCTGAGTAAGGGGGAGACTGACAGCTCGGGCATCTGCGGATACTAGTTAACCCCAACATCATCTAAGTAATCCTGAGTGAACAAAGTCGAATATTTGATCAATTAACGTCTCGCAGCCTTTCTAGCCATGACATGTGCAAGTTTATGACCTAAATGATTCTCCAACATTCTCTTATGTCCATCAGAGATCATCTTGGATCCCATGCTACTAACCAAATTTCCAATGCATTCATCCAAAGTAGGCCCGCCTTCAAAGTTCACGTCCTCCTTCTTAGATTCCACCGCATTCTTCCAGAGAGCTTCAAGTTCCTGCAACCACCCTAGAGCACCCGCAAGTTTGCGAACCCCGTCGTCGCAAGCTCCAAGGATACACACATCTTCATCTTTGCGCCCGATATCTCCCACCTGCTCCATGTTTATCAGAACACGGGGTACACCTTCTTTCACCAAGAGTGGAAAACTCGAACAAGGCGCGACCTTGAGACTAGTCCCCATAACAAGCATGAGATCCGCCTCCGAAACAAGTTTCTCTTTTTCTTCAAAATCATTAGATAGTTCTTGCCCAAAGAAGATAACATCAGGCTTCACCACACCATTGCACTGTGGGCTTAGACAATAGGGCACCTCTCCCGATCGAATGGCCTTTTTCATGAGATCATCTGGATACCTCGCTTTGCATTTATAGCAATGTTGATCCTTCCAATTTCCATGAGTCTGAAAAACCTTGTTAGGAGGAATGCCGACATCTTCCTCCAGACTATCAATGTTCTGGGTAAATATAAAATGGAGAAAGCCTTTTTTCACAAGTAATGCCAGAAATGCGTGGGAGATAGTTGGCTTCAGGTTACATGGATGACGGGCCCGTGCAATTGCGTAAAATGGTTCCGGCGTGTGAGAGAAGTAGCTAATATGGAAAATTGCTTCCGGATATGGCAATTTGAGTGGTTCAAGTTTGTCGTAAAGGCCAGCTTTGGGGGTTCTGAAGTCAGGTATTCCTGCTGCTGTACTAATGCCTGCTCCGGCCAACACGACAATTCGGGTGGCTTGTCCATTTTTGATACGCTCGGCAAGAGCTTTGATATTAGGATCAATATCACTAACATCAGTTGCATATGTCTCAGCCATATTATTTGAGACGTCAACCTGAGGATTTTTACAGGGACAGTGTGCTGGTACTAAATAGAAGGTTCGGTCCCTGAAGCTGAGAGTAAATCAGACACTAATTAGGCAATTACGTTATCAGGTAGACAAGTCACTGACTCACGAATCAATTTTACTTAGCCTCTTATTAACTTCCTCCTCATGATCTCTTCCAACCTTCGAATCTTACAGTGAGAAAAATGACTGGCTGTGAACATCAGTCTTGAGGTGTCCCCCCTCTAAGTATTGTTATGACAATACGATATTTCCGGTTGTGGATGAGATGCTTACATCAGTATTGAAGAATTGGACGAAGTGGCCTTGTGCAGGAAACTAAAATGATATACTTCTTTATCACCCTGGGGATGAAACAAAATGCTAATAAGACACATATCACCAGATTGTGCCATAAACAAAGGAACAATTCTCTCAACCCCTATTGAATTCTTTTTCCCGATTGAGAAATCTCCCACGACTCTGTTTTAGCGGAATCGGCATTTTAAGTGACGTCGACGAGTTCCAACAGACTCCGAACTGCAGTCAGCCAGGCTGGTTTAGAGGCTAGTTCTCTCGAACAATTCGGTGATAAATTCCTTCACTGAGCTACCTTTTGAGTTGGTTTACCCTTTGCAGTGGAACCAATCTTGAGAATAAATATGTACATATTCTATGTCATTTTAAAGCTAGATAATATAATCCAGGAGAGGAGCCAACCTGCTATGCCGTTGTTGGTCACAATTAACCTTAGAGGCGACGACATTCCCTGCCTAGTCTCTTTGCTTTTCCAAATAATAGGTGAAGTTGTTTTCTTTGACGTGAATTTGGAAATGGATGTGATCAAATTATTCATTTCAGGATGTATCATGGCAAACGTTATCCCACTTCAAACAAGTATGTACATAGATGCAATAACTCTACTTCACCGGCCAACCTTGAATGATAAAATCTGAATTGGACGATATTAGTATATGCTTTCAATGTAGATTTCAAGACGCAACTTACGTCATTTTTCCCAACTGCGACAACGTCCTCTTCGGATACACGAGTGCCACCGATTCCTTCAATATAAGAAATCGGAACATCGCCCATCACTTTGTGGGCGACATCACCCACCGTACTGTTTCTGTGCAGCAGAGTCAGCAATACTCAGTGAAGCCTAAATCCAAAATGACTTACTTTTTAACCAGAACGCAGTCGCGAAATACTGCGTTTCCAGATCCAGAGCCAAAGGTCTGGACATTTCTGACTGGGAAAATGGGCACAAGACCCAGAACCTCTGCTGCCCGAGATAGACACTGGACTACACCGGTGGATCCAAACCGGTAGAGCACCATGTCCTTCAAGTTCTCAACGCGACTTTTAAGAGTAAAGTCAGCAAAAGCCTCTTATTTTGGCTTTTTCTTCTTAAAATGACTCACGATTTCAATTTCTCATCCATCTCCTTGAGATCTCCACCATTGGGATCGCCCATTTCGATCAGATCCTCTCGTGTGTCCACGAACTCGCTACCCTCGACGTATTTGACGTATCCCTGTTTGGCTAGTCGACGGAGAAAGACTTCTGATATAGCCGAGCAAAGCACGATTTTATTCGGATCTTGCATCTTGGCAATCTTGCTGATATTCTGAATCGTGCTGCGTAAGTATCACTTCCTTGTCGCCTCCTAATAATCACGTACCTTGTCTGCATCAGGATGATCGATTTTGTTCAAGGCAAATACCGTGGGGAATTTCTCATCGATGAATGCCTCAACCACGGTCTGAACAGTCTCATTTGACCATTCATCGAGAGGTTCCTTCAAGGCAAGCTTATCCAGAACTCGCCCAACAATCTTAGAATTACTTCCATATCCAGAGAATTGACCTTGCAATGTGTCGATCGCATTGGCCTCTAAAAAAAAGGTTATTAATCGCTTGTATGGGTATAAAGGTCGTAGGCACTTACTTATAGCAACGTGTCGCCGCTTAATAGAGCCCCTGAACAAGCCAATCAATAATGCTCATTGGGTTTAGTTTTGCAATTTTAAACTTACCACTTCTCCATCAAGTTTCCCAGCACCCAGCGCACAATTTCAGATCGCAGCCACTCAATATCCACTGAAGGATCATATCCTCGAGTTGCTTTTCCTTCCGCATCAGTGGTTCCGCTAACATCTACGACGTGAATCAGAGCATCGGCATGTCGTAGATCGTCCAGGAACTTGTTGCCCAGCCCACGTCCCTGATGAGCTCCAGGAACGAGGCCTGCTACATCCAATAGCTCAATGGGAACAGAGCGCCGCCCTTCATGACAGCCACCGTAGTTTGGTCGGCATCGGTCGGACACATTATGTCGTTGACAAGGGCAATCGATCTGCAGATATCCAATCGCTCTTTGGGGATCAATGGTCGTGAAGCTGTCGGATCAGCGGTTAGTGTTTTCTCGATCAGGTGGGGCTATCGCAAGGTATTGGACGCACGGAAAATTGCCTATCAGATCCAATGAATTACTTATACAGACAGAAATATTTGTTGAATATCTACTTACCAACTTTAGAAGTAGCATCTGTCAAGCTGTTCAAGGTTGTGGATTTCCCGCTTGATGGCTTTGTGCCCCTCATGGTCAGTACTTGTATATATAGATCAGCGGATGAATCTTACCTTGCCCACCAAACCAATCAATGGGTCCCTGGGCATCTTGAGAGATCTCAAACACAACAAAAATAAGAGTAGCAACGAATGCGCCAAGTCTTCTGTCAGTCTATGCGCCCACTCGGCCTGAAAAGGCGATAAGAAACATTTTCTGCCACAATATTGAAAGCGGTGAAATGTCGGTGACCAAATAAGGAACAGTGTGAACTGTCAACATCTTTCAATCTTCAAAAGCGATTTCTCATGGATTATGATTTATCAGACTGCTAAATTGCTGGTCTAGGCAGTGGTCCTCAGGATCATTTTGTTCTGATTCCTGAGATCTGATTTCGGCATAACTGCCTACCCTGCTTCCTGATTCCTGAGGCACTGATCATTCGGCATTGTTGCTGTTGATTCGGAATAACGATGCGGCTCCATGAACCGCCAATAGGAACTGCCATACAGCAAATATCAGCAGAATACCATCTGGTTGGATATAACCCGGTCAAAGAGATCAGATCTGACATCATTTGAGCTCGATACAGTACATCGATAGTTTATGGGAATGGCCCATTTTTTTATAGCGGGGCCATGACATCGATGCCAAGTTATGAGACCTGTACTTGCTAATCAGTTGCGATGCAGGCTAGTTCCAGTTCAAAGAATCTGCACATCCAACATCCACAGCGATAACCGATATTGAATACATTTCGCCACCTAAACCTATGTAGGTATTGGTTTTTTCTATGACGTACCCTACAAGTTCAACCTTATCAACTTGATGCTGGATTACTACAATTTCGTCATGGTGTTCATTCATGTGCAACGTCACAGTGATAGATATCTATAAGAATAGCTAGTAGTCACCATTCTCGATCCCATATATTAAAACTTCAACTCCTGAGGCTCAATCAATATCACAAAATCTCATAAGTCGACTACCTATCATAAACCTCTACCTCAAAATGTCCGAGCAGAACTACCACGTTACTCGCGAGAGCTTGCGCCAGGCCGAGTCCCGCGCTACCAAACAAAATGGCGGAGCCAATCCTTCCGACTCTGAAGTCTCCCAGATGAAAGTGAGTAGGGATATTATCGAAAACTGCTCAGTGCTAACATCTTTCCTAGTCCATTATCGATCAAAATACCAACAAGTCAAAACAAATTGACAACACGAAGGCCAACCTTCCTTTGCCGGAAGATCCCCCAGTTGCTAGCGACTGGAACTCGGCTGATCAGCGAACTGTCAATGTGGGCTCTGGTGGTATCGAGGGACCCATCTCTGGTGATGGTGATAGTGCTCTTCGAGGACCTTCGACAGCTGAAAGCAGTGTCCGTGTGAATGGTGATGAATTGCACAAAAATACTGCGCCTCTTAAAAATGTCGGTCGACAGGCTGTTGAGGGTTTGGACGGCCTCCCTTCGGATGCCTTAGCCCGATAAATTTCAAGGTTGAACAAACTTGAATTTCGGGATGTATTAGATATATTAGCCATATAACGGCGCCATGAGCGAATGAAAAGTTACTACCTACTCTATACAATTCACTTGAATAAGAGGAGATCTCTGGATAGTACCAGCAGTATCTATGGAGAGACGTAATGGACACTAGAAAAGATTTGCACGATTTATTCTATAGGTAATAGGAATTTTGATTAACTGATTTCAGGAACCCATCCTATTTCTTCTATAGCCCATCTGATCCACAGCCGATGCTCCCCATCTAGAAGCATATAAACCCCTCTTATCAAGTGAACCGCCCACTCTTCTATCCACCAAAATCTCTCCAGGTCCCTCACTAGAACCGCATAAAAGGCAAGCACACATAATGCTCCATTATCGCCAGTTTTCAAGAGCGCCAGGTACGCGTCATCAATCTCAAAGAGCCATTCATAGAAACCTCGCAATTTATCCTGGTCTTTGAAGCTCTGGCCATAAAAAAAGGAATAACTCCGATTTAAAGCCATGACTGCTTCCTGTAGAACGATCTGTCTTTCTCGATTTTCAGGGGCTTCTGCCCATATTTTTTCCTCGAACTCCGTGAGAACCTGGTATTTCTCTGGAGTATGAGCCTTCCAGTAATCCAAACTTCCCCAAGTACTTCGAAATATTAGGGACACGGGAGATGATAATAGGGACGTCTCCATCGATACAACTGCATCGATGCCTCGCATAATGTATAGCCATTCGGGAACAGCGTCGCTTCCAAAAACCACCATTTCATTCTCCTGGATGGGTCGCGCTAGACTATAATAGAGTGTTAGTACCCCAAATACAAAAAGAGGAGTACTAGTCTGTGCTGTCACTCCGGATACTAGTGGCAAGGCCTTCGATATAGATGCGGAATGGCGCTCAATCGCATACTGGAGGAGAGTATGTTTCCGTCCGTTATTGTAGCGTGCGACATGGAGGGCCGCAAGGGCGAGAATCCCATCCATAATATAATCCGTATTGAAACCTATTTGCGGAATTGCGATTCGCCAAAGATCACGGATGTTCGGATCAGGAGATAGCGTGGCGAAAGTGGAAATTGTAAAGTGATGTAGAAGTTCGAGATTTAGAGTCTCCGACTGCGGGACTAAAGATGTCGGACTTTCAGTCTTGATGAAGTCGCAACGCAATCTCTTCTTTGTACAATTAAGGCATGACGGGTGTCGCTCATCGCACTGAAGTTTCAAGATTCATTTAGCACTAAATAATGAACGATCTGAAATAGACAGATACCTTGATCTTTCGGGAGCGGCAGGTTTGACAACCCGTACGCGATTTACGGTGCCATCTCCGACTACACGTAGCCCCACTAGGCTGTGGCATATTGATAAACTCAGCTATGCATAGATTTGAAAAAGAGCGTGTAATTTCAATGTTGAACCCGAGAGGAGCGCGACTTACCGATAAGCTCGGCTTAATGCCGAGACCTGGAGACCCACTATACTAACCGGATTCTCTCTAGTGTGTTCGAATTGACCGAAATGACCGAACTAAACGAATTCAAACGAACTAAACAACATTTTCCCCTGATATTGAATGTATCTCGGTGAGCTGGCGTAATTTTAGAGAAATTCACTCATATATCTCTAGAACTATAAATACCTCCTCTACCATGCGATAGATTCAGTTGTTTTAAATGACGTTTAACGAACTGGTTCTTCTATATGCTCAATCACTATCAGCTCAGCATGTCTCATCAAAGGAATGATGAATTTATTCGCTCAGCAAGTGAGGAAATTCTTCTACCCTAATTCCGCTTTTGATTCAATTCTAACGGTTATCATTGAAGGCGAAAACGATAGGCGCTACATTATGCGTCAGGCTCTCGGATTCTACGGCGCATTAGCCGTGACTGGCCTTTACACGCTACACGACGCAAACTATAGCGATACAGAGGATCTGAACTACTTTATCCCTGCTTTGAAGCACTGCCTTGCTACTCATCCTATTCTGGGTGCTACTATTCACGGGGAAGATACTGAGCATCCGAGTTTTCACCGTCCTTCATCCCTGAACCTTCAGAACCACTTACACCTGGTCGATACCGGCTCATACCCGGGATATTTTTCGCCCAGGAATGACTTCCACTGGATCACGCAAGTGACTAAGAAAATACACGACCAGCCTTTTCTTTCGGTGGACCAGCATCCTCCGTGGAAAGTTTGCATTGCTCCCATTTCCGACGAAGCAGCGACGCCGGGAGTGCACCAAATGTACATCATATTTGCATATCATCACTCTCATGGGGATGGAAAGTCAGGTCTTGCTTTTCACAGAAGCTTGTTGGAGGGACTCCGAACTGCGCATGACATTTACGATCAAAGCAATATCTATCAACCTTCTGCATTGCCACTTCCACCATCGCTGGAGGATGCATGCAATATGACAATCAGCTGGTCATACTTACTCCTCAACCTTCTCGGTGGCTATATGCCAAGTATTGCATACAAATTGTTTGGATTTCAACCCGCGATAGCGTATCTGGATGCCTGGACTGGGAAAGCTATGTGCTACGATCCTGCCAATTTCCACACCGGTTCCGAGGCTCTTTTAGTGGAGAATGTTCTACTAAATTCTGTCTTGAGGATCTGCAGACAGAATGGGGTAAAATTCACCGGACTATTCAATCAACTCGTCGTTACTGTACTGAACAGCGTTCTTCCACGAGGTTCTCACGTTCAGAATCTTCTTGGACAGATCGTAGTTGATCTGAGACCGTTGACTGTATATACTGAGAACCAAATGGTAAACAGTGTTTCAGCGCTATATGTCCCTTCTACGCGATCCAGCTTGACGTCTGGTACTACAGTAGTCAGTCTCAAGCAAGATACCGCATTTTGGGATGCCGCGAGAGCAACCACAAGCCAGCTTGCATGCTGCGCAAGTACCCTTGCCAATCAACCAATAGGGCTTTTACGATATTTGAGCCAGTTTCGTCCGTGGTTCCTTGAAAAGCTAGGCAAGAGTCGTGATTCCTCTTACGAGATCAGTAATGCGGTCCTCTTTGACGTAACCTCACTCGATTCTTTTTCTACTATCACCAATCTGAGATTGAAAAATTGGGATATAAAAAGAGTGATGTTCTCACAGCCGGCGAATGTCACGGGAAGTGCGCTGAACTTCCAGATTGTAACACGGAAAGATGGCGACATGGTCGTTACTTTGAACTGGCAACTAGGTATCTTGGGGGTTCCTGATGAAGCTGCCTTCGTTCAAGATATCCTTTCGAAGATTCATGCTCTATTTACTGAGATTTGCTGTCATTAGCCCCCGGTATTTCAATCATATGCTAGTATTATAAATATGCGAGGAAAGTGTGGCATAGAGTAGCTTTACTTAATGAACTGTTGTAATTATGATTACCATTATCTTCACTTTCACTTCCATTTTGACGAATCCCGAGACCAAGATTCTTGGTTGGAAATGTAGGTTTACAATCTCAAATATCTTTTATTATCTCTTCCTCTATCGTCTCTTCTTCTAATATCATCTCATTACGCTATTCTTGGAAGAGCTTCTTCCAAGGTGCCTGGATACAACCCCAAGGTATGAGTAGACCCATTTTTCAAGGCGGTAATGCTGGCGGTGACGGAACATCTAATTCCCCAATCAACATCTTCAACGTTCTTCCGTCCTATTCAACTGGAATAGAGATGAAACCCCAGAAAGCGGCTATCGACTTGACCGAGAGGGATATGAGTCCATTAAATATTCCAGGATTTAAAGACCAAACCGTTAAAGAATACGGCGAGCGGCTTGCATCAACCGTATCTGATGAGAGGCTTAAAAGTGCATTTCGTCAGCATGTGACGTAATTCTATCCGATGGCTTTGACCTTGAGCATATCTACAAAGTATAAGGATCAAAACCCGTATTTCCTTGTCGGCAATGGTATAAAACCTGGAATTGCTCGCAGCCTCGTAGAAAATATTCGTGAGTGGGCCGAGAACGTGAAGAAAGTGATGGCCGTTCTTGAATCGGATTAGAAAACATGCCGGCATTAGAGGCAGTTCTTTTGCTTTCTCGACGTTATTGTATTAATAAGCAATGAAGCCGAATAGTTAACTATACAGAAAAACTCATTTAGGGCTTTTCTAAGTTGAATTATTTTCTCACGATGATGATAATGATTTACCTTCGATCAATGATCCCCACTCCCTGATAATTAGATCCTCATCAAAACCCAAGATAATCTTTTTACAAATTGGATTGAAAGTGCTAAAAAACCGTATCTGTCTGTGTTGATATTCTAGCTATTAATCGCTCTGGTTAAAACCACTATCAGATTTCCTTAAATACCAGTTCAGCCTAGCTAGCATATGTTGGTCAATTTCAAATCTCAAAACTTGGCCGTTTCTAAATCCAATGGCTATATGACCCCCTCGCACATCAAAAGATGATGGCTGGAATTCTGATGATAGTCGAAGGAAGGGCATTCCTTCAAAGCATATCCACTGCTCTTGAACAGATAGACTATATAAGAAGGAAGGGTTACCTTCTAGCTTGTCCGTAGCAATTTCACCTTTCAAGGCTGATCCACTGCTGGTTGGAAGGTAGCGATAGTCTATAGACGTAATTTCTGGTTTGCTCACTTTCTTGCTTGATTTGAGCTTGAAAAGACCACGAAAAACGGTCCTCAGGGATTTAGAATTTTTGAGCGATTTGGGGATATCCGTGAGCTTGGTGATTTGATGCCCAGAGTCAGATGCGATCTGCGTATAATCAAGGGATAAGGCCACGGCCCGGACCGAGTTCCAGTGTCCTTCCAGTGTCTTCCGAAGATCGCCCGTTGTGGTATCCCAAAGCTTGATGGTGGTGTCACGAGAGCCAGATGCAATCTGCGTGCCATCGGGTGAAAAGGCCACGGTGTAGACCCAGCTCGAGTGTCCTTCCAGTGTCTTCCGAAGATCGCCCGTTGTGGTATCCCAAAGCTTGATGGTGTTGTCATCAGAGCCAGATGCAATCTGCGTGCCATCGGGTGAAAAGGCCACGGTGTAGACCCAGCTCGAGTGTCCTTCCAGTGTCTTCCAAAGATCGCCCGTTGTGGTATCCCAAAGCTTGATGGTGTTGTCTAAAGAGCCAGATGCAATCTGCGTGCCATCGGGTGAAAAGGCCACGGCCCAGACCGTGCTCGAGTGTCCTTCCAGTGTCTTCCGAAGATCGCCCGTTGTGGTATCCCAAAGCTTGATGGTGGTGTCATCAGAGCCAGATGCAATCTGCGTGCCATCGGGTGAAAAGGCCACGGTGTTGACCGAGCTCGAGTGTCCTTCCAGTGTCTTCCGAAGATCGCCCGTTGTGGTATCCCAAAGCTTGATGGTGTTGTCACTAGAGCCAGATGCAATCTGCGTGCCATCGGGTGAAAAGGCCACGGCCCAGACCGTGCTCGAGTGTCCTTCCAGTGTCTTCCGAAGATCGCCCGTTGTGGTATCCCAAAGCTTGATGGTGTTGTCTAAAGAGCCAGATGCAATCTGCGTGCCATCGGGTGAAAAGGCCACGGCCCAGACCGTGCTCGAGTGTCCTTCCAGTGTCTTCCGAAGATCGCCCGTTGTGGTATCCCAAAGCTTGATGGTGGTGTCACGAGAGCCAGATGCAATCTGCGTGCCATCGGGTGAAAAGGCCACGGTGTAGACCCAGCTCGAGTGTCCTTCCAGTGTCTTCCGAAGATCGCCCGTTGTGGTATCCCAAAGCTTGATGGTGTTGTCATCAGAGCCAGATGCAATCTGCGTGCCATCGGGTGAAAAGGCCACGGTGGTGACCGAGCTCGAGTGTCCTTCCAGTGTCTTCCGAAGATCGCCCGTTGTGGTATCCCAAAGCTTGATGGTGTTGTCACGAGAGCCAGATGCAATCTGCGTGCCATCGGGTGAAAAGGCCACGGTGTCGACCGAGCCCCAGTGTCCTTCCAGTGTCTTCCGAAGATCGCCCGTTGTGGTATCCCAAAGCTTGATGGTCTTGTCATAAGAGCCAGATGCAATCTGCGTGCCATCGGGTGAAAAGGCCACGGTGGTGACCGAGCTCGAGTGTCCTTCCAGTGTCTGAAGCAGGGATGCCCAAGTATCCTCCATCAGAGGAACTCTTTTCAGATATCCTGGAATTTTATCTGAATTTTCCCTTTTCACAATACTTAATTCTGGGCTAAATATAATAGCAGAGCTATAGATCTGTGAAGGCCAGTTGTTTATGGTATAGTAGTGTCGCAATAAAAACCGTGTAGTATCTTGCACCAGTGCTGATACTAAAGGATGGCCGTCCTTTGACAGATATAAGTAAGATCCTAGGTATATATGAGACGTGATGAACAACTGACCTTTGTTAGATTGAATAATATATTCAACGCTTTAATACCTAGCGGTAGCCTATCAAGTAGACTAAGACATTCCAACCATTCTAACATCTTATTGCGAAGAAATCCACTGACTGATCCCCCATCACTAAACCCACTATGTGCTACCGTCCTTGATTCGACGTGCTGGAGATGCTGTACCCAGAACGTAGCCGCGTAGTCTAGACAAGAAAGTTGCGATTTCTTCTCTTTGTCGTCCTGTAAATCAAATGATTCTTTGGTTGAGTCAGGTCGCGGCAGATCGACAAGATTCATCTTTAGCGAACCAGATAAAAAAGAAAGACAGCCTTGAACGATGTCATTATGTCCAAGGTATTCATATGAATCAAGTATAGATTGAGCATTCTTCGTAGTGAGATAGTCCCGAGCAGACTGGTGAACAAACTCGATGTTTTGTTCCTGCATCCTAATTAGTGAAGCACAGCGACCGACTAACATCTGAATAGCATCTTCCTCGTTGGTGAGGCCCGTCACGCTTTGAATTTCTTCAATTTTTAAAGGTCGGTATGCAAGCATCATGGCCTTTAGTAGTCGCATACACCGAGAAACATCATCTGGCTCGCCTTCGCGTAGCTGGGTTAATATCCGATCATAGAAAGGATGTAAACCTGGAGGCAAGTTTCGAAGTGTGGTCAGGACCTCATCTTGGCTGACACTTTCGAGTGTCTTACAAACAAGGCTCACCCATAGAAAGGTCCCCTCGGCCTTTAAACTCAGCTCGGCTTCTAATTCTGTTCGTAGAGGCTTTTTATACCTATAAAGATGACTAAGTTCATCCACTTTGTGAGAGATATAGGCCTCTACCGCTTGAGAGACATATTTTGAGTTCAGATCAAGACTGACTTGGACCTTCTCGTCACTAACAAACAGTGCCCGCTCTGCATTGTCTAATGGTCGACTTGTCAAGAGCCATTTGATCTTGGCTTGCCGATCGAGTCCATTACGAACCAGGCGTTTAAAGAAGTCCGCCATACCATTATCTTGGCACTCATCAAGAGCGTCCACGATAAGGAATATCTTTGAGCAGTTACAGCGGTCTAACATGTCCATGAGAACATTCCATAGATTTATCCATGAATTCATATCCTCAGTAAACCGGTTGTGGCTAGTGTCCCAACGGCTGCGAAGAGATTCCTTTAGGCCAGGTTGCCGACTTATTAACTGTAAGATTAAACCCTTGATGATTGATTCCAGAGTGTTAAGCGCATTGTCGGCGTTTTGACAAAATGAGTAAGCCACCACAGTGGATTCGTCGCGTGTCCGTGAAAGCTCCTCGATTAGACCGATCGACATCATGCTATCGCGATGGTAAGTAAAAAAAAGAGCGATAGTAAGGCGGGGAATTTAGAGACGTTTTCCCTTTGCCAGCGCCGCCCTTGATCCAAAGCAAGCAAACATCTTTCCCGTCTCGCCAATTGAGATACTCTGGGTTGTGAAGCATCCATTGGAACGATTGAAGGACTAGTTTGTCTTTGGTCTCCTTCAGCCGGTTTTTCACCGCCAGTGAGTCGGGGCAACGTAGATTATGGAGCCAAATCCGATCAATATCTTCATTAGTTTGCGTTTGAGCTATAGACTTCGTCAGCTTCATCTTTGTCTGCTTTTTCAAATTCATTGGTACATAATCAACCCTACTGTAGAAACGTGCTTCGATCGGACCCTGGTTATTTCCAACTTGAAGTCCATGGTTGACGCCAGTATAAGTAGTTGATGCCATATCCAGAAAAGTCACAGAGTGTTGTTCTTCTCAGGAGGAAAATTGCAGGTCACTCAGCTGAATGAGGGGCAACATCCCTGCACCTTTATTGTCAGGTGACTTTATCGCGCTAGATTCGCATGATATTAAAACATATCAGCCATAAACCTTTAGTATTATATGGAAATCCAGCTCGAAGACATAAAGTGGCAGTTCTTTTCAAAGAGAGATATTTTAGTCTAGATTATCAAGTGAACAGAACGACTGCAACCAATTATTCGTTCTACGTGGAAGAGACCACTGCTTCAAACATCAAGGTTGATTGACTTCATAATTAGTGGTCATTGTCCGAAATTGGCCTTGAATAATTATTTTACTTCAGAAAATCCTGTCGGCGGAACGGATAATTCAGATGTCTAAATCCTCGATAGTTAGTCCAGCATGTCGGAAACGGCCTCTAGCACTTTCTTCCTTTGCTCCAACTTGATCAATACATCCTTCAAGGAATGCAGCGAAATTTCGGGTTCTTTTATATGATTCACCTAGACAGTTGGTTCAGGCTTATAATTCAAACAGCCTTGGGAGTTTGCATTCTTTCATTCACGGAAATGGTTTCAAATATATCTTTAAACTTTTGATGATCTTCTAAAGGTCTAGATGTCGGCGGCAACCTTTCCAAAGATGAAACAATTATTTATTGGTCTTGGTCTATTGAGTTTTGAATTTGCGAGATTTTTGCAGAAGTTTCTGACGTCAATCTCACTAGTTCGCCATCTGCCCTGTTTTCAACTAAAATGATCCACGATGAAATAAACATGTGGAGACAGGACCCAAAAACGAAGTACAGATCACAGCGAATGTGGATCATGGTCTAGAATAAAGATCCACTAGTCCTTATCAAATGCCCCAGTCCGCCACTCAATGTAGTTCATCGTAGTGGTTGACGTTACTGTCGAGGATATCATAGATTCCTTTCATGCATGAAACTTGATGAAAGTGTACAAGGTATCGTAACTGTGACATCACAACCTGATAAATGATTGGCATCTATGATTGCTATACTATATAATCCTAGTAATGCCACTGGGAAAATGTCCATGATTTAAGTCAATAACCAATTCTGAGCTTCTCTACGACATCCTCAAACTCTGAGCTATTTCCCATCTATACTTTTTGCAATTTTATTCAAAATGGATCTTCAGGGCACTCCCATCCCTCCCGGTCCGCGTAGTACCAAGGTCACTACCGATCCTCTTGCCTACGAACAGCCCAGACGCGAGCCCGCGGGCCCCATCACAAATGACTCTCTCGCCGCTGAGTCTATTAAAAACGGTGGTGCATTCAGCAAAAACCGTGGCGCAGAACCTTTGGGTGTCTCCGGCAGCAACTCGACATTGAATACCACCGACATCTCTGCAGCGACAACACTCCCATCCGCACCTACCGGTGGCCTTCGTGAGAACCGTCTGCAGCAGGAGAAGTACCCCGAGGCACTAGATGGCCAGGGAGACTTCCCTGGTACCCACCTTTCTCAATCTGGTTATGTCGGTGGCTCAACTTCCGCAAAGCAGCAGATGGGCATGCACGCTGGCCAGTCCCAAGCCAGTGGTAGTAGCCAATACAACAACAACCAAGCTCCGTCTTACACTGACGAAGATACTGGCGATCATCAGAACCAGAAGTCGCAGAGCAACTTCAGCTCTGATGCCTCCAAGAATGTCAGCTTCAACTCTGAGATTGGCTCCGATCAGGACCCTGGCCGTGCTGCTGTGCATAAGTTCCAGCGTACTAATGCTGAGAGTGGCCCTGATGTCGGTCCTCGCCAGAAGGAAATCGATAACCAAACCCGCTACCAGCCTTTGGAGGTGGACCAGCGAATTTGAAGACATTTTTGACGATAATGACTTGATTTAGCAAGTTTTGTTTTTGAGCCCAGCTTAGATTGGGTAACGATCACGGGGCCTCTTGAAGTACCCAAGTACACGCATAGTGTCTGTAATATATGTTTAAATTAACATCAAGTTTCTGATTCAAACAACTTTTAGAGTGGACATTAATGTGTATATGAAGTAATTACATGATGTACCAATTAGATATCAAGACGTTCATCCAGTTGGTATTCCTCGAAGTCCGACTCAGATCCAGAATCAGAATCATAATCCGACTCGTATTCACTCGACGACATAATATCACCCTCATGGGCCGCAGTTTGCTGCAAAGGCGACTTTATCAATGCCTCACAAATAGAAGCCGAATCTTCACAACACTCATGGCTCTCAGCCGCAAAAATTGCATCCTGTTTCCGATTCCATAGATAGGTCCCAAATTCAACGAGTGCTACCGCCAATATTGCGATCCATACCAAAACTAACAGGATCATGACGGTTGTGAAAATACCAGGTAGAGAGATCTGATGAAATGATACTGGTGCATACTTGAGGAAAGGGAAGGAAAGTCGATGGAAAAAAAACGATATAGTGAACGGAGGAGAGGTGTCGTCATTGGACGAGTGTCCTAGTACTTCCCCATACTTTCTCGTATAGGGCAATAGTAAAGGGAGAAGGGTATATGTGGTCTGATGTGTCACGAGACCTGACAATATACGAAGTCTTTCTTTGTTAGTTCCTTGGCTGCTTATCACTTCGAGTCAAGACAATTGAACCGACCTCTCCAAGTACTGATAATAATCCACTCCTCTTTTCAGTCCATTTTGATAATTCAATCGGATAACATGTAGCAGGAGCAATGGCCTGTATGAGGCAAAAGAGTACCCAGAATAGAGATCGGAATGATGGCATCGTAAATGAGCTTTAGAAACCAAATATAACGAGAGTAGAGAATGGTCTGGTGCAAAGTAAATAAGTTACGACAAGAACATGATACCTGATGTAGGAAACATGCAGAATGAAGGAAGTGTCTCACTTCTCTTCGCGGAATAAGGGTGGGTTTTATACAAGCATTGAATGTAGGGCAGAATATTGGAAAGATGCTTACGACCTTACGACCTCTTTCATAAATTACCAATTTATTACGGACCCACGCTAACTCGGGTCCGAACACCAACATTCAGAGGACCACCCAAATGCAAAGAGTTCAACTTCATCTTCATATCCAAATTCATTAACCACAACCTATATATTCAATATCAGTCAATTGTAAAAGTCAAATTCAATTGTTCAAGTATGATTCAAATTTAGATTCAACGCTGTAACCTTCTTCCCTGCTGCCTAGATACTATCTTAAGCTCGCGTATGATGTGACGCATCACCTATTTCCAATATGGTCTCAGCTTCTAAAGCTTCTCTATCGTCTAATTTCTGCTGAAATCACTTCATTCTTTTTCAACCCTGAAGAAGTAATGATTCCAGGTCGACGATAGACTTTACGTAAAAGGCCTCACCCCTAACATCATTAAGCTCCTCTCGAGTAGCTTATAATTCATAGTAGAGACTATGAGCGACTCTTATAAGCTTTCTAGCAATAAGTGCTTATTTCATAAAGTTATGGCCACCTAGGTAGCTTTTGAGAGCTTATGGCCAACTTTCTGAAAACGCTCATCAGTCTTCAGAGATGGGTTGATGGTCGATGAGGAGTCCATCACAAACCAAATATGGATTCATAGGCCAGATCCCTGATAATCAAACTCTAATCGAATGGTTGACATCTTGAAAGTCTTTCATCGAATAGAAGGAAGTATAGCCAAGAAATCATTATTGGTAAATAATGTTGTTCTAGACTCCGTCGTACCTTCAGAATGCTAGTGTTCATAAACTTCAAAAGACCAACATCTAAAGGCTAGAGTAAATAGCTTAAATATAAAGGAATAAGACTGTGGTGATCTTGTTACTATTATTATTTTTATTTTTTTATTTTTTTTGCAAAAGTCATTAACTTCCATTACAAGATATTATCTAAAGTCTCATGTAGTGATGATCTCTAGGTTCCTTTAGCACACGACTATGTACATATTTCGAGTACATAATCTATTGAAAAGCTAAGAAATCAGTCATATGGCCATTTTAAGAGATATTAAGGCCAATGTCATCATCATTTAGGTTAGCTATTTAGCGGAGAGGATGACCATTGGTTAAGAGCTTTAACCATAGTAAAAGACTCTCAATTTGTATTCGTTACAGAGGCATGTTTCTTCGGTGGCTCTTATTTCATGATCCATTAGTATTTTCTAACCCCAATTTAGAAGCCAGTCTCATCAAAATTGTAGAAATCTAAGGCTTCGATACCAGCATCTTCATTAGCCTTTAAACAAATCTTCAATCACTGACATATCCAAATCCTGATAGCGTTCAACACCAAGAGCTTTTCTCCGCCTCTTTCGATCACCAGGGCGATGTAGATGTTTTCAGTAGCTGTATGGGCAGTCCTTTACATATGGGTGTCGGGCCCGCGTTAGGACAGGTCCGTAATAAATTGGTAATTTATGAAATGGGTTGGTTAGTACCCAAATAATTGAGAGCAGAAGAAGCAGAAAAATGAAGATCGCTCAAAGAAGGAGGCAATTTTGCTGGTTAGCTGTGGCAGCAGCTCGGTATGTGGTTGATACCCCTTGTTCAAGGGTATGAGAGGACTGATCGATTGATCGGCTGGAATGACAATTCCAATCGGGGATCGATGCAAGGCCGATAATCGGCTCTGTACTTTATCAGACCAAGAATATTATTACTTAAAATAGCTCCAGCCCTACTGGGCCCGTCTGTTTTGGTATGCCGTGATGATGGAGATGAATCCAGTCGATACTATTTTCTGCGTCTATAAGCATTAAGATGGGCTCCCATTTGGGAAAACGTTGCTAATCCCCAGCTAGTCCTAAGGTCAAACATTGAACCGTGTGACCATCCATACGTCTTGGAAAGGAGAGTCTTATAAAAGACTGACTAGTAAGGTTGGACCACTTCAAGTGCTGAAGAATGACGAACTCATATCACGACACTCCAGGCAGACCCTTTGCTATAAAAACCCAACCCAAGGCCGGAAAACACAAAGCAAGATGAAAAGTGTATGGGTAATTTCTCAATCTCAATGGAATTCTTTTCCTGCCTTTTTTTTTTCATACACCTTGAAGAAACGCCGAATATAGCAATGACAAAATAACCCAAAGGCCAACCCACTAAGACATGCACGGTCTTAAACATAAACCTGTACAATTGAAGAGATGCCCCCCAGAATCAAGAAGGGAGGCGAGAACGCAAAGAAATAAAAAGCTGCTGCTTAAGCAGACACCTTATCGGTCTCCTTCTCCACAAGCTTATACAATTCCTCGTAGACCTTGGTGAATTCAGCATCGGCATCCTTCTTGCCGGCGGTGGGGGCCACCATGACCACACTGGTGGGGCGCTTGGTGGCAGCGGAGGCACCAAGCTCAGCACGAGAGGTAACAAAGATGTAGGGGATACCGTGGTCCTCGCACAGGACGGGAATGTGGGAGATGACATCCATGGGCGAGATATCGGCAGCGAGAACGACAACACCCTTGGGGACTCCGATGGGAGCATTGGCAGCGGGTATGGCAGACTTGCGGAGAGCTTTGACAACTTCCTTAACACCGCGCTTGAGAGACTTATTGACAGCAGCTGGACAAAGAAGACATAGGTCAGAACATATTCTATAAGGAAAAGGTATCGGCTGGGCGCAAAAGTTTTAATCTGCTCCAGAGACGGCAAAGGGTCGGAAGCAGAATTAATTGAGCGCATATATTCATCGTAATAAGAATAATAACGATCAATGCAAAGAAAAGTATTGACTTACCCTTCTTCACGCTCTTGAGAACCTTCTTGGCCTGCTTATCCTCCACAATGGGGTTGGCAAATGGTACCAGAGCGCCGACGGGGCGGTCGACGGCCATCGCATCACCTGCATTGGACGCTTGATCCTGGTCTAGCTGGCTGCTGATCTGCTTCTCTACGGCATCGCTGAGAACGATGTCCTTCTTTTCCTTCTTTTCCTTCTTGACCTTGTGCACACCATCCTTATCGGCACGCTTCTCCTTCTTCTCGGAGCGCTTCTCCTTCTTCTCAACCTTATCCTTGCCCATGTTGTCGAAATTAAAAAAAATGGGGTGACGAGAGTGTTGGTGGGGAATTGAATTGCCGGTGTGTGCAGAGAAGAAATTGGCTCTCGAAATAATTTGATAAAATTTAGACACTAATCCCAATGCGGTAGCTCCGTGCTGACTAAGATACAAACAAGGTCGCGACTCTTTGTCTGGAATCCATTCGGTGCTGAGTTGCTCTGTATTATATTCCTTGATCTCAGGCCATTATCTCAGGCTGTTCTCTTAGGCAGCTCGAGGCTATAGCTCTCACAGGTCTTACATTGGTCGGATCGGGACATCTAAATCCTCCCTTTATCACGATTGCAACAATACCTGAACATACTCATAGCGACGACGATATGGATTCCACCCCAACCCGGCCGGTGTCTCAGCTAATCGCTGGGATCGAGTCACCATCCACTGCTCAACTTATTGCAGGAATCCAGTCACCATCCGCCACCTCAAACAACTTCGGCCGAAGCACACTCCGGAGGTCTCTTCGTCCTATTCAACATCAAGCACCAACACATGGTTAGCAATTGCTTCCAATGACAATCTTGAAGAAAAAGAAACTCACAGTTTTCTCCAGATGTAGAAACAGAGGAATTACGAGTTCAGGTGAACACTCTCCGATATGAATTGGAAAACATCAAACAGGAGCGCGATCTTGAGGCTCTCAGACACGAAAAAGAGACTCGGGAATTCCAATTGAAATCTGATGCAGACTTTCGCAAAGCACAGGTGTGGCCTAGTAGAACGATTAACTGAGAAAGAATCCCAAATAACCTTTTCATCATTAGGCCGCCGAATCTTCCTCTCACCGTGCGAACCACAAATACGAGTCCTTGGCTAAGGAGTTGAAAGAATCGCAAGACGAAGCCCTGAACGGTAAAGTGGAGTTAGAACGAAAAGTTAGAAGTCTTCAGGATGAAAAACTTATTCTCCAAGAAGAGTTCGACGATGTCCAGGCGCAAATGTCCGACCAAGATCGTCATCTAAAGTACCAGATCAACGAGCTGGAAACAATGCGTGCTTCACTACAAAAAACGATCGAAGAAGTTCAGGTTGAGCTTCTTGCGGCTCGAAACTCCCAACAAAGCACACAAGATAAACTGTGCGAGCGTGAAGCTGAATTTGAAACTCTTGAGGCTGAGAATATTCGCCTGCGGGCTGAAGGCAATGATGCCGAGGCCCTCACAGTTTTGAAACGACATGTTTCAGAGCAGGTACATCATATCCGTGAGCTGGAGGTTAAAAGTCGCGACCAAGCATCGGAGCTTCGACATCTACGCCAAGTCCAAAAGAACGTGGAGGTTGTAGAGGAAGAGAAGAGATCACTCGAGAACCAGTTGCAGTTAATGAATGGACTTGAATCCGAAAACAACACCTTGCGCATTCAAAAGCAGATGTTGGAAGACGAGCGGCAGTCATGGGCCAGTCTTCTTCAGGATAATGCTGCAGATTTCGATTCCCCAGAGGATGTGGTGAAAGGTCTAGTCGAGGGACGTATTGAAACTGCAACACTGGTTGACCGAATCGGCACCCTTGAGGCGCAATCCCTTGAACAGAATGAAACAATCAAGGTTCTTGAGAAGGAAAAAGCACAGCTTGTCCAAGAGCTAGAACAACTACGTACTTCAGGAAACAGTTCAGCTGCAGCAGTTTCTACGGCGGATGTTCGGGCTAAGTCGAGGCTTGAGCGACAGCGTGTCCTAGCTGTCAAGGAAGTGGAGTATCTCCGGGCTCAGCTTAAGACCTTTGACGAAGAGGAGGAAACAATGAACGCAGAAGTAGGTCAATTTGACCAGAAAAAGTCGCAGCAGATTTCCGAGCTTCAAAATATTGTGGACGAGTATCGAAGTGAAGTCAATAGTCTCCATGAAGAGCTCTCACGACGGGAGGCACCACCCTCGGCAGAATCACAGTCTCGGGGCACCAAGCGACCGCTTTCTCCTACAGATAGCAAGGCTGACAACGAACGACTTGCCGTCCTTACACGGAAAAATCGCAAGCTACAAGATGCTTACACCAAGTCGGAACAGAGCAAGACTCTTGCACGCAAGGAACTCGAAGCTGCCAAATCTCAACTTAAGGCCTTAAAGGCCAGATCTAGTACCCGTGTTCTGGAATTGAAGGGCAATCCCACAGCTGAGGCAGAGAAAATCAAGATGACGACTCTGAGGGCCCTTAAAGCCGAAAATCGTGATCTACTCGCCCAACTACGTGGTAATACTACCGAAGTCAGTTTAGTCAAGAAAGTTCCAGCTAGTGCATTAGAGAGCCTCAAGCTCGAGATGCAAGAGATGGAACGTGTCGTTGCGGACAAAGAAAAGCGCAACACTCGACTCCGAGAAATATATGCCGCCAAGGCCATTGAGTTCCGAGAGGCCGTTGCTTCTCTGCTTGGATACAAACTCGATATTCTTCCCAATGGCCGTGTCCGCGTTACGTCTATGTTTCACCTGTCTCCTGAGTACCGCCATGGTGACCCCAACGCCTCTTCCGACTCCAGCGGCCCAGGCAGCATGGGCAATGGCGAAGAGAGTTCCATCCTCTTCGATGGCCAAAGTGGTTCCATGAAGCTCTCGGGTGGGAACAATAGTATGTTCGCCATGGAAATTCGACCCTTGCTGAAGTTCTGGGTTCAGGAGCGGAAGGACATTCCTTGTTTCCTGGCAGCAATGACTCTTGATTTTTATGACAAAACTACTCGGGCAGCAAGGGTGTGATCCACGCCCATTATGTTTTATCTTTCTAACCTCCCTTCATCTTGTAAATATTTTAACCATTATGGACTACAATCCCTTTGATGTATGATTACCTACTCTTTTTTTTTTCCAATTAACGAGGACTTGAGAATGAGAAATACGCGCTCAAGGTTCCCGCCCTTGAAGGTTGCCTCTGCCACTTATTCAGTTACCGATTTGCCTGTTTACAAGTATTTATATCAAGATCGTATTTAGCTAACAATCAACTACCTCGGGAATTTGGTAGAATTGAACTTGGTTTATATTAAAAATCTGAGCAATGCGATATTGATGACCTCTGGCATTGTTCAGACGAGTCCTCAACAATAAACTCGTGAGCTTCATCTGTTCGTGAACTAACTAATAATTCATTCAAATCAAAATCGCCCTTCAGTCTAAGCAGCCTTGTTCTGCTTCCGTGCCTTCTCTGACCATGGGAAGTGAAGGACAGGAACGATGAAGAAGCTATTGGTGTCATCGGCAATACCAGCAATGGCATTGTACCATGCTAAGAAAGCCCCAATGATAGCAAGTATTCCTCCCGCCTTCTGACATCCAGGGTGAGGGACACCTTCAGCAGTGGGGTAGAAGTAAGCCAGGGCGAGGAGAAGGATAGTAATATCAATGACAAAAAACAGAGAAAAGAAGGCTACTGTTGATTTGACCGTACACAGAGTCGCCAGGACAGTAAATATGAACCAGGCCTGGAAAGGGTCAGTTAGCATGCGAGTCCAAAAGAGATGATGAGAGGTGAAGAACGGACCATGAGGTATAGAGCAAAGGCGTTATAGAACATTATAGGTTTGCCCTTTCCTGCTTCTATCAAAGAGGCTTCAATGCCGAATCCTCCTGGAGTGAAAATAATGCCGACTGAGATCCAGAATCCTCCATATGAAGATAGAACAGTTGCACCAAATGTGTTCCCAATTGCCATTTCCCTAGTGTCAAATTAGATTTCAATTCTTTCAATATTCGGTGAATAGCATGATATCGTAACGTACCACATGCCAGCCAAAAGCTGAACAAGACCACCATAAGCGAATGCAGGCGCAATCAGAATGTTCGGTACTGAGACTCCCAAAACGTCACATTGGAGACAGCCTAGCATGAAGGTTGTAAGAGCAAAACCGCAGAGTCCTAGGGGTGCTGGGTTGGCAATATTGCGGTCCTTTGGTGATCTGTAAAGACCTGGTTGGAATTCACCACCAAAGGCTGGGAGACGACTTTCGGCCGTATTGACATGAGCCAAGGGGCCAAATCTGCCAGATTCGAGGTCTTCTCTGGTGATGTTGGCCGAGTAGGCAGTGTCTACGCGTTTAACGTTGAGATCGTCAGACATTGTTGCGAAGGAGAGTTGTGATCTTGTTTTAAGAAAGAAGGATTGATGGGCGGCCAAACAAGGATGAGGGAGAGACGGTGTTTATAGAGGTGTAGACCCTTGTAGGCTGTTCTGATACCCCAGAAAATGGCCATTCTTCAGGGGTTTATATAGGAAACAATTTTCTATAGAACTCTATTAAAGTGCAAGTAGGAACTAGTTCCCATACAGCGAATCATAGAGTGCCAAAAAGGGTATTTAGTCCCATAATTCTAACCAGTCTAGATCACATCCTGGCCAAACGAGTCAAATCAAGATCCATAAGTTTAAGACCCCACATTCCCCAGTTTTTGGATGCTCCAGTGTGGCGTTAGAAAAATCCAAAAGTGGCTATAAGTCAAGCACCTAGGAAAATATGGCTGCATGGAGTAGGTAACTTTGGATGACTTTCCGTAAAAATTCCAAATATGAAGATTCACGATGGACGCAGTGTATATTCGGCACTTTGATTGAGAATCGTCTTCCTATGGGTTTTTTCATTCTTCCAGCAAATTAAATCAAAGTTCAATTTTGCCAATTTTGCCGACTGAAATGCCGCAATCCGGGGATTTACACTTTCCAGTCCAATCAATATTGCGGGGAAATGACACTATGGGGAGCCTTTACTCCGCAGTCTCCGCTCCGCGTGTCGTATATTCCATGGTTTCAACTGATATTTGACTTTTGCCCCAATGTTGGAGGTTAGAGAGTTCGTCACGGGGTTTCAAGACCTGCTCTTCAACCTTGGTTTAAGGCTATGTTGATCTTTGCCTCGTGTTTTTGAGCGGGCCCTTTTTTCTTCCATGCAGAAGACCCAAGGTTCCCCCTATTGATGATGTAGTAGCGAGACATGAGTCTTTTAAAGTAAAATACGGGCGAGTGGAGATTACGGACGAGTGGATATTACGGACGAGTGGAAAATCCCTTTTCTTTTTACGCATCATCTACCATTATGCCACCACCTACCTCTCAAATGGCCCAAAACTGGGAAGAACAGAAGGGTAAGACCTTATTAGCCATTGAAGCTTTTTAAAAAAGGCCAAATTGTCAATGCAAACCAAGTTGCATCTATCTTTAATGTCCCATATACCACCCTCCGGCGTCGCCAATCCGGTATTACATATTGCGCTGCGACACGCGAAATGGTCATAAACTGACTGAGTCTGAAGAGAAAACTCTAGTCAAATGGATTTTCTCTTTAGACGACCGTGGATCTGCTCCTAGGCCTCATTATGTCGCTCAAATCGCCAATATTCTACTCACCGACTATGAAACTAACCCACCTCTTACGATCGGACGAAATTAGGTTTCTACCTTCATTCAACTGAAATCGATATTCGCTATTCAAAATGTTATAATTTTGAACGCGTAAAGCAAGATGAGCCTAAGATTATTCGCGAATGGTTTACACTAATTGAAAAGACAATTCGCGAGAATGGGATTCATGAAGATGATCTTTACAACTTGGACGAAACTCAAACCGCTACTACTAAAATCGTTACGAGGGCTATTATGACCGAAGAAACAAATAGGTTACGGCTATTGAATGTTTAAATTCGACTAGTTGGGAGCCTCCGTCATGCATACATCATATTTAAGGGTAAAAACATGATGTAAGCTGGTTTAGCGACGCCAATTTACCACCTGATTGGCGCATTGAAATAAGCCCTAATGGCTGGATATCAGACCAAATAGGCCTTCGTTTGGCTACAGAAACTATATATCCCTTCTACTATAACATGTACGAAGGGGAGATATAGGCTGTTGGTTCTAGATGGCCATGGTCGCCACCTTACACCCGATTTCGATCAGATTTGCCGACAAAACGATATTATCTGCCTCGTATTCATCTCATCTTCTATAGCCCATATTGTTTTGCTGTTTTAAAACGCTCTTATTTCCGTGAGGTTAGTATCAAAATAGAGTTAGGATTCAACTCTATCAACAAGAACGATTTTCTAGCTATATATCCTACCGTGCGTGAAGAAGCTATAAGATCTGCATCTAATACCTTCACCGCTACTAGAATTACACCATTTGATCCAGAGAGGGTGCTTTCAAAACTTACTATCTCGCTTCGTCCATCAACACCACCACCACCACCACCATCTTAGGGTCGCTACTCTAGTAAGAACTACTCTCCAAGAACGCCAATGATATAGAAATATCTACTTCACCAATATAAAGCTTTATTACGTACAGTATTGCGATTACCGTCGACATTGACTAAGAAGATATTACATCAGATATTGAAAGGCACTACATCTATACACCAAGAGATGGCCATTCTACGTCAGGAATTAACCGCTCCTCGCGAAGCCAATGAAAAAAAGAAGCAACAAAAGGCATATCTGAATGCGAAAATGGTCATTGAAAATAGCCTTACTGTCTAGAAAGGCTGCTAGCTTATCGACGCGTCAATAAAATCGTGATGCAAATGATGGTGATGTAAATGGACGCCAAACCCGAGCATCTTCTCCACGACGCCAGCAGCCACGCAGATGCGGAATATGCAAAGAAACTGGACATAGGAGAGAGACGTGTCCACAGCGCCCGATTCAGTAGGTTATTTACATATTTTTACTGATTTCAATGGAGTTATGAGACAAATAATGTAAAAATGAAAAAGTGGGTTATTTTCACCACCCGTCCGTAATCTCCACTTGTCCGTGTCTTACTTGATTATTTTCAATTTGGTTCAAATGTTACCTTATTAAATCTGGGAATGTTCCAGGATCTAAATGAATCGCTTAAGACATTACTATGGAATATGTAAATTAATATGCCTAGATACATGCCCAAATGTAAATATGACAATCAACAAATGTTTAGAGAAAAAATGGAACAAAATAAAAAGAAATTCTGGGGGACAAGAGAGCGGAGACAAGCAACATCATCGACCTGACGTTCCTTTTGTGACTATCCTTGGTATCCGCTGGCTGGTGTTAACATAGACAAGAGAAACAATAACAATAAGGAGGGACTATATACTAAGAAATTATGGGGGCGGCATGCCAGCTTTTTCACGACGAAACGTATTTCCCGCTGACCAGCTTGCGGGCGGTTGGAAGCTCCTGCCAAGCCGTGGGGCCTGCCTTCATGGCCTCACGCTGAGCTTCCTCGTCGGCAAATGGGTCGATTTCTTTCTGACCCGACGAAACAGGGCGACTGATCCCCAGACGAGGATTGGTTCCAGTAGAGTGGACCTCGAACTTGGCCTCAACATTTCCCTTGTATAGGGTACCGGTATTGGTTGTGAAGCGTACGAGGAACTTGCTATTATCTCCAGAGCCAAGAGCCTTGAATTCTAGCTCAGGGATTCTCCAGATAACAGATGAGTTCTTACGGCGGAATGTAGCCCCAGCGTTCGGGTACATGACAGCGCTGGTGGCATGGGCGACAGAATCACGGGGTTGCTTAGTAACTTCGTCTTCCGTGGCAACATCCAGGCCAACAGTCAATACCAGATTCTTGATGATGATTGAATCAACGTTTGTAGCGAAAGCTGGGTTGAGGTGATAGAAAATGATTGCACTGGCCTGTTGTTCCTGTAAATTCCAGACCGGCTTGAAAATAACGGGACAGTAGGCGGATGAATTGCCAGGAGTCAAGTGCATTTGATATTTGAACGCAACAGTTGGCACAGTTCGGGAGATATTACCTAGCTGGACGTCATACTCACCTCTCTTGTCCTCTGATACGACTTCTTGGACAAAACCTGGGTTGGCGGCCACTTTTTCCAGCACCGCGAAGTTATCAAGATGGACTCGCAAAGTGTCTGTGGGAGCACCAGGGGCAGGATTGTTGGCGAGCGCAAGCTCTCCAATCACGGAGGCCTTCGTCACATTACCTCCCGAGAACCATGCGTTAACTGTTTCAACAATTGATGCATTCAGACCCGGTTGATGAAGTTCAGGGTGCAGAGACACGTGACCATGAGCAGTATGCCCTGAGCGAATAGAGGTTGTGTCTGACATGGCACGGTCATCGTTGGTGGAAATGCTGGGAGATGAAGTATGTCTGACTGGTGAAGTTGGTCCAGAAGACTCGTTTGCGGCTTGAGTTGCTGTCATATCAGGGGTTGGATTCAGCATAAACATCGTGTTCCGAACATCTCGGCGGCCACGAATGGTGCCTGCGTTGCGTCTCATTCCTCCGGTATTTTGGGCCCGCTATTTAAGACATGCAATCAGCAAGGCCATCAGATATAGAAAATAGTCGATCAAACTTACCAGTCGAAGAGTATTGGCCATGTCATCCATGGCCTGCTTAGCCTGGCTCTCATCCTCAAAGATTGGCTGATCACGAATAGTCAGGTTCATACTGGACTCGTCAAATCTAGATATATTTTAGCAATGAATTACTGTACCATGTATATTCTGATTTAGCTTACCCGGATGCTTCCCTCTGAGCTCGTGTTATCTCATCGACTGTCGAAGGACGCTCAGTATATCCTTCTGAATCGATTGGTGCCGAACTGACACCATTACTGGCAAATCCGCCAGCAAATCCGGGTTGACTATCTGGTGTATTACCATTCAGGGCGTTGATAGGTTGAGAGACTTCATTGTGAGCAGCCGTCTCGGGGACATGGTGATTGTTTGCAACACTCGCACTGCGCATGGATCCATCCTCTGTAAATGCTGTGCTTGGTCGCTCCCGGTCCCGGTCTGAGGCTGTTTGTGGAGGAAATTCTGGAATCTGCATTTCTCTATCGTTCCTCTTGAAGGCAGAGAATGGGCTACGTTTCTTTTCCGACTTCCTTTCGAAATTGCCAGTAGAAGGTGTCATCATGCTCCTTCGCCTGTTCATGACGGTTCCCAGGCGTCGTAGTCCTCCCAACGGGGTATGACGTGGCTGGGCCTCTGGCGCTATAATTGAGGAAAAAAGATCAAATTAGTTCGGGTGGCGTGAAAAGAATATTACTTAAATAGCTTACCTGGAGGTAAGTCCATTGCTGCAAATCTATCCGAGCCAACAGATCGCTGACTAGCGTCATCATCTTGAATTCTCGGTGGAGGAGAAAGTGGTGAACCAAGCGGTGGTGCTAAGACTGGGGGCGTTCTATCCGAAGCTTGCTGCATTGCAGGGTCTGGCGAAGTAAATGACGAAGTAGACACCTCCGACTGAGACAGTTGTCTACGTGATGTGGGTTGCGACCGTGGAATACGACTGCCCGCCATTTTTGCGGCAAAGGTCTTGATTTCATCGGCCGTTTGGACATTAAGAAGAACGTTCAAACAACTTTCAGCGGCTTGCCGACTGCGCTCGACATGATCAATTTCATGTGTCTCCAATTGCGTAAGAACATCGCGCAAGTGATTAAGCCGACTTTCATCAGCGGCCTGAAGCTGCTCAAAAACAAAGGGCGCACGCGAATTCCACTGCTCGTTGACCTCTTCCGCTGATGCGACTGCACTAGCCAACAGTTTGGGACTTTTGGCGCTCTTCTCCTTAGCCCTCTCTACCTTCTTCTGGGCTGTTTCGACACTTTTGGCCAGACCCGAAAGATCACTCTGGATGCCAGGTAGTGACTGCATTTCGCGACTCTTGCTGTGGTATTCCCTAAGGGGCCGCTCGACATCTTCTTCGATCTTCGCTCCGAGGGTTTCGTGTGATGTAGCGAGTGTCTCCGTGGCGTTTAGAATGCGCTGCCAAGGAATTTGAAAGATACTAATTCATAGTCAGTTACTGTCGCATAGCCCTGTTTAGATGATTTGAGGAGATCATCTAGAGGTGAGCGACTTACCCAAGCGCAGCACCATTATCCAATACCTGGCGACCCGCCAGCTTCCGCAAGCTTGCGGCATATGTTTCCTCCAAGCGGCGGCGCTCCTAGAGCAATGAAGTTAGCCATGTACAGCCCATACATTCTAAGGATATGATCGGAAGGAAGTAGTATGGCTGCCCATAGGAAACAGAGTATCCGACGACGTACCTGGAGGAAGTCTGCAATATCCGCATGGGTCTTGTTGATTAGGCGAATGCGATCGTTAAGGACAGCGGTAGCTTGGCTTGGGTGTAGGGTGGCCTAGAATAGGGGGAAGATGCCCATTGTCAGCACATTGTTCTTGTAAAGCATCGCGACTCGAAATTTCGAAGTGATCCTTACCAAAAGCGCCGGATACTCTTGCCGGGAAAGCTCCATAATGTTTAATGTCGAGTATCAGTGCAGCGCACCAAGCGCATAATCAAGAAGCAAGCGCACAAAAATAAAATCAAAGAATTAAGCAAGCGGGAAAGGGTCAAGGAGGGTCAATGAGTGTGGGTTGGGGTCGTTAACGGCGGTGTTTGTAATTCGACGAAGACAGCCTTATTGGAAGTGACATGACGACGGCCGGGGAAACATCTGCGTGACAATGCTTGGCACCTGCTGGCCAATCAGTAAGCAAATCATGTGTTACGTAATTATAAAATTGGTTTCGCTCTGTTTCAGCTCTTGTCATGTGACATCATCGCTATTGTTAGTTTGCGCTCCACACCCTCAGGCCACATAGTTTGGTTATTTACAGGCATGATGGACTGGAGGAAGAATCTAGGCTTCTTAGATCGATTGAAGACTATTCAGTCTCTGTAAGTGACCCAACAGCAGTTGGTCCAAGCAAAAACTAATTTTTAACATCAGTACAACGGCCCATCAGCAATCTTCCTCTGCCGCTGCATTTAAGGAGGCTCAAGCACAGGCCAAGCAGTACGAGAATGAAGCCCACAGCCAAGCCACTTCGAAGGTGTGGGCTATTGCCTTCAAACCCTTTGGACTCGAAGACAAAGTGCTAATAATTGACAAATTCGTATTTACAGGAGGAGTATGATGAGATGTGCCAGCAAGCAATTGATGCAGCTGAGACGAACACATCTGCAATATCGGTCATTTGCGATGACCCACCTGAAATTCAGGCTCAGGATGATTCACAAGGATCAGCGACGTCATCTCCCTCATCAATAGGTGAGACTATTGGTAAATATAGATCGTGTTTTCATCATTCCAATGGGCTATATTCCACCATTTATCGGTCCAAAGGTGAAGATGGCTCGTTGCATGCCGTGAAGGTCACAGTCCCGCACTTGATGGGAGCACCTCACGATACTCATCGTGAGGTGAGGCTGCTTCACGAGGCATCAAATACACATGTAATCCGCCTCATAGAAACCTTCAAACTGGATGAAGGCAGGTTTGTTCTGGTCTTCCCCTTCGTACAGTATGACTTTGAGCACCTGCTTCGGCGGAATATGGTGACCGCCGCTCAGACAAGGTCTGCTTTACTTGGCCTGTTTAGTGGCCTTGCCCACATCCATAAATTGGGAATAATTCATCGAGACATCAAGCCATCCAATATCCTCATGGATTCTCCTGATGGCCCAGCCTACCTAGCCGATTTTGGAATTTCGTGGAAACAAGGGGACCCTGGATCAGAACCATCTGATCTCAAAATCACAGATGTAGGTACTACCTGCTACAGGGCCCCAGAGATTTTATTTGGGTACAAGGCATATGGATTGGCTCTCGATATCTGGGCTGCTGGGTGTGTGGTAGCGGAAGCGATTGCCGCAGACCATCGCACATTATTTGACTCAGGGCCCTTGGGCAGCGACCTGTCTCTTATTCACTCTATTTTCAGCAAGTTAGGCACACCGAATGAGAAGAGCTGGCCGGTAAAGCCCCCTGTTTGTGTCTATGCGACAAAAATTTAAACTAATCAGTGCGTATAGGACGTTCATGTCCTACCAGACTGGGGCAAGGTGACATTCGAGTCTTTTCCAAACCAATCATGGGATGAGATATTGCCCAGTACATCGACAAAGGGCCGGGATCTTGTTCAACAATTGATATGCTATGAGAGCCGCCAGAGACTTTCTGCAGAAGAAGTAATTACACCTAGATTTGACGGACTATATCTGTTTCTAACCTTAGCCAGGCCCTTCGACATCCATTTTTCTCTAAACCTTAATACGTGACTACCGAAGGATAAATAGTCGTTTCAGCCACACTTGCATAAAATTCAAGAAGCACATCTATGCTAATCACACCATTGAAAGTTGAATGCTCTGGAGACTAGCCATGGCGCATCAGATGACCTGGGGGCTTAGATTGGGTTCCATCAAAGATAACACGTTATGATAAGGATGCTACAGCAGAGCACAAGTACTTGTGAATAACAGATAAATATTTAATGCAGTCTGTTAATAACGCAAAGATGCAATTTGTTGGGTTTAATGGACTATCCCTAGTCCGAGGATAATCCGGGACCACCGGAAATTAGACGCCACATTGATCTCGTATGGCTGGGATGAAACGTCTAGGAACGTGGGAGTGCCTGGCCCCGCACTGCAAGATTTCCTGGGTACGTATCCATGGGACCTTTGATTAGCTAACAGCGAAAAGTACTCCGTAAGCGTAAACAAATTGGGGGCTATCTTGTAGTAGTTCACATGGAATTTTAATCTCATTTCGTTTTTTGATAAATAAAAGACACGATTCTCTTGTACAGAGTATAAGAGAGACAACAGATGATTTTACTATGGGAAGAGACTGAGATTGATATTGACAGGTCTCGATTATCGTTCATCAAATTAAGAAAAAAAAGAGGGTCGGTTTCGGATCATTTCCTAATTTGGATATTGGGCTGGAAATTGGTATCAAGAAAACCAGGCACAGTATCATATTAGCCAATAAAATATCTCGACGCTGTATGATCTTATCCAAATTGGGTTAGCATTGTATCTGCAGTACAAAGCCCTGAATTACCATAATACGATTCATTTCGCCCCATGATATATCATCTCTTGGTTCATTTGCAATTTACTCAGGCTCACTGTTCTTACCCTGATTTCCTTCCTTCTTCCCTTCCTTTTTCCCATCAAAACGACCTGGTAGTCGTTGTCCATTCTTTTCTTTGACTTGATATCGGCAGTGCTTGATTATCTATCAGTTGTCCATTCTTTCTACCTACATTCCACAGCGCGTCATTTTCCGAGCTATCTGACTCGCTCTGGAATTTTAGCCCCAAGAACTCGGAACTTTTCTTTCTCTAGAAGCTAAAGTCAGCTTCTAGCTACCACTTCATATCGACTATCACCTGAACGCTTCCGGTTCTGAGGCCACGATAGCTAATCAAGATGGTGCATGGGCATACACATCACCCTCATGAGAACATCTTGCCGCGGGTGATTGTCTACGAGACTCTGGAACCGGACTTTGTTGGTGAGGTTGGAGGCTACGTAACTCGGGCTGAAAATGATATCGCAAGCGTAGTCGATAGTATCACTAAAGATGATCCTACGACAACAACAAAGCAGACCAAAACCACTGAGGAGACGACCACTACCAAAAAGACGACCGCTGAGAAAACAGAAACTACCTCTGTTCAAAAAGAAGCCACCACGACTACAAAAACTAAAGTAGATACTACTCATACGACCGAAGGCAAGACAGCGGGAACTACTACAAACCAGACTACGAGTGTCGCGTCAGAGACCACTTCGACTCCAACTTCTTTCGCAACTTCCATATCAACGAATTCGACCCAGGATCTTTTGACGACATCTACGGCATCAGCCAGTGACTTGAAAGCTTCAGCTTCCCCGACAGCAGTCAGCCTGCATTCCACTGGCATGTCTTCTGGAGCCAAGGCCGGTACAGCAATCGGTGTTATACTTGGTATTGGTCTTCTGGCTGCGTTGATCTTCTTCTTTTACCGAAGGAACAAGAAACAAAATGAGGCAGATGAGCTGTTGGACGAGAAGAATGTTAGCACCAAAAACCTGCCAGCTCGTCCGACTGTTGCACCAACCCATGCAGCGGCTCCACAGCTCAATGTTCGCCCAGTCACTCAATTTGCTCCTGATTTGAGCAACACGGCCACTGGTGCTGTAGAAGATGCCGCTGCTGGCGCGGTCACTGGAGGTGCAGTCGTTACCATGCGCAACCTCACAGGTGACGGCACCCCGCCTCCTACTCCACCCAAGTCCATCAGCCCCGATCCGTTCAGTGACCCTGAGAATCCCTTCAGAAATGCCACCCCTTCGGTCAATTCACAAAACGTGCCTGTTTCTCCGACAGACACAGGTTCTTCGGTGCCTGTCGCGGCAGAAGCGACAGCAGCAGATGCAGGTACTTTGGCAGCCGTTGGCAAAGCCGCTTCCATCTCTTCCGAAACTGCCCAAGAACAACCCCGTCCGTCCACTGCCGAATCAGCAATATTGCAGCCCGGTTCTCTTTCAGTTGCGGGCAGTGTTGATGGTGACTCAGTTTCATCTGCCGCCATGGCAGCTGGTACCATAGGTACTACTGGCGTGGCTATGGCCGCCGTTGCTGCTGCCGGTGCCGATGCTGGTTCTCAAGGCGCAGCTCCAAGTAACGTGCACAGAGTGCAGATGGATTTTGTCCCGACACAGCCAGATGAGCTCCAACTTCGAACTGGTTCCTTAGTTCGTATGCTACATGAATATGACGACGGATGGGTAAGTGCCACCGAAATAATGAGTTTGAAGCAAACAAACATTAATCTATCTTTTAGGCTCTTTGTTTGCGCCTTGATCGTTCGCAGCAAGGGGTTGCTCCGCGCTCCTGTCTCTCTGCGCGCCCTATCAAACCTCGCTCGCGTCCGCCGCCTGAAGCGGGCCCTGGCCCTGGCCCTCGTGGTCGACCTATGATGGTAGGCCCTAACGGTCGCCCTATGTCCCCCGCAGGACGTGGGCCAGGTGGACCTCCAGGAGGCCGATTCTATCCTCAAGATGGGCGATCTGGATCCCCTGGGCCAGGAACCTCCACTGGCTCTGGATATGCGGGCCCAGCCCCTCTACGCAACTCCCCTGGTCGCTCTATGTCCCCAGTCCATCAGTTCCCCATCCCTCGTTCAATGTCTCCAGGCGGTGGACGACCCGGTTCACCTTCCATGTCCCCGCGGTCCATGTCACCCGGTCCAGGCATGCGACAAGGGCAAAGATCAATGAGTCCTGGTCCCTACGGCCCCCCTGGAATGAGACGACCTACAATGCCTGCAGCCCAGCGAGCCCGTAGCAACAGTGCTGGAAATGTTCCTCCACGCTCTGCTCCTGTTCACCCCAGTCCTTTAGCGGCAGGGCCTCCAGTCCCAGCTCCCACAGCCGACCTTCCTTCCCTCCCTGACTCCACATCAGACTCTCCCAACGAATCTAATGTTAGCAAAAAGCCTGTTCCTGGACAGAGCTCCTAATTGTGCCAATCACGAACATAATACCCCGGATTTGATCCTGTGATTCTTTTTTTCATTTTACATTGATGTTCTTTGAGGAACAGAGACAGCCTTGGTGTGTCTCGCCCGGCAGTGTCTCGCTAATCGGAAATGAGCCTGCCTCTTACGATGACTCGATATCTACGTCCGTGACGAACAAATCTCTGTTCTCATGTTAGTACTAGTTACGGAAATTTACACTATTTTCTCATTTTCACTTGCCTAGTTTTCTGAGTCTATCTGATCATTTAAAAAAGCTTGCTATAATCTTCATTGAACAATTTTACAGACGGGATGAGCTGCTTGCGCCGACCTCAACATTGAAATAGCCCTTCCTCCCTTGGCTATTGATCTCCGATCAGATCAAATATATGGGAGATGGACGAGATTGGACGAGTGCACGTCCACCCCGTATACTCCAATGCCCTGCAACCCAATACCCGAAGCTTCACGCTCATAATCAAGCACGATCCGCCATCCGTCACATAAACATGTTTAACAAATCGTTATGTGAAGAACGGTGTTCGTAATCTTCTGTGTAACGCAGAATTTGCGGTAGATAGACTTCAGAGTGGTGACTTGGTAGTACCCAGGTATGGGTAATACTTTGGATGACCGAATATCTAGGTATATTTCAAAGAGTTTCAATTTTCTAGTTTCGTGCATATGTGCATAGATATCCAACATACAAATAGTGATCCTTAGCTAAAATATCACTGAATTTGCTCAATGCTTCGACACCCCCTGAGGTGGACTGTAAAGGTCAAACTGAAAATGAAATTGTCGCATAATTGAGTCATCAAAGTCAAAGGCTTTTGAATGTTCAGGGTATGTAGATATCCAGACTCGTTATATAAAACCCCAAAAAAATTCGACAGAACTTATTATAGATGGGGTACTTTACAACTCGCAAGAACGAGATTCACAATACTCAGGATACCTTCACCCAGAATCAGACCAGATGCCAAAACCACAACAGTTGAAGATGCAGCATCCGCTTTTTTCGCTGTATTTGCGGTGTTTGCTGATTCGCTGGATCCTCCGTTGGTAGGGTTAATATCAGAATCACCGTTGGCAATTGGATCTTGCGCCGAGACTGACGAGTGTTTCCGAGCCCACCACCAGGCAATGATTCCGCCAATGGCTCTTGCGAGCGTAAAAGACGGAACATTAAAGATTCCAACGGCTACGGCAATTCCGCCCGGGATCCAGTCTCTCCAAGGCGCAGGTGAGCCGTTACGTGAAAAGGAAGGGGATGCGCCAACGAGACGAAGAGCCGTGAGGAACATCCAAACAACACCAGCTAGAACAGAGACTTGCCAAACCATCTCAGGTAGACCATGACCTGTAACAAGGCGCGCGGTGAAGATCCAGACGTATGCAGTTGGTGTCTGAAACATGTCACCTGGGATATCATAAACACTCACGTATAACTTGTATACAGCTGTAGAAAGTACAGCACCAACGAGACTGCCAATTACCTGACCGTAGAACTGGGCTTTGGGGCTTGCACCGAGGATATGCCCCGTCTTCAGATCCTGCATCATGTCGCCAGCCTGTAGAGCACCTGACTCGGAGACTGCGCCTGCGAGCAGGTTGGTCACCAAGGCTGCTCGACGAGAAAAGTGAGATGCGGGAGTGGCGAGCGAGAAAATAAGTTGGGTGAGCTTGCTAATTCCGGAAACTGGGTTGAGATCTGTCTCGCCAAGGGCTCGGACGCCCATTACAGAAAGGAGAACTGCAATCAACGTAGCCAAGCTGGACAGCCATGGAGAAATTATATCACCGAAAGCAAAGTGCATACAGACGACATTCAGAATCAGTGTCAAGGGTAGGAAAATGAGGACTGCTCGGTTGGAGATAAGTTGTGATGGTGGAGCATCCTCTTCCTCTACCGCCCCAGTATGAGCACTTTGCAGGTCATGATTGGAATCTAAGGCGGAGTAGCTGATATGGGAGCGACTATGACTCGCAGATAAATGCAAACGCTGTCCCAACCAGCTGGATCGGAAATGATCTATCCATTTGGGACAACGAGCCACCAGCGGTTTGATCACGAGCCACCCAAGACTGACAATAGAATCAGCGAGCATGATGGACAAGGAAATCCATACAATCCATGCTTTACTCCCGTCCTCCCAACTACCCACGGGTCCAGGGGCCCATCCACGATGTTTAGCTAGTGGGGATAGTATACCCCATCCCAGCACCGCTCCAAAAAGCATGTGCATACACGTCGATGGCCCCATGATAATTCCCTGTCCAATGTACGCAGGAGATGGATTGAGAGTCCAGAGCCAATTATGAGCAAGCCCAGCTCCGAGTATAGGAATATCTCGAACTCCTGGGACAAAGTAGGAAAACAAAGTCTGCAGAGGTTAGTACCACACAATAACACAATTCCCAAAAACAAAATGAACTCACATATATACCCGAAACTACGAATGCACCGATCAACAAGCGCATTTTAGCGCGCCAATCCTTTTGGTGTGACGCTTGATCCTCGGTGTCAACATCTTTCAACAAGAGCCTATGTTCTCCTTGCCCATGGACTGGCCCAGAAGGCTCTATATAGTCTGCACTATTGCGATTCTGGGTCGGTACAGAGATTTTCTCATCTTTACCGGCGCCGTGCAGCACTCGAAGCATGAGCGCCGAAGCGGTACCGCTGGGAAACCGCAGCTTCTCTCGAACAATAACCTCCTTCCGCAATGGAACTGCGAATACCACTCCGAACAGGCAAACTCCAAGACTCCAGATGACTAATTTCCAAAAGCCGAGCTTGAGGGGCCCACCTTCACCCTCGCCTCCGCCCACTGGACCGTCTTCGCCGTCTTTCAGTAGATATTCCAGTGCAGGAATAACTCCAACAAATCCACATCCTAGCGGCATAGTACCCACTGCTCCGGCCACGGTCTGAATGAGGACATTCTCGACTGGGGTAAACGGGAATGACAGATGCTTAGATAAGACCTTGAAAACCGAGAAGCCAATCAAGGCTGATGGCATTGCCATTGTGCTTATCCATCCTGACTGCAGACCAAAATATGTATTTGAGAATGTAATTAATATACCGATAATGAGACCGACGACGAGGGAGCGGGGTGTGAAGCTCTGTGCGGAGGTGATTCGCGCTCGAGTGGCTGTCTCGTGGGTATAATCTGCATCTTGGCTATCCACCTCTATTGGCGCATCAGGCTGTCGCTCGGAGGCATCACCTGACATGCTGAAGGTCTGATATCTCATAAGTCCAGTAAATGATAGATGTGTCACAGCGAGGTGGCTCGGTGAAGAGAGATGCTTATCATCTCAAGATTGATAAGCACGAAAGGAACAGTAAGGTGTCAAATGGCCAGTCCTATTTTAGTCTAGTGTTCTTTGTTAGTCAGCTTCCGTACGCTCTTTAACTACTGTAGTAAGATTTACTACTGCGAATACACAAGTTGACATAAGGTGTCAAATGGAGGTCTGACTACCAAAGGGATAGTGGATTCTAGTGGGCAAATGAGAGTGCAGTATGCGTATGTGTGTATGTGTAGCTATGGTGGGAATCCCATGGTGGGATTCCAATGCTGACTAAAAATAGACTAACTGTAAATGGAATCGGGCCTTTGACATAAGGTTCAGGTCACATGACGTCACATCTCTAGAACCTACATCGCTAACTATCGATCAACCGACATCTGGAATAGCTCACCGTTTAGAGAATCGGGGTTTTCAAATTCGGCTCTGGGTCCATCTTCTGCTGAAATCAACTCTAGAACCACATGGTGACTGCAAACTTGTCAAAGAGTTCATACCATCAAATGGGTAGGCTTTAAATTCGATATAGCCAGTTATCAGAAAGCTGCGCAGGTGGTCTAATATCTTCCCTATTTGAAGCTGCCCACGGTGTCTCATCTCTCAAAATCTTTCATCCTATCTTCGCAGAAGGAACAGGCCATACAGCCGATCAGCGCAGCTCCAGTCTTGGCGAATATCACCTTATCAGAGCAGCAGCTCGAGCAGATTATCGCCCGAGCAGTGCAGACGGCCCTAGCGAATCATGAGCAAGAGTTTTAGAAGCACTATGGAGTTTCTCGGTCTATCGCTCAGAGCATGTTAAACCTGGGAAAGATGTCGAAGACTGCTATGAAGTCTTTTAATGATCGGGCGAATATTGTTGGCCCAATGGATCGATACGAATATGTGTCAGAATAGAAGAAGCTCTAGGCCCTATCAGTCTTCGATGAGTGGATCAAAAAATGGGTCTGCGACCAAATCGAGATGACTGGAACTGAGAAGGCAGAGGTGCAGCAGTTGCTGCGATGGTAGTTTTTTGTTCCTTTCTCTTTTCATATTACTGGAGTCCGTTGGATTTTCTTTTCGTTGCATATCATTAGGCGTATCTTAATCTTATTTTGAGCCATGGGCGGCTTTTGCGATCTTCCATACCTTTCCATTCGAACTCTGAAAGCTGTGTATAAGCGTCATAATTCAGTGAGTTATTCAGAAATTCAGCGACTGCATCTATATGACGAAGGTAAAGGTCATATATTGCGACGAGTACGAAGAGCATACGAGCCATCTTGTAGCATTTCATGCTAAACACAAAACGCGCACTGAGCCAAAGACTAATTTGATCTTTCAACAGGAAGATCAACCTTTAGATCTACTTAACTTCTATGCCAACTATTGAAAATATCACGCTATATTTCGGATCTCCGACTTTGTCATCTCTCACAAGAAAAGCTGAACATGTCATTTTAAAATCACAGCTACAAGTTCTTCTACCCTTTCTCTGGGAACTTGACGGCCTAAAAGCCACCCAGCATGCCAAATAGTATCCTCTTGAGACTTGATTGACTGCTTTAAGCGTGGCCATAAATTGAAATGACCATGTGGCATGCCCGGATAAGCATCAAGCTTCACCTCAACTCCGCTGTCTTCTAAAGACTTCGCATAAACAATACCATCGTCGCGTAGAATGTCTAGTCCTGCGACCTGAACATACGTTCGTGGTATGGCAGAGAATGGCGCTGTAGAGACAAAAGGTGAAAAGTCCTCAGATAAGAAATCCTGATGGTACAAATCCTCGTATCCTCCAGCAGATTTTGTATCTAGACCCGGATTCCCATGAGCATTGGCGTTCTGCTCACGAGATATCCATAGCTCCTTGTATTTCTCCGGCACGGTCTCTTTGCTCATACACACCGGAATACTAGCCCAAATTCCCGTGATTGGCGGGAAGAGGTTCTCTTTCACCGAACGATGAGCTGTGACGATGGAAAGATTTGCGCCTGCTGATCCGCCACCAATAACGAATCCTTTGGACAAGTCTGCATCAAGTGCAGGCGCGTTGGAAGCTATCCATTTCACACAGTCCCAGATGTCATTCGGTGCAGTCGGAAATCTGTGCTCCGGTGCTAAGCGATAGGAGGGTTGAACAACAGTAGCACCGTATAGATATGCGATCGTGCGAGCCCAGATGACAGATTGGATATTTGTGCCCATAACAAAAGCTCCTCCGAAGATAAGAACAACCACGGGGTTTTCTGAAGACGAGTTGCCCGGCTTGGTAATGCGAAGCTCACTTTGGTATCCATCGCGCATTGCAATGTTAATCACGGATTCTTGCGTATCGAATATTGGACAGGAATCATATGTTTTCCTCTCCATTGTTGAAACTATTTGACGCAATTCTTTAATAGATCCTGAAAAGTCCATTGCAGGAGGTGGGCTGTATGGAAGAATCTGTTTTGGGATTAGGCAAGATTCAGAGATTGACTAGAGTCTTACTTACAGCTTCGAGCTCTGGATCCGTGATGCCTAGCTTGAGGACATCCTCTTTTGTGGTATACTGATCCATCGTTGTAGACAGTATTAATTTGACGTATGAATTGAGTATTTTATTCAATTGAGGCTGATTGGGACTTCTCTACATTCATGATATTCCCCCGATGCGAATGTGAAGCCTTTTAAAACACGAGTCCTATGCCCCACATAGTGGGACAGTTATGCAGTCATGATTACTCATTAACAGTCAAGATGATCCGTTAAATTGATTTGCGGTGAAGAAAAGGGTCCGAGGCTTTCGCCCTGTTTACAACCGCCGATTGGCCTCAGGATAGATACCCTAGTTGTTGGAATAGGGTTTATTCCAACATGTGCTATTACTCGCGTTAACCTAGAAGACCTATTGTCGGAACGATGGTTTGACTAGTCTTACTGTTGCATATGCATCTACTTTGTACATGTATCGTTGCGAGCTGTAAGAGGTATGTTATTCAATCTTGTCCTCGCTGTAACTAAATAGATAAAACTCACTAGATTCACTTCACGTCGCTGGACCAACAGCATCGTAACCATTCTCATTGGTCCTGTGCCCCACTTTGGTCTGGTGGTATCGACACCTATCTCTAGAGTCTATGTCCATCTCGAACTTGATAAGTTATAATAGTAGGATAACCGACTATTCTAGAGAACCCACCATTTATGTTATCCATAAGAATGGGATAATGTAGGCAACCTACGGAGGAAGGGAAGGGACTAATTGCATTCTATTGAGATACTTACTCAGCATGCTCAGCTCTACTCAGTCAAAACAGCCATAAGTAGATAACCGAGATCCTCTTCCAAGTCCTGGAGTTCCAAATACCTAGGTGGATACCTAAATATACCAGTCTGGGCAAAACTATCTTCTGGTCTCCTAGACTGTCAATATGAGTTCGATCACGTAGGTAACCGTAGGTGTCCAACCTTGGAGGTACTTAATGTCGGTATCATAGGTTATGATAGGTGAAATAATATATCACATTCTAATCTTGGAAGCCAATTTTTCAAAATTGATGCCGTTTCCGTACGTATGCCCATGGGAGCTACTCAGCGTCTAAAATCCAGGATCATTCAAAATCTTACAATACACCCCGTGGACCATTTCATCGCATATATGATCGTATACTCATAATGGCAGTTCAACCGAAAGGGTTTTTGATTCCAATATTCTATGTTGGGCAGCTGAAATATGGACTACCTATACGTAAGTTGAAAACGGATATATATTACGAATAGTTACTACCAACTTCGAAGTGCTCACTTGGTTTAGTAATGATGAAATATGATCCTAGTACATTTGGAAATATACGTGTGACTCATGCCAGCCCACTAGATCCTACTTCTCTGCCCCACAATCATACACCTCTTTCTATCACCTACAAGATTGGGAGATCTTGAATGAGCCTTCTAAGGAAAAAATAATGGCAGAATCAATAAGAACCTACGGCTTTACAGCCGTTCCAGCCTCAGCTTCTACTCTCCTAAACGCAACAGAGGCATACCCCCACCCCGCATCAACTCCAGAACCAATTCCAGTCTCCGCAACTCCAATACCCACAACCAAGCTAGCACAACGCATCAATACCTACGCTCTTTCTCGACTATCGGAACCTACGTATAACCATTCTTTGAGAGTCTACCACTACGGAATAGCCATCAAACGATTCCGTTTCTCCTCTCCCGATTGGGACTTTTCTGACGAAACATATTTCCTAGCCTGTGTGCTCCATGACATTGGTACCACGGACGAGCATATTCATGGAACAAAACTGAGTTTTGAGTTCTTCGGTGGCATGTTAGCCTTGCAGCTGCTACAGTCCAGCGGGGACTTGATGGAGTCGGATTCGTCTATAATAGCACCTCGCGAGCAAGCAGAGAGCGTGGCAGAAGCGATAATTCGGCATCAGGATCTGTGTGAAGTTGGCAAAATCACCGCTGTCGGACAGCTCCTGCAGCTTGCGACTATATTTGGTATGTTTTATCATTCTCTTTCTACATCCTTTCTACATATAAAACCTAATTACAGTCGGCTTTTATGAGCAAAACTTTACTCAAATAATTCTTTCTATAGATAACACTGGCTCCTATGTCGACCTTGTTCACCCGGACACTATCCAGGATGTGTCAACGCAATATCCTCGTCTCGGCTGGACCCAATGTTTTGTCACTACGATCCGTAAGGAGAATGAACTGAAGCCTTGGGCGCATACGACAGCTCTTGGTGAAGAGGAGTTCCCGGCAAAGGTTCTGGGCAATACTTTGATGAAGCCATATGAGTAGCCAGGGCTCAGATAGGACAGATTAAACCTTGGGATGGATTGAAATTTGGACCTTGAAAGCTCAAATTAAAATACCAGGTACTTAAGGGAGGAGCCGGTTAGAAAATTCCAAGTTAAGGAACGTTATCGATGAATCCCTCAAGTGCTTAGTCCAACAAGGGCCAACCCCCTTAGAAACATACCCACCTTTAAACCGCGGTAAACTTCAAAGTCAGTTAGTAGGAATCATCTAATTTTAAATGCCAGTAATTATCGTAAAATTTGGTTGTATTCAACAGTTAACGGCCACCCAATTTCGACTGCCCCTTCGTGATTCCTTACTATGGACGAATGAACATCGTGGCAGTATGTACAGGTACGACGTACCTTTCTAGGGTTCTAAAGTTTTCACTGTAATTTCTTATTTCCTTGAATTATGAAGGACTCCTTGAGCCCATTCTTGAGGGGATCTACAAACACAGTTGGCCAAGATTTCCTCGCTCTAGGGCAGATCATCGCATTCCAGCCCTTACACAGTCCACTCCACCAATGCCTTTTTCTCCTAAAGAGCGGTCCTCAGCCTCCTGCATTCCACATGACGATGACCAGGTGAGAATAAAGTTTGATTGGACTAGAACTATGCTTGTTCATGGCATCCAGTGTAGATTCTTCGCGTCTCAAGTAATCACGGCGACTACTTAAATACCATGGGACGTTACCGTCAAGATTCTTTTCTTCGAGCGGACTTTCTGTACTATACGACAAACGACCACTTCCAGTCCGATATCCAAGACGCCTATACAGGAAACTGACGCTCATTAAAACAACATGCACTTCTCCACTGTAAGATCAGCAATCAAGAAACGACTTTCCACCTTCCATGCGACTAATCTTAATCAGACATTTGCATCTGCAGCCATGCTCGTACTTGGCGCTCGCGCTGCACTGCCTGTTGCAAGCATTGAATTTCAATCTTGGTCAGACTGCCCAGCTGGAGATTTGGCCGATGGCAAGCCCGTGAGCGTGGCAGAAGTAGCCACTACTCCAGTTACCTGTGACAAGACCCCCGTCTCCCGTCAATGGAACGTCGACTTCTTCTCCTTCAAAGCTCTCATGGACACCAAGGAAGCCAAGCTATGCAGTGGTGTCTATGCCTGGAACAACGACGATTGCTCTGGTGAGCCCTGGTCATTCTTGCCTTTCGATGGCGAGGGTGTTGTCCAGGGTCAATGCCTCCCAGATTCACTGGATCCTACATACCTCTCCTTCCAGCTTTCTTGCTATGGTTACTACTAAACCAATTATTTGTGGAAAAAATATATGTGCGATCGGGCGGCTTCGGCTCGGGCCTGCAGGTGACAAAGTCCAATGTTTCAATATAATATCAGTTACAAAGTCCTCATGTTCTCATTTCAAATATATTGTAACCTGGAATTTAATACAAAAATGGAATGAACCAAAACCTCGTTAAATGAATGATGTTCCAGGACAAGTCGCTTCTGAAGTTAATTCTAACCCCGTGATCTTGAATTTTTGCCCCTCTTTTTTCCTTCTTGTACCACTCAGCCCCCACACTCTTGCATTAAGCCACCATAAGAAGTAAAATATACAGAAGCTGCATGTTGATCCTGCGGCCCAGTCTGAGCTTCATTTAACTTCATCTCTCCGTGATCTGCGATCATGGCGGGCTCGGAGTCTCGGCGGATGATTCCTTGGCTGTACGACCTGGTGCTGTGGCTTTTTACTTGGGCGTTAGATCTCTTTTTCAGAGAAATTTACCCTCGTGGTGCCTGGAGAATTCCTGAGAGAGGACCAGTACTAATCGTAGCTGCCCCTCATGCTAATCAGTTCGTCGACTCGGCTGTATTGATGTACCTGCTGAAGTCGCAGGCTAAGCGTCGCGTGTCCTTTCTCATTGCTCAAAAATCTATGAATGAGCCCTATATTGGGGTTTTAGCACAATGTATGGGATCACTTCCTGTTGTCCGCTCTATGGACCTGGCTAAGACAGGCAAGGGGACTGTCTACTTACCCGAGCCAGAAACTGATCCTGCTTTGGTTAATGGCATCAACACTGATTTCACCCAACCTGAGTTCATGCCCAGTGGATCGATCACTGTCAAAGGTCCAGTTGGCCCTCAAACAGCCTCTATTGAAGAAGTCATTAGTGCCACTTCTCTTCGGCTTAAAAAGCCATTTGACTCCCCGCTACCTGATGACCCTGGTCGTAAAGGCACACCCTTCAAGGTTGCTCCTCACGTTGATCAAAGTCGGATGTTTGACGCTGTCTACAAAGACCTTTCTAACGGAGGTTGCATTGGTATCTTCCCTGAAGGTGGTAGTCACGACCGCTCCAATTTGTTGCCGCTGAAAGCTGGTGCTGCCTTGATTGCACTAGGGGCTCTGGCCCGGGATCCTGACTGCGGTCTGTCTATCATTCCCTGTGGTATGAACTACTTCCATGCGCACAAGTTCCGTTCACGTGCTGTGATTGAATTTGGACGGCCGATTCATGTCCACCCCGATCAAGTCGAAGCCTTCGAACAGGGTGGAAACAGCAAACGAAACGCCGTGGGATCTCTTCTCGAAACTATCTACGAAGGTCTTGAGTCTGTCACTCAGATTAGTCCGGATCATGGGACACTCATTATGGTTCAGTCTACCAGGAAACTTTACAACCCCATCAGCAAGAAGATCCCACTGCCACTTGTTATTGAATTTAACCGTCGGCTGCTGAAAGGTTTTACGCGCCATCGTGATGATCCACGAGTAAAAGCTCTTAAACAAGCGGTGAGAGACTACAACAGACGCCTCGATGCACTTGGAATCAAGGACCACCAGGTAGAGTGGGGTAACTTCGAGGAGAAGCCATGGCTGCTCACACTTGTTACTTTGTTCTATCGGCTTTCCAAGCTTCTTGTCTTGAGTGTTGGAACATTGCCCGGCGTTATCCTATTCTGGCCTGTATTCGTCACAACAAAAGTAATCTCCGAGAAGAAGAGACGAAAGGCTCTCGCAGCTTCAATTGTCAAACTTCAAGGGCGGGATGTCGTCAGTTCATGGAAAATTCTTGTCGCCATGGCCTTGGCCCCAACCCTCTATACTTACTATACCATCATTGTCACTGCCTGGCTCCGCTACAACCGCCTTGATGGCTACTACTCGCATTCTGTCCCCTGGTGGATAGTAGCGAGAACTTATGTCCCTGACTGGGTGCCACTCTGGCTGTTTGCCGTGAGCTTCTTTACACACATGATTTTTGTAAGCTATGCAGCACTTCGATTTGGTGAAGTAGGAATGGATATCTTGAAGTCTATCGCCCCGCTTTTCGTGGCCCTGAACCCACTCTCCTCTTCATCTTTGGTTGATTTGAGGTCGCATCGGGAGGCGCTTTCTGATCTGGTCACCGAAACCATCAACGAGCTTGGATTTGGCATTATGCCTGATGTTGATGCCGAGATCCCCTCTGATCAATACAAGCCCGATGCTTATCAGTCCAAGCTCAAAAGCATGCCGCCTAGTGAACCTGAAAGTCGGGATGGTAGTCGTAGCAGGTCGAACTCGAATGGACCTGCTTCTGGCTTGAAAGCCCTGAGCTCGATTAACTCAGAAGGTGACTTGGAAGAAGTTGACCGAAAGATTTCCCAGAATCTAAAGGGGCGAGGTCGAAGACGACGCTCCACGGTCAACGGATTTGAGACTGGCGAGTCGATCTTGAAATACAGATCGCCCTCTGAACAGGAAGAAGATAAGAAGAAGAAGTAGATTAGATATTGAATGCTTGATTTGACAAGATTTAAATCTACCAATTAGGCATGCCCACATTGATACTAAGGACAGAACTTGTATTATATGCACATACAAACAGCGCAATCGAAAATAAACTGTTGGAATATGGAACAAAGCAGTCATGTGATCAAATTGTTACTTTATAATAGATAGCAAATTAAGAATGAAACTCTGACTTTACAACCACTTCAGAGACACAAGCTGTCGATACCACTAGACCAAGGTGGGGCACAGGACCAATGGTTCCGATACTGTTGGTTCGATATGAAGTGAATCTAGCGAGTTTTGTCTATTTAGTTAGAGCGAGGATAAGATTGAATAACACACCTCTACAACTTCGCATCGACGCACCTAGATCTATTCCATCGAGAATACTAGTTGCATATGCACCGTAAGAACGTCACCATTCCGACACAAGCTATTATAGGGGCGTAAAGCGCAACCTGTGATAGGTGTCAGAAGTGGGCGTTAACCTCTCATCAACTTCATCGAATTGCTATACCCACCGGTGTACCGACATAAACATTTTGCAATTCTATTGCCAATATCAGACAGTTCTGATAAGCGCCACATCAGTCTCCGCCAAGAACATTAGAAGATTCTTTCTAGAAGTCACTCGGGGAATATTCTCAACGTTCCCAGCCTTTTCAAACGTCTGCCATGCTCTGGAATGTGTAAAGTGGGCTAACATTCCAGATCCAGCAATTGTGATTGCTCATTGGTCTCAGATCGACATCAAATAGACTATCTGGGAACTGGAATGTGCAATATGCCTTCTTACTGGTGCCCAGAACACACGTTTGACGTACACCCGCCACTAACTATCACGCGGAATCACGATCATCTTATTCTAGAGTATCGTGGAAACTGTTGATCACGCTTCACCTCAGTAGAATCGCCATTCCAGTCATTCTCCCCCGCCATCCCAATAGCTTTAATTCCCACGCAAAGGAATGGCCAACCTATATAAAAGACAAGCCCTAAGCCGTCTCAATCTAACCTTCATCCCAAACACAATCTACAAGATCATCTACAGCACTCATCACATTTCAAGAACCTTGAAAATTCGAGGCTTTCCAATCATGCATTCCACACTCATCTCCCTTATTCTCCTTTCCGCTCCTATCCACGCGATTACCACAGCTCGCGTCTGGACACATTTCTACCCATCATGCCCAGAAAACCCTTACTCCGATCTGAGCACATATGAAAATTACGAGGAAACCACAGCACCCATCGAGGTTTCCCTTGGCCAGTGCGCCAGTGTCGTCGTCCCATCACACCAACGCAACTTGGTCGGCGCCGTCTCACTAGATGCCGAGTACACCACCCGGAAACTAGGCCAGCCCTTCCCTGAAGACGGTCCTATCTGCAATATCACTCTGCATGAAGTTCCGGATTGTGTCGATAAACCCCTTATCACGAGGGGGCTTCCTGAAGGTGTCGAAGTCAGCCAGTGCACGGAGCGTCACTTTACCTGGAGTCAGGTCTGGGTCAAGCTGGTCTGCGAGACTGATGTCGAGCACGAAGTCGAGCACACCGTCAACGAACCAGTCAATGAGACCACAAACGAGTCCAAGGTTGATGATGGCCAAAACCTAGACTTCCCCCGAATGGAAGAGACTACCACAATTGAAGATGACACCAACGTCCAAATACCTGAAGAAACCACCTCCGTTGACCAGGAGACCGAAGTTCAAAATCCTGGCTCGAACGCTAATTCCTGGGAGCACTCTGCGAATCAGATTGAGCCGGAGCAAGAAAGCCGTGTCGACAATGCCGGACATGCTGAGAGCGACGCCATTGTTCATCGCATCATGGAGGAGTTGAAAGATAAGAGCTCGGCCATGAACATTGTTAGTGGCAAGCACAATTCCACTGGTGCCTCCAATGCCACTGCGCCTGGTGCGCCAGTTGTATCCCGGAGAAAGTTCTCTGTTCTGCGCAATCGGGCAACGCGGTTGTACTAGACTGCCTGTTTAGAGGATTTGTCATTTGTCTCTGAGCGTTTTTGTTTTTCACATGGCTGGTTCATGGAACAGTTGCATAGTTTTGTCCATAGTTGATTTATAAAGAGTAATAATAGATACCATTAAGCCTATATATGCCCCGTTCCCTAGTAGCTAAATACTACGTAGCATATCATAGATAGTCATGTCCCAGGAAATCACCCTTGCCACCGTACTTTATGAAATCATTTTAATCAGTCATACGATTTATCTTGGTATGATTCACTGTAGTAGGCCATTGACTCCAGGGTAAATGTCTGAACGTACTACCTATCAAAGAGTGGTATTAGTATTGGCGATATTACAGAGGAGGCCAGATTTCAAGGTTAAAGATGTGTACACCGAACACAAGGTAGATTCATTCGCCCGTTCCTCCTAATGTTCTGATGGCTAACACAGCAATTGGCCCCTGTGGCAGATTTCCGAATTTTACCACAAATATTTTCTACTTGTGTTGGTGCCATACAAAGGTAAGTTTCCCCGAGACCAAGAAATCTAGTTGATGTCATCATACAAGCAGTCTTGTCGTTGTTGACCTTGCGGCCAGGGAACTTTTTCTCTGGTGGTGAGATGAGGTATAGCCTCTTCATACATTTTCAGCAGTGAATCTTGGTCCTGTGATTTATCAAAGCGAAAGTGAAAATGGCAGCAAAAATGAAGGTGGAAGGAATAAGAGTGTGTCCGTGAAAATCAAATTGAGAGCTGGCTCATGATCGAAGATACACTCCATGGCTTTCAAATGGGCAGCATATCAGCAGGATCGAAGTTACCGAGAAAGTTGATTTCTTATTGTTACACAAACATTTATGAAAAAGTTAAAGAAGATTATACAATCTCCTGGAAACGTACATTGAGCCCGACAAATTAGAACCCGAAACTATCAAGAAGCGAGTTGCTATCAGGTTCATGGAACATTGTTGGAGGTGGCTTCGGCTTCTGACGCTGTTTCTGTTTCTCAGCTTCATCAGCACCATCCGTCTGGGTGATCTCAGTCTCGTTCACAACCATCAGGTTAGTCGGCCGTACTGGTAGATCGGCAACAACAAGGCTGCTTCGCCGGCGGAGCAACTTCCTGTAATAAACTCCATCGCCATCTAGCCTAATAACAGACTGTGATTGCAGCGTCTGCATGTTGGGCGCGGCGGCTAGGAATTCCCATCGATGTACCAGGTCAAGGGCTAGAAGGTCGCAGCCCATTCGGTCATAAAGGCGTGCGTTACGGAGTACAAACTCCCATTCCTCTCGTGGGCGAACTTGTGAGGCCCCCTTCAGAGTTTGTAGGGTTTTCTCACGGAGTTGCTGGTAGAGGACGACCAAAGCAGGGTCGTTGGATAGATAGGATCTAGACTGGAGAGTGACTCGGCCTGGGGTCCCAGGAGAGGCTGGGGTTGGTAAAAGCAAGGTCTCGATCGGTGACTAGATTCAATTAGTACCAGGTTGCAGTTGATGATTAGCTGAGACTCACGATTAGTGACCGCACTGACATGTCTCTACGTCCAAGCATCCAGAAGGCCCACGAGGCCATCCATCGATTTCCTCCAGATGCGGCTTCGGGTAGAACTACCTCCTGCAAGAGATCTCGAAGAACTGGGCCATTTCCTCCTTCATAAACTCTGGAAATAGCGATTGCAAGCTGAAGGTCACTCAACTGGTGAACGATAACATTGACAGCATCACGTAGATGGTCAGCGAGGAGGAAAAATGCTGCAGCGTATTCTTTGGCTGGTATTAGCTTACTGTAAATGATAGGTTGATTTAGATTTGGGGTAAGCTTACCGAATCGTCGTTTACCAAGCAATGCATATGCATTTTTTAACGCAGACGTCTTCCATCGTGCTTCCTTGAAATCGTTTGCCAATAATCGCTGCGTGGGGCCTTGTTCACGATTTCCGTGCGCAACCCGCCACAGACCCTGCAGGATGCTTTTCTTGCCAAGGGCAAGATAGTACAAAGAACAATCAATGGGGTTTCTGTCCTCAGTTTTGGTATATTCGTTTCGAGCGACGACTTCCAGTTGTGCTTTCTATCAAGGAGGTTAGTTACCATAATATGCAGGTATCGTATCGACATATACTCACCAGTGCTGTTGGATCTGACAGCCACATGAATATGCCACTCTCTCTCGCAGCTTTCCATGTCAACTTTCCATGGAACTGACGCGAGACAAGATCTGTGAGTATGTCCTGACTGCCACTGTGGAAGGCCCACACAATTTCTCTCCACGAGACTCTGTCTTTGTTCGCTACACCTTGACTCTTTCTCAGCGTGTGCTGGCGAAAGAAAAGGAAATATCGTGCGGCATTGTCATCCATTGAGCGTCTGTGCTTTTCTACCATTGCAACACATTCAATGGTATCCACGAGACGGAATTGTTCATGGCTAGATAGTTGGGGTATCGCAATTCGTGCGAGATTTTCATTGAGAGCCACTGCGATGTTCTCATCTACAACAGAAGATAGCTCATCATCAAGTGTGGTGTCGATATATGAAGAGCGCATCTCTTTCGAGGCCTCTAATCGAGACATCTGTTTTAGTTAGCTCCGTTGCAGAATTAGGGATATAAAACGACATAGCATACATCTTTTTCTTCATAGAAGTGCTCAAGTGGCATGTCTAAGAAGCCGTCGAGGCCATCTCCCTCGGTGTAGAACTTAAGTTTGCGATGTAAAGTCAACAGAATAGAATGCACCAAGCTAGTTTTCCCAGCAAGGATACATTGTGCTAAGAATTGCGGATGGAAGATAGGCAGTGGGCCATTTAAACGACTGACGACATCAAAAACATCCACAGATGATAATCCATGGGACGGAATGCGTAGTCCGGAAATAAGGTGATCCGAGGTATCAATTTCCTTGTCATAAACAAACAGCTGATTGCCAGCACCGATAACCAGATGACCATTGGTGAGCCAACAAGAGTCACCAATGGGATGAGGTGTGAGATCTCGAATCCAGATCTCCCGAATTTGGGTCCATGAAGGTTGGGAGTCAAGGTAGTCGTACCGAAGTTGAGATAGCAGAATAACCTTGTGGGGAAACCCGACAGCTAGAACAGACTGCTTATCTGGGGTCGATGTCCAGTCAAGATCCCGAATAATATCACCTTGAGCAAAATGCTCCTCAAATTCTAGCTGAGCATTATTGGTATCCCAGATTGTCAAGTGAGTTCGGTCCGCATCGACAATCGCGGCTTTGCGAATGGTGCTACCACTAGCCAACGATATATTCTCGATGCCCGTTTCCACGGTCGACTTTAGTAACCATTCCACCTTGGTGTTTTCTTGCTCCAACCTTGCAGTCCACGTCCTTAAAGTGCCATCGTAGGTATAAGAAAGGGCAATATCGGGGGAGAATGCATCGAAGAAGCCAGAGCGTTTCGATTTTGGTCCTGCAGGGTCTACGGGCAGAATGTAGGCCAAGTCTTCATTCAGGCCCATATCGAAGGTACAAAACTTTCGTATAACGGCCCCATCAGTGGAGTTCTGACCATTTTGGGTGGGCCATTGAATCTCCCACGCTATTCCATGCATGTCGGCCCCGATAGCTGCCACATAGGCAATGCTTGGATTGTCGTCTGGGGTTGGAAGTTGAAGCACACATAGTGGCTTGCTTGATAATGTAAACGGTAGAGAAGCAAGTTCTTTTGCATGAAAATGACCGAAATCCCACAAAGAAACTCCATTGTGATGGAGGTTGACCAGGAAAGTGCTATTCTCAATGATACATGTCCGATGAATGTGCTCATCAGAGCTCAGGGAGCTTTTATGTATAAGCATTGACCCACTCTTCTGTCTCCAAATCGTGGCCTTGTTCTCGTCAGTCCGCGAAACAAGCGTATCACCAAGCGCATTTCGAATGATCTTCTTCACAGGATCAGTATGACCAGACCAAGATGCTCTTGGAGTGATTCGATTTTTCCGAGGCGCAGGATCAAAAAGTACATCCACTGATGAATCATACCACTCAATTCGACCGTCAAAGTGGTGGATAACAATGCTCAGCTTTTCATCGGACATATTGTTTTGGAAAATCCGGATCTGAGCATAGTCTTCCTCCGGTGACAGATGAGACATGAACCCAAATTTCAAACCCTCAACATGAAGAATGTTGAAAACGCTTGAATTGGTTTTCGGTTTGCCGACGTCTTCCAAAGCCCAGGCAGACAAATGGCCTCGGCCATCAGTCACCAGACAGATTTCCGGGCTCCTTTTTGCAACCTCAATAATAAGTTCCAATGTATTGTTTCTCTTCGGCTCTGAACTTCTTTGGACGGCTCGCTCGGTCACGGCACAGAAATCTCGAAAGTCCAAAAAGAAGCCGTATCTTCTCGGTAGCCCCTTTTCCATGCATGGCGCGTCTCTAGGCTGAACAGATCGATTCATATCAATTTCTGTCCAGAGCTGCAACGCTGAAAGAGCATGAATGTCCGTCACAGCCCACACTCGGATCCTGTTGTCGGCGCACAGGGTGTAGAGAACATTATCTTCTGACTTCTCTCGGTGAAATGGTAACTTCCAGTGTATCCCAGTAACTATATTCGGGTGCGGAAGGTATGAAACTTCGAACCGCACCTCGTTTGCACCGTAGGCAAGTCGTTTCCATATTTTGGCTAGACGGTCATATTGACCAACCGTCACCACTAGTGAAGCATCCGGAGAGAATTGCGCAAATTTCACCGGACTCCCGAGTTGTGTCTTCCATACTAGGCGCGGGGTATCTTCCAAAATCCACAGTTTCAATTGGGAATTTCCTAGCAGTATCTCGTTCGGTGAGCCCCATGATAGGGTATAGATCGGCTCGTCATCGTCTTCGGCGCGGAAAGTATAGGCAAGGGACCACTACAATACATAATTAATTGGCGGAGTTCTACGAAGCTTCACTGAGCAGGAATGGGTTATGCGCACCTTGAGGGTTTCACCTTGAATACCGTACGGCTGGTACACAAACACATCAGGCCCACCGCACACAGCTATCTTCCCTGAAGCTTCATCAAAAGCTACAGCCTCGAGCTTATGTGTATCATCAACGTAGATTGTTTGCAGGAGTGTCTGCGGACCGCCGAGGATGACCAGAGCCTGACCAGAGATATACGCCTATTAACGATGCGCGCGGACGCTGGTCAGCAAATAGGACATTAGACATAGCATTTGGAGCTGCCAGAGAATTTCAGCAATCGATTCTTACAATCACACGAAGTCCATCCCACAGAGCCGTGCTAAACGACTGGAGCTTCGCTGGGGGTCTCCCCGGCAGTACCGCTCGCATAGAGGCGAATCGAAAGGTGGACGCTCGTTGCGCTTAAAGCCACGTTACAGCATTTCCAGATCCAATAAATGGGTTGGTCATAAATATGAATTGAATAAGAGTGCCGTGGTTCAGATAAGATAATTCGAGAAGCGAGTGATCTTCAATAATGCGATCACTTGCAGGAGGAGGACCAAGCGGGCGGTCAACTGCGATCGCCCGATCTTCGGACTAGTTTTATCATACTTGCCAGTTGCTGAGGTTACTACTCTTACTCTAGTCAATTAATCAATTTAGTCGTCATTATTGTTGTCCCTTATGGACATTCAGTTACGTAGAACTACATCTGTTATGCCAAGAATTAATCCAAAGAACCAAATGGTGCTTGTCATATTCAATCATGTCGAGAAGTACATCTCATTATATCAAAACCCCAGGCTAATCCAAAAATCACACCAACCCCCATATGTGCTACCCCGGCTCCTATGCATGCTGTGATGTAACAAAAAGACAAACTTTACAAGAACATGAGCAGAAGTATAGTCATTAGTGATGTACATAGATCCCCCAGAACGGAAGATTTGGAAAGAGCTTCATATATCGGAGAAAAGGTGTCATGTTCGTGAACGACTCGCAGATTTACGGGCCTCCGTAGGGGAATCAGGGATTTCATCATCGGCGAACCGAACACTGATTGAGTTCCCACGGCGAGATCGGGGTCGCAAGGCCGATGCAGTTCGAGGAATTGAAGTTTCTACTCGAAGTAGTCGGCTAGCGAAGGGTGTTTGAGTAGGCGTAGCAGGCGTGGTAGACACTTGAGCCAAGGCTCGGGCGCGGGCAGCTCGTTTAGATGGCGAGGCTAAGTAGTTTGGTGTTGTAAAGGACGTTTCGTAGGTCGGGTCATGGGATGTGGCTTGAGATGTCGCCTGAGAAGCTGGCTGAGACGTCGACTGAGAGTTCGTTTGAGAGTTTGTAGTAATGTCGCTCAACTTGAAAGGTGTTTCGGACGGATTTTGATACCATGGATCGAACAAGACCGACCTCGGGGCCGACCTGGGAGCTGACAAGGGTGCTACCATGGGAGTTGTTGTCATAGGAAGGCCTATTTCTCCAAAATTCGAGAATCTTGCTGGTGTGAACAGGGGAGCTGGAGAGTCGAGCGCCTCAAGCTTCAGACGGGCCTTTTCCAGCCAGGTGCGGAAGAAATTTCTGGAATGTTTCCGCAGGGTTCTTTCTCGCATTGCTTCAGCGGTTTCAACTGTGCTCGTGATCTGAAAGATTCGAAGACTGAGCTTGCGGAATGAAGCTCCAGATTGACGGAGTATGTGTGAGCGGTACACTACGTCTGCCTGATCTTCCATCTCACGACGAGTCACATAAATCTCAGACAATTTGATCAGCTGGCTGAACGCGACTTGTCTGAAATAATGGTAATCGGCATCTTGAATGTCTTGAACTCGCCTCATTGCGTGTCCATGCCATCGAAATAAGACCTCGGACGCAATTATAAGTAGCTTTTTGCGATCCACATCTTCCGCATTCTGCTCCATACCGATGATATGTTGAGTGTTAGATTGCCAGGAAGCAAGTGCATTGGAAGCCAACCTCATTTTGATTTTTCGTCGAACTTTCGCATATGCCTCCTTCCGCCGTCGTTTGGCAGAGTCGAGGGTTGCCTCATGCCAACCCTTCAATGTTCGTTTCATGAGAAAATAAAATTGAGCATTACGGGCCCAACCTTCCATTTGCTGAACCTTCTGGTATTTAGCCCTCCACGCCGTGAGAGACTCCTGTGCCAGGCGTGGGGCGTAGAATTCAAATGCTGTATCATCCCGCTCTCGCTGAAGCAATAGCTGATCTCGCCAAACGGAAAATTTGGAGCGCATCAAATCTTCAGCTCGTTGGTCTTCGTGAATTTCCGCATGAAATAACAATCGTGTGTAAGTTGACCGAGTATTGGTCACGAACCGAGTGAAGACCTCTTGCTTGATGCGCTGCTCACGTATCCGGCGCATAAGCTGGAACCTCTCTGCTAAAATCCATTTGTACATAATTTCCATCTTCAATCGCTCGTCAATTCGTGCGCGAAGAGCAAGACAGCGCAGAGTGTCATTCCAAGACGTCCAGGCATTCCGTTTGATTCTGAGTTGATCAATTTCCTGCGCTTTTCTAGTCATACGTGCTTTCAAAATCCACATTGAAAAGGTGTTTCTTAGGAGCCTGGTTTCCACCCTATGAGTGACATGAGAAGCCGCAGGGGCCAGCCGCATCTGAGTTCTCCATTCGCCAAATATTTCTGCGGTGACTTTGTGTCGTAGGGAATTGTCAGCTTGCTGCTGTGCAGAGATTATCTGTCTTGACCTCGAAGACCATATTTCGAACGCAAAAGCCAAAGCGGATTGTTGATTGTGAACAACTAATTCATGCTCAAGAGCTCGATTGTTCCGTAATCTCCGCAGCCAGTATAAAAGTGACCGACTTTTGAGCCGATGATCGTACCATTCAGGTGCTCGCCTGTCGCAAAAAGTCCAGAACCATTCCCAATACCAGGTATGTTTCAGATTTTTCTGCTGTGTTGAAATTGCTTGGGTCTCTGCTGCCTTGATACTCAAAGCTTTCTGTCGCCACTTGTTGAAGGGTCGCTGTAGTGCGAAGCGTTGCGCTTTCAGCTCATTGACTGCAGTGATCTCACGCCAGGCATTAAAGTACTTAACACTTAGAACATGGTGTCTGGCAGCGGATGTGCGGGCTACTTCTTCGGATGAGAGTTGAGCCCAGTGAGTGAAAGCTTTTGTCATCAAGTATAGATCGCGCGCACGATTAGCGCGTTCGTCAAGATGTTTGAAAAATCGCTCCGTTCTGACTGAGTGCCTTTTCTGCTGAATGATAGTTCGCCATGGCTCGAATGCTTGTCGTAGAAGGGTATTCCGGTCACGATTCATAGCAACGGATTCCCTAGTCTCACGAATCTGTCGCGTTTGAAAGGCTCGTTTCAGCCACTGGGTTAGTATCTTGCGGCACATCGCTCTTTGTCGATACATGTTGAAGGTGTCCGCATCCCGCAGCAAATCTGAAAGCTGCGGTCTGTAGCTAAGATACTCGGGCGGAATATCTTGTTTCTCAAACAAATCATCTTCCTCGACATGAGAGGTAGCATATTGGGATTCTCCTGATTCAAGGCTATTTGACGAGCTAATTGATGGAGATCGGCGAACATGTGAAGCGGCCTTTGCTCTCTTTGAGCGATCATGATGCACAGCTGATCGAGCGACTACTCCGTTGGTTAACGGAGCAGGCTCTGCATTTACATCCCTGTTACGTGCAGTATCAAACCTGCTTATCAATCGGCGACCAACTTCGAGAAACTGTGCAATTAATTGTGTACGATCCGGTGATCTTGGTGTGTCTTTTGTAAGGTTTGGAGACAGTCTGGGCTTCGAGAATTCGGGTTTTCCAGTTTGGAGCCGCGACATTGATGAACGGGAGCTCGGTCGCTGAATAAAGCTTCGCTGTGTGATGTCCTCGCCAATATCAAGCGTGGTATTGAAAGACGCACGTCTCCTTGGTGTTCTTGAGGTGCTATTGATAAGAGGAGTGTGATCTTGTTCATGAGTCTGGCCGCTGTGGCCGCTGTGGCCATTGTGGCCGTTGGTGTTATCAACAGCATGATGCTGGTTCTCCAGGGCATCATTACCACCTGTTAACCCATCCTCGCCAAGGTCAATCACAATTCCCATCTGATGAAGCGCATTCTCGAACTTTTCGAACAGGGTCGGGCCCTTAATGTCTTTGCTTCCCATCTTGAACAAGAAGCGCTGGCACGCAAGGCCAGGATCGGCGTCAACACCATGCTCCTGGATTACTTGATCGTATGCTGCAAAGAGCGCTCGGAATGGGAGTCGATTGACTTCGGGGTGTCCCTCTGCGCGAATGACAACTTGATAGAGGAAACCAACATCTAGAGAGCAAGGCACGGTTAACGAAATATTAGGTACCGAATAAGACAGAGCTACTGCTCACCATCATCTGATAGGGATGAATCTTCTTCAGTGGAAGCGCGCCGCTGAGAGGATATCGGAGGCATCGAAAATTCGCGACCTAAAGCGCGCTTGTCGCATCTGGGTCATAGAGACGACGGACCAAATGAATCATCGCGAAAGGGGAACCCCGATTAGAAAGCAATCACCACAGATCAATCTAGTCTGTAGCTCAGTAAGAGAAAAGTCGGAAAATTAAGGTCAACCCCGCGCCGTTCGTTCAAGCAAATCGGGTTGTTTTGGTGGTCGCGATAGAAACATGCCTAGAGTCACGTGTATAGTAGAGCTATTTCTTGGTTATGTAATCATATTCGTTATTCCTGATTTTTCAGGCTACAATACATGTCACTTCTTCGGTCCAGAGCTCACCAAATACGCTTGCTACTCTCTCTCTCTCTTTCTCTCTCTCTTTCTTTCCTGTCAATATGCCGGCACGGACTAGGCCAGTGGAGAAATTTGCAAAGGCTACTGCCCAGTGCTCAACTGAGGTATTCATCTCAACTCATGAAGGAATCTCGAATCGTAAGAACCTCAACGCTAATTCGGCTGTCTAGGCCGCGGTATATGGCAAGTGTATCTTCGCAGAGTACAATTCCGTCCACAAAGATATGTGTGCTAAGGAGTTTATGATATTGAAGGATTGTTATCTAGTAAGTATTCTGCAAGGGACTTGTATTTTGAGCCTATAACTCATCTCTTCCTAGGCCGCATCGAAGAAGGGTTAAGGAAATGCCAATAACCTTGGAATAATTGTGGCTACCAAAACATTATTGAAAATTCACATCATGGTGCACGACTGAACGGGTCACATCTATCGATGGATTTTGTTGCATTAATTGTACTTATACATCCAGGACTCCCGCCATGCTTGGAAATATAGTATCAAACATAGATCCTCAGGACTTCGGGAGGAAACCCACTACTACAGGAATCCAGAAATCCATGGGTGTTTTAAGGAACTTGGAACACTTAGGGGCTTCCATGGTTGAATTCGGAACCTTGGAAATGCTTCAACATCTACTCTTAATAAAAACAACCTCGGAAGTAATATTTCAAAGAACGAAATTAGAAAAACTTGGTAGACTGCTACGGATCTACATTTATCATAAGTAATCATTGTTTTTTAAACTAGGGTATGGATTCCAAATGAAGCTTTACAGCTTCACCAGACGCAGCAAAAAGGTGGCATTCTGCACCTCCTGCTCCTCCTGGGAAATGGTACCCTCCTCGTCAGCAGCAGGGGACTTGCCATTAACAAGGATGCGTTCATCCAGTGGACGGCGGACGGCTTTCTCGATAGCCTGGGTTTGGGACTTGAAAGCTTCTCCGAGACCAATGTTCTCTGGATCCGACAGTACAATGTACTCCATCTTCACATCATCGGTGGGAACCAGGCCAGCCTTCTTACGTAGGCGCTGGACACGGTTGATAATTTCACGTCCAAGACCTTGATGAGCCAGCTCTGGGTACAGGTTGCTGTCCAGGATAGTCATCACTTCGGCATCAGTGTTGGTCTCCATTCCCGAGGAGTTGGCGTCCTCCTGGATGCCTCGTTTTACAACAAGATCACCTTCCACCAGCTCGATACCGTTAACTAGAATCTTCTTCTCAGCAACGTATCTCTTAACATCGTCACTGGACAAGTCCGGCAAGGCCTTCTTGACCTTCTGCACGTCCTTCTTCAATTTCTTGCCCAGAGTCGGCCAGTCAGCATTGACACTGTACTGAACATTATACTTCGCCTCATCAGTGGAGAGGACAAGGTCAATGACGTTCAACTCCTCGATAATATAGTTCTCAAGAGACTTAACGTCATCCAGATACTGCTGGTCTTGGTGGATAACCACAAGTGACTTCAAGGGAGTCTTCAAACCAATTGACCGACGCTCACGTGAAATACGGCCAAGCTCAATCACCTTCTGCATGCGCGCAACACGGCGCTCCACAACCTCGTCGAACAACTCCTGACGCGGTTCAGGGAAGGCAAGGAAGTGGATGCTACGAGGGTCATCAGCACGGAGGGACTCGGGGATGTGCTGAAGAAGACGCTGGTAGATGCTGTCGGTAAGGAATGGAGTGAAGGGAGCAAGACCGCGGACCATGGTGTAGATAACCTCGAAAAGAGTATTCAAAGCGTGCAAAGTATCTTCAACACCATTCTCACCCTTCAGACGCTTGCGGTTGAAACGAATGTACCAATTGGTTGTGTTCTCAATCAGCTCCAGTAGTCGAGGCACAACAGTGTAAAGGCGGTATCCAGCCATCTCCTGGTTGACAAAAATGAGAAGACTTTGGCAACTGGCCAGAATCCAACGGTCCATAACGTTAGTGTTAGTTGCCTCAGCCTTCGGATCGAAGATGAAGTCAATGTCGGAAGCTTTCTTTAGCAGAGCCACCTGGCCCTCGAAAAACTTGTAGCTGTTCCACATGGGCAGTAGGACCTTGCTGACAATTTCCTTGACACCCTGTTCCTTGAAACGGAGGGGCTCAGCACGGACAACGGGTGAATTGATCAAATACAGACGCAGGGCGTCTGAGCCGTAGCGATCAATAATCAGAGTAGGGTCAGGATAGTTCTTCAGTCTCTTGGACATCTTCTTTCCATCCTCGGCAAGAACGATGCCGTTCACTACGCAGTTCTTGAAAGGCAGCTTGCCAAACAAGTGAGTACCGAGCACAGTCAGAGTGTAGAACCATCCACGAGTCTGGTCCAATCCCTCAGCAATGAAGTCACCAGGAAATCCCTGCTCAAATTGGTCCTTGTTCTCGAATGGATAATGTTGAGAGGCATAAGGCATGCTGCCAGATTCAAACCAGCAGTCAAACACCTCGCTAACACGGCGAAGAACACCCTTGCCCTGCTTGCTGGGGATGGTGATGTGATCCACCTTATCACGGTGAATATCATTGAGCTCACCCTTGTAACCACTTAACTTCTTGAGTTCCTCAACACTGCCTACAGCAACAACCTCCTTGAAGTCATCACTGACCCACAGGGGAAGGGGAGTCCCCCAGAAGCGATTCCGAGAAATGTTCCAGTCACGGGCATTCTTGATCCAACTAGAGAATCTCTTCTCCTTTACAGATGAGGGAACCCAGTGAGACTTCTCAATGCCGTCAAGCATCTGGGGAATAACAGGGGTGACCTTAACGAACCACGAGGGGACAGCACGGTAGATCAACGGGGTATCAGAACGCCAGCAGAATGGGTAGCTGTGAGTAATTTGACTGTCGACGAGAAGACGACCGATACCCTTTAGGTGTTTAATGATGGCCTTATCGGCAGCCTTCACATTCTGGCCGGCGAAATCCCGAACCTCTGCAGTGAAGCAGCCCTGGGGGTCGACAGGGTTAGGGGGATGACGGGTCTCATTGATGACACCGTGGTTGACGGCAACCTGGTAATCGTCTTCACCGAATGCAGGAGCCTGGTGAACAATACCAACACCGTCCTCGGAGGTGACATATTCGTCATTCAGCACTCGGAAGCCGTCGTCCTTGAACTCTTCATAGAAGTAATCGAAGAGGGGCTTGTACTTCCATCCCAGCATATCAGAGCCCTTGATGCGGTCTACAACCTTGTACTTAGCCTTTTTCGGGTCCTTATAGATGGTCCGAAGCAAAGACTCGAGGAGAATATAGTTCTTTTGTGTGGCCTCATCGAAGATCTTCACGTACTCGAATGTAGGGTTGGCACACAGACCAGTGTGTGACGGCAGAGTCCAAGGAGTAGTGGTCCATGCAAGCAAACAGGTATCCGGGTCATCCAAAAGAGGGAATGTAACGACAACTGCAGGATCCTGTACATCCTTGTAGTTCTGCTGCGCTTCGAAGTTGCTAAGGGGTGTGTTGAGAGCAGTCGAGTACGGCATAACACGGTAACCGCGGTAGACTAGACCCTTGTCGAAAAGTTGCTTGAAAACCCACCAAACTGACTCCATGAATGAAGGGTTCATAGTCTATTTTAGACGAAACGAGTCAAAAACTGTGCGAATGACTCTGGTTTAAAAGAAAACTGACCTTATAGTCATTGTCAAAATCGATCCAGCGACCCAATCTTTCGATAGTTTCGCGCCACTCCGAAGCAAACCTCATGACGATAGCCCGGCACTCTTCATTGTACTTCTCAATGCCGATCTTGCCGACTGCCTCAAGACCGGACATGCCGAGTTTCTTATCGATCTCGTACTCAATGGGAACACCGTGAGTGTCCCAGCCAAATCGACGCTCAACATAGTAACCCTTCATCGCCCAATATCGGGGAATGATATCCTTGATTGTGGAGGCAAGCAAGTGTCCATAGTGAGGGAGACCAGTTGCGAACGGCGGGCCGTCGTAGAAAGTGTATGGCTCACGGCCTTTGGAGAGTTCAACCTGGCGTTTGAAGGCATCAATCTCCTTCCACCGCTTGAGGATAAGCTCCTCTTCAGCGGGAAAATCGATAGACATGATGTTGGTAGTGGATTACAACTTGCCAACAGACGAGGGGCAGATACCTAAGTAAAAATAAGTGTGACTCAAACCCCACCACAATTTTGCCAGTGCGCTCCGCGCCCTCACCGCCTTCTACCTGTACTATGGACGACATAAATGTTATAAGTTGATGTGATGCGGTGAAATATTTGAAAATAACTCTGTATATGGGATCGACTCGCCAATATCCCATTCTACTACAACGTACATCATATATCCAGTCTGCGGATAATGCGTCGCATGTTCAAGATCTATTTGGGAGCTTTCTTCATATCTACAAAGTTACTGGTGTAAATATCTAGCTATTACATAGCTCTAGAAGATTGCCAAGTATGTACCGCATTCCCTATGCCAGTTCTTGGCGTGCCCCTTCCTTATTAGTGCTCATCCCCTCGCTGCTTTTGCTCACTAGGACCGAGCACATCTCGGAGCATTATAAGCTCACTGATCTGCTCATTGAGTATCAGGTGACACATTGACAGTGAGCGGTCCCTTTCCCTCCAAATTTACTATATATCTGTGTTATGTGCACACCCGACTCGTTACACTAGGTAAGTATGGTTAGATGGATGTTGACTAGATCCATGTTGTTCCTTTGATGGCTTTATTCTAGATCAGATATAATCATATCATGAACTACACCCTTGGGCCTTTTAGTTTTTCGTGGGTTAGAGCTCTCTGTCCTTGTGTATTTCCAATTCAAGTCTTTTTCTTAAGCTTCTACATTTACTCAATCAGTGATCCTTAAATGGATCACCCTTGTATTCATCAAATCGACTTGAAAGATAATTATTGGACCCGCAAATGTAACTGTTGGTGGATCAGTGATAAAACTGAGATTATGCATATAGATCCCCACTGGGATTACTGCTTGATTTTGTGAAGATAAACGGCAACCTCTGCAGTGAATATATAGTCCTTGAAAAGTTGGTTGGCAGACTCCACAATCCATGTCTGGCAATCCCTTTGGGTGATTCTCTTGCCTGATGCGACCTAGAATATAGAGATTAGCTTATACCTAGGTATATTCCGACAGCAGTAGTATATCCCAAAAATAAAAAGACATAATATTATATGCCGAGGATAACTGAGGGAGTTAAACTCACTGTGTTATGAAATACATTCAATTTCTTTCCAGGTGCTTCGACCATGACAGCGGTTAAGTCAACGCCCGCGAAGATTACGGCTTTGCACTGAGCAGCAGTTTCCTCTGGGGAGATCCCTGCATCCAGAAGACGAGACTGACATGTCGACATCTGTGCGGAATTAATATTGGCTCGGGAAGTGACGCCTGTGGCAAATCGATCTAGTTCGTGAAACGACTGAATCGAGTCTTCATTGGAAGTTAGACGGATAGTGAACCTGTGCCAATGACCCTGGATCCAGTTGATGATGAGATATACTACCATCCTTGGCTTTGGTTTTTATTTTCCAAGGGCATATAATCGTGTATTCCTTTTGCGGCAAGAAAATGATCAGCGAAGTGCATTGTCTATTTAGAAGCAGTAATAGCGCCCATCCGCATTCCCAACATGTCATCAAATGTCCAATATCTACACGACTCGGAAACTTTCTTCCGAAATATCAAACCAAAGATCGAAGTTTACCATTTCTGGACCTGAATAAATTCTCTCATGTCCATTTCCTATCAGATTTCAAGTTTCTGGGTATTAGGGTCGCCAAAAGGCTGGCATAGAAAAAAACGGTACGTAAAGCTACCTAGGTACCTGGATGCACAAAGCGGAAACTTGAAACCAAACTATATACATTCCACACTGGACAATGAGGCCTAGACTTACTCCTCGTCATCTTCATCTTCATAGTCATCTTCTTCGTCCTCTGACACGTCCTGGCCAAGATCCTTGAGTCGTTTCTAGTAAAATAAAACATTAGTCATTTTATAGTTGATTGGGTAGTCATGTAGGCCTACCTTGGCCTCGTTTCTTTTGGCCTCTAGATCGCCAAAAACAATCAGCAAGTCATCCAATTCTGACTGGGCAGATTGACGAGCTTCTTCATTGTCTTTTGCCTCAGATTGTGCTTTCCCAAGCTGTGCTTGAATCTCTTTGAGTGCATCAGCTGCACTCTGAGCTTGAGACAATGCATCTTTCATCTTGCTTTCAGCATCAGTTGCACGCAATTCCAGAGATGATATCCTGGAGGATAATTCGTTGGCTGCCTTTGTATCTTTGGTGGACCTTTCATGAGAACTGTCGAGATCTGATTGGGTTTTCTTGATTGTTTTCTTAAGCTCAGCAGCATCAGTGGTATGTTGGTCATTAGCAGCAGCCAGCTTTGACTCCAGACTTGAAATCGTATCCTTGAGACCTGTGACGTCTATATTGTGCTGGCTCTTGGTTGATTTGAGAGTGGATTCCAGGTTCTGAATCTTTTGCTCAAGATCAACAGTTTGTCCAGCGTGGCCTTCTTTGGATTGAGTGATCGTTGATTCCAAATCCTTAATGGTCTTTTGAAGGCGGGCGGTCTCACCCGCGTGACCTTCCTTAGACTCATTAATCGTTGATTCAAGCTCGATGATGGTTTTTCGAAGAGAGGTAATCTCATTCGCATGACCATCTTTGGATTTACTAAGAGTCGATTCCAGCCCCTGGATGGTCGTTCGAAGGCCGGCAATCTCGCCCACGTGGCCTTCATTGGACTGACTAAACTTCGATTCAAGCTCCTGGATGGTTTTTTGAAGATGAGTAACTTCTCGTGCATGGCCTTCTTTAGATTGGCGAATCGCCAATTGCAATTCCTGGATGGTCTTGTGCAGGCCAGCGACCTCGCCAACGTACTGTTCCTTAGCAGTGACCAGTTCGGATTCCAGGCCACGAATGGTCTTGTGCAATTTGGCAATTTCTCGTTCATGGCTTTCTCGCATTTGGCTGGTCTTTCTTTCGTACTCGGCCGACGTTCCTTTCAGCTGACCGTCAATGATACGGAGCTGGTCGCCATGCTGCTTGAGCAATTCGTTTTCGGAGCGTTTGTGTTGCTCTTCTAACTTTGACAGCTCCTCTTCATGGGAGCGCTGAAGAGATTGATAGGCCTGCTGAACCTTAGAAAGTTCCCATGAGCTTGACTCTTTTGTTTTTCGGTGATCCAACTGCTCTTGATCGTACTTTCGTTGGAAAGTGACAATTTCCGTTTCCAATTTTTCAATTGTTTGGCTCCGGTCATCTAGTTCCGCACGTAATGAGTCCACAAGTTCCCTTGAGACGCCCTTTTCAACTCCATTGGCAACGATTGAGATCTCGAATCCTGGTTCACGATCAATGGCTCGAATCAAACGACTAAAATTGTCTTTGAGAAACTCGACGAAAGCGCGGTCAAAAAAGACTTCAGGAAGACCGCCTTCAACTTGCCCATTGGAGGTTTGTGGCAAGACCTCAAAATCACGAACCAAGGGGCATTCTCTCAGCTTCGTAATCTTGTCAATGTACTGCTCTCTTCCGAGTTGCTCAATGAGAAGCTTGTGCAATGTTACTCGTGGGATGGGAGAATCTTTAGTAGAGAACTCGTAGATAATTCCCAATAGAGCTGTACAGAGTCCTGGCACCAACTTGCTGGGTGTTCTTGGATGTTTGATCTCCTGTAAAAGAGTCTGGATACTGCTGCCCTCCCCGAGGAAATCATTTACAACATCTGGGTCTTCGAAAAGCCAACCACATAGTAGCATCAAATATCCAACAGTGATTCTTTCATCATCACCGCGTTGCAAACCTGTGATCAAGTTTCCGACAACTAACTGAACACTGGTCACAACTTCCTCGCCATTCTCTGCATCGCCCTCAGTGACTTTCATGGCAGTTGCTTTTGCTTCAGCGTCGTCAAAAAGCAGGTGGAACATCAATACACAGGCCATCCAAACTTGATACGGATCGGCATTTCCTCGAGATTCTGGTGCTGTTAACAGCGCAGATAGAATATTGGGGATCAGATCCTGTCCGCTAACATGCCCTTCAACTGCACGTCTGAGCACATGCATGCGAATGCCAGGATGCTGAGAGTAAAATGCTTTCATGCATTCACAGGCTGCAAGACGAGCATCCAACAAACTGTTGGGGGCAGGCTGTAAGGTCAATTTGAGGAATGCTTCGATAACATTGATGCGCTCCGGTTCCGCACTTCCATTATCTCCTTGGGTATGAGAACCCCAGAACACCTCGATGTCACCAAATCTCTCTTGCAATGGAGAATTTCCGCGAATGAGATCTGCACATGTGGCTAGAGCCTTTGCCGTAACATTGACACTAAATCTCTGACCAAAGGCTATACTGAGAACTTGTTCAGTCACACCATGTTGCCAAAATGATGTTTGATTGTTGTGAGTTCCCTTGCCCCCACGTAGTAGAAACAGTTGGATGACAGCCAAAAGACCCCAGACATTCTTGTCACGGTGATCTGAAGGCCATTGTGGAGGAGTTACTTCGCCCTCTTCCTCACGTTGGCAGTCGAGAAGTAGCTTCGTCACTTTCTGCACGCAGCCGGTCTCTCGGAAATAAGATTGGTTGGAAATATTGTACCGTAGTAAAAGGGCAAGTAAGGAAAGGCAATCCTCAACCACTTCGGTGCCGTGGATCAATGACCCTTCTGACTCGATTAATGAGAATAATATCTCGAAAGCATTTTCAAATGCGACGAGTTTCTGTATTTCTTCCGAGGCGGGGGTTAAGGCGATGAGTAAAACAAGGGCCTCTGTATATCAAAAGTTCCTTGTCAGTTGAGACTTCTCCATAGACCTGCTGGCTTATTCGATATGTATATTATCTCACCGTTTCGGACCGGCTCTCTAACATCCGTGACCACATTGACGAGGCGGGATATTCCCAGGGGAGCCGTGAAGATGCACTCTTGCGTTCGCTCGGGCCTCGCACTGCAGATATGGTACATCAGCTGGAGAGAGTATAGACGTGAATAAAAGTTACTAGTCTCCAAAAGATCGAGTAGAATAGTGATGTTGTCTTGTCGCTAAATCATTATTAGTTCGGTTCGTAAAGGGGAAGATTCCAGTTCTCTACCTGGGTAAATTCATCTGCCAGCCAGAGAGCAATTTCATCTGATGCTTCAGTCTGAATGAGCAGTTAGCGAGATGTGTGATTGTTATTGATTGCTAGACTACTAACGCTCGCCTCGTCGGGAGTAAAAAGCATCAACAGGGTCTCGAGGACCAGTTTGATGGTATCAACATCATCACCATCGTTGTGTAGGCTGCTGATCAATGACCTTAAACCCCCTGAAGCAACCGATGCAGGATAGAGCTTTGCAAAACTTCGTAGACCTTGGATTGCAGCTCGCCGATCCTCCAACAAGGTTGCACTCTGCAACCTACTGCTTAGAAGGTCAATTGTATCCGTTGCCGTTTGTTTGGCCGGAGCCTGCGACTCTAGAATTCGAAACATCGTAGTTCAATTTTAATATCATGGTCAAAGCTGACCTGGAGCTTAAAAACTAGCAGGCATCGAGGAGAAGTCAACAAATAGAGGGTTTGAGTTACCCCGACTGAATATACAAAGCTTATCACCGCCTTCTACTTCTAGAAATCAGATCACGTGGAAAAAGTAAATATCTCTAGATATAGATAGATCAATAAAGAATTGAAGTATACTTCATTGTCTGATGTCGATTTCTTTCAAGTTAAGCTTTTCAAGAATATAAATACTAATCGTAGCCTATCATTTAGGTCTTATAATGTTGACCTGTGGACACCTGGCCATGGTTCATGTGAATGACTAAGGCGTAGTAGCTCCGCTCGCGGAAATAATTATCGCAGAGTCTGCCAGTACATCCTAACTTCTACACGCCTGCACCGCAATTCTCACGCGGTTGCAATCCTCTTTTCTAATTTTGATTCTCATTTTTGACGTGCGCATTATTTTACATTCGGTTTTATCTTTCTTTGAGATCAGATACTAAGCTTGCGTGGTTTGCCAAGTCAGGACTCGACACATTCGAGTACCGCGCCAAACAGTCGAAATCTAAACCACCACTAAGTGTCGCATCACAATTATGGGTGTCCCAGCGCTTTTCCGATGGCTTTCTAACAAGTATCCGAAGATTATCTCTTCGGTCATCGAGGAGCGACCCCAGGAAGTGAATGGCGAAGAAATTCCGGTCGATACTACGCGCGCGAATCCTAATGGCGAGGAGATGGATAACCTGTACCTCGATATGAATGGTATTGTGCATCCGTGTACGCATCCCGAGGGCAAGCCGCCGCCAGCCGACGAGCATGAGATGATGTTGGAAATCTTCAAATACACCGATCGAGTAGTTAACATGGTCCGCCCAAGAAAACTTCTTATGATCGCTATTGGTACGTGAATGCTTCATGAAACCTCAAATGCTTGGCGCTTGCAACTAAAATTTGATTCGCTTCATTTCAGATGGTGTTGCCCCAAGAGCCAAGATGAACCAGCAGCGCTCACGTCGATTCCGCTCCGCCCAGGAAGCCCAGGAGAATGATCAGAAGAAAGACGAGTTGCAGAAGTTGATCGCAAAACAAAATGCCGCCAAAGGTATTGACAATGTCCTTCGAGAGGAAGTCGTTCATAAAACATGGGATAGCAACGTTATCACACCCGGAACGCCCTTCATGGATATCCTCGCAGCATCCTTGCGCTTCTGGATTGCATATAAACTCAACACTGACCCTGCTTGGGCAAAGGTACCACCGTTTCTCTAGATCCAATTTGTTTTTGAATGTTGGCTAACCATTTCCAGTTAAAAATTATCATTTCCGATGCCACAGTTCCTGGAGAGGGAGAACACAAGATTATGGAATTCGTTCGGTCACAACGTGCATCGCCTGAGCACGACCCTAACACTCGCCATGTTATCTACGGATTGGTAAGCTAATAATCTACCGTTGATTCTTCACTGCTAACAACGAATGCTATAGGACGCTGATCTGATTATGCTGGGTCTTGGTACGCACGAGCCTCATTTCCGAGTTCTACGTGAAGATGTCTTCTTCCAGGAGTCTAAACCTCGGGCCTGTAAATTATGTGGACAACCCGGTCACAAGGCCGAAGAGTGCACAGGCCGTGCCAAGGAGAAGAATGGCGAGTTTGATGAGAAGCAAAACGCAACTCCTCTCAAGCCATTCATTTGGCTCCATGTCTCCGTTCTCAGAGAATATTTGGCTGCTGAACTGGTTGTCCCCCAGCAACCGTTCCCTTTTGATCTTGAGCGAGCGCTGGATGACTGGGTCTTCATGTGTTTCTTTGTTGGAAACGATTTCTTGCCTCACTTACCTGCTCTAGATGTGCGCGAAAACGGTATTGACACTCTCATTGCCATTTGGCGCGACAACCTCCCCGCTATGGGAGGATACTTGACACAAGATGGACGTGTCGATTTCAAGCGGGCCCAGCTTATTTTAGCGGGAGTGGCTAAACAAGAGGATGGAATTTTCAAACGTCGTAGACAGGCAGATGAGAGGAAACAGGCCAACGACAGGCGACGAAAGGAGCAAGAGGCCTCCCGCAACAAGGAGCGCGAACGCTTCCAAAAGCGACCGCGTGGATCACACGGCGCCGATGAGGGTGCGCCGCATGGCTTGGAGTTGATCACCCCTAGCCGAGGCCACTTGTCCAAGGATGATAGAGAACTAACTCATAGCATGGTTACCAACCGTCAGGCTGTTTATCTCGCCAACATGGAAAATAAGAGTGCCGCTGCTGTGTTGAAGAGCAAACTCATGAAGGGTTCACAAGACGAACCAGCCACCGAACAGAGTGAAGAGAGCCCGACCGATGCTGCTGAACCCACCAGTCCATCGTCTGTTCTTGGAAAGAGAAAGGCCGACGAGGTACCGGTAGAGGCCCTAGAGGAAGCGGGAGCTACAGCCACCGCCGAATCGGCCAAGCCTAAGAATGATGAGCTCCCGCCCGACACTGTTTGTCTTTGGGAGCCCGGATATGCTGATCGTTACTACGAACAGAAATTCCATGTTGATCCCAAAGACCATGAATTCCGCCGCAAGGTTGCGCGTGCTTATGCTGAAGGTCTTGCCTGGGTCCTGCTCTACTACTTCCAGGGCTGCCCTTCATGGACTTGGTATTACCCATATCATTATGCCCCATTTGCGGCGGACTTTGATATCGCCGACATGGAAGTCGACTTCCAGAAGGGTCAGCCGTTCAAGCCATTTGAGCAGCTGATGGGAGTTCTTCCGGCCGCATCCAACCATGCGCTGCCCGAAGTTTTCCATCCTCTTATGAGCGATCCGGACAGTGAGATTATTGATTTCTACCCCGAGGATTTTCCTCTGGATTTGAACGGCAAAAAGTTCGCGTGGCAGGGTGTAGTTCTGCTGCCATTCATCGACGAGAATCGTCTTTTGGCTGCCATGGAGAAAAAGTACCCGTTGTTAACTGAAGATGAACAGGCCCGTAACACTCACGGTCAAGAAGTACTGATCCTTTCTGATCAGCACCCTCTTTACCAAGATATTGCGTCCAACTTCTATTCTAAGAAGCCTGGTCCGGATCAATACAAATTGAAGATGAGTGTGAGTGAAGGCCTAGCTGGCATAGTTGAGCGTAACGAAGCCTACATCCCTCATTCCTCTTTAGTGTCCCCATTCGAGGCGGAGGGCATGCCAAGTGTTGATGATGACCACAGTCTAATGTAAGTTCTCATTCCAGTTATTAATTTGCGATTATCATACTGACTAAAATGATAGCGTCAACTACACAATTCCCAAGTCTGCTCATGTGCACAAGTCTATGCTTCTTCGTGGAGTGGAGTTCGCGACACCTATGCTGCATGCAGGTGAGATTCGTTCCGTCCAGGAACGAGCACGCACATCGGGCCGATCTTACGGCGGAGCACCATTCCAAGGTCAAGGCCGAGGACGCGGCGGAGGACGGGGTCGTGGTGGACGCGGCGGACAGGGCGCACATATTGATTATGGCCCAAACCCGTTTGCTGCGCATCTTGACCAGCGTTTCAATGCTCCTGGAGGTGCCCCCGGATGGACTCCTCCCAACAATTACCATAACACGCCACCCCCACCTGGACTGTACCAACATGGTAGCCGACACACTGGTCACCAAGGTGGTCAATATGGTGGTCAATATGGTGGTCAATATGGTGATCAATATGGTAGTCAAGGCCAATACGGTGGCCAACAAGGTCAATACAATGGTCAACAAGGTGGCCAATACGGTGGTCAATACGGCGGTCAATCTGGATATGGAAACCAGGACTCTCGGGGCCAGGGTTCTTACCGTGGAGGTGGTAGTAGAGGTGGTAGTAGAGGCGGCCGCGGTCACCGCGGAGGTGGTGGTTACGACCGCTACTAGTCCATGGCTTCCATTACTGAAGCCCTCTCGATTCCGAGTGTTTATTCTCTTCTAGGATCACGGATAGATTTGAATTAGGGTAATAGGCGTAAAGGCGTTTGCGTTCCAAAAGGTACCGAAATATGAAACCAGGTTGTTTTGCTCTGGATATTGTTTCTACTGTTTCAACGTAGTTTCTCACGGGGCGTACAGATATTTGCTCCGTGTATTATGTAGATCTCTTGCTTAATTCATATGCTTCCTAACTTTTGTACTCTGAGCTTCCGCGATTCCCTGTTTTGATCAGCAAGGATACAGAACCACCGGAATAGCTTCGCCCGTTTATATGCGATTGGTATTAACAGCGCATAAGGGTCCTACAAGCTAGTGTTCATAAAATTTAATCCAAGCACAGGTGAGGTAGAAGAAGCAAGATATTCATACTCCGGAATCCGTGCAAAATACAAAATACCAACATCATATTACCAAGAGAAGCCGTAGAGATACCGATTATGTGATTGCGTAACTAAATCCAGATAAAACATAGCCAGAAACATTTACGTTACAAAGTAGATCAGCATAGAAATGGAGTCCGTTTCAAACTTCGAAATGCTGGAAAATTACGAGAAGTGGCTTGCTTAGTCAGACATCGACCCATAAGGCGGTGAGTGGTTGAACTACCGCGAGACCGGAGAAAAGAATATTGAGTCACAGAACATTGTCCAAAGTCATATTTGTTCGGTATTACCCTGACTATTGAATGACTGGGATACAAGGTAAGCCTTATTAAGTCTTTGAAGAATTGGCATCACCTTATCTCCCCCCAACTTTCGTGTGATCATTTTCTCGTCAGCTTACCGCGGGGAAAATGAGATCAATAACTCCGAGATTGTGAAAGAGCTCTTATACTAATAGCCATCCATAGAATGAATTGAGCCCAAAATATCCAATCTCAATAATATTCTGTACTCCGTTATGACCGAACCCACTAAAATCAATATATTGGGCCAGGAGAGCATCATCGCTGATTTTGGCCTCTGGCGTAACTATGTCGCCCAGGACCTGATCAGTGGTCTGCCCTCCACCACCTACGTCCTCATCACTGATTCCCATCTTGATTCGATATATACTCCTGGTTTCCAAAAATCTTTCGATGCTGCTGCCACCTCCGTCTCTCCCGCGCCACGTCTTTTGACTTACGTTGCTGCACCTGGAGAGAGCTCGAAATCCCGTCAGACCAAGGCTGACATCGAAGACTGGATGCTCAGCCAAAATCCGCCATGTGGTCGCGATACTGTAGTTATTGCCCTAGGTGGTGGAGTTATTGGTGATCTGACTGGATTCGTTGCCGCAACCTACATGCGTGGTGTTCGCATCGTGCAGGTCCCCACCACCCTTCTCGCCATGGTTGATTCTTCAATCGGCGGAAAGACTGCTATTGACACCCCTCTCGGCAAGAACTTGATCGGCGCCATCTGGCAACCGTCAAGAATCTACATTGATCTCGAATTCTTGGAAACTCTCCCCGCGCGTGAGTTCATCAATGGTATGGGCGAGGTCATCAAAACTGCTGCAATTTCAAGCGAAGCAGAATTCACCGCATTGGAAGACAATGCGGATGTGATTCTCGCTGCTGTTCAGGCAAAGCCTGGGCATGGTCGCTTTGATAACGTGCGAGACATCCTCAAGGCCAGAATTTTGGCATCAGCCCATTACAAGGCTTCTGTTGTCTCTGCAGACGAGCGTGAGGGTGGTCTCCGCAACCTCCTGAACTGGGGACACTCCATTGGTCATGCTATCGAGGCAATTCTAACACCCCAGATCCTCCACGGAGAGTGTGTCGCCATTGGAATGGTTAAGGAGGCTGAATTGGCCAGACACCTCGGAACTCTGAAGGGTGTTGCTGTTGCCCGTATCGTGAAATGCATTTCGGCCTACGGCTTGCCCACTTCTATTAAAGACTCCCGTGTGCGCAAGTTGACCGCTGGAAAGACCTGCCCGGTAGATCAGCTGCTGTTCAATATGGCTCTGGACAAGAAGAACGACGGACCCAAGAAGAAGGTTGTTCTGTTGTCGGCCATCGGCCGTACCCACGAGCCCAAGGCCAGCATTGTCTCAAACCAGGATATCGGTGTTGTTCTGGCTCCCAGCGTCGAAGTGTACCCTGGTGTGCCCAGATCTTTGAAGGTGACCTGTGCACCTCCCGGATCCAAGAGTATCTCAAACCGCGCTCTTGTGCTTGCTGCCCTTGGTTCGGGCACCTGCCGCGTCAAGAATCTCCTGCATTCTGATGACACAGAGGTCATGTTGAGGGCCTTGGAGTTGCTAGGCGCCGCAACCTTCTCTTGGGAGCAAGAGGGTGAGGTTCTCGTCGTAAATGGCCAGGGCGGCAACATCGTCGCTAGCCCATCGCCTTTGTACCTTGGTAACGCTGGAACCGCCTCCAGGTTCCTGACTACCGTCGCAACTCTCGCTAAGCCGAGCAGCGTTGACTCGAGCATTTTGACTGGTAACAACAGAATGAAGCAAAGACCCATTGGCGATCTTGTCGATGCCTTGGCAGTGAACGGCGCTGGAGTTGAATATATGGAGCGCAAGGGCAGTCTTCCTCTCAAGATTGCGGCTTCTGGCGGCTTCGCTGGAGGCAACATCAACCTCGCTGCTAAGGTTTCTTCCCAGTACGTGTCTTCGCTACTCATGTGCGCTCCTTACGCCAAGGAGCCAGTGACATTGAGACTGGTTGGAGGCAAGCCCATCTCTCAGCCGTATATCGATATGACTACAGCAATGATGAGATCTTTTGGTATTGATGTTAAGAAATCTACCACTGAGGAGCACACCTACCATATTCCTCAGGGCCACTACGTGAACCCTGCTGAGTATGTTGTCGAGAGCGATGCCAGTTCCGCCACTTATCCCCTGGCTATTGCAGCTATTACCGGTACCACCTGCACTGTTCCCAACATTGGTTCCAAGTCACTTCAGGGTGATGCTCGTTTTGCTGTGGAAGTGCTCCGACCTATGGGCTGCTCAGTCGAACAATCCGATACTTCAACCACAGTCACTGGACCTAGCAGTGGCATTCTCCGGCCATTGCCCAATGTAGACATGGAGCCAATGACCGATGCTTTCCTCACTGCCTCTGTCCTCGCTGCTGTCGCTCGTGGAGAGGGCTCAAACCATACTACCCGTATTTATGGAATCGCAAACCAGCGTGTCAAGGAGTGTAATCGTATCAAGGCTATGAAAGATGAGCTGGCCAAGTACGGCGTACTCTGCCGAGAACACGATGACGGTCTTGAGATCGACGGCATTGATCGCTCCACTCTCCGCCAACCCCATGGTGGTATTTACTGCTACGACGACCACCGCGTCGCCTTCAGTTTCAGCGTTCTATCCCTTGTCGCTCCTAAGCCCACTCTTATCCTTGAGCGCGAATGTGTCGGTAAGACCTGGCCCGGCTGGTGGGACACCCTTAAGCAGCTTTTCGGTGTCAACCTCGAAGGAAAGGAGCTGAGCGAGGAAGAATTGGCTGTGTCGACCGAGGAAGAGAAGGCCAGTGGTTCGGTCTTCATCATTGGCATGCGTGGTGCCGGTAAGACTACCACCGGCCACTGGGTAGCCAAGAGCCTGGATCGTCCTTTCATTGATCTGGACACTGAACTTGAGAGCACTGTGGGTATGACTATCCCTGATTTGATCAAGAAGGAGGGCTGGCAAGGCTTCAGAGATGCAGAGCTTTCGCTACTCCAGCGTACCATGCGTGAACGCCCCACGAACTACGTCTTTGCTTGCGGTGGTGGTATTGTTGAAATTCCCGAGGCTCGGAAGCTCCTTACCGACTACCACAAGACCAAGGGCAACGTCCTTCTCATCAACCGTGATATCAACCAAGTCATGGACTTTTTGCAGATTGACAAGACTCGACCCGCCTATATTGAGGACATGATGGGGGTGTGGCTGCGCCGGAAGCCTTGGTTCCAGGAGTGCAGCAACATCCAGTACTACAGCCAGCAATCCAACACAACTGAACTTACCCTTGCCTCGGAGGATTTCCACCGCTTCATCAAGGTGGTCACCGGCCAAACAAACAACCTTGAACTCCTTAAGAAGAAGAAACACAGCTTCTTTGTCTCATTGACCCTGCCCGACCTGAGCGAGTGCGGCGATATTTTGACTGCGGCCTGCGTCGGATCTGACGCCGTGGAACTGCGCGTTGATTTGTTGAAGAACTCAGCTTCGGACAGCGAAATTCCCTCTGTGGATTACGTAGCCGAGCAGATTTCTTTCCTGCGCCGTCGTGTCTCGCTTCCCATTATCTTCACTATTCGCACCAAGAGCCAAGGTGGTCGCTTCCCTGATGATGCCCACGATGCTGCCTTGCAACTCTACAGCTTGGCATTCCGCTCCGGGTGTGAATTTGTGGACCTCGAAATCGCATTCCCCGATGACATGCTTCACACCATCACCGAAATGAAAGGCCACTCGAAGATCATCGCTTCGCACCACGATCCTGAGGGTAAGCTTTCATGGTCCAACATGTCCTGGATTTCTTCCTACAACCGTGCCCTGGAGTACGGTGATGTGATCAAGCTGGTTGGTGTTGCCAAAAGCCTAGACGACAACAACGAGTTGAGGAAGTTCAAGGCATGGGCAGCAGAGTCTCATGAGACTCCATTGATTGCGATCAATATGGGCGATAATGGCCAACTGAGCCGCATCCTTAACGGTTTCATGACCCCTGTGTCTCACCCCAGTCTCCCCTTCAAGGCGGCACCCGGTCAACTTTCCGCGACTGAAATTCGCAAAGGTCTCTCCCTGCTGGGTGAAATAAAGGCCAAGAAATTTGCCATCTTCGGATCACCTGTTTCCGCTTCACGGTCACCTGCTCTCCATAACACGCTTTTTGCTGAGACCGGCCTTCCGTACGAGTACACACGTATAGAGACAACCAATGCTGAAGACGTCAAGGAATTCATTCACGCCGCTGACTTCGGTGGAGCCTCAGTGACCATTCCTCTAAAGCTTGACATCATGCCTCTTCTGGATGAAGTTGCTCAGGAGGCTGAGATTATCGGAGCTGTCAACACCATCGTACCCGTGGAAAATGGCGACAAGCCCCCTCGCTTGGTCGGCTACAACACCGACTGGCAGGGGATGGTTCGCTGCCTACGCAACGAAGGTATCTACGGCTCTAACGGCTCTGAGAGCGCCGTAGTCGTCGGTAGTGGCGGCACCGCTCGTGCTGCTATCTACGCCCTCCACCACATGGGCTTTTCCCCCATCTACATCATCGGACGCACTGCCAGCAAACTTGAGGGTATGGTCTCGACTTTCCCGACCAGCTACAACATCCGTATCGTGGATAGGAACCCTCAGATTGACACTATTCCGCGAGTTGCCGTAGGCACTATCCCCGCCGATCGTCCCATTGACCCGGCCATGCGTGAGACCCTCTGCCACATGTTCCAGCGTGCCGAGGAAGTCGACAGTACTCTTGAGGAAAAGTCGCCGCGTGTCCTGCTAGAGATGGCCTACAAGCCCTCCGTGACAGCTCTTATGCAGCTGGCTGCCAATGCAGGCTGGAGCACCATTCCTGGACTGGAAGTCCTTGTTGGCCAGGGAGTTAATCAGTTCATCCACTGGACTGGTATTTCTCCTCTTTACCACATTGCTAGGGTAAGTTACTATACATGATACCTTCATCATCTTATACTTACCATTTTCTGTTTATAGGATGCTGTTTTGGGCAATTAAGCTGCGTGATCTACCTAGACTCGATATCATCCTTGTTTGAAATCGAAAAAGCGTGGCGAAAAGTAACCACTTTCGGTCTTCTTTTCATGTTAAAACTTTGAATTTACTTTATATAATTTCTTCAGAATAAAGCGAGAGAAGAAAAATTGAAAAGATTCTATTAGCTTTTGACACAATTGACCTGGGGTTTCAACGGAGAAGACAAATGAAAGCGAGAGTTAGTGCACCGGCAGGCACTTGGACAATGACAAAAACAAAAACTGTAAAGTGATTTAAGTTAAACAATCTGTAGATTGCAGTCTTCACTTCCCGCTGTCGGCCTGATAATATTGTTGTCATCACTATCACTTTCACTTTTGCAAGTTTTCAATATTAGAGACGGGAATCGATAATCATGTTAGACTTGCTCCTGGCCTTATAATATCTTAGTCTTAATTACACGGCGTCACTTGAAACAATCACGTTGTGACATTTTTAGCTGAATTAAAAGCCAAGTCTTTTGGTTCAAAAAGAAGGAAATTTTCAGAAGTATATCGATGAGATCTCAAAATGATCGTAACTCAATCTTAGGTAGATCGACCCACTTCGATCTGAAACTGCTTATATTCCGTACTTAATAGTATCCCGTGCATGCATTATGTAGATGGCGCTAGTAGACTATACATATTCGATGCATCACATCCATTTTCTTGAATGTTTCTAGAAACTCCGCATAGTTACGGAATACGCATACGAAGACGCCTGTCAATGGACTCGGGGCTTCTGACACCATAATCGGGTATGATTAATAAGTGGCTATCCTGGTCCAAAGTTTTATCGATCAGATGCAAGCTCCTGTGCACTGAACAAAAGATGATCAGATATCTTGATATCATTTTCCTCCTTTACCTTCGGCCGCTTGGAGATAGTCAGCCATACATCACGCCAGTAACCAACCCCGCCCTTGACCACAAACTGGGCCTCGGGCTTGCCCTTAACAGTCTCCAGCTTATAAGAGCGGAAGAACTAAAGAGAGCACGATTAGCAAGATGATACTTGTCATATGCATATCGATCAAAGCTTACCTGCAAGGGGGCCTTGAATAACTCCATCATGGCAATATCACGACCTAGACACACGCGGGATCCATACCCGAAGGCAAAATTATACTTGTTATACTGTTTTGCTTTCTCCAAATCCAACCATCGCTCAGGCTTAAACTCTTCTGCATCCTCGCCATACAAAGCCAGATCACGGTGTACCAAGTACGGATTACACGAGATCTCAGTTCCGGCTGGGACAAACTTTCCATAGAGCTCAATACCTGGCTCAGTGACGTATCGAGGGAAGATATTCGGTGCAGATGGACAAAGTCGCATTGTCTCCTTGACACAGCCAACAAAGAACGGTAGGTGCTGTATGACTTCGTCATATTGTGGGATGTCGGAGAGTAGACCCTTGCTCGATGAAGCGTCAATCTCCTCTATCATACGCTCGTAGGCCTTAGGGCTAGAGAGCAAGAACTGGATCATCGCCTGAAATGCCGTGCCAGTGGTATCGGCACCCGCAAGAAGCACTAGGAGAACCTCGGCGCGTATGTATTCAAGGTCAAGTGGCCTATTATCATCCGTACGGGCTTCGAGAAGCCCTTGTAGTAGGTCTACCCGGTCGACACTCTTGCCGTCCTTAATTTCATCGATGCGCTCATCGATTAAAGCATCGCGGAAGCGCATCAGAACCCCAATACCCGAGTTGTCTTGCGGAGTTGCCACGAGGTATTTCTTAAAGAGTGTAGTCTTAAGCCAAGAGGTGAACGGGTGGAGGCGCGCGAGTAGCCCAAAGGCAGGTAGACCATCATGAAATCCCTGGATCAGACCGCCGATATCCTCACCCTTCTCTATGAAGCCGAATGGAGCACCGAACCCGATTTCACTGATAATGTCGTATGTCATGTAGCTAAAAGTTCATCCTATTAATTCAAAATATAGCTAAAGAAAAAAAGAAGAACCAGCTTACACTGCCCACCAGGAAAAGTCAAACGCTTCTCTGGACTTGACAAAGGTCTCATCGAGCTTTTTGCTCCACTCTCGAATGCGCTCATCAATCAATGGCTCCATTCTTTTGATGTTGGTGAAGCTATATGGTCCTGCAACACGCTTTCTGAACAAAGCATGAGTCCTATGAGATCGCATGTTAAATAGGCTCTCAGTTTCGCCAAAACTACCGGTAATATAGTGGCCAGTCTTGTCGGCATTGCGGTGATATATATCTGGGAGCTTAGAGTGGTCGCTGACCAGTAGTAACGTCGGGGTAATACGAACAACCGGTCCTGAGGAAAGAAGCATCCAGGTGTTCAGTATATGTTCTAATCTCGATATATCGAGATAAAAGACCTCCAGAGGTCAGATCATACCATATTTCTTAGACAGATTATAAACAGTCAAGTATTCTCTTTCTTTTAAATTCTCTCGCGCAATCCATAACCGCGTTACGGATGCCCAGAAGGGACCGGGAAATGCTGATAATGGGTGGAAAAAGCGGTAGTAGATAATCTGATAGATAATCTTCACAATGACATATGAAACTAGAGAAACGAAGACATTTTTCACTGTCACCAGCGAAAATACATTCTCTATTAAGCCCATGATGCAGATTTAGATATGAGAGAAAGTGCATTCGAATGGGAAAATTATGGTGTCCTAAGTGCCTAAAATAGTTTAGAATGGAGACTCGGTGACCCCTAGGGCTCCATTTGATGATACGATGGCTGTAAGAGGCCAATGGGTATCAAGATAAAGCATTGCGGAGCTAAGTACTGCGTATTCCACTATGGATTGCGGAACTTGAAGGTGATACTGACCAACGAGGTCAGCGGATTAACGGTGAAATTTTTAGTCTATTCCGCCGGAAGTCCAGGTCCTTGGTATTTTCTCGCTAACACTCCAGAGATTGCACTAGTATATAAATTGGCGTTTAGGCGACAAGATCTAGATACACATCCGATCAAGTCGTACAAGGTACGCCTGTGAAATGGCAGGCTTATTTGATGACTTGTCATATGCGTATCCAATGGAAGTTCAATAGAAGAAACTCGGGCGAAGTAATGATGACAGGGGCCGAAATCTGCTACCAAAGCACAGTCCGAAACATCGATCTGCAAGGATTCTGGGACTAGAAATGGCTAGTCCGTAGATACGCGTACTCTTGTCATCGCAAGTTCCACACTTCGATTCTGTGGGTAAAACACTTCAGTAGCATCACACCCATAGGTTCTCGGTTGTCAATAAAAGTGACATGTCAATAAAGATCGTCGATAATCATCGCGTTAATTTGCGTTTAATTCAGACAAGAACCAACGGCCTGATGAATGTTGTATCATTGGGCGAACTATAAGATGTCGGATGTGCCAAAGACCTCGTGATTTCCAAATTAAAGTAAGCGCCATCTAATCTCCGATATTACGCACTTGGACGATAATTTTTTTTATATTTAATTTTTGTTCGTTCGAGGCTAGTGAAGATCTAGGCTGCTATAGAAGTTCGGACTAGATAAGCTATTTAGATCTCGATCGATCCAGATACAGGTGAGATTAGGGAGATTTCCGACTAATATAGCAAGCCAGGGCGGCCATAGTAAGAAATTTAGTTGCCTAGTCAAACAAATTAAGGTTAGCCTTCGATTTAAGGTAACGTACTTATACTTTTTGGCTGAGAATTTTGAGTGAGAATGAGAAGACTTGAAAGAAATTTTCACGACGCATGTGGATCGGAAGTTTTAGGATCTTAGGCCGATCTTCAACAACACAGCCTAAGACAATTGGACACAGTTGGATCCACCCACGTCAACTATCTTCCCTTGAGGGACAGGATGTTGTAGATCTCAATTGCTCAGTCTCACTGAAAACACTAAGTGGGACCCCTCTTTAGTGGCTTTTACCTGGGAGCGGACACTTCTGAAACTATTACAGTGATCGAAGATTTTCGTTGCCAAGTTTCGATATATGAGACAGGACTCACAGGAGCAATGTTGAATGAGAAGGCAGAAATTAAAAGAGAAAGAGAACAAGGATTTTCAGCAGTGTATTATGATCGTAGCGTAAGGCTGTTTGTCAGACTTAAATGGCCTGCTCACCTTGACAGCTTGAATGATAATGGGTTCAACATAAGTCACCCCGTGTTTCACCAAGAATCCATTTCTCATTAGTCAAAATAATGTCTTCCTGAGTTGCACTAACTAGTATCTTAGTGCCATGCTTTATAAATCGGAAGATCCATCTATCTACTGCCGAAGTCTGGTTTCCGTATAATGAACTCCAACTATATACGAAAAACGAACAGCTTCTTCCGAGACTGTATGAGCAGAGCTCATGGTCAACTAGAGTGATACAAGCTGCCTCATATTCCAAGCCGGGCTCTTCCATGGCTGGTTCTTAGAGAACATAATCTAACAGCACTAACTGCGCAATGGCCTTCTCACGATCTGACGATGGTGTGACTGCGGCATATACCAATAGACTGGGTCTACTTTATTAATACAGCGTACAGCAGTGCTTTCGGTACAGGCTTACAACGTCGGGAAATCTGGACCTTTATCTTATGCAAAGGAATCACAAATCACCCAGTTTTCGTGCCCCAATAGGCGCCACCATCGCTATTTACCTCAATCTAGTTAATGTTTGTGACAATCAGCTGTCTCTCCGCTGTTTCCAGGGCGCTCTTGGGGCCCAGTGGACACTTTGTACTCACTGCCATGACATAGAGTAACAATCGCTTTATACTCTGCCCTGCGTACTTAGTAACAAATAAATCTAGTCGCAAATAGACATTTGGAACCCACTAAATACTTCGGGGAGGACTTCTACAGAGTTTTAAGAACGTGCGGGACACTCCCAACTCCACTCCAAATGCACCAAGTGCCTCCGGGACTTTTCCTTCTTTTCCTCTGACCCCATAAGCTACCTTCTCCGTGGTTCTCCTTTTCTTTCAGCGCCCTAGGCTATTCTAGTAACAAATACAAAGACCCGCTATTATATACCGGTCGAAGGAGGGAATCTATCACATATCGATTCCTCTCCACTGCTGCACTGCTGCTTTGCGTTCATTCCGCCTCTTCTGCGCACGAATAACACTCACTAGATTTACCATGGAAGACGATCATGGCTCACAAGGCCCCGTGATCGTTGGGATATGTGCTGCATTTTCTGTATTGACATTCCTTGTCCTGTGTCTTCGACTATTTGCCCGTATTTATGTATGTGCCGATATGATGTCACTGTATGAATGGCATAATCTGACCAAATCTCTTTAGGTACTTGGAAAAATGGGCGTTGACGACTGTAAGTATTTATCATTTGTGCACCCTGCAAGATCTTTTCCTGATCTCTACCTTACAGTTCTGACTATTGGTGCTTGTGTAAGAATAATATTTTACCAAGGCAATCAAACTCCAACTAACTATGTACCTAGTTACTCTCGTGGGCTTTCATTGGCGCTACTATATCTGGTAAGTTAAAGATCTATGCAGACTTTCTATCGCGCATATCTAACAAAACTCAGCTGTCCATGATGGACTCGGACAACACTTCGACTACGTTGACAAGAACAACCTCACTAGTTACTCTCTGGTAAGATTTTACAATCTTCTGGATATTTTTAGGTGTCTAATCCAGCCCTAGATGGTCTATATGAGCTCGATATTCTACCTAGCGTGTCTTGGATTTATCAAGACATCCGTCCTATGGTTCTACTCTCGTTTGGGAGACCGCACACTCACTCGACTTTCCTTTATTATGATAGGAGTCATCGTCACCCAGGCCGCGTCTTTTGTTCTCGTTGCCGCATTCCAATGTCAACCCATCAGCAAGGCCTGGAAGCAAAGTGAGCCTGGAAAATGTATCAACATCAATATTTTCTACCTGTGTAACGCTGCACTTAACATCCTGACCGATCTCATGACCTACACTTTGCCCGTCGGAATTCTCTTCAAGCTTCAAGTGCCGAAGAAACAGAAGGTTATTTTGGGAGTTATCCTTTGCCTAGGTCTCTTGTAAGTTCCGAAATTCTCATGTGTCTCAGGCGCGCCCACTGACAGATTCTCTATTTAGTGCTTGTGTCTCTTCGATCATTCGAATTACTTATATCCCCAACATGCTCAGTTCAGCTGATTATACTTACGCGATCAGTGGAGCCATGTACTGGTCCGTCATCGAAACCAACGTCGGCATCTTTGCCGCTTCCATTCCTTCCTTTAAGGCCATCGCCTCGCGCTTCTTGCCCCGCTTCATTGGCGAGAGCAGCAACAAGGACAAGAAGTCTGGCCCTTGGTCAAGCAAATCGGATGTGCGGAAAAACTTTACCAAGTTCTCCAACAAAGAGCACATCACCATGCAAACAATGCAAAGAATAGATAACACTGTTGTCGGTACTCAAATCGATGCTATGAATGATAGCTCGAGTGAGGAGAGAATCATTGTTCCTGATGGCAAGATCTTTGCTCAGACGGAGATTCAGACTACGTTCGAGAGTCATGATGAAGGTGCCCTTGAGCCAACGTATTCGTCAAGCCGCATGTTTTAATTCTGGACCTGTTACCTAAGTATATGATTCTATGTTGGTTTTTTGTTGATTCTCAAGTGCTACGGTCGTATAACCTCAGAAATTTGATTCCATCATTCTATGTTAAAACAGCCCTGAAGGGATATCGATGACCTAAATTCGTTTCCTATGCATTACTATGAACAAATTACTTTTTTATAACATCGATTAGAACCTTGGAAGAGAAGAAATCATCGGCCAGGTAACTAAATCACTATTGTAGTCAATGAATTTTTCTCGGAGAAACCTTGAAAGTTACCTAGGACCTTTGGGAAAGGGACATATCCGAGGACAGCACGCAAAATCGCATAGAGCCCCTGTAATATCTGGAAGCCATCTGTTTTTGGGTATTAACATTGAAAGGTGGATGGATGGATAGATGCCGCCAATGCATATTCCCTCTTTACTGCGCGCACCCAACTCAATATTTATTGGCGCTTAAGTCAGATTCATACAAAACATGACTGATACCAAAACTAAAATTTACCCACAATCTGGGGTTTCCGTGGTTGAGTCATGAACTAACCCAAGGGAGCAGACGATATCGATATCTCAATTAAGGGCCATCGTGTAAATGGCTCACCGCCCTGCATGTCAGCATTAAATAATGGCCTTTAGATGAATAAACTAACCCATTATTAGACCATATAAAGCCTGTTTATGAAATAATAAATGGAGGAGAGAGTTGAGAGAGATACATGAAAATTGCAGTGCTCTAACGCTCGAAAAAAAAAAAAAAAAAATTTTCCTCATGGCTACTATTTGATACCATACCACAACAGGGGCCTTACAGATCCATACTCCAGTCCTCTAGTTAATCGCCAATATTCTAGCCCTAGCTACATGATCCCCAAATATTTTCCCAACCGACCTCATAGCTCTAATAATTTAAAATAGCCAGCGACCAAGCTGGCCCTCCATCCAAATTTACAGTACGCTCACTTTCAAAGATGAGTCAGCCGCCCGAGCGTAACCGAGCTAAAATTGCGCCTCCAAAGCTGAGGAGCTGGTATCTCTGGGCCAAGGTCCAACTCGTCGTGACTCCACTGAGTGGATCAGACAGATCAATCATTCTATAATGGTTCACTCCAACCAGCTGCGAGCTCAAAAGCAGCAGCAGCTCGAAATGATAGCACGTCAACAGCAACTCCAGCTTATGCAACAACAAAAGAACGGAACCGCGAATGTAATCCCCGTGAAATCTTACAGCGATTACATGCTACATTATGAAGAGAGAAAAAGAAATGCACAGAGACAATTAGACGATCCGACCTTCGTCCAACATCCCACCACACCCTTGAATTTGATAACCAGAGCCCCGAATGTCCTTCAATCGTTCCCGGCCACGCAGATGGAGCAGTCCGAGGTTGTATCATTCGAACACGCCTGTCAATCGGGCGATCTGGATACAGTCAGATCAGTCATTCCCTCAGATCTCCACTCAACAGAATTCCTCCATCACGCCCTCGAGCTAGCCTTCAGCGCTGGCCAGGTCGAGATAGCCCGCTACCTTCTCTCTCACGGCTCAGAGCTGCGCCGCCAAACACCAGTGCGCATCCTCTCCGCACCATTATCTCAGCAAATTCCCCTCTTCGAACTACTCACTCTACATGGCTGGAGCACAAACAATCCGCTCGAGTACGGCGCCGCTCTCCTAGCAAAGGTCGTAACGAACCTCCCCCTCCTCCGCTGGTTCCTAGCCCACGGCGCAAATCCAAATCAGGGCGCTCGCCATGGCAGCGCAGAACCAGACAATGACGCAGTCATGCAGCGCTGCGCCGCCCTCGAAGCTGCCGCTGCGCGTGGCGAGCTAGCAGCCTTGCACATGCTTCTCGATGCAGGCGCCGATATCAAATACGGCACCCCGCTGCACTATGCAGCCGGAGCATGTTCGCCCGGCACTATGCCGCGTGGGGTGGCGAGTCAGGAATTCGACGCTGGTCGGATTCCTATCATGGCGCTACTGGTTCAGCGGGGTGCAGATGTTAATCAAACGGGGAAGTCACGGCTGGTTCTTCATTCCCCTATCATGTATGCTGTTATGGCTGGGGCTGTGGAGAGGGTTAAGTGGTTGTTGGGGCAGGGGGCTGATATTAATGCTAAAGGCCCTTGGGGGAGTACGGCGGATTATGTGGCTACTATGGGGAGTGATGAAATGAAACGAGCTGTTCAGGAGGGCTTGTGGATACAACAAAATAACAATCAGGTTGCGGTACATGGCGATTTTGCGATTCGGCGGAAGAGTTGACTCTTTTGTATATAAAATTTACAATCCTTTAATAGGTACATTTTTCTAGGGAATATTGAAAAAGAATAATATGTCCTGTACTCCCAGTGTATTAGACTAGTTGATCTGTTCTGTAACATTTCAAAGTTCTGTATCACTATTGAGTAAATACCAAGTATGGATTACAGAGCACATCCATAGGTACTTGACTATTCAGCTGGCAGCTCTCAACAATATCTTAATAGCCAGTAAAGACGTTGACTGCTGCCTGATATGTCTAAGAAAGTCAGTCTCCATCAAGCTCCAAATATGAGACAAATAAAAATATCAATAAAAAAAATCACTTGCACGTGGAAGAGTAGTACCTGCCTCGAGCCCTAAAAATAGCAATAAGCATCCGTGTCAAGTACAAAAACTAGCCACGTAACGAACGGCTAACCCACTTTCTAAATGCAGCCCATAGTAAACAGGACTACGCCGTAGCTTAGGTACCGACATGAGAGCACAGTAGTTCGGCGTAACTACGACTAAATCTGTGCACCGCCACATACCACTGAAATACAAATGACCCACCTTTCCGCAATCGATAAGGGCAGCGTCGTTACAGCCAAATTACCATTATCCACCTGCTTTGGATTTCAATGTTTGGCTCATAACCTGATTGTCCCATACCTTCGTTACTGGCAAGTTATATGAATTGAAACAAGCCACCAACCTCTATAAAAGTGGATCGTCAACCCACTTTCTCTTGGTTTGCTATGATTAAATGCGAAACTTTGTAGGTTTTGGCAGTATCTCGGTCTGTCAAGAGGGAGAAATAGGCCCTGCAGCCCTTAGTTCGGCTATTTGTCAAGTTGAGCAGGCTGCAATATGCAATATGTCTATACTAGTCCTGTCAAGATTAAAGTACAATCCAATGATGACTTTGCGTGTCTCATTCCACCTCCAATAACATTGGTAGTAAAAAAAAAAAACATGGGTAGTAAAGAAGATCTTCATAATCTGAATGACCTCAATCCCCAAGTCTACAGCTCGGGCTTGATAGCTGAAAGTTACCTAGTTAGCTACACCATTTTATTGGGGGACTTACCTAGGTAGATTCTTGTAATCGGTCATTAGCTCTCACTAAAGTTCCTAGATGACAAGCACACAAACTTCTTACGTGGGTACAACCAGGAAACATAAATATTGTTGTCAGCAACTTTCGTACGTAGCTTCGTAGAATGTCGACTATTCAGGTAAGTGGGGAAATAAGAGAGAAAAAGAGTGGGACACTAGATTGAAATATGGAGCCAATTAGATACAAGGTAGCAAGCCCTCAGCTCTTTCGCGGTCTTTAGTGACATGGAACAACATGAGTGTAAGTTAATTAATAATTGTATATTAAGTGTGGTGATGTGCTATATAGATGAGTTTTATAGTAAGATGAGGGGGAATGGAGGAGTAAGATTACAGATTACAATGTAAGATGTAATGCAGATGCAGGATGCGGAATGGGCTCAGATCAGATCAATCATCGAGGAATACTAGTTGATAAGAAAGTTAAGAGTACTTTCCGACGTTGATGACTCGTCAGAAACGTAGAAATCATGCAGGAAATTGAATAGTTAGGCAGGGGACAAGAGGGAATTGGAAGTGGGGCGCATAGAGAGATCATCATATCGAAGCCCTAGAAGGTGAAAATTAGAAAAAATAAATACAGTGTCGGGAAAGCATTGACAGTGTTCCTGTTTGACATATTAGAACTCGGGCAAGGGGAACTTCCTTCGTTGGGGGCCAGGGCCGGGAGAATGTGCGTAAAGTTGGGTTTGGGCTTTTTTGTGCCGCGGGGCGGCTAGGGTGATCTGTGCGTTGTACAGATGTGCCAGTGCGATTGTTAGTTGTGGGTATTAATCTGTTTCATTTTCGTTGATCGGTGGGGAGGTGGTGCCACTGTGGGCTGCTTCTAGTTATGAGTGGAGTTTTGCATATAGGGTGGTGTTCTACGACGTAAGTTCTGTTGAAGGGTACATGTACAGAGTACAAACAAAGTATAGATCGGATAATTAGATGGAGTGATAGAGAAAGGAAATGGAGATGGAAATGTAAAAAAGGATTTCTTGCCTATTGATATCAAAGGTCAAATGCTGTACATTCTAATAATATACAAATTTTTAGTCCTGTTCATAGTTATACAGCAGTCCAGTAGAATAAGAAAATGATCATATACACTGTACACCTCCCCGAAATAAAATAAAAAAAACAATCGCACCAACCAATGCAAAGCACATGCAATAGACATCATCGCATAAAATCGTACACAAGAATGGATAATCATACATAAGAAAGAGTCGTAACAGACATGAAAAAGTCGGAAGCGAAAAAACACACAATACGAACAGATACCAGCTCTTTTTGATGTTATGAAAAAAAAAAAAAAAAGGAGTGCGCTAGGATTCAAAATGAACCTAATGGGTGCCCAGTTAACAACTGCACACGTAAAGGGATGATCGGGATATTGGGGAAATCCATGGAGCGTCATCCCATACAGATTGGATCGACGTACAGTCGACGTCAGTAAGATGGGATAGCTTCAAGTATGACGTCAGTGGACCCAGGAGGTTCAAGCCATTTAGGCAATTCAGGCCACAAGGCATCAAATCAAAAGCCATTAGTCCCAAGGCGGAAGGAAATACCGCCGATCTGGGACAAATATGGGTCTAGGGATACAGATGACGTCATGTACCCCAGGAATAGAGGGCTTCGTGTGTCATGGTGATGAATGTGATATGTGATCGTCTCAGTCTCTGCGCCGACGCTGCTTGCCAGGCCAGTCCACTTCGGGGTGCACAACACGCATGTGTCTGGTCAATGCATCATTGCGACTGAATGTCTTCTCCTCGGTACACAGATGACACCGCACCTTTTGCTTGCGTGCATTGTGGATCGTATCCTCATGGCGGGTAAGATCGTAGGGCCGAGAGAAAATAGAGCTGCAAGGTTTGCCAGTAGACGGGTTGGTTCGATCACAACGGTGAGGGCCAGCCTGCGAGTTTTTAAGCGATGTATCACGGGTGACCAAATGTCCACCGGGAGTAGTCTGGCGGTGAGCCTCGCGCTTATGTCGCTGAAGCTTGGCTGGGGTTTCAAATCGAAGTGTACAACCATGGTAGGTGCAGGTGTATGTGCCCGAATTCGAGGATGTGTTGCTGGGACGGGTAATATTTGCCGAAACGGGAATCTTGGCATGTGCTTGCGGTGTCAACTCGATAGATGAATGCATATCACTGCCATTAGATTCCACATGAGGTAAACCGGGCGCTGTGAATTCAGGTGCCTGTTGTAGCATGTGCTGTGGGCGCTGGCTCTGTTGAGTAAAAGCGAAGGGGTTTTGGTGGACTGAGGCATATTGAGACGGGAAGGTATCCATAGTAGTGATAGGGCGCATGGGGTTGCTGTCGCGGCGCATTTCAAGAGAATCTCCAATATTGAAGTCCACTTGTTGTAAGGGAGGGAATGGAGGCATGGCCGCATCTTCACTCTCGGCAAAATCAAGGACAGCATCTTTGGGAGACATTGTCTTCAGATCGCCCTGGCCCTGATTCGAGGGCATCTGCATAGCTTGAGCTTGAGACATTGGGATGCTTGTTGGCATTGCCTGTTGAAGAGCTGCGGGATTGAGATCGCCCACGAATGGGGAGCACTGGCGGAAGGGAGATCGGTCGCGCTTCATGCCCATAACCGGAGAAAGCGAGCGAGCGGACATGTGTCCCTGGTGAGCGGCTTGCAGTCGATCAGCAATCACATTGCGCGGAGCCAGCATGCCCTGGTTCATCGGCTTTGAGGACATCTGAGGAGTGGACATTATGAGTGGGTTGTAGAGTTCGTCACCCATTGACATGTTGCCAGTGTTGTAGTCTGGAGGACGGTCGCACTGTAAGTATTCGTCCTCCCATTCCGATGGGGGAAAAAATCTCTCACCATTCGTCATCGTCTTGGATGTGTCTTCGAGCTCATCCAGAATGGTCTGCGGGGTCACGGGCGAGTTGCCACTGTGGCTCAGGCTGGAGACTGAAGGAGCCAGAGAGTAATCGTTATGTTGCTGTTGGGGTGATGCCTGGTGCTTTGACTGTTGATCCAAAATGGCCTTTCTCATGACCGACTCGGTTTCAACACTGCTACCATCGTAGGTCAAAGGATCGTATTTTTGGAAGGGCGCGGCCAGGAAAGAGTTCTGAAGTGGAGTCTGTACAGGAGTTGGCAGAGGCTTATTGTTGCTGTCGGATCGCCGATGCTGGCCAGCAGCTATGGGCGATATTGAGTGGCCCAAGGGCGCAGATCGAGAGACAGAAGGAGATTGCTTCTGGTGGAATGGAATGCGGGCGGGGCTCAGCAACTGCAAGTTGCTATCCCAGCCTTGATTGCTGGCAGCGATGGGTGGTTGAGCCAACATGGGCGTGTAGTATGGAGGGTATTGTGATATGTAACTGGAGGAAGATGGAGAGGCAGGACCCTGAATGTCAAAAGACGGGTTGTAAGAAGACACCGGGGTCATCGAAGGCGCCCCGAGAGATTGAGAGTCGCCCGTTGGGGGATAAGAATTAGAAAAAGTGGGAGAAGAGAAAGATGGTGATGAAGGTGCGGAAGAGGGCGGGGACGCGAACTGTTGGTTCGGCTGATAGTGAAAAGGTGGTTGCAAGCAGGATTGTTGGAACTGGTACTGATGAGAGTTCTCGGCGAACTCAGATGGGACGTCTTCGTCTTGTATGGTGATATCCTGGGGAATATACGGCCCGATGATGAGATCCTTACGTGGGTACATAAGCATAATGGTATCCACGTTATAGGATATCAACGAGTGGGTATGAGAGTGTTTTGCCACCGGGGAAGGCGAGCTTCTTATAAAATAAAAAGCTGGGTCGTGATCCGGAGAGTTCCTTGGGAGAGATGAAAGAGTTGGAATAGTTGGAAGATGGTATGGATCTTGGGGGATTTTGTGGTTGGTTGAAAGGCAAGAGTCTGGAAAAGTCGAGAGGCTCGTGACTGTCGGGATGAATGGTACGGGTGAACCTTAATAAGTCTATGAGAGTGAGAGTCGAGAGTCTGGATCTTGATGACTCGATGGGAATATGGGGTAGATTGAGTCTGTTTAATTGTCGTTGAAAATTGGGGCGGAAGAAAAGAGAGATTTGCGGATCTAGTGGACTTTATGAAGACAGACAGTGTTAATGACGTTGGCACTAGCAGGGGTTCTAAGAATTAATATTTGGAAAGACGGAGACTCCGTGGTACTTACTGTATTTATGGATACTCTACGTATTATTACACCAGGGCTGTTCCCGATTTGGTTTTAGTGGTATTTTTAGTACCATACCAGTACTTAATTCATTCGTGACTTGACCCACTGATCTGCTTCTATACTAGGTACCTTCTGTGTAAGTGGCTGAAGCCACATGCCTAGTACATAGATGGAAATGGAAATAGAAAGTAGAAAGTAGAAGAAACTAGAAACTAAAATGTAGAAAATGTAAAATGTAAAATGTAAATAAACAGAATTATTATGATTAATAGTTCCAAGGTATTCCAAGGTATTCCAAGACAAGACAAGACAATTCCAAAGTATAGAGCAGTCGTATCATCCCCGCTTAGAAATGCCAGAAATGCCAGAAATGCCCGGTTAGAGTGCATATACCAGACCTAGCCAGAATCTAAAATCTCAAATCTACAATCAAATAAATCCAAAATTAGGAACCGAATAGCCGAGGTAGGGCTGAGCCACGAGAATCCCGCGTGACCCAGCAGGTACATACTGAACATATTAAAATCAGTGGTCTAGAAGGTCACTCGGTCGTACCGCATTGGCCACGTTTGCTGCGCCACCATATGTTAACCAAGTCGTCGGGAATAGCCAAATCAACATTCTGGGGTAGTTGAATTTAATTCAATTATTCTATTGTTTACACAGGTGCCTAAATTTCTACCAGGTTTGAGATTTGGATTTGGATTTGGATTTTGGGATAGAGTGATCAGCTGACCCGGGAATGAGCAGCTGACCTCGGGCGGCTCCATCTATCTCGTACCTTGCTCTTACTACCTTGACTGCTTATCGGCTACACAGGACAATTTATCACATGGTCAATGGCCTGACTAACCTTGGTAATTAAGATGACTATATCTGTGTGACTCAGAATTGTAGTTCTTTATTGAAAATATCTATTAATAATCATTTATTAATAATAAAGAATTCAACTTTTTTGTATATCCATCTGGACCGTAGTCCGTAATATTGGAATAGGAGATAGCACTAGTATAGTCTGACAAGTTACTGCATCTGGCTTAGCAGTATATCAGATCGGAAATGTCGGGAAACAGACCTCCGAAACGCCCCGGGCATTGCCGACCGGAGAGTTTTATATTCGGACGCCATGCATAATCCGTATCTGGCGCTCAACAAAGCTTTCACCCGAACAAACTCCGTCCGACCTGGGGTGCCGTAGCTACCGAACATTGAATGGTCCACTCTTGTCCTCGGCTGTCTCGGTCTACTGATCTACTGATCACAGTCGGATCAAAAGGTCTGGGGAAGTGGCGAGATTTCTATTTCCAGGCCCACTATACTCAGGAATAAGTAAACAGTAATTCCCTAGAGGAAAGTATCAAGGCTACTAAGTACAAGGTACCCTGAACTAGCATTTGAACCACCTGGGCACCTGTACTCAAATCACCTTCTTAATTGGGACATGCATGAACACGACAATTGAATATTCCTCGGCTTTGGATGCCGGAGAACAAAAAAAAAAAAACTAATAATATCGTCAGCACCTTAACACGGGGCTCAGAGCACCGAGTGAGTCTAATACGAGCTGAATTAGAACTGAGCTAATGCAGCAGAAATTTTCTGCTACAAATGATTGCATTGATTGGCTATAAAAGGTGGAAAAGCACAGCCACAAACTGTAACTGCAACTTTTTACGGCTAGGATCGGTATTGTCACACATTCTGCAGGTTTAAAATCTACTAATTCTTTCTAGAAGCCTTCTAAATATCCCGCAACTTGGCACCGGGTTGACCGTGATTTGTGATTTTTTTTTTTCTAGAGCTTGCATATGGGAAAAATCGATATTCTTGATATTTTGATTTCAAAGCGTTACATTCTTGGTTTCACCATTTCGAGACTTGGCTGCTACTTGGCTGTTACTTTGGACCTCCACGCACATACTGTGTTCTAGTCCTCCGTACAGAGTAGCCAATAGGTGCGAATGGGCGCATTCTGGATCTGCACCTCGACGATCTCTATAAATAATTACTTCAAGTGACTTTGAACGAGTTATTTTGATTTGATGAGATGAAGTCGCCTGATCACTTGCAGAGCCTTCAAATAAGCAATGAATATTCAACCTAGAACATATCATCTGCGATATCAATGCAAGGGATGACCTGGAAGGAATGTTTAGTATGGCCGGCCTATAGTAGCAAGCGCTCTAATAACCCTAAACTACCTTAAATGGTGCTGCCTCGAGACCATAGCCCAAATCAATCCAGATTTCACTATTCGCCACATACAGAATAGTTAGTACTACCAGGCTGACAATGCAATGTACCTGATTTCTGGTCAGCTATTTGAAATAATTAGTGGGCTGTTGCGTATGCAGATTGCACCATTCGATGGACTCGACATCCGACTTGCGTGTCTTGTATCAGACCTGAGCTGAGACCGTGCGGTTCAGCCCAATCAGATCCACCAGCCTGGCTTTGTAATTTTGATAGTATGCTTAATTTCTTCTTGGGAGACCCATCAATTCAATGTCGGGTCAATCTGAAACAGCCCTTCTTCTCCGTGGTGGCCACACTCATAACGGAACCACCTTGTACCCGGTATTGCACGGCTAGTCCACTCGGAACCGGGTTGTGGGGATGTCATGTATTGATGACTTGTGGCATGTGTAAGATTATTGGGCCCAGGTGTCTTTGATATCGGGTTAATCATCCGCTAATCAGCTTTCTTACTGATCATGGTCTTGATCATGACCAACCCAGCGTGCTGTTGTGATGGTAGTAAGTCCTTAGCCTTTTCCGTCCGGAAAGTTTTTTGCCGCGACGCGTAGTCCAATTGTTTGGAGGGCTTGAGATTATTAAAATCTGTATTCGTAGGGTGATAGTTCGAACTCGAAATTTGAAAATTGAAATGCAAACAGGCTTGGCTTGTTCAAAATCATTACATCGAGCACTATCAACCAAGAAATATTGACTAGGGGAATCACTGACTAAGAAACTTTCACCTATCCCGTATCTAGTCAGTGGTTGATATGTAGTCAGAATATAATCGGTTGAAAATTGCTCGTTAATTGTTGGTCAAGACTACACTGATCAAATAACTTGTCGCAGGATCCAGTGATGTCGTTTCCGCACTTGCCAACGTCATTCCCAAATTCCATGTCAAGGTTATTCGACTATACAATGCTGGTGATTCTAAAAAAGCGCAATAGATCCAAGCCAATATGTCCATTGCAGACTGGAACCTTACGAAATGGGCGTCTCGGGCGTACATGCAGCGAATGTGAAATGGGTTGGGTACCTCCCACGTGCGAAAGCCGCTTCCTTCAGCCGCCAACAGCCATGCAGTCAAACGTTGCCAATGCTCTACAGGGTGTTTTTGATCTTGGGAAACAGGTTTAAATTCAAAACTCTGATTCTTATTTCTATTTCTTCTCAGTTCATCATCATCAGTACACTCATAAATCCTTCGCCGACCGCATCTGCCGCTTGTGGCGCCCAACAGTCTCAACCCCTCCTCCAGCATCTCAATGAATGTCGTATTATCAGTATAGATTCTATCTAAAACGAGATATTTGTATCTCTGCAAGTTCGTATAGTTCATTTTCTGTACTGTGGGCAAATATTGAGAGTTACCAGCCAATTTCAACGCCAAAGAGTAATTCTAGTCGTTTTACTCTGAAATCCCGAAGAGAAGACAAATTCTTCTTGCCAAAAGTAATAGTAGTGACTTGCTCTGGCATTAGTCTTGCTTCATGTTGATCTTTTTACTAGATGCCATGCTAACCGGAATGGTCTGGTTTCATACTGAAAAAAGCGCCAACACAGCCATTCTTCCAATCTCTTCCTTCGACAACGACTGTCTCCTGCTTTATCTTCATTTATTGCAGCACATGCAAATGGCTCAATCCAACCTTTTGCGAGATCAGTAGCGTGGACATACCTCCGAGAAAAACGGCCTGAGCCTTGGAGATTACCTGTTGGAACCAATGGAATCTGGTTTACTGCAGTGAATGAACTCGGGAAGTGAATGAAACTAGTGGAATCGGGGCATATCCGATGCCATCGCGGGAATTATAATGAACACAAATCTTACCGCATAACTTATTACACGTACGACGTAGTAGTAATAGTGCATCAAGATCCCTGTGAACCGGCATTACCAGCTTTAGTTTCGACAGAAACTCAGCAAGTCTCCCGGATCGGTTTTCGACATCTATTTGCTCAAAAATTGTGATTCTATAGTGCATCAAATACTACCATCCTCTTTTTCTCATACGGCTACTAATACACTACCTAGCTGCGCACGTTGCATTTTTCGGATCTATACCTGAGATAAAGAGCCCTAAGGACTTCCCAGAGTTGCAATTAATGATTCAGATTGTCGATACAGTAGTTTATGTTGTCACTACTCTGGTCATCTATCAATTTGCTGGGCGAGATACAAGTCGCCGGCCTTTTCTTCCACTGGTCATCTAATGAACAAGATCTGCTATGGTTCAGCCATTCCCATAGTAAGTTTCACTCTATTAAACCTTGGAATTATCTATAATCTCCCATTAAAATACTTATTGAGTCATTTGAGTCGTCATTGCGGGCGTGATCTTCAGCCATGTGGCTTGTAAGTATATTCATGTCTGTGTTTTCATGTCTCAACGAACTTCTCTTGCAATCGAGTCATGGGCTTTTTCACACTAATTGTCTAGATTATCGCATGTGCTGTTGTAGAATCTACCCCAGTTTTTGGTGATCGTTCTGGATCTTATCGTAAGATGTTCCTCTCCAATGCCTATTTGAATGATTTCTAACACACCTCTCGCCTATATAGAGAGCTCTTTATTCGAAAGCTTCTTCAGCTACACGTTCAAAATCTTCAACAAAAAGCTGAACAAAAATCTAATTTATCAGCAAACAAATTTCCCGCCGCACTGTAGTTCCACATGAACAGAGGCACGGAGATTACACCAAGAACTAATCCAAGATCCTGCTCACATCTGCAATGTCACTATCTTTGGTCTTGGATACGCTATGATAAGTTTTGAGCAAACTTTCGAAGAATCAATTGCTGGCTATACATATTTCAGTTTGGAATAGGACTATATGTGTCCGAATCAATGAGAACAGTTATTCTTCCAACTAGCCATGCACAAAAGATGTCACATAAGTGAATATGTGATCGTTGGGAATAGTAGGATATACTCCTAACCATCTGTTTTTTTACACTGTGATATCATGAATATTATTTAGATCTGAAAGACCCCGTCTCTTTCTACCTCTACAAGCTTCTTTTCAATAAATATCATATATGACAAAAGCTGTTAGAAAACAGGTATATTCTCAATCAATTTTCACCGAAGTCTAGATGATTGCATGCAAGCGTTTTTCTACTTTCTTGAGAAGTGAGTGACCAAACTCATCCGGAAGGCTTCCCTTCGCATAGCTGGTATGAATGACAGTAGCAGCGTCTTTAACACCAATGACGCTGATGATCAAACTTGTTGTAACTCCAGCTTGATTGGCACCTGCGGAAAACTCCAAGTGAGAAATTGACCACGGGCCGCTAGAGTCTGACTTACTGGGGTCAAAAACGCCCAGGTTAGATATACTATATAGTTTGTCCAGAGAAAGCACATATCTAGGTAGACTGGAGAAATAGTCTTCCTCGTCTTCCCCTACCAATTCAATAGAGACCAAACCTTTAACACAGTTGGGTATCTTTTTTCTGAAATCCTCCATCATATAAGCATGTCGTTTCTGTACCAAGTTCCATATCAGACTGCCCTTGTCATCTAGTGTTTGACCTGCTTTGCGAGACTCTGATAGCCAATCATAGCTCGGAAGCGAGGTGCCACAGTTGCTGATAGTGTTCTTTCTGCCTTGGATTGGAAGGAAACGTCGAGCATCAACGACAAGTTGAGAGCAACTAATTTTAGCCTTTGGGTAAAAGTCTGTTGCTAGCGTCACCTGAAAAAGCGCATACAGTAGGCTGGTAAAGGTGACATTGCGCTGGCGGCAGGCTTGGAGGCATTTTCCCACTGTCTCGGCATCCAGACGGAGCGTGTGAAGTTTTGTAGTAACCCTGTTCTCCTCTTTTATTGGATCGTTAAAGGCAACATCCACCTTTTGGCTCTTCATATCGTGGAAAAAAAGGTCAGTCCCCCTGAAGAAGAGCTTGAGAAAGTATAAATGCAAATAGCTCCAAATAGTCCATAGGATGAATGGCCCTGTGCCATATATATTGATGGGATCTTCCTCAGGGAATCCCTTCACTTCCATAGTCAACTCAACAACGGATGAGTCATCCTCATCCCCATCTGGCGAATTCAGTGCATCAAGTAAGCTACTGATGATGAAAGTAGACCCACGTCCATCTGTAATATAATGGTCATACACCAGTAAAACATGTTTTCCGTTGACTACTATCAGCTGCCACGGTGGTCTATCGGTATGATCAAACCAGACATTATGATATTCTTCCATAATCGTGGTCAGACCTTTTTTTTCTTCTTCAACTGGAATTTGACGAAATATGACATGGTCGTCGAGATTGATGTGGCGCAAGAAACCCGAGAAGCCCCGATGATTATTTTTCTTTTTTTCTGACGGGCGGCGCAAGTAGACCACACCAAGCTCTGGGTATTGTCTTACAACCCTTCGAAGGGCCGGGTAGACCACTGCCCTAGAAAGCACCGCACCCTTAGTCTCGAGATTTGTAAATGATGCCGCCAGAATAACATTAGATTGGATTCCGAACTGTGTCATCATTCTGAAGAATCGTTGAAACCGGCCTTGAAAGTAACCAATATCAGTATGTATATTTTTTTGGTATGTGAAGGGCTACCTACCAGAAGGCTCTACGTGTAAAAAACCAGGCTTCGCCTCTGCCAGCGGCTTGCAATTGCTTTCATTTTTCATGGCCGCTCAGATGAACAAATATTGTCTGTGAATCTGTGAACGTCGGTTGGATTCATTCGGGTTCTTATACAGAGACAGATCATTACACTAACTATTTAGTGCTTACTATCTACACAGTACTTTAAAGCCTTCCAGTTAAATGTTTAAATTGTGTGGGGAAGAAACGGGTCAGGTTATTGATTGGGGGCGTTCCCTATGGGCTTAGCTTGAATTATATATGTGTCGGTGGATCCCGTAAGATCATGCCCAATAAATCTTGAATAGGGCATTCAGGTGCTAAATATCTATAGGTAGACCTCATTTGCCGATAACATGGCTCGGAGTCGCAGTTGCTGAAGGATAGCCCGTTGCTGTCGCGTCGCAACTACTGCCAGTTATGAGATCGCTCACATAGCAGTATCCCGAAGGGTTACCCGTTGAATCCAACATGAGAATGTTGAATCCATCGTCACCATCCTGTTCAATGAGAACTGATGAACCATCACCGCAGATTGTTGGGTTAAGATTGGTAACGTCTTGAATAGATCAGTATCAACTAGTTTAAAGAAACGGAAACTGGGGAAGTTTACCGGCTGTGCAATCGATGCCGCTCAATTTTGCAAAGGCAGCAGAAGTGCCAGAGCAACCGGTAGCAAAGTTGTCTGCGCGGATAACGCAGTTTTCGCCTGATTGTTGGACTCCGAATAGCGGGGCAGTGGCAGAGACCAAGCTAGCAGAAAGGCCAAGGGCAAGAATAGTGCTGGAAACGTGCATCTTGTTTAAGAGAATGGTTGAACGGCTTTAGGCAAGATAGAGATAGAGTGCTCAAGGTTTCGATGTTCTGCAGTCTTGAATATTGATCTAAAATATAGAATACTATAGAGGTAAAATGCTATTTAAGTATCAAATTATGAGTGTTAAGTCCACGTCGGGATTAACTGGTTTTATGTGGATACGCACGGGGGATCACAGGATTTTGGCCCTAAAAATTTAGGAGTTAAATTACCTGCCTATTGTAGCAGGATCTGTATAAAATCATTGGCAACTAAATAATTGGCCCCTTTCGCGGACCCGCGTCAAGAAAGGGGTTGGTTAATCAATGAGATCATATCTGCATCACTTCTGTATATCATTATAATAGTTATAATTCTAGAACACTCACTTTTCAACCTTCGCGTACGCGTATACTCATTAGTATTCATCTGCGTGTTGTATCGAGTCAATCCCTGCTCACCGACATTTTGATTTATAGTAGTCGTTGAAAGAGTTGGCTGAAAGAGTCCGTTGAAAGCTCATAGAAAGTCTAGATGCCACACAATCTATCTTCTAGAAGTTCTTCTCTTGTTTAAATCACTACATCTATATTGCACTCAAAGTCTTACACCCGACTCACCCGTACTCACCCATACTCACCCATGCTGATGCTCACCCACCCTTACCCACCCTCACCCTGAGATTTCGGTCGCTGTTTTAGAGTAAACCAGGTACTAAGGACTTACCTAGGTATCACCTGCTCTCTAAATTTGGGCTTAATTACGGCTGAACGGACGGTAAGCCCTGTTCTTCGCACCATGTGGTCGTATATACGTTAGGCTCCTGGCAAGAGGCCCAATACTCTCCAGCGTGAGATGGTGGATGATAAAGGCCGATTTAGATGAGCAGTCCCACTCTTGAAAGGTGTCTTTCTTCGAAGATCTCTAATATTCCAAGTTTCCATCAGTAAGAAGAGGCATCCATTCATTTCTAATTTTCTGCCGGGCATACCTATCTCAATAGAATCCCCTGCCATGACCTGTACGGAGTAGTCCGCATAGAAGAAAGTACTAACTATGACCTTCAAGTTTCATATTGAATCGCTTTGTCCATTCTGTGTCAGTTATTTTAGTAATTGGGGGACAAAAATCAAATCCTAGAGAAATAGGAGACTTTGTTGAGAATCAGAGCTGTGGGTAAACCCCCATTTCCCAGTCAATGATCACCGATAATTTAGAAACCACCATATTTCCAGGCCTTAGGTCGTGATGGTGTAGATGAATCCTCTCTTGATTATCAGGTTCAAGGGAAATTTTCTCTAAAGGAACATGTTTCTCTAAGGTACACTCGGGGGCTCTAGTAATTGTTTATCCCCGTAAGCAAGGTAAGGTTAGAACACAGGAAACCCCCACCCAAAAAAGTACATTTTGGAGGCGTACAGAGGCAAAGACATCGCATTCGCATAGACGAACAACCTAGGATAAACAGTTGGTGGGTAGCAGACGTTATATCCAGGCACTCTTCTGAACACTAAGTAGTGTTCATTTCCATCGACCTAGGAATATATTACTTCTGCCAACGATAGTGCAGATACTACTCGGCACTCATGCCGATGTCAATGTTCAAGGGGAGAAATGTGCTCTTTCTCGAACGAACCTGATGGTTTTGCTGTCTGGGAGGGTGATAGGGGCTATCTATATGGACTTTGTAGAGATAAGCATTTCCAATAGCCATACTTCCGCTATTCTGCCTTCTTCGTAGGTCAAGCGAAAACTGTTCGAATCTACCGTAATATCTGGTGGCTGCTTAGTCCATACAAGTGTTAGAAGTCAAAGAATATGGTAATATTCCCAGTCTCTACAAAAGGCTAATTTTCGTGAATAATCGAGTTCTGTGGTTTGTTTTGCACTCGATCGTAGAATAGAGACACCAAATGAAACCAACTACAGGATTTTTAGCACTAACTCAGATACAAGAACCGGATAGTTAAGCTTTTCAGTCTTTGAAATTGGGTGGAAGTCGAGGGCTACAAATAGGCGCTTTGCTGACCAGACATTTTTAGACATTTCCAGCAGGGAATCGCCTGGTCGCAACGGACGTTAAGCAAACCTTAGAACACCTACATTTATATATATATATATATTTACTCACATCACTTCATTCCCCTTTTCTCAAAAATAGTAGGGTTTTTATGGCGTTCATTCAACCGAATGTTAATAGAACCCATATTAGGCCTAGTGCCTCCTAGTAGTTCACTATAGCTGCCAATCTTTATCTACTGAGTACATCACGAGCTATTCACCATACCCCTGATAAGCCACAAAGTAAAATCAATGCTTTCACTTTTTTTCTGCCGGGAAACATACAACTCAACACATGATACCTCGGTTCATCCGGCAGAGAATTGAAAGAAGAGCCTCGGCAGGACAAAGAACATTTGGAGCAATCAAACTACTCATATGTATCGCCGTTAGCCTTTAAATGACCAATTTGGCCCTTTGTTAGGATGGGTCCAAGCTGTGTATTCGATAGCCTGAGAATTGGTGCTTGTGAAGAACTTGATCCATCATAGGCTGATCGACTCCGATGAAAGCCCGCGTGGCCCTGAACGCCCTCAATAGGAGAGGCCCAAGCTCTTTACTTCAACAACCTTGGCACTAATGCATTTCTATCACATCTTACTGTTACATCTGGCTGTCAGGTGAAGAATAGCGTCGGGTTAGTTTCAAGCCATGATTGCTTGAGGGGGGATTTTAAATCCAGGCCCAGACCTTGGAGTCAAGCTTTCAGTGGTACGGGCCTCCGTCGGAAACAATCAACGAATAGTTCTTACAATTGGAGCCCGCTCAAGAAAAATGATTGATATCTGATGCATTTGGGCTAAAACTATTGGACTTTCTGAGAGGTACAATCTACTAGATGTACAATCTACGAGAGGTACAATCTATGAGAGGTACAATCTATGAGAGGTACAATCTATGAGATCTCAAAGGTTGGCTGCTCGACTCTGAAGCTTGAAATCCAAAAAACTTAGATATCTTTAAAACGCAGCATCATGAACCACCCATGGATCTTTAGTAAACCACCTGGGCAAGAATGAGGTTCGGGTTGAACCGAAAACTTTGTATAAAATGGTAAAAATTGACAAGACTAAGTACATGCGAGGACCGAGTATATTGCGGGTCTTGCAATTGTGAGAGCTTTTTTACTATGATTGGATCGTGCTGGACGTTGTGTGAAGACCCCAGACGTGACAGGACTATTTAAACATGTTGGATGTAGACAAAAAAAAAAAAAAAAGATCAAACGACAGCATCCCTCGAGCTTGAGCTTACCGCTTCATTTCTATCTATATATAACCACACATTCATCGAACATGATGATGGGTCTTGGAAATCTTTTTTCTATTTCTATTTTTCCATTTCTCATTGCGTTTGCAGTTGCTGCGCCGGCGAAACCTATACTTCGAAATCGAGGTCAGCACACCCTATCTTTCAAGCTTTCTTTATACTGATGCATGCTCACAGACGTTTCATCGGACGAACTAAGCCAGCTCAACCTTTTCGCGCAGTATGCCGCAGCGGCATATTGTTCAGCCAATATAGGCTCCACCGGGACTGCACTCACCTGCGATGAGGGCATTTGTCCCGAGGTAGAGGAAGCATCGACAACAACTCTATATGAGTTCGATGAGTATGTGTTGCATCTCAAAAGATCAAGATCCTTACTAAATTGTCGTAAAGATCTTCCACCTACGGGGATGTCACTGGCTTCCTAGCTGTCGACACAACAAATGAGTTGATTGTGCTTTCGTTCCGAGGAAGCCGCGATATATCCAACTGGGTTGCCAACTTAGATTTTGTCTTCAGCAGCAGCACTCTGTGCGATGACTGTGAAGTTCATTCGGGATTCTGGAAGGCGTGGGAGACTGTGGCGGACAATTTGACGTCTTACATCGACTCCGCTTCAGAGACCTACCCAAGCTATCAATTAATATTCACAGGCCACAGCTATGGCGCAGCTCTTGCTGCCTTAGGCGCAACATCACTGCGGAACAACGGGTATACAATAGACCTAGTGAGTGCTAACACATTATTATGCTGAGGTATATCCAATTAACAGAATGATTTTACTAGTATACATATGGCCAACCTCGTGTTGGTAACACTGCGCTGGCGACATATATGACAGATCAAGGAAGCTTGTGGCGTGTCACTCACTCTGACGATATCGTCCCAAGAGTTCCACCTGAAGCTTTAGGATATACACACGCCAGTCCGGAGTACTGGATCACTAGTGGTACCGATGTAACTGTCACTGCCTCAGATATCACGGTCCTTGAGGGTGTTGGTGAGAACAATGGAAACTCTGGCGAGAGCGAGCTTAGTATTTTGGCTCATGGATGGTATTTTGTCTATATCGATGGTTGTGCCTGAGTAAATTTTAGCGATTCAATTTACGAATGCATGGACACACTCGGATGACATTCAGTATAATTCTCTCAAGTAAAATTTCAAAATTGTGCTTGCGTGAGCTTTCAATTCTCAAAGGTTCTTCTAGATAATAGTCTTTTCTATGTCAATTTCCAATTTCAGATTAATTGGCCTTTAGAAAGTTTGTTGTAGACCGAAATTTCTCGCAACTTTTTGATGAGATCTATGAATGGTCTATAAACAAATGAAAATATCTAATTACCTCTAGAGCTAGATACTCCCTAATATTTAATCAAAACCCCAAGGTTGCCAAGCCCACAGATTGGAGCCTTGATATTTTTACACAACCAGCTTCAAACCAAGAATCCCTCCAAGATGTGTCACTTGTACATGCCTATATGGTGTACATGGGTAGTTCAAGCAGAAGATGAAACAATTCAAGTCTACAAATGATATTTAAATTCTGAAGAGTAACCCGAGAAACATCACAGGTCAATAAAACGCCAAAAATGCCCAGAATGAGAATACAAAGGTATATAAAACCAAACACAGCTCTAAAAAAGAAAAACTCTAAGCAGACCCCGCCGCAGAAAGCAATTTTCCAGACATAGCATGCAAAGCCACATTATCCCTACTAGCCTCAATCTCGGCCAAAAGCTCAGCGGCCAGAACCTCCCGTGCAGCAGTCTGGTTCAACCAGCTCAGATATGTCTGCCAACCAACAGCAACGCAGCCTGAAAAGACATTACGGAACTGTGGAGGGACGTACATGAAGCTGAACGCTGTAACTGCGGGCCAAAGCTTGACGCTGTTAGTAACGCTTACTGGGAGAGCTTTCTTTAGGCGTTCCCAGGTTTCTTCTAGCGTAGCACCTGCAAGGAGAGAGTGCATGCTGAAGAAGTAGGTGTTGAAGACTGGGGTGAAGAAGATTTGCTGAACGCAGACTTTGGTCAAGACTGAGAGGATCTTGGAGGAGAAGTTGAAGTTGTTGTGGAGGAACATGAACCTAGAGTAAAGAGTATCAGCCATGAATCAACAGCAGAGCTATCTCTATAGTGAACTTTGGCCTACCAGTTATAAGACGGAATGCTAGAACCTGCGCCCACAATGAGATGTCGCAGTGTTCTCAACGGATCGTACGCAGACCAACGACTCCTCTCCTTCTTATCCTCTCCTGAATCAAGGTCCCGAGAACCGTCCAGGTCAGCCTTAGTGGGGGGTTCTTCCGGCGGGAAAAACATTTGCGCACTCAAGTCGCCACACAGATAGATAATAATCGAGCTGTAAATCTGCGTCGCGTATGGCCTTCGCTCCTGAATCTGACTATACCACCTCCCAAAGCGCCCCAAAGGACTCGCATTGATAACATCGCGGAAAGTTCGAGATCGCGCTGTTGCGGCGGTGGGTGCGGTTGCTGCTCCTGCGGCTGCGGAGGCGGTATTCAAGGGTTGTTGACCTGATAGGCGAAAGATATTAGGGAAAGTGGTTTCAGGAGCATTCCAGGCTGGCGATCTACCTTGGACGATTTTGCCGTCGGTTTCTGGCTTGGGAGTCTCCTTGGAATGTTGTCTTCGTGGCTGTTGTACCCGGCGCAGTGGCGGTCGAACTCCTGGGGTTATCGGTCGCGTTCGAGCAGCGAACATGGTCGCTTGGACTCCCAGCCCCCTCTGGAAGAGATTCATATCCCACGCTCAGGATACGGGCATGTATTTGCTCTGATCCTAATATCTGGAGTAGATCAAGACGGTATACAGAAGATAGTGCCGGAAGCCCTCCGCTATCGGATACGTATCTGATGGCGATAAGTCGGACGTAAGGAACAATCGCAGATGTGAGTGAACGGCCAGACTACGAAGTATTTCGTAGTGGTTTCAAGAATATGTGCGAAGAAGAAAAAAGAAAGAAAAAAGAAACCCATGCCAAAGCGTGACTGCTTAGAAATAAGATCTCAGATCAAAAATGGGGAAATGACTCGGCGCTCGGGCAAAGCAAAGACGAAATGCCGTGAATTCCCGTAAACGGTGCACACAGTATATCAAAATGAAAGCGCGTACTAGTACACTTTGACTATGTCACTTGGGAAAGAAGTGAAAAGTTGGTTCGTTGCTTATAACAGACTTGTAAATTTATGGACCCAGAAATTACTAGATTATAACCAAAACAATTATTATTTCGTATCAAACAAGGACTCCGAATCTATATGCAGACAATGAAGCCCATAAATGCATGAGGGTCCTAAATTCGTGCAACATTATGGGGGGGGGGGGGGGGAAAAAGATGTCAGGGTATAAAAATAGACAAGAGAAAGAAGATATGGACAGCAGCATGGAAACTTTTGTGCAACAATGACAACAAGGGTAGGAATGAACAATAGATACTATGATTATTGGTGGCGGACGGTTTGATATGCAGTGTATCCAACCAATAACTTCACCGATTAAGTCGTGGATATTTATTTGAAGGACTCGCGAGTGTGGACACGGTCAATATCGTACGGGTTTCCGTCGTATGTCGGTACACGCGCCAGGTCGGTCGCGGTATGTGTAGAGCTGAGAGAGCGGGCGCGGCTGCGAACACTGCGGTGAGTCGAGGCGCGGCTGTGGATGCGCTCGGTTGTGGGGAGTTCGTCGACGTGGGAGCTGGACCCGCTAGACAGAGACCCACCCTCTGCTGAGGCCTCGGTACGGTCGAACTCGGTGTCTTCCTCCTTCTCGGCAATCGCAGCCGCGGCCTTGGACTGCTCCTGGAGATTGCGCATGAAGGCATCTGACTGGGCGGCGAACTTGCAACGGGTTCTGATCTGGGCGCCGTACTTGTAGAACAGGAAGGGGAAGGGTACACAGGCGAGAGCGAGGAAGGCGGGAATAGTGGATGCCCAGTGAATGCCCAGGTTTTCATACATGTAGGTGGTGAACAATGGGAAAGCGGCACCGAAGCAGGAACGCAGAACGGAGTTGGCGGCTAATACGGAGGCGGCGAAGATGGTGTATGCGTCGATCAGGTAGTTCATGATACTGAGGAAGACCAGAACCATTCCGAAGCCGAATGGAACACCGGCCGCGATACTGGCCATCCAGTGGATCGTGGGGTAATTGGTCCATGCGAACCAAAACAGACCGATGGGAAGTGTGGCAGACGCCCACATGCAAGGCGGCAGACGGGCTTCTGGCGGAGCGAAGCCTTCATGCGCTTCTTGAACTTTGACGTACCGCTTGTTATCCCACAAGCTATAGACCACGGCAATGAGCATACCGACCATAATACCCAGGAAAGCCAAACCTCCAACACCTTGGTTCCAGCCGCGCTCTACCTGGTATACAATGGGGAAAGCAGCAAACATCATGTACAGGGTACCGTAAACGATAGCCATGTATAGAGACAGCAAGAAAACGATAGGCTCTTTCAGGAGGAGAATCCAAGGACGGGACAGAGCAACCTTGAAGGCGTCCGCAATCGAGACCCTACCCTGATCAATGTCCAGCTTACTCTGGTAGACCTTACCAGAAAGCTTAGACAGTCTCTCGGCACGGCGGCGGAGCAAAACAGGCGCATATGTCTCTGGGATGAAAAGAGTGCCAACAATCCAGACAAAGCCAGAGAAGATAGCCAGGAAGCCCATGACCCATCTCCAACCGCAGTTCATTCCCAAGAAACCACCAATAAATGGTCCCAGGACCGGTCCCAGGAATGGTGCGGCAGCAAACATACTCAAAGCGAGACCTCTCTTCTTGGCAGTGAACATGTCGGCGATGACACCACCTGCGTTGGTCAGAGGGGAGGATCCGAAAGCACCGGCCCAGAAACGAAGGATAATTAAGGCGTAGGAGGTCTGGGCACCGGCACCACCAGCACAAAAGGCAGCGAGGGCGAAATAGGTGGTGATAAAGAGGACTTGACGGCCAAACAGCTCACTCAGAGGAGCCCATAGCAAAGGACCAATCTATATACAAGGTAATTAGTCATGTAACAAGATAACTTCCGATTCTTTATACTTACAGCGAAACCAAGAACGAAAAGTGAAACACCCAGAGTAGCGAGTTCATCTCCGATACTAAATTGCTCTTCGATCTCTTGTATACCACCGGTAAATGCAGAAGAGACCAATGCAACAGCCAAAGTTGCGACAGCATTGGTCATTGTGAAGAACCATTTCTTCTTTTCGCTGAATAGCATAGGATTGCGAGGGTCGTTAGGGATCCATGTCACGGCGTATGGGTCCTCATCTGTTCCTGAGCCGGCGTATGGGAAATCAATAACCTCTTGAGTGACGACGCCTTGATCGGATACCAGTCGCCAGTATGGAATTGTGGAAGGCGCGGTCGATTCAATCTTATCGGCGTCATGGACCTTGTCGTCTGCCATGATGGGCAAACTGAATGGTTATTGAAAGTCGATAATTAGGTATGTAGTGTTAGATAAGGAATAATTGAGGATTTGAAAAATTCAGGAATTAGGGCTCTTCTACTATGACGATAAAAGAGTGTTGTTGTGTTGTTAAGGACTAAACCTTAGAACCAGTTGTACTGTAATGTATAAAGTACTGTAACTGGTTGCGAAAACGAGAAAACAGGATTCAGGACAGGCCAAGTTCAAGATGCACCTGTTGAATGAGAATATTCTCAAGATTCCGATTAGACCAAAAATTATTTAGGACAGGGGGGGGGCCTTTTAATTAAATGATAAGTACTCCGTCCCTAGGCTAAAAGTATAGTGGCGTTTTGGGTTTTTTAAACAGATCCAGGTTTGGCCCGGAGCTTGACCGGGTCAATAAGTCTATGCACATCTCCACTTCATAGAACACCTCGGTAAGTTGAAACGCTGTTTTGGGAATCGCCGTTTTGTGAATCCACAATTGAAGAAAACTGGGTCTATCAGGTTACATTATTCAGATGATTATAGGTAGCGAAGTAGAAAATGGACTTGTAGCTTGGAAAAGTGATTAATATCTCAGTTACCTATTAGACGTATAGCTAATGTATTCTGCTAATGTATTCTGCTAATGTATTCTGCTAATGTATTCTGCTAGATCTTCTTGAAATGACGTCAAATTTGATATCAAGATACGTAAGAATGTACAAAGTACATATAAGCAGGAAAAGCCACGCGAAAATATTTATGCTATGCATAAACACTCATTGGTTTGCGGCTCGCTTGTGGCACGGGTACTCGGCATCTTTGCCATTGGTTGTACCCTGAGACAGCTCTCTTGGCGTCCAATTTTGTAGGATCCTACATTTTATACGAAGTACATACGGAGAATTTCATACGACATATCAGTTGATATTTGGGAAAGAGAGGCATTAGTGGAGTACCACCATTTCCTCGATAGGTGCTCTGGATACTCCAATCTTTATGCAAGCATTCAGCAAAGAATAGGGGTTTTCTTTTCTACGTGTTATCTCCACACCGTTAAGGCTGGGTACGGAGTAGTACTTATGCGTACTAGCTCAAGTGCCTCTGTCGAGCTAAATGATCTTCTGGACCCATGGATTTTTGCACCTTGATACTAAAGAAGCGAAGATTAGGACTAAACTAGTCCCATGAATTAGATGATTAAGATGGCTTTACTACGCTACAAGTTGAACTAGTACATCGTATCTCCATCCTCGGCTTTATGTATTATCGATCTCATAATAGAGAGTTCCAAGGTTCCTGATTACTCATGTGGGGCCTCGGTGCTATGTATGAATTTGTCATTGAAGCCTTGTCCAAGCCCGAGTCCTGACTCCTGATTTATGCACTCTGTGCATCTATGTATTAGGCCTCATTGAACTACTTATTGCTTAGTACAACACTTGGATAAACTCGCTTAGTTAAAAGTTGCTTATCATTTGATCCTGCAGATTCAATGGCGAACTAATTAAGTACGGATCTAGAAGTTCCCGGGAAACTCATTAGGCACCTGCACGACTCCGCATTTGAATGTCGTGGCTACGATATCAGATAAGCCCCCTTTTTGCAAAGCAATCTCACAAATTTATCTGGACTGATCCACGCCATGAGCCTTGTACCCTGTAACCTTTATCCTTTGTCTTTGACCCTGGCCCTTAGGATTTCAACACATATCAATCTTATGACACAGCAATACGAGAAGATTGACTCGTATCCAAAGATATGTTAGATACCTAACCAACTAGTCAATCCGGGTTGTGAACTAGAAAGTAAGTTGTAAGAGCTAACTAATAGGGCTTCAGCTAGCTGATGAAAAGATCACGCCATATGTGCAGAAATATTTGAAGCCAGGGTCTTCTACAGTATTTTGACACCTTTGTGGGTCATCCATGCTTATGGTAACTACTCCGCTGGTAAGCTCTTCTAAAAAATAAGGAAACCAATTTTCAAACATTCACACTGTGATAGGGTCCCAGATTTCGGACTGAGGGGCCGAGCTTCGAAGGAACAATTTTGCTTCTAATTCCTTTGAATGCGGTCATCATATCCGGTGGCTAATGAGTCACAAAAAGTGAATGGCAAAATTAAACCTGTTGCTGAATGAAACCTGTTGCTGATTCAACATGACGACGTACACGTGATCTATATCAATCTGTCGGCCTCAGGCTCCTAACCTTCACAATTCAAGCCCCACTACGTTCTAGACCGTCAACTACAAAGATATGAATGATCTATGTATATGACGAAAGACAGAAAAAGAGAAATCTAAGGTAGAATGATAGTTTCAAGTCCTTGTACGACGCATGCCTGAAATTTTCAAGTTCTAACAATGAATATTGATCGAGTTGATCGAGAGATCAGAGGATCAATATCGGTTCGTCGCGGATTATCAGTTATTCGGTCTGGTATGGAGTGCCTTCGAACTTCCAAAAACAAACGTGAATGAATAAAATTGATCCGTGGATGCCTTTACACGCATTTCTAACTTGTGTAGTGCCGGTATGGCGCCACCCTCAATATCGGTGCAGAACAATCTCAGAACAATCTCAGAACATCGGTCAGCCTCTGTGTAGTTCTAAGATACTATATGGTAGTCATTGACAATAGTGACTAAGAGTCGAAGATTATCGAACTGTTGGAGATTATACAGCCTATTATTTGAGTTGCAAAAATTACATGCACAAGCGACACGGTCGCGTCCCTAGTGCCAACCGTTAACTTCATACTGTATATAATATGCATGTTGACTACTACATGTTTTATGTACTAGTGCTACAGGATAATTTGAATCAAGGAGACCTCATTTTATTGAGTCTAGGTCATGAACGACGTGTGCTAACACTCGTAAGTAGTAGAATGCCATTAACTGGACCATCCTAAGATGGCAGTAGCATTTCGCAAGAAACAAAAAAGATATCCCTGATGAGGGACATAAAATCAAACCCCATCATGTCGCCGGTAATCATGAAAATAAAAGCAGAACCCCGTATCGCCATTCCAGAAATCAAGAGAAAAATTGGTTCTTAGAAATCTAAGAACGCTCGCCACGGAGGCGGCGGGCCAACTGAATGTCCTTGGACTGGATGGTGACACGCTTGGCGTGAATGGCGCAAAGGTTGGTGTCCTCGAACAGGGAGACGAGGTAGGCCTCGACGGACTCCTGGAGAGCACCAATGGCGGAGGACTGGAAACGTAGGTCGGACTTGAAGTCCTGGGCGATCTCACGAACCAGACGCTGGAAGGGGAGCTTGCGGATCAGGAGCTCAGTGGACTTCTGGTAGCGACGGATCTCACGCAGAGCAACGGTACCTAGGTAAATTATTAGAATGTGAGGAAGCATACAGGACTGTGAGGGTACATACCGGGCTTGTAACGGTGGGGCTTCTTGACACCTCCGGTAGAGGGGGCGGCCTTGCGAGCGGCCTTGGAAGCGAGCTGCTTACGGGGGGCCTTGCCACCAGTGGACTTACCTAAAGAGAGAAGACATGTTAGTAATATGTTGATGACAAATAAATCACATGACGTATTATGTGGCGCCACCCAAATGACGCCAAAGTAAAGTGAACGGGCGCCGGAAGAGACGAGCGCTCGTCACTTCTCATCAGAATCTGGGTGGAGAACACGACATGGAGTATTATTGAAATAGGTATTACTCACGGGCAGTCTGCTTAGTACGAGCCATCTTGATGAAAAAGATGAATTTTGATGGAAAAGGATTAAGTCGAATAGAGTTGTCGACAGGTGGATGAAGAGGGAGAGAAAGAAACGGGAGGATGTGGGTGGGAAAGGGTATTTGTAGGGAATGTAAGAGGGGAGTGATCTGGGAGTTGGGGGATGGACGAATCAGAAGGTGTTATCTAGATCACTCATTAAGTGCGTGGAAAGCAGACTAACTAAACCCCACTTAATACTTTACTTCATGCTTTGATCGTCATTAAGCGAGACCTTCTAATATCAGCCAATCAGAGGCCAGGATCAAGTTTGTTGAATACCAACCACCATTCGCTTGATCCTGGCCACCAAGGAAATTGTATTGATGATCAAAGAATTTGAATACATTCTACACTTCTTTGGCATGTTTCTTGATATTTTAATTGATCAGATTTACGTATTTGAAGTATTTCCTAGTGAGAGATCAGACTTATAAGGCATCTAGACCTTTCGGCCTTGGCTCCCGTACATGACTGATCCTCAACTCTCATTGGTTGATCTTCCCCTTAGTGCGTGATTTCAATTTCCCCCGCGCTTGTCAGCCTTTCCATACAAATACTATCTCCTTCTAGCCTCCTTTTCTCCTCCTCTCATCAATCTTCTTGTCAACAACCCCTGACAACTCCTATACTCCACTTATCTTCAATCTTCTTTTTACCTTTTTAATCCATCAATATGTCTGGACGTAAGTTACCTGTTTTCTCATTACTCTCAAGACGCGTCTTCTAACGCGTTTCAACAGGTGGAAAGGGTGGCAAGGGTCTCGGCAAGGGTGGTGCCAAGCGTCACCGCAAGATTTTGCGTGACAACATCCAGGGAATTACCAAGCCCGCTATCCGCCGTCTCGCTCGTCGTGGTGGTGTCAAGCGTATCTCCGCTATGATCTACGAGGAGACCCGTGGTGTCCTCAAGACCTTCCTCGAGGGTGTCATCCGTGACGCCGTCACCTACACTGAGCACGCCAAGCGCAAGACTGTCACTTCTCTCGATGTCGTCTATGCTCTCAAGCGCCAGGGCCGTAAGTTTACACAGCGCGTCAGGCTTGTCATGACCCTTTTCACTAACGCGTCTTCCCTCCAGGTACCCTCTACGGTTTCGGTGGCTAAATGCCTCATGTCTTTTTTCTCTTTTCCGGTTGTTGCAACGGTATGATGGGACGTTGGGGTGTTCTGAATTTTTATTACAACTGTATGGGTCTCTGGGTTTGATTTTCTCTACACGATTACCACTGTTTTAGCGTCCACTATGGATCGCTTTTGTTGAGCTTTCCTGTATCATGACAGCTTCATCAATTGGCTGGCACCACTCGAGTGGTGGGATGACTTGCGCTCGAAAAGAGTTGCGATCCGATACGAATACAATTTAAAGTAACTCACAAATCTTCCTTGTACCCTTGTAAAGACTTTTGGGTATGTAATGCGTATCGTGTTGAAATTGTACGCGTCGTGCGTGCTTGCGGGCGCGTTGTGCACCTCTGCCGTTGTTTGATCCACCCTGTCTGATCCACCTACACCGAAATGCAGCCGGCCATTTATTTCAAGTGGTCTCGCAGTTGACTGGAGTAAATAGGTAATTCGTATAGGGAATTGTCATTCAATGTATACCTAGGTACCTAGGTACAGACCTCGGGATGATGCTGCCAGCTTTCACGGTCACCAATTTCAACAATCAGCCATAGAAAATCTTTCACGGTGGTAATGCCTCCATGCAACAAACTAGATCAAATCTGTTATAAACCTTCCACATGTCTTCCAGGGCTGATTTCCGAGTTTATGAACTTGCTCTCTCGTAGATATACAAGTTAGTCATGTCCAATTTTCGGTTTGGTTTTTGTGGAAAAAGTTTAGAGAATGGTGGTAGTACTTTAATGTATGTGAACACAAAATATATATATATTTAACTAATACAAAATACCAACACTCAAGTAAACATCCATGGACACTTTTCACTGGATATAGCACCAGAAGGTATTCAGAGTGTATACAATTTTTTGTATACAAGACACAAAATACCCCAAGAGAAATGATTATGATTACAAACGATGTGTTGATTGGCCAAAAGTAGCCAGTGTATCGCTCGTTTGTAGAGGGCAGAATAGTCGAGTTGCCCGCGTTCAGCTTTCACCGCCTATATCTAGGTAACAGATACCTCACCGTAGTGAGAGAAACTTAGAGCAAGGTATAAGTAGCGTATCTTCAGGTGAGCTAGCGACTCAGAATGAATCTACTATTACTCTGAAAATGTCGAAATCAGCATTCTGAATTACCCACCATCGCCTATTTATTGACTGTAGTTAGACTTTATACATTTGATTAGACATGTGCATGGGTTGGGTATGGGTCCCATATGGGTATTTAAGTTGCCTTAATGCCTTAATAATGCCTGACGCTAGTCTGAAATAGAGCTAGTTTACTTAGCTAATTATACATTATAATGCATGTAATTTTTGTTGTTTTAATCAATACCATTTATAATTAAAATTCAAACATTCAAAATTTGATACTAATAACTTAATATTAACTAGAACTACCTTCACCAGTATCACCACCACCACCATCGCTATTGTCTTTCACGTCAACGTTATGCTTGACGCCGACGTTGTGCTCGAGTTAGTGGTAGAGCTTCTGGTAGTGGTGGTCGAACACCATGAAGCGTAAGATAAGCCTCAGCATAAGCATTCCATAAAATACTAGCTATAGTAGGACGGACGCTATCAAGAGATGGAGCAGTTCCTTGATTTGTCTATAATAAAGCTGTCCAATCATTTTGTAGGGCTGTCTCCCAAGCGTGAAATGCGGCCGTTAAACGATCATATGTTACTTATCGTATTGGGGCTTCAGTCGCCATAAGTTGATGAAAGGTATTATCATCAAGACCAGGACTTCGACAGATTGTAGTCATTGGTAGCTCATTTGAGGTAATAATTGGAGCTACTTGTGGGGGAGCAGGTCCCCGAATGCGATGCTGATAAGGGGTTACCGCTGCTCTTGGAACATGATCCCGATGGAAATCCTCACCCCACTGCTGTTTAAAGGAGGGATATTTTTGACTTAGATAAAATTAGATATTAGTATAATCATACTTATTATTAGGGAATATAAAGGTATAACTTACGCAAAATAACTACAGACGTCGGCGGACTGACCAATATCGCTCCCGATTGGGCTGCGACCGGGTTCGGCAAGAAAATGGGCGTTACGCCAGTCTGTACTCACCACATACCGCGCGAGGATTTTGTGTGAGTCCGCCCTCTCCTTAGATGTTATCGCTGCTGTATCTGGTGTTAAAACTAGATATTAGATATACTTAGTAATGCCTTAGTAAATGTTTTATATATATCTTACAGCAGCCAGTATGTTGCTTATGAAAATGCCGATTCATCATGCCGTTATCCTTGAAGGTGATGCCACATTGCTGACCTCTTTCCACAATAACTAGACATACTAAGGTATTAACCTTAGACCAGGGAAGCATAGTATTTGGAGGACCAAGACCCTTTCGAATATCTTCTTTGATATGCGCAACGAGGATAGGCTCTGTTGGGTCCTCAAGGTCGCGCCAGGTCTATGGTCTCCAGCCTGGATTTGGATCTTCGATTGGTCCTAGAGATTTCTAAATGGTCAGTAAGAAAGGTTGTTTCGAATAATATGTCTTATAACACACTATAACAATATCCCCATCTAAAGTCAGGATTATAGGCATCTTGTATATTATCTAAGAGGAAGAACTCTCTGTCAGGGCCTGTTTGGTATAGGTATCCTGGGGTAATAGGGCGGAGGGGCATCTTGGTAATAAAGTTTGAAACTCTTGAGTAGATAGTATGGTAAGACTTAGTAAAGGTTCTGTAGATGATAGAATATGAATTAGGAAGAGGGAAAATCATGGGGAAATATATTGTTTGAACCTCAGAACCACGGTGGTTTCTAACAAAGAGAATAATTATGGTCAGCTAGCCTCTATAGGCTCAACGAAAGATAAATATTATTCTCATTAAAGAATCTACTACTAAATTAGAAAACATGCTGAAAATAGTGAAAGAAAAGTGCTAGGACTAAGTTTTGAATAGAAAAGTGAAATGTTCAATACTAATTTCTGAAATTAGGAATATTGAAGTAATAATAAGTTTTTCTATGCTCAGAATGCTATAATAGCCTACTTAGATTGACTTAATAGGTTGATTTAAAGGGTACTGGATCGATTCCGGCTGAATCCGTTCTTTTTTCTTTTGTGATAATAAAATACAGAATATTAATACATTATGATTCAGCATAAATTTCCAAAAATACACATAATTTATGTATATCACGTGAAGGATAGGGCTTGGCAAAAAAATGGGTTTATGGGTTGGGTATGGGTATGGGTATGGGTATGGGTATAGGATTAAACCCATACCCAACCCATATGGGTTTTGGGTAAAATTTTGGACCCATACCCAACCCAATGAACATGTCTATGCTTCGGTGATCACCTAGTCAACGGACAAATAACGTATACACACATACAATTTATTCTCGATACCCCATTCCTATTCGTTTACTAGAATCCACCCTGGTGGTTTGTCAGCCCTCCAGTCGACACTGGTGAACTATCATGTGGTTGTACCACGTGACCCACCAACCGCATACCTCACGATTCCACCCCGAATTGTTTACGTTTCTTTAAGGATTTTGTACACAGCATGTGCCTAGCTAGTTCTGAATCTAAAATTAGATTTAGACCTTCACAGCTGCCGCTGCTTGCAAACAGTGTTCTTCGTAGCTGTCGCTCGAAAGGGCGATATTCGAATATCTCACTGAGAATAGCGTTCGAGTTCTTACTGCAGTAAAAGGGAATTGAAGTTTACTGCAGTAGAAAGGAGTTGGTGAGCTTCAACAAACCGCTACTCAACACCGTAGAAAATCCACCGGGTGTAGTGGATGCTACGATACTGAATACTGCGATTGTTGTGAAGTCTGCTTTTTCATTGATGAAAGAACTAGCTACTTATAGTATATGGGTGCCCCTCTGCCCTGGACGAATGTCAACATTCGTCCGAGACAGAAGAGACGGTGAAGACGGGATATTATTGTCGCGAATGCACATCGCTCAAGGGTGTCGTTTGCGATGAATGCATATCGTTCAAGGATGCCGTGATATACTAATCTAGTTCCAGAGTCACTGTCTTGGCAGAAGCTTTTTCGGCCGAAATACTTTCCGTCTGTTGATGGCCTTGTTTCTCGGCTGTCGCAACATATCTTATCTTAATTAAAAGATTAGGATTATTTTCTTTTAAAGAGTACAGATATTCCGGTGTCTCCTCTTATATGGCCCATGAATCACAGCCATACTCCTAGTACTTTGAAATTGAAGAACAATATGATGAAGGCCAAACTGATATCAATACTGTGAAATCTGTTTCAACAGACCGAGAGACACTACTGCTAGAATCACCGACTCTCAATTTAGAGACGATGTCTTACTTAGAACCTACGAGCTAGCTTCCAAATCCACAGCCGCGCCAAACTTTTAACAGTCCTCATACATGTATTCAAGATGGGCCTCAACACTTTCTTACCAATGATCCCATTTATCCGAGTCCATCAAGTTCACCTTTGAAGAAGACAACGATCACACCTCAATCCGGTCACACGGCTGTCAAATATTTGCCCAGGTTGTCAGCTGACACTGTCAGTTAAAATTCCTATATAGTATTCAATGGCGACAGGTTTGATTTGAATCGAGACGTATTCACCAAGTTATCATCTTGAATAACGGGCCTATCAATACCATCAGCTGAATGTATTCGAATGATGTATAATCAATCGTATCATTTTTGGAATGGTGCTACATTCCTCTCATGCATATTAATATTAGTTCCAACAAAACATGGTAGAACCTTTGCTCATGAAAGTGCTTAGACCATAGTGTACTAGGAATATAATAGTAATCCATAATCGTAATCTACACTGACCAATAGTAGTTATTTGACGGTTCTAGCTATTCTCGATCCTCTTCGCTATCCGGAATCGATATCTGTGCTATGCTCTTGATAATAGCATCATAGTGGCCAGAATGGTCAATTATCGCCTTTGACATCATGTACCCCGCCTCCTCTGTCTCATCATCAGCGGAGAAAATGTTACCTGCTATCATTTGCTCCTCTAACTCCGACCCGGCGGTACAGTGCGACAAGGCCCGGAGAGTCGACTTGCGGAGATAGCGGCCAATTGTGGGCCATGCCTTATGGGTCGGAATCTTATCTGCTGCAAAATTCATCTGCATTCGCTTTGACCATAGGTATGTGACCAGAAACCGGAAATAAAAGAATCTCTTGCGCGGGCGGTTGTCATTAGCAAAGGACAACTCTTTTCCATCAATTTCCTATTCACCGTGAAAATTTTATTGCACCGTAAAACTAAGTTTAGTCAGCATCCCATTGCATCAAATTTAATTCTAGTAGATTCGAAGCTGAAATTATCATAATAACTGTAGTAAAGGCCGCAGCAAAGTCCACATCGGCCCAGCCATATTCATCAGAGATAGAAATGCTAGTTCAGGCGTTCGACGGGCAGGATAGCACGCTGTGTGATCAATTCCTCAATCTCGCAGAGATCCTTAATAAGAATTCTCATTACCCTGTCAGTATGTTGGCATCACATATAGTATTGGCTGGCTGATTCAAAGATAGCACGATCGCCATATTTGTCAAATAAGACCGGGCTACCCGTGGGAAGGCCGAATTCCTGAACAAGTCCCTAGCCCGCCGGCTCGGGGCCATCCCAGTCTTCAACCAACGAAGGCCAGAGGCAAAGCTTTAGCGTACTCCATTTCGGAGGAATATAAATCTTAATATACATGTTAGCAAATAGACTTGATTTGAAAAAGAGAAGGATTCCTCGATTCGGCAAGAAAGGTAGGCTTCGTAATAGGGCGTTGAAAGTCTTGAGGACCGCCGAGAGACTTCGCATAGTCCTGAACAGCAGTAGCAGTAGGGGATAAACTCGCTATTTCAGCAGTCTCTGTTGGGAACTTAGCGATGGTGGTAGTAGACATGCTGTTGATGTGGAAATGATGAGAAAGTAGTTGCAAATCGCCACTAGTCGCTTTGCTTCCAGGTCGCTTTTCTTCCGCACGTCCCTGTCACGCTCGTGATTCGGCCATTGCTGCCCATTGTTCGCCACGCAACTCAAGCCTATCCATGAACTCAGCGACTGTGGTGGTGTCATTCGGGGGTTCAAGATCTCGTTGAAGGTTAGGGTCGAGACGCATCCAGACCATTCGAAGCTGCGATACGGTTGTGTTGAAGTCTGCAGCTTGCGCATCGCGCATCAGGGTGCGCGCCCACTGGACGGGCGACTTGCCGGATCTAAGCTCGTTCCAGCCGAATTGCGACTCAGGCGCCATAAGGCGAGCTTGCGCTGTGACGGGACGCATCTTGAATGACTTTTCTAGGATGGCGTACCAGCCCTCTTCGAGTGGCGTCATATTTAGAGTGAAGCGCTGGTCTGACGATAGCTCGGTATTATACCACTCCGCTGCTTGTTCGCGAAGGCACGAGGGCAGGTTCGCTCGAACTGTCTCCTCTGATTTGAGTGGAACCATAGCGCGGAGCTGGGTTAGAAAAGCGAAAACATTGACGTAATGAGTAATTCCGCGGATCGTCTTGATATGGATTGTTGATGTGGGATCAGGTACAAAATAGCCGATCTCCTCTGCTTTCCAGTGTGAGGCGGCCGCGGCGTTAAGGCCGCTTGGCCCCGGTGGCCCCTGTGGACCTGGAATTGGTGCATGATTCGCTAGGGCCGTATGCACTGCTCGGGCGATGATTTGCTCGAGCTGCTGCTCTGACATCGTAATTTCTAGCATGATGGGGGAAGGTGTCCTCCGTTGAGGGCCGCGGACGGGCGAGGAAGCGAGTCCGCGTTCCGATTCCGGTTCTAGGGAAGGCGGAAAAGGAGTTAGTAAGGGTGCGTTGTCGAACACGAGCTTAGGATTTTGACCCGGACGGAGCGGCGTCTGATCGTGATGGCTGGGCTGTGAGATATAATCTGCAATTTTCGAGTGCAGATAGACGAATTTAACGATTTCTCGCCGGAGAGTGCGAGGATCCAATGCCCAGTCGTCTGGAAAGGGTGGTTGTGTCGGCAGACGAGGGGTGGGGAAATCGGTTAGTGTCGATTGAATGTCGGCACGAACGTGGTCAAGGAGGGATGAGACGCCGTGGGCGGCTTCAAATAGTGCGAACCGATGAGCGTACACTGACGTCTGGATGACTCGCTTCTGCTGCGTCGCACTATCCTTCTTGGTGGGTGGCATAAAAAAAATGGATTTGGAGAAGAGCGATGACGTATCGTTTTGAGATAAAACCCGGGGTAAGTGTAGTGAGAATGCTGCACAAAACGCGTTGAGATTGAGGCTTGCAGCGGCGTGACTCACAGCGCTGTCGAAGCTTAGTAGAATTGATCCTTCTACTCTTCGTCAATTCGGCGTAAACCCGGGATGACCCTGGACCGTTTTAGACGTGCTACCAGTTGTTAGGTAGAGAGGCTGAGTGATGAAGATGATGCATTGTCACTGTGGAGCTATCCCGCTACCTAGCCTGGGTCACCTGACCCCTAATCCGTAACAGTACTTATCCTTAATAATTAAAATCCATTTGTTATCCGTCGGTAAATACTCAGTAATACTGGATGGAAGATTCCCTACAATTACCAAGGTTTCTTTGAGTGTTATTTCTGAATTCTGAAACCAGCAGGGTTCTTTGTCGGTGAATTTTGGGAAAGGATTCAAAGTCTTGGACGTATAGGGCTGGCTTTTTCTACTCTCTTTTTTTTTGATTGAGGAAACCTTGGAAAGTATGATAAAGCTGAATGGAATATGCCAGGGATAAATTTTCAAGTCTTCAAGATTAAGCAGACCCCGAGATCATGCTAGTGTTTCTTTCAGTGTTTGTATAGTTGACAATGAGGTAGCTAATTTCGAAGGAACCTCCAGGGCTTCTAATAAAGAAGTATACTACGTTCCGTAGATTTGTGTCTTTGATCGTAATATGAAGGTGGTTTCAAATGTCGCAATAATAAATTGAGGTCATTGACTGTAGAGTTTGCAAGACTTTCTGATTTATTTTTGCTTTACTTAAGAGTTATATATATCTCAGGTTTATGGTAATTGTTTACAGATAAATACAGATTACACCAGGTTGGCCATCAATACAGTAATATTTCAACATGAATACCCTTCCGGAGAGTAAGTGCCTTTTTCTATCAGTTTTCGTGGTATATTCTAATTATCATGATAGCGCGAGAATTGAGGAAAAGAGATCTGGCATGGCAGGTAAGGAACCACATACATACAAGCGTTCTTATGTACTAAACAAGTTCATAGACCCCCTTCGCTCCCTGGTGGGATGAAGACCTCAAAAATCCTAGTTCAAGGGGATTTCCTAACTATGGAAATCAATGTTACAGAAACGCTATGTTGCAACAACTTATGCATCTTCCAGTATTTCTGCATTGGATTAAATTTTACGAGAAACATCATCTTCCACACCAAGCAGGATGTGTACTACATGAGGATGGGGGAATGTGCAAGATATGCAGTCTGTTTAACCTAGCTGCTGCCTATTGGGGTAAAAAAGAGGAGGATACCTACCTAGAAATATTAGACTATTTCTGGAAAGACATCTTCGCTGATTGGAATGACGGAACCATGGAAGGTCAGCAAGACACACATGAGTTCTGGACTGAGCTGTATACGCAGCTTGTAGAGGCAACGAGGCCGCTTTTGTAAGCTCATCCTGTTACCTTCCATTCTCTCTGATGCTAATTATAAAACAGCCGTTCGGACCTTCGAGATATCTTTATGGTCTTGGGGGTCTCTATGCGCCAATGCCAGGGTTCTGGTGCCTGTGAGGGCTACGCCTGCACAAAATTCGAACTATTATCACTAGACGCAGAATTTCACACGCACGATAAGGAACTGCCACCCTATTCTATCACAGAGGCAATTTTAAACATCTTCAAGACAAAAACCCTCGAGAAATTCAAATGTGATAAGTGCGGAAATCCAGCGGTGAAATTAGACCGGCTCGGTCATCCACCCGAAGTTCTATTTGTAAAGCTCAATCGTTCTCAGTGGATAGGAGGAAAGCCTAGCAAATTCACACAAAGAATTTTATTGAATGAGCACATCCAACTTCCAGCCGAGAGCTTTGACCCGCGACTGGAAACTTTAAGGAAACCTATCAAATACCAGCTTTCTTCATTGCAGCTGCACCAGGGCATGGAACCAGACACAGGTCATTACCTCTCTATCGTAAAGGGGCCCCGCGATACATGGACACTATGTGACGACAAAGTGATGACGCCATACGATAGCTTCAAAGAAATGGCCGACTCGGAAGATATTCAACGACAGAGCTACATTGTCGCATATCGCCGATGCCCCCTCAAGCCTAACGAGAACGATCCAATAGTTGCTAGGCAGATTGGGCAGAAGCATATGTTCAAGGGTCATGTCCCTTCCCGTGAAGCTTATTCTCTGATTGGCACTCCAATTGGTGATCCAGTTCTCGAAGCTGTGCTGCCTTCTGATTCGACTCAGAAATTAGGCAGATTTAACAGACCTAGTCGGGTAGAGAATCAGCAAATCGGAAACATGATGAGAAATCTAACTAAATTTAGGTTTGGACTACTCGATTGGAACAAGGACGAAGCAGACCATATACTTAGGAAGGAATGGGCCTCAATCACTGAACATATTAACATATTATCCGGTCAAGTCCAGCAAGATGTTGATGAAGACGCCACAAAATCTGCAGCAAAGGTTGCGATACTGGGTGCGGTCGAACAGATTGCAGTATCCGACCAAATAGAGAAAGAAATGAGTGATATATACAAAGCCGCAGAATTATTGGAAGTAGTATCAGTCAGAAACAAGGCTCTTCTCCATCAGGCATCGCAGATACTCAAAGCAACGTATATTCTCATGAAGGACAATATGGCAAATTTGGGGGGAGCCACGGAATTGGACATGTCCCCAGGCGAGCTGCAAACAATCATCAACAAAATAGAAAATATTCGAGCCAAGGCAAGGGATGCCGCGCGCGAGGTTCTTTCCAGCATGAATTTAACCTCAAGTGAAGATCCAAGTGAAAAAGTTGAGGAAACCTTGCAATCCTCGACTACGTGTGGTCCTGCAGTTTCCCCGGAAAGACAGATACGAGTCAGTGAGGAAATCGCCGAGTTCTGCAATGCCCTTACTTTTATATCGAAAAACAGACCATTAAATCACCAGGAAGTAATGCACACAGCAAAGGCAATCATTTCAGTACCTTCAGAATACTTGGGAGTGACAGACGAACCATTGAATGAGCAGGATACTAGAACAGCACAGAAAGCAGCAAGTAAGCTTATAGAGATATCAGGTCACCTTTCTGATTCAGAGAGTCAATTGTCAAGCTTAGGACTGACACAAAGCCCGCCAATAAGGTTAATGTCCCAAGCCTTCAATGCCGGAAAATTACTTGTGGCACTGGTAAAGCAAGCGCGAAAAGTCCCAGGAGCAAAAGAGGGAAGTCTGACAATCAAGTATTCCACTAAGAACGGCGCAAAAGTGGCGCTACGTGCTACAACCATGGGAAGAGCCGTTTCGCCCATCGATGCAGATACCGACAAGATATTGGACGTTATCAAGCTTCCAGAGACATTAGACAGGGGTCTTTTGGAACTCAGGTTCACCAAGTGGGATGGAAAGGTTAGTATAAATGCCTCTATGCAAGGTCAACTCAGAAATGCTCTACCGAAGAAGGTAACCCGTGCTTCTAGCATTGTTCATGGGAAAAAGATACTCAAAGCCAAAGCCAAGGCATGTAATGGCAAAAAGCCCACATATAAAAAAGCTCCCATGAAAGCCCAGAAAAAAGCTGTGAAGTAAACTGCTTCTAATTTGCTGGTTCTGGTTCAATGGATTATGATTTAGTTGTTACATTTATGGATGTTATGCTTCTGTTTGAATTTAATTTGACACAGCACCTGAGCATTCTAAGGCTTAAAATATCTGAAATTCAAATTCGTAGTCACCACTTTCTGAGTTTTATAGTGTCTTCCAAGGTTCACAAGGTCCATTGATGGATCATCTCCTGAGGTTCACACACAACTCAGCGCGATAATTCAGCTTCGAAGATTTCCTGTTGATTTGAATATTTCACATATTATACTGTGAATTTTTCTAGGATCATCATTGATTATGGCTCCTATAGATAAATTTGTACAGCTGATAGGCCTTTGCAATCGGTCCGGCATTATTTTGAAGCATTTGATCTCTCAACAATGGTCTCTTGAATGACCTTAATGCCGTGATCAGTGTGGCTCGTGGTGCTACCAGCATCCCAATCTGCATCTGCATCGACGGTGTACGAGGTAGGATCATGTGGCCCTGCAAGAATAGCATTTTCGTCGCTAACATTATTCCAATCTTCCTTTTTGGCCCCAAACTTACGCCGGGGCAGATTCGTATTTGCTTTGCTGCTCATTGTATATTCGGTGTGGCTCTTGGTACCACTGTGGGTAGAGACAAAGCCTAGGCGGTGGGAGATACGCCGGACGAGAGGGTAAATCAGAGGGAAATTGTCAACGGCAATCGCGACAAAGGACTCACGGATGGACCACATTCCACCGATTGTGGCACCAGTTCCGGTAGACTAGAGAACATATTAGCGTAATGTTTGCGAGGAGTTTTTTCGAGTGATAAACTTGCTGTTAGAAGTAGAACACAGCGAATGATAGCAGCAACCATAACAAAGAGACCTCCACCGAAAAGAACAAGAAGCCGGAGCTTTGCCTGCCATTTGAGTTGAGCTTTCATAAGTACCTAAATTAAGAGCTTGTCAGAATTTATGTCTTGGTATAACTAGTTTTGTAAAAAAAAGAATGATGATAAAACTCACCGGAATAGGGATAGTGAGGAGATAGACGTCGGTGACAATATTGAACACACCGTTGGCGATAACAGCCACGGGAGAGACGGCTGGCAGGCATTGACCTATAGAGGAATAATAAGAAAATGAGATGAAAATGTGAGAGAACCCGGATACAACATACTACCAGGGTTAGGATTGATTTGCCAAAATTGGTAAAAGGGACGACAGCTAAGGTAAAGTGTGCAGAAACCGGCAAAAAAAGTTATAGCAAGCATCGCATAGGCGATCTTAACTCGAATTTCTAGCACCTTGATTCCCTCACTAGTAATCTTTAGTTAGACGCGAGGCTGAGGTTGTGTTTGGTAAAAAAAAGTACTCACGTCATTCGGGAATAGAAGACTGCCATGCATATTTTTAGTATCCATAATGTGAGCATATAACATGCCCAGCCTGAGAGCTGGAGCTTAGAGCCGTTAACGCGGTTCGAATACTCGATCGAATCAGGCGACAATGCTGCTCGATACTCATCGGTCATTCCCGCATTGCTAAGACCTTGATATTCTCCAACTTTAGTGCCAAGATGAACTTCCACGCCAAATGTTATCTTCAGTCCCATTAGCTATTGCTGTCGTGAAACTACTTAAGTATTTAGTCATACTTACACAAGCCAAGCACATCACATAATCGTCAAGTTTGAGACCCTTTATGCCCACCATGACCAATCGAGCGATGATACGAGTGGCAATGATAGCCACCCCTAGTGAAAGGAGGGTGTATAGCTCGGTTAATGCTGCTGAAGCCATGATGCATTATCAAGGACGAAAGATATAAAGGTGAAGCGAGTGAAGACCTTTAGACTGATATCCTTCAAAGGTCTGAATTTGTACGAAAAGAAGGGTATTTAAAAGAAAATTGCATATGTGCAGGGCTTCGAAAGTCTTGTTAGCATTCAATCAGACTTTGCGACTAGTTCTCTCCCACGAACTTGTCACTGTTGGATATCCAATCATATAACTGCATGAACCAAACACTATTATAAAATAGTAAATAACCTTGGAATGAAACATAGTTTAACAGTTAATAGGTTTTCAAGTCGCAGCGGCAGCGAAAATAGCCGGGCCTAAGTCCACAATATATCCACATCTCGGGGATAATTTAAGTTCTTGCCACGTGTGAACGTATGACCCACTTTCTTCTGCTTTTCACCAATTACGAAGTCGGGATTTTGCCATTTTTATAGTTTCGGCCACTTGCGAGTGGGTCTATAAATAATCTTGATCATTTTAGTTCTGCCCTAGCGTTGATTTCGGTCAAAATTTTCAATTCCATAGTTAACTTCCACCTTTTTTATCATTACTGATAAACTACCTATTATATGAATCTGAAATAGTTATTAGCCCTTTACGGGACTATTCCCTTCCTTGCTTCCAGACCTAAGAGTAATCGATATTGAATTATAGGGGTTGTTCAAATTTCATATCCGAAGTGTTTCATAAGTAAATTTTGCAGCCTTATGTTGCTCAGTTTTACTATTGAACTACTTTAACCTACTACTCAAATGGAATCTATCATATTACCACCGTCAGTGCTACAAAATTGAAGCGGTCGAGTAGGTGGTAGGTAGGTTATGATGCTGAAATAATAGGTTGACGGTTGACACAAGAAGGTACCTCTGTAGATATACTCTGTACGCCGTGCTCGAAACTCTCGCCACGCTGTCCCCCTTTTCACCCATAAAATGTTTCATAATTAGGTATACAACCTTAGAAATATATATTATATTCTCTGGATCTACTCGCCTGGAATACCAAAATTGAATTTTTCTTGAAAAATTCAATTCTTCCGGAATTTCTGTGAGACCTCCTCTGGGGCTATTGGTTCCAGTAAATATAAGAAATATGGGTGGACTGGGGAACAACCAACTCTCCTGAAACATATATTCAAGGCTATATAAGTCTTTGTTAGTGAAAAGGGTCCATTGATGTCTACTAGAGGATTAAATATTAACATGGTGACGTTTTCAAAGGTTGCTACAACTGAGTATTTGAATTTCTTGCGCCTCCATAGGACATAGGAATGGGTTAAGGTTTGGAGAGGGGAACTTAACCCAACTTTCCATTTGAAATGGCCCAGAATCAACTTCCCAACATGATAGTCCGAAGATGAACCGATACTACCCCTTTTCTGATGACCGGTAAAGCTCTATGATTTGGTTCAAACTTCAACAACATAGATGCCTCAAGAACAAGGAGAAAGAGCGAAATTAGAAGAGGAAAATCAGAAAGGTTCAGAGGAGGCGGACTATAGGTCACATCACGGCAGCCTGAGATGAAAAAGATAAATGGTACGTAGAATTCTGGTTGAAGAGCAAGTGCGAATATAACATCAAATGAAAGGATAAGAATGGTGATTCAGATTGGCCTTCGTATAGTTTTCCCCTAGGGTTTTCTATACCATCATGCGAATGCAAAAACTTTGCTCCGTACCAAGTAATCTCTAGACTTCACTCATAGGACTCCGTACAGAGTAAGTGCGCGATGTCAGATTCTGGATAACTCTTCGACAACTCAGACCACGCATCACCAAGAAACCTGCTGAGCGGTGTTTCTCTGATTTTCATAAAACAAATCAATATTTTAATGCGCATGATAGCTATTATGTCCTTTACTTCGTGACCTTGGAGCGCATTTGAAAGACGAAACCGATGATATATGGTATAGAAAGATCTGTACAAGCTCCTATTTCCTTGCACATCGACTAAATATCAACATTACAGCAGATAAAATGATTGAAAAAAAAGGGGAAAAAAAGAGGTCGTGCCCGGGATCGAACCGGGATTGCCAGAATCAGAACCTGAAGTGCTAACCATTACACTACACAACCTTAGTTGATGAAGGGTTGCCACTTTAAAAATATATGAAAAATTCCCTTCTAGTCCCGTTCTTAATATGTGCCTACAATGAACTCTAGAATTATGTAGTAGTCAATGCATGCATTGATCCATAACTTTCGAGTCTACGCGCTTTGAGAGCTTTCAACAATCAATAACCTTGAAAGATAGGAAGAAACTGAAACATTGTAAAATTCAGAGATTCTCTGGATAAGTCCATGCCTATCATGGATGAACTCGCCCAGGAAATATCCATGCACAAATATTTCGGTTACTATTAGTTACTAGTTATTTAAGAGTATAAGTTAGCTTACCTAGCATCCTACGTTTGAAATTGCCAATATAATGGTTAATTTGGACTTTCACCCTAGATCGAGATTTCAAAGTAAAATTGATGTGTAAAAGAGCCATTTATTATCTGATAACTATGACTGTTGGCATCGCCGAGGGGTCGATGGCTTAGTAAGCTCACCGACATAAAATGTGAAGGTCTCCGCTACCCCCAAGGTATCCTAATTTCCAAGGCTGTCTCAATTTTCGAAGTTTGGAACAAAATATTCCCTAGCATTTCTAGTATTTCTAGCAATTTCTACGTGGCTAATCTCCCAATCTTGGAACCGCAACTTCCGAACAACGAAGGGAGTAGGCTTTTAACCACCCTTGATGTTGTTACGACAATATCTCCCGCTAGACTCCCTACCTAGCTGGCTCAGACTAAATGGCATCGTTGGGCATGGAATATCGTTCCAAAAACTCGATGGCGACAGTAACACGGACAAAGGCAATGCCATTGTTGCCACAGAGGATTTAAGCAACGATGAAGATTCACATGTTAAAGTCCTTCTTGAAGTTCCGTCTGACTTAATTTTGTCATTGGAAGCTGTTCACACCTACGCAAAAGCGGACCGGGATCTCCGTGAAGTGCTAGAAGCAGCGAGCGAATTTGGCCGGGTATGATACTAGTTCCCCAGATGGCGACAAGAGATTAACTTACGTGTATCTGCAGACTGCGAGAGGCTCAATATTGATATTTCTTCTTTTGCAATTGACACATAATGATCCGGAAATTCCCCGTCCAATTGGCGTGTCCAGCCCTTGGGCTGAGTATGTCAAATTTCTCCCGCCATCGTTTCCCTTGCCTACATGCTACTCTGATGAAGAGCAGCAGTTGCTGATTGGAACCTCACTTGCAGCTGCTGTAGAGGCGAAATTTGATTCCTTACAACGAGAATTCGACCTGCTTCGCGAGGCTACATGTGGGATTTCTTGGTGTGAAGAGCTTTGGTGGAATGAAAATACTGGAAGATTAACAATGGCCGATTGGATTTATGTCGATGCTGCATATAGATCACGCATGTTGGATTTGCCGGGGAGTGGTCACTCAATGGTACCCTGCATTGACATGGTCAATCATATGGCTGGTTCGGCTGTCAAAGCGTTATACGAAACTGATTCGGACGGTAATGCAATTTTACAGCTGCGTCTGGGCAAGACTTTACACACCGGCGAAGAAGTGACTATCTCGTGAGTCAGCTTACAAACCGGGCATTTACCGCAGCTATACTGACTCCTTTTCTTAGATATGGAGATGAAAAGCCTGCAGCAGAGATGATCTTCTCCTACGGCTTCTTGGACAGCGATACAACCGAGGCAAAAAAAATTACTCTGGATATTGACATTACGGCCGCTACCACTGATCCTCTTGCTTTTGCAAAGAAGACATTATGTCGGAACATCCCAGGTCTCAGAGTATCTACTGCCTACAACTCAGAGAAAGATATTCTGAAATCATTAACAACTTCCGGTGAAACCACCTGGGACAGTCCATTCATGTGGTGGGCGAGTGTGAATGAAGAAGATGGACTCTCCATTGGTGTTGTGCAAACTATGGATGGAAGAAGGGAGCTTGAAGCAACCTGGAAAGGCGAAAAAGTCGAAACCCCTCATGATCTGCTTGGACTTATTGCGACCCATCCATCAAGGGATATTTTCCAGCTCCGAGCTTTGGTGCTGGTGCTTGATCGACTGGAGACCGAAATATCGAGGATGCAAGAGACAGAATACGAATTGAAGAAATTCTGTGAAAATAACGAGCGACTTGATCAGATTTGGAGGCCGGAAATATTTAGCCTGGTGTCTCGATTACGACAGATGGAGGGCTTATTACTACAGAAAGCGATGAATGATCTTACAGAACGGGTAAGTTTGAATACTCGTGGACCCCAATCCACCTAGGTCCTAGTCCATGGGAAAATGCATTGGTGATGAATTCCTGCTAATAAAGTTGCCAGAAAAATGAGTTGATGGAGTCGAACACCGTCATCAAATATCTCAGTCAACAATCACAGGCGGATGAGGTTGAGGTTGAAGATTTCACGTGAAATTGCTATATTGATAATAAATTGTGTGTTCACATGATATTTAAATCTTCAATCAGTTCAAGTTCAAATTCAACAAAATAACATAAGAGGCTTGACTAACATGATATGATCGGACTGTTCGAATAGTTCATCATCATATTTTGCTGCATAATCGATGTTGTCATTTAGAAGAAGCTAACAAAGAACAGGCCAAAAAAAAAAAAAAAAAGGCAGCGAGTAAGAAGCAGACTACTACAAAGGCAATCTATGAAGGTTATAAGATATTCATGAAGTGTCTCAAGGTAATTAAGGAGAGTAGTCTAGGTAAAGAGAGAGAGAGAGATATATATATATATATATCTGACACAGAAGCCAGTTTGGAAGCTCTGGTTGAGTTAAGGTCGATTTTTCTAACTATACCTACTACTTGGCGTCGGATAACATGTCCTGGATGTGGTAAGAAAGGCTATATATACAATAAATGCTCTGATCGAGTTGTACATTCAAATTTACTTTGATAGGAGTATTACATAACTTCAATTTTGCGGCAAGTGAAGTCCATGGTTATTTAAAAACCTGTTTATAATTACAAAAAGGGATGAATTTGTCATCACAAGTCAATCTGGCCGAGTGGTTAAGGCGATTGACTAGAAATCAATTCCGTTCGCGGGCATAGGTTCGAATCCTATGGTTGACGTTTTTTTTTCTCTTCCAATTTTTTTTTTGCAAACTTGGCACCTGTAATTACAGATCACTTACCTAAGTAGGAAATTGATGGGGTCTATAATTGAACAACCTGGGCAAATTACGTACCTAGGTAATGGAAAACGAGATCTAGGACCTCGGGAGCTAGGAGACAACCTCCTCGGCATTCCAAGGTCTCTGTGATCTCCCGAGGTTCATCTACTTGATTCTTCATCCATTCTTCAGACACAACGACATATTTTAGCACACTTCATTCAACCTCACCCCAAGCTAGTCATTGCACCGTTTTTATTCAACTCAAATATGACTTTTTTCCTCGGTACTGTACGTATGAAAAGTCATATATCGAATGTTATCAACAGACAGACAGGGATAGAGCGTCCAGCTCTGGGGCTTATGGGTATGCAGGCGACTGTCATCATTCAAAGCAAAATTAGTATGTCCAACATAGCGTCGGACAAATTCTGATGAATCTATTGGTCGCCAAATTTCTGCTGCAAGCTCAAGCAACAACTTGGATGTAACTACAGCAATTATCCTTCGCTAAAAGAGAATAACGGCACAATTTCACAGATGCGCCCGGTGGCGGCTGGTGTGAATTTTGTTATAAACAGTTGACAGAGGTCGGCTATCAAAGGTAACACGGAAACATTGCTCTTCTCTTTGTAATTCTTTCCTCGAAGCTTTGACTCATAAAACATGATGACGAGATTGTCACCTTAAATAGTAGCGACTATCTAAATTGTTCGAGACGTATTGATTGAAACATATTGCGGCGGCGATCAATGTAAATTCCTGTCATGTTTCCAGTATGAGACTCCAAGATCAAAGCCTTTTGAGATGGCGAGGAGATTACCAGATTGAAGAGCCAGTAGCAGCCAGTGGTCTTTCTAAAGTCAACAAGGAAGATCACGGCCCGTTCACCTTTATTTTCCCCAAGGAAGCTACCAAGCAAACAGCCTCTGACCATACTATTGGATATTTTGTAAAATATCCGTATCTCTCCTGGTATGTGCCATGTCAACAACTAGAGTCTTGGTTGGTAACAGTTCTCCAGCATTGCTTGTAAGTTCTGTTTTGCCAACGAACGCCATAACAGAGGGTTTCCGGCAATCTATAGTGATATGGGAAAATGTATTCTCAACGGCAAGTATTGAGGAATATAATTGACCAGGGATTTGGTATTGGACGATCAGCAAGGTGGAAATCTGATAGGCCTTGAAAATTTGCATCTGAAGTCCTTTTGGCGGCTTGATATCATGGGCTCGATGGAGAAGGTATTTTATTGAAAGCTCAATATTTTCTGTGAGCAGTACAAGTTTCTGTCATACTATTTGTGAATTTTTGAAAGTTGAGAATTAAGTGTTCCAATGTCTTTAGGATGACTGTATTTACTACACGTCAATGGTATGACCTTTTGATCTGCCTCTCGAGAGAGCAGCAGGGTGACTGTCACTAAGATATCGTTATGGTGAACCTAGAATGCATAGTGGTGAATGGCAGGAGAGGCATGCTATCAAAACGGACTGAATTTGGAAAAAGTACATGATTCAGAAGTAGTCCCATTATATGGGGCAGCCCTCCTTGCGGAATAAGAAACTAGACTATCTTTTAGTAGCGCCAGGCCTCTATGCATGGTGACAGTCTCAGAGCTATAATTTGCGGGCAATTTTTGATATCGGTTACAGATATCCTTGCGATATGACGGCTGCAAGAACCGCGCTAGTAAATGACAACGAAGACGACTCCTTTAGTAATCGTTTTGAATCCTCATGGTAAAGAGGGTAAAGGGTGAGGAAAAGAGGAATCATCGTGGTAGATGATAGTTTGAATTTAGGGCTTCCCCTAGGTATATTTTGGGTAATTTAATTGGAGAGTAATTGTAGCGGCGTGGGATACAAAAAGAGGGACTAGATTGGGAGCCTCCAGAAGGCTGAGAAGGGGAATGGACTCTTTACACAAGTTGGCTTGACTAGCGGTCAGGGATCAGCGGAGTCGGTGAGCCGATCCAAGGATCGGCCTCGAGATAATAGCGAATACCGATCTCTAGAGGTACCGACGATCACTGGGGAAAAGTGATTCCCCAGGTGATTTAGTTAGAGATCTGCCATCTCCTGATGTACTTAATTCCCTGAGGTCTTCGGACTCTTGAAGAACTTCAAGAGTTGTTCTTGTTCCCAATTTACCCTCGTGGAATTGAGCCCTATGGGATACCACACACACACCTGTCCTTTGGTAGCCTTCTCACATTAGTTCTTCTCTTGTTTATGGTAGTTCAATCGTATTGGACTCTTACCCTTACAATAGCTCTTGCTCTTGATCCACGTGTCAAATTTACTCTTTTAGAACAAGAGCTTAAAGATGGGGCTATCCAAGGAATCGTTCATAACATCAAGGTCTTTCTTCATAAGAAATATCCCCCTTTAGCTACCTCTATCTCTAGTTCTATTTCTAGAACTGTGGATCCTCCTGCTCGACCAGGTAGGAGAGCTCGTCTTCTATAAAAAGTACATTCTCAAGAAGTATCTCGGTCTTCTGATATTGATCGCTATTTTGATGAACCTCCTATTCAAGTAGAAGGATTGATAGGAGACCAAGATGACTCTAAGTGGCTGCTTTTAGGGTGGAACGCTCATAAGGATCAATACCCCAGGATGGCAGCAGTTGCAAGGGACTACCTTGGTATTCCAGCAGCTGAGGTTTCAGTTGAAAGACTTTTCAGTTCTGTAAGGGATATCCTGGGTGTTCGTCGACAATCTCTAAACAGCAAGACTATGAGAGAGTAAGAGAAAGGGTGAAAGTGAAAGTGAAATTGAAAGGTGTAGTAATCAAGTGTGAGGCCACCAACTTGTCCAATTACCTTGTTGATGGATGGGGAAATACGGTATACAAGTATGAGACTATGATTATAACAGAGAGTTGGAAAGATTGAAGAAATCGCTCTATTTCATTCTTAGATCTCGAATCTAAGGGCTTTCGCCTTAACTACAGAATCATAAAATTTTAACGCATAAAATCGTTCCCTACTGGATCTGCTCAAAAGCACGGTTGATGGGTGAGCGGACAGGGATGCCCTTCCAGAAGTTAATGGTAGCAAGAGCACGCTTGCTGATGCCCTCGGGGGTGAACTCGAACTTGGCGTAGACCTCCTTGTAGGGACCGGAGGCACCAAAGCGGTTGAGACCGAACTGCTCGTGAGAGTAGCGCTCCCAACCCAAGGTGGTGCAGACCTCAACGGAGAGGGAGGGGATGCCGTCGGGGATGACGGAGAGACGGTACTCCTTGGACTGGGCGTCAAAGACCTCCCAGCAGGGAATGGAGACGACGCGGGCAGCGACACCTTGGCTCTCGAGGTACTTGGCGGCGTCAACGCAGAGGCCAACCTCGGAACCAGTGGCGACGAGGGTCACGGCGGCGTTAGCGGCCTCGACGGCGACGTAACCACCCTTGCTGGCGCGCTCGATGGAGGAGTTCTCGAGCTGGGGCAGGTTCTGGCGGGTCAGGGCGAAGATGGAGGGGGTCTCGCGGCTGGTCAGGGCCACGTAGTAGGCGGCACTGGTCTCGTTACCGTCAGCAGGGCGCCAGACCATGCAGTTGGGCAGAGCGCGGAAGTGAGCCAGAGTCTCGATAGGCTGGTGGGTAGGACCGTCCTCACCCAGACCGATGGAGTCGTGGGTAGCGACGTGGATAACACGGACGCGGGACAGAGCAGATAGACGGACGGCACCGGCAGCGTATGAGACGAAGTTGAGGAAAGTACCACCGGCGGGGATGACGGTACCGTAGGCAGCCAGACCGTTCATGACAGCACCCATGGCGTGCTCACGGACACCGTAGCGGAGGTAGCGGCCAGACCACTCACCAATTCCGAGGACTGGGGGCTGGAAGTCGACGGCGTCGCTCCAGCGAGTGTTGTTGGAGCCAGTCAGATCGGCGGAACCGGACAGCAACTCGGGGACGACCTTGTTGATCTTCTCGAGAACGGTCTCGGACAGCTTACGGGAAGCGATGGCGGGGTCGGTGGACTTGTAGACGGGGAGAGCCTTCTCCCAGCCCTCAGGAAGCTTGCCGGCGAGACGACGGGCAAGGTCGGCACCCTCGGTGGGGTACTTGGCCTGGTAGTTCTGGAAGAGCTGGTTCCACTCCTGCTCCTTGGCAGCACCCTGGGCGGCGTGCTTGCTGTAAAGGTCGTAGACCTCCTGGGGGACATCGAAGGTCTTGGCGGGGTCGAAGCCGAAGAGGGACTTGACGTGGGCAGCGTCATCGGCCTTGAGGGGGTTGCCGTGGACACCGTGGGTGCCCTGCAGCTTGGAGCCGAAACCAATGGTGGTGGTCAGCTTAATGACGGAAGGCTTGTCGGTGACCTTCTGGCACTCCAGGATCGCAGCGGAAATGGCCTCAAGGTCGTTGTCACCGTCCTTAACCCAGACGGTGTGCCAGCCATAAGCCTCAAATCGCTGCAAGACATCCTCAGTGAAGGCGCACTTGGTGTCACCGTCAATGGAGATGTGGTTGTCGTCGTAGATGGCAATCAAGTTGCCGAGCTTCAAGTGACCGGCCATGGAGGCAGCCTCGGAGGCAATACCCTCCATAGCGCAACCATCACCGAAGAAGGTGTAAGTGTAGTTGTTGAAAAGCTCGAAGCCGGGCTTATTGTAGACACCACCGGAGTGAGCCTGGGCAATGGCCAGACCAACAGCGTTGGAGAAACCCTGACCAAGAGGGCCGGTGGTAACCTCAATACCGGGGGTATCGTGGGCCTCGGGGTGACCGGGGGTCTTACTGCCAATTTGCTAAAAGCGGGGTTAGTGCTGAATAACTTGTGGGGGTGAAGGGAAAATGGGTCGAAACTTACACGGAAGGCCTTCAGGTCATCCAAAGACAGATCGTAGCCGAACAAGTGCAGCAAAGCGTATTGAAGCATGCAACCGTGGCCGTTGCTAATCATTACTGTTAGATTGAATTGCAGATCTCAGCGGAAAGAATGCCGAACTACCGCCATTGCTGGAAACTAGAGTTCTTTGGACATCACGTACGAGAGAACGAAGCGATCACGGTTGACCCAGTCGGGGTTCTTAGGGTTAAAGTTCATGTGATTGAACAGGACGTGAGCCACAGGGGCCATGCCCATAGGGGCACCGGGGTGACCCGAGTTGGCCTTGGAGGTAGCATCGATCTAGGTGGATAGTTAGAAGTGCTCATATTGAGTGTTTGATTGCCAATTCCGTAGTAGCAATGTCTTTTTCAAGAAATAGCTGATGTAGAGGAATCATGGAGCTATTGAGAGCACATACGGCGAGGATGCGGATGGTGTTAATGGCCTTTCGGTCCAAGTCAGTGTAACCCATCTTGGCAGATTCTGAGAAGAGGATTAGCTGTGTGAAAGAGAATAGACAGCAATGGGGCTTACTTTGATATGAATAGGGAATGGGAAGAGGAGATTGGGGGAGAAGGGAGAAGAAGAGAAGGTGATTTCTTTGGTGGGGTATGATGTCTATGGTGGGGGTCAGCCGCTGCAGTCCGCAATACTATCTCTCTCTCTCTCTCTCTCTCTCTCTTACTTAGTACTTAGTACCAATTCGTACTACATAGAAAAAGAATATAGAATTCAGATGTGATAACTCCCCTTAGATACAAATATTTCTATGATATTTAAGCAATTGAGTGAAAATGCAACAATGAAATCCATTAATAACCGACCAGCAGCGAAAAAGCTAAAAGCCATAAAAATGAAGGCCCCAACCGTTGGTCCCAGCAACAAATGGCTACACCGGCAGCCGCTTCGGAGTACGTTACTCCGGGAGATTCCTATTACCCGACCGGCCTTTGATTATCAGGTAGTCTACCACTGTAACTAATTCTTTATAATTCTTACATTCTAGCCTTATTTGTTTCAAATGAACTGAAGAAACTGCCCATGGGGCATAATACTTCGTCTTGATTGGCGATGATTAGTCATCCGGTGGATTTTTGACCGGTATACTGTCCTCCGATGTAGATCCAACACTTGGAGCTTTTTGTATCAAGTAGTTGCGGAGGAGAGTTATCCGAATCCGGTACCTTTGGGATACTCTCCTCCGTTGTCTTACCAGTCTTGTGATAATAAGGCGGATCAGATGGAGTTCTACATCAAACTGTTCCAGCATCATCAAGCTACACCTGTGCACTCAAGGAAACATTCCTAAAGCGAGAGCATATCTAATTATTAGCATAGAGGGCAATATCAATCACAATAGAAAGAGTTGATGATATACCAAAATACCTAGTGAAAAATCAATTTGCCATACCTGATACACCTCGAAACGAATTGATAATCCACATTAAACCTACAAGAGGTCTGTATAATGATTGAAAACGATAGGCATACCGGCTATACAGCAGAATGCTTCTCTGAGCCTATAGGCACATTTCCTCCAGCATTGGAAGCTGTGCCTGGAACACGCGACGACTGTCCAGTACCAGCTGGCTCAGCCCCAGCCCCGGGCACAGTATCAACACCATTAGCCATGCGAGACGACTCTCCAACCCCAGTTCCATTATCAATATGGGACGACGCACCAGTCCCAGCACCCTTGTCAAATGAGCCCCGAATGATACCCTGATTAGCAGGAAATTGGAACTTGGAGCTTTGCCACGGCTTCACCCCCATAAGGTAAAGAGTATCCACTTCTTCCAAGGTACGACCCTGTGGGTTGAGTTAGCATGTTTAACTTTGAATCAATCAATTGTTAATGTTTATAGTTGCTTACCTTTCCTTCAATGACGAAGAAGTAGACGACAGCCGCAGCGAGAAAGAGACATCCAGCAAAGACATAGCCAAAGCGGAAGTCAATAGCACTGACAATGAACGGGGTGAAGAAAGCCAACAGGAAATTCCAAAGCCAGTTAGAGGCCGTTGCGAGCGACATGCCGCGTGCACGGTACTGCGAAGGGTACAGCTCAGCAATGATAGTCCACACCATCGGACCCCAGGTACTGGCAAAGCCCAGAATGAAGAGACAGGCGAACACGACCATGGCAACACCGGCGGATTTGGTCTGCTCGGGGTTATCTTGGTTGAGTGAGAAATGGCCTACAGAGGCGAAAACCATGAAGCAGATGAACATCCAGAGTGCACCTGCGATGAGAGACCTGCGACGACCATAGTTTTCGATCAAGTACAGACCGAGGAACGTTGTGCCGAAGTTCACGCCGCCAAGAATCATTTGAGTGACATAGCTATTATGGATGCCGGCTCCCTTGAACACAGTTGTTCCGTAGTAGAAGAAGTAATTGGCACCTGTGAGTTGCTGGAGAGCCTGCAGGGTAACTCCAAGTACGACGCGGCGACTCATTGTTGGGGCCCTAAAGAGCTGTCTCCAGCTAGCTTTTCCGCCGCGGACTTCCTCTTCATACTTTTCTTTAATCTCGTTGAACTCGATCTGGAGTGCACGGTGGTTGCGAGGGATGCCGTAAACCTTGGAAAGAGTATCCATAGATCGGTCTACTTTGTTGTGGCGGTAGTCGTAACGAGGACTTTCTGGGAAGAACATCATTCCTATGCCGAGGACTAAAGCCCATAGATAGGTGATGCCCATGGGAATGCGCCAAGATGAAGTGTCCAAGCGAGCTTCAGTGCCGAAATTGATGCAGTTTGCAACGAAGATGCCCAGGGTGATAAACAACTGGTAGGTACTGTGATGAGTTAGAATTTATGCTTCTGATTGAGCCAAAGCCAGAGTCAGTGTTGCATCTAACCTACCTGATCAATGCTCCTCGAATGTGTCTTGGGCTTGACTCTGCTTGATACATCGGTACAAGCAGGGACACTGCACCAACACCCAGCCCTGCAACCCAACGGCCCATGGCAACTTGGTACCAATGGCCGAATGGAGAGGATATCTGTACTGTAACACCAATACAGACCACAAGACACCAAATGCTAATGGACCACTTTCGGCCGATACGATCTGCAATTGGGGCAGCGGCCAGCGCTCCAATCAGGGTACCAATCGATAACTGTATGGCTTAGCATGTGACCTAGTCAAAAACAGAAACTCCATAAAGGTTCTGTACCTACCAGGGCAACAATGAGACCAGACCGCACGTTGGTGAAATGATAAGTCCCATCACCGGATGGCTCGCCATATCGGAATAGAAAGTTCTTCATCTCCAGGAAACCTGAGATTTGACCGGTATCATAGCCGAATAAAAATCCTCCCATCGAGACGAAAATGCCCATAATGAAGGAACGCCAGGTGAAGAGAGGGATTGGTCCATCCACTACATCGCCGGGGCCCTTCTCGTGATAGCCCCCCGTAGAGACGGACTCTCCTGGGAACATGGCCGATTCTGATTCTTTGTGGATGCCATTGGCATAGCCACTTCCTGATCCTCTTAGGACATCATTGGCGTAACTCTCAGACTCCCTAGGGAGATCATTGGCATAAGCATCACTCTGTGGACGTTTCTTGAACAACATGATGGCCAAATTTGTCCATGTAAGGTTCTCAGGTTATGAATTTGGCAAGGCTGAACTAAATGTTCAATTATTCAAGTTTCTTGTTCTTTAATTCTGATAGAAGCTTATTGTGCCTTTATATACTCGGTACCTACCTCCGTCATAACCTCCGTCATGAAGAAATAATCCGCACGACTCGCGCTCTCTCGTAAACCCGGACCGAAGGCCTAAACAGGCAGCTATGACACGTCGACTACCATAGATTAAGCAGTTTCCCTTAACGGCCGATGATTGACTGCGTAAGGAAATCCAGAATCTGGGGAAGTGGGGAGTTCATTTTTGGCAGGTTCATGATCACACCCGTGGTTCAGCCCCCGCGGCCTTTGGTAACCGATGTGGCGACAGCCTTGTGACAGATGACATTGTGGCGAAGAATCATAAATGATTATATATTCAAATTGTTCATTCACTGGCTTAGATGAGTATTGGTCAGTTCGGTTCCGGTGAGGAGATGCGATGACTCGATTTCCGGCTTGCTTCCAATTTGATCGTTTATGAATTTTCGACTTGTTCCGCGCTAAGATACTTGTGTAGCTTTATAAAATCCACATATAGTGTATTGTAAAGAAGCACTGGAGGATAAATTAGCGATCAGCCAGTCACTCACTGTGATTATTTCCAGGGTGGAAGTAAAACAGACTTGAGTTTGTTGATCTATATAGAGTATTGAGATGACGTCATATGATTCAATAGCGTCGAAGTTGGGGAAAGTCGGATCTGCCTGAAAAGGAAACAAACTCACTCGACTACTCTGGCCCTGAAATACAGATATGAGTTTAAAATACCCTAATACACACGACCACAGTGGAGAACAGGGTTTCCAGTCCGCAACCGTACTTAAGCCCATTATGTCCATGCGCCTTCAGCACCCATCTCGCTCTCGCCCTAAAACAGCGACAGAAACTTCGTCAGGGTGAGAGTAATTTGGGTGAGAAGTATTGATAAAAGGGTGAGATAGGTGAAGACGGGTGAGCGCCGAGTTTAGCACCCCTACCCCGTTCTATAATCTTTACTCTTATAGACCAAAAGATAAATAAACCAAAGTTAAGCCGTCCTTAGTCGACATTATATTATACTGTCAACTTATGCTGCTCCAAAGGACGGTGCCTAGGTATTTTTCATGGGTAGAATGTAAAAGAGGGTATATGATCCATAATTTGTTTCAACCTATTGCTTTCTTCCGGTCAGACGACCGGTACAGAGAAGATTGGTATTACCTGTAACCGAGATCGCGCGTTTGTTTGCCTTCTCTACATCAAGGCTGTAGTTATATATGGCAGATTTATGTGATTTAATGAGCGTGAATGATATTTGCATTCCAGAATAAAAATGTATGTCCAAATCATGTCGTAAATACTTGATGCGCAAAATGTATAGAAAAAAGTCCGTTGGGGAACGCCCGCTGAGGTATCATCACCGTGAACCAAAAACACCAAGCCTGAGGATCAATCAACCACCAAATATGAGAAACTATAGGAACAATGTACTTATACAGCTAGCCGTCTATCCCATCCATTGGCGAGGGCAAACTCGTCAATGTCTGTCTCAACTGGCATGGGAATTCCATTGTACGTGTCGAGAAGATTCATGTCCTCGGGACGAAGCGAAGTAGAAGTATCAGCAAATGTGTGCAAGCTATCTTCGACACTGCCCATACTCTCTCCCGAGTAACTCAGAACGCTCTGGGCAGTGTGCGGCTGCTTTTGCGTAAATTCACCACTGCTTGAAGACCATGCCTCGGGGGAAAGTTTGGCATCGTGTGGTGAGAGATTGGCATCGTTTTGCTTGCGGCTACATTCAGCCGCAATAGTTGCAAATGGGCCAGGGTCCTCGGGGCATTCCTTGCCACCATATATGCCAGTAAATATATTGGAATATCCTCGGTCCATGTCGCTGAGAACATATTCCCAGTCAGCCATTGTAATTGATCCGCTGTGGGCATCGGAAGAGGTGGACATGACACGAGGGTACTCGTATGGCATGGATGAAGAAACCATACGATGGCCTGAGCCCAAGTCCACGGAATGTCTGTCGGTATGTTGATAATGAGGAGCAGTAACAGGCTCAGGCTGTGCGAGTGGAAGGCTTGTCCAGCTGGGTGAGCGCAGAGAATCATGGGCAAGCGGTGGGCTAGCACCTGAGACGGTGTTGCGGCGAGAAACAGATGACTGTTTTGGATTAGAGTTAGGGCGGGGACTCGGCGACTGGTTCTTCTTAGTTGAATTGGATGGCTTCTGGGCTGGAGCCACCATCTTGAGAGCCTCATTTCCCTGCTGTTTTTGATTGAGGGAGACCAGTGTGTTAGAAATTATTGTAAATTCGGTCGCCGCCATAGATGACTCTAGTCCCATCTGCTGTACCACAATGGCGATGAGCTTCTGACTTTCTTTGGCAAGTTTGCTGTCACTCTTTAGACTTAGGGTATGCCACAAGAGACCCAATCCAGAGAATAAAACCAATTCCTTTCGGTTAATGCTGAACGAGAGGCAAAGGCGCCGTTCGTCAAGGAGCTCAAGGATCTGAATGATGTGCTTCGAAGAATCAGAAAGTGCCAGGACTGACGGAGAACGCACATTTTCCTCAGCAAAGCACACAGCAGGGCGATGGATCAATGATCGGATAAAATAATATACAAGTGATAGAAGAGGTGACCGGCTGCTGGTGACATTTGTGCTGGGCTTGTCCTGTGTGAATTCAAGGCGAAGATGGGTAGGGAGGTTCTGAAGCCACTTGTCCAACTCTTCTGCCACGCAACGCATTCTGGAAACATACACCTGGTGCCCATTCTTTGTTGGGTATAATTCTTCCAGGGCCTTACTGAGAATTCTAGAGGCTTCAAAAAGTGCAAGAGCACTCGAGATGCGGGTAGATTCGCCGGGAAGGGTGGGCAAAAAGCCAGTTTCCGTTACGTTTTCATCATCGACATCCGCAGGGTACTCAATCTGGATATATTCCTCTCGTAAGAGAGTGGGCATTCCAGTAAGAGCAGATGAGAAGCGATCCGATACGTACTGGCACCAGAACACCTTCTTGCGAGTTTCTCCATCCAGCGGATTGGATGTCAAGTCGTCCTGGTTCTGATAAAGCTGTAGCTGATGGCAGACGTCTACAGCTAGAGCTCGGTATCTGAGGAGGCTCCGATAGTCGCCCTTGGTCATGCAATAGATTTGCGCCAAGAGGAAGCACTGCAAAGTCTCGATCGAGGTTTCACCACAGAATGAATCAAGGAGCGATGACCAGTTCTGCTCGAAGAAGGCAGGGTCCTGATTTGTTCTTGACTGCGGACTGTTAGCAGATTTTTAGATATTGAAGAGAACTTTATTCGATGACTCACGCTTGACGAGAGAGCTGCGATCCCGAAGATCAAATTTAATTGCGCCATAGCATGGGCATCATTTATCATCGACTCCGTATTATTCAGATATTGTTCATAAGCCTTCAGCATGGTCGGACGATGTACAACGGGGTATAGCGGTGCCCATTCTTGGAAGAAAATATTAATAAGTTGGTCCGATACCAGCCGCGGCGGCGTTTTGACGGTCTGATTTGAAGCGTGCGATACTGGGGCTGACAGTTTGGTGAGGGCTCTGATACTAGGGCTCGCCTTGAATTTCCCATTGCTAACGAGTTTATTCGCGTAGACCGCTGTCATATGTCAGATTATGGTTTTTTGCCACTAGTAAGAAAAGAGCGCATAGCTCAACATACCAGCAAATCCGCTAGTGCTTGAAAGTGAATTATAAGGATTATCAGTAATTTTTTGGAAAGTAGATCGGTTTGACGGTTCGACGTTAATTATGCCTGTGCCTGCATCTGAACTTGGAGATCTTGCAGTTGTAGTTGCCGGAGATTTCGCTAATGCTGTTCGTTGTGACTGTGATGAAAAGGAGTGTATGCGTGATAAGACATCAATCTTCTCGTCCTTCTCATCCAATAAATCCTTCAAGTCTCTAACTTCCGATTCCAAGGCACGCACGCGTTCTTCCAACGATTCAGTATAGCCACGTGGGAAGGCGCGGCGGCTGAGTTTATCGCTCGTTCGACATTCAAATCCGACATTGGCGCATTGGGAGCAGCAAGGACGAACACCATCACAACGAATCTTCTTGCTTCTGCATCGGTCGCAGGCCTGAGCGATGCGGCTTTGCGAACCAGTGCCACCGACCTTAATCACTTTCATTGGCAAGATACCAGGCATTTTGAAGATTGCGGGTGACCGCCTCGGTGGATAGGTTGAGTTGAATATTCACGAAAGCGTATAGAGTTCTGCAAGTCGAGTAGAAAAGGCGGGGAGGAGAAGGGATAACTAAAGAGTTGAAGGGGGGATCAGGCGGACTACTTCTTTGCTGAGTAAGTGACTTTTGGTGGAGATTGCTGACCGTCACACGCTTGACTGTACTGTCATGTATTGAAGGTTAAATCCTTCCTCTGTTTCTCTTTCTTCCTTTGGGTCTACTTTTGGGTCTTCTTTGTTAATATAGGAAATGATCCTCAATTGGTCATCCCCGTATACTTTTGAGTTTTCTCCAGGTTTAACGAGTTATTGGTTTGAGTTGAACATCAAGATTCGATCGTCCCCCACACTCCACATTCCCGCAAACCGAGGTTGTATTTAACTCTATAGACATGTGGTACAAAGCGCACAAAATACAGAGTGTACTGATAGTACAGAACATAGTACCGAGGAGTCATACAATAATCTAAGAAGCGGCCTGTGATTCATTTTGAATGAAACGCGAATCACCCTGGTTTACCTGATTTACCCGATATATCATGGTTTGGGCCACATGGCTAGATATTACTTAAATAGTCATAGTATTGTTTTGACTTCCTGCAGCCTGGATTCCACACATCTCCGTCGGACATCCACGTAGAAATACCGCGCTAATTCCCCGGTCTTACTAAGGTCAAAACTGGTTGAGTTTCTGAAAGGTGGCAATTTCGAAGCTCATGGGCAGACGCTGTACGACTATGAAATAAAGCCTGGTTCTTGTTTAGTTGAAGACCAATAACAGCACCTTGATTTATGATGATCCACTTTAAATAATTTATATGCGGACTTGCATTTCAGCTGGGGATACAAGAGCGAGTTTGCCCCGAGATAAGTGCGAACTTTCTCAAAACTTTGGAACTCTGAATACTAGTGCGCCCCACTGAATCTACTAGCGTTAGTCTGTTTCAAGACTTTGGGCTCCAAGCGCTTCATGTGCTGGTCTTGTTCATCTCGGCATTTTGGCCCGATATCAACACAGAGTAATAGGTATTTTGTCTTATCTTTTAAGGCTGATAATATGCTTTTGTTTGTTTTGCACTACAATGTATGTATTTCTCTGGCTTGCCGTTTCCAAGGATTCTATCTCTAAACTAGGCCAAATCCGTCGAATATTGTAAATGACCAGTCTCGATGGATCCAAGGTTATAGATACTCTAACCTTGGCAAAGTGGAATCCAGAGTCTTTTTTTGGATGAATCGGGGATTCCAATTTTACCTCGGTCTAATCTAATGATGATCCGCGATCTGCAAATCCATATCTAGATAGTTGCCGAGTAGATCCGCAGAGATCATAACTTTTCTTATTCTTGCATATCACAAATATTCACATTGATCACTAGCATGTCATTTTATTATAGCACTATGGGATAACTGGGGACTCTTATCTCATCCTAGCGCTTCTCAAATAACAAGTTATGTATGCAATCTTCCAAGGTTGGAATGCACCATGCATCCATTGCCAGCAATTGAGCGAGCCTTGGTAGTTAGGAATAAATGGAAAGCTATTTATAACTTATCAATGTGAATGGCTTGCAACAATAACATCGCGCCTCGCTACTGGAGGAGTTTCGTATCGTGGGGGAGTATCAATAATCATGTCAAATGGGCTTTCGATACTGTCTGTCATAAGTCCCAACAAAGAAGCATACCACATTCGTTTGGTATAGCCCGAGCAGTGGCTAAGCGAGAATATACCTCGAAGGTTATCTTTCTGTTGAGTGCTAAGCTCAAAGCCTCGAGCCTTGGCACAACACGAACACTCCACTGTACAATGTCCAGTGGCAAATCTCCCTTCCTTTGAAAACTGGCGATTCACACAACAGTTACAGCCTCTTTCACAGCATCCTCCTCTCCCGACACAGTCTTCATAAAGCACACGGTGCATATACCAGTTAGGGTGTGATCGCCATAGTTGTATGCCTCGCATCAACGGGCCATCTTGGAATGATGACTTGATACACCACCATTTTCGTTTGTGAAGCCAACTTTCTTGACTAAGCCATGCTATTTCTTTTTTGAGACTTTGGCCGTTATATTGCTTCGCAAGCTGCTCCTCTAGCGCCTCCTGCCGCTGCGTAATCTCTAGAAGCCGAATTTCAGTTTGAAGCAGGTTCTCATAGTGAAATGTCTGTTGATCATTCTGTTTCGCCCAAAGTGCGAGTCGATGCCTTTGAAGTTTGTTGATATCTCCAGAAAGCTCGATCTGTTGCTCCTCTCTCAATCTTGACCCGGGTAGATGAGGCGCGGACATCTTGAATATGAGTAGATTATTTGTGCGGTAATCGTTGCGTAATGAAATAAACATACGGTAGGTTGGTAGGTATATCGTTTCTGGTTCTATAGGAGCGTTGGAAGACAGTGAATAGAAGAAACAGCCCTAGAGAGAGGTGTCAGAAACCATATAAGTGCTGAGTTGAAGACTAAGCCGCGAAGATAGGCTTGGTCTCCCGAGATCTACTAGTTTATTTAAGGGTCCACGGGTAGCCTAACCTAACTCAATATTGAGTACTCTAATCCATATTGGGTTAGCGTTCACATGGGGACGTACAGCTATGATGAGAAGTTGTATGCCCCGCACTCTTCCCCTTAAACTTTCATAGAATAGCTCGGGAGCTTTTGCTCTAGAGTTGTCCTTCCAAGGTTATACTCATCTGCATCTGCCATTCAATTACAAAACTCTCTCTCTACCTGCCGGATAAATCCCGATTGGCTGACAAAACTATTGAGAAGGCGGTATCTTTTATTCAACTCGTTGTCAAGTTCTAGGGTCATCAACTTCAGAATTAAGGGATTCTCTTATCGAATTTCTATGTCATTTGAGGTGGAAGTGAAGTAAAAATAAGACCGAGTTTAATTGAATGTTTGGAATAGAGACAGGTATAAAGCTTTGAGATGCTAAGCATCTAGCTTCTGTCTTCTTGACTCTTTCATATTGGGATCACGATTTCAGTATCTGTCTAGGTATGGACTTCCAAGTTTTCACTCTAAATTTCACTGAGTTAACTCTCACTTTCACTTTCACTCGAGGTCTTGCTACATGTGTAGGTAGGTAACCATCTACTAGTATATAACCATCATTCCTACAGTATATAATTCTCTTATTCTTCCACCTGGGCACCTCCGGGCCTCCTTTAGGCCCACCTGCTCTGAGAGAGACGGTATCCAACGATTGTGACCTGGAGATTTGGAGCCGTTGGGGCCACCCCGAGAATATCTGACAAATAGGACATTTCCTTCGATACTCACCGTCCCGAGGTAAGCTACACTGAGCCGATTCGGCCGCTTCGAGGTATTCAGTGAGTCTCATCTGTCTTCAAAACAGATTCTCGATTCGCAATCTTTACTTCTTCCTGGATCAGCTCTCTCCTGCCTAGCTACGCTTACTAGGCTACCTAGACTAGTCCGACTGCAAGCTCTCGGCTGAGCTGCATCGACCTGCTTCGTTAGTTAATGCATCTGAATACGTCCTGTTCACTTCTCGGGAATGGCTGTGGGGTCTTTTCTGCCCCTCAGACGTGACGACATACGCAGTGGCTGGTTCGAACCCTTTTATAATCTTCCATAACCGACCCTGGTACCAAACTCTGTAAGTTGCTGTCAAAAAACGAGATTCTGATGCATTTCAGCCTTAAAGACCATGAAAGCAACGCCTGGGCAATATTGCGATGGATCTTCTCGAAATGCCTTTGTAACAATTTACCCAAAGCTCCTCCTTGAAAAGGTTCGCCAACAGATATGTGAAAAGAATCAGAGTCTGAGGACAGATTATGGCCCTCATCAAGAAGCAGCAGCCAAAGAAAGTGGACTGGACTGCAATCAATTCCTTGAGCCTCATACAAGTGCAGGAAATCTGCGTGATTAGTTTATCTCTTGTCGATAGCGAGCTATTGCAACGACGCCAACCATATGAACTTGACAACGCCTTTCGCAAGGACTCTTGAATAAATCTTCAAGATGGGGATATATCTAACAATATTAGTGTATGTACTTGAGTGCAATGAGACCGCATGGACTTAAATGCGCAACAAAGCTGAGATGAGAGTTCCAATCTGCTTCTATCTCGGAGACGTGTTCAGAATTTGAAGCATACGACTTCCAGGCGTGGAACGACCGGGACAAAGATGGTACCAAATTTACTGCACCACTGCTGCGCGTTCTTGATATTGTCCCTATTAGATGGCGGCACTACTGGAAGTTCTCTATGAATGTAGCTGGGTCACTTTCGGAGTGCACAGAGGAGATTCGCCGTCAGTGGGGATGGGGCTACAGCACCCATAGCGAGCTGAGATCAGGCTGAAGAAGTGGCATACCCAGTTCTGGGATAACTGGGTGCTTGACAACGTCCTGCTGCCTCTCACTTATGTTCACAAAATTGTGGTGGGCTGAGAGCAGCAGGCACACCCATCTAGCTCCGAACCGAGCAGTTGTTCCATTACAGCACAATTATCTACAAAGGCAAACATTGTGAGCTGAATGGGCGCTATGACTATCACCTGTGCTACGACAGCATGGCAAATGAGGTGCTAGCCCGAGATAGAAACCCAATGTCACTCAATCAGTAATTAAGAATTAACAATCTCTCATATTGCCCCAGCACGTTGAGATCTCCTGCGGGTACTGTGCAGAGGTGGCTGGGAATCATTCAAAAGCAGCAAGATACCGCTAAAGGCCAAGAGGAAGCATCGCATGGCGCGTCACCACTCGCCAGACTTGGTCAGTCGTCAAAACCCTCAGCATTGAAGTCATCAAGATTGAAGTACATACGGAAGACGAGGGACCGAGGGTGGATAATCCCAAAGGGGTTTCTGTCGCTTGAATGCTCGCCCTCGAGACCAGCTAGTGTTCCTCCAGAAGATACCTGACAGATGGGCAGAAAAGACCGATCAGGAGTTAGCCGATCTGGAGCTGACGCAAGACGTGGCAATCGAAATATTCCATCACGAGCCCTTCATGCAATTGATCCTGAGGCGGCAGTCGTGAATGCTGCAGACCATACCAGAATCACGGCCAGGCGACAGTTGAAGTCTGCGGAAGTGGCTGCAAGCATTGTGCTAGATTGGTATGATTTGCAAGAACGAGTGAGAATCGGTTCTACTTGAGGAAAATGGACCAAATCCAACAATTCGAAAAATAAAATGTATCTAATTCTCCCCTGACTTTCTGGAAATTGTCAACTCACACACACCCAGTATGGAACGATTCAAGTCAATGACCACATGTATGGTATCGCAAGATCTCTTGGCCGTGATGTGCATGGGGTATGCGGTAACGATCGAGAAAAAGGGCAGCCCGCCACATCTTCATGTTGAGAAGTTTCAGAGGAGCTTGGGAGAACGTTCCGGTGATCTACATACCATTCTGGCGCGTAGATAATGATGCTTACAAGGGGAGCGCGGACCGATATAGCTAGTCATCCTAGAGGTCGTCTCGCCTGGGATAGCAGAGTGAATGAGACTGCCGATGGTTGGAACGGAGCATTTTAATTCCTCGTTTGAGTGAGCTAGTCAAAATAGCTTTTAATGTGATTTAGCTTTCAACGGTCAGATGATTTTTTTATAATCTCAGTTCAGAAGGGAAATTAAAGAATTCTTCGAACCCAGATTCATTCCTCATGATTTGTTTCATAACACTCTGAAAAATTTTAAGTCATTACAGAACCGTAACTACTATCTAAGCACCAAGAGCCTTGCGGGCAAAGTTGGGCAGGACGAAGCTGGCGCGGTGGATGTCCTGGTTGTAGTAGCGGCAGTGCTTCTCTTCCTCCTCGCGGGTCCAGGTGCGAACGGGCTCGCGAACGTTGCGGGTAGCATCCTTGCAGCAAACCATGAAGCCAATCTGGCCAGAGGGGTAGGTGGGGATGGTGGTGTAGGCGTACTCAGCGACGGGGAAGACTTCTTTGCATGACTTCTTCAGGTCGGTGATCAGGGAAAGATGGAGCCATTGGTTCTCAGCTATAAGACAGATTAGCTTAAGTTTCCCTCGAGCTTTCAACGCGATAAGAGAAGACATGACGGAGTGGATACAGGACAGATAAAGCCATCAATACAGGGACGAACAACCTTGGGTAGTGATAACACCGCCTTCGCGGAGAGCGTCGTTGAGGAGCTCGAAGTAGGGCTTCTGGAAGAGGCTCTCGGCAGGACCCTCGGGGTCAGAAGAGTCGGTGATGATAACGTCGAACTCGTTCTTGCGGGCCTTAAGGAACTCGAAGCCGTCGCCGACGTGAGTCTTGGCATTGGGGTGCTGGAAGCCAATGCTCATGCCGGGCAGGTACTTCTTGGAGACACGGATGACGGCCTCATCAATGTCACACAGGATTGCCTCCTCGACGGTCTCGTGCTTGACGACCTCACGCAAAACACCACCGTCACCACCACCGATGACAAGGACCTTCTTGGGGTTGGGGTGGGACATCATGGCGAGGTGAGTGATCATCTCTTGGTAGGAGAACTCATCGCGCTCAGTGCACTGGATGACGTTGTCGAGGACAAGGACAGTGCCGTAGTCGCTGCTCTCGAAAACGAGGACATCCTGGTACTTGGACTTCTCGTGGTGCAGGATCTGGTTAACCTTGAGGTTCATGGCCTGACCAGGCCACATACCAGACTGCTCAGAGAACCAGCCATCTAATGTGGAGACGTTAGCTTTGGAGAGAAAAAAAATAATGAAAAAGAAAAAGAAAAAAAAAAAAGTAGAAAAATGGAATAGTTGCGGGGTAAGGGAAATGTCAGTAACTAACCCTTGATAGTGGGGTGAACAATATCAGACATCGCGGAGAGAGTAGAGAAACAGAGAGGTGAAGAAAAAAGACGAGTAGAACGGGATGAAGAAAGAAGGAAGGACCTTAACATGAAGAAATAGGAAAAGCGGTAGTTTGGCTCTTTTGGGTAGATTTTTCTGACTTGCGGTTCAAGTGGGGGGCTTCGGGACCACAAGGGACCACTAACAAACAGGGCAACAACTTTTGAAGAGCCAATTGATTTGATTACACAATGTTTGGTAAGATAGCAAATAACTACAGATAGCAGATAGCACATACTCTATGCTCCGTCTTATTTTCATATAAAGGAAGGTGGAGGGCTTTGAGAGTCTGGACCAATGGAGGCTCCCCAATTGACGCTTACTTGCTATATACTCCGTAAAAGTGAGATATAAGTTGCTATAAGTTGACAGAATCAAGACAAATGAAATAACCTCAAAGAGGCCGTGGTCGATTGCTTTCTAGTTACTGTACAGTTGATACAGCGTCGTGACAGGAGACCTGGTCAAGGTCAGGTCCTCGTCGCGGTAGTATACCCAAATCCACATCTTGAAAAGTCCCTCAATTCCAATCAATGGAACTGCATTTACTCTTCAGTGCCCTCAGCAGCAGTGAGAGCACGACCGGGCTTGGAGTTCAGGAAGTGGTTGCTATAAAAATATCAGTGAAAGGTTCCGATCGCGATCTGCTTCCATGTGAATTACCGCTCAACGGCCCACTCCATGGCGAGGTAGGCAGCAACGAAGGGAGGAGCAACGTAGAGAGCCTGGGCTGCGGTACGACGGAAAGTGTTGAAGATGGCGGCGTGGAAAGCACCGGCGAAGGGACGCTGGCGGTTAGAGGAGAGAGAGTAGGTGGCGATGCGCTGGGGAGTCGGGCAACCTGCGGGTTGGATGTCAGTTTCCAGATGATAAATAGTGGTAATAGCCTGCGCTCGTCCTGCGCTCGTTTCGTTTCGCAAAGGGTCTGTCGGTCGGAAACAGATCTCAAGGTCGTTGATTCGGACGTGCGCATTCTGGAGTCGAGACAAGGCTTCATAGATCACATACCGAATTCACCCCAGTTTCCAATGAAGCTATACGCAGTTAGTTTCCTGATTCATGAGTATACCCAATTGTCAATGCCCCAAGTCCTTGGAGCCATATCAGCTCATTCGCAAAGACCTTGTTCCGGGATGGACGAAGCGGGATCAACCGGACAGGAAAAGAAAGAAGGGACACATACGAGCCGTTCTTAGGATCGACAGAGTGGCCACCCATTTTGAAAGAGATTCGAACAAAAAGGTCGTTAATTGGGAGAGGAGATTAGCGATTGATGCAAAGGGCGGAAAGGGAAAAGACGCTTCGGAATGAAGTTGGCAGTTCGATTTCACACTAAACCCGATTAGGCCCGGGAAAAAGCCCGACATCATTCCAGTCAAGGAAAGAGAGCTATTCAGTCTGTCAACCATCACACACACAATGGCTAACATCCTGCAAAACATCTATCGCCTGGCTGGCCCTGTGGCAATCGGCGCCATGTTCGCCCAGGCCTCCCTTTACGATGTCAAGGGAGGTACTCGCGCCGTCATCTTCGACCGAGTGTCCGGTGTTCAAGAGCAGGTCGTCAACGAAGGCACACACTTCCTCATTCCCTGGCTCCAGCGGGCGATTATCTACGATGTGCGAACAAAGCCTCGCAATATCTCGACTACAACCGGAAGTAAAGATTTGCAGATGGTCAGCTTGACGCTGCGTGTGTTGCACCGCCCGGAGGTGCCGAAGCTACCACAAATTTACCAGGTAAGGTCAAGATCGATACATACTTTGCAGAGTTGTCTTATCTCCAAGAATTATACACTAATATACTGATTATCTAGTCATATGGTACCGATTACGACGAGCGTGTTCTTCCATCCATCGGAAACGAAGTGCTCAAGGCTATTGTCGCTCAATTCGACGCTGCAGAGCTCATCACTCAGCGTGAGGCTGTGTCGAACCGCATCCGTACCGACCTTCTTAAGCGTGCCGCCCACTTCAACATCGCCCTCGAGGACGTCTCCATCACCCACATGACCTTCGGACGGGAGTTCACCAAGGCCGTTGAACAGAAGCAGATCGCCCAGCAGGACGCTGAGCGGGCCCGATTTATCGTCGAGCGCGCTGAACAGGAGCGCCAGGCTAACGTTATCCGCTCTGAAGGTGAAGCCGAGAGTGCTGAGATCATCTCCAAGGCTGTCGCTAAGGCCGGTACTGGTTTGCTCGAGATCCGTCGTATCGATGCCAGTCGTGAAATTGCCCAGACTTTGGCTACCAACCCCAACGTCACATATCTTCCCGGTGGTGACAAGGAAGGTGGTAAGGGAACTAGCCTTTTGCTGGGACTTCGCAGTTAAAGAATTGATGATTGGGCATATGAAGCGCCCTCGGATTTCGCAATGAATAAATCCTGTACTTTAATCACAGCTTGGAGCATGCGCGAATGTGCTCGATGAGCGTGTCGGACTTTTTTTTTATCTTTCCAAAACTTGTAGCAATACCATACCTCTACTCCTGTCCGACTTGGTTCTACTTTAGTTGGTATTGCTAGCCCTGGAGCTATTCATCTATCCCAGATATTCCTCAACCTACTTAATCATCAGTTCTAGCTAATGGTGGCACTTACTCCCGACAAGGTGAACAGCCCTACTGAATCCCAAGTAAATCAGGCGCCCATTCAATATACAAGGCAACGACGCTAATATTGAATAAAGGGTCCGAGCGCACCCACCCGTTATAAACAAATCTTTCGCCATTCCCATTCCTCTTCTTCTTTCCTTCTCCAGCTCTCTTTGCCAATTGGCTTAGATCAAGTGTAGTATCTGTTCTTTTCAGTTTAATCTCTGAAAGTCTTCCATTGGAAGACACATTGATTATCCTTATTTTTGATAACAGTGATCAGCCTCTGTGCTTGCGCATGCTGATCGCACTGTGTCACCGGGCTTACACTACCCTCGGTTGATGCGACTCCCTTTTTTCATCAACTGCTTCGGCTTGTCCGGTCTCTTGGAGAAGAATGTCTGTGTTTACGAAAAAAAGAACAATGGTGAACGTATTAAATGGGGTCGTTTTACGAATCACAACATTGAATATTGAGATCTTAGAATTATAACGTCTCTTCGTTCTATGTTTACACTCTCAGTGCATGATGCAATCTACGTTATAACTCGTCAACAAGAGAAGAAGCCATCGCTAAGATTCTACGTCATGGTGATACCGATATGAAACCATGCTTTATATATCATTCATGTACAACAGCCTAGGTCCATGTACCTAAATCCTCCGATAAAGATGAACCTGATACCTCATATCTTCCAACCCAGCCCCCTCACCAACATCATAACGCAATTTAACCGCATCCCTCCTCCACCACCTTGAATCCTGCGTATAAACCTGCTCCCACTTTCCCTTCGCAACAGAAAGAAGTGTATGATCAAGCAAGAATTTCATAGGATATTTCCTTTCCTGAGGCTCGGCACCCTCTTCAACTCCCTTCCCCAACTTGAGGGACGAGTAGCTGCCAGGACTGTCCACTACCAGCAGGACAGCGCCAGTCGTGATCAGTTCTGTGATGCGAAGGAGGAAACTGGTTGTTTTGGCCATTGACGTTGAAAATAGTTCGTTGAGTGTGAACATTAGCGTGACGAGGAGGGATGGCGTAGATGTAGATCCTTCCAATAGGAAATCTCGCAATTCACCCTCCGGCATACCGAGAACATCGGCCTTGAGGAACGAAACAGCCATGTCGCTCGAGACAAGAGGAGCCTGACATTTCGACAAAGTCGTCACATCGCTCGAAGCAATCGTCTCAGAAAGCCGTGCCACAACACTAGACCAATCGGCAATATCAAGTGCAGCCACAGCGAGCTTCGACTCTGAGACCTTCGCACCCTCATTCTCACTCTCATTCTCACCTTCATTCTCACCCTCACCCTCACTCCCCTCCTTCAACGATAGCCCAGCAATTTCCCCCTCAAGCCCTTCAGCACTATCATGCAAATCCCTCCAAGCAGCAGCGAGAGCAACAATCTCCGCCCCAGCACCACCGCCAATGCAAACCACCCTTGTAGATTGGCCCATAGAGTGCGAAGCTGGATTTCTTCGCGCCTTGTTTTCAATCTCTTCGCGCATCCACTCCAACACACTCTTGAAAATACCTGTATACCCTAGCGCGCGCGATGCGCTCCATCGCAACGCATAAGCGCGGAGTAGATCTTCGTCTGCGTCTGTGAAGGCAGAGTCAAAGTCTCGTTGGTACAGGTGTGATTTAATTGTTTGGATAAGCGATTTAATATCCAGGGAGGCTGGTGCCGGTGTTTCTGTCGTTGGGTCCTCGGTTGGTATATCTCTTTTCGGGGATGTGAGGAGGGCGGCTTTGAATACGTCTAGGAGGAGTTGTTGGAGGGGGAGTGGGATTGTAGAGGAGAGGTCAACGCCACTTTCATTTGTGTTCTTGTTTGATTTCTTGGGCTCATCTTGTTTCAAGAGCTGTTGGCGGGTTCGCTGGAGTTTTGGTTTTGCAGGCTCTTGTTTGCGGTCTTTTTGCTTTGTTGGTGCCTCTGCTTCCTTTCTGCGATTTCCTTTCTTTGAGACCATTTCGAGGAATAGAGACTCCGATACTTGAGTCAAATTGGTTGCAAGGTTGAGTTTAGTGACTAAAAAGTTGGTCGGGGGAAAAAACAAAATTGGATTGGCTTATCGCTTATCACTTATCACTTATCAAATTCAAGATTGTCACTACCTAACTACAGAATCGATACATACACACGCACCGCCAATGAAAACGACCAATTGTAGAATCGAACAAAATGTAAAAGGAACCCAATCCGATGAAGGAGAGGGTCGGAAGAATGTTATTTTGGGCGCTATGCCGCAAAGGCAAAAAAAAAAGAGAGGTCCGCTTGGGGACAGAGATCGTCGAGAAGGGTCAAATCAATCCGAACGTTCACACCAGTACATCAATGATGGACGACGGAGTATGTCATACTCAGGTACCGATGAGACGGTAGACCTGGCAGTAAAAGAAATTCGTAATGGCCGTCCCAAGGAGGAGGCGGGTGTAAAAAAATTTGAGGGAAAAGGTGAAGAACCGCCGAAAAAAAAAAAAAAAAAAAAAACGGATAACAGCAGGAGAAGGATAAAGAAAAAAAAAAAAAAAAATCCACACGAAATGAGCCGGAGCCAAATATGTACAGACCAAGAGGATCCTAGGAAGCCGAATGAAGGGGGGGGGGGGGAATGGAAAGGGTGGTGGTGGGAAGAAGGGATGAGGTATCGCTATGCCGAGTTGCGCCGAGAAATCAAAATAAATGCATCAAGACCAGAGAGTATGGACTCTCATTGCGGCCGTTCGAAAGGCGCGGCCGCATCCATGCTGTGCTTTTCCTTGTCCTTGATTTTCCAAAAGTGCATGAGCTTGCTGAGTCGGTGACTCTTCTTCTTGGAACGTTCGAGCGAGTCTCCTGGAGGTTTTGCCTCCTGGGAAAGTTTGCTTCGCTCGGAGCTGGAACCGACAAGTTTGGAAAGACTAACCAGGCTAGACCTCTTGGAGGTATTCGCCTGACTGGTTCGTCGAACGGCCGAAAAGGAAGCGGCACGGTCTGTTGATAGACGAGCATGCCGTAGGAACGAACTAGAGAAACGGTGCATGGTATTGGTCATGGTAGATGCGCTGCTCGTGAGGGAGGGAACATCCTCAACTGACGCGTAAGGATGATCCGAGGGGAGGTCGTTGAAAGAGTTGGTCAAGAAGTGACGGTCACCTAAGGATCGTCGAGGATCGGGAGATGGGAATGACGAGTCCGAAGGCGAGACCCCAGCAGACAGAGAGAAGGACGGGATACTGGCTGTCAATTCATTAGGTGACGTGGAAGGTCGTTTGTCGACAGCCAAGAAGCAGCGAGGGGAGACGTCAGGACTGGGGAGACCCCGTCCATGGGCTAATTCTTCCGCCTTCAAAGCCTCCAACGGAGTTCGGGGTCGGCGACCAAACAAATGAGGTGAGCGTCGTCCGACCACTGGAACATCTATGGGAGCTGTGGCGTTTTCAATCGACTGGATACCAAGACCTTCATTTTTGAGAGAGCTAGGTTTCGAATCAGAAGCGGGCTCAGAGGTCACAGGCGCCCGAGTCAGTGTTTCAGCAGTGTCGTCACTATCCACTGACATGTTATCGTCGTCAAGAGTGGAAGCAATTGTTGGACTAGCGGGTCGAGTTTCTACTTTCCTAGGCGACTGATTGGCAGCAAGGAAAGCGTCCTCTTCCTCTTCGTAGAAAACATCTGCGGCTTCGAGGGAACTTTTCCCGCAAAGACGGGTTAAGCCCAACGAATTGCGATCAAAGGGTTGCATCGCCGGCGCAGATTCAGTGCGACGATGATAGCGCATCTCTGGACCAACGAATTCACCGCGGCGGCCACCACTGTACATGCGCTGGGTTGCCACAGAAAACTTGCTCGGGAAGTCGGCAATGGATCTCATGTCGGGGGTGTTGAAGGGGCCCAGGGCAGCATCGAGGTCGATGATTGGGCTACTGAGCATATCGTATTCCTGAGCACTTTGTTCATAGAAGCTTTGAGGCTTCCATGAATTTTCCAAAGTGGGCGCAGGAGGCGAGCTCTCATCTCCAGCCCGTTCGGCTGCCGAAACAGGAGCTTCGGTGTTGGTGGGAGTACGAATAACGACGACATCGTCATTGTCAAAGTCGACCTCCATAACGGAGCCTACTTCAGAGTTGGTTCGTGTAAGCTGAAGTGCCGGAGGGGCAGGGGCCAGAACGGGAGCCCTTGACGGTACTGTTTCAGGTTTCGAGTGCCGCTTGCCTTTGCCTCGGGTCAGGATGGCACCAGCCCACGAGCGAACGCGCTTTTGTTTCTTTTTGTACTTCCGTGATTTCTTGGCGGCTTCTTCTTCCTCGTGGTCGTTGTCACTCCAGGTTTCAGAACCATCGTCAGAATATGAAACTCGAGAATTGTCAGTAGAGTGCACATCGTCGATCGCGAGCATGGTGTCGAGATTCCCCGTAGACTTGCTCTTGCGCGAGCGAGAGTGTCCAGTCGATTTCGAGCGTTTGACCGAAAGTCCCTCCGATGGCTTCTGGCTCTGCAAGAAATTGAGGGCCAAGGATGCATCGGCAGTTTTCGGCCGCGTCAATGACGATTTGCGACGCTCCAGACCACAATTTGACGGTGGAGTAAGAGACTCTAATTGTGATGATGGGGCAAAGGTTGGGGTGAGCGGCTTTTCAGAAGAGGAAGAAAGAGATGGGGAGGGAGGGGGCCTAGGGCGTCCAATCTGTATGTCATGGTCGCTTGAGGGAGGAGGCTGGATGTGGATGATGGCTGGGACTAACGGTACAGGAGGGATATGAGACGAAGAAGGGGCGAATTGAGGAGACGCTGGAGGGGATGGGCGTCCTAGGCTTCCAGCCGAGTAAGAAAGCGGCTTGGAGATGTCTTCATGCCCAGGGTCTAGCAAGCGATCGCCAGTAGGGGGCGCACTTCCGATCGCTTTCTGAATCGCTAGAAGATCGACACCAGAGACTGCAGTTGAGCGACGGTGGGCGTGGTGACCTCGCCTAGGAGGGCCCCTTCCAGGGCTAGGACCTGTCGGAGCCGTTGGCGAAGTCGATAGTACGGGGGTGGTTGGTTCTTCCCGTTTGTCATCCGCTATCGGTGCCACTAGAAGATCGCCTCCAATAAATTCACTGTGTCGTCGTCGGTGACCGTTGAGTCGGGACGGTATGTGTGTTGTTGGCTGTAGGGAGTGGTCCGATCCGGGATTGAATGAAAAAGCGGGAAGAGCTGGTCGGGCCTGGGCCCCCGAATTGGAGTTGGAGTTGGACTTGGAATGTGGCTCCGAATCTCGTGCGGGAAAAACAAAATGTGGATTAGGTATTGGTGCGGGCATACTCAGGCGGTGGCTTGAATCAACAGTGGTGTTGAAGTGCTGAGAGAAGTCCGACCGAGACGGGGGAAGGGAAATTGAGGCCATGATATCAAAAGAACAATAATAAAACGAATCAAAAGTCGAGAGATCAGATTTCCAGATGGGCACAAAAGACCTCCAGACAGGACTTCCCTACGACGACTGGAAAGTCAAGAATCTGGAGGCCTAGATTAACAGTGTTGAGCGATGGTCATTGAATCTTCCGCACCAGGCAGGAACTGGGAAGTCGGAAGAAAAGGAATGAGGGTTTTGATGTAAACACAAAGGAATGGACGGCCTGGAGGCCAAAAAGGTAGAGGTTGAGGTGGTGTTGAAGGAAAGGTTGAAAAGATCAAGAGGAAACAACAAATTCGGATACGGGGACGGAACCCAAGACGGGAGTTAATACCGTGTACGGTACGGAACGGATTCAATAGACCAATAGTTTGGATTGACAGGGGAAATTACTCCGTAGGAGAGACTAATACACTACCTTGTGTATGTTCAATATAATCACGACCCTTGACTCGGCTGAATACTCTGTGATCACTTGTTCGGAGTCCCCGTAAACTCTCTACTTCGTAGTAGTAGTATCTCTTCCCGATCCAAGGTTCATGACAGGTCCAGATCTACCTGTCAATCTTCAGGAATGTGAAATTTGGAATGTAGTACGACGTATCGGGCTACTATAATCACAAGTAGCGGACGTCATGACTTGACTACACATTACTTAGTACTAGTATTTAGTTACGACGTAGATGGATACTTCATTAGGTTCGCAACTTCATCTCTTTCCAGGAGATCCTGGGGTTTCCTTGACATTGTGCGCCAATAAGCATGTGTACTCATCCGGAGAAAAAGTGGATTATAGAACCAATAAGGTCAAGTACAGTCAAACCTCGGGCAAATTTTACATACCAAGTGGGTCTAAAAACGCCACAAAGGGAAGGGAGAAGAGGAGAAGAGGAGAAGATGTAACAAAGGGGAAGATTGTCGGTGTCAGATTTGAATGGTTATATAAATAAGTATGTAACTTGTTTGGCCCGAGATCTACGGGATTCTACGAAACACTTCTAATTACAGAGCAGACTTGAACGGTAGAATACGAATATAGTACTGCAATAGTGGAGGGCACTATTTAATCGGGAGATTGCCTTGGCGTGAGATCCATTCCCATTAATAGGCAAAGTACGGATAGAACTATTTAATACATAAAGAGTGCTGAGAATTGAATTGGTGCAAATGAAACATTGAATCATTAAACCCCTGGTATAGATGCGACAACGATCTACCAGGTATTTAAATATTTAAATATTTAAATTATATGTAGCCAATATGTACCCATGTAGGTACTTAATAGAGAGAGTAAAATTGAGGGTTTATTAAAGTACTACTTCGATATGACTATGAAAATACTGTGATTAATTTTACGAAAAAGCCAATACCGAATACACGCAATACGCATACGCGTATTCGATAATAGGCAATTGCCACCTACACTAGTCAATAAAGATAGACGCATGTAATTCGTACTGCGCATCGTACTGATCATATCGAGCCCCTGATTTGAGAACCATGGCTCTATTATGTGGGAAGTTGAGTATCCACGATTCCAAACACCAATTGTGATATCAGATCTTAATATCTGACCAGCCACCGGCTACTTAATCCCGAAATTAACACGGGCCTGCTTTCCGGAATCTAACCATACTTGGGCAATATTTATTTACGTGCCAACTGGTAAACCCTACCTGATGGCCACAAGCTTATCTAAGGTTTATCATGTTTGTATCGACTTTCCCTCACCAATACACTCCGGTTCTCCACCTGCGTACTAACAGCCACGTCAAGAGCCGGATTCCTCATGAAGAAATTAGTCGGTTTCAGCGAAACCGTCATTTTCTCCACCGGCATCACAGGCCAGTCCTCAACACGCGGGTTATGAGTCGTGCCAAAAGTATGCCAGACGACTAGATCCTCACAACGAACACTGAGAGGAGATTGACGACCTCGGATCCAAGATGCGATTCCCTCCCCGCCAGCCGACTGCATTGTGTGCGTACCAGCACTGTACAGCTCTTCGTCGTGATAGCGCGTAATCCAGATAGCATGCTCGCCGAATTCAGACCGCTTGAAGTGGTGGGATGACGGGTGGGCGAGAACCATCTGGGAAGGTTGCGGGAGGAGCTTGTAGCCGACGGGAGTGCCACTGACCGGATTCAGAACACTTTCATTAATAATCTTGAAAATGCGCCCGTTGGCAATGTCGAGGTCTAGTGGGGTTTCGTTCTCAACGATGGACTGCGTTGTTGTATAGCCGATTCCGAACGGGTTGTGCACTGTCGCGTCGTTGATGGGCATCGCGTGCGACTCTTCGACCACGACTGAATTCTTGTGGCCGTCTATGGCTGGATCGATTCGTAGACAGAAGAGATGTTGGTGGTACGGGGCCATCACGCCTGGCGCAACTATGGTTCCGTAGGGAACGGTTTGGTTCAGGTTTATCGGCGCTGTGGAGAGGATTCCTGTCGCGCGAACTTCGTAGTTTATAGCCGCATCCTGGGTGAACTGGAAGGCGAAGATGTACTCGTAGTTTCCTACCGTGATGATGGTTTGTAGGACTAGGACTCGAGACCGTGTCACGACGGCGTTGTTAGTTCGGTAGTTTGTGTGCTTCCATAGAATTCCGTCGTCGATCTCGTGGCAACAGACTACATTTGGGAGCACGACTGGGTCGCCGTTGATGCTGTGATGGTATCCGTCGAAATACTTGATATAGCCGAGACAGTCACATCCTTCTAAATATCAGCTTGCTGGTAGCAAGTTGAAATGTGGGCTGATGGGTGACTGACCAAGCTTGAGGTTGTTGGCATTGACTCCTGCACCGTTGCTTCCAAGGTCAAAGGCTGCTTTACGAGGATATGGTGCTCGACTATCCCCGTAAGGAACAAACATTTCAGAGAGAGCCAGTCGATAGAACAGACTTCGGCCATCGTATGTGACGTCGTGAAGCGTCAGTCCCTCACGCTAGTGATAGATCAGTACAACAATATATTTCTGGTAAGGATTGCTCGTACGAAATTAAATCCCACTCTCAGCCGCCACTTCTCCCAAGTAAGAAGATTGCCTTCGGTCTGGAATGAGGGCCCCTTGGGTTGAACAACTTGGTAAGGCATTGTTGTCGTTCGTCGCTCAGGTACAAGATCGGGGTGATACTCGCTCGAGTTGTGGATTTTCCTGCGGTCAAATGCTTTGACGCCCACTTCACTGAACAGTCCCATGCGATCATGTTCTCCCAGAGGTAGGGAGAGAACGCGCTGGACCTTGCCATCCCCTTGCATTTCTACACAAATGTCTAGTGGGTAAGCATAGTGATTAGAGTCGCCGTGGCTGCTAAGACTCATATATAGATAGCACTAGGTCGTATCAGTAGTGTGTAGAGTGCAATGTAACGTATTAGGTAGGGTTAGGTCAGACATACCATAATGATTCTCTCCGCCATATCATTCATCCCATCAGTCCCATAAGTCCAAGGCTCAATATTGACAACCGCACCCTCCGGCAAATCAAGCAGCAGAATAGCATCTTGAACCTCCTGTGCATCAAGACAAGCTTTCTCCATTGCTTTCATCTCCGTGTAATCCTGGAAAGAATGCCTTCCTTGGAGGGAAGTTGCAGAGATGACCGTACCAGCATCAATATCAATATGCAATTCACGTAGATCTTTCGGTCCGCTCAAATTGATATGAACTAGTGCGATCCGTTTAGGCACCGGGTGGTCCTTTCCCACATGCTCTGCATCTAGAAATGGGATCATCGACACCTTTGGTGGCTCGAGTAGGGTTATTACCCGAAAGGCTAGATTTTCATTTGGGAAGGCATTCTTGGCACAGCGGGCTGACTTGTGGAGGTTAGTTCCTGTGAAGAATGGCTTTTGAATCGGTTGAGTAACTGACTTCGGTGATTTCGGATGGGGATAGAGGGTCTAAGGGATGGGGGCGTGGTCGAGGCATAATTTCAATTATCCAGATATCCTTGGAAACAAATTGGAATAATTCGTAATACACAGTGATCGGTCAAACAGAAAGAAAGTCAAGCACAAGAAGTGGTCTGAATCCTTATATACCGATTGCTGTCTATTGTGGAATCAACGATGAACGTAAGTTGGTCGAATCACATTCCAGGTACGAATCCAGTTTGGGGGAAAGCTGTCCTTAAAGGTAGTTTGATGCGAGAGGTGAGTGACTGTGTTTCACCGACACTGCACGAATGACGATAAACGCTTCTTGGATGCTACGATAGGAGGAATTGGCCGCTTTCATTGGATCTGCAAGATAAAAAACAAGTACTTTGTACCTAATTGAAGCGCTGACCCACATGTGGAAGTAGATAAGAAGTATAGATGATATTTACAGAGATAAGAACCGACATTGGACAACCGCTGAAAGAAGAAACCCCCCAAAAAGAATGATCTACATTTATGAATACAAGCCAAGCACGATTTGGCTCTCTATTCGTCGCTCTCAGATTCAACCTGGTCGTTCTCTAGAGACTTTCTCCGTTCCTCACTCAACTCCCGGTAGGTGCTCCAACTCAAGAGGAAAAAGGCTACGATGATTAAGATGCCTCCGATGATTGCTGCCAAAGAAAGAGGTTGCCCAGTGCGGAACCAGTCCACAATAGCGACAAGGAAGATGGTCAGGAGTGCTGCAACGGATGAAAGAACGGGCGATGTGAGCGAAATGAGCACCAGGAATGACCCGGAGAAAGCTGTTTGATTATTAGCATCGTGAGAATCAGTCCAAAAGATGAAAATACATACTCGCATTGGCACAAATAGATATGAGAAGCATCTTGCCCGCCTCGCCGGTTGGGAAGCGGAAAGTCTCCCAGCCGAGGACGTGCAGAATTGGTATCGGAATCCAAAGCACAGAAAGAGTAAATGCACCGATAAGACTACCAAAGGTAGTTGCGAAGATGGTACCTCGACCAGGACTGGTACCCTCCGGGGGACAGGCGAATCTTTTGTATAACACCTCGTACAATCCATAGAGTACACTTCCCACGCCAATGACAATATTACCCAGAAGCCGGTTCTGGGCGTCACCGTCACTGTCACCACCATCCGTGGCGGTACCTCCCTTGGATACTTTCTTATCAGGTCGGTCGCCGTATGCTACTACTAGCACGCCGACGATTGCGACTCCGACAGCAAAAACCTTGTCAAATCGCAGTTTCTCGTTCAGAAAAGGGATTGAAAAGGCATACGCGAAGAATGCTGAGCAGTTGTAGATTGCGGTCAAGTCACTAGCTGTGGTCATGTTGACAGCCACGTACCAAGAGCCACCGGCAATTGTGAGCGCACTGGTTACAAAGGCAGTGGTCTTTATCATATATGGAATGGGCGAACGATGAGAAGCGCGGGTTGTGAGATGGACTTCTTGAGTTTCCACCATCTGCGCGGTAGTTCTAAGAAGAGAGCAATGGCGGCGCCAAAACGCCGCCCATGACATCTTCCGTTTCTGAATTCGAAGGATAAGCAGCTGGAATGGCCAGAGCAATACCCATGAGCCGTGTGTCACATAACTAGAATGCGAATAGAAATTTAGTTATATTCAGGGTCTGAGGATAAATGGACAGGAAGTTCCATGGGGGGCCACGCTCAGGGCGCATCGGAAACTTACAGCATACAATACGGTTTATCCCAGTGTAACTCGTGTTGAATATACACCGCAGTTTCTGTCTGGACGACAAAACTAGCCAGACTCAGAAGTAGAAAGACCAATGCTATCATATATTTCTTGCGAGTTGCACGATTCGCATCTTGTGCCGAGCTGTTGTTGCTCCGTATGGTGGGCCGACGAGGGTGCAACATGGGTCGGTCCTCTGCATCTCCTCCAAAGCTAGTTCGGACGAAACGTCCATTTTCATCATTTTTCAACAAGGCTTGTTCTGAGTGACCACCCGTCGGGCGGTGCATTGGAGGGCGATTTAGAGCCATATCTTCATCAGAATCTTGTGATTGTCTTGGGCTGGTATATATATTCTCTCTCGACTGTGCGAGTTCGATGCTACCCGAAGCCACAATGGCGTATCGTGATTTACTAAGAGGGCTTTGCTATCTCAAATAATGCTCGGATAGTTAGAGATTATCCGCTTGTTTGCCCTTGATTGCGCAAGTGTAAATGTGTAGATGCTGTGATCAATCCATTCAATTCTCTGGGGATAGAAGGGCCAGTACTGGTTTGGGTAGCCTTTATCATGGAACTAAACCCCGGCAAGTTGATTCAGCCTAATTTCGATCGAATGTCACGGGTTATGCAACTGGAAGTTCGTTCGGGGGCCACGTAGATTCAATGGGCGAGGAACAGGGGATCGGTGTAACCTTCGATAGACGACAGTATCGCGAAATTTGGCCCCTTTTCAATAATCTATGGTGAGATAAGTCCAAACTAAGATGGATTAGACGGGGGTTAATTGATGAATCGAGGAGTGAGTGAAGCAAACAGACCAACTCGTCTGGAATGGACGCCTTCGTCATCGACGGGCTAGACTGCTTTAGGTCTGCACTATTCCTAATCAAGACTAGTATATCTGGTGGCTCAGCCGCTCCTGATGACTTGACCAGCTGAGATATAAGCAATGAAGACAAATCAGAGATGGAAATAGAAAACAAGAATAAATCAAAATGATCAAGTCAGCCGATATATTCCACTCCCAGATTCATTACTATTACTTATCTAGAATATATTTTGTCTGTTTTCCTCTCATCCGCGATCGGAACTAAGATAGCAACCTCGGACCTTCTTGACCGAGGAACTGATCATATGTTCATGATCCCAGAATGTAAAGCCATAGCAGCGAAATGCAGAAAACTTAACTTATCGACGGCAAGTACCAATAACATAACAATAAATGCCCATGCCGCGGTGGGCCACTCAAAGTCCATTTTAACTTGCTGATCTTCCATATCGGCAATAGCCCGTAAAGAAGAGTAATCATATTGATAATGCAATGTGGCAGTATACACAAATGACTTAGCAGCCCTACTTAGATATATTTTTCCAATAGTAGGTGATGAAGGTAGGCAAGCATATATGGTCCGATTTCGTTTCACTATCCCATTTGGTAAGGTTCACAGGTTTCACCCCAGATATCTTTTAAGGAAAGGCTTTGAATATAAAATTCTATCTAAAATTGTGAGACTTCCAGTGGAAGCTTAGCGCACTGCGCCAACAACATCCATTCACGTATCATTGCTCATGTATTTCTGTCGACAATTTTATGTAGTATACCAACATAGGTGCTGCATATAATACATTCAGAATGAATGTTATAGGTAAGCTTTTCAAGCTTTCGGCTTGGACAAGGCCTCCTGGGTATCATAAGTGTACTTCAATTCAAGATGCCAATAGTCCGCGGAATATGGCTTGGCAACCAACCAGGCCTTATCCAGAGCCTCCACCACTTCCTCGGGGAGAGGGCCCTTTTGCAAATCCCGGAGATTCGCTTCCAACTGCGCATAGCTACTCACACCAACCAGGATACCGTCTCGACCCCCATTGCCGATGTTAAGGGCTGAATGGTGGTGAACCCAACGCAAGGCAGTCTCCAGCAAAGTCAATCCGTGCTTTTTAACAACAGGCTCAATGATGCTCAAAGCCTCGAAGTTTGTATCCCGGAAGTAGCGTTGACGGTAGTTTTGTCCCGTGGAAGCACTGTCGCTGTAGCGGCCTTCGGAAGGCTTATCATCAATTTTATACTTGCCAGAGAACAAGCCTCCAGCGAGAGGGTTGTAGATAACGATGTCGAGGCCGTAGTGCCTGCAGGCGTGGATAAGCTCAGTTTCGATATTACGGGCTGTGTAAATAGTCAGTCAAGCGTGCAACGCGATAGACAGGGGATCAAATTACTTACTTATGGCATTGTACATGGCCTGGTAAATAGTGGGGCGCACCCAGCCCCTCTCGGCGCAGAGAGTGGCAATTTCAGCCACCTCAAAGGAAGTGTAGTTGCTAAGACCCAGTTGAATAAATTTGCCCTCCTTGTGTAGCTTATTAACCTCTTCCAGAGTCTCAGCAAAAGGAACTGAGCGATCCGGAGCGTGGAGGTAGAAAATTTCCACCTGGTTTGTGTTCAATTCCTTCAACGAGAGCTCGAGGTTCTCGCGTAAGACAGCAGGCTTGTGGGCGCCAGGCTGTTGTGGATAAAACTTAGTAGCGAGACTCAGCCCGCGTTCCTTCCAGCCCGTCTGAGCTGTGAAAGCTTCCTGCTCTCCACCGACGTAGGTTCGTGCAGTGTCGATTTCACTGAACCCCTGCTGCTGGAAGTAGTCCAGGCACCGCTTGTACTCATCGACCGAAGTAATCCGGGCACCCTTGGACTCGCTGGGTCCAAACGTCATGCATCCAAGGATGAGACGCGGCAGAGGGTTTTGTGCGACAAGAGGCATAGTGAGTTCTCAAATTGGGATTTTGAATGAAAAGTTGAAGAAGAGAACATTCAAATCAAGGATGTGTGGGGCGGGGTTAATAAAGTGTATATAAGTTCGGTTTCACTTTTCCTTCTTAAATCCCAGAATCACGGCATTTCTTCCAAATAGAACGTCATAGAAGTTGCCAGATTCAGATAGAACTATTATCAATTGTCTGCTTCTGGCCCACCATCCGTTTTCACTATTACAGGTCCCCAGTTGAACTTGAAAGTATGGCTACGCCGCGAGCGGGGCACCGATATCGGGTTCTGGTCATAAACCCGAATACCTCGACTCATATGACGGAGGCTCTCAAACCCATCCTGGAGCGACTTGAATTTAACGATGTCGATTTTCAATACTTCACTGCACCCAATGAGCCAACCATCGTCAATGGGCACACCTATGCGCCAATTGACAGTATAAATTCGGGAGAAGACTCGGCCAAGTCAGCTATGAACTGTTGGTCAGTGTTGAATCTGATTTCTCAATTTGATGCATTCCTTGTCGCCTGCTACTCCGCGCATCCATTGGTTGGTTTATTGCGAGAGCATATATTGGAAGAAGAAAAGACAGCCCCCGCACAAGGGAAGAAGTACGTGATTGGCATTTTCGAAGCCAGCATCACAGCTTCTCTGTCCTTGATCAGCGGATTCAACTTTGTCACTCTTGGGGAATCGAAGAAGGAGCAAGTCAAGGAGACATTTGGAATCATCACCACAGGCAGTGTATGGAAAGAAGAGCTCAGTAATGCCGTCACTGCGATGTTAGTGGGTGCGGGCCAAAGTTCTTCCCGCTTCGCTGGAGTTGAGACAACGGGTTTGACGGCAGTTGAACTGCATACGACGCTGCCTGAGGAAGTGACACGAAGGATTCGTGATGCTACTCAGCGCTTGCTTCAAAATGCCCCAAACCCCGTCGGAGCCATCTCACTAGGATGTGCTGGTATGGCAGGTATGGAAGAGGCCGTGCGAGCAGGTTGCATACAGCAGTACGGTGAGATTCAAGGGTCCAGAGTCAGAATTATTGATGGTGTAGTTGCAGGAGCTGGAACATTGGTTATGGCCTGTAAGGCCGGGTTCTGAATCTTCTGAAGCGGGATGAAATACCCATGAGACCCATTAGTTCTGAAAACAGTAATTAGTTAGAGATATATATCCTATCTAATTCATCTGAAAATGCGGTATGGCCCAAGTAATAATTGAATAAATTTGAAATTTGTCTTCAGTGGTCCTTCAAGATGTTGTGGCCTAAGGCCACTAGTTATCAAAGCTTCCCGCGCCAAAACGCGTCTTCTTATCGTCACCATCATAATTTCAAGATTCACTTCTAACAAGAAGCAAGCACTATGCCGAGGTTAGTGAAATTGCTGAACTTTTTAGCTTGCACTGTATATAGTGTTTACCAATACTGATATGTATGGGAATTACAGGGAAATCATCACGATTCAAGCTGGCCAGTGCGGCAACAATGGTATGTGACGGAGTCGAAGTCGCCCCACGCCGTTATTATGCTTATTACCCGAAGCGGATCACCATAATATCGCACATGGACTCGAAATTTCGATTGATATAGCTGACATTATTCCCTATAGTTGGCAGTCAGTTCTGGCAGCAGCTGTGCCTGGAGCACGGAATCAGCCAGGATGGGAACTTGGAGGAATTTGCGACAGAAGGCGGGGATCGCAAGGATGTTTTCTTCTACCAGGTACATAACTGAACTCTAGAGATTCTTTTGATCCATGCTAATTGGACCTCCGACAGAGTGACGACACACGATACATTCCCCGAGCGATTCTTCTCGACCTAGAACCTAGGGTATGCGCCCTGTGACACTATATTTCGCAGAAGTTACGAGAATCAGCCAGAACTAAAATGATATTAGGTTCTCAATGGCATCCAGACGGGCCCTTATCGCAATATCTACAATCCCGAGAACTTCTTCATTGGGCAGCAAGGTATCGGGGCGGGTAACAATTGGGGTGCTGGATATGCAGCCGGAGAGATCGTTCAAGAGGAGATTTTTGATATGATTGATCGAGAGGCGGAGGGAAGTGATTCACTCGAGGTCTGAGCATACACCGTTATCTGAAGTTGCACCACGTTGGCTGACTATCCATAGGGTTTCATGCTACTACACTCGATTGCAGGAGGCACAGGCTCTGGCCTGGGAAGCTTCATTCTCGAGCGAATGAACGACCGATTCCCCAAAAAGCTGATCCAGACATACTCCGTTTTCCCGGATACACAATCAGTAGATGTGGTCGTCAATCCCTACAACAGTGTTCTCACCATGCGGCGATTGACCCAAGATGCTGATTCGGTCGTTGTTCTTGACAACGGCGCCCTATCAAGAATTGTGGCCGATCGACTCCACGTACAAGAGCCTTCATTCCAACAAACAAACCAGCTTGTAAGCTTCCTTTGTAACGTCTAACCCGTTATGTCCAAGGCTAATTCCTATTAGGTGTCGACGGTCATGTCGGCATCCACCACTACACTCCGATATCCCGGCTACATGCACAACGACCTTGCTGGAATAATTGCCTCGCTGATACCCACACCACGCAGCCATTTCCTGCTCACTTCATACACCCCTTTCACTGGTGACAATGTTGAGCAGGCCAGAACCGTGCTCAAGACCACCGTATTGGATGTGATGCGCCGTCTACTTCAGGCGAAGAACCGCATGGTGTCGATCAACGCCAGCAAATCCAGCTGCTACATCAGCATCCTCAATATCATCCAAGGTGAAGCCGACACGTCAGACGTGCACAAGTCTCTTTTGCGTATCCGGGAACGAAAACTTGCATCATTTATTCCCTGGGGCCCTGCAAGTATCCAAGTGGCACTCACAAAAAAGTCTCCGTACCTGCAGCACACGCATCGGGTCAGCGGTCTCATGCTGGCCAACCACACATCCGTCGCAACACTGTTCAAGCGGATTGTTTCCCAGTACGACCGGTTGCGCAAGCGCAATGCCTTTTTGGAACAGTACAAGAAAGAAGCACCCTTTTCCGACGGTTTAGGGGAGTTCGACGAGGCTCGGGCTGTGGTCATGGATCTTGTGGCTGAATATGAGGCAGCCGAACGCGAGGATTACCTTGACCCAGATGCAGGCAAAGGCAAGGAAACCGACATACGGGATCGGGGGGGCCCAGTGAGCGTTATCTTTGCTTTCTTTTTTCATGAATATTTCCCTTATTGCTTCGACATGGCAAGAGGTTTCGGGGGCGCAACCTAGGTAAATCAGGTGCTTGCAGTAAGGCCGGCGTTGGACCGTTTCCTTTTTTTTTTTTTTTTTTTACTATTTCGCTCCATACTCCCGATGATGAATGTACAAGATTATGTGAATTATTGAAGTACACGTACTTCAATGGCATTTAATTCCAGATTCTGTATCATACACTGGATATATCATCTGCAAGCCAATCAATCCATAAGCGGAGCATTGGTCAGTTTGAGCCAAACTGTTCCTTGAAGCACTAATGTGTTTTTTATATGCTTCGATAGCGTACTGGGTAGGTAGTGCCTGATAGTATCGGAGGGGTGAATTACTGTCGTTCACACCTACGGAGTACCTAGGGAGTTGTCCCCAGTAATCCATAGTGTCGGGCATACGTAGTCAATAGTTGATGGAGCATCTCCATTTCCAATTACGAAATCGGTGAACGATTTCGAGAACTTTTTGTAAGACTTCAAAGACCCAGTAGCAATCCTCTCCTATCTGAGTTCTTCTTTCAGGTCACTTCATGAAGTCTGTCGTTGTGTGAGGGTGAGACCTCGGAGGGAGAGGACTTCATCTAAAACTATGAACCGAAATACCTAGGTACATCTCCTTCCACTCTCTTATCCCATAAGCCCATATACCCCTATGAGTGCAGGGTAACCCTGTCTCCATTGGCGGCGATTATTCTTCCGGAGACCTGAAATACTCATCTGGGTGCGAATGGACGGGGTTAAGCCCCGTCCACACTGCTGCTCTTCTAGAGCTGAAGTCTATTATATTCCATGTCAGACCCTCGATGTATCAATACTGACTTTTCGATCATATCGGCTAGTTTTATATGCACGTTCGCCATTTGAGGTTGTCCATTCTAGCAGATGTGCGCTTTGCAACCTCACGCTTGACTTATTCACGGGCATAGACTTGGAAACAACTTCGAGGCCCTGGTGGTGAATTTGTTGCGGGGAGGATATGGAATCGCATCATCGGAGCCAACTGAGACTTCCTACACAGCCACTATCATCACTTGGTTGAAATTTCATGAACTCAAGCCGCAATATGTTTCGCGGTCAATTCCGAAAGACCTTAAGGTAAATATTACTGTTTTAGATAATAATTGTGGTAGAGATTTTGCGGATTTATCTGAATAGATATAAATAGACACCTTTTCCTGTGCCACGTTGAGCGAACACTCAATCATAGCTTTTTCGGGCTGATCAGTCCGCTGAGAAAAATTTTGGCTTTTCTCGATATCAAGTCTTTCCATTTTCATTTTTGGTGTAGATAGAAGATTCATTTACCTTGACCCCTCGATGCCTCAGCATAATTTAGGACGGCCTCAACCTTCTTGGCCCGCGACACGCTGTCTAGCTTACCTCCATTATCTTCTTTTCAGTCTCCTAGCAGGCCCTATATGCCGTTGAACGAATCCCCGATGCTTCTCCTTAGCTCTCTTCGAGGTTTCTTCAGGTTTGAACAGTCCACTAGTACGTGAGTGACTGCTTCTTGTATGCTGTTCATGTATTTATCATCAGCTCGGAAACTAAAGATCTTGGTGTAGGTGGCTAGCTAGTTATGGCCTATATGTAGCTATGTGAGTAGGTACGCCCGCCTAGACGAAGATCTATATAGCCTTCTGGTGTAGGTTGCTGGCAGGGCATTATTAAATCTCCGGAAGCGACGGCCTTTTATAGATGATTCCTGATCCTGTTTCATTAAGCGCGATGCGATCATAGATGAGCGCTTTGTGTCTTGTTAGTAGATGGCGGAATGAATAGGGAGTCGATATACTTATCGAAATTACCAATAATTGGGTCAAGCACTGGACCACAGAATGCCGCATTAGCAATTTTAACAAGGTCATCTTCAGGCCTTTCTCTGTCGCCGAGAATATATTTGCGACGACGCCGCCTTTCATGCTAGTTAGCCCTAGAAAACAAAAAAAAAAATGAACACAAGTTGTTAGGGATAAGAATTACAGGCATTCGTAAGTAGCGATGATCCAAAGAGGCAGCGAGAAATGGAAGGATGATCAATGACCAAAAGGCATTCTTTAATGCTGCGCTGAAAATAATAGAACCGGAAAAGTTCTCGAAAAGCAGTATCCTTCGTCCACAAAGCTCACTCATGAACGCCCAGAGTATAGGTCCAACTCTTAAATTTACAGTAAATTTAGGAGTTGGACCCCTAGTAGGTGCTTGTATACTTAAAAAGTTCCTGCCTAAAATATGAGGCACCTGTTATGACACTGAAACTCCCAGATTTGTAACCTCAGCTGATCTGGAACCCTGTCGTAATCTCAATCTCTCCTGTATAAGCCGAAGAAGCTAATGACGCTTCAAGTGTGTCTGAAGCGAGGCTCGGCTTCAGCAGTCGTATCTCTCAGCCCGTCTGGAAATGTATGCCTCAGCTACTGAGCCACCTGGCTTATTCTTTCCTATTCTTGCTATAAATGTACTATTTGTGTCACACCCTATCGTCGTATTCGTAGCTCTTTTGGTTTTACTTGTACACCCGTTAGATGACCAACTCGGAAAAGCGCGGGTAGGCTTGGGATCTACATAATATCTAATACAAGTAACTGAGCTTCTAGGAGTTTTCTTTGGCTTTCGGTGGCCCACCTGTGTTTCAACATCCGGTCAGCTGTGAGAGGTTATACGAGAATACGAGAAGGAATTGGGGAAACTGATTTCAGACCATGCTGTATGAGACGGCATGATCTTGCTACTGTCGATGATTAACGACTTTATCAACATAATATTGACCACAGTGCCAAACAATGAAAGCCCAGGTCTGTAGGAAATGAGAACTCCATACATCGATGATACTTGGAGTCATGTATCCTTGAGTAAAACACCGTATAGGGAATTTCATAAGAATATTAATACTCTGAGCTTATTCTTAATATAGCATAATAGTATACTTGAGTGTTAATATTCGAGAAATAATCGAAGAGTGTAGATGGTGACACCAATTTCGAGAAAACTGAACCATTCGCTGTCCCTTTTGTTAGAGTTGGATGGCACCTTTGTGTGAGCTGGAAACGGTCACGATATTTGTCTTCATGCATCAATCTGCCCGCTCTCGAGGCTACAGTAGGTCATCACAAGTGACACGTTGCCATACTAGAAATGGTATTCGGGCGCCCACTTACCTCAAGCCTTTTGCCTTTGTAGGTCATAGGCCCATAATGGAATGATTTCTCGGCTTGGAGCCAGATGGGTCTACCTGTCTCCTCTTATTGCGTCACAAGTTTCTGAGCAAATGTGAGAGGCAGATTAGCACTCTCAACTCGGCTTCGTTGCTTATCTGAGCTCATGCGGACTCCGTACAGTCAAGCATATGTAGCATTTTTTTTATATATATCGCCATCTTGTTGAAGATATGAAAAAAGTACTCATAGAATGTTTCATCAAGTTCATATAGTTGCCTAGGTTCAATCATTGCGCCAGCTCGGTATAGTAGACAGACTATTCCAGTTCAAAAATCTCCTGAACTTCTTTGAGGTGTAGGGAACTGATGCAGAAGCACCGATATCGGATTCGATTTATATCAATAGTGATACCGTACAAGATCTGGCTTTGAAATAGGTACTAAAGGCTAAGAGATGTGGTGGTACGCTTCGCATAAGGGTTCATGCCAGTGCTAATATCGATTTAATTGCGTAGAAAATCATCGCAGCCATCAACAAAGGGAAGTTAATTGTCTCGCACATTATTGATGAGCATGGCTCTTCTGTTGTTTTTCTGTTGCTCTTGGGGTCCTCAAATCAAATAAATTTTGATATGGCTTGCATGGCGAAATATTTGGTCAAGAACATCAATATGACTGGCATAAAGTCCAACAGATAAGGATAAAAGTTGAACTTCGCCGAGAGGCTCTCAATTAGGCTGACCTGACCACCCTCAGAAAAAAATCAAGTTTCCAAGTCCGCGAAAGACCATTTGCCTGTGACAGGAGTCATTGATGGGCATGGAGCTTTGAGTGGTATTTTCAAGCCGAGTCGTAGCAGAATAAACAGGGTATTTACATCTAGTTAGCTTCCTCTGGTCATCATCAAACAGAAATTTCCCCAAATGACTTTGCAGGGTTCAATGTTATTTCGTTTTGTCGAGGCATGGTCAGAAGCTGCCGTGGGTGGTGTATATTCTCTATAAGTGAGAAAGAACGAGCTACCAGTATCTTCATATCTATTGGTAAGGAAAGGGTGGTTGAGGCTTAGACCAGCCTATTTCGATGGAAAAAGGGGTTTGATGTGCGTTGACCTGAAGATGCCAGTCAGGTTGCTTCACGCTCCCATTTGGAAAATGAAAGTGAAGCGCACATAGAACCTTGGAAGGATGAGAGAAGCTGTCACTTCAAGAAGACTGCTGTAGCCGGATATATCCGGCAGAGAGATGGGTAGAATGGAAATTTTTAGCTGACAAAGAAGGTCCTCCTTATACCGCCTGGCATTTGGGGTGTAGAAGAAGAGAAGCGGCCCAGAAGAAGTGAGGTGGTAGAATAAAGTGAAATCAAGTTGAATAAAATGAGGTGAAACTGAACTGAGAGTAATGATAAAATGATGGCAGTAATAATGCTACTGAGAAATGATTGCCTATCTCCACTGCCTTAGATCTGGGTATTTGAAGGAAATAGTGCCGATGAAAGGGATAACTCAATTAAAGTAGAAAGCGCTCACTAAGAGGTTCATGAGGAATTATGAAAACATCCGCAATTCTTCTATGAAACACCAATTACAAGGAAGGTAGGTATAGAATGGAGTCTCAGCGAAATGGTCGAGAGATGGATGCAGAGTTCCTAAAGCGTGTATTGCGACGGATGTTTACTATGTGACATTCAAGTAGAAACGTCGAAGCAGGGCAAGTTGAAGTTTCGCTTTGACGGTATTTTTGACGTCTAGATCATGCCAACTATTGAAATACACGTACTCCAGTAGCGGGGCATTGAATTCAATGTGGATTCCGGGTGATCCCCGTGTACCTAATTAAGACGGGCCGGATTCTGTATCCTGCAGTGGAGATATCATCTGCAAGCCAATCCATAAGCGGAGCAAAGTGAGATGCCCCGTTTCGTCTGAGGGTAAAGATTTCATTAGAGCACCTGGGCCCTTGTGCTTTTGGTTCCCTAGCATAAGGATCGTTCTATTAGTGCCCAATGACATCGGTGGGAGCTAATCGATGGTGTTCACGGCTAGTAGTCCCTAGTGCCGGACTAGTCAATAGTTCATGGATCATCCGACATGCATTCCAATTTGGAGCATTGGCAGAGACTTGTCGTTTTCTACTGGGAACACATCAGAGCGACAGATAAGCAGGGCCATAGCTTTAGTTTTGGGTCACGTACTTCTGTAAATACGGAGGTTGTACTTCCAAGGCTAGCACATGGGTATCTATCTCAATCAACCCAACAGATGATGGAAGTCAACAGATCGTATGCTATCGAAAAAGGCGGACAATGCAAAGGCCTTTCCAATTCTAGTTTTTGCCACCGGGTGGCGCAAGGTCAGATCCCCTTGAAAGAGAGAAGAAAGAGCATCGGATTTAGTATAAGATGGGTGTATGGGTATGATTTGCCTATCTATAGCAAATCCACGTGATTTATGTCAGGTGGACATAGTACTAATACATTTAACTCGGATTTACTCTGATAGTCCAGGTCCAGTAGTACGGAATACGTAGTTATTAGCCGCTCCACATACGCACGGACATATTCCGATCATTGGACCCGATCAGCCTTGCCTTCAAGGATAATCCATTTCCGGATCGCGTGCTAAAAGGCGCATGAAGCGCAAAGAAAGGGGGTACCTAGACAACAGGAGTCTAGCCCTGAAGGTCCCGGTACCTAGGTAGGTGCTAAGGGGAAGTGACTTAATGTAGTAGGTCAGAGCGCTAGAAGTTTCGGGTAGCGCAGCTGGGCAGGACCGAAAGAAGAAAGAAGAAAGAAAAAAGAAAAAGGGGTGTGGTCTGGTGGTCTATATGTATGAAAGAGTAGATTAAGGAGGGAAGTGGGAAGTGGATAGTGGAAGTGAAAAGTGGAAAGTGGAAAATACGGAGTATGTACTAAATCCCTATCGAACTTCCTCGGACCCGCAATCGCCTCCAACTGATTCCGTCACCTCCACTGACTCAGCCCTTCAATTAATTCCTAATCACACCTAAAGCCCCCATTTTAATCCATTTCCATTTTTCCACTTTCTTTGGATCGCCCGTTTGACTTTTTGCCGTTTCTAATCACTTCTCCCGTCTCTTCCGATTTTCTTTACCTCATATATATATACGTGGCCGCTCCTGTCCCCTTTTATAACTCCCCTTCCTCCTCTTCCTACCCAACCACCTGACTCTCAAGCCTTATCAACTTATCTCCCCATTCATCATCTTATATTCTCCTCTCTCCTCCCTCATTGAGGATCTTTATTACTCTATATATAATCAGGCTTCCTCACTTGCCTGTTTCTCCTCATCTTCCCCTCACAGCCTTATCTCCAATCCTACCGATTCTCCACAACAGGCAACAGGCTATCAGAATTCATCACCCAACACCACTCGACTTTCCCACTCTACAATCTCATCCCACATCTATTTAAATATGGCTCCTATCCGTAAGCCTAGATGCAATTTCAAGGAGTGCAAGGAAGCTGCTCAACGAATTGTCGGTGACTGCAGCTTTTGCCACGGCCACTTCTGCTCCAAGCACCGTATGCTGGAAGCCCATACCTGCAGCGGACTAGAAGACTGCAAGAAGGAATCTCACGCTCGAAATGCCGATAAGCTGAACAGCGAGCGGACAGTTGTCAAGGGTGTATGAAACGGAACCCTGTGACAGAAACAGAAACTAGGGCCTCTCTTACAATGTTCCAAGGTCGTTCACCACCAACACCTTGATTCTTGATTCTGGTGATTTTCGCCGTTCAGCCCGTTGAATCTTTAGCGCGGTGTTTCATGCTTTTCGTTTCTTATTCCGGACGGTGGTGTTTGTCTTACTGGAGATCACGGCGCTTTCCATTCGCCATATTTCCAGCTCTTCATCTTTCTCCATCTATACATCTTTGGTTTTAGGCCTTATTTCCTTGGAATTGGTCTTTCATTTACATGGCGTTTTGTGTTGCAATCTCCTATCTGCATTTACCCGGCATAATTGGTTTGATCTGTCCGATCTCGTTTATTGGCTGGGCAGCCATTCGGTATTTCATCTTTGCCTTTCTTTTTATTTTATGTCTCTGCCATCTAGCCAGTTGAAAGGCACATGAACATACCATATCACTGCTTCCAAAGTTCGTATTTCTTGATATTACGGGTTCGTAAAATAGAGTCTAACTGAAAGTATCCTCACCCTGAGCCTGATAGTGCTTCTCCTAACCGGGTCCGATCTTCGGCCTAAAAAGACGGTCAGTTTATTTGAACGTTAGCCAAAAATTGGAATATCACTTACATGTCGTGATGCTCACTAAGCTTGCTGAGATACGTGTTGAGCTCTTCCACTCGCTCTTTATGAGTCTTGATGCCTTCTCGCGCGAGACGGTCTTGTAACTAAACAGATGTCAGCATTGAAGTTAAAGACAAGAATAAGAAAAAGACTTACCCGTTTGCGCCTCAATTCATCATGTCTTTTCTCAGTCTCTGTTTTGACAGGAGCCACACTCTCTTTGCCACTCTCAACATCGTCCAGATCGGGATTTGGGTTCGGGGAGTCGATCTTAGTCTCGGCGTCTTTCTCCTTCTTCTTGAGACTCTTCTTCTTTTTCTTCTCCACACGCCCGTCACTCACTTTACTTCCCTTCAATTTGAGCTTGCCGCCACCGCTGGAGTAATCATCTTTCACCATTGTGTGGCTCCAGGCCCCTACAAATCAACAAAGACAAAAGAATTTGAAACTTTTAGCCCGGATGAATCTTAAGGAATCTGAAAGAACTTAGTCTTGGACTGGGGATCCAAGACTCAGATAACGCAATGCGGAGTAAAGGCGGACAATGAGGAATTGCTAAACCTTGGGACGGGACTAAGATGTAGGATACGGCTACCCACCCGGGCTGGTCTGTTCTTTGAGAGTTTGCCTGCTTCAGAGACGATATGCGTGATCCACTCTGTTGTAGGTAGTGGCGGTGGAGAGACTGTCAAGTTGGTTGTGTTCCTGTTTTTGGAGATCAGCGGTTGAAATTGGAGTTGCGAGTTAGGGTGATGGACCAATCATAGATGGTGGCGTTTGGTCTACTTTAGTTAGATAAGCGCCTTCTTGTCGCTGGGAAGTGATTACCACAGACGCGACATTTTGACCGCCTTTTGAATTGCCGGGATAATACTCACCGCACTTAAAGAGTATCTGGCGCTTTGCTTCTTCGGTACCACTAGCACCATATCCTTCCGGCCTGACACCTTCAGAGGCGGTGCAGGAAGCCGAGGGTATGCCTCTACCACCAATTCTCCACGATGAATATCAGTAAGTGGTAAAGGCTGATTTTACTTGACAAAATCATTGATTCCATAAGCATATGGCAGGCCATATTTTCTAGTAATTGCGTCGGTACAGACTGATAAGAAATGTGTCTCTTTTGAAACCTTACTAGCTATCTGGCGATGCTTATTGATTAATGTTAGCGAATATCACGATATTTGCTTCTCCATTAACCAGTATAATTGCTTCTTAGAGAATAGACGTGTATGTATTATTTGCTCTCTCATCAGCCTGAATATACAGATAAATAACTAGGCGTGGTAAATAACTAGTTTTGAAGGGCAGTGGCAATTTAATGACTACAGGAAGGCGGTCACAAATGTCGTTTCTAGTCCCCTGAGTTGACTATCGCTAAAAATCCGATTACTAACTACACGTACATCTCTAAGGTTTCAGATCCCCCTGATGGACGGATATTAATTCTAAATTCATCGGATTTTGGGTTTCACCAGCACTAGCTTGCTCATAGATCCTATTTTAAGTCAGATGTCCCAAAGACAAGACCTAGAAAGGAATAGTCGATTTACTTGATAATGGGATGATCCTTAATATGCATGTTGGTGGATAGAATATTTGTCACTATTTCGAGTGACAAGCTTTGCTTATTTTCCTCGTAGAAAATCTCTCGACTATGGTGCCATTGTCTAATCGAAAGGAATCGGGCGTAATCCTGTTCCGCCCATGCGCTTGCGGAACTCGGCGCCTGCAGCAATCGTACTGGGTACTTTGATACCACAACAATCTCCAAAGTAGTCGGTAGTCGAATGTCCATGCGGGTGATCATGGTTATGCTCAAGGCAGACCTCACCTTCTTCCTCAGACTGTTCCGACATGCCCTCCGCTGCAGGGAGAAGACTTCCAAATAGGAAATGCTGCATAATGGGCAGCTTCCCCAGGACTTCCTTAACGAACATCTTCTTCATGCCACTCTCCACTTTGAACCAGTTCTTCGCTCCGGAAATATCATCGAGCATGGGGCTGTGCCAGCGCAGACCCTTGACGGTCTTCACACTGTCTACCCACCGTACCTGATCCAGATAGACGTACTTATCACCTTCCTCGTCCAGCATGGCCGTATTATGGATTCCCAGCGGGGTCACATATGGATGATCTACCAACTGACTAGCGCCGAACAAAAATGGTAGGAAGTGATAGTCATCCAGACCCCACACACCATGAGATCCGGCTGGTTCAAGATAATATGTAGATTGGATTTCCCGCATGAGATGTAAATAGTCGATGTAGACCTTGGACACCACAGCCGGGAACTCAGATGCGGGGAGAAGCCCAAGTTGATAGAGGCATAGCAGCCACATTATAAAATTTAGTTCATGGCCAGATCCATAATCCAACCGGTCTCGAGAACCCAGCGAGTTGATCAGGTAGGTGGATGCTTCATCGATGGCTGTGGCGTCTGTCAACCCCAGGATCTCAGAGTGCCATGTTGAGCTCTGCTTTACGAAATCGTCAAACAGGTCGCGAAATGCAGGATTTCCGAATCGTGATCCACCCTGGTCAATGGCAGGGTGTTTCTCTAATAGTGAGTGCAACTGTCTCACAATCAAGGATATATTCGAGATGCTCTTGTTTTGGGGCTTGTCAGTGAAGTCGGTGAGGGCACGACCTTTCACAGAGTCGGATAGGCCGAACACAAATCCAAGCACTTGATTGTACGTGGGTGACTTGAGGAACAACTCATGGTCTTTGGGGGAGAGAATACGGCGAATGGGGTGAGTGTACTTGTGGGCGGAGAGGTCTGGCGGCGAAGATAAAGGAGGGGTTCTCGGGGCAGCATCTCGGGACGAAGGGGCCTGCGATCGTCTGTTGTTTGAACGTAGGGCTGAGAGTTTCTTAGACAAATCCAGCTGGCCAACCTTGGGAGATAACGTTGATGCCATATTTGCTGAGAATGAGTAGGTTGATCTACAGGGCAGAACAAGACAGGAATACCGCCAGGACTGACCGCCTTCTGTAATAGGCTTAATGACGCCACTTTGGGCTGAGTAGAGCATGTGATCCTTCCCCAGAAAAGCAAATAATGCTTTCGCATGTATTTGTTGTCTTAATTTTGGTTTTCAGGTTGCACTGTCACGCCATATGCAGCTGAGTAGGAGGAGAAAGCAAAGAGAGTAGACTTCTCTCAATCCAGCTCTCTAAGTTCCTGTCGATTTGGATTATCTATATTTCCACCACTCTTACTCCAACATTTAAACCTCCAAGGCCTGTCCTCGGCCATATAAACTCTGCCATTCCCACTTGGCAATTATTCCAACCTCTGTGATTTTGTTTCAGCAAAAATGAGTACCTCCGAGCCACTGGCCTCGGAAGCCAGAGATATTACCTCTTTTTCGTTAAAATCGAGCAGCTCAAGCAGTTACGATGGACCAGTTTTGTCGTCGTCGGCCAATAGCGCTCGATCACAATTGAGCTCTGCTTCTCGAAATTATACCCGACAGAATCGACAGACTTTGCCTCTCGGCGAGTCTACTCCCATATTTAACGGGGCAAGTGCCTCAATACGCAACTACCAAGCTACCGAGACCCCAAATATCCCCGATATCACGGACACCAATGGCAGCAATGCCAATCCTAACCCACAAGATTCCCAGCCGGATTCACCTTTGACAAAGAAGCAATCCCGGTATGGTGGCTTCGTGGACCGATTCGGTGCTTTAGAGCTGGAAAACAAAGGCAGCGTTGCGCGCGACCACCTTGCTCTAGGTATATCCCACCATCTATCTTTATGTTGAATTTTCAATGAAGAGATCATACAACTAACAACAAGAGGTAGAAAGAACCTTCCTAGCCTGGATGCGCACCTCTCTCGCCTTCGCCTCAATTGGCATAGCAGTCACCCAACTTTTTCGCCTAAACTCTGCCAATACAACAGCGACAACAACGCAAAGCGTCGGCTATTCTCACTCTATACACACTAATCCCGACCCAAACGTGTCCTCATTGTCGCCAACCGACATCACCCGTCTCCGCAGTATTGGCAAACCCCTAGGCTCAACCTTTATCGGCGTCGCCGTTCTCGTTCTCATAATAGGCTTCCACCGTTATTTCGAGAGCCAGTATTGGATTGTCCGCGGCAAGTTTCCTGCAAGTAGAGGAAGCATTGCGCTGACGGCATTCGTGGCCGCTACGCTGATTATTGCGGCATTGGTGGTTATTTTGGCTGTTTCGCCTGGTGCGAATGAGCTTTAAAATTCATGGTTAAAGTTCAACTATATCTATTTTATTATGAGCCTATGTTTATGTTTTATATCTCATTTTCCATCAGCCTTGTACACCTAGGCAAGTTTCAAGGCTCTAGATGGGTCTTCTACAGCAGACTAAATGAATAGTATACACTACTCTCGAGAACTAATTACAAGATTGGAATGTCTGTTTTTCCAAATTGCCCTGAATTTAGGTATTCGGTTTGACCAAGCCCTCCGAGTCGACCGCAATTGCACATATACACGGCGTGAAAGACCTATTGATGGGTTTGATTTCAATAGATCCTTGACCTCATGTAGGTGTACATTCAGAACAGCTCGAGTGGTCAAAGTTAGTCCATCAAAAAGGTCTAAAACTCTGTTCTGTTTTGAGGTTATGAGAATGATAATGACAGAAAAATACATGCCTTATATAGATATTTAGCAGTAAGGTGAAAAAATGGACATATTAAGGTCAATTATTGTGCTAATCAAGTGCCCATATCTGATTAGGAAGTGAATGCCATGCCTAGGGATTGTTAAAGCACTATTATTACCAAGGTATGTCATTCAACTTACAATCACTCTCGAAAGATATTGGGCGAGCCTGTTGCAGCATATCATATAATACTCTATGCTCCAATACATATTTAATTGGAATCCGAAGCTTCTCTCCTTTTTCCCTTCTTCAAAAACTTCCGAACTTCAGCCCTCCACCTTCATCTTCAAACTTTGATAACCTATGATAATTCATCGCATCCCTTCAAAAGATTCAGCCCTGAACGGCGTGTATCGTACAGGATTCCAGGAGTAATTTCCAGTCTGATACCTTCCGGTGACTTGGTTTCAAAGCTCGCAGAAGCACCTCAGCCGAGAGCTTTCTAGAGTTCATCTTCCGTGTCTGTAGGGTATTCTCCCTTGGCCTTTAGGTAGCACGTTTGATGAGGAGTATCATGTGTGAGAAAATTGATATATCAATTTTCTTTTTACTACCTGGACAATCAGATAAATCTGGCTAGTTGGTATAATATAGTTAACCCTGGAGAACGTAGGTAACAGAAAATTCCCAAGTTCATTGATGGACCTGATACTGTTGCGACAGCCGAGAAACAAGGCCATCAACAGACGGAAAGTATTTCGGCCGAAAAAGCTTCTACCGAGACAGCGACTCCGGAACTGGATTAGTATATCACGGCATCCTTGAACGATATGCATTCATCGCAAACGACACCCTTGAGCGATGTGCATTCGCGACAGTAATGTCCCGTCTTCACCGTCTCTTCTGTCTCGGACGAATGTTGACATTCGTCCAGAGCAGAGGGGCGCCCATGTACTATAAGTAGCTAGTTCTTTCATCAATGAAAAACCAGACTTCACAACAACCACGATATTCAGTACTGTAGAGACCACTACACTTGGTGGTTTGTCTACGGTGTTGAGTAGTGGTTCGTTGGAGCTCACCGTTCTCAGTAACGAGCGATTAGCTAGCTACGCTCGCTAAGCGAGCGACAGATACGGTCTGTTGGATATATTGCTATAGAATCTATATCAAAAGGCTAAACATTTTTGATAAACTCAGTCCATACGCTTTCAATCCCCGATAGGTCTCGATCAAGAGAGAAGTTTGCACCGCTTATAACAGCAGTCTGCACATCCGGTCGCAGCCGTTTAGCGTTTTCAAAGTGCTCAAACAAGACATCATCCTTCGCACACATGGCCAGAATAGGGCACTTCACAACTTTGTAGTAAACGTCCTGATTCTGCTTCCACAGCGCACCATAAATCTGCGTTCTTCCTTTCCATGCCCGGATGTGATCTACAGCCTCTCGCTGGTGGATATCAAGATCATCACCGACACCCATTTTCTCAAGGTAAAGCCATGTCTTGAGTAGATGTGAGCCGTCGGGCTTGGGCTCATTGAAAGGCGCAAAGAAAACTTTCTTCATCTCCTCTCTCATCGTCGAGTCCATAATGCTCGGACCGACCATGGCAACGCTTTTGATGAAATCAGGGTACATGGCTGCTATCTCAATAGCCAGAGAAGCGCCGGTATGGTGACCGATAACATGGGCAGATTCAATTCCGAGTAGCTGGAAAACTTCCATGAAGAGATAAATATACCATTTCGTCCCCTGTGCTTCAATTTGCTCAATTTCTGAAGCGGATGGATCGAATGAGCCACCAAAGCCGGGCATATCTGGGGCATAGCATGCATACCCCTTCTCGGCATAGGATGATATCAGCCGTTCGTATGATGCAGATGAAGAGGCTGACTTGTGGAGAAATATTAATGTATCTTCCTGTCTTGAACTGGCTGCTGGTAGTGCATAGCGGTAATGCACCTGGCCGAGGGTTGTGGAGATGTAAGCCTTCGTAATGCTTGCCATGTCGGTATTGTCCAGACTTTCAAGATTCTTGACGGCTACCATGTTCTCTACAAAAAGCGAAGTTAGATTTTAGAGGCTTATAAGCTGGTTGATGGCAAAATGCCTATCATGGAGTTGTTCTGGAGTTATCGGATCATCGGATGCACTTCCGTCGGTATTATTTTAGTATCACTTCGTAGGTGAAGCGAATAACATAATCAATGGATAGGGCCTGTTAACTGATGACACAAAGCCTGAATGGCTAGTTATAATGTTATAAAATGACGAGATCTGTATCTGATATCCGATATGGTATAAGTCAGGGTGAAGGCGAAATAGCCATTCGTGATTCTGCGTGGTATGGTTGCAGGGAATTTGAGTACTCTACCACTATGGACCTGTTCTAGTGGTGAGATGCCTAAATCCTGGAAGGGATCTTAAACGAAGGAAACTTCAACTCAAGAAGAGCTAAGATAGTCAAGGTGAAGATATAGAATCTCATAGAAATCAAAGAATGAATTGCAGATGTATATAATAATCAAAACAACTCCCACAAGTAGGTGAATGACTATCTAACCGAAACTTGACCAAATAACTACAAAGCTAATTGTTAGAAAATTCCTTGCTTCATATCTTTTTACCTGGAAATTAGATCTGTTATACTGAAAATATCAATTATAAGCCTTGGAGGCTATTTAACAATTTGGAATAAGCAAAGAGCCCCATATCTACCCTGTATTCCCTTTAGCCCTATTATCTCAAGATCTAATCTGAATTCTTCTCAATGTCAACAGCATGAGATATGCCCCCACTCTTGAAATCTGTGGGGATCTCCGGATTGTCATTGTCTGAGAAGCCTGTTGTGATAGCGATACCCTCAACATCTAGAAGCTCTCTCTCGTATGGTTTGCCACCGGGAGGTGGGAAAACTAGTGTTATCAGGAAGTAAACTGCACCACCACCACAGAAGCCGACGATCCATGAAACCTGGAATGTGCGGGTCCATCCAACGGCCATGGAGCCTGTGGTGCTGGTAACGCTTGCGATAAAGCCAGCTTCAAAATCTCGAATTAGCTTTTTCCATTCTTTTCAATATTCTTGAAATACTGAGTAACTTACGGAAAGAGGGCCAGATTGCGAGGCACCAAGACAACATGGCTCTCCAGTTCCAGCCGAAAGTGTACCAGTAAATGGAACTAGAGTTACCGATGTAAAGGTCTGGGACCTTCCAATTCTTCCGACGGACAAGCCAGCTATCAGAAAAATTAGTAAACGCGGAGCAATCAAAGCCAGGTAGAGGAAACAGTACTCACAAGTCAACAGAATTGATGCCGGCAAGAGGCGAGATGAACATTCCAAACGAGTTCAAGACAGAAATGAAAACGCCGGGCGCCTCTACAAATCGCCATGGCTGGATCACGTATCCAACAACACACATGATCAAGGAACCACGGGTAACATCGATGTACTTTGGCCAGAGTGAGGCCAAGTCCATGCCACAGGAAACAGAGTTCTGCACCAAGTTTATCGTGACTTGACTAACAAAGAAGCCAGCTCCGGCAAAGAATGTTCCAGCTCGTGTGGTTGCGCTGTAGTCGTGTTTCTGGATGTACTGCAGAAGACTGATAGGGTTCCAAATGGACTCTCCATACATGTTCTTGACAGCGCTCGTGGTTGAGATACCGAGAACTGCACAAAAAGTCAAGGCAATGGGACCAGTGATTCCCTGGTGCCATAAGAAGGAGCTTCTCTTCTTAGCATATCGAGTCCAGTCAGCCTGTCGGATTGATGACCCTGTCCAAGATCCAGCCACTGAACTCATGGCTGCAAGGGTACGGAAGGAGCGCTCGCTATGTAGATATTAGCTTCACTTCAGGTTGTATGGAGATAAAGCCCGAGTATCTACCTGTGGGATATTTCTTTCGAAGGGGGTAAAATGCTAGCGCCTCCATTCTTTGCCATGGCCCAAATGAAGATTCCCAGCATCGTGCAACCAACCAAAATCTGCGAGAAGAACAACAGTGGCTGTAGTTTGGAAGGGTGGATGAACATAAGCGAGGTGAAGATGACTATGTAGATGACGAAGCCGACTAATTGCGGGGTTTCGATCACAGCAGATGCCGACAAGGTGTTTTTCATGTGGGCAAAGGTTGGGAAAATGGACGAGAGAACCACTGCCGCCGCTTGTCCGCCCCAGTATGATTGAATGCCGAAGCTGCAATATCATTTAGCAAATAGACACATGGTCGCTGATTTCATTCACCTTGCTTACAAGATAATATTGACGAAACACTTCAACACGATGACGAAGTAGGATCCGTACATGCCGAAGGTGGATCGACTGAGCATTGGGAATCCGAGGCGGTAGAGTATCTATAAGATCGATAATATATCAGCCCTTCTGTCAAATAGTGAAGAAAGCTGTATAACTTACACCAGCCTCTCCAGAGAGAAGGGCGACAATGGCAGAGAAACAGGATCCGACGAGAACACCACCAATAGCAGAAGCAGCATCCAGACCATTGGAAAGTTGAGAAGAACTTATAGACCTATCCATGATATTGAGTTAGAGAAAAGGCCTTCATGATGAATCTGCTATAAGCAGTAGAATACTTACCATGCTGTGGTGTTTATGCCAACAGTGGACCAGTAAGCAAAGTAGGCCTGCCAGTTGTATTTTTGCTCCTCAACTGGCACAGGGAGGATATCTCTGTTAGCCCAGCGAGCATTTTGGTCATCATCATTGACCGCCAGCGACCTAAAGGTACGCGGGAGTCTAAGCTTGACACCCATAGCTCAAGTTTTCTGATCTCAATTTCAATATTGAGCGGAGATGAGAGAGACTAGATAGAATCGCTACAGCTTTCAGAAGAGCATCGAAGAAAGTAGGTTTATCAATGGAAAGCCAATGCGCTGGATTTATGTCTTGTTTCTTACAACACATTCTTCCCCAGCTTCTTGAGTTCTATAGGATCGGACTGCCCAAGTGATGAATGATTGGACATGTGGTCGTGGATATCTGATACACCAAGTGGGGATCTTTCCATGCCGTCTCACTCTATGATACCAGGCATAGTCTTTGCTCAGGTAATTTTTAGTGACCAGGCTCCATTGGAGAGATAACAGTTTGCTATCAGTTAGCCTTATCTGTTAGTTCGCGGGAATAAGGATCCATCGGATGGTCGGGATCGAGCTATCCAAGATTTGAATTTATTTCTTTGGGTAGCTGGTTTGGTTAGGTGGGTTCCAAGATTTATTATAATTAACAGCTTGTGAGAGCTCAGCACAGCCAAATCCGGCTACATAGGTAAGGGTTGATTCATAGTAGTAGATTATCTCTCGACGCAGCCAAGGCCGGCCATCTAGGTAAAGATTGCTTCATAGAAGTAGGTTATCTCGCCATTTCTAGCGACACGATAACAGTGAGCAACTGCCGAGGGCAGAGATAACACTCATATGACTGAAAATATGTGATTTTGGAGATTGAAAATCAGAACCCCTGGCCGTCACAATATTTGTGACAGTGGTATTGATGGGAATTAATACCTTACAAGCTTCAAAGAGGTACTATGTAGTTGGTACTTGATTAATGTTGGTCTAGTGCTGGCTATGAAAACAAAAAGCTTTGATGAATCGAATCGAATCTCAGAAAATGACCACGTGCTAAATCTTCCCATTCTGCAGTAGTTAACATCTAGTTATATTACTAGTAACATGTAGCAGATACCGACAGTTAAAAATTGTGAGTGATAACAGACTGATAATGCCATCGAAGATCAAATGAAGATATCGCGGTATGTGGAACAAGGAGTGCAAATTTTTTTTTTCTTTTTTCTTTTGTATAAAAAACGGAAAAATTATAATTCAAGAGTCATCATCCCAGATTTACTTGTTCTGATTGTCTATAAGGCATCATTATAAATTTTATCAATTGACAAGACCTCGAAAAGAAACCAGAACTAACTAGTACTCCGAGTTTCTTCTTTTTGCATCGAGATACTGTGATGACCACAAGGTATTCAGAATTTGGATGAGTTTTCCCTCGAGTGCATCTCTTGGACCGCTCCAAAGCCTTCATCACCATGCCCATAATTCTCCCAAAATATCGAAAAGGTGATTGCCTTTGGCCCAGATTTGTAAGTTATAGGAATGAGCTATGTCACTCACTACCTGCTAACTCAATCAAAATAGATCATCGCCGTTAACTCTTTTTATGTATTTACGATCATCATCACAGTTATCGCTACAACAAAAATCTCACATACTACTGATTCGAAAACTCCACAATCGTTTACAACATGCTTATTTGGTATAACAGGTATCATCGCATCAGGAAGCGTGTTATTAATTATACTTTACATGTCAGCCCGAGGTTGAAATAAAAATGGCAATGCATATTAATGGTCAAATATATTCAGCCTCACCTGCATCATCAGTTTACTCGAGGCCTTGCTAAATTAGAAATCTACACGATATGAATCAAAACCTTCCATCTAGGTAGTTAATGATAAAGCTGATACAAATAATATACAAATCGCTTTTGGAATGGATATCAGTCCTGTCTTTTGAAGTATAAGCTTTGATATAACTCAACTCAGCTCTCCACACAGCAGGAAATCGCTAACCTAAAAAAGTTCAAAAAAACACGAGCACTAATACAGTACGGAATAAAAACATTAGGGTTTCGGATGCCGACAAAAACGGGTCCCAATGCCAAGCCTTAGTGCCAAGACTTATGTACTGACTATCGCGCTCTATTGAGTATAATTGAGAACAGACGGGTACCCAATATGGTTAGCGCACTACCCCACGCATTAGTGTTCTTCAACTGAGTAGATGGAAGTATGTCCAAGTTTGATTTGGATTCAGGATCCATTTATCTTTAATGAAAGTCAGAAAATAGTTATTTTATCCCAACGCCAAGGAGATTGAAACTTCCAACGCTTTCATTATCTGTGTCTGTACAGTCGTTCTCGAGATCAGCCTGACCAACAGCACATCATGATTTTTTTTTCCGGCCCCACAGCCCAGTCTAGTGCAAGAGTCAACACATTTTGTATATATACTGTATATATACCGTATTGTTCCAGCTCCGAAAGGAATCAACTCCATACAGATGGCTTTGCTTGGCATATACAGTAAAATCAAATGATATTTACCTCGTCAACAGAATGAAATTGTTTGCTTCCCTGTCCCAGTCGATGTGATCTCATTTAGAATCTTGATTGCTTTTAGAAATATCCTAGGTAAATATCGTAGCACTAAATAGCAAGGTATCCGCTTCCGAAAAGTTGAGGCATCAACTCTCAAACCAGAAGGCCACCATGATCCTGTAGCATCTGCGCTACATCATTATATTCTCCTGATAATGCGGCCCGTAATGCATTACCAAAGTATCCACCTTGGACGTTAACATTAGCACCATGAGCCAACAGTATTCGCACGACCTTTTTATGGCCTTGAAATGATGCGGCCTGTAATGCAGTACCATAGTGTCCATAAAGCGCATTGACATCAGCCCCGTGGTCGAGTAATATTTGTGCCACCTCCCCATTACCCCAGAAGGAAGCGGCCTGGAGAGCATTGCCATATCCATCTCCACCCTTGGTGTTCAAGTTAACGTCAGCACCTCGACCTAGTATTTGAAAAGGCGTTTGAAGTTATCAGTCTCAATTCTTTATTCGCACTAGTTTCTCATCGTTTCTAGCTGATGCGGCCTGGGGTGGACTTCCAAATCTTCCACCTTGAGCGTTGATGTCGGCACCTTTATCTAATAGTACCTGCACAATCTGTTCATGGTGCTCAGATACGGCGGCCTGGAGTGCATTTCCGTAGACTCCTCCCTGGGCGTTGACGTTTGCTCCTTGGTTTAGTAGCATCTGCACGGCCCATTCATGGCCTGTATATGATGCTGTCTGTAGCAAATCACCATACCAACCACCATCATCGTTGACTTGAAGACCTAATATCTGCAACTTTTGCACCACACTTTTATGGCGTTTGGATAACTTGGTCTCGGATGTGGAGCCGCTTAGTGAACTTAGATCATCCATAGTAATAAATCAATCAGAGTGTTTTTTTGAGGATAGAGTAGTATGTTGTGTAAGTAGAGGTAATCTTAAAAGGGGTTAAACATTTGAAAATTGGAAATATTTGCCTATGTGATTGAGCTACCAGTACGTAAACACAAGCCAAGAGGCGTCGGGCACCTAATGCGGTAAGAGTAGACAGCCTCGGAGACTAAGAGCAATTTCTCAATAGTGATGTGGAGTGCGCCGGTGTCGGGTCAGCCCAACTCAGGATGGAAACAGTTCTTACTTCTTTCTGCAATGTAGATAATCGCATGATATTTGGAGCAATTTATTCAACATGTTACAATAAGCTAGTTAACCACAATCTTTCGCTCCCGTAAAGATTATTAAGCCAATTTGAGTAAATATCTGCATAAATAAAATACATCATGCAATATATATATACAGGGAAACCATGACCGTTCTCATGTAAATGCAGTTAGCTCAATAGAACTTTCACACTACGTAGTGGAAGGTTTGATCCACATATCAGGACAAATTTCAGAAAACTTCCCTGGTTTTGGGGGATGCGTTTTCATTGATGGGCCTTAAAGTTTGTTAGTAGGTTAAAATTTCTCGACAGACGTAAAGTTGATTTACGAAGTGATGAAATTGGTGTGTTTGGATGTAAAGAAGTTCGAGTTTATGAAAATATGTGATGTCTAGGCTCTAGACATTTTTTCCTTTCGAGTATACAGGTGTGGAGCTCTCTTGCTAAAGTAAAAGGCATAAAAATCTGGCTAATTCCGTGCAATTCGCCAATAACACCGATTTTGGCCACTAAAAATCAATCTGATTTCAGACATGGTAATAGGAAAGGAACATGCCTAAATAGACAGATTTCATAGTTTTTTTTTTCTATTTGTTCATACAAGTTAATGGAGTTTGGGTATAAAATAGAATCCTCAAAAATTGAAAGTGGCCAAATTACCCACTCGCATGTCTTTTTACTTGAATCATTTTATAAATCAAAGACAGCTCATCATTAGCCTTAGAACTCTAGAATCATAACTAGGGACTGCTTTCGAGGCCCCAGTCTCATGTTTGAGAAACATCTTATTCAGAAAGAATAGTGTCCCAATCAGGATCCAACTCTCCCTTCTTGTTAAAGTACGAAGGGAATTGCTTCTTGCATGACTTCCACAAGTATGGGTAGATAGCTTCAGACTTTCCACCCTTAATAATGTTACCAGTGATGTGCGTGTCACCCTGTGTGCCATTGGGGTATCCGAAATTAGTGGAGACGGTGCCATTGAGGAAGGCATAGTACATGCCGGTACCTTTTGCGCTTGTGACGCTGTTGTTGCGCACTTCAGCAAGAGAACCAATGGGGAGAAGTGATGACTGTATGTAGGTTATAAGATCCGCTTGAGTCGTACTAGGACGGTACTTGGACTCGATATGTGTGATTATGATGCGGCCGTCGTATACCCCGCCGTTGATGGTTGCGCTTAGAACGGTAGCCGAGCTCTGAATGAGCTCGAAGTTAACTGTCTCTCGGTCTATGCGTGTAATAACCCAAGAAGCTGGACCGTCACTATTAAATAAAGTTAATTATAAATGCAATGAAGGTGAAGTGCCAATGCTGTAACTCACTTCAAGTATGTGGTCCAATTGTTCGTTACGCCAGTGAGAGGGTTGTAAAAGTTCGTGGCATATTCATTCGAATTGAAGTCGCCCATGCCAATCATTTCAGTCCAGTCAATACGCATTGTGCTCTCATTGTAGTGTTGAACTCTAAACACCTGGATGGTCTGAGACTTAAGGCCAGGCATCTCAGGAACACCAGCTAGAACAGTACTGAGGCCCATATACCACCAGGCGTAAGTCTCGTTCACGGTAGACGCCATGATTTTAGCATAGGCAGTGTACAGGTCAATGTCATCTGGAAGAGGCGACACCGATGCATAAGGTGTGTAGGTCGGATTGCTCCAAGGCCAGGTTGAGGAAGCTGTTTCAGTCACCGTGACGGTTGCAGTAGAAGTGGCAACGCTTGTGGCCACAGTGGACAAAAATGATGGGGTTTCGATGAGCTTTGTAGAGCATGACTTTGCAGCAACAGATGTTAAGAAGGCTGCAAGAGCCCAAGAAGCGGACTTCATGATGAATGAGTTTTCAGAAGTCAAGCTTTCCAAGTTCAAAAGGCAGAAATTATCCCTTGTGGAAAGAGAAAGTGTTGAGAAAGAATTTTTCTAGATGATATATACGACGTATTTATTACCAACTCTTGGAAATCCAGACGTATGATTCTTGACTAACAGATTCTTAGCTGGCGTGATCTACTATCGTGATATCTGGAGATTACCGAGGTTTACCCAGCCGTTCATGCTTCCCACAGCAGTGCGAACATGATTGTCTTGGGCAATCTCCTAATCAGAGCTCCCGGCAAGAAGTAAGTGGAGCAATCGAATGAATGTGAGAACATAATTCCAGAACTATTTTAGGGACCGTCGGATAGACGGAATGGGACATCTGGAAGCTATTCGTAAGGTCTTGATCAGACTTCTTCACAAAAGTACTTACGATAAGAGGTTAGATTCTACACAGTATCCATTATTTGTCATGTCCCTGAAATGACAATAGATAGATTAGATATCGGACGCGGGTTGCTAGATTAGGATAGATGACCGGCAGGATCCGTTGACGCTAACAGATGGTGGCGTCGTAAAACCTCACCGCTGGAACCTGTTCGTGTGAGATAGCCTTGCGAACGTGGTATGATTGTCTTTCCCCACACTCTTTTTAGCGCAATATCATAGATATCATGAAAAACTCAACCCGTAATGCCGATCGTCTCCTACGAAAGGTATCCCGAGGTCTTGGGAGAGTTTTCCGGCGCCCTAATTAGCTCCAGGCCTATATAGAAGATAAAATCCATCACCTTGTGAATAATGACTTTTTGTGTTGTCCTTGATTGCACTCATATCAAGGTGTTTGCATAATGAAGAGTCTTCTCGCATTCGCTGTATTTCCGCTAGCAGCTGTATATGCTGCTTGCACTGATCTAGACTTTGATTACTCTGATGTTACCGAGCACTGTGGTGATCTCTTCAACTTTACTGGAGATGCTGGTCTAGAGGCTCCAACAGTCGTTACCAATGTGACTTATATCCCGGCAGACAATGAGACCGACGTACCGGCCTATTGTGAAGTATACGGCTACATTGATGGGTATACAAAGTTTGCCCTTGCGCTGCCAGCTGAAGGGAAAGACTGGAGCGGCAACTTCCAATCTCAAGGTTGCGGTGGTAGTTGCGGTATCTTGGGGCTATATTACGTCTATGTGAGTTTCCAAATAATATTAGCCCTCTATAGCTGCTTCCTCCTGTACAATTGCTAAAAGCTCATTTTAGGGCTACGGATCACTTGGATGGGCTTATGACATTTTGAAGAGGGGCTGGATTGCCTCCTCTAACGATATGGGCCACGAAAATGGAGCAGTAAGTCCCACTCAGTGCTAATCTGGCAATCAATCACTAAGACATTTGCGCAGAATGACACTTTGTCGACATGGTCCTTTTTCAGAAACAATCGTACCGAGGAATACCTCTTCGCCTCACTGTCTACACATCAGACTGCAGTGATGGGCAAGGCGATGGCTGAGTTCTACTATGGCAAGCCCGTGAAGCGTTCCTACTTCCGAGGAGGCTCGACCGGAGGTCGCCAAGCCTTGGTGGCAGCTGCCCGATACCCTCACGACTATGACGGTATCATCGCCGGATACGCCGCCATCAATGAGACTGCTATTGGTGCTATCCAATTTGTCTATCTTGCTCAGGCTAGCACCTACGAAAATGGTACTCAGATTCTCTACCAAGAGGATCTCAGGACTCTCAACGCTGGGGCCATCAAGGCTTGCGACGCAAATGATGGACTTGTCGACGGTATGATTGACCTCGCATACGAGTGTGTATTTGACCCGTTGGATGTGCTGTGTACCGCAAACCAAACAAGCGGGTGTTTGTCCTCCATGGATAAAGTCAATGCCGCCCGAGCCATGTACGGGTATCCTTCAAACAACGTCACTGACAAGGTCATCCCGGTTGCTTACCTTCCTGGATCAGAGCTCGAGTGGTCTATGTGGGCAGCTGACTACGCCTCGCCCAACTATGGCGTACATTTTGCCCAGAACTTCAGTATCAATGCTGCCTACCAGAAAGATCTCCCCTGGACATGGACCATCAGGGACCAAGACTGGGATACAATGCCCTACGAGACGGGCTTTATGGAGGATATATATTCCGCCGATTTCACTGCTCTAAATGTCTTCCGCGCCCGCGGAGGCAAGCTCATCCATTATCAAGGTTGGGGTGACGGCAATGTTGCCGCCGGTTGGAACTACAATCTGTATAAGACATCAGCTGATTTAATCGGTATCGACAACCTGGCCGATTTCCATCGCTTCTTCTTGTATCCACAGATGGCACACATCGATCTGAGCGACAACAGTACTGTAGCCTGGCGGGTGGACTACTACGATCTCATTGAGGATTGGGTTGAGAACGGCGTTGCTCCCGACAAACTGGTTATTGAGCGATACAACCTGACAAGCGAGGAGACGATTGATTACCGACCCTACTGGCCGTACCCATACACCAGCAACTACACAGGGTCAGGATTGACTGGGAATTACTCCGATGTGGAAGACTGGGAACCTATCTTGGTTTCGGAATGTGAGAACTAAACTACCTAGATAGTGGTACAAATGTTGGAAGCACCTGAGCGTCTTCTATTAGAGATAAATTCAAGTAGCATGTTATTTAATTTACCCTGACTGATTCCTCCAGGCTGCACTAATAATACACTGGTATTTTACAATTCAGCCATCTAAGTTTACACAAATGAAACTCCTAAGACTATGAAATGGAGCGTAATTCAAAAGTTTGTTAGTAGGGTAATATTGTTAAGCATTGACAGCGGATTTACTGATGTCAATTTTTCACTCCTTTTGTCTACCTCCAAAACGATATGACCTCCTTAGATCGCGGTCTCTCACAGACTGTTGCTACTATTTGTCAAATGGAGGTCGACTACCAAGGAATAGTGGATTCTAGTGGGCAAATGAGAACGCAGTATGCGTACCAAAGTGTGTATGTGTATCTATTGTAGAATGGAGGAATCCCATTGTGGGATTCCAATGCTGACTAAAATAGACTAACTGTAAATGGAAGCGGGCCTTTGACACTATTCATAAGTCACGTGATCACCGGAGCAAACAGACGAACCAAATAGCTATCATTTGAAATAGACACATCTTTTACCACTCGCATACCTCTACTATTAGATTGTCTGTCCGGTAATATTGTCGGCTGATACAGACCAATCCCAGCACTCAGAAATTGAATTCCAGACAAGATGAGATTTCTCTAACCCAGGCCGTCGGTAAATACTGAAGCCGACGGATCCGCATTTCAGCCGAAGATTTTAGTGTTTAATATGGATCAACGTTGTTTGTCGTGGAAATAGTAGAAAACCATTCTGATCCTCTAATATGCCCCGCCCTCTATCTCATAATTTCACTATTTTTGGCTAAAATCAGCCCGACCCGATGGTTCGCTTCCTACAAGATTTCATGGTCTCGCACTCACATACTACACCGTATCTATTGAACTCAACGATCTTCAACTGCTGAGCATCTGGGCAAAATGGATTCTGTTCTATTCAAGCCATTAAATGTTGGTCGCGTGTCACTCGCACATCGCGTGGTGATGGCGCCTCTATCTCGTTTCCGATTTTCCGCCGAACACACACCGCTGGCCATAGTTGTTGAATACTACACCCAGCGCGCTTCTGTCCCAGGGACCCTTATCATCGCTGAAGCAGTCTTGATATCAGAAGCACACGGTGGTTTCCCTAACGGGCCTGGAATATGGAGTGAAGACCACGTAGCAGGATGGAAGGTCATCACCGATGCAGTCCACAGCAAGGGATGCAGCATTTTTTGCCAATTGGTTGCTCCAGGTCGTGCAGCCTACGTCTCTCATCTGCAGGCAAATGGTGGTCATCCACTTCTGAGCTCAAGCGCTATTCCTCTTCCCGATAGTTCTGATATTCCTCAGGAGATGACAGCCGCACAGATTGAGTCGGCTATTGAGGATTTTGTGCATGCTGCGCGCAATGCCATCGCTGCTGGCTTCGATGGCATTGAATTGCACGGAGCAAACGGCTACCTGATTGACCAATTTATCCAAGATAATTGCAACAAGAGAACAGACCAATGGGGTGGAAGCATGGAAAACAGAGCAAAGTTCCCGATAGACATTGTCGCCGCCACAGTTGATGCTATCGGTGCTGACAGGGTTGCCTTCCGTGTGAGCCCTTTCGCTAATTTCCAAGGTATGAGGATGGAAGATCCCGTCCCCCAGTTCTCGTATCTTGTATCAAAGTTGAAAGACTTTAAGCTTGCATATCTACACATCATCGAATCACGAGTGAACAACTGGGAGGATGTGGAAAAGGTGGAGGGCATCGAGTTCTTGTTGGATATCTGGAACGGCATATCCCCCGTCTTTGTAGCTGGTGGCTTTACCCCAGAGATTGCGCGAAAAGCTGTTGATCAGGAATATGCCAAATATGGCGATGTTGCGGTCGTGTTTGGACGGCACTTCCTGGCAAATCCGGACCTTCCATTCCGGATAAAGAATTGTCTACCACTCAACAAGTATGACCGCAGTACATTCTACACAGCGTCGAAGTCCAAGGGCTACATAGATTATCCCTTTCACCCCGAATTCACACATGGGAAGGCGTTGAATTAGATAGCTTTTTTCATTAGTTATAGACACTTTAGATATTGCAAACGAGCTTACTATCTTATTTCCACGATTTCCGGGGTAAATGCCATGATTCTCATATTTCCGTCCACGCGTTCCAAATACCTATTCCTTAGTACGCCGTTACATGTAATCTGGCCATACAATTCTTAACATGCTCTACAATTTTTGATAAATGAGATTTCTTCTGGAACGATACGAAATCTTGCTTTGACAACCAAGGGAAGGAATTGTAGTCCTGAGTCAGGGAACCATGAGTTAAAGAGAAATCTTGGGGAACCTTGGGGTACTCAGGAACGGTTTCTATAAGAGCACTCACGGGGTCACAGACTCCTTTGCTTAAGGCAACGACATCTCGGGCTCCTGATACTGGTAGATATCAGCGGAGAAAGTTTCGGTCAACCGATTAGCAGGCGCTATAGCCACTAAATGGTAGATATCCACTGAGTCGGTGAGTTATCGGCTGCCTGATATATAGTTGGCGTATCTAGATCGTTCCATTCCTGTTCCCCCGCTCATGAGACAAGGTGGTCTCCAGGGGTATAAAGTGTATGCTATTTAATGAACCTTTAAGGAGTCTTTCAAGGATCAATCGCTGTATTGACTTCAATATACTGTTGATCCATCTTCAACCACACTTCTTTACATCTTCTCTGCCTACCCCTAGGTAAGGCCTGTTGTACAATTACTCTCTTGGTTTACGGATTTAGTACATTGAAAGTCAACCTTTACACTACAGGAAATATGAAGCTTTGAAAACCTCAAAACTGGGTTGATTTTGTTCATATTCCTATCAAATTCATACTTATTCTCAGTTACATACATCAAATAAGATACTCAGTCGGCATATGTTGATGGGCTGTCTTTTTTTCCAAGTTATTTAGGTCAACTGGCTCATATTTGCATTTAAATAGGCATCTTCATACTTCAACGCTCTTCTCTTTCGAAGATCTCAGGTATCTAAACATGGCTATTACACTTTACCCCTCTCCAAAAATGTCACTGGAACATCAACAGTCTTGCATCTGATGTACTCACACAAAAACTTCCCAAGCGTGTCATAAGTAGAGTTTGCGCATACTCCCCGGTCAAGATGGTTGTGAAGTAGGAAATGCACTGCCCAGAGGTGCGGGAACTCCATACGATCAATCTTTTGGCCCTTGTAGTCCTTTCCCATAAGCTCAATAAATTTCTCTGTGCTCAGGAGACTTTGCAACCAAGACCACTCATCCGCATTCCGTACGAAGAAGCCAACATTGCAGTTCGAGCCTTTGTCGCCAGCTCTACCCAAAACTACATGTCCCAATGGAGCTTGAGTGGTTACTCCGAACGTGCTGAGTGGGAGAGGAGCTATCGCTTCATATGTTGGTTGCTGGACCGGACCCTTCAGCACGACTTCTGCAGGCGTAACCTCGATGTCTTTCTTGTCTGGCTGGGAGAAGTGAACTGTGACCGTTGGCTGTGGGATAAGGGTCGGGAAATACTCTTGGAACTATACCGATTGTTAGAAGATGAAGATAAGAATACCTGAAAGGAGATTTTGGTAGCTCACAGGAGAAACAACTGGTGTCCGTAGAGTCATCGTTGCCGCGGGAAAGGTGTTCATAATAATATCAAAGGTTGGTCGAGCAAAGTTCTTAGGTGTAAAGGCTTCCGAGCTCTTGGCCTCTGCTACAATCCGTAGATGAAGTGTTGCAGCATCTTGAGTTTCGGGATGTTGAGGCACAGACCCGTACAGCTGGAAGCTGAAGTTGGAGAACATTGCCATCTTTTCCCCGTAACTAGCCCTGACCTGGGTTTCCAGCATCCTTACCTTTTCCTCAATGTCTAAACCAACCACAGCCCAGTGCAGTTCTGATCTGTACCCGCCGTGAGCGGTGAGACCAACTTTAGTCGTGCTCGGCGGCGCTTGTCCACGTACACCAGACATCCGCACCCTATTTTGCCCAATCTCGGCAAATTGAACTTGATCGATGATTGCTGTGACGTCACAATTCAGGTAGTAGGTGCCCTGAATCTCATAGAGCAGCTGTTCTTTGCAGGTTTCCACGCTGACGATGCCGCCTGTCCCCTGTGGCTTGGTGATCACGACATCACCATCATAAGCGATTTCAGCGATGGGGTAGCCCATATCAGTGATGCCAGACCAGTCCAGGCTTTTGAAACCAGTGAAGTTTCCACCAGTCACATAAGTCGAGCACTCAATCAAGTGCCCCGCCATGAGAGCCTGAGCAAGCTTGTCGAAATCAGTCCTCTCCCATGAATGCCACCAAGCGGCAGCAGCGACGATGGGGGATGCATCGGCGACACGGCCACAGATGACAATGTCAGCACCTGCGTCTAGGGCTTTCCAAATACCCATACCGCCAAGATAGCACTGAGCGAAGAAGGGTTCGTAGCCCCAATCTTGCAAGTTCTGTCCTGAGCTAATATGGATAAGGTCTTTGATGGAGCCATCAGATTGATGCGTCACTTGTACTGGGTCCAGTACGTCTCCCTCAACCCAAGCAACTGTTAGATCTAGCCCTTTCTTTTGGACCATCTCAACAACAACCTGGTAAAGCTGCTTGGTTGCAGTTGTTCCGGCGTTGGCTGCCAGTTTCATTTTCTTCTGGGCTAGATTCTCCAACGCCGGTTCAAGGGCTTCTAGAAAAGTCTCTTCATAGCCAACACCGTCATGGGTTACAGCGTAAGCACGGGTTGGCATGTTGAACTCGGACATCCAATCTCCCACAACAACGTCGATGGTTTCGTCCGATTTTGTTGCGTTTAGAAGTGCCTCGCGACGATCTGCAGGCGAGCCTGATATGTTCATGATCCGGACTGGCCGATCAGGAAGTTCGTGGGAAGCCATGTCGCTGCTTGTCGTATTGTGTACGAATATCCGAGCTTTTTAATGGGCTTGGAATTATTACCAGGGAATCAGTGACGCGCCTCTTGAGAATTTGTGCGCCGAGGCCGTTTTTCCAACATACTTGAATAGCCTTGGTCTCCGCCATTTTAACTACAAACTCTTAGGTATATCGGACATAATGGCCCAACGGCGAGTGGAAGAGAGAGGGCGCAATCTTTCCATTGTCTCCAATCAATAACTCAGGTTGAAGGCAAGTCTTAGATTTGACGCGTTCACAGCCGTCGGCATAGAAAAGCCGCCTTTCCGGCGGCTCATCGGAAGGTTGGTCATATTAGCCCAGTACGGATACTTACTCATATCAAGTTCAGAGAAACTGCAAATTGAGGATTTGAGTTCTCATATTTCAACGAAAACTGAATTTGGTAGAAGAATTTAAGGAGAAACGAGAAAGGGAAAGGGAAACGGGAGGAAATGATGTATCAAAGCCTGAGGCCGCAGTAGCGGATGAATGCCTTAAGGCACCGAACACAGTTGACATCGATATTCATCTTATCCCCTCCGCTGTCGTATTGTGCCGTTTTAGCGCCCTTTTCTGCCAATACAGTCTCCATAATCACATCCGAAAAAGGAATAGATTGATACCTATTTTAGCCAATTAGAATTCATGATAGCTTTTCCAACAGCCCTACTACCATCAATGGTCCATTTCATTGGTTAAGGTACTAGTGGGTAAGCATTACTATTTTATAAAAGCGGTCTGAGCTGTCAGCCAATGATAGCTATTAAATATACCTCACTTTGGTATACACTAAAACGGCACAATACGACAGCGGAGATGAATTGACGCACATTTTTACTTCCTCATTAACACCTGACAATAAATCTTTAAGAATAAAAACTCGAAGGAGCTAGGTATGAATCGCCTTAAGAAATAAGGGTACAGCAACAACTGAGACAATTCCAACTTCCCAAGGAGTGAAGGGGTTTTCACTGTCTTATTATGTGTTAGTCTCCTTACTACTCAAGTTATTGATGGGTCTTGAAATTAACTAGGTATTCAATGGCTTGAGTCGACCTTAGTTCCCGTGGCATTTTTGGACTAGCAGTAAACTTGCGTGTTGGATAAGATATCTATTGGTCATTTGTAATATCTTTTACCTAGAAGAAACCAAAACACAGATCTATGTGCATAGTAGACAGGGATGGACTATTTACGGAATGGATTAAGATTCCAGGCTCTATAAGGTCTTTTACTCTAGAATTACAGAACAGTCATAATATAGGCAATATAGACCTGCCCTACTCAGGCTGAAATACTATCGGATAGCTAGCAGCCCAGAATGAATAGAAGAATACATTTACCCATCTTCAATATCATAAAAATTATCGTTATTTCACAGATGATAAGATAATATCCCGATTACAGAAAGCAAAAGTCAACTTTGAAATACTATAATAATTTTTAGTTGGGATGAATTTAAAAGACACTTCCGTCTCAAAGTCATTGATTTTGCTAACCAAATTGAGTATAGTACAGAGTGGGATTTGAGGATTGTTTTCCGAGTGCGAACACAAATCGATACTTTCATATCCTATGCCGAAAGTTTGAAGGGGAAGTATTTTGTATCATTGACTCCACTGGACTTCGATTGTATGATATTTATACGAGTGGGTTTACCTAATTATTAGCATAGGGATACATTTTCAGGTGAGCTATTGATGAAAACTCGAATTTCATTTGATTGGTTCTGAGATAAATGATCTGAACATTCAGTACTTCGAGAATATTTGGAAAAATATGTATGAATTATCGAAGTGGATATAGTTAAGTCTTGGCATGGGCATAGGCGCACTTTTTTAATCGGGCAACTGAAGGAACCTTAGTTTCTAAAATGACCATCAAAACCTCTATACAAACTAGACTAATTAAGGCTTTAAAGCCCCTTTCTACTTATAAATTTGTGTTTTCTTATCTATTCTTTTACTCTCTCCAAAACAACTTTTTATTCACGCAAAAATACAACTCCTTTAAAATGCGTGTGATTTCGCTCTTCACTACTTTGTTTGTGGCTCTGGCTACTGCTGCCGATAGCACAACTGTCATTTCCTACTTCGCCGCATCCTATGAGAACTATTCCCGTCTAGGTGCATACACCAGCACTATAGCCCGAGTCATTGGTATTGACAATTACGCTACTACCTACGAGTTAGGATGTATAAAAAGTGCTACAGAGTGTGGATTCCCGCATTCTATCACGATGATTCAAGGCCCCGAAACTTTCGCCCATTGGGGTATGATATCAGTAACTGCTAATGATGCCACTAAGTTTCAGACATTCACCGAAACATGCAAATTCACCCATTACACCGAGTCTATTGTTTGTGGATATAGTAATACAATCACTGTATTTGATTCAGCTGTGACGAGTTCATTCTCTTACTCTAGTTCTGGTGTCACTTTTCCGGCTAGTTTGGTCTCTTATAGGACTGTCACTGTTACCGATGGTCTTTACACTTTCACTGCTGCTGCTACTGCTTCAACTTCTGCTGTCAAAATCACTGCTACTTCTTCAGCCTCTCCTGTTCAGATTACTTCTACGGGTGCGGCTTCTCAGGTGAACCCTATTATCACTGCCGCGCCATTTGGTGCAGCAGCAGCAGCTATTGCTGTGGCTATCTTTTAATCAACATGAAGCTTGATTAGACATGGACATTAGTACGGATGTGCTCAATAGTTACCATAAGTAATCAATGAGCTTGACCCTGGCCTTATGGGGGAATATATGGGCCAGACCCGTCAAAACTCCTGATTGAGTAGTCTTCGTTTTCTGCACCATAGTACAACCCTATATCATGGAATTATATGAAGATTTCAAGTTATTTAGAGTTTTTGGCACACAAAGGTACATCCTTCTTAGTGAACTAAGATTGTATCTTTACCCTGGTCCGTAAGTTCCAACTGTGCACGGTAATAGGGTAGGTGGGAGCAGGCCATCATTCCGCGTACGAATGAAAGAAGCTTTTCTGATGCCAACAATCACGTCCGCCTCAAGCGAGTCATATCCAATAGAAAACCGTCTATATGAAAGCCACTTCAGCCGCAGATGTGTAAGTCGCTCTCAACAGCCGAAGTGTCTAACAGGAAGCTGAACTGAGGTACCAATTATTAAACTTCAAAACCCAGATAACATAGAGACTAGATTTGTGTTGGCCAATGGGACATGGGACATTAGTCCGTAAATTATTGATCCTGCAAAGCCCCATAGACCAAAACTCCGGTTGAGTCTGAGTCGACATTATCTAGATGCATCTTTTCTATTCCAAGGTCGGAAAGATGGAGTGATATTCTTAGCTTCAAAATTTCTCAGCCTTTCTTGGCGTCATATTTAAATATATTCATGTCAAATTTGATTAGATTTGTCTTGAGTTTCGTCAAATGCAAGTGCCCTTGCCCACCTAAATAGTCCTGTCAGGCACGGCAGAAGTTTCTGCGTCTCCAGCATTCTTGAGTGCCTCGATAGAGTCTCCCTCAAAACCTGAACCATATTTGAACTTGTTTCCATAGTGTCCTGAGGGTAATCCTGACTCTCCCTTCACACCATAAATATTTTCCCGAAGAGTTCCTCCTTCTACTTCATAGTCCGTCCACATCAAGCCTCTCTTCTGAAGCTCAGGGACGAGAAGGTCCACAATGTCCTCTTGACTGCCCGGAGTGATAGTATAGGAAATGTTGAAACCGTCCACATCTGCCTCGTTGATCCATTCTTCAAAGACGTCCGCAACCATCTCAGGTGTACCTACTGGGGCTGGGTGGAATCCTCCGAGCGCCATGAACTCTCCCAATCGTCGTGGTGTCCAAGGATCAGAGTTGCCCGTGGTCTTGTTGAAGTTCTCGAGCATAGAGTGAATGGCAGTATCTCCAGGCTGCTCCTTGAGCTCCATGACTTCGTCAATGGGGAAGCGCGACAAGTCAATGCCTGTATAGCCCGAGAACTGTGCAAGTCCACCAATCACGTCGGCATTTTCACGTGCCCTTTCGTACTTGGCCTGGGCCTCCTCAATAGTCTTTCCAAGAATAGGAGAGATACCGACAAAAAATAGGATTTGCTTCGGGTTTCGCCCATTGGCGGCTGCGCTGGCCCGAATGGCGGCGATGTTACCCTTGGTCTGAGATGGGAACAGTCCTCCGACATAGATAGCCTCTGCGTGCTTTGAAGCAAAAGCCTTTCCAGCTGGAGAGGTACCGGCTTGGCAAAGAAGAGGAGTTCTCTGGGGAGACGGGTGAAGTGGTCCTATCGCGGATGCATTGAAATATTTGCCTATCGGAAAGTTAGTACTGGTAAGCTAAGCGTTCAGTGAAATATTTTCTTAACTGACCCTTGTGTTCCACTCTTTGCACCTTCTTGGGGTCATAAGCAATGCGTCTCTCCCGATCCCAGACTACCGAATCATCTGCCCAGCTGCTTTCCCAGAGCTTGTACACAAGATCCATGTACTCATGAGCACAAGCGTATCTCTCATCGTGAGGAACAACATCTTCATGCCCAAGTGCACGTGCTGACGACTTGCTCCAGCTAGTTACGACATTCCACCCAACTCTGCCGTTGGTGAGGTGGTCCAGGGAAGAAAATGTTCTAGCGAGCATGTAGGGAGTCATGTAGCTGGTGCTTGCTGTGATTCCGAACCCGAGATTCTTGGTCACGGCTGCCATAGAAGAGACAAGAGTCACTGGATCCATAACAGCGATCTGAGCTCCAGCTCGGAGCATGGGATCCGCAGACCCAGAGTAGACTTCATGAGAAGTATATGAATCAGCAATGAAGATGAAGCTGATCTTGCCGCGTTCTGCAAGTTTGGCCAGATTCAGCCAGTACTCGATTCTGTCCTTGGTGTGTCCCTTGTCCAGAGGGTCGCTATATTTTCTGTCAGTTCCATTTTAAAAAGAGATGTTGATATTCGATCTTACCGCCACTGTCCTGGGGCCATGTGGGAGCCTACGCAGCCATTTTCGAAGAAGTTGAGAAAAATTCTCTTCTTGGGGATGCCGTTTGATGCCATTCTTTCTTGTTTTTTTTTTTTTCTGAAATGCAGATGATTGTTTAATCGAACTTAGAAGATAGATACGATTACAAGAACTTGCTCTCTATTTAACATCTACTCTGCAAAGCTATCTTCATGATCCTCAACATCTAATTCTCAAGATGCCGACCGGCCAAGGGATCACAAGTCGAGCTCCGACGGAACCTTGCGATCCGACGGTTGAAGCAAGCGATTATACTATGTAAGCTTCAAAGATCTCAAGAGTACTAGATAAAGATGGCACCACTTATCCACCCAGATGGTAAGACTAGGTTACCCCGTAGGCAGATTTGACTCACTAGGTAGAGGTCGTGAGGTATTTTCTACCTGCAACGTCGACAAAAGAGGGTACTTGTGGTATGCTTGATGTGATTTCTAGCTTCCCGGGTGGGTTGACAGGCACATTGAGGCTCTTAAAAATAATAGAATTCATTATAAAGAGTGACTCTGTCCAGATGTGACTGTTCCAGCCTGTTACAAGAAAAAAAATCTCATCTTCCTCTCTTGGATATTTTCTGTGATACGTCACATCCATTATGTTTCACTACTATCGCTCATTATTGAAGAACAGTAGAAATTTGGTTCCAATCCATGGATTTTGTTGATTAACTAGTTGAGATCCCAATTAATGATGGACTGATATTGGTATTCTTTTGGAGACAAGCAGGAATTTTGCCTTGCCTCCTTTTTCCTAGGATTTGCTCAAGTGGCAATGGGCCCATATGCCCCACATCCCTTCCTAGCCCTAAAACAGAAAAGCCTTAGAGCTACTCCGATACCGCCGAGAAGGCCAGCAAATCCCCATGTTTTTACCTTATCAGTCGAGATATCTAAGAGGACCAATGACCGGGCTACGATATATCTAGACTCGATTGATAATATTGATTCTTGGTGGCTGTGTGGATTGAGGGGGGGGGGAAAAAAGCAAAATTGATCTCTCTAATAGCAGCCCAAACCCATCCATTTCTATTCTATGCACTGTAATTAATAACCCATCCATGACTCATCTGAGCCTGCTTTCAATTTTCCCAGCAAAATGAGCTCCTGTAGTGAGAAAAATACCACGGATACTAGCCCACCGCAAAATCCCGTGGTTTCCTCACGTCCCCCAAAACGTGCTCGTGTAGCTGTCGCATGTAGGAGATGCAAGACCAGAAAACAGATAAGTCATTAGGGTCTTCTAGGGCTAAATAAAGGCTCGATTTTGACTTCTGTGTCTAACAATCCCAAACAGATGCAACGGACTTCGACCATGCGCCAGCTGCCTGGACTTTCATGCTGTCTGCGAGTATACATCACCAAGTGCTAAAACTGCTCTCGTGCGCAATCAGCAGAAGCAGTCTCTAAAAGCTGTTGAGCAGCGGCTTGCCGAGCTAGAGTCGTTCATATCGGATGGGAGCGTTACTGGCCCTCAAAGACGGGACTCAGAGTATGGAAGCCAGGCTTGGACCGATTCTCTTCGGCTTCAGTCGCCAAATGAGCAAGTCATGATGAATACTGCGGCTCCAAGAAGACCCTCGCCAGTCTCTCCGGATCGGAGAACGGATGATTTCGATGGCCGTAACATGGCACAAGTAGATGGCGTCAGCCACGTCGAGGAGATTTTGAAGGACTTGTCCCTTGAAGCTTCCGGTCGCTATATAGGAGCCTCATCTCACATTGGTATAGGAAAGATCATCAGTTCCATGGTACAGTCTACACCTGATGACCAGGGATCACCAGAGAGCATTCACGATAGCCAAGGAGAGCCCCTCAGTCCGAAATCTGCTCACGATGGACCTCGTGGCAGATTGGATTTGGCTCAAGTTTCTTCCAAGACCGCCGACAGGCTTTACATGGCGTATATTTGCCATATCTCAAAAAGATGGCCTGTACTCCAGACATCATTTATCTTTCGAATTCATTCAAATCGAGCCACTTTATCCGATACCTTTTCGTGAGCACTTCCGTTCGCAATCCGTTTTTGGTCTCGGCTAACTAAACTCATGTAAACAGCTTAACAGTTCTGCATCTTGTGTACGCCATTGGTGGTCGATTTCTTGAGACGACAGGCGAAACTGGTACTTTCTACCCGGAGCAGCATTCTGAGCAGGCGCTCGAAAACTTGATGGAAATCATTTCCTTTCATGACATCCGCACCGTGCAGGTTCTGCTACTTCTCTCAATATACAGTCTAAGATCTCCTAAAGGTCCCGGTGCATGGACTTACGTAGGTTTTGCTATCAGACAATGCATTGAGATGGGAATGCATCGCAAGATTCAAGACAGACGAGAACTGCGGGTACTGGACTATGAGATTAGAAAGCGGGTATTTTGGTGCTGCTACTGCCTCGACAGACAGGTTTCGATCATACTCGGGCGACCGTTTGCTATTTCGGACCGAGATATTGATGCCGAGGTAAGAAACAGACTGTCCCAAAATCAGTCTATCAGCCTTTCCAATTAACTAACCTCGACGCAGTTGCCACTTGATATAGACGGAGACGTTGAGGATCCAGATGAGCTAGATCATGCATTAACCGCAATGAAAGCACTCAGGCCCGGTGAAAAAACAAAAACCACCGGAATGACAGCATTCATATACATCACCAAGCTACGGCAGATTGAGTCAAGAATTCAGCAGACCATATATCGGGTGGATAAGTCAGCATCATCAGCCACAAAAGATGAAGTTGAAAAGTTTATCTCTGAGCTGGATCGATGGCGGGACAGCATGCCCGAAGATGTCGTAAAGAAATCGGGCAGTGTAAAGTCCCTCTTTGTTGATGGATACGATTATTATGTGAGCTCGAAATTTCCGAGGTTACGATTACTTCTTGTGCATTGACTAATCGCTTGATTATAGATGGTTTACTACTACAAGTGCATGAGATTCCTTTTGCATCCCATAATTCTCTCGGCCAACTTGTCGGAGACACGATTCTTGAAGAAATGTGCTGAGGCATGCGGGGGTGTCTGCCAAACATATAAGAAGCTACATCAGACAGTCCCTGTAGGATTTTCAGTCATGGCGCTACATTCGGTATTTTTAGCTGGTAAATCTCATCTTGGCACCACATCGTCAAATAATACAAGCTTACGAGTTTCGCAGGTCTAACTCTATTGTATTGCACCTGGGCATCACCAAAAGAGATATTCAGCATCAGCATGAGCAATGCAATGAACTCTTGCAGCATCGTACTTTACATCATTACTGAAAGGTGGAAAGGGGCTCAAAAGTACCGGGATGTGTTCGAGTCAATAAAGCAGTCCGTCATGGACTCGATTGAAGAGGGTCATTACGAGCCACGCAGGGCAATTCAGAGTCTCAAGCCTGGCCTAGGCAATGCTGTTCAGGCCATGAGCTCCTCTCAAGAAGGGCGAGGTGAAGTTCCAGCCATGATTTTGAATATGGCTGGGGGTTCAAGTCTAATGGAAGATGGTGGCTTAGACTCATTTGAATACCAACCTGAGAATCATGGTGAAATGAATACCATATTCTCAGGAATAAGCTCTATGATACCCATGGATAGTATGGCTGTAGATTTCCATACACTTGGGACATTTAATGGTATAGATGTCGGGATGGCCGGAGATTGTCACATGCAGGAGAGCTTATGGATGTGAATCCTAGCATCACAGCTAGCGTTTTTGAATAGATTAAATAATATTATCAACCTTGAAACTTAATGAGCTTTGGAATGAGGCAACTTTCTAGCGATTGGAATTTGGACTGTTCAAAGGCCAAAACAGTGGCCTTGAAAGTCCCGAAGACTTACTACCGGATTATCCAGGTACACTACAAAAGTACAGCCCTAGAATGCACGACATTCACACGAGATATTATTCATTGGTATAAATACCATATAGTACGAAGCATAACTCATGATGCATATGTAGGGTGGCTGCTATGCGGGTCATAGATATCACTTACATTGCATGTGAATAAATAGTCACGTATCAGGCATCATTTATCCTCAGCGCATGATTTTGATTCCAGATACAATTATTAATGTGTTTTCCGTATATAAAGGTAGATTAATTGATAAGAATCAAAGGTGGGGTAAAGCGACTCTACATCTCAAGCTCTATTAGGTATGAAGCTTGGAGGCGGATTCATGCCCGTCGGAACCTCTAGCTTCCGATTGGACTACAATGCTTTGTGGGCAGTCCTATCTATACCCCACTCACTGCCTGGCTACCTAGATAGGTATTTGTAAGATTCAATTGAGATCTTATCACCTGGACAGGTCGATAAGTATAAGATCAAGACCAATTTAATGCTGCGGCACAATTATAATTCAACCCTATCCTTCCTGTATCTTCCAAGTTATTCTCACATCATACAAAATGCCTGAAATCTACCAGAGCCACCCTGATTTTGCCTTCCCTCGCGACTTCAAGGGATATGGTGAGAATGGACTGGAATTGAAATGGCCAAACAATGCCAAGATTGCAGTTTCATTCGTTATAAACTATGAAGAGGTAAATAGATTTCTATCCCATGTTGCTGAGCTCAAGCTGACTTCTATCATAGGGAGCTGAACGCTCGGTTCAGAATGGAGATGGCCAATCCGAGACTGCACTTACCGAAAATCCTCTTGCACCAGCCTGTGTAAATGAGAGAAATTTCAGTGCTGAGTCCGAATATGAGTATGGCAGTCGAGTAGGATTTTGGCGTCTCTTCCGTCTCTTCCAGAAATACCACATGAAATTCACACTTTACGCTGTCGCCAAAGCTGTCGAGGAGCAGCCTGAAGTGGCAAAGCGCTGTGTTGAAGAGGGTCATGATGTTGCCTCGCATGCCTACCGCTGGGTGGACTATCACAACTTCTCCATCGAACAGGAGGAGAATTATATCCGCAAGGCGATCACTTCATTGAAAGCTTTGACTGGTTACGCACCTCGCGGCTGGTACTACGGCCGTCTCTCTCCCCATTCGCGCACTCTTGTGCCAAAGATATATGAGGAAATGGGCGAGGAATTGGTCTGGGCTAGCGATACCTATGCCGATGATGTCCCTTACTGGACCGACCTTCCCCTCGAGCGTGATAGCGCCGAACCAAAGGGCTGCCTCATGGTACCTTACAGCTATGATAATAACGATTTCAAGTTTCATACTGCAGGAAGTGGCTTCCGTGATCCTCAAGGCTTCTACACCCACATTAAGAACGCCTTTGACATACTCTATGAAGAGGGCGAGGAGGGCAGACCAAAGATGATTACTATTGGCTTGCACTGCCGGATCATTGGAAAGCCTGGTCGATTTGCGGCTCTTCGTGACTTTGTAAAGTATATTTCGGAGAAAGAGGGAGTCTGGGTTGCAACGCGGACGGAAATTGCAGAGGCATTCAAGAAGGACCACCCATATAAGAAGGGCCAGCTAGCTTAGATTGGTATTGTTCTGCCATACTTTGTACATATTCTAAGAAAGATCTCGAGGTTCTTGAATATATAAGTATAAGATCATTTATAACTCTTTTCAATGTCATTACAATACTTTCGAGCTCTCCGGGCTAATAGATCTATACATTTCTAAGGTTGTTTATGCTCAGGTGTTTTCAAGGCAGCGCTTTCCAGTATCAGTCCAATGGTTTCTGATTCTTTAAATTGGATTTGAACAATATGCACTCAAACTATGTGGGATAGTCTTGCTTTTCGAGAAATCAATGCCTAAGATACCTAAATAACTGCCTACTACATCACTGGTTCTCCGTATACTAGTATGAGTAATCAACCCCTCTTTTTGTCCTTATCTTCATAGCTCTCATGCCTTCCCAACATTTTCAAAACTGCAACGATAACTATTAGCACAGGTGAATAATGAATCTCACTTTTATACTTCCAACGTTCGGTCAACTAATGGTCATAAAGTCACCCAATGGTCAATCTCGTCCCCGGGTAATATTCGGGACTACGGCTTTCGGGAGCGTATACTTAGCCATCGCGCGTGGTCTTACGCACGTTATCTCCGGCGGGCCGATTCTCCACTGCGGGCACCAAGTCGGAACCTATTCGAGGAGATATAATCTAAGTATGGACTTGTCGAGACTTCCCAGATTTCGAATAAATTTCTGCTCTCCTGGGAAGCCTGACGATCTATTAATACATTATTATTGAAAAATGGAGCCATTCAGACTCACTGCTTCTCAAGCCCGCAATGAGATTCGCTCGGGTAGTTTGACTGTCGAGCAGTATGCTCAGTCTTTACTTTCTAGAATCAGTGAACGAGATTCTATAGTCAAAGGATGGGCTCATTTCAACTCCGATTTGGTGATCGAGCAAGCTAAAATCTTGGACCGCATTGCCCCAGAAAACCGAGGCCCATTGCATGGAGTAGCTATTGCTGTAAAGGATGTCATATACACTAAAGGTGAGTCGAAAGTTATTTTGCGAAGCTAAAATTTGGTTCTCATATTTTTTAGATATGCCTACGCAACATAACTCTCCGCTTTACGTTGGAAGTCATCCCGAGGTTGACGCTGCATCAGTTCAAATTTTGCGTCAAGCTGGTGCATTGATATTGGGTATGCATGTCACTCAATTTTCTTCTACTATGATCCATTTGAATCTTACAACCGGTTAGGTAAGACCACTACTACCGAATTTGCAGCAACTCTCAAGGGCCCAGCCACCTGCAACCCACATGATCCTACACGTACTCCTGGGGGTTCCTCGAGTGGATCTGGTGCAGTAGTTGGCGACTTCCAGGCACCTATCGGTCTTGGAACACAGACTGGTGGAAGCACCATTCGCCCAGGCTCCTTCAATGGAATTTATGCAATGAAGCCAACGTGGAACTCCATTAGCCGGGAGGGTCAGAAAATATATTCCCTTATCCTCGACACTTTGGGTCTCTACGCACGCTCCATTGAGGACCTCCAGCTTCTTGCGGATGTGTTCCACCTAGAAGATGACGATGTACCCGATGAAAATTTCGATATAGCCAAGGCCAAGTTTGCTGTTTGCAAGACCATGATGTGGTCATCTGCGGGACCGGGCACCGAAGCTGCTATGAGTAAAGCTGTGCAACTGCTGAGAGATCATGGAGCCGAGGTAGAGGAGATTGAGTTTTCTCCAGAGCTTCAGAAACTTCCCGAGTGGCATTTGACCATTATGCACGGGGATGGTAGAGCTGCATTTCTTCCAGATTATGTAGTAAATAAGCAGGACATGAACGAGCTGCTTGTGGACCACGTTGAAGATGTATGGAAGATCTCACACGCTGACTTCCTAGAGGCCTTTGATAATATTGGCGCAGCCCGGCCCAAGGTGGACAAAATGCTCGGCGGCTATGCTGCAGTCTTAGTTCCCAGCATCCCAGATGAAGCTCCCGTAGGCCAAGATTCTACGGGCAGTGCTGTTTTTAACTGTATTTGGACGGTAAGAAGACCTTATAAAAAAAATTTGTAAGTATGATCAACTAACTTTTGTTATGTACAGGCTCTTCATACCCCAGTCGTCAATATGCCGGGCTTCAAGGGACCCAATGGACTGCCAGTGGGAGTATCTCTCGTGGCGCCTCGATATCGAGACCGTCATTTGTTAACAGTTTGCGAAGCAGTCGGACGTATCTTTGAGTCTGAGGGTGGGTGGAAGTCACAACTTTAGAACCTTGCCCAGGTGGAAATTTGAAGATTTGCATCTATGCAATGTGGGATCACTGTATAAGCGACTTGAGTACTCATTAACATCCAATCTTCAAATACTTAAGTGACAAATTGGATGTTTTTCTTCAAAAATACATTTGACGATCTTCCAATTTTGACTTATATTCAGCTGGCTATTAGTATTCCAAATCTACCCATCATACTACCACTATCCACGCAGAGCGTCTATAGATCGAAATTTAACCTTGGAAAGACTTAATAGTTTTACTCCACATATTTGTAACAATATCTAAGCTATCATTTTTTATTTACTAGGTACATAGGTAGCTAGAAGCCAGCCTTGGAATAGGTTAGATTCCCCTGATAATTCGGTTTCCTAGTTTACATGATATGGGAACCTTTAATGATACTCTCGCGCTAAGCTGTTTTCTAGCATTTGAGGGCGCAATGTTGTGATACCACCAAATCTTTCAAATATTGAGATGTATCAGCATGACTTCCATTAGCCAACTCTGATTAAACTGAGTCTGAATATTGGACAGATGCTCAATAGTTAGACTTGAGCCAGATTTCAGGTTGTGGAATGCGCTCTAGTTTCAATTTCGGATGTCTTCAGAGCCGTCGGATCTTCGGAAGACACATTCCATCAGGGGAACTATGGTGCAGCCGCACTCATGCCCAATTGATTCCTGCTGACAGGATTTGAATCGTGCCTAGCCCAGCAGACACTAAGCCAACATCGGCATACTTCAGTAGCCGTCGGAGTCGCGGGATTTTCGAACTCTTTATGCCAATATCGACATAGATCAAGGTTATTAACAGCTTCATCCTGAAGAACAAAATTCATCAATCATTTTAAAGGGACAGATCTAGCCAGCTATCCTTTAGCATCTACCAGCCTATCTCATGCCAATCAATTCGACAGAGTTAAGACTAGAATCAATGCATCAAACCGCCACTCAAACCTCCGGCGTACGAAGGCCAACCATCCGAAGACATATCACTAGAAAAAATATGCATTGGAAAAGCCTGCTAGGTCTTCTCAAAAGACTACAACGCACTCCAAACAAGAATGACTGCGTCACTATTGTCGGAAAGAGAGTACAGGATTCAGACTGTACCAGTATTACCTGTTCGACAAAGAACTCTGAGCAGATTTCCACTGAGACAATCGCTGAACCCCAGGTACAAAGGGCGCTCGTGGTGGCTCAAAAAGGAAAGTACGAAGTTCGAGATGACTTCCCTATGCCCGTTGTTGCGGATGGAGAAATCATGATTCGCTGCGACTTCGCCGGCCTCAACCCCATAGATTGGAAAAGTGTCGATTATAACTTCTGTTTACCAGAATTCCCCTGGGTATGTTTATTGCAGTTGGGCATGCAAGTACCAATGGCTAACAAATGCATTATTGTCCACAGGTCACCGGAAGAGAAATGTCAGGGACTATTGAACAAATTGGTTCGGACAGCGCAGACTTCAAAATTGGCGACAAAGTCTGGACCAGTACATACTATCGTGACGTGCGAGCGGGTTGCTTCCAGAAATACGTCGTCGTTCCTGCGCATACTGTGTCTCACGTTCCGAAAGGCATGACAATGGCATCTGCTGCTTGCCTCGGAGTTCCTGCACTTACTGCTGCAATGACTTTGTGGAAATGGCTCAATGTCCCTTTACCATCGGAGTCTTCGGGGCAAGTCGAGCAATTAAAGGACGAGTGGCTGCTGATATGGGGCGGTTCTACAAGCACGGGTCAATTCGCCACGCAGTTCGCTGCTATAAGTGGTCTGAAGGTCATCACCGTCAATTCTCAGTCAACAAAGGCCCTATCAGAGAAACTCGGCGCAACACATGTTGTTGTTCGAGATGGGAAATCAGATTCAGAGCTTGTGGAAGAAATCCGTCTTGTAACGAATGGGGATATTACTCGAGCCATCGACCTAGTGTCTTCAAAAACAGCAGCAATATCCCTTCAGGCCGTTTCGCAGGAATCTCCGGTCCATTTTGCTCCGCTGGCTTTGATGTCTTCTTCTCAAGTTGTGCCAGGTAATGTCTCAGCCCACACGGTCGAGATGAAGCAATACGTTCTGGATAGTACAAACAAGGGTTATGCGGACGAGCTGAATAAGATTATGTCAGAGGGGAAGATTGAGATGCCTGAAATTTTACATATCGAGGGTGGGCTAGAAGCTGTACCTGCTGGCCTGGACATACTGAAGAAGGGAAACATGGGCGGCAAAAAATTGGTTGCGAAGATATACTGATAGAAGCAAGATTGCAAACCGTGAAACAATATTAAGACTAGAGTTTTCAAATAAGTCGATCCAACCTTGGAACAGATATTCCAAGATTGCAAGTTTATATGCTGTAGGTTTCAAAGTTGGAAAGAATATGTAGTGAAAGCAGCTCTTTCGAAGACCCGGCTATTCAAAAGCTGTAGGAAACCCTAAATGGGGTATATTGATACGATATGCTTCAATTCGTAGTTCCATCCCTAATGACTAGACAAACACAAACACATATATCACAATAGAAGAATCAGACTTAGTCCATATAACTGCTTCTTCATTCCGATGAAAAGCTCCAAGTTCACCTGCACCGAGCCAATCTAGGTTCAAAACAGAGTGGGCAATAAGACAGACAAGAAGTAATAATACGAGGTCAATCGAAACGGCAGGTCGGGAAGAGAGAGAGATGGAGAGAAAAGCATGGCTTGTGGATACTGGGAGTGCAAAGGAGAGCAATAGGATGACAAAGAGGAAAATATGGAAAACCTCAGGCCTGGAGGTATTTATAGGCTTCACTACTAGGGAGGAAGGAACATAAAACAAATGGAACATCCACCTAAGTACAAGTGCTTTACCGAGGACCCAGTTTTGCGAGGGCACGAGCTCCCTGTTCCTCCCATTCCTGCTTGGATACCCACATGTCGTCCTTGTCGGCGATCTAAATTTGAGTGTTAGTTTCGCGCCAATGATGGAAAGATAATATGGGCATAAACTTACGAGGTTGGCAAGTACGGCACCACCGAGGAAGACCATGTGTCTCCGTCGAGGAGGGTCCTCAATGCGAACCTTGAATTTCTGCGGGATCGTTAATTTTGTATCTCTCAGCTGGCTTGGAAATGGATTTTGACGTACATTCAGACGCTCTGGGTTCCCGCCCAGAACTCGGGTCAGCCAGAGCTGTTTCAGCTCCTTCTCCAACCGTGAAGGCAGGCCGGGGTACATGCTGCTACCACCGCTGAGGACAACGGCTTTGTAAAGACTGGACCGAACGTCGACATCGGTGCCTTGAATTGTGTTGAAAAGCAGTTCAGCCATACCGGGCTGATCCACATCGACAAGATGAGGCTGGAAGAGACATTCGGCAGCCTCGAAACGCTCACTACCAACACGAATAACACGGCCATCGGGGAGGGTATAGGATTCAACGAGAACGGTGGTATCTTCCGAAAGCTTTTTGTCCAGCTCGAGATCGTACGAGACGTAGCAGAGCTTCTCCTTAATTTGGCGCACGGTCTCGAAATCGGCAGTCCGGTTCAGCGCATAGCCGCGACGCAATAGAAGGGCGATCAGGTTGCGAGTGACGTCGCGACCAGCAACATCCAAACGCTTGATGTGGTGGTTCAAGACGGTGGACTCGTACACGGGAATAATGTGGGTGACACCATCACCGGAGTCGACAACAACACCGCTGCTGAGACCCTGGGCGTAAAGTGCCAGCACCGCCTGGATCGCGACATAGACACCTCCGAAGTTGTATCCCTCCAACATAACCTCGGCCATCTTCTCGCGGTTCTTGAGCGGGTTCATTGGGGGCTCGGTGAGGAGGATCTTGCGGCCTGTTGGGTCGATGTTCATCTTCTCGTAAAAGGTGTAGTTCCAGAGATGTTGCATATCATCCCACTTTTTCACGATACCATTCTCCATCTAAAACCATCCGACCACTGGGGATCAGCAACATGTCCTCTTTCTGGCGTGCGGAAGAGGTAGAGGGGCGGGGTAGGGGATGGTGAGGGCAGTAGCCTCAATATAGTTGCGACGTACCGGATAGCTAATTTGAAGCATCGATCGCGCAGCGGCAGCTTCATCTCCGCACATGATATCCTTCACCACGATATCACCAGCCTGCTCCTCCGTCCGCAGGATGGGCCGCCCCACTATCGAGGGGAACTGGTGCTCTGGGAAGTTCTGACATAGAATTACTATTAGAAGGGAGCTCAATCGCAGAAGAGCCGTGTGCGACATACCTGGGCTGCATATCCGACCTTTAGGAAACCGGTTCCTCCGTCGAGCACTGTGGGGTGTTAGCTTGGAGAGCTGGGACAACAGTTCGGGGAGAGAGGGAGGGCGCAGGTACCAATGGGCATTTCCGCCATGATGCAGGGATTGGAAGAATTAAATGCTTCAAATGGCTGTAGAGACGGAAAGTCGGAAGAGAATTGAATTGGGTGCGGAGGTCGCGCGGGGGTAGGAGTTGATGGTAAGTCGAGGTACATCAATGTGGTCCGCTGGACATCATCATCGTTACCTAGGTATTTACGTGACAGTACCGTCCCCCTATTCTCCCCGCAAATTGAGGGATGAACCACACTTGTTACAGAACGTGACTATATAAACGACAACTGCCATTCTTCATTAACAATTGACTTTGAGAATTGGTATCATACGAAATGGATAATCAAGTATAGGTCGGCGAGCTGTTATGAGAAAGTCAGGTTATGTAAGCCTATCTAAACTCGTTTGGAAAGAAGACTAGGATATTGGTATGTGAATAATCGAGACAAGCTTATATTCCCAGGGTAATCTCAAAGCGTATAGCAACATAGTTCAAGATAGTTTTCACGAACTGATTTGGACTGGCAGTGAATATTTTAGCACTGATACAGTGATACCTACTGAGGCCGATTTGACCGGAGTGGGTCAGCTGATCTCAGTGAGAGTTGTTATCGGTAGGGATAATACACTACTAAGTGAAATTAACTAAATGAACTTGGATATGAAGATTGAAGTCTGCTATACCTAAGTAGTCTTTATCGTGATAAAGCCCGTGACAAATAGTGAGACGTTGATGACTATCGGGTTATCGGGCCGATGGCCGACAAGTGCTGTGAGGAGTGGAACCTCCCACTAGCATTATAGGAGAAAGGCCCCCATTATATTTGACGAGATCTATCACCGGGGCATCTATTCTTCTTGTCATCACCTACAGACGGGAACTTGGAGCAATTGAACTGGCTCGTAGCACAACACCATTAACAAAATGGCACAAATCGGTTGGGTAAGTGCCATTCAAGATCCAAGATGCGCATCTCAAGATTGTCGAGCCAGAGCTAATACATTCACAAGTTTGGCCTCGGCTCCATGGGTCTCGCTATGGCTAGCAACCTGCAGCGTCACGTTGCCGCAAAGAAGGCATTGAACCTTATCTACTCCAACCGCACAATGTCGCGAGGTGAATCACTGCAGGCCTTGGGTGGAATTCCCGAAGCAAGTTTTGCCAACCTGGTTTCTCGCTGCGGAATCATATTCACTATGGTAAGAACCTAACAGTCAAAACCAGGACGATTAAAGAGCAAGGGAGTCTAATGGTGATTCTAGATCTCCAATGACTCAGTCCTAAAGAGCTTGCTCTCCTCTGCCGTCGAATCAGGACACTCCTTGAAGGATAAGATCTTCGTAGACTGCTCGACTGTTCATCCAGCGACGGTGAGCGCCGCTGTTGCCCAGCTGAAAGAGCAGGGTGCCACGTTTGTTTCTGCGCCTGTCTTTGGCGGTAATCCTATCGCTGTGACTGGCAAGCTAGTCTTTGCAATCGGTGGGCCTAAGAGCGCGACTGAGACCGTGACGCCCCTTATCGAGGACGTTATGGGACGGCGTGTTATCCAATGTGGAGAGGATGCTACCAAGTCTTCGTTGCTGAAGATTGCTGGGTACGGTATTGATTCAAAATCTTGGTCGATCGCGATTTACTGACTGGATATGTAGAAACATCGTGACTGTGACTATGCTGGAGGGTGTTGGTGAAGCCCAGGTCTTTGCTGAGAAGACTGGACTTGGAACAGGTCCCATGGAGGAGCTTATCGGTGAGGCTTTTGGTGCCGTGGCTGGAGGTTACTCGAAGAGGTATGTGGTCTTCCTAGAGCCCAAGTTGAACAGATTTCTTATACCCTCACAGGTTGACTTCCGGTGCTTATGCGCCGCCTACGGACTCGATCCCCGGATTTGGCGTGTCTTTGGCTATTAAGGATGCCAACCATGCTATTTCCATGGCTAAGGACAGTGGCGTTGAGCTTCCTGGCCTTGACCTTGCTCGTGCCAACATGGAGACTGCACGGAGCTATGCGGGCGAATGCCTGGATGCCAGTTCCATGTATGGTGTTTTGCGACAGAAGTCAGGCCTTGAGTTTTGGAATGAGAAGAGCCGCAGGGGTAATTAGAAAAATATCAGCTACGACATTAGAAGTTAAAACAAGAACAAAATATATTATCATCTAAATGGGGATTGCGTGTTCATTATCCATCGATTAACTAAATCTATGGCGTTGGTTTAAGCCATAACCTGTATGTTGTGTAAAAGAGCGGAGCTAACGATGGGATATATATAGGTGAAATAGGACACTTTACATGTATGAAGATGCACGGGGCTCTCAAATCGTGAAAAATATTGCTGGACATGATGACAGTATTAGTTCATGTATCTACCGAGGCAAGGTAGAGGTGGTCTGCTTTAGCTCAGACCTAATCACTGTGGTATCCACTAAATTCGGATAGCACTCGGCGAATGAAGGTCCTAGCGACCAGTTGGAAAGATTCCGCATATGCCGCTCAAATACAGGATTGATGAGCAACTCATCTGATTCACCGGTGGATAATAGGCAGTCAGTGGCTTCATATGGCCAATTGACGCTCATACCCTGGGTATACGGAATGAACCAATTTTCAAATGGAAATTCGGCATGAGATTTAACGACCTTATCACGCATACGAGGCCAGGGAACATAGTCTATCCAGGCTGGATGTGGCTGAAGCTGTTGGGTTGAAGTTGGAGTAAGCCATTCGGGTAGGCGCTCGTAGTTCTCCTGTGTGGGAAATATCTGCCAACGCATGAGGAGGAACATTATGTAGAGAACAGCCACCTGCTCCGGCAGTGATGATATGTCTGGAAATGTTCGCAAGATATCGGTAAACACCTTTGATACTGGGTGCGAGTAGAAGCTCTTTTCCGGGTTGAGCAATGAGGAAACACTTGGGTATGGCGGCCCAACGAGTTTCTGACGCGGAATACCCTGTGCGGCTTCATTCTGGCGGTTATGAAGAAAGTCCAGCAGAATACTGTCCAGCGTGCATGTCGGCGCTGTGTTTTTGATAGGAGTAGTAAATGAGGGCATTCCTGGGTTGGGTGCACAGTGATGCTGAAGGTAAAGCGTGGAAGGGGGGTTTGAATTAAGGGTGCGAATTGTTTCTGAGCTGCTACGCCGAAGACGTTCAACTTTGGGGACATTCTTTGATGGGTCCAGGAGGAAGTTGAAGCCTAATCTCTCTTCCAAACCAAAATCTAAACCATGCGCAATATTCTGCGATAGCGCCATTCGGAACGTCGGGTGAATGCCACCGTTGCCACTGTTGCGGCGACTTCCTAATGTTGGCGCAGAGTGTGTAGGAGAAGGCGTGTCAACGCTGGCAACGGAATCGGCATATTGCTTGTCAGCGGGCGTGGCTCCCTGCTTGATCGGTGTCAAGCGGTCGGAATCAGGGAAGGGAGGTATTTCGTTTGAAGATGGGACCGATCTCGGTTGGGTAAGAAATGAGGGTAAATCTAAACCAAGTCAGGCCATATCTAAAGTGTTTGATTTTTGGCATCCTACCTTTTGCTGCGGGTTTCGCAAGCAGAGGTTGTATTATGTCCAAGGCGGCCTGGAGTCCCTGACGAAGCTCTTTATTCTCCTCTCGGATGCGTTCATTGTGCTGGACAGCTGCCTGGAGGTCAAGGAATGGCTTTTGGGAAGAAAGGTCCCGGACCTGTTGCTCTAGAGCTTCAATGTGTGATTTAGTGCGCTCGCGGATCGCGCGCTGCGCCTGGCGGTCGTTGGCACGTTTCTTGGCAAGTTGATCGGGCGTTAGATTTGCGACACCCCGTGACGATGTACTATTCAACTTGCGTTTCCTTCCAGCAGTTCTTGCAGAATCGTCCTGGTCAAGGGCATCTGTAATCACGGAGTCTGGTCCGAGTGAGGGGACGGGAGAATAGTCTGTTCTCGCGACAGGGTATGAGCGGGCCTCCATCCCCGGATCGAATGGTGCAGACATTGTTAAGTGAAACAGTGCGATAAGCCATATGGCCTCGCACAGTGTTAATCTATATCAGCCATTCAACGAGAGAGAGAGAGATGGAGTCGCTAAAGCGGAGCGGTCTGAAATGTACGACAATAGGAGTGGATCAGGGAGTTGAAGAGGAAAGAGACCCATGATCGCATGCGGAGCGGGAACCTTGGTACATCACCTTGGCTGACATTCTTCTCAATAATCACTATTTAGCCTTGTAGGTTTCTATCAATCGGTGTATTTACAAGGATTGATTACTTCAGTCACGTCATTGGATGATTGGCTTCAAGCCATTGAAGGTCCTGTCCTCAATTTACTCCGTACCGGAATTCCAATCTATAGATCGCCCATACTCCAGTTGCCTCAACTCCATCGATACTCATTAGGAAATTATACAAATAAATACTGTATGAATGGCTGAGTAAGATTTTGACTGGACATAGAATATCTTCCAGGTTCGAGTTTTTAAACAAAAGATGATCACCACACAAGTAATCACGAACGATCGTATACACGGGGGTCAAAAAGAATATGCAAGAATGAATGGTCATGTTGATCGTGTGCAAGGATGTGCAGCTCCGTCTGATTTCAAAAAGATGGAAAAATAACAATATAAAGACAAAGTATAGACATTATTGGATCATGTGGCCCATCTTTGATATCTGTGACAATGGCTTTGTTAGAAGACAATTGAAACCTGCTTGATTGCATAGACTTACCTTAGTGCTCAAGTAGCCCTCGATTTCTGAGCTCTTGATTCCTCGTTCACCACCAGTTCTCCATGCCAAGGGTATCATCGGAACTCTCTCTCTCACCAAAACTTCTCGGTTTGGCCCTTCAATGGCCCGCACCTTATCAGGATTGTTCGTGAGCAAACGCACACCTTCTGGATTTGTGTCCACACCGCAGCCAAGATCCATTAGCATGGCAGTTGCCAATCCATAACTACGAGCATCTGCAGGATGTCGGAGCAACAAATTGGCCTCCACAGTGTCAGAACCCAAATCCTGTAGATTGTATGCCTTCAGCTTCTCGCCGAGACCAATGCCACGGCCTTCCTGTCGAAGGTAGACAATAACACCACCCGTAGAATTTGACCGAAGAGACTGTATCTCTGGCGGCGCGTCGGGCGACAGGTCATTGACGGGGAATGACATTAGCCGGGCGGCTTCATCTAGCTGCTCACCACAATCGCATCGGGCCGACCATGCTGTTTCTCCTGTGTAACATTCTGAGTGAATGCGCACCAGTGGTGGCTCAACCCGACTTGGTGCAGCAGACTTCTCATCCTCATCCCAGCTACTGACTCTTCCCGGGTGCAACTTTCCCACATATGCGCCACGAATCATGCGATCCATTTCAGTCTCCCCAGGCCGAACACGATCAAGACTCCGACTTCGAATGTTGTTCCCGAAGACAATTGCCAAATGCTCTTTGTTGTCCAAGTCGTTGAGGTACAGATGCAAGAACATCTCCGCACCCTGGGTTGTTGGGATACGAGCCCTGACAATACATTCTACCTTGGGAAGTTGCTGGAGCAATTTTGGTGGCTTTGCAAGTTCCCCCTGATGTTGAATGCTGGCTGCTTGGCTCTGGTGTAGGAATTCAGTGGGGTTAATAGCCAGATTCAATGTACCACCGGGAGTAGCAGGTGGAGTGAATGCTGGCGAGAGTAGACACGCTGGCAATGATGGAGTCTCTTGGCCTGTGGTAGTGCTGTCTGCCTGACTGGCATCGTCCATAATTTCTGTTCCGCTGGTGGGTAGGGAATGCGGAGGTAATTCCGGTGAAGCATGCGCCGGTAGATTTGCCATTGTGAAGGTGAGCGGAGAGGCGAGGATATCAGCAGTTAAAAAGTTGTTAACTAAATATCGAAAATTCCAAAAAGGGGTGACATTTGAGCATTCATAATCGATGTTGAATAATTGAAATGGCGTCAGCTATCCTATCTCGGAGACTCGGCGTACTCGGTAGTGAGGGGGCGAAGCTGAGTCATGATTACTTTCTCTCCGACGGATGCTAAAAGATTCCATTGATCCACCCAAACAATAGCCTTGACTAAATAACTAGTTCACAAGTTTAATTAATATTCACTTCGTTAGTTCTACAATGATCAATCTTAAATACTTAGTAATTATATTATTAGAATAAAAATTGTCCCATCGTTTGATATTGAATGCGCCCAGTATTCAAAGTTATACTCCAGGTATCTAGCGCCTCGCTAGGGGTATCATATCATATTAAATCATGAGGTTTCAAGGTTATTTGTTAGGAATATCCAGCACAAATCGCCGATCAACTTCCATCTCCTTGTCATCTTCCTCGCCTTCGAATTTCAGGCGATAGACATCTTTCTTAGACCCCATCACCTCGGCACGATAAAATGTAGTGGTATCCGGGTATCTCGCGAGAACCTGTTTGCCAACAGGAAACGATGGTAAAGAAGTGTTCACAATCGGTATAGGGATGAGGGATGACGCGGTCGTTTTGTAAACAGCACCCTCCTCGCCATTCTCATTAGGTTCTGGATCTTGCACGTCGTACCAGCTGACGAATATCAGTATTACTATGTCTCACAAAGTGCCATATGATAGGAACATACCGTTTTTTGTGTCCATCTCCAGTAATGTGTTTGATTATGCATTGAATGCCTTCGCCTTCGACGCCTTGTTTGTTCTTGTTATGTTTGAATACAACCTGTGCCCCAACTATGAGATGGCCACTGCGTTCTGCCACTGCCCCTTTGGCTCCCTCGCTTCCTTCCTCAATCTTGACAGTGACATTTTCATTGCGTCCCTCGCGCGGATTATTGCTTGACACGCTCATGCTGCGAGGGATAGTGCCTTTAGAACGTTTGTCGGCGCCCGAGATACTAGTAGAGTCAGTAGTCGAGCTCTCAATATCTGTTCGCTTTTTGCGGGATTTTGAAAGTGCGATTGATCGATTAGCAGGAGCTTCGGCCTCGGAAGCTTTGCGGAGCGCGGTGAGGAGCTCCAAGTTCTTGATCACGTCGCATGGCTCGTCAAGCATGATCGATCGTTCTTCTTGACTGAGCTTTTGACTCTGACGCAGCCATGTGTCAAGTTGGTCATGGTCCGTCATAGTGGGTTCTACAATTGTCAGATATAAGACGTTCTTGTTGGAGTAGATATACGCGGCTTGTCGCGACAAGCGGAACCGGGAGTATCATGTTATAGGAGCTATAGGAATTCGGAAACTTACTGTTGCCCTCTCGGGTGATTTTTTCCGCCAAGGCTTTGATCTGGACGGAGAGCGAGGCCTGTTGGTCGAACTTGTCTTTGGACTTGCGGATGTCTTGACAGATCCGAGTCCACAGCTCCATTTCCTCATTGTTGCCGAGTCCATTGTCTCTGGGCCGCGGACGATTGCGGGACATGTTGAATTGCCTGGAGTATTCACCAGGGAAATTGAGCCAAAGAGTATGAGGGGTAATCTAGGGTTCGTTCCGGTTGAGCGGTGATAAGTTCGTCATGGGTTCACCGCCCTGACATTTGGAAGTACCCACATGTAGCTAGAAGTCTTGAAGTACGGAGTATGACCACGCCTGTAATATTTATAAACTAACGATATAATCTAATTCATTTAAAAATGAGCAGCTGGTTCCGAGGCGGGTGAATCTGGTTTATCCTTTACATTATTCAAAAGTTTGAAGTGACTTGACTTACAAATCGATAAAATTAGAATTCGTATTTGATGGTTGGTGTAATGGTTGATAGTGAACTAACTAGTTTAACAAAGGGTACCTGAGCGCTTAGTCATTCGTATCGCTATCTCGATAAGCTCAAGGCGGTGACTTATCACGGTACGTGTTCATAAAACTCGCTTTACCATCACCATCAGTCTAGAAATTGATCTGATTTCTTGAGATGAGTGAAGGATAGAAATTAAAGTGGATTCTACACCTTGGATTCTACACCTTGGACCCTAGACAGTAGCGTATATCAACAGTGAAATAATGCATAAAAAACAAATTCCGTTGTCTCTATGGAGTAAAAGAACTGCCTAATTCAAAATGACGTTTGCGGAAATGCTCCAAGGTTGTTTAGGAATGACTGGATCAGACCCTCTATTTACATAAATCTTACCTCTTTCAAAACCAAAACATTTCTAGTGAAAATTCTAAATTCCAGAATCAAAGTTATCAAACTGTCAGAACTGTCAGTCCATCTTCAACCAGGCCCGTGAGTCTTGGCGTGGAGAATCTGTGTAATAGAAATTCGCTGCCCCTAACTAAATCTCCTCATCAACAACCCCTTCAAAATGCAGATTCCATTACTTCGGCTACAATGTGGTATGTTGAACTCGGAGAGCTTGGGTATTTGCAGATGCTAATATCTCTGCCTACAGGCGTTAACAGCTACGACTGGGGTAAGTTGGCATCAATAGAACTGAATACCCCGCACTAAATGGCGTTATAGGCAAGCTTGGCCAGCAATCCGCAGCAGCTCGCTATGCCGCTACAACGGCTGCACCAGACTTTGCGGTTGAGTCTGAGACTCCATATGCAGAGGTAAATCACAGAATATGGTCATATGGCAACGAGCTACCAGTTAACTCGTTCTCCAGCTATGGATGGGTACCCACCCCTCCTTGCCCTCGAAGGATGTCGAGACCCAACGATCCCTCCTTGATCTAGTTCAAGATAACCAGGCATTGCTGTCTACGGATGTTAGTGAGCGCTATGATGGCCGTCTCCCGTTCCTTTTCAAGGTGCTTTCCATCGGCAAGGCGCTCAGCATCCAGGCCCACCCAAACAAGAAGCTGGCAGAGCAACTTCACGCTCGGGATCCAACCAACTATCCTGGTATGTCACAGGTACTTGAAAATAATTCTTAAAGTATGTGCTAATCATAGACTTGTTGCAGACGACAATCATAAGCCTGAAATGACCATCGCCCTTACTCCATTCGAAGGGCTATGCGGTTTTCGTCCACTGGCCGAGATCGTTCACTTCCTCCAAACAATTGAGCCCCTTCGCAAGCTGGTTGGACTTCAAGCAGCTAGTGAATTTGAACAGATTGTCCAGGGCAACGAAAATTCAGACGATGAGCCTGTCGTAGATCGGAATAAGGCTGCGCTCCGTTCGGTGTTCACATCACTAATGGAGTCTACCCCCGAGAACATTGAGTCTGCCTCCAAGGACCTGGTCAGATTGGCAGAAAGCTCGCCTGCAAGCTTCGGCACTCTGCCAGGAGAGCCCGAGGCTGATGCAGTCGACCCAACCGAGCTGGCTTCAATCATCAAACGTCTCAATGACCAGTTCCCCAATGATATCGGCCTGTTTGTGTTCTTCTTCCTCAACTTCATCAAACTTGAGCCTGGAGAGGCTATGTTCTTGAAAGCTGATGACATCCACGCCTATGTATCTGGCGACGTCATTGAGTGCATGGCCTCGTCCGACAATGTTGTGCGCGCTGGCTTTACCCCCAAGTTTAAGGATGTAGAAACCCTCACCACGATGTTGACATACTCGTACGCGCCCATAGAGGAACAGAAGCTTCAGCCCGTGGATTACCCATACACTATTCTCAACGCGACTGCATACTCGAGCGCCTCAACTTCCCTCTTGTACGACCCTCCAATTGAAGAGTTCAGCGTTGTTAAGACCGACTTGAATCGGACCGGCGCCAAGGCGACTTTCGACCCGATCGTTGGCCCAAGTATCCTGATCTGCACTCAGGGCAGTGGCAAGATTACTGTCGGCCACAAGACTGAGGAGGTGAAGGAAGGTCATGTGTTCTTTGTTGGTGCTGATGCCGAGTGTGTGATTGAGAGCACTGGCAGTCACGAGGAAGCCTTCACCACTTACAAGGCATTCTGCGACTTGACTGGTAAGGAGGACATGGTCAATGGCCACTAGGCTACAATTCTAATATGAAACTTTATTTTAATAGATCGTACGAGCCGTGCGAATCTGTGAGATGTTTAATACTGCCTAAGTAGGTAGTTTGATTATGGTGTTTTTAATGTCTTTAGTTTCAGGATAAGGCCCGAACACAAACTCGCTAAGAGTTTGGCCAATTACGAACCTGAACTGGTACTCAGTACTTCAGTAGATTTGTAGTGCATGGGGATCTCCACTACGATTGGCCCCACAAATCGATCTTCATCGATCGGGGAGAGATTGCCAAATGTGGGGAAATTAGATGCTTTGTTTCCTTCGGCTTGTCACTTCTACGCTCTTTCTGTCACGCTCAATTCACATCACATCTCCTCCGGCCACCTTCTCTGTGACCAGTTTTGAGTGATTATCATGGCTACCAAGAAGATCGATCCACAGCTAGGGTTTTGGGAGATTGCAGACCTCCAGCTTGCAAAGCTGTCTATTTTGGGCGTCACTCTTTATGCGAGTCTGACGGGTATCTTCCGGAGTGACAAGTTTCCCAAGAAATTCAAGCATCATGTTATGGGAGCATCCATCCGCGCAATGATCGAACGGCTGTCGAATCGTCAGATGCAGTGAGCTTTTCAGCATCTTCATCTCTTCATCCCTAGATTGGAAAGCTGACCAAACTAGATACTATTTCCCCTCCACCCAAGAGCTTTACGCATCCTGCACAAAGAAGAGAGGTCTCAAACCAGAGGTGATATCCCTACCTCACGACGCAGAAGGGTTCTGGCTCGGAAACAAGAATGCAAAGAAAATAGTGATCTACTATCATGGTATGAAAGCCTATTCTAGTCCCTCGTGGCTCGGAAAGCTAATCTGAAACTTTAAATTAGGTGGTGGATTCGCGATGAGTGCTATACCCTCGCATCTAGACTTCTGGCTTGACTTTCTTCAGGCCGCCAAGGATGATGGCCACGATGTCGCTGTCTTTTTCTTACACTACTCATTAACTCCGTCAAGCAAGTATCCGACACAACTACGTCAGGCAGTCGAGGCATTACGCTATATTGTCACTGACACAGATTGCTCGCCAAGAAATGTGGTTGTTGGCGGTGACTCGGCTGGTGGTAATCTTGCTATAGCAGTTCTACTCCACCTCTCGCACCCGAACCCAAAAATTGACCCGCTCCCACTATCGACACCGCTGGCAGGGGTTTTCTGCCATGCACCTTGGATTGACTTCAAATATGATTGGCCATCTATGAAAGAGAATGCATACAGGGATATCATAACGGCAGTTGGATTGGAGAAATGGTCGGGGTCTTACCTGAATGGGAAGCCCGGGGATAGTTGGAGCGAGCCGAGCTCTGCGCCGGTGCAATGGTGGGCTGGTGCAAAGACTGAACAGATCTTGCTGCTGGCTGGTGGACACGAGATCTTGCTTTCGTCAATTGATGACTTTGCGAAGAAGATCAAGGTATGTTGAATTTCCATAAAAAAAAATTGGTTCTTTTGGTACTAACACGTGTTAGTCTGTTTTTCCCAATACAACTTATATCGTTGGCCCTGATGAGTCTCATGATGCGCATCTTTTCTTGGAAGCTAACGCAAAGGATGGCACGCATACTTCTAGGGAAGTTCGGAAATGGGTTCTCTCTCGCTTGTGATGTTTCACAGCAGAGCCTTGGGTTGGCGTGACTTCTTCTTTTTTATTGCCTTAATTGCACTGAAGTTTTCTATTTCATATCTGTGGCTGTCAACTTGTCTTTTCAATCTATCAGCATAGGTGCTGGCTGAATTTCTGTCTTCGAACTGGAGAAAGAAATTAACACATGTTATTCCCCCGGAAAAATTGAGTCGAACTGACCCAGCGAAATAGAAACTATCAAAAATCAAGATTACTAAAATAGCAGCTAGCTACATGGATAGTCAGTAATTTCAGAAAGTAGAATCATGTCCGTTACTCGGGAATATTGACCCCCTTCTCAGCTGGAAACCCCCAATATCCGATCTGGGACTAAATAGGCTTAGTGTAAAGTTAGTACCTGAAGCTTACCTGCTTTATCTTTCTGCCACATTTGATCATGGCGGTGAATAGGTTCTCATTTGACCTACGCTAAACCTGGATAGGTTATATTGCGAGGTGATCTGCATGTTAGGGGGGTTAATCCTGAGCTCACTTTGGACACTCTTTAGAAGGTTCCCATCCCAACACAATCATGAGCTCTACAGTGTCAGATTCGCTTTTATCTCTCTTTGCAGAGGACCGTGTGCACACCACTTACACGCCCTACGAAAATGTCCCTGAAAGTGAAAATGTGGTCAAGGCTGATATCCCTGATGAAATTGAAACTGCGGCTACAGCTGAAGTCCCTCAAATCATCAACATGCCTCCATTCCCGCTCTTGCCAAGCTATCCAGATCCAGACAAAGCTCTTGAAGATATGAATGCTTTTGCTTTGCCATTTGGATTTAAATTCAGCAAGGGTCGCTCGCGTGCTTCAAATGGTGTACCGAAGAATGTTGATGTAATGTGTCGTCGTGGTCGACAGGCCCGATCATCAGTCCCCAAGATTGACTGTCCATTTCGGGCAGTTATTCGAAATAGGAAACAGGGTAACGAAGGTTGGGTTGTCGATGTCAAGAATCTTACTCACAATCATCCACCAAAGTTTGAAACCTCCAATTTATTCGCCAATCAATCATTTTCTCAGACTGCACAACCTACTCAACAATCTGCTCAGACTGCTGAAGCTGGTCCAGTTGCTCCAGAGCCTGCTCAGCAACCTGCTTCCGAGAATACCCAAGCTGGTCTAGTTGCTCCAGAGCCTGCTCAGCAACCTGCTCCCGAGACTACCCAAGCAGATGTGCATGCAACTCCTTCTGCTGAAAGTGACCATGACCATATTGATATTCCCCCATTCCCTTTTCTGCCAACCTATCCAAATGCAGATAAAGCCCTTCATGATATGAATATATTTGCTCAGCCTCATGGCTACGCATATGTTAAAGGCCGCTCCCGGAATCAGAACAACATACCCAAAAACATCGATGTTATCTGCGATAGAGGCCGTCGGCCTTCTTCTAAACGCCTATACCAGACCCAGGATGATGCAACAGATGCACTCGACGCTTCATCCACCCCAATTCGAAAAAGAAAGTCGCGCATGATTGACTGCCCTTTTCTGGTCATTCTTAGATACAGACGAAGAGACAACAATTGGGTTGTTGATTCTAAAATAACAACCCATAACCACCCCCCGACTGAGGCATCTCGTCACACCCGCCACCGTCAAGCAGAGATCCAACAACATCTCCCCTGGATCCGACAGCTTCTTCTGCAGGACATTCCCTACAATGTCATAATCAATGCGATACAGGGTATCGCTCAAGAAGACGGTAAAGTAAGTTGTCTTGTACCGCGAGATTTATGGGACCTCAAACGTACTATACAACTTGAGCCAAGTCCCGCTGCAGCGACACCGGCCTCAGCCCGTGCAGCAGTGCTTCGAGAAGCAGAAACCAGCGCTGCTTTAGCCCGGGAATCCGAAGCTCGCACCGCAGCTCTTCGTGCAGAATCAGATCGTGAAAAATTAACTCGCACAGCTGAATTCAATGCTGCTGTGGCAAAGGCCGCAGAAGAAGCTACTGCTATCGCACTTCGTTCTGCTGCTGCTAGAATTTCAGCCGTTAGAAGAGCGGCTGCCATGGCTGCTTCATCTAGCGTCGTAACTTCTAGGATAGCATCAACCCCCACGGCTGATGTTGATGGAGACCATGCGCTGGCAATTCTTACAGAGGCGCGTCAAGGAGCAATGAGTCGAGGAGTTTCTGCAGTACCCGCTACACCTGTTGTCGACGCAGCTGCACGTCGAGAAGTGGATGGCCGAGCAAGAACTATTCCTCCCAGTCCAAAAACATCTACAGTACTCTATCCTGGGATCCCGGCGACAATGACAAGTTGCGAGAAGTGGTAGAGCACACCTCGTCTCGTCAACTGGTTCAAAATAGGTTCAAATTCTGTACCTATTTGATCTAATCAAAAAATATTCATCAATTGTGATTTGCTCTAGAGTTCTCTACAATGAAGTGTTGGAGATAATGTATAAAAAAACATGTTTTCGACAATAACACTAAACAGACGTCATGTCAACTCATAACAAAGAATCCCAGCTCCAAATTAAAGGCTTCGCCGAACATTGTAAAATTTCAATAAATCCCATCAGCTGTTTCATCCTATTACGATGACACCTTCGGTGAGTACTTGGCCGCGGCGGTATCAAAGAAAGCGCCCTTCTCCTCAATATCGGCGAGGAGGGCGTGGGAGGGATCGATCTGCTGTAGTTGGCTACATTATAAGTCAGCACTTGGTCCTGTTTTATGCTTATTGTTCGAATGAACATACGACTCAAGCTCTTCGCTTGGCTTTCCGGCCAATACGTTGAGCACAATGCTGTTGGCGATCAGCTCGGTATCTGTAGGGTATCTCTCCAGGGCAGTGTTCAAGGCGGCTTCAGCTTCCGGTAGACGGCCGAGATGAAGCTCTGCGACAGCTTGACCGACGATGGACAGTGGGGTGGAGGTGCTAGGGGCGGAGGCAAGTTCCTCGTAGACGTAAAATGCGGACTGGTACTTTTCACCGCCCTGCAAAAATGAAAGTAGAGATTAGGGAATGTAATATGAGAGCAGTGCTTTCTTTAGAGAACTTACAACTCGCAAGCCTACCCATGACTCGGCCAGGTTGACCAGCAGTGAGTCCTGGGCCCAGCGCTTTGCGGACTGGACCTCCTTCACGGCAAGATCTGCGCGGTTCTGCTGGAGATGGATCTGAACAATCAGGGCGACTCTGCGTAAGCGAATGTTAGACCCTTGAATGGTATTTATATGCGACAGTGGTCACTCACGCCTCGAGGCTACCCTGGTGCTTGGAAAGCAGTGCCAGCGCTTCCTCGCTATTACCATGAGCCTGCAGTACTATAGCACCCAGGACCTGAACATTTACATTCTCTGGGTAGTTCTCGGCGAGGTCTTGAGTCAGCTGGAGGGCGGCGTCGGTGTTGCCCGCAGCCTGCTGCGCCAGCGCTTGAATAGAAGCCAGGTCGGGGTCGTTCTCGGAATTAGAGAGGGAGGAAAGAACCTCATTGGTCTGGCCCAGAGCAATTTGGGAGCGCAGCTTAAGCAGGCGAGCAGGTGTCTGATTCTCGGTGGAAAAAGCGGCGGTTTCGAAGTCAATCACGTCTTGGTATTGCCCTGAGTGGAAGGCATTGTGCATGTTGAGGAGCTCTAGGACGTATGTTAGTTGGCCGGGTGTGGATTCTTAAAGATCAGGGTCAATCTTACCGCCCTCTGATGAAAATGGATCCATGTTGTGGTAATGGGGGGTAGAGTTGGGGTTGCGGAGGATGCGGTGTTGATGGCTCCTGGCCGCAACTGTTCATGTTGGCTTTAAAGGCGGAATAGGGAAAGTTGACCGAGGGCAAGTGGGCCGACCGCTCTAGGTCATCATAACTATATCGACTACCATGAAAGGTTTTCTTGGAAATTACGTACATACCCAGGTAGTTAATATTAAGAGTTTGGTTACCCAGCTGATCTATAATTGGTTTTGACAGATTAGATCATTTGCATCCATTGACTTGATGGTTTCACATTCGAAAAGAACAATCAATTGCAATGAAATTCATAGACATCTAAGTATAAATTGATTGAATCTCCTGATTAAATAGTGTATAGCTAAATAACATATGACTGATTGGATTATACATATCCTGGGCTGATAATTTTTTGTTAGCTAGAGCTTCAACTCAGGACACGATTATTCCCCTTTTTCTTCTTCATCAAAATGAAATCACAATAATGCATTTTCACATTGTTTTGACTCTGCCACGTGCTACCGACTTAATCTATGGCAAAAGAAAACAAAAAGCAATCTAAAATGAATGAATTACTTTATATAAACAATTTCCCTAAACCAGACCATAAGGAGCTCAGATCTCGTTGGTTCGCTTCCAAACACTGTTGAGCTCGCCATGTGAATCTTAGACATGCCTGAATGGCTTCCAATACTAGATTTGAGGGTTTATAACAACCATGCATCATGTGCGCGTGTGGTTTCCTGGATCTGAAACCATCTAGAGATGAGCCGGCAGCACACATGCGGGCAGTGTACAGTGAAGTAAAAACAAACTTATATAACAGATACCTAGGTACAAGGGATGGGCAGTTAATAAAGAAGATTGAAATGAGAGTGAGTATTGGTGGATCAAGGTAAGAAGTCTTGGAGAGTAGGTGAGATAAGAGTGAGAACATGACCAATAACAGTACCTAGGTATTGAAGAATTGGACATGGATCTAGGCTTTGTAATGCAAGGACAGAACAGACATCTGTTTACTAGAAGAACTACGCTACTTGACTTTTGATTGCACGGACATATTTCAGGGTACCTAAGTATATTCACTAATCCGCCCACAGTCTTGATGTTTCTGCTAGTTGGTGGTACGTGGGAGTCAAAACATAAATTATCACCTTTAGATGATGTGTCTAACAATGAAATCAACTGCAGACAGACTTGAAACAGACTGGTCCAAAGTTCAAATGGTGAGGACGGACACTTGAGGAGCTAGGCTCATACCCGTCGATCGTGAACGCCCCCTCCCCCCCATTTTTTCTTGATATCATTTTTCATTGATTCCTCCATGATACCCATTTTTCCTGATGGCGTGGTACGTCCACAATGGACTGGCATCACACAGTCTGCTTGAAGTTGAAGGATCAAGTCTTGAGGGCTTCCAGTGCTTCGAACTCCTCATCAAACGAGTTGAATTCCATATTGCGGGTTCCAAAAAGATAATTCTGAATAAATTCAGATAGCAGCACACCTATTAGAGCTTAGGTGTGGTGAGTGAAGCGGGCGAAAAGGAAATTGACCGACCATATTTTGCTTCGCAGCTGTTCAAATGTTAATTTGCAGTGATTAGCTGCTTGTCGGAATTTGTCGGTGATCAAAATACCGATATTGAGTTCCTCTTCCGAAAGGAAAGTGGAAGACACAGTGATGTTTGAGTGAGTATATATCACACTGTCTTGAAAGGTCGGGAACTCAACGACTTTCGGAGTCTGGGGATATGTTTGATGCAGGTGATATTGCATCTTTGCAGCTGGCTGATGTGACAGCTGCAGCCTCTTCAGATTATCCTGACTGTAGTATCTTGGTGGAAGCTGATTGCCATAGTCGCAAGAATCTTCATATTCCTCTTCTTCAGAATACTCGGATACGGAGCGGTGATGCTCCGGGACAAATCCATTGTACAGCTCGCACTCAAACTCGTACTCGACAGTCGCAATGTCGTCGTATGGAACGGGCAACATTGTTCCTTCATATCTGATGATGACGAAGTTGATGTCGGCCCATTTTCTGACAAGCTCCGGGTCACTACGGATACCAGGGAGCCAGGCCACATTCCTCTCACTCAATTTGCGATGGATGATGGGGGTGAGCGAGGTATTATGGCATTCATATGTCCGTGGATCATAAAACGCCCTATTTTGGACGGTAATAGCATTAAGCCAGTTGGACTCTGAGTTGGATGCATAGTAGTTGGTGGGAAGGTATCGAGACATTTCAACAGTCTTAATATTCACTGGTTTGGTAGTTGCTGACTGACGTTCTTCAACGGTTGGTAATTCTTCAGCGGTAGTTTCTTCCGTAGGCTAAGTGACGGTATCAAAAATAAGATCTCTCTTGAGATTTTGTTGTCTACAGTGTAAAAGAACGGGGCTTAAAAGCTATACTTGATTTGGCTTCACTGCTTGATTGAAAGAAAGAAAAGGTTGGGGGAGTAGTGATGGGGAGTTTATAGCAGAGTTCAAATTTCCTGCTAGGCCTCGTTGGTATTTACTAGGCCTCGTTGATAGCTACTAGGCCTTGTCTGTAGTTACCAGGCCTAGTTGAAAGTTCAGGCCATCCATTTTGGGTGGATGTACGACAAATATTCACGTCAGAAATTGAAGTGCAGATGCAGAGCATGTAGGAAGTTTCGTTGGGAAATCTGGGCAGATATAAGCAGGTAAAAGAAACTTTTGAACAAAATATAGGTATCGTAGCTTGCAAGTATAGTTTTGAGACTATCCATTCAATCCTCTATACTATATACATGTAAGACGTAAATATGAGGTCATTTAAAATATTACAAGTTCGAGGCGCTGAGAGTAAAATGAGATGGAAGTGAGAGCGGACTGTTCTACTTTATTCTATGTTGGAGTGGAATCTATAAATTTAAGCTTAAAGGACGCGGGTTGAACCAAACTTGGAGTCGATAAAATGGCCTCGTATATTTTGATAGTTGATATTTTTACTTGGTTTTACGAAGTGTGAACCTTGGAAGGCAATGTTAGGTCAACTAATCACCTGGGTCTGGTAACTTTATAGTTCTTCCAACAGCAAAAATTATCGAGACATGTACCACACATAAATTGTAAGCATTGCAAGATTCTTTCTATCGCCAGGAACCTTGAAACCTTTTAAGGTCGGAACAATTGTGGAGCTCTGAACCTGACGTTCTACCAAGAAACCCATTATGATTAAATATGACAACAATTCATATCTAATTCTGAGAAAGCGCCTGGGCATTGATACATATCCTTCCAAAAGCTATAAACTAGCAATGTGACCATTAATTAAGTAATTGAGTTAAGAAGCCCCCGAAGTTGGATCCGAACAGTGCTTGTGCAATTGATTACGGCATCTCATGCATTGGTGGATTGCGCCCAATGCCTGAATATCCTGACTGATACACATATTCAGAACCTTCCAACTGAGCTACGGGGCTCGATAAACCTGACTCAGAGCCTGCAAGTTGTGATGGTGTAGAATCTGATAAAGCAGTCGTAGCCCCGGGCTGTTTATAACCAACACCTGATCCTGCCAATTCCAATGTATTCCAGCCCGTTGGAGCAGTTGGAACAGGACTTTGTGGTTGCCCATGGTTATAAACTTCGGTTGTTGGCTCTTGTGGCGGCAGTGGACTATTTCTGCTGTACCCCATACAAGTAAGAATCTTCTTTCGGAATAGGAGCAGCAGTCCTATGACGATAGCAGCCACGCATCCAATAACGATTCCGGCGATGGCACCTCCAGATATACCTGAATGACCAGTGGATTTGCTTGAGGCTTGTGTTGGTGTCGTTGTTGAGGTCGAAGTCGAGGCCGACGTCGACTGTGTCGATGAAGTTGTTGACACAGCTAAGTTGGTAGCGGGAGACGTAGCGGCGACTGTGGCTTTAGTATGGGAAATTCCCATGTCAGTGATTTGCTCGAAATGACCTAGGTAACCGTATATAATCCGATCTTGACCACGGGAAGCTTACAGGTTGGGCTCACCGTGAGTTCACGGTAGACAGAGTTGGCAGTCAAGTCATCAAAGCATGCAAACCATGTCCAAGGAGCGCTAGTATCACCCTGAGTTTCATAGATCCGTAAAGCACCACATGAAGAATATGAATTTGCAATGCTGTATAATACATGGTTAGCAGAGGAATCTCCCAAGTTTTGTATCATAGGTCTGAATGCACTCTTATCCAGGGCTTAAGCGAAGCACTCCTGGATGGATGATTGGGACATAGACGTACCAGTCCATTGTCGTACTAGGGCTCAAAAGAATATTGTCACTGCAACCCGTTGCCCAGAGATCATTCGCGCCATGGCATTGTCCATATGCAGAACTACTAGTCCATATGGATGAGGTTCCACAGGTAATAGCCTCGGCTGTTTGGTTGTGTTAGTCTTCATGCTATTCATTTGAAGATTATAAACATACTTGGATTCGAAGATCCTCCAATGTACCAACCCAGAAAATCAGATGACGTGACATATGCGTAGGGATTAAAAGTTTGAGTAGTAGTACTCGCCGATGTGGCTAATGTGGTTGTCATTGCGACGGAGAACTCAGAAGAGGCCTACTGAAAGACTAGGAAGAAGGTAACTTTGCAATGGGAGAATCAAAGCGATTAATAAAAAGGGAGAGGTGGAGTATTAGGCGAGGCGTTTTTTCTTTTTGAAACAGCCTGAGGACAAATAGGGTTTATCATTGATAATTTGGATCTTAGTACATGTCTAATTGATAAGCAGCCAAGAGGAGCAATTGTCGAAAATCCCTAAAATATAGGACCTTGGTGGACCCTGATTTGGGTCAGTCCACCAATCAAACTAACAAATTAAACCTAACCCCACTGGTCTAAACCAACTCTGGCTTAGGGAAAGTGAGTTGTAAATATGCCCGACAGATGTCGAAGCAGTGTTGTTTACCGACAATCTACACCAATCAGAAGTCTGTTGAGCGAAGACACGTGAATGCACGTCGTAAATGCATCCCAATCACATCTATATCACATTTGCTGAGTTAATTTTACCCCATCAGCAACCCACTGCGAAAAGACCCCTAAACCGCTCCCTCTTGAAATTTAAGGCACATAAACATTTAAAGGGTCCAGAATGATGTGACCGGCGCCTAATATGCAATCTCAATGAATACGAGGAAAAACAATATCGGGCGCGCTAATAGTGCTCACAAATTGTCAGTTCATCGCTTTTTATACCTTGCTAAGAGCTAAGAGCCATTCTCGAGTAAATATGTAGTTTTGGACTTTATCGGCGTACGGCTCCTACTATTCCGTCCTTCGTATCCGTATTAGTTGACTTCAGGTCTGAGCTCGTCATGACTTACGGAGTACCCAGTATAAAGTTCGTCTATTTATGCCTTCGTGGGCTTAGTGCATGGAGCTATACCTATTATAGTAGTCGCCCAGGTACTCGACATAATTAGCGAACTTCAAATAACATTTTATAAACGAAGGAAATAGTCATTGTTGTAACTCTCAATGTCATGACTCAAAGATAATTAATCAACTTCGTAGGTATCTGTCACGTTCAATTATTCCTAAAGCGGGTCTAAACCTTGGATCCGAGGAAGAAATGTCTCCTTTCCTCATCGAAAACCCCGCCATTACACCCATGCTGACTGAATTCCGTCCCCGCATGATGCACATGTGCCTTCAGTATTCTAGGTACGCAAAATGATTTTATTGGCATAATAAACGGCCGTTCCTGAGCCGCTCCCGAGGTCATCAGGGGTAATGTAATGATACTGGTTCCACTATAGAACGACCGTCTGCAACCCGCAGCGCATTTAACTCCGCGTATCTCACCAACGCACCTATCCAAACCCATAGTTCTTACAACTGCTACACTTCTATCCTAAAATCCCCTTATTCCTCTCTAAGCCACTAAAATCATTCATTCTGATATCTATTGTTCCAGTGAAGTTCCAAGGTCGCAGTAATTAACACCTCCGCTTGAGCCAAGATTTCATCTAGGTATACTCATACTTCACCTCACTTGCCTCCTGGTTAGAAAGAGACCTGCTAGGTTACCTTCTTTGCTATGATTTCTATCTTCTCCATCAGGATGACGGCTCGGGGTACTTTGATATATTTAACTCAAGACCTTGAAATACGACTAACCTCACCGAAAGTTACCTAAAGAGCAAGAAGGAAGGTACTTAGGTATCTAGAGGGCTACTTATTGACTATGACTGTATTTCGAGGGTTTATATCATATATACTTCATTTATTTCTAGCTCGCCATGGGTATAGCTGGGGCCCTCAGATTGGGATGAGTACCGCAGTCTTATCTATCACTAAAGTCAAATATGGAGCTAAAAACACAATCGGAGATGTTCTTACTATATTCGATTGATGCCTCGACCCAGGCCATTTGAAGCATAGTGTTCGAGGCTGTTTTGGAAACAGTTTGTCCCTATCAACGGAGGAGTTGCGGTCCCGCACTTTTTTCGTGCTTGCAAAATAAACGATACGAAGAGATCTTACATAGAATTGTAGCAGAACTTTGGTCCCAAAGTCTACAAGGGACCTCGAAAATATGATGTCCCTGCTTTACAATATTTGGAGACGTGCCTAACCCAGGGCTCATGTTGGAGGCAGTGGCATGGGTTGATGCCCAGGTGGTGAATAGCCTACGTACAGTGTACTTCTCTCCCTTATAGTACGGTTGCGCGATGATATCAGTCAGACTATAATTCATCAGAAGGGTTGTCTTCGGAGTGAATATCAGTCGGGGTTTTCGGGCCTTCGGAAGATAATAGATAACGCGATTCTGTCCAATCTTATTTCATAATTGGAAGGCGTACATGAGAGGTTTTTGAGGCTCTTCAGGCCGAGATACAAAACGAATATATCGCCTGTTATCGTCATTAAAGCCTTATCTCCAAATAATATAAACATGTCAATTAAATATCCTTCCTTCCTTTGATCCCTTTTAATCCCCAGAAAAATCAAGTTGACTTGAACATACACAATAGATTTTACAAGTCAGTTAGCCCTCCCTCTCCAAGGCAAGTTGGCCATAGTAGCTGGATCTTCACACGGTATTGGTGCCAATATAGCGTGGAAACTTGCCCGCCGTGGTGCAAATGTAAGAAATTTAATTTGAAGAAATGGAAATTAGAAGAAAAGCAAAATGAAGTGATTCAGTCATATATTACCTATGTCTCAAACGGCAGACAAGGCCCTGTCGATGAGCTTCAGCCTAAGATCAACCAACTTGCCCACAAACCGACCATATGGGTCTACAAGACCGACCTGTCGACGACCGCAGGCGCCCAAAAAGGTCAATTCGCAGCTCAAGAATTTCATTGGTGACGATCTTCAGATCGATATTTTGGTAAATAATGCTGCTATCGAGGTGGTGAGTGATGGCGCTACTACCGTAACAAAAATATACCTAAATTCAGTGCCCAGGTATGCAATATCACCCAGAAGCCCTGGAATTATACGCTTAACTATTTGACCTCATTAAAGGTATCAAGAATCTCAAGCAGTCTCTTCTTCTCCTGCTCTCCACCGAATATAATATCCACTGACTTCCGACACAAATTCAGCAGCCCAGTCCGATCAAGACCAAAATGCTCAGCAGCAAGAAGATATTCGTTCGAAACAGGGCTACAGAAGAAACCCACATCATCAGTCTATAGAAAGAATGTAGAGCAAGTCAGCTCTTGACCGTCAAGTACTTAGTAGAAAGTGGCACCAATCCTATCATGAATAAAGAATAAAACTTACACATAGTGCAATTGGAACATCCTGATGTCTCCAGTACCCGAAATGGTGGTCCCCAAACCCCCCTCAATCATCAACGCATGAACATTGCAAGACATACACAATTCCAGCCCCAGCTTACGTTTTGAGATCTCAGCCTTGAAATCGTCAGGTACATGAATGACGTGTCCGAGCCGGTCAGGTTGGAATGAAAGCAGTGTGGTCAGCTCGCTCGGCGCTCCCGAGGCTGGTGTCTCGGCAAAGTGCAGCGTAAGACCAAGCTTATGGGCCTTTGCACGGGCGAATGCATCTCGGTAGATTGAGACATTACCCTGATTAGGATTTCCGCAGATGTCAATGCCGACAACCCCGCGCACCTTGTTTGCGATAGCTAAGTCTATGATTTGCATCGCTTCCGCGGGGGTTGTGTTTCCTCTGTCTATAGCAAGGATGAGGTAGATGGACATTTTGTCCGTCTTTGCTTTGAAGTTCTCAATTGTATCTAAGACTGTGGAGAGTTATTCTTCTCTTGTTATGTTTGATTCTGGAGATTCGCGTGGGATTGTTCGTAGTTCTAGGTATTGGACCCCGTCAGCTAGAAAATCTTCCAGGATGGAATTTGTGGCATATGCTAGACTCTCAAGGTCATTACACAACTGGTATATAAGCTTTGAAAATACTTGAAAGAAGCTGTTTCGGTACTTTAATATTTGTTGTAAGGTGAGTTGACTGGAGTCCAGACTTACGTTTGGAGCGTGTAGTCGACCTTGCCTACAGGCATGAGTATTAGAGGATCCTCAACTGTTAAGTTCGGGTTTTTGGTCTTTTTGCGCTTCCATATTTCGTGAAGACATTGCCGACTGATACTGCCGCTAAGATGGGCATGCAGCTAGTATTAATTCAGCTTATCTGCCTAGAACGAATGCCAAGGGCAGCTGGCATACCTCAACTTTGGGCAGTGCCTTGGTATAGTCTCTATCAACTGGTGCGGAAAGATCCATCTTGATTCTTGACAGGTTTATAGTTCGTGAGGTTGACGTTGACAGGTTGAAAATTACATGAGGGGTAGAAAGCGATAAGAGATTTGGTTATCAGCAACCTCTTGGGGATATTCTCAATTCTCAATTCTCAACGCCATATTCCATCAGCCACAATGTTTCCCGATGTGACTGCTGGTACTCACATTATTGGCCTGTGTGGTTCTCTATTTCCAGTCCAGTAGAGACGCTTGATCTCAGAGGACAGAGCCGACGGGTGGATGTTTTCTGACTTTTACTTGGTCAATCATCTATTTCGATGACTCGGAAAATCTCAGGTCTGGTTCACGACTCATGATCCAGAATCGCTGGTGGAACATTTTGGAGAATATCTCCATGGTAATGAGTACATTAGTCTCCGTGATGTTCTAAGCAAATCCCAGCAACCAGATCGGGATACAATCCGCATTTGCGAGCCGTCTCTGCTGCTGATCTCTTTTTTGGAGTACTTCAAAAAGACATGCATCAAAGCTGCCGCTGCTAAATAGCCCGTTCTTCTTTGCATATTCGCCCATCGTGAAGAATTCACTTACAGTGTGCACGTAGGTGATGAGGATGATGGGGATACTCGGCAGCTCAAGATCCGTGACCTTCTCCCAATACTTGACGCAAACCATGATCTTCATTTGGCAATGATGATGACCTCATGCTTCTCTGGCGAGTGGGCTGTTATTCCCGACTTAGCGTCCTCGACTGGACGACGTGCAACCGCCGCTGGTCCAATGGTAGGCTCTGAGAGCTGGCCCGAATCACGGTCACTTGGTCGATCGTGTGGAAGTCTTTACATATTTGCCATGTTAAACGCATTACGGAACACCACAGATGTAATTCCATCGGAGGGAGCGATAACATGGACCACGAGGCAGTTCGCCTGCGAAATCTCGAACCAGCTGCTAAATGTTACTGACACCCGATTCGGCCACAGTCACGAGCACCAGTTCTCTGTGCAGGATGACGAGTGGGAGGAAGTTTACCAAAAAGGACAAGCATCCCGTTAGCGCACTATCAAGCACGTCTCATACAGTTAGAAGAAGTCTCTGCACGCCAGATGACGGATATACGGTTGAACCGCTCGCTGACCTTGGAGGCGATACAACGTCAGGAAGCAACTCATACTTTGCTTACTATCGCCAGAGGAAGGTTTGGAGGTAGCATGCGTGCCCTGAAGAGACAAATCCGAGCCTCTGCAATCCAGTACATGAACGGTCGACCTGGTCGTGACAGCCTTGAGGGAAATAATTGGGCGCATGCACGCATCAAGCACTGCGTTGAAGATCCAGATAATACTTTCTTTGACAACTGGGAGGTTATTTGGAATATCCTTAGCTATCGTTAACAGCTAATGCGGGTAACACAGATGCTGGTTTATGAAATGGTGCACTTTATTGCGGCTGATGAGTGGGACTTCGATGAATGGATTTCAACCAAGGCTACATCGCCAGAGCGTCAAGAGCGCATGTCCCAGATACTGCTAATGGCCCGGGATGCAAATTTATTTCTGCCACCACTTACTTGACTTCGCACGACAAGGCCGCCCCCTGGACCAACCCTTCCCAACACTTTACTGCGGTACTTATTGAGAGTGGTCTTACCATGGTAGCCATCAAGCTTCTGATTAAACATGCAGAGAAGAAGGTCAACACTACGGTGAGCGCCAATATTGAATCAGTGAGATCTAGCATGAAAATCAAATTTAGTTACGGAATATGGTCAACAGTTCGAAAGGCCGGCCGGCGACTTTCAGTGGCCAGTACTGTTTCCAATTCTGAATTACGCCCCTGACCCCCAATCAATCGGAAAGTCCCAGAGTCACCCGGCAAACCTCAGCGGCTGAGAGATATTTTCAACCCGGAGATGAGAAGCAGACTGAGCCAGTGTCAGGATAGTGACTTGTCATTGAAAAGTTGTCTATGAGTATCCTTCACTCGTCTTTTTACAAACTATTAGCTTCAATAAATAATATCTCGTATCTTAACTCCTGCGTGGCAACACTTCCAGCCTCTGCTATAGAGATGTTAAGCGGTTTGCGGTCCAAAACCGCAACCGCAACCACAAGTCCTCAAAATTTGCGGTATTTACGGTTTAACATCCCTACTCTGCTATTACACCAGATCAATATTTATGCTTTACGAGATACATTATGATTTACATGTATATCCAAAGAACCACCAGGTGAAATAGGAAACCCCCACCTGGCATAGAAAATACGGTACGTAAAGCTACCTATGTAGCCTCATAAATAGTACGTACACCAAACAACCCACGTCGTGTAATATATGCGTGACAGGTGTGCAACTACAGCGCTTATTAGTCTTCAACCAAGCACTGCATGAATTCCATTAACTGGTGGGTATACCTGACATGTTAGGTATATTCCCCGTGAAACTCCATAAGTTTCTTCTTAGCCTTGGAAGTCGTCTTTCTATTTAGACATACAAGGTTACATGGTACATTGGTCCATGGATGTGGTAGGTCAGTAACTGGGTTGGTCAAAGCACTTGAGGCCTGAAGGACGTTTCATACGTCTATCTTTCTGCAAAGGTCAAACAATGAATATTACTCTAGCTCCGAAGGTAGATAACTAGGTTCTACAGCCGCCGCAGTTACTTCTTCTTACCTATTGTACGCGGCCAGCCCTTACAGTGTATATTGCAAACGGGAACCCAGGATCATAGAACGAAATTTCGGTAGATAATTCCAGAAAATACTTATCTTGAGGGAACGTTTAGTAGTTATTATAGGGATCGGAACTCCAGTGCTCGAAGTGTTTAGCCAAGCGCGAAGACTTCCAGTACTGAGGAACTGGAAATGAACGTTTTTCACTCAAAGTACCTGGGTAAATTCCCAGCGCATTCCATGGCTATGACCTCCTCCCCAGGCATCAGCTTTAATTCTAGTTCTTTGATAGATTTTTAATTAGTGGTAAAAGCCGGATAAATCCGAGTCCAATTTAGCTGCTTGTATCAAGTTTCGCATAAATTGGAATAGTGAAAAGTGGAGCGATGGAGCGAGTCAGGAGAGTCGTGGAGAATTTCAGCTCTTTTCATTACGACTTGTGTTCTACTCTACAGTAATCCAATGTCCTTTTCTTCCCACCTGGGTAGTTCTACTATATAAAAAATAAGGTTCCTTTCGTTTCAATTCTATTGTTTTTGCTAATAGTCTTTCTTGTTGTCGACTTGCACTGGTGGATGTAAATCAGGTTTCAAGTGGAGCTTATGCCGAAAACCCGGTCCGAATATGCGAGAGCTACTAGGTTAGATGCATGCAAGTGTAATGCCAAGTGGTGGATTAAAATCTAACGGGCCCTAAGAATGGAAATCTGTGGTACGTCGTCGTACCATGACGCCTGTATGTATGGATGTCTGCTACTAACAATAAGCCGGGAAAAACATGTGATTGCAGCATTTGACCCTAATACACATTCAAAGAATACTAGAGCTCAGTAGATTCAGATTTAGTGCCAAGATCGCGAAAAAGCAATGGCAGGCGGAGGCTGGCTCTGATTCCGGTGTTTCAAGATTTCATTTAAATAGAGAATACAGAAAGAAACGGCTGGGTGAGAGAGACCAAGGGACCAGCCCTGAATGGCTCTAGAGAGTAGTTATTAATTTGCTGGGTTGGCCGGCATGGCGATTCAGAGTCGACTCAGCCACGATGTTCACCGATTTTTTGTCCGGAGTGATCGGGGATGGTTCCTGCAAGGAAGATCGATGCAATGCTGAGTCTTCGAATGGGTTTCTGGAAGCGACGTCACGGAAAAATCGGTTTTTAAGTTGCTATGTTCGTACTTTGTAGGAGTATTTGGTGACTTCAAATCCGTTTTCCACTTTTTAGCCCCAGATCGCAGATCGTGGTTCCACTTTAATGTCCACGATGAGTAGGTATTTTTGATATAGCATCTTTCGATACCAATGTCACATGTAAAGTAGATTTTCTATCGCTACATCGGGCACTGGAAAGCTTTTAGAAGTGGTCATAACTTCAAAGACAAGAGATGTCAAGCATATGGCAAGTTTTGGCCAGAGCAATCTTTCAGGCCAACTGAGAAGCTTTTTTTCTTCTCTAAGTCGACTGTACTTTGTATTGGAGGCTGAGCAAGGGTCGGCTCAAAGCTCGAGCCATAAGGCGTCCCAAACGTCAAATTAAACAGGGGGTACGGGTACAGAATACTAATTACTCCACCTTTCTTGGAAGACGGGATGACGGCTGGCATTTAGGATCTGGAGACGTCGGCCCGGGTATCTCCGTCTCTCTACGGAGTAGAGCGGAATTTGACCGACAGGGTACCTAGTAATTAGAATCATGCAATGCAAGTCTGAAAAGGATATTGAAGGTTTACGTGGACGTTGTTGGGTTGCTAGGTTGCGAGGCGATGTAATCATATGGTGTGCGAGGCCTCGTACATTGTATTTCAAAATTGGAATGTATCTCCGCGCGTCCAAGACGGAGTAACCTTAGAAAGAGAAAGAGGCGACATAGCCTCATAACTCACTTGCAGCTGTTCCAGCTCTGTGGAAACATTCTGACAGACTCTGCAAGGCTGAACGGATTTCTTGACGCAAGTAGCAGGATACAGCGCTGATACGGAATGCCTCATGCACGATGTATAGAGTTGTTTGAGAATGTCAGCCAAAACATCAGGTCGGTCACACTTATTCAATACGTCATTCTAAAGTCAACCATAGAGTTAGGACTTGACTGTTACACACCATCGCGCAAACCACTTGCGTTACACCAAAGGCGAGGGAAAGAGGGGGGGGGGAGTGGTAGGAAAGTTGAAAAGTTGAAAGCGATGTAGTAAAGTTGCGATTCGGGCCGGGAGATCCAGTCACGCCACGCTGAGAAGGGATGGAAAGAGTGGAAAATCTGATCATCGAAGTAGACTGCATTTCTTCGAAGGCCCGAGGATGACAGAAAGAACCTCCTGCAGGAGAGGGGCTAACTTGTTAAGTGAGTGGGGTTGTGGAGAACGGGGGGATTTATTAAGCATCGAAGATGCATTGAAGGATCCGAACCGAGCAAAGCCGAGGGGGCAGCTGCAGGATGAGACTGGGATATGACAGGTGAAGATCGTGATGGAATAGAAGTATAGAGACAGCCCAAACATGTCAGTGAGAAACAAGGTTGGTTTCGATGTTTCGATATGACTTGTATAGTTCAATTCGGGGAAATGAAGACCTAGAGAAGAGACCTGCCAAAAAAAAAAAAAAAAAAAATAGCAATGGGATACAAGGATTATCGAATCATAACAGTGACGAGGAAATGAGGCGCAACGGTTCCATCCCGTTGGATCTGCCAGATCCAGGTTTTGAGGTAGTTGATTGTACATAGTAGATCTTTGACAAGAACAGACAAAATCGATGATTTGATTTCTCCTGAAATCGAAATTGAACAGAGGGTGAAAATGCGAGTATAGCAACTAATTACCTACCCCTGAAATTCAACGGTGTGTTACTTAAGATCTTCCTTGGCTTTGAGGTTGTATTGAATTGACTTTAATTATACCATGTTGATACCGTACCAGTACTGAATTCTTGAAAGTACTGTATTGTAATCATGAGCGTCTTCATGATGTCATGGAAGATTTACTTTATAACTTGATTGCAAGTATTCTCCGACATGTCTTCGAGTGAACCCCTAAGAATACTTTAAGTATACCTATGACTTAGTTCTTTGACCTGAAGCTTGAACTATAGACCTCGGTTATCAATAAGGGGGATTTGATCTTCAATTTTTATTTTTTATTTTCACCGGCTCCGGCCGATAGGGCTAAAAGCGGGGAGTTATGATCGTTGACAAGGAACGGATGCGAGATTTACATTACATGCACATCATTGCAGCTGATCTTCTATATACTACGATAGAAATTGATACAGAATATTGATTCCATCAGTCTTCCCAAAATTACAGGGTATTAAAATTATACATGTTGCGCGTCGATAGTGTGACCAAGTTTACCTAGGTAGGATGAATACGTAGACTCAATGACATAAGTATAAAAAATACAGTACACAGTAAGCGCAACGTTAAAATGGATCCTTTGGAAGAACCCAAGAACCTTGGAAGGAGTTCTACTAGACTAAGACATCTGACTTATTATACCCTTTTTGTTCCTATTTAAAGATTATACGAGCATGTCAGTGCCAATTACTCCATACACAGTACTAATCCGGATTATTCATCCAAAAAATAAAATAGGAGTCGGTCACGAGGATTATGATATACGGATTAGGAAACCCCATAGAAATAAGGAACCCCTCTTTTTTTCATTCCTTTTCATTTTACATGACCCATGATGCACACTTGGACCCGCTTACTGGTTGGCGTGATTAGCGAGCAGGAATACTGGAAGCGGTCTACAATGCAGATGCTATGACCTCAGCTTAGTGCGAACGAGATCAAAATGACAGCGGATCCCTTACCCATCTGACGAGAGATTGGCTTATACGAAGTGGATAAGAGGGTAGATTGATAACGTGGCGTTGTCTATTACCATTGCACATACTCCATGTCCTAATTTACCTGTACTACACCAACCTTGGAACGACTGCGATCAAAGTCAATATACCGCCACTACCGCGATATCATGGTAGCGCACGGATCGATCGGAAGCCAGCCAAGAGGTAACTAGAAATTTAGACCGTCTTGTCCAAGTAGTTTTCTTAGTTTTTCCCCTGTCAAAGGTACGGACCGATACAGAGTAAGAGTACAGCGGTACGAATTGAGTCATATCAGACTACCCTAACACGTCGATAAGCGCTGTTCAACTTTGACCGCTTTGTATACGGATACTCCGTACTCCATTCCAATGTTGATCGAAATTAAAGGCAGGGAATATCCTAATTCTAAATTCTCAATTCTGTCACTGCGTGTAACCATGAGATGATTGTTACAGTAGGCTATTAGTCTGCATGTCTAGGAGCATGCAGCCTGACATCGGGACTTAGTTAAGTGAGGGGTACTATATCGACTACAATTTCTATTTGATATCAAGATCAATTTCTTCATCCTGAGTTTAGGCACTTTGACAAAGTCCATAAAATCAAGGCAGAGCTCATGAGACATCGCCAACGCATCGTATCCCCGCAGGCTTCTTTGCGTTATCGCCAAAGTTACATTTTCTTCGCTTCCGTTCTCTCGGTAGCAGGCAGAATTGCAGGAACGAGGTTGTAGCTGATAAATATCTGCTCAGAAGAGTTCGGCGCCGAGCGATAAAGCCCTAAAGGAAAAAAAAAAAAAAAAAAAAAAAAAAAAAACACAAGCGCTATGCGGTCTACTACTCCTTACTCCTTGCCTTGCAATATTTTTGTAGACCGCCCCTTTAACTACATAGTTACCCAGTCACTTGGGATGAAAAAAAATCAAAGCCAATCCACTGCACTCCGTATAGTGGGTTCCTTCAAAAGAACGGACTCTCAACAGGCGACGATCACTTACTGGCTGTGGAGATCCACCAGCACAACTCTCTGCAACTGGCAGCTTTGGATTGCATATGAAATGATAAAATTTGAGGTCCACGCGGCTAGTAGTATCTAAGAAATAACAGCCTTATCTTCGGAAAACTTTTGCGTGAGGCGAATGTGTTTCAAGGTTCTATTGGGCCACAGGTCAAATGTAGATTAGAATAACGATGTACATGATCGACTAACTTAGTCTATACTCTGATTTGGTTGATAATACATGCGAGTTATTTCCGAGGAAAAGAAGGCAAAAGAAAAGAAAAGAAAGACATCAAAAATGCAGTAATACGAGTTCTACCTAAGTAGTCCACACACACACTACCTTAGATTGACCATACTGTCGGTGCCTGATAACTTGGAACTTTAGCGGTAAATCCGTAACCATCACGATGACGATGTGGGTCTGTAATGGAAGATGAGACCATCATACTCCCGTACGGAGTAATGTATTGGCATGACTCAAAAATGGTAGATGTGGGGAAATTGGCGTATGAAAATCACCTCCCATTCTGATGAAATCTGAAATCTGACGTGCTACATCTACAGGGCTAATTTCACCATTGATGTCTGTGTTCTCTCGAACTATGTACATCCTAGAGGTACCTAGGTATGCTGATGCTGCTTCACATCTGAAACAATGATCAACTGTAGCATATCATTCCCCAGGAATAAGATCGGCCAATGGCGCCTCTTTTTACCGGGATTCCATCAGAATCCCAGTACATACTATTTTAGTCCAATTTCTGGAAGAATCCTACCTAAACAATTCACAAACTTCAAAGATTCCTGGAAAATGTTGAGTTTTACGGCTTTGGGCGGTTACTCTATGCGCTGTCCCTTTTGATTCACAGTATTTAATTGCAGGATCCCTACTTAAGGGGCGGTATAATTTACATTTCGCCCCGAACTCTTTCCTCAATAACCGAGTGAAGGATTTGGCAATCAATCTATTTGCACTTCATATTGATTGCTCCAAATTTCCAAATTCTCCAAGACCGAATCCACCAGCCTCAAACATCGAAACGATCTAGCCTGTTCTGGGAATTTTCATATGGGTATTTTCTCTACTAAAAGAATAAGCAAAAATACCTAGGTACCAGTAAATTACCACATTACCACCTTCTTGGTACGGTATAAAATACCGGTACCAAATACACCGTAAGTACCAGTACCCACTCCAGCTTCAATCTCCAAGCGGATTGATTTCATTGATTTAATTCTTATCCTTTTTCTCCCCCTTCTTTCCTTCCCAAATCTCACCTTTTACACACAGACAAAGGATAACGCTGGTCTTGTCCTTTCTACCACATCATCTGCTGCAAATTAAAAAATAGCAGTCTTCAACCCTCTCGCATACCGCATACAGAGTCACCACGTAACCGTGCAGCAAAAATCGGTTCAACTCATATCCTTCGGCACTAAATATTCCACCCAAAAAAACCTCCAAATCGAATCAAAATCATTCAAAAAACCCTCTTCATCCCAGTCACCGCTCATCTTACCCGTTTGGACCTCTTGCATCGACTGCGTTGGCAGTGTCGCAATTCCCGAATCCCGACTTGCAAACCGCTCCCTTCTTGCGCCGTAAAAGTTTCCCTGCACAACCCTGGCACGGGTACTCCCATCATCCGCTGCATCGTTAGTTTCGACCTAACGACCAATTGAATGTTCTTCGGCGGACTAGAATTGATTATCTGGGATTGTCATTCTCACTAGGTGGCTGCCGTAGTCTATCTTGGGACACGCAAGGTCTACTATTTGGGGCTCTTACTTGATCGCCAGGCTTGGAACCCGCATGCGCTGACTTGCTTCATTCCCCTCTTTGAATTATTCAAATTACCGAACACACGGCCTTGCGCCCCTCCTTGGCTCTATCCATTGGTTGCCCGCATCCCGATCAATTGGGCTGAATCGCAACTCTCCTCTCGTGCAGCAGCAGCAGATTTCCCCACGGACCGGCATATAAACGTATACGACAAAAAGAGGGGTTCTTACGTATCGTAAGGCTGCTTCTTCCAAAAAAGAAAATACGAAAATACGAAATATAACATAATCCCTGTACGGTCCGGAACCTTGGACTCGGATATCATCTTGCCCCGATTTATCCGCAATCCCCGGAAGCTGTGACGTCTTATCACCTTGTGGTTAGCATCGGAACCTGTGGAGAGAGATTGGCCATCGCATGGGGCCAGTGCCCTTTGCAATTGTTATCGAGAGATTCCCTTTTTGGAAATTTCTTGACTCATTTGAACCGCATTCGCATTCACACTCCCTTTCCTATCGAGTCTCTTCATCTCTCGGCTTGATCTCCGTGAAGCGCTCTCCGGTAGGGCTCTCCGCATTTCATACGAAACCAAACCAAGATGCAGAGTCCAAGAACGGGTCAACTCTGCTGAGGACGTGGCTGAACTCCATTATCACTTTCTTACTGTGTCGAAGCTATTCCACTTTCTCCATCTTGGCTCGGTTTCATTACCAAGCTTGGATCCTTGCAAACTTTGAGCAGCCAGCTGGTTTCCTGCGCTTTTACCATTTTGGATTTTGAAGAGAGTCCAGGTGACTCTAAGGCACGGCTTACGAAGACTACAAAATCCCCGTCAGATCTATAGACAGCTGAGCTGTCTTGATTGCTGATAGCACGCCATGGCCTACCCTACAGCCTCACCTCCGGCCCTCGCTGCCGACTCCCATCACCCCAGCTTAAAACTTTCAACATCTTTCCCTCAATCTTCCTCCCTCCATCATGTCATTACATCTCTACCCCCTAGCCACATGTCCTCATATGCTCCTTCATTTTCCTCCTCGCCCACTTCTACTCCCGCCTCTGCCTTCCCTGTCCCTGGTACCCCGAATGGGTTTACACCGGCTGGCACGCCCTTATATCCCCCCAGTGACGGACCTCGTGGTCAAATTTCTGAATTCTCCCTCCAAAATCCAGCTCCCCTCGAGCTCGGCGAGTCTATGATGGCCATTCCTATCTCCATCCCCATCCACCAAAACAATACCTCAAATGAAAACTCCAAAACTCCCGGTTTGATGCGGAGATTCTCTCGAGGTGCCGCCAACAAGCTCACTCGCAGACGACAGTCCGCCTCCCAGAACGTCAAGCGAGATCGAAGCTGTGGTCCCGTCATCATGCGCCGTCGCAGTGACAGCAAGAATAGTACACAGCCAGTCCGTGAATCTGCGTTAGACTCAAGCAACGAGGACGATGCTAGCGAAGCGCTGGATTCTCTAGGTGTGTGGTGTGGCTCTGAGCCATCTAGTCTTCGTAGTGAAAGCCGCATGTCGTCTGTTCGTGAGGTCGGCGCTGCTCCTACTTGTGTTGCCGTCGCTCCAAAGGTGGACTCGGCTGTGCAGCGAGGAACTGTCTTGACTAAAGTTACGAAAAAGTGCCGGAAGCAAGTTCGCTTCTTTTTAGATTTGGATGCTGGAAAGGTCTTTTGGGATCTGACCAACCCTGCCAAGCGATTTTATATTGACGACATCAAAGAAATCCGCGTTGGTGCTGACGCTCGCAATTACCGCGAAGAGCACCAGATTCCAGAAGATGCCGAAGGGCGGTGGTTCACTATTGTGATTGCCGACTCTGACCGCTCTAAAGGCCGAGCATTCAAGACTCTACATCTGATCGCTCCTAGCGACCGCATCCTTGAGCTTTGGACCACAACTTTGGAGCAAATCTCCCGATACCGGATTGGTCTCATGGCTGGTTTGGCTGGAACTGGACACAGTGAGACAGTGCTTCAAGCTCACTGGCAACGTGAGATGTCTCGGCTGTTCCCACAGGGACTTCGGCCGGGCGAGGAACCAAGTCTTGATTTTGGCGCCATTGAGAGTGTTTGCCACAGCTTGCATATTAACTGCTCCAAGAACATGATCCGAGCTCAATTTACGAAAGCCGATGCCGCACATTGTGGCAAGCTGAATTACTCCCAATTCAAGGATTTCCTTTCACGTCTGAAGGAGCGAAAGGACATAAAAGAAATCTTCAAGAGCCGCTCTGAAGATCACAAGATGGGAATGACTAAGTTTGAATTCCTGGCCTTCCTCCGCGATGTGCAGAGGGAGAATATCGACGCTGACCAGGCTCGCTGGCTTGCGTTGTTTGACAAATTCGCTCGGAGGTCCTCTAGGTCCTCTGTCTCTTCTGAGTCATCAGATGTCGTCCCATCTGTCCCTCGAATCAATCTTGATACCTTTTCCGCCTACTTAGCTTCTCCTAGCAATGGAATATACGCCTCTCACGCCCCACAGTCAAGATTCGATCGCCCATTGAACGAGTACTTCATCTCAAGCTCGCATAACACCTATCTCCTTGGCCGCCAGGTTGCTGGCGCTTCCAGTACTGAAGCTTATATTAGCGCCTTGCAGCAGGGATGTCGCTGTGTGGAAATCGACTGCTGGGATGGTGCTGATGGCCGTCCAATCGTGTCCCATGGGCGGACTCTTACAACGAGTGTTCTCTTTGCTGACTGCATCACTGTTATCAACCGCTATGCGTTCATCTCGTCCGATTTCCCCCTTATTCTCTCTCTTGAAGTGCACTGCAACTCGGAACAACAATTGGCTATGGTAAAAATTATGAAGGACACCTTTAAGGACCAGCTTATCCTTGAGCCCCTTGTGACCAACTTCTCTGTTCTCCCATCGCCCGAGGAACTCAAGGGTCGCATCCTGGTCAAAGTCAAGACCTGTGATGAGTCCGAGAGTGACTCTCGTCCTGCCAACTCCGTGCACACTCACGGCCGCAAGCGCAGCGTCAGCTCTCCCTTTGTGCTGCCGACTGCACCTGAGATTTCTGTGAATCCAACTCTCTCAACGCTCTCTAGAGCGCCTACCATTGGATCTGTCGATGGTATCGGTCCTCTCCTCTCTCAGGATAGACGTTCACTCACAGCCACCAGCATGAGCAGTGCTACCGAGGACAGCGACGGAGGCATGCCTTCTACACAAAACGAGAAGAAACGACGAAAAGGCCAGAAGAGCAAGATCAGCAAGCCTCTGTCTGACTTGGGCGTTTACACTCGTGGCTACAAATGGCGCAGCTTCTCATCTCCCGAGAGCCACAAGTACAACCACGTATATTCCTTCGCGGAGAGAACGTTCGAGAGCATCTGCCAATTACACGAGAACAAGGTCTCTCTGGAGTCTCACAACCGCAAACACCTCACTCGCGTCTACCCTTCCGGTTTTCGCCTCCGCTCTTCCAACTTTGATCCCAATAAATTCTGGCGTCGTGGTGTCCAGATGGCAGCACTGAACTGGCAGACTTATGACATTGGTATGCAGATGAACCAAGCCATGTTCGCAGCTGGAACAGATCGCACCGGATATGTGCTCAAGCCCGAGAGTCTTCGGCTTCCAGTTTCAGAGAATGCAAACAAAAAGCACAAGACGGAACGACGATTGGTTCGATTCTCTGTCGATGTCATCTCGGCACAGCAGCTGCCTCGGCCTCGAACCATTGGGGTCGAGGACAACATCAACCCATACGTTGAGATCGAGATGTTTAGCGCCGACGATCGTGGCCAGAGCTTCGTCTTTGGCGAAGGTGGTTCGGATGCTTCCACTCGCAGCGGAATGTCTGGCATTGGATTTCCCCATCGCCGCCGTACCAAGATCGAGCAGAGCAACGGCTATAGCCCCGTATTTAACGATCGATTCAAGCTGTCTCTTGAGACCAAATACCCGGATCTAGTTTTTGTACGATGGACCATCTACAGCTCCTTGGACGGCCGCAGTGTGGGCAACAATAACAGCGTGCAGTTAGCGACTTTCACTGCAAAGCTTACCAGCTTGTCTCAGGGTTACCGCCACCTCCCCTTGTACGATGGTAGCGGTGACCAGTATCTGTTCTCGACGCTCTTTTGCCGCATTTCTAAAGAAGACCCTATCCCTGTTCAACGCCTCGGCCTAGATGAACTCCGCGCCGAACGTATGGGTCTTCTGCGCCATATTGGCCAAACTGTCTTCAAGCGCTCCTCGTCTGCTGATCGGGAAAAGGAACACGCTCAAGATCGAAGTGAGCCCGTGAGTCCTGACGACCGAGACAGCTCTCCAACTCTCACACCAACTACCTCGATGACATCAACATCCTCCTCTTTCGTCCCTTGAAAGTACTCTACATACCCCCTCCCCTACCATTGTTTGCTTTCATAAAGCCTGACACTCCCATTTTTTTGTATTCAATGACACCCCTTCGTCATATCTCATCTTGCTCACAATCATTGTCGGAAAGTTTTCTTGTTGCCATTGCTCATCTTCTGTCGCGGCGATACCCCCTCCATGTTCAAACTTTTATTTTCACAATATAACCCATGTATTTCAATTGTTTCATTTGTTACGACAAAGATGGACCAGCTCTTTCTTTTCACAAACTCGGCTTTTTCTACGATTGTCCTTTTATTCTCTCGAAACGGAATATGCTTGGTTGTCTTCTTTTCTTTTTTCATCTGTTTGCTTTTGTGTCATCATCTATCCAGGGCATGGAATATCGTTGGATGATTCGGGGTTCATTGGATTAACAATTATCGCATTTTTGTGGGAGTCACATACTTAGGGAAAGACAATTCGTCTGGTTCGGTGCAAATCACTCAAACTCAACTTCATACCTCGCATGAAATGGGGAGAACTTTGGGCACTTCGAACGGGTTCAGCCTCTTTCCTCTTTTTCTTTCTTGTCTTTATATCTCTCTGCATAGCCTATTGCTGCTTCTCTTTTCCTTTTACTATACATTCGCTATTCACTCATCTCATCTTGCTGTCTTTGGAGAATTCACATTTCCAAGCTTCAGGTTTATTCAGTGGGATGGCGACATTGTTGTCTACTGCCATTCTTCACCTTCTTCCTTGTCTTTTTTACTAGATATCGCGCTGGATCGCAGGTTTTTCTTCCTTTTTATCAACCCTATGCATTTTATGGATCTGATCGTCTAGTGGTAGACCAATATCAACTTTTTTCATCTCGATATATTTCAACTCGTAGTCTTTTAACCTTAAAACTAGTTAAATACTTGATTTTATACTAAGTATAGGTCTGCCTAATAGGTAGGTACGAGTGATATTTAATCTCATCTTCTAACCTTGGCTGTCTGCCCGGGTAGATTTAACCTACCCATATAATACTAGAAAATTGAATGTTTTTTGACCAGAAAATACTGTACCTATCGTCTTTCCCAAAAAAAAAAAAAAAAAGCTTCAAACCAGAATATTAAGGCCTTGGACAGACGACCTACTCTTATGGACTCCTATTCCGAGGATTCTCGCCCTAACTTTAAACAAGTCCGACTTCAATTGCTCCATGATGAAGCTCGACTGATCCTCCACGGAATATGAGATTCGCCACAGCACTCGGATGATTCGAAGCTTCCAACTATTCAACGATGCATTTTTTTAAACAGTATGCTAAACTTTGAAGGACACTCACCACTCATGTGTACTTAGCTCACCCCAGGCTGGCTTTACACATCACTCCTTTCCGAATTCATCGGTCATTTTCTTTCACTAAAACCCCGCAATTTGACAATGCATCTGAAAATCGGTGGACTAGTAATATGCCTACATCCATCAAGCAGTCGATTGAGAAATGTGATGCAATTTCGATGGAAGGCTAGAGAAGGACTGAAGAGTCGTTTAAAAGTATTCTTTCTCTCCTAATCAACTCTGGGAAAAGCTAACCTGATCTCAAAATACCTTATGTGCCCCCGTCCAGCCTATTCTTGAGTATATAGGTCCTAACTTTAGTTATATGATTGACTCGGCCTGGACTTGCATCCTCACTCTCATTTACCAGAACCCTTCTTCAAGCAGTACTTCTATTCGAAGAGATTATTTTCTGATGTTGTGATGCGAGCGGGTGTTTATTTGCCTGAAAATCTATCAGCAGCAATGGAGTCACCTACTCCCATTGGGATTCAATTTGTCAAATCACTTCTTTCAGTTGCCACTGAGGCGTGGGCTATATATGTCCTTGTATTAGAGAAGCCTGAAAGTTTCTTCTGATGCAACCAATTTTGCTTTCATGAACACAAGTTCAAGTTACGTTGACTCTAGAGCTTTGAATTCATATTTCATTTACGCTGTTTGCGGGTGCTCCTACCCGTATCGCCTGCTATCTTTACGTGAACTCCAGCCTACCTCTCTACGTCAAAAAAGTATTCGAATTTTCGCGCCATAAGATCCATTTCCTAAACTCTTTCAGGATAAATCTTCTTGTACGACGGGACTTCAATTCTACCTTGGGTAACATTATTGAGAGAGGGGCTACTCAGCCTCAGTAATAGTCATAATAAGGGAAGGAGAAAAAGCATGCCAAAACCAAAATTAAGTCGGAGAAGAAAATTATACCTAGATAAATAGCAGATATATATGTTAGTTAGAAGATTACTGTCGGTACACCGGTGGAATAGCTATTCGACAACGGAGGTGAATGCCTGAGGAGGCATATGTTGACCAAGACCCGGGCGCAGAATCGAATAAGATGGCGGATTACGATGCCTTGGTATCAAACTCGTAGGCCACCCGCTACGTGGCGAAATTCATGATTCAAACAGGTCTCCTCGGGCAGTTCAGGCATATAGACGCTGGATCTGACTCTGAAGCAGATTCAGACGAAGACCCAGGCTAGAGGAGACTACGAAAACTTGCTACGAATAGCGCAGCGTGGTGAAGATGCTGGGTATCAGGAACTACGAAAGCCGGGGCTCACCAAGAAGCCGTGGAAGAATACATCGACAATTCAACGAACAACAAAAGGACGAACGCGGGAGTGAGGAAGGACGTGAGGGGTGGTGAGGGGGGAAACAGAAGAAGTGGTGATCTACATCTATATTATATAGAGGGCGTTATGGTTTAAAAGTGGGATTTAGGATTTCGGTTTACAAGGGCGCAACGTCACATTTCATTTGTATCTATCTTGACATTCTGGCGTTTAGAATACTCCTGTTTCCGCTGGAGGAAACGCCTGAATAGCCATACGCTACTAGTTAGGCTGCATCAGGTTAATAGAGTATTGATTGATTGATTGATGACGGAAGTGAATGAGAGGCTAACGCTCACTTCTAACACCTATTACAGGTACCGCTTTACGCCCCTATAATATCTGGTATCTCTTGAAGTGGTTGTAAAGTCTGAGTTTCATTCTTAGTTTGCTAGCTATTATAAAGTGTCGATTTGATCACATGACTGCTTTGTTCCATATTCCAACAATTACCTAGAATAGTTATAGCTATACATATTACTGTCAGAGTGGTGTCAGGTGTCAGAGTGGTTATAAAGCAGTTCCAGTCATATATATTAGTATCAGCCATAGTATTAGTTCTTGATACTATCAGGACACCGTAAATTTACCTTCACAACTTAGTAAATTATGACACCACAACAAATATGACTCCATATCACTATGAATACTATTACAAATAGATAAATATTTATGACATGGCTATATGATGGTCAGAGATGGTTGCAAAAAGACCATATTTCCCCATATGGTACAGAGAAAATAGATAGATGAAAGAAATGCATAGAATTCCAAGGCTCGGTCTTACTGAGAACAGAATGTAATTCTCTGCAGAGCATCAAAAAATTTCGATATTACCTCATCATAAGCATGAACATGAGCATGCTGCATTAATCATAAACCCGTATCGCATGAAGAAAGGAAAGCCCAACCCGCTTACATAAACCCACATGGTGCTGGTATCTGAACTCGAAACCCTAAACTCTAGACCGAGAGCTTCTTTGCCAAGGAATTAAGACCCTTCTGGTCATTCGACTCATCTTCACCGACCTGCTCTCCATCACTGATATCCTGTCCATAGGCAACAGAGAACTCTCCATCAAGGTCAATATCGACTTCATTCCAGTGGTCACTTGTAGCAGGGATGGGGAAGAAGTGTGTGAGGAGCATGTACATGCCACCAGAGACGATACAGCCTGTAAAGTAGTTGATGTTGTAGATGTATTCCGCGCCAATGGGGACTTTCGTGCCAACCTGGCCTGCAAAGCCTACGACGTTGATCATGATTCCGGAAAGGTAGGAGGCGTATGCGCGCCAAGAGAAGCCATATGTGTAAAAGTATGGGTCTTCCTTGCGGGCACTGTACAGTGCTTTCACATCAAGGTAACCCTTGCGCACGAAGTAATAATCTGCAAGCATGACTCCTGCAATCGCAGAGAGGAACAGAGAATACGCGGAGAGATATGTGGTGAATGTGCTCGATGAAGAGGCCAGATTCCATGGGCAAATCGCAATGGCAATGATTGCACAGAGATAGCTGCCCCGCCTAATGCTCATGTACGCTGGAAGTAAGGCAGTGAGATCGGTGCCAGCGCTTATACTATTGGCCGCAATATTCGCTGGAGGGGTCTGTTAGCATGTCGTGTTGATGGAATTATATATATATATATATATGTACTTACTTCCTAATTGGGCCAAGACGAAGCCGAGAGCAATGATGAAGATACCAAAGCGTTGACCTGAGCTTGCTCCTTCTAGGAACATGCCAAGAAGATCCAGAGGACTCCAGATGGTCTCCTTGTACAACACGGTTGCAGATGAAGAGACGATAATGCCGATGAAGGAAGTAATCCCGAAGCCGACTGGAATTGTGAAGAGCTGAGACCACCAGGCATCCTTAGGAGTCCGAGCAAATCGAGAAAAATCCGGGTTGTTCATGATCAGAGCGGCAAAGTTGCCAATACAGGACATGATTCCCTTGACCATGGCCCATCCGAGGTCGCTTCCATGGACGGTGTTGGGCTGGTGGATTATCGGGCCAATGCCGTGGGCGCGGGAGATCGCCCATGCAAAAAAGGCGATGGCGGCAATTGGCGAATAGATGGCCTTGGCAGTGAACAGATGGCGCACCTTTTGTACAGGGAACCACAGAGCTGGAAGGGAACACAACCAGAAGAGGAAGAAACTGACAAAGTCCTTCGTGGTGACGCCTGCACTGGCGGAAAGTCCATTGGGAAGGTTCTTGTAGCTCGGCCAAATGGCTTCGATCATGACAGTCACACATTCGCCTGAAAAATGGTTAATTTATTTTTGGTACTTTTTTAAAAGTGGTGGATCCTTCCATACCTCCAATGTAACTCTGGACTCCATACCAGATAATGGCCATGACAACACGATTGATGACGGGCCAAAATGAACCCCAGATTCCAAATGAAGCGCGAGATACCACTGGGAAAGAAATGTGATATACAGCACCGATGCGACCAGTCAGACACACAAAGACTGCAGCAATGAAATATCCAACCCAGACACAAATCCAAGCTTGCCACCATGACAGGCCACCAATAATCATAGAGGAAGAGATCATCCACGTATTGATGTTCAATGAGTCGGCAATCCAAAAAGCAATGTAATTGAGCCATTTCCATTCTCGACGCTCGGGGATAACTGGGCGCAAATCATCATTGGTCAACATGAGCTGGGCATTGGTGAGACCTTCTTCTTCATGCACAGCAATTTTGCTGAGGAGCACCTTGAGTTTGGACATCTTGGAGGTCGATGAGGATAGATTCAAAGACCAGATGAGAGGAATGATAGATGAATGATAGATCCTTGATAATGATTGAAGGATGTTGCAGTGGCGGGGATCTAATAATATTAAATAGTTGGTATATCTATAGATAAGAGTACGAAGTCACTGCAACGTGATTGGACGCCATGATAAACTGACGATATCAGCTATCATTAGCATTCAGGGCGCCTATCACTTCCATTTGAGTACTTGACATTAGTTTCCGGGGTTCGCATCAGACAGTAAGAGCTAAAGAAATGGAGCAAAAAGATGGAGACGGATGGAGTGGAGACTAAAAATGGACCCCACTAACCATGCAATATTGATATGATTGGATAAATCGTTGTTATCTAATCAGAAGAAAAGTTTAAAATGCTTGACTCGATGAGATCAAGTAATAGATATACAAGTCACGTGTCGGATCTATCAATGTCGCAGAATAGACCCTTAAAGACTCGTATCTAGTAAAGTGCATACCGCATGGCTTTTCCCACTTTCTACTTTCCTACGCTGATTCGATCAATAAATTATCCGCCTTTTCAGGTTAGAAGCTAAGGAAAATTTATGACTGAGAGACTACGCTGGCTGAACATTTTGACTTTATAAATGTATAAATGCATGGCATTGGAATCGATAAAGGGTTTATTTCTCCAATCATCCCTTCAATCTCCTGACTTCTGTACAAGGATATTCGTACACCATCGGGGAGCCGTGGTCCTGCCTTAACGGCGCAGAGCATCGCGGATAGGCGAGTCGCCGCGGCGGAAAGAAGCTAAGAGAGGGTCAGTAATTTGATAGGCATAACATTTATAAAGCTCCGGAAAGGGCACATCAAAACCCCTGTCGCACGAATGGATTCGGTTACTACTTCCATCAATTCCAGGCTGAAATAATCAAGGCTGGAATCTTAAGGCTGCAGTCGTCAAACTGACGGAAACGCAACACCAAAGCTCAAAGAAGCTGAGAATGCCCAATCCATCACACGACAGGCATGTTTGGGGTTTTCTTTCCCGGTTCAGCTAGATCAGATGTAAACATACCGTCCGCCTCCTCCCAGGCACGTCCAGCACCGAAACCGAGGCCAACCCAGGCGGGCCAAGCTCGTCGCTTGAATAGAAGCACTGAGAAAACAACACCGAAAGACAGGCCGAGGGAAGACTTGATGATCACAGAAGAGATGGCACGGTCCCACTGTATATGCACTCTCAAATTAGTCAATGCTTCATTTTACTTCCGGGAACCAATCCAACTGTTTTCTGGTAGTATCCCATGCCATCAAATCGTCGCATAGAATCGTAGAATTGATGTTCAGGTGTTCGTACCTTCTCGTTGAGCAGAGCTTCACTGACGGGCTTGGTAGCCCGCGCGACCGACCGGGACTCGCTGGAATCAGCCATTGAGATGGATCTGGTGAACAGGCAATTAGATCAGAATCTAATAACTATTTCAGATCAGTTCCACAGCTTACTTATGGTCAAGAGAGGAGAAGTAAAGGATTGATGGTAGAAAGTGCAAGGAAGGCTTTGGGAGTTGCGATTCCTCGGAAGGTTGGGCTTGGAAGGCGGTGGCCGCCGATTTATTGCCGTGATTTTTTCTCTTTCGTTACGTTACTGCTTTTACTTAAGAGTAAACCAAACTTCCCACATTCGACTAAAGGCGTGGTTTCGAAATGCCTTCACTTGCGCGGGTAAGTCAGAATATTCCGATGGACGTCTTTCTGATATCTAACCTATATTTGAATAGCGCCAAGGCGTATCGCAAGAGGCGCTTCTCCGCCTAGAAAAAGGCAGTGAAGCTCCCAGTACCCAGCTACACGAAGCCGCTCAAATTATTGGGCTGGACCTGGCTTTGTGCGAAAGTCACCCCGAGACTCACCGAGTCGCCCAGATTCAGCAAAAATCCACCCCGAAGGAGGAATGGGTGCTTCGTTGGTTGCTGAAGAGACTGAGGACGGGAAAAAACTACCGCGTCAACCCAGCGTCCTTCCTCTTGCTTCGACAGTTGATCGACCTAATATCACCAAAGAATCTTGCTGCTATTCTGAAAGACCAAAAGTTCTTGTCGATTCTGTGTGATACAGCTGCCGACCTGGTGGAAAATGGACTATCAATCTCGAGCTTCGAATCCGACTCCGGTCACGCTTTTTCCGTTTCTCCGCACCAGGACGAACACCAGGGAACCTTTGGAACGAAGCGGAAGCGTGCGAGTGCCGAAGCCAATGTGGATGCCATGGATCTCGATCAAGCACCCCCACCGAACCCCGCATCATGTTTTCTCACCTTTGTCCGTGTGTTGGACTGTGTCTATGGGGTTGTGGCACTGGATCGACTCACACTGGGCACGGATGAAGTTGCCAAATCTCATCTCAAGCTGGCCCTGCGCGGCGAGCCGGAAGTGATTTCTCAATTGCTAGGCAGTACCTTCCAGTTGGCTGCTGTAGCTGTCACCCAATTCTCGCAGGCAATAAAAACAACTGATCTGCAGCATTTAATGTACGTTTTCCCGGCGATTCTTGAGCTGTGGGAGGCGAGGTCATACCGACAAGACGATACCGATAATAAAGCAAGCAATGATTGCTTTTCCAAGTCGTGCTTTGCCCATGCACTACGACTACAGCTGTGTGTGCGAGCTATCAACCTGGATACCGATGAGAGGGCAGACCTTCTCCATGCAGTTGAGCGAATCATTACCCTTCATGTGATCCTTCCCGCGCGTGCGACCTTTTTGGAAAGTGGTGGTTCTGGCATCGACTATTCCAAAGACGAGCCAAACTGGAACGCGGTGCAGCCGGTAACTGACTGGTTCCGGCCAATCATCCGCGAGAAATCTAGCATCCTGACATCTGAGGAACCGAAACATCAGTCCTTCAAATCCTCTTGGCGATCGATCGAGCTGCTCCCGGAACTTTTTGACACGGCCGTACGCGCTGTGCCACGAGATGAATTCCGACGGCAAATTCGTGAAGCACCGTGGCTAGAGACATTGTTTGTCGCCGTGGCGGAGCTGGCGTATTCTACTGCAGAAGAAGATGACCCGCTAAACTATTCCTCCCACTTTGTCACTGTGTTGGAAAAACTCCTCCGTGTAGCTCTAAACCGAAATGTCGGACTTTCTCTCCACACTATCCTCGCTCATGCCCGTTATACTGGCCTGTTGAAGAAGGGGTTACAAGATGTTGAGTGGACTGTGACGGCTCTTGTCATCAGTCTTGGTGTTGACGTTTTCCTGCCTAACTCCGGACTGCGTGATACCCGTAAACTGTTGGATGCGCTGCTTGAGAAAATAATGCTTCAATGGAAGACATTCCACTCACAAAATAATAAAACTTACAGCATCGTGAAGAACGACGTAGTCCTACCGCTCTTGCGGGGCTTTGCAGCTGCCCGCGATATGGCCACTTTCGTGGAAGTCTGGCATGGTCAGCTCATCGCTCTAGAAGAAGAGCGCCTGAAAAATCCCAGTCACCCATTCTTCTCAGTGTGGGAAGACGATGATCTTTGTGAAACATACTGTGAAGTGCTGCGAACATCGTTCAATGCGCCCAATTTTGCCAAACAAATTCAAAATGCTGCTACTGAGACGAGGGATAATGGAAAGATTGCTGTGACGCCACAGTCATATGCCAATTTTGTCATTATTGAGGCTAGTTTCCGAGGTAGAGCACTTGTTTTTGCAGAGTCAGAAACTACGTTGACGACTATACTTGAGACTATAACCACCACACTCTCTTCGAAACAAACATTTCACTGGCGTTGGCGTGTATGGCGTTTCCTACAAAATCTTCGCCAGAACCAGCTGCACACAGGCGATACTGTTCTAATCCAAAAGATTGGATCTTTCATCGATGCCGCTGCAAAGAATATCCATCGCAACCATAAGAAATTGACGGAATCCTCTGTCGCTCCTCTAGAGTCCTGGGAGGCCTATCAGTTCGCACTGGTCCTTGTCAATGGGAAACCCAGCGACGAGCAGGTAGAAACATTTGGCAAAATTTCTAAGGATGTGACTAAGCTTATAGTTTCCGCCTCCCCAGACATCGCTCTTCAATCAATGAAGGCGCCTTGGAACGGCCGAATCGACACCTTGGATTCTCCAGCAATTCTTGCTCTTGCATACATTCTGATACTTTTCAGATCCCCCAAGGCCTGGCCGCGCGTTACCCCCGAATCTCGTTCTGATCTTCTGCAACAACTCCTTTCTCTTGCCACTGTTCAGTACCGTTCATCACCGACAGCTTTAGAGGCAGTGTCGGATGACGCTCAATTCCTTGAAGCTTGGGCGAGCGTTGTGTGCCATGATTACTTACTTAAGGTGCCCCTTCTTGTGTCTGAAATTTCTCTCATTCTTAAAAACAGAATTGAAGACGACTCTTCCAATCGTCGTCTCTATGTCGAAAGCCTAAATAGAATCCCAGCGACCTTGATCACCCGCGGTCTGAGAACCTCCATTCTTGACACGTTACAAAATGTTCTGGTCGAGCAAGATAGCGATGCTGAGCTGACTGTTGGGGTCCTGACGATGATGGCTAAATTGGCATCCATGCCAAAGAGTGATGCTACTGTGACGAGTAGTTGGGAGCCAATCTGGACCGCGGCTCGCTCAATTTCTCTCCAAGGTACAGACATGGATCTTCAAATCATGAAGGCATTCCGGACTCTTCATTGCTCTGTCATTGCCAAATTATTGCTTTCAAAGGATGACCGGGATGAATCGTTTAAGAAACTTTTCGCGAGACTCTCCAGGCAAGCCTCCAAGTTGCGACAAATTGATCGCGACTCCATGGCCTGCTTCTTGCTACGCTTGTCAATGATGGAGTTATGGGCACACCGCAAGGAATTGGCCAAGGCATTTTCGGAAGAAGAATTGGCCACTTGCCGCGAGCGCGTATTTGGTCTCGTCTTGGCAGATATCAAATCCGTCAAGGAGCAGTGCAAAAAGCATAAGCCGGAAGAGACCATCACCCTCATCAAGACAATCGATGCACTGGAAGACTTTGAGGACCTCGCTACAAACAATATCGAAGTGGTCAAGTTCTTGGGCAAAATCGAAAGTTACATGGAGATGTCGGTTGATTCAGCACCGTCTCGATTAATCCGTCGTCGTCTCGTGGCATCTAAACCAGAAAAAAGCAGCACAAAGCCCGTATTGAAATATCTCGAGACTCTCACCCTTCCTTCTCTCTACGCCGAGGACCAGCAGCTCTTCATCCAAGCCACCACTGAACTTTTCAAAGACATGTCCGCTGACAAGCTCGTCCGAACAATTCGTGATCTCCGAGAACTTGGTCTGACAGGGAATGACGCCGCGCAGCGTACTCTTGTGATCTACCTAGCTATCACTGCCCTATCCCCAGTCGAGGACAAAGAGAGTCCAGCCACGCGCGAGCTGTCCCTAGTCTGTACAGAATTGGCTGAAGCCATCGTCCGCAGCACCCGTATCGACGAATTCTCATTTGCAACCGAATGTCTGTATCACCTACTGCGGGTTCACTCCCGCAGCCTCGCGCAATGCAACATCGACACCATCCTCGCAGCTACCGCCCTCGCGGCCTCCAAAGCAGGCCCACAATTGTCGCCCGAATACGCTCCGACTATCTTCACGCGACTATGCAGACTTGCGGGCCTTGTCTTTGGTCTGCAGCGCGTCAAGATCGGCGGCCGCCACCACCTTGTCGTAACCGTTATGAAACGTCTACTTAACTGTCTGTTTGTCCCATCGCGCAAGCGCTCCCGTGCTGCTCGTGCCACAGCCTCGCTCTCTTCTCCCTTTTGGATTGGTCCGCTCGATGCATCGCACACATCTTCGTACACCCGTCTCCTCACAACTCTCAGTGACCCGACTGTGTCTGCCGTGATCCGTTCTCAGAGCAACCAATCTCGCGGTGCCCTGATCGACGAAACGAAGAGGGCCAAGCGAATCGCGGGTCAGTACCTGCAGAACATCATCATGCACTATGCGCAGAATTCTCTACGCGCATCATTGTCTCCTGAAGTCAAAGCTGCTCTCATGCCCGGTTTGTACGCTGCAATGGATGTCATGACTAGGGAGTCCTTGCGCGCGCTCAATGCTGCGCTCGATATCTCCGGCCGTGCAGTGTTCAAGTCGTTGTATGATGACTATGTGCGATTTGGAAAATGGAATAAAGCATAGGGAGGATAAATTTTCATTGCTGGAGTATCTGTAGTCATTGGAACCAATTACCTGTATTATTTTATTTGAGGCTTAATGATATCCCTGAATGTATTTACGATATTTCTGCATCAACACCGAGTATTCTTTTGTAATGTATTAATTGACATTGTAATAGTGATATAATTTACAAATATGAATAGCAACAGAAAGATGGAAGATGGAAGATGGAAGAAAGATATAGATAAAATCGTACAAAATCGGCCAACATAATAGATGGAAACAGGCATATCTATGTGGGGTATCATTCGTTGTTAATCGTAAGTCGTGCTAGAGGGGTAACAAATATGGTTAGCAAGACATCAATCAAATCACCAATGTCTCGAGAGTACGTGGACTTAAGCAGGGCACTGAATGTTCTCCAACTCTGAAATGTGAGATTGTTGAGAGCTGGGAGGGGACACCTGGCTCTGTTCCTGGCTCTGGTGTTGGTTGTGAGGAGAGTCTTGATGACCAGGAGCTGGAACAGCATGGTCGGGGATCTGCGAAGCGAGTGGTACGCCATTGTGGCCGCTGTGAGTGAGACAGCCAACACAACTACAATCGTTTTCACACTGACAACTACCTGTGACATCGGAGCAGGTGGAAGGGATTCCGACTGGGTATTCCAAAGTGTAGTATTCCGACGGATGCATCAACTGCTGGTTCAGCGAGTGATTGGATGCTGGGAGAGGTGACGGATAGCCACTCGGCATCGTCGGGGTTGGGTCTGAGTACTGGTCGAAGGATGATTGGTGATGCATACCCACACGATCCATTGAGGGCGCATGCTGCATGAAATAGTTCAGAGTCGAGGTAGTATTTCCAAAGGGCGATGGCTGGTAGGTTTTTGCCATTGCATCTGAAATGTGCTCCTCGCCATTAAAGGCCATCATTACCCCCATTTCTTGGACGCGCTGGCGGGTTGTGTTGTTGAATGGGTGAGCTGCGCATCCTAGACATTGGCATTCATCTCCACACTTGCAGTCGTGGCAGGGGTCGCTACTATTGGTGGCTGTGTGGGTTGGAATCTGGGCGTGCGTTGCAAATGGGGGTATGACATTGTGCGAGATAGCCGCAATGCCCAGACCATTGACAGCGCTAGAGTACTGCGCAGATGTCATGTTAGGTTGGTAGTTGTTGATGTAAAGGGACTGGCCTTGATGGCTTTGAGAGTCCTGTATTCCAAAAGACTGCATGAACTGTCCTTGTGAGGCGGTCATGGAACTTTGCCACAAAGTCTGTGGAGACGAGTAATCCACGTAAGACATCTCGTCCCATGAAGCAGCAGCGGAATGGTTCATTTTTGGTTGCTCTGGCTGCGAGAGAGCGTGAGATGTTGAAGAATCTGTCGGTTTTCCGCTGCAGCAGGATCCTACACCGAGTGAGACTGGAGGTGAAGTTTCAGTCTTCTGGGAACAACAACTTGATCCATTTACCTGTGGATTTGTCCTGGCGACTTCATGGGAGAGAGATGTGGCCGCAGCTGTGGCCGTGTGAACAACACCATTTTGAGCCGGTTGATGAAGAGCAGGGCTTGCCATAAAGTTAGGGATTCCATCTTCCAGTTTCACGTTATCCGACATGGCTTCTAGTGCCTTTGCAATGTTCTCTGGGGTTGCTTGGATATGGCTCTGTCGTCTTGCTCCTGGCTTTTGGACTTTGCCCGAAGTTGGTGACGATACCTTGGGCATGGAAGGAAGTGACTGTTCTGAATCATTGTCGGCAACAGGTACTTTGTAGAGCGGACGACATAAACAGGTCGAGCCTATAGAATAAGAGTCAGCGCCATCTTGCGCAACACGATGAGTATAGCAAACCTTTTGGAATCCGCACCATGAAAGCATATGTCTTTTGACAGCTGCAGGTTCCCTTGGGGTGGGGACACTTGGCTAACGGTCGCCCCGCTTTGGGTACCTTCATCATCAGACGGTCGAAATGTTGGCATTTTGAAGAGCGATGACCACGAATGCAGGGTTCACTAGGGTCAAAAGAGGACTTGTTAGCACAGTGTTGACACAGAAAGAAGATCAGCCATCGTACCAGGACCACTTAGCGCCTTCTTCATCGAGAGGCATTTTGGCAAGTGTGTTGGGGTATGGAAAGAGTTGAAATGAGTGAAATGAGTGACGAGGTCAGAGCTAGTCGAGAGTGTCGTAACACCAACGTAAGGTTGAAGCGGCAATGATTTCCAAGAATGCTATCCCGAAATAAAGAATCAATCTCTAAGTTATCGAACTGGCGGTAGGCCGATTAGGCCATAAGCGAATATTCAATACTCAAAATGTATCTCCAGTCGGGTGGGGTCAAGCGGAAGTGAATGTCTCTGAAGGAAGATCTGTTTTAAGAAATTTCTGAGCGGGACAGGCCGGTTGGGTCAGGGTCATCGGTGACGATGAGTTGGCGTTGTATTTTAACGACCGGGGACCGAATTTAACGCAATTGGAGGTGCTCTGAATACCAATGCGACATGGATAGAGATGATAGAAAGATGTACAGAGTAGAGAGATCAGGCGCCAAATTAGAGCATTGCGGGGATAAGGCGGTCTTTGCCTTAGTTACCAGGTGTCTTCGCCTAGAAGGGACTAGCTTGGTTCTATTGCCTTTGATAACTTGCTTGTCATCCTGCCGTATCTTCTTGCATACAACATAAACAATGCCGCCCAAGGCCAGTGAAGGGCCACAGCCAGAGAGTAACTCCTGGTCATTATTTACTGTGCCTCCCGGAATCAAAGCCATTTTCGACAAGTTCCCCTTGACTACATACCCTGCCAATGACCTTCCCCAACGATGTCCGTCCCAGCGCAATGAGAACCAGCTGTATGTCTTTACTGATGCTGCGGGTGCGCGTCGCGGTCGACCTTCATTCAATCCACAATGTCTTAAGTGGCAGGTCCGTTCACGATATACTCCGAAGCATCTTTGCCGATACTGATTCGATCTTAGGCCTACCTGAAATTTGCTGGGATTGACTTCGTGACCACATCATCTAATAACCATGCCTCTCCAACTGGCGCTTTGCCATTCCTCCTTCAAGCTCTCCCCGCGGGTACTTCTGGTCCAGTTCCTTCGCACAAGCTCCAAAAATGGGCCATAGAACAGGTCCACTGCGAGGAGGAACAACAATTGAACTTGCGCTTTGAAGTCTACGCCTCTCTCTTGGATCACCGAATACGGAAGGCCTGGGTAGGTCATTTATTTATTAGCGATTGACCGAGGAAACATACTAATTCGAGAAATAAGCTGTATATGCTGTATCTAGATAATGAGAATTTCGAGGCCGTGGCGCGTCGCCTCTACGTGATTCCAGCAACAAGGAACACCCTCGTCCGGACCACATTGGCAATGCAGCTTCAACAAGCCGCATGCGATGAATTGCTCAAAACATCACAGTACGTCGACGTGGCCGGCTTAGAGGCGGATGCAGGGAATGCATTCGAGGCGTTATCCGCATTGCTCGGGGAGGACGAACATTTCTTTGGCCGGCCCAATCCTGGCCTCTTCGACGCCAGTGTTTTCGCCTACACACATCTCATCTTAGATGAAGAAATGGGATGGAAGCAGAATCGACTTGCACAGCTGCTCCGCCAACACTCCAACCTTGTACAACACCGTGAAAGACTACTAGGATTCTTTTAGACATTTATATTTAGCGACAGGATTCAACGAACAACATAATTCCCATTCATTCTGCTACCACCGCTATTCACTTGTGCAACACCTTGTCGGTCGAATGTTGACTTACCCGCGGTTTCATACATTTGAATGCATATGCACAGGCTCTTATGTTTGAGTTGGCATTATCAGCATTTCGGTTCAACGACCAAAAAAGCTAATCGCGTGTCTAATAGTATCAAGACGCTGTAGAAAAGTCCTATGTGTATCATAGACCCATCAATGCAATTGTTTACCGCCAGTTTTGCCTAGATCTGCGAATGCAGATGCAGTTCCTATGTAGCTCATAAACGAGATTTCTAAGGTTATCTTGCTCTTTGCAACAAATAACACCCCCCGAGGATTAAATCGCACAATGGAAAGTGTCCAGGGGTTTGTACTAGGTGACTACCTAGCTATCTCTCCTACAAGGTCTAATACCTTCCTATTCATTGTTAAAATACAGTGTTATGGTTTATCGCATCTACTTGGTTATCTATTAGTGTGTTGGGAATCCAAAGTTTTTGATAAAGTCATTCATATTATACGTAACTCGTGGTACTTGAAGCAAGCACAGTAACAAAGAAAAGTCGTACACAATCATATCAGTCGTAAGAAACATAAGAAAAAAACAATCCAAAAAATGGTCCACAAGGCCCAGGATCAAGATTCAGATCTGGCCATAAGTATAAATCTTGACCACAATAATCGCTTGCTGGAATACAACGCTCATGAAAAATTGAGGCCAAAACCAGGGGGGTACAAAAAGTCACATCATAGTATCGCAATCTCTGTCATGTTGCGGGTTCAAATTACCATGAAGCGCTTTAATATACCGTCGCGCCGAACGGAGCCGTTTCCTTGAGATCCTCGACGAGGTCCTCAACATTATTCAGATAGCGACCCAAGAGAGCTTGCTTCTCGTCTGTTGTCCGTGTATCGCGAAGTACCTTGCTAGTTGGCCCAGACGCATTCGTATGCGAGCTCTGTGGCCGCGAAGGCATTTTACTCGGGATGCGTTGCAACGCTGTTGGACTGGCAATGGCACTGGAATTTGCGCCGATGCCTGTATTTGGGCTCAATATGGGAGTTTCGGGCATAAGGTAGAAGTATAAGAACTCGACGAGTTTGAGTTTGACCTCTCGAGATGTAGCACGCTGCTTGAACAGCGATGTCACGGTGAGTAGGCCATCCAGGTCTTCAAATGTGCGCGTATTGACAGGGCAGTCAATTAGGGCCGTGACGAGTGTGAGGAGAGTAGCGGATTGGATTGCCGGGCAATTTATCGGATCTAGAAGGTCGAGAAGGAGGTTCATGTAGATTTCACGTGCGAAGAGAGTTCGCGACGGCGGGTGGAGGAGCAATGCGCCTTGAATAAGGTCTAGAGTACAGACGATCAAGATATCATTCGTGCCGCTGGTTCCACGACCGAGAAGTCGCTCGAGGCAAGAAACTAATCGCATAGCAACTGATAAATTTGACCATTGTTAGCCAAATTTGTAAGAAAAGGTGGGCTCATGAAAAGTAAAAACGGCAGTAACATGAAAATCAAAGTATACATACCATTCCATTGAAAGCCTTCTTGCAATTTGAAAAATTCACGAAAGGCCGGATCATCGCGCAATTCTGACAGTCCCTTGGGCACCGGCTGCTCCTCCGTAGCCAAGTAAGACTTTCGTCTGTCAGGCTTCAGTTTGGACTTGGATAAGCAGATTTGGGCTAACAAGCCCTCAACCTGGCGCAAACCCTTTCTGATCTTACCTGTCTCATAAGAAGAGAGGTAATCGAATGAATGCGCCAACAGAGTCTCCATGATATGAATGTGAAGGTCAAAAAAAAGGAAGAAAGAGGGCTTTAAAAACAAAACAAGTTCAGCCCCATTCTATGGAGTCAGCAATTAGATGGTCCGTGTCAGATGAAGTCAGGTTAAATTGCTAAAACTGTAAATAAGGGGCCGTTGCCCCGGACGACCCCACTATATACAGCAAGAATCAGCTTCAAGATCGTCATTATGTTATATTTACTTACCCTTTCATTCCTAAACAGGTTTCTTGCATAGGCCCATACCTTGTTTTCAAACTGTACGTACAATCTATTGTCAATGCTAGGAAATAGTATGGTGGATACAACTTCTACAGCTAGAGTAGGAGTAGCTTTAATTTAGATCCCTTTCATCATACCCTTGCAGGTCGACTTTAACATTATTCACTGCTACTGATAATTGTACGTCCCCCACATTGTTGTCCATAGGTCCCATTCTAGATGGTCTTAACTTATCTCTGGCGATGGTTCGATCAATTGATCCATGGGTCAAAGCCGGAACCAAAACAACTAATCAGTAGTTATTTGATTGTGGAAATCGTGCAACGGTTTACCTAATCCGAATCCGGTGATTAGTCATTAGAGCCTCATGCTTCAGTCATGACTAACTTACAGCGTAGATCTTCACATCGAAAAAAGCAAACGTCCAAATCACCACGGGCATATGCAAGTGCGTTGGACCTGGCACGGAATGTGGTATTTGACTCTTAGTATTCACGGTCGCACATCGGGCGCATAGTGAATCACTTTCTGTCCTCCGATAAGAGCTACAGCTTCATAACCCCCCCACCTCTCCCCCCTCCATCACCTGTTCTGCGATAGAATTCAACGTCAAAATGGAGCGGAATCCTCTTTTTCAACCTCCAGGCCCTGTTCCTCCTCGTACTAGCTCTGCAAATGCTACCAGCACTACGAGTGCGTCGCCACGACACAAATCCTCTGAGAGCGACCCCGCCAGGGGAAAACACCGGCGCAACAAGTCCAGCGTGGATGGCACAAAGTACAAGGACGGAACCTGGTCCCCGAAGAATGAAGAGATTCTAATGGGCCCCTACGATTACCTTCAGGAGCACCCAGGCAAAGATGTGCGGCAACAATTAATCCAAGCGTTCAATTCCTGGCTTTGTGTTCCACAAGACAGCTTGGCAATAATTACCAAGATCGTGACGATGCTGCATACTGCTTCTTTACTGTTAGTAACTCTTGCGCTGCATACATCATATGCTATAGAGAAACATACACGAAGAAGGAAAATATACTGACCTACTCAATTCCAGGATCGATGATGTCGAAGATAATTCCGTTCTCCGTCGAGGTATCCCAGTCGCCCACAACATATTCGGCACAGCACAGACAATCAACTCTGCCAACTACGTTTACTTCCTCGCACTTCAAGAAGTCCAGAAGCTCCACAATTCCGCCGCGATCGACATATTCGTCAAGGAGCTCCTAAACCTCCACCGCGGCCAAGGCATGGACCTCTACTGGCGCGACACCCTTACCTGCCCGACCGAAGATGAATACCTCGAGATGGTGGGCAACAAGACGGGTGGACTATTCCGACTAGCAGTGAAGCTCATGCAGGCGGAGAGCGCAACAGGCAAAGACTGCGTCAGCCTGGTGAATGTCATGGGGTTGATCTTCCAGATCTGCGACGACTACCTGAATCTTTCCAACACCACCTACACACACAACAAGGGTCTTTGTGAGGACCTGACAGAGGGCAAATTCTCATTTCCTATTATCCACAGTATCCGCGCGAAACCTGGGAGTCATCAGCTCATTAGCATCCTAAAGCAGAAGACTACCGATGATGAGGTGAAGCGTTATGCTGTTCAGTATATGCAGAGTACTGGCAGTTTCGACTATTGCCGTACCATTGTGCGCGAGCTGCAGATTCGTGCGGAGTCACTGATAGATAGTATTGATGCTACGCCTCGCGTTAACGGCGCAGGAGACGGAACACTTGTTCGTCTTGTCCTTAATCGGATTGTGGATAGTACCTTGGGGGAGGAGGCTAAGACCACTCATTAAAAGCCTCGATATATGTATAGAAGTTGAGTTTTGATATACCCTAGCTCTTTCCTTCATTTATTTCTTCTTTGTTAACTAAATTGAGTGGCCAATTACAACCTTGGAATGCAACGACGGATTAATCTGACCTGATAGATTAGACAACTTAGCGTAGAGAATTCTATCCTTTGCACGGTTCTAGTACAGGGCTCTCATGCCTGTCCGTGTAGGGTATTAAGTATAGATATAGGTATATAATGATCCCGTCGCCAAGAGCATGCCCACAAAGCATACAATTTCGCCCATTCACTGGGGGCAATTTGACAGCCCTCCTATCCAGGAACTAAATCATAATTACAGATATAGACACTTGATCACGCATATATGTACCTAGATAATTTTCAAACACCAAAGATTTGAGCAAAATGACAGTAAATAGCAAATTTACATGACAACACAGCAAGCCTTTTCGAGTTTGCGCATGACCCTGGGCAGAACAGCATTGATGACCTGCTCGAGTTCGTCCTGCTGCTGTGGTTGTTGTTGTTGCTGCTGCTGATGCTGCTGCTGCTGAGGTTGCTGATGCTGGGGTTGCTGCTGGTAGCCGGGGTACTGCCCTTGCTGCTGGTGGCCAGAGTTCTGGTGCGAGGGTTGTTGATGCGAAGAATGAGGCGGCATAACAGCCTCTCCACCAGTAAGGTTGACATATATACGGCCAGCATTGTCCTCGGTGGCGTATTGCAGTCCCAGTTCCTGGCAGACTTGCTCAACACGAGGCTTGATTTTCTGGATGTGGTTGACAGAGTGATTGCCCTTTCCGACAATCCTGTTGAATCCGGTCAGTTTCAGTTTCAGTTTCAGTTTCGATGAAGTTATTTCCAGCACCAATGCAAAAGTTCCAGGTGAGTTGAGGTTGAAGTTGAGATTGCGAAAACATACACATGTAGGTGATTTTGGCCATGCGCCTTGGCGTATTTCACGCGTTCTTCGAATATCTCCTCTGCCTCCTCGACGAATTGACCGTGTAGATCAATTGTATCGGCTTCTACACGTCCATTGGCATTGTTCTCCCGGAAGATGAACTCCGAAGCCTGCTTGTTGTATTCCTCCATTTTGCGACCATGCGCCTTGCCCTCTTCCGAGAGCTGTTTCGCACGTCCACCATCACCGCTCGAGTATGCTTCTTTCGACTGTAGACAAAGCGGGTATCAGTATTAATCTGTTATTGATGGTGAAGCCATTGCAATCGTATGAATTCCATACCTGCTCGAAACATGATCCTCGCTTTGAGGCTTCCTGCCGCGCCAGATCACGAAGCCGATCGTATTCCTGCTCGGCGTCTTGACTCTGGTCATGGTTGAAGGCTGGGATTATCAGCAACAGACACCACTCTTTTTTTCCGTAATACTTACCCCTCGGACCTAGGTGGGACATCTGGTGCGACATATTGTTGATTCGGGATCGGGAGGGAAAAGGGGCTTAAGTGGGGAAAAGAAGGAACAGACCCGAACAAAATGCAGATGCGATCTTCGATCCAATGATTCCTTCTTTGATCCAGGGTTCCATGTTGGATATTTTTCATACTCCTCCTTTTAAGGGTCTGTTTTATGATACTTCATCTAGTTGTTGTTGAGCTAACTTAGTTCTTCTCTACTTACTCTTTAATTTGTTTGAGATTCTAGCTAAAGTCAAATATCATGCTTAACTTTAAAGTAACGTAGGGTTAGACTGTATACTGCCTACCAAAGGAACATCCAACTTTGTGTACTCCATACTAAGTACGAGAACACCCGTCTCAGATTTTCGTCTGATACCAGGGCCACGGCCCTGGTATTGCCACAGCATGGAGTACAGTCTTTACGCTATTGCAACAGTGGACCCCCATGCAGCCTTGTAATCCACAGTGTAAGCGCCATTCAATCTAGACAGACTTAACTAGTCTGTAGTTCTGGGTAACTTCAGTCCACTTCGACACGTGTACCTAGGTAAGATAAGAGAATCTTATCAATTGGAGAAGTCAATGCGCTGCCGTACTGTCTGCATTGTTGATCATACTCTGTGTATACCAATCTTAGTCTGCAGGTACAGTGCTTTGTGTGGATATAAACAGCCGAGAAAATGTACCTGCATGCTTAAGTTTCTATACTCATTCAGGATACTTCCAAGGTTCCAAAGTTCCAAAGTTCAAAGGTTGTCTACTTGAACCTTGGAAGTTTGCTGTTGTGAAATATTTGCCAGTAACGCCAGGTTGTTGTATGACATCGGTGAGCCCGGTTGAGTATTCTCAGAAGTGATCAGGTGGGAAGTATTTATATGACATCTACAATCCAGATCAAACACTCTCAGATACCTCCAGGGCTGTTGTGGCTTAGTTATACTACCGGCGTAAAGCCATGTTTCAGATAGTTCACTATGGATACATAGCCTAAGAATAGGGGCCATGTGGCATGTGGACTCTGGCTCCGGCTCCGGACCTCGGTCGAAAAGTACCACCACGAAATGATAAGTAGGAAGTACGGAGTAGGTTTTGATGGATCTTTCGAGTTGAAAGTGGGGAAGGATTTTCAGGAATCCGAACTCCTTTCCAGAATATACAAAGTAATCGCTGTTTAGGTCCGAACATTCCTTTCTGAAGCCTGTTAGGTTACCTTGGAAGACTCAAAATCACGATAAACCCCATAAAACCGAGCGCGGCAAAAGAACGGCTAAAAAGCACTAGTCGGTGGGGCAAGAAGAGCTAGTAAAAGGCCAAAGCAGAAATTCCAGAAATTCTATCCGGTCAGGGGTTCCATGAATGGAATTGTCTCGTGCAGTGGCGCCAGATCTGATTTTTCCTTTCTTTTTTTATTCTTTTTTTTATTTTTCTCTTTGCTTTTTTTGGTATGGATCTTAGTCTGAGGGGGCTTTGACCAGAGCTGTCAATCCTAGTAGTCTGCGGATATAAGATCCTTAGGTAAGTCTTGAGTCTTGGTAGCTACATAGTACGAAAGCGTCTTAATTTGTATTGTTCGGCTGTAATGCTCAGACTCTATTAAGAGGGGAGAAAAGTATAAGTATGATAGAGTAATCCAAACCGCCGTCTATCACAGGGATCAAGCTTGTAGTATTTCACTGACAGACCTGGAAGTTGAAACGTTCGGGGCTCTGTCTGAATCATATGACAGTGAGATTAGTCTTGGTTGTTACAAGGCTGCAGTTGCAGTCTGAGGTGCAGATTTCAGATTTCAGACTTCAACTTCATATTTCAGATTTTTTTAGAACGAAGAAACAAGTATAGCGGGTCGCCAAAAAGAGTATGGTCTGGATTGCATAAAGAGAGAGTTTCTCCAGAATTGTAATCGAGCCATAATAAAGTAGACTAGCGACTAGTTTGTACTCCACTTACGATATGCAGGGATCGATCAATTGATAGAACAGGACTAGTAGTATTAGTGTTAGTGGCAGTAGAGTATTAGAGCATAAGTAGGATTGATTATGTTAGAATAAGATGTAATACGTTATTTTGATATAAAGTAGGGCAAGAAGGTGGAATAGGGGCAAAAGTGAGTAGAAAGAGGGAGAAGGTAGAGGCTCTGATTGGTCAGATCCATCATTCAGGCCCCATTTCAACCAATACTCTAATCAACCAATAAAAAGTCTTCAATCAACCAGACGATGCCAAAATCGAACTCCTGGTATTTTCTTTGTCACGGACTGTATTGTCTTGTATTTTTCATATAATTTGATCATAATGATGTCGTACTCCGTGCGCCGTTCCGGCAATTACCTTTCCGTATTACAAGTGTATCTCCTTTCTCAAGCTGAAACTTCCTAATTTCCCCTCCCCCCTTACCTTTGAACTTCCCCTTCTCTGCGTAATCGGTCTCTCATTTCCTATTCTTTTCCCCTTCCATCTATTCACAACCCCTCTTCCAATTATCAATCATTCCTTTTCCCTTTACTTCCAGGGACATTACTACTCTAGGTACGTGAAACAGCTCCTGGAGTACTCTCTCGTGGCCACTCCGTTTCACCCTTGCATTGATCGCTCCATTTCATCTTGAAATGTCGGCTGGGGCCTGTATTATCACTTCAGTATCCCCGTCCACGGCCGATGCGATTCGAAACAAACGAGAGAGATCATATTCAGGAAACAAAAAAAGTTTTTACTAACCCCAAATTTTCGACAGTCCCTTTTTTAATCGAATACCAAAACCCCACGAGTCAATCGGCTCGCATTTTCTAATAACTATCGTTTTAACACCAATATCGTCGTCATGGGTTGTGGTATGAGCACTGAGGACAAGGAGGGGAAGGCGCGGAATGAAGAAATTGAGAACCAGCTCAAGCGCGACAAGATGATGCAACGAAATGAGATTAAGATGTTGCTGCTCGGTATGATACGCCCGGGTCTATTGCTAAGGCCAAAGAGAAGAGATGAAAATCCAGTCTCGCTAACCAAAGGGATGATATAGGTGCCGGAGAGTCAGGAAAGTCTACCATCCTCAAGCAGATGAAGCTCATCCACGAGGGCGGATATTCGCGCGATGAGCGGGAGTCTTTCAAGGAGATTATCTACAGCAACACCGTTCAGTCTATGCGTGTCATTCTTGAGGCTATGGAGTCACTCGAGCTACCTCTGGAAGACGCCCGCAACGAGTACCACGTCCAGACCATCTTCATGCAACCCGCCCAGATCGAGGGTGACAGCATTCCCCCAGAAGTTGGCAACGCCATTGGTGCCTTGTGGCGCGATACCGGTGTCCAGGAGTGCTTCAAGCGCTCTCGCGAGTACCAGCTGAACGACTCGGCCAAATAGTCAGTTTTGCCACCTTGATCGAGATGCAACACATAAAACTAACTTTTTTCCCCTCCAGCTACTTTGATGCCGTTGACCGTATTGCCCAGCCCGATTACCTTCCCACTGACCAAGATGTTCTCCGCTCCCGTGTCAAGACCACCGGTATCACCGAAACCACTTTCATCATTGGTGATTTGACCTACCGCATGTTTGACGTCGGTGGCCAGCGTTCCGAGCGTAAGAAGTGGATTCACTGCTTCGAGAATGTCACCACAATCTTGTTCCTGGTCGCCATTTCCGAGTACGACCAGCTGCTCTTCGAAGACGAGACCGTCAACCGTATGCAGGAAGCCCTGACTTTGTTCGACTCCATCTGTAACTCCAGGTGGTTCGTCAAGACCTCCATCATTCTGTTCCTCAACAAGATCGATCGCTTCAAGGAGAAGCTTCCCGTCAGCCCCATGAAGAACTACTTCCCCGACTACGAAGGTGGTGCCGACTACGCCGCTGCCTGTGACTACATTCTCAACCGCTTCGTTTCCCTAAACCAAGCCGAGCAAAAGCAGATCTACACTCACTTCACTTGCGCCACTGATACCACCCAGATTCGTTTCGTCATGGCCGCTGTCAATGGTAAATTCTTTTCCCTGCTTTACTTGTATACAATCTTGCTAACTTTTCCTAGATATCATCATCCAAGAGAACCTCCGTCTCTGTGGTTTGATCTAATGAATTCACATTGGTGTCTCGAAGCTAGATCGCATGTGTTTTTTTCCTCCTTCGGCTTGTCATCGGATCTCGTCGGGATGGGATAACAAAAAGCCTCGTTCCATCTTGATGATTCGGGCGTTGAATTACCTTTTCACTCATCTCTTCTTACTTGCCATTTTTTTAACACCTTTTCACTTGTGTCTCTTTTAATTGCACTCGTCCTCCCCCCTTGACACGATCACTAGCCGGTTCTTATATCCTGCTCTCGACGACGCGGAACAGAAACTTCTTCCATTGTCTTCTTATTTTGTTCGACACTTACGTCGAATATTTCTCTTTTTTGTCTCTTATCATCCTATTTCCTTTTATCTCCCTTTTTTTCTTGTTTGTTTTCAATGCTGGATATCCTCCTTGGTTGCCCCCACCTCCCATCTATTTTTTTTTTTTGTTGTTGTATGTAACCATACCGTCGTTTTTCAACCACTTTCGTTTCCTTGGTCTCGCGTCCGTTTGGAAGCCTAGAGCGACCATCTGGGCAATGGGCATAGGGGAATGACAGCGGATTCTTCATGTCCCTTCTCATGTGTCATGCCAGGTCGGTCGTTGGGTTCTAGTCAAAGTTTGGAATTGAAACATCGGGTTTCCGACCTTGACATCATTGCCTGTAGCATTAGATTTGTAATTACGTCTTATTATATCTAGGTCGGGGCAGGGTTACTCAATCAAGTGGAAGACATCACGCAATGAACGGCTTTATGTGGCCAAATAATGTCAGGGTATCGTGAGTGAACATCGCAAGAAACAGCCCTAGAACCGCAATTTAGGACCAATAAACACAATCAACAAAGCCACAACCCATAACCCAAAGATCCAAGCATAAAGCATCATTCGCCCCCACCAGCCCTTTCCCTCTGTCATCTTTCGTAACATCCCCATGCGTTGCCCCGCCGCCTCCATGGTCGAAGAGGTCTTATCAATCCCAGTGACTGCACGATCCAAGACCGACTTTTCATTTTCCAACGTAGAGTGGAAAGCGTGTGACGACGCTTTCAGCTGCCCAGCCAATGAAAGTAACGAGCTAGTGAGATCCTCCTGTTCCAACCGCTGTGCACTAATGGCTTGTTCTGCTGATACGAATTTCTCATTCGGCTTTCCTCCCGTCGTTCTAGCTGTCGACATCGCCGTATCAAGTGCAGGGGTCGTAGATGGGTCACGAGTGCGGCTGCGCAGGGTTGACGACGGTATTGGTAATGAGGTGGCGGTGGGCGTAGGCGTGGAAGTGACAGAGGGCAAAGTGGCGAGTGGTGAACTAATTGCGCCATCATTGTTTATCGCATGATTCACTTCGCTCTGCGGTTCACTGGAGGTTATTGTCTTTCCTGTGACTGGTTTTGCGAGGAGATCGTTCCATTCTGCGTCGACGTCGACGTCGTCGGTCTCGTGTTCATCTGCGTGGGTTTCCTCGTCTAGAACGGCTTGCATGCGCTTGAGGAGCTGTCTGTCACGCGCTATCTCGGACTGTGCCTCGTGTCGCCGATCCAAAACTTTCATTTGGGGTAGAGAGCGTTCGAGCTCTGAGAGGAGCGTGCGTGCATATTCAACATTCTGCAAGGACAACTGTTAGATTTCAATCCAATCTGAGCTGACACTTTATGTAGGTGGCAAGCTGTTGATCAAGCCCACCCCACTTCTTGCTTTTGTTTACCTTTGCTACTCGCATACGCTGCAGTTCAGACCGGCGCAAGTTGTGGAGCTCTGAAGCTGGAGATAGGAGATTGTGTTCGAGGCGGGTGAAGAGTCGTGACACATTTAATAGAGTTATTTCTGGGGAGTTCCCTGGCGATGTAAAAGCAGTGACCGCCATAACTATTAGATAAAAGAGGAAAGAATTGATAAGTCGTAAAGCAGAGTAGAAACACTGAAGACGAAGATGCCACCCAGGTCGATGTCATTGCTGACTCAGCTTTACATATCCAAGCAGAACCCAAACCGAAGCGCACCATATCCTGATTGAACAGAAGAATCCAAACTAAATGAATAATAACACAGATTCCAGAAGGCTTCAAAACACTGGAGGGATATTCTAGATTATCACCGATTCAGCTGTACTCGACAATAATCCGCCGCCAAGTGCGAACTCCATCGTCATCCACCTCATGCATCTGCATCTGCTGAACAGAGACGCTGTGTTTCTGCCCGGGATCACTTGCATCACCACTTGCATCACTCCCTGAACCCGACTGTTCATGTGTCTCAGCCCGTGAAGAGCCCGTGGAACTTGACGATGCGGTTGTTTTGCCCGCATTCATTTGTTCACGCGCTTTGGCTGCCACAGCACCGCTAGTTGGGAAATTGGCTCGAGGCTTTAGCACATCGCACGCTGATGCAATTGGTGCCGAGTTTGAGTTTGAGGCCGAGGGCATGTTCGAGGCCTTTGCAGTCTTGAACCGAGAGTGGCACTTGGTTGTGGTGTAATGGAAAGGTGCAGCAGATGAGGACTTGCCGCGGGTATATACGGAGTCGATGTATAAGAGGGAATGCACGCTGAGTGGAATCTCTCCTGGTATTATCATGGTATTCGAGTGGACCTGTACCACCCGTTCTGTGGATCTGTAAGGCAGACTGTTTAGGTTCTTCTGGTCTGAGGGGGGGCGGTTCTAGTATTCGGACACTATAGGATAGTATGCAGGGCAAGGAAATAAATAAGTCTGACAGGGCTTATGGGGTTACGAGAGGGGTCTTAGGGCTGTATTTATCTTGTCCCAGTTTATTTCCCAGGTTATTTCCATGGAAAATAGATCTATAGATGGTTCGGGACGCCTTGATGATCTCCCGGAGGCTATGCACAGTAGTTCGGGACAGAATATGTCTATGTCTCTGAGAGAAAGATGCTAGAATCTGACTGATCAGAAAGTTAAACAAAAAGAACGAGAAATAGGCGACTGAGGTGGCCTTCTCTATTGATTCCATATAATTTCTCTCGAAGTAGAAAGTGGGGGCAAAAGGTAAAACTAAAATCAAATTCCCAGCTGGACTCAGATCAGCCACGTTATCTACAATATTTCATTCAGCTGCAGCTTCAAGCGCCACTGGTAACATATGACGCCTGTAGTACTCTCTCATTTGAGTATCCGTTGCTTACCTTTAGTCTCTACTCTACCTGGGCTCTTTACATCTAAACAACCTAATCTCCCGATCCAGATCTCGATCTCGATTGACTCGCTGCAAAGAGAAAACTTGCGCTAAATTGGACGAATCAGAACTCGTACCTATTTTTAAATAACAGATACCTCCCAGAGAGTAGATAGAAAAATGGAAAGAAACATTCCTAATTCCTAGTTCCTGAGTCCAATTTTACAGCTTGGCCGTGACACCACGCTTCAGTTCTACTCGCGCTTGATCACGCAAGACTTTGCGTAGGATCTTTCCTGATGGATTCTTAGGGATAGTATCAATGAAGATGACCCCACCAGTGATCCGTTTCGTTGAAGACACCTTGTTGTTTATGAAGTGGACGATCTCATCTGCAGTGGCCGATTGACCAGGCTTTATCACAACGTATGCCCGAGGTCTCTCATCGTTGTCACTGTATTTGTCAGCGTCAAACAAGTAGAATCAGAAGGAACTCTATTAACCTACATGGAAATTCCAATAACCGCGGCATCTGCAATGGCCTCGTGTTCTAGAAGAAGGGCTTCCAGCTCGGCGGGGGCCACTTGGTTGCCTCTGACCTTGATCAACTCCTATAATTTGTCAGAATGCCCCGTCCACTAGTTCATGAATTTGTCACTTGATATTAACCTTGATCCGATCCACAACATGGAACCTTCCCTCGTCATCCACATATGCAATATCGCCTGTCTTCAGCCACCCGTCTTTGGTCTTGGTTTGCCTGGTTGCCTCGGGGTTCTGCCAATATCCCTTCATTATATTCTGAGACCGAACCCATAATTCTCCACGCTGGTTTTTTCCCAGTATTTCTGTACTTCCATCTTCGCTCATGATCTTGGCTTCACAATTGGCATTGAGTTCCCCCACTGATGCTGATAGACTTGTTTCTGTTGGATCCCACCCAAGTATAGAGCAAGTTGCCCTAGATAAACATTTAGCTTGTTTTTCGTATTTCACTCCGACTTCCAAGGTTCCTTTTTGCCTGAGAAACTGCAGATTCAAGAATACTCACTCTGTCATTCCCCAACCCTGCTTTATATTGATCTTCCCTGGTGGCCACAGCTTTTCCACTTCCATGCAGACCTCCCGTCCCAATGGCGCAGCGCCACTATCAACACTCTCCACACTACTCAGATCAAACTTCTTCACAGCAGGATCCTTAGCGAACATGACCACGATCGGCGGCACCAGAAGCAGATTTGTAATACGAAACTTCTGCACATACTCCAACACTTTGAGAAAATCAAAGCGGGGCATGATATAAACAGGCGTCCCCCGCCAAACTGCACAGGCAATATAAACACTCTGCGCCATAGCATGATACATAGGCAAGAAGCACAACCAGCTTGAACGAAGTCGCCGCTCCTCCGCATCTGGATATAACGTCTGAAGATGATTATACTGCAACATATTAGCAACATAATTCTTGTGTGTGATCTCCACACCCTTTGGACGGCCCGTTGTGCCACTGGAATAATTCAGCACAAGTGTACAGTTGTCTGCCTCATTTGGCGTGGACAGTTCCTCCCATTGAAACTGTCTTCCTTCCTCTGGAGAAGCTACCAGCTCGCCCCAGTATCGGCATCCATCCTGCGACTCGCCACCACCTTCATAGATAGCATTGTCGAAGATGAAAATCTGTGAGCGACTCAAACCTGCTAGTTCTGCGGCTTTTAGTCCCGTTTCTAGACTGCTGCGTGCACAGAGGAGGTATGTCGCCCCACTATCTTGAAGCTGGAAGGCGAGCTCGCGTGCTACATAAGTTGGATTTGCGCCGGTGAAGACCCCGCCGGACATTATGACGCCCATAAATGCCACTGGGAAAAACAGGTTGTTCCCGGAGTAGAGCAATACGCGATCACCGGGCTTTAGGCCAGACTTACGAAGTCCTGCTGCGAAACGCTGGCTCCAGAGGCGGAAATCATGGAGAGTGAGATAGTGAGTTTCAGGATGATCCGCTTCTAGGAAGCATTTCTGTGTGGAGAGGGGTTCCGTCGGGGATTTGAAGAGGAGAGAAGCCAAGTGGGCGTTTGGGACCTTAAATTCCCAACGTGACTTGTATGGCATTGTGGTTTCAAAGATTTCTCAGGTTTGAATTGATTTTGGTATTGGGATATTAGGGGGATTTCCTTTTAATATGACTTCTATTATCGGGGGATACAAACTACTCAAGTAGGCTCGTCACTTCGTAAATATAACGGGTCCCATTGTCATCCTGTAAGCTTACCCACTCCGGCTCCGTGGGTTTGGTATGGAGTTCATCACTAGTTCGATCCTGCGCGGCTAAGATGCTGACCGCAAGCCTGAATGGCATGAGAAGTCAATTCAGCCTTGGAGCCTTCGAATACTGAGGTACCTAGGCCAACAGGTATTGAGGGAAAGTAAGATGAGGAGCCGAGGGATGACCTCGGGGAAGCTACGAAATTACTAGGTAGGAGTGTAGGGATCTGATGTTTATTTCGTCTGAAGAAATGACCTCGGGAGAGGATTCAAGGAGATACACTCAATTGGTTATCAATATCAACTGTATTATTCCGTACTCCGTACTAGCCTGCCCACCAGACCCACTTTTGTTTTTTGAAGACACTTTCAAACGTCATAAAGTTGCGTTAGGGGTGATTTGATATATTCAGACATATTACCCTCCTATGCCCATGTGGCTATAGATCCCGCACATGGTGCCCACATGGTGCGCGTTGAGTATGTAAACCCCCTCAAAAAGAGTTTGGGTCCTACTGTCTAAGAGCTTCTAAGCTTCACCCCAAGGCCGTACTTGATATGACCTATGTATCAAATTGAAACTAAAATTGGAAGGAATTATACCAGATAGGGCGACATGTTCGACAGAGCGCCGTCTTTCACACTCTCATATTCCTCCAACAGATCTCCCGATTCTCCATGAAGATCTGCTTATTCCCAACCTTCCTAGTTATATGTTTTTTATTTTTTTTTTTAAAAAAGAAAAAAATGATCGATATGACCGTTTCTGGTGCCCGACAACAATCACAATACAAAAATTGAAGTGCAAAGTAGGAAAAAAAGCAAAAGCAGAATTAAGACATCTCGGGTTTCAACGAATCAGCGTTTTCTGACTAAAAGATAAGCACTCCAAATTTAATGTATTTCCGTGGTGTTGACCCATCTGGAGCTCCACTAATGAAGTATTGGTAGGTATGATTTTCAATACAGATTAAATGGGTACATACCTTTGAATATTCATCAATTTTAAAGAATGGAATCTACCGTGGTGTTGATAAACTTCTTGACCTTTCCGTACCCATGAATACACCCTTGACCAGTCAGTTTCTCGAACCTTTTAATGATATTGTAAGTACTTATCCATATAGCCTAGCAACTGAGCCATCCTCTCGTCATAAGTCATTCTGAGAACCATGCTTATGGTCGCAGCCTTTTCAGTGTTATATGTGCTTTGGGTCCAATTGTGGTCTATTTGGAAATTTTTGATATCCCCAAGGTTCTCTTCCATGTGGCTATAGCTCTCCCCGGCCTATTTTAGAACCTTGAAAGTGGGAGCTCTAAATTTAAAAGAAATTCGGAAGATACTAGGTCTACTAGGTCTACAAGATATGCTCTGGTAGTACATTTCGAAGAGCTTCCAACATAGATAATTGATACTATCAAATTCAAATCTTGCAACGACGGGAATCGCCCACCTGCCTAGGTGTATTCCCAGTCTTCAAGACCACCTCATTTTCTTTTTAGAACGAGATTAGTCTAAGCAACAGATATCACTTTCATTTCATTGGAAGGCTCTGACTTCTGCTTTCTTTCTTTCTTTCTTTCTTTTTTTTTTTTTTTTTTTTTTTTGAGGCAAGAACCTTCTAATTTCATTATAAATTAGGTGTGTCTCCTTTTCTGGTAGTACCAGCAAGTAAAACAAAGCGTTGACGGAGCTAGCGCTGAGATAGATGCAAGCTTACCTAGATAAGTATGAGCATGCCCAGACGCATTATTATACGGGCCTTCAAGGTTAGTCTCCACCTAGGTAGTCACTAACCATTCCAGGGCTGTTCGATACGTTAAATTAACTACATGATAGCCTACAATCACCGTTCAAATGGCAGCAGCTGTCATTAAAATCATCTAAATACTTCCTACGCTAAGACAAGCCAGCGCGCCCTTCAGCTCATTGAGCATCTTCTCCTCCAGTCGGTTCTCGGCACCAGAGTCTTTGTTGACAGGCTTTTGCCGGGACCATTCCATCTCTTTTTCGGTTGTAGCCGCGATGCGACGACGCAGATTTGCCGGGCGGCTCACTAACCCTTCAATATCCTCCTTAAATGGAGCCTTGTCCCACTTGAGCGGTTGGATGGATTGGGCATCCAGACCGGCACTGGCGCCTGCTTCGCGGAACCCGTCGATGATAAAGGATATCAGAGAAAGAGAGTAAGCCTCAGAGGCCATGCTGAGGGTGATCAAATTCGATGCTGGGCCGACAGTGCGACCAGCGTGTGCGGCTGAGAAAGCCTCAGAGGCGCGGTCAAGTTGGCCTTCAAACTGGTTGAGAAAGGCGGCCACCTCGGGTGCTGCTCGAATGACATTGTGAAGCAAGTTCAGACACAATGGAAGGAATCCGGCGGTCCAAATGGTATAGAGACGCGGTGCTTGGAAGGGTCCGCATCCCTTAGACGCCGCAAGCATGTTTGTTAACTTGCACGCTGAAAGGTTTGATAGAACCGCTTCCACGGCCAAGTGTTCTGCTAGCATGGGCAAGGTGGATAACTTAACGAGAATGGAGAGGCTAAGCTCGCCATAGACCGGATCACCATCTTCCAGGAGTTTGTCAGCCCATGAGAATAATGTCGTGGCCTGTCGGGCGGTATCGTTGTTCTCGATGTGATAGGTGATATGTTCGTAGAGTCGATCGGCGTTCTTCACGCGTAGAGAAGTCTGGAGAATGGCAATTATGATCGCAAAGTCCTTCGGCTGGCATTTCTCTCGTTGTTCGTGCACATATGTGGTGAGTGATCGGAAGCCTTGTGCGACGATTACTTTGACAATTTCCACGACAACTTCCAAGTCGGACGAGACCGCATGCGGAGGCTGTGCAGCGGGGGTAGCCCGAGTAGGTCCATCAATGTGGAATTGTAGTGTCAGGAACAACACATTCAGTAGTGACCGGTAGTACTCCGTGTCGTCGTTAATCAAAGCGTCTTCGTAAGTTGCGTGCCGGCTGCGCAGTGCATTCCAGGTGACCTCCAGTAATCCAAATACTTCAGAACCCTTAGACTCAACCTGAACCAGCCGTTGAAGCAAGGCCTGCGCGAAATCCACTCGCACCTGTTGAATCCGTTCGAAAATGGCCTCAGCAGGAACGGGCCGGGTATTTGCCTCAAGGCATTGCTGTGCCACCAATGCCATGGACTTTTGGATTTCGCGGTCTGGCATAAAGTCCGCACAATGCTCCATGGCGAAATATTTCCAACTGTTGAGAAGGCCCTGTTCTGTTGTTAGAGATGCAAAATAAACCACAATGGGAACGGCTGAAAACTTACCACCTGGGCTTCAACAAGCGAAAGGTTAATGTTAGCCCGTTCAAACTCCTCAGAGAAACCCTGCCCCCGAGTTCCGGCCCAGGCAAAGTCATAGGACAACATCTTTTCGCCCAAACCAAGGTCGTAGTAGTAATCATGGCCCAAGATACGTTGCTGAAGGGGCGTTCTCTTGAAATCAACAATCTTACAGCCGGTGTAGCGCTTTTCAAAGTTCTTTTTCAAGTTTGTGTGCAAGGAGTTGTTGTATGCAGAAACATCAACAACAGCAGACTTAGCATACCATTGCACCAACGGAATCAGAGTCTTGACAAAGCCCCAGTCGTTAGCCTCCTTTGCAGCATGCAGATAGACTGCGCAAATGTCTGCGACAACAGCTGCAATCCTGGTGGTGAATATTTGATCAGACACAGAAAGAGACGAAAATTTCAGCTTGGAGACATAGTTCACGATGCTATTCAGGAAATTCGGGTGACTTTTCAACTGTGGGGTAGCCCAAGGCCAATGTTCTTGAGCCTGTGAGACGAAATCCAACAATGCCAAGGCAACCTGGGGCTCTTCCTGGTCAATATGAGATAGCCTCTCGAGCGCCATTTGCAAGAACGGTACACCTCTCATACTTGGATCCTTGCCCTTGTTGGATTTTTTCAGTGCCTGGCGAGGGGATGAACCTGTAAGGATGAAAACTGCCATCCACTGCTGTCGCTTACTGACGAAAGTCGAAAGCAATTGCCAGACTGAAAGAAGCAGCGTACGGTCACTGAGGGGTTTGTTTAGCTGAGAGAGGACATCAAGGAACAGACAAGATGACTCGGCTCCAAGGTAGCCAACAAGAGATGGAGGTTCATTGTCTGGATTTGATGCTGCGCTGGAAATAAGGATGTCAAGTAGTGACACAACTGGTAGTTTGTATGCATCATGCAATGCGTAGAGCTTGACCAGAACTGGCGTTGCTTTGAAGAGTTGTTCCTCTAAAAGCGACTCTGACAACTCTAGCAGTCGTGCTGCCTGGACAAGCTTTACACATAGTCCCAAAGTAGACTTCACCTGTTTCTCAATCAGGGAAAGGTAACGAAGGTAGCGGGTGGGCGGGGTTTCAAGACCCTCTGCGATCAACCGAAGAAGCGGGTTGAATGGTAGATCGGCAGTTGATCGAGGTCGCAGAATGTCCAGAAGGTATGTTGCCGAGCTAGAGAAGACACCTGTGACTTTCAATTCAAGCTTCGCAGAGTCATTGACACCAAAGGCATAATACAAGATCCGGTCGAATGTATTCGCAAGCTTTCCATTTATCTTAAGACGCTGTTCCGGGAGATTAAACCTCCAATTTCCATTGCTGTTGTAGATTTCAACCATAGTCCTGGTGAGGTTGAGAACGATAGTTCTCATGATGTGGGATGGAATACTGGCGCTCCAGTCTACCGCAATGGTTGATTTGCCGGAGACGCTGCCGGGACTCTTTCGTAGCACTGCTCGAGAGGCAGCATCGTCAACAAGAGCTTCCAGCAGATTGACACAGTTAAGAAGGAACGGATATTCCCCAGAGGGGATCTCTGTTGCCGAAATGATGGTAGACAAAATGCCACCTTTTCCATCTGATCCAATGAAGCTGCTGCGGCTGAAGAACGGCCATACCCGACCAGGAAGAACCTTCAGGACTGCTTGGATAAATTGCAGACAAGCCATGATCGGTTCAAGGATCTTTGCAGAATCCCCCCTGGGATCCAATGTTTTGCAGGTTGCGCTCAAAGATGTTCAAAACTACAGAGATAATATCGCCCTGTCTTGATAGTCCATCACTGGCCATTTCGAGCACTCTTTTGGCACTATTGCCAGAATCACTACGGCGATGGCAGTCTTTGGCGCTGGAAACCAAATCTGCCATTAGGCCGATGATCTCTGTAACTGTTTCAACGTCCAAACTGGACGAAAACTCACCACCGCTTTCGCTCCATTCTTCGAGCCAGCTCCCTAAAAAGGTCAGGCATGAAAACCGATACTCCCACTGAATGACGGTAGGCTTCTGCTCGGAAACGACCTGACCGACTGTTGCAGCTGGAATTTCCGACGTTCCTCTTACAACCAAAGCATTGCTGATGTCGGATTGTGGAAGGCGCCTATGGTGATGAGAATCAAACATGGGCAAAGATTGAGTCAGAGACACATAATTTGCGTTCTCATCTTCTCTAATTGTCTCGTATCCATGGAAATTTGGGCCAATGACTTGGGTGAAAGTGTCCATTTTTTCCAATTCATCAAAAATCCAGGACAGGCCGTCCTCATTTAGTGAGTATTCACTAATCAGGGCACGACAGAGCTTCAAAAAGGGGATAATTTCGAATGGGAATCGATTGCGAGCGGAACGGAAAATGAGGTGCATCAAGTCATTGTCTCCAACAAAGACCGATTTGGGATCGCTGGCTGGCCCTAGTGAGTCTGTGGAGGATGGAGGTCCGTCAGGTGAGCCTGCAAGTATCGCCAAAACAGGTTCCAGGACCTCAGGATAGTCCAGGTACATCAGTGCAGCCCTGATTAGATCCAGTAGAGCTAATCGGACCCACTGATACGTCAAGCTATCGTCAAGGGCAGACATTGAACCGGCCACGGTTGAAAGTGTGAAAATCGCGCTGAATGCTGAAAATTTGATTTCATCACAAGTAAGCAATGTAATAGCCTCGTCGACAGTGTAATTCGGGGTTCGAGCAAATTCGAGAAGATCTTCATATTGAGACGGCTCTGATCCTCTTGACGATCTTCGAGTTTGTGTATTTGATTGGAATGAGTCCACGGCGCTATTGAACTGTTCCAGCTCTCGGCTTTCCTTATCACTCATGGCGTACTCCCTGATAGTGTGCAGGATCAAGCCCCAAGAGAGTGCTACCGGGTTTACTGTAGCTAGATTACCACAGCAGCCGACGAGGATCTCGTTGATTTGGGATATGTTATCTTTGCAGAGGAAATAAGCGGGCTTCCCTGTCGGAATGGTCTGGGGCGGCACCCTGTCCATTATGGAGGGAATCGTGAGAGGAAGTTTGAGGAAAGCTAGTGTGGTAAGGGATACGAAAGACTGAAGCGGGAGCAAAATCTCTAGAGGTTGCTCGCAGGGCTATTATAAACATTAGAATCGAGACATCAGCAGACAAAAAAAAGAGAAGGGAAAACTCACCACTTTGACCGTCTCTAAGAAGTCAAATTCAGCCATCAAATTGAGCCAGGAAATGACAAGAGCGCCGGAGGGAATGGCTGTCGAGGCTTGAAGCTGATGGAAGATGATCTGGAGAATATGAACGACCTCCTCAACAAGATCAGTCCGCCACATGTCTTCAATCTCTTCATTACTCTCATCCTCTCCGAGCCAACCGCCTTGGCCATTCAAGTCGGTTAACCGATTGCGAATTGCAGATGTGCACTCCTGAAGAAACTGACCCAAAGAATCTCCCGTTGACTTTTCCTTGAATATCATCGCACCCAATTTAGCCAATTCGAGCTTGCCTTCATTCTTGTGACTGATCGCATTAGCCGGGCTGCTTGAGAACTCGTGCTGAGAAAGCACAAGTAGTTTGCGAAAGGTTTTTAGGATGTGGCCTCTTTCAAGCAGGTAAAGTTTTCGAAGTCGCAATCGTCGACTATATTCGGTGTCGAATGAAGACTCATTCTTTCCTGCAGCCTGTTTGAGGATATTCGCCAGTAGAGGACCAGCCACCGATGCGCGAAGATTGTCAACACCGGTCGCGCTTTGAAGGCTCGTAGCCTCTTCACTGGAGAAGGTAGCTGTTAAACGAGTCGCCGGGCGATTTTGCCATTCAAGAATGGTAATGCGCAGGGCAGTGATCTCGTCAACTTTGGCTTTCTCACTTAGCCATTGCGCGTCTTCCTTGATCTCATTCAGATCGAATGAGCCCTTGCTGGTTTCAACGTTAATCGCAGCAGTTCTGGACTCAAATTCAGATTTAGATTTTGCGGAAGGAGGAGAGAAGGGGTTTAGGCTTTGAGACAGTAGCTGAATGCTCTCGGGGTGAGAGAGGAAGGCAGAGACACTGCCTCCATCATCGGCGTGGGTATCTGGGTCATTGGCATAGAGGAAAGCTCGTCGCCAGGATCTGTATAAAAATATAAGTATTGATCCAAACCAGTAACTTGAGGCAAACCTACAAAAGTTGAACATCCCCAGAAAAGCACTTATCCAGGGACGGAAAATAGGCCTCTGGGACAGGAGCCATGTGGCAGGACAATTAGATCATCATAGAACTGCACAAAGAAGAAGGATCAGTCTGAACTTGGTGCGAAAAAAAAAATGGTGAAAAGGAAAACAGAGGGGTAGCTGTTGTAGCTCAGGAAAGCTCTTGATATAACAAATTATTCTGACTTCCACTTCCGCTTCACGCGGTCAACAGTCAATTTCCTATATAGGACTAGTGCAAGGCGGTGAGTGTCGCAAGATCGTTACAAAGATAAATTGACCCTCTTGAGTCACAACAGAACTTGCGCAAGATCTTAAATCAAGTGATTTTAGTACAGACCAATTTTATGACCTTTGTCTTTCATTCTAGTCATATTTCACTTCCCACAACTTCATTCACTCGTTAATTCGCAACAATGGTGGATCTTGTCGACAATTCACCCCACCGTCCTACCGAAGTGGCCCGCTTGGATAGTGCCTCCAATGTTATTCTGATTGATAATTATGACTCCTTCACCTGGAATGTCTATCAATACCTGGTACTTGAAGGAGCTACAGTGAATGTCTTCCGCAATGACGAAGTCACTGTGGAGGATTTGGTAGCAAAGAAGCCAACACAACTGGTCATTAGCCCAGGTCCCGGTCACCCAGCGACAGATGCGGGTATCAGCAATGCTGCAATTCAATACTTCAGTGGAAAGATTCCAGTCTTTGGTGTCTGCATGGGTCAACAGTGCATCATCTCTTCTTTTGGTGGCAAAGTGGATGTGACGGGCGAGATTCTCCATGGAAAGACCTCGGTGCTGAAACATGACTCAAAGGGAGTCTACGAAGGGTTGCCGGCTGCTTTCTCTATCACCCGTTACCACTCACTTGCTGGAACCAATTCGACCATTCCGAACTGCCTGGAGGTCTCATCAACAGCTGAGCTTGAGAATGGAAGTGGCAGTGTTATCATGGGTGTGCGACACAAGGAGCTTACTGTGGAAGGAGTACAGTTCCACCCGGAGAGTATCTTGACGGAACATGGACGCGCTATGTTCAGGAATTTCTTGAAGCTTACTGCAGGCACTTGGGGCGAGAAGAAGCAGACTGCCTCTGCTGCCAAGCCCCCCGCTACTACGGGCAAGAAAGAGAACATCTTGGATAAGATCTATGCCCAGCGCAAAATTTCTGTCGCTGAGCAAAAGAAGATATATTCCCTACGACCAGAGGCTCTTCAAGCTGCTTATAACTTGAACATCGCACCCCCACAAGTGTCTTTCCCTGCCCGTTTGAGACAGACAGACTACTCTTTAGCCCTCATGGCAGAGATCAAGCGGGCATCCCCATCCAAGGGTATAATCGCCGCCGATGTGTGCGCCCCTGCCCAAGCTCGTGAATATGCCAAGGCCGGCGCCAGTGTCATCTCGGTGCTCACCGAGCCTGATTGGTTCAAAGGCACTATCGATGATGTCCGTGCAGTTCGCCAGAGCTTGGAAGGATTCACTAATCGTCCGGCCATCTTGCGTAAAGAGTTCGTGTTTGATGAGTACCAAATTCTAGAAGCACGATTGGCTGGTGCCGATACCGTACTGCTGATTGTGAAGATGCTGAGCATTGAGCTCCTCACGAGACTATACCACTACTCCCGCAGTCTCGGTATGGAGCCTCTTGTTGAGGTCAATACTCCTGAGGAGATGAAGATCGCTGTTGAATTGGGATCCGAGGTGATTGGTGTCAATAACAGAGACCTTACTAGCTTTGAGGTTGATCTCGAAAACACAAGTCGTCTGATGGATCAGGTCCCCGAAAGCACCATTGTGTGTGCCCTTAGCGGTATTATGGGTCCCAACGATGTGCAAGCTTACAAGAAGGATGGTGTGAAGGCCATTCTTGTGGGAGAGGCCCTGATGCGCGCATCGGATACCTCTTCTTTCGTGGCACATCTCTTGGGAGGATCCACTGAGAAATCCTCCTCATCGAGTCCTTCCAATTCCCCTCTCGTTAAAATCTGTGGTACTCGGTCTCCAGAAGCAGCCCATGCTGCTATTGAGGCAGGGGCTGATTTCATTGGCATTATCCAAGTTCCCGGAAGATCAAGAACGGTCTCTGATGACGTAGCTCTGCGTATCTCTCAGGTGGTCAAGTCAACATTACGACCAGAACCTCAATCTCATGATACGTCCCAACAAATATCCAAGACGACCACATCAGAGTGGTTTGATAATTCGGTCGGTGTATTGCGACACCCGTCCCGCGCCCTGCTTGTGGGTGTATTTATGAATCAGCCATTATCATATGTTATTGCCCAGCAACAAAAGCTAGGCCTGGATTTGGTACAGCTTCACGGCTCTGAGCCATTAGAATGGGCCAGTTTAATTCCCGTTCCTGTGATCCGTAAATTCGCACCAGGAGACATCGGGATTGCTCGACGTGCATATCACACTCTGCCCCTTCTAGATTCAGGTGCTGGAGGATCCGGCCAGCTTCTGGAAGAAGCCGGTGTCCAGCAAGTGCTTGACAGCGACGAGGGGCTTCGGGTGATCCTCGCCGGAGGCCTGAATCCTGATAATGTTGCTGATGTCATTAAAAGGCTGGGCAAGTCTGCATCAAAGGTTGTGGCCTTGGATGTCAGCTCTGGAGTGGAAACTAACGGTGCTCAGGATCTGAATAAGATCCGAGCCTTTGTCAAGGCCGCCAAAACCTCTCACCTGTAATTTTTTTTATTCCGTATGTGTGTTTGCTATCAGTTCCAAAAGGTCTTCACCCAATCACACTACGCAATACCATATATAACCTTGGGAGTCTTTTCTGCAATCATTTCAATTTAAGATTTCCCATGCTAAGGCAAGATCTAAATAAGCTGAATGATTTATGGGGATTTCAGGGTGTTACATAAGTAGAATAACGCTATAAAATCAACTGAAAACAGACTTCATTTCACCTTCGTGTCACCTACGTGCTGGTGAAGCCCTGGCATGATCTGGAGATATGAAAAGAAAACTCCACTCTGTTCATCCAACGATTGTGACCCCTGTCACATTTCCCATATCCTCAAAAATAACCTGGTGGTCGGAACCATCATAGTTCATCGCATAAACACCACCATCCATATCTGCAAAATAAACCCTTTGCCGTCTCATATCCACAGAGATGCCAATTGCCTGCCTAAGCTTCCTGGCCAAAATTCTCCTGCCCTTGATGCCAAACTGCTTAAGCTCACCCAACGTTACTGTATTAACCGTATTTCCGAAGGGGGATCTCCTCGATCTGTCCACCATAATTGTTGAAAGTTGGCATCGAAATCAAGATCAATTGGCTCTGGAAGACCTTCTAAAAGCACTTCGGGGTTGATGGTCTGAAAATCGCCTATCGGTCTGTGTATGGGAATCGGCATGCGTAATATCCGGCCTTGTCCACCACGAGCAGGGCCTTTTTGAGTCCAGTAAACAAATTCGTCTTCTTCATCAACTGCAATTCCAACACACCAGTTGCAACAATCTTTCTTGTCTGCTTCACCTTGGCCTGCTTGGTGCAGGACCTCCACATCGCTCCCGTCAAGATTGGCTCGCATCACACGCATGCCCTCTCTATCCGACCAATATAGCTTCTTTGACAACGGTGCAAGCTTTAATTGTTTGGGTGTCCATGTTACACCCTTAGGAATTATGGTGACGATGTTCCTCCCGTCGCAGTCACAACGTTGAATGAAACCGTTATTTTCATCTTGGATCCCTTGGTTTGTCCAGTAGATATGTAGGTTCACTGGATCAATTGCAATTCCATCTGGTCTACTTCGGATCTGGGTGACAACCTCTTGGAGGTCAGATCCGTCTGGAAAGCAAGAAAGGATTCTTCCATTGATATTTGGATAGTGTGAGATACTTGTATCCAAAAAATAGAGGCGATTTTGAAGAAGCATGATGAGAAAGGGCAGTCAACGATATAAGCCTTGACTTTCCACTTTGAAAAATTGACAAGCTCAATCCAATAAATAATATTGGGATTTTCGGGCTCCCTTTTCAAATATTGGCTTTCCAAAAAAGATACGGTGAAGAGTGATTTCGATCTGGATCTCGTAATTTCTTTGGATTAAATCGGACATCATAGATTGCCGATCAATATGCACGATCAAACTTTGAATCTGAGATTTTATCCGATTGCTACGGTGAGATATTCGATCCACAAAGCCCTTGATCTACCTTCCTAAATGGGTATACCGTGTACATAGCACAGCCCTTACAGAGTCAGGATTAAACCTTGGAACCTTGAAAGTAGGAGCACAATAGGTATCGAAGACTCGCCTTCTCTTTCATACACCGCCTGATCCATTTCTGTCAGCTTTTCTGAAGCTGGTGCCTTTTGGTGTATCAGACCTTGAAAACTCATCTGCACCAAGGTTCCCATATATTAAATCTCAAGCAAAATTTCCAGTCATCATTAAGTGGATCATACACTTTCCCACCATGGTCTTCCAGCCAAGCGGAATCTACCCCTGGATTAAGATTGTTCTCCGCTTATCCTTGTTCAAGCTAGTATACGACCAATTATGTTTTATAGTTACAGACTGTATGGTGCGTACCGGAGGTTCTCCGTTAGACCACAGGGGCTCATTATATCAAGTGCTATATGAGATCTCAAAAACTCCGATTAAGACGAACCTTGGGATCACGCACTATAACAAAAGAAATCAGTCAATCCACAGGTCTGTTGGAAGGACCTCGGGAGGTTACTATATTGTGATGGAGGGATCAAAATGAACCTTGAGATATCTAGGCGCATTACCTACCTAGATATCCTAATGTTACATTTAAATCCTGGAACTTCAATGCAACCTTGAAAGTATTACCAACACATACCCACGTGGGATTATTTTAACGTTTTCGTGCAGTCATTTCGAGGTTTAATTCCACTCTCACTTTCATTGCACTCTACTCTTACTTTCGCGCTGACTTTCAGTCAGCGGGCTTATTGTTTTGAAAATATATATATTTTTTATCTGTCAGCAACTCACTAGGTCCAGGACTTTTAACTCTCTTTTTGCCTCGTAGTCGGCTCTCAGTTGCTAGAGTTCCCATTTAAGATGATCGCTGGATGATTAACCGATTTTGCTAATCAAGGGGATACTTTGACAATTACCTAGATATTCTCATAGGTACTTCAGGGCTGTATGTAGCGTATTGGGTGGATCACATCTGTATCAAACCCTTGGATAGCTCGAGTAGGGATGCCAATAGATCTGGATACATAAAGGGACTAGATCTGCATCGATTTTCATCTGAAGTCTAGTCTTCCAACCCACAAAGATATCCGATTAACATTTCAGATGGACGCTAGAGATCCCGCTCCTTGCAGAGTGGACCGTGGTGGGTCGATCTATCGATTGATAGTCAGCTCGTGAATGATCAACAAAGCCTAATTACGGCGTAAAATGATGTTTTTGGTTCATCAGACCCGTCAAAATTTGTCCTATACCAGCGTCACTTGAATTTTGGGGAGAGATAATTACTCTCTACCTAGGCAGGGCTGGCTGTACTTCCAAGATCCTCGATTCCAGGACTATTTAAGTACCTGCACACCCGTTCATACCAAGGCATCATCTCGATCTTCAGTCCAGCTTTAAACCGATTCGACGTCACTTACAACTACCAGGACCTCTCTTCAATACCAATCTTTCAAACATGAAGTTCTTCGTCACTCTATCTATTCTTGCCCTCGCTAGCGTGGACGTCGGTATGTTTAGTAAGTCTGAGCCTGAAAAGCGCGCTGCTACGTGTGCAACTTGAGCTCAGGATGCCTTCGAACCGACATTGGTGACGCTATCCAAACTGGCTTCAATCAGTTTGTGAAATTTACAAAGGTGTAAGTCATTTAAACCATGATATCCCTTAAATACCTACTCATACATATGTATAAACATACAGCAAGGGTGGCAATGGTGTGAATAATTGCAATGAGGCAGACGCATAAAGCGGATTCATAAAAGGTTAGCGGTAAATATGCCAGTTGATATCCCTCTATCCATTGATGAGCCACCTGGGTAGGTATCCTTGGAAATACGACATTTATAGCCCTGAAGGTCTTCCTCATTCTGCCTCGTGTATATAATTGCTACTATCTAGCCCTAGACGTGTTAATAAGGCCAAAATGCGTGAGTTATAAGCCAAGCCAAGCGACTTAACAAGTCTAACTCTTCGGTTATCCTCCAAGATTATTTTACTTCAACTTTGATATACTAAGTAATACAATTTATCCACAAGCACTTAGAAACCCCCATTTTGCCTTCAACCATTCGCGTCATCGTGCTATTGAGGGTTCCGAGGTTAGCTTCATAGTTTCTTGCTGCTCCCGATCCTATACCTGGAACAGTTGTTACTATCACTTCGAATTCGGACTATTTAGTGGAGTGGTATTCAGATTACTTCCAAGGTTGCCTCGGCTCTTTGTACTACAATCCTCTAATTCAATGACCTACTCCGTATTATAATTCTCCGTATTACTAGCTATAATTTACTAGCGTAGTTAGGTAGACGAATCTATCGTATCCATCGTAACAAGGCTGACTAACGCAGCAGACTTAAGCTATAGGTAAATTAGGAACTTCTATGCAGTTCAGCTGTCTACATTTTAGGATAGTTGGGCACTTAGCGGGTGTGGAGTTTATGGCCCCGCACGCTGAATGTTCGGAAGCAGATCAACATCCCACCTTAGCAGTATTCGATATCCTGCTTTGCCGACATAATACTCAACCTTGAGAACCAATTCCGAATGGCTTCCACAGAGGGTAGAATTGTGCAAGTTGGGATTATAGGGTATGCATCAATCGTTTAGGGCTGGAACTAAAATTTGAGCTAGAATCGAGCTAAATGTGTTGATAGGTGCGGTGAAATCACCCAGGTTGCTCATATCCCAACATTGGGATTTTTGTCTCATCGATTCCAAGTGACATATCTCTGCGATGTGTCCCAAGGTGCTTTAAACCACTGCCAGGCGAAAGTCATAGGCCCTCGACCTAAAATCACCGTCGACGTCGAAGAACTCTGTGCCTCTGATGACGTTGATGTTGTGATAATTGCCAACAGCGATGCCTTCCATGTGCCTCATACCATGATTGGTCTGAAGTACAATAAATTTGTCTTTGTGGAAAAGCCCATGGCCTTGTCTTTGAAGGATGCAGATCTAATCATTGAAGCAGAGAAGAAGTCTGCGGGTAAAGTCATGATCGGATACATGAGGCGGTATGCCACTGCATTTTTGGATGCTGTAAAGGAGATTGGAAGCCTTGAGAAGATCAATTATGCTCGTGTCAGAGATATCGTGGGCCCGAATTCTACATTTGTAGGACAATCGGGCACCTTCCCTCGGTCTTTCCAGGACCACAGGCAATCGGATATTGAGAATCTTTCCTACAAGACTAACGATTTTATCCAGCAAGCCCTTTGTGAGGAGCTTAAGATCCCAAACACCCCTGATCTAGCTCTAATGTGGAGACATTTGGGCAGCCTGGGTTCCCACGACTTGAGTGCAATGCGTGAGGCTCTGGGAATGCCGACAAGTGTGCTAGGTGCATCTCTGTGCAAGTCTACTGGGTCCCCGTTCTGGAGGTAGGTGTCAAATCTCTAATGACTCGTTCGTTCCCACTAACATTGCTCTATTTTAGTGCTTTATTCCAGTATCCGTCGTTTACTGTCGCATATGAATCTGGTATCGATCTCGTACCCCGTTTCGATGCTTCAATCGAAGTATTTGGCGACACTAAGACGATCAAGATCGTCTATGACTCGCCCTACGTGAAGGGCTTGCCAGTCACTATGCAGATTAAAGAAGCATTACCTGATGGATCCTACCGAGAGTCTACTGTGCGACGGACATATGAGGATCCTTATACCATCGAAATGAATGAGATATACGCATGCTTTATGGACGGCAAGGAAATCAAAACCACAGCCGCAGATGCGAAACGAGATGTGGAGTTGTTTGGAATGATCATGCATGCCGGAGTAGGAGTGAACAAGGCCTGATGAGACGATTTTTTAGGTCAATAGTTGTCATTTGAACGGGGTATTGAGATGGAAAAAAACAAGTATATAACATGAATTGGCGGAGTGCCTTTTTATTGAACCTTGAAACACCGAAGCGCCAATCGACAAATCCGACACCGTAATGCAAATTCGATAGAAATTTTAAAGGTAGTCCTTCTTCCTGCTCGTCCTCGTGTACTGGGTAAGAGCCCATTCGACGTCACCAGTGGAACCCTTCTCCAGTGTACCTCCCCGGATCTCGAACAAGCGCATTGTCATACGTGGACCGACCTCGGCAAGCTCGACATCCCTGTAGCCAGTCTTCACGAAAACATGGTGTCGCACCTCAATACTGTCCTCCTTGTTCACAAAGGTCACAATTCGGTTGCCAAGTTTTCCAGGCTCACGTGGTGGGAAAAGGTGCTTCAAGATCTGAACGACGCGAGCACCTAGCTTGGTGGTAAAGCCTTCGAAGACCAAGTGAGGGTAGCTCTCTGAAACAGTGCCACGAGCAGAGTTTGGGATATCCGCTCTGAGAACAACATTATGCAAGGAGAAGCTAGCGGTAGGACCATGAGGAAGATGTGAAACGGTTAGAGCAGTAGGAGTGCCACGGTGCTCATGCAGCAGAATCATATCGGTCAAGGCGGCACTGGTCGCGCTCGAAACGAGATCAGGAAGAACGAGATTTCCACGGTTAAGACGAATAGCAGTAGGAATAAGAAGACGGATCTCTTTGGCGAAAGCACCAAGGCGAGCAGAGGGGGAGCGAGAAGTGGTCACGATTGGACGAGGGTCAATGACACCGGATGTCAATGCATATTCGTCGTCAACATCCATCTCGCTGTCTTCCTTTGACTCGTCATATTTGAAATCTTCACGGAGTTTTTTATCGTCTGCAATCGAGGCGTCTAGAGGTTTTCCGGAAGCCAAAGAGGCCTTGAGCTGAGCTCGCTTTTCTGCGATAGAAGCATCGCGGAGGAGCAGTGCTCTTCGGTAGAGGTAGTCGCGACGCTCGCGAGTTTGACGGCGCTATATTAAAATCATTAGAATATTTTCAGACTTCCAACTTCATTTGAAAATACCCACCAGCATCTTGCTAAGTTGTGTGGTATGTGACCTGCGTGTGTAATGATGAAAAGCGGCCAACTTTTTTTTTTCTAAACTCCGGGGCTGCACTTTTGGTATTAAATACCTACCGTAACGTGATCCCACCGATTAGAATCCGAATCGCATATGCGGAGAAGGTTTTTGTTCATCCAAAATTCTTCCACTCCTTTTTGTCAGTCTTCTATGACAGAGTGGTGGACTGGATGTTAGTAACTACCTTTATTCCTTCGTTGTTTCCTATTAAATCTTCCTTCTGACATCTACCTAGTCTTCCTATTCCCATCCCGTTCCTCTGCCCCTCAGGAACGAACACACACCTTCAACGGGCTCTGGAGAACCCATCCTGGACGACGAGATTGTCCTTGACACTCTTTTGATTCTTCATCGACTCACTCTTCCTTCCTCAAAGCTCGGCGTGATTTTCTCGACTTTCTGTTTACCTCACTCTTGCTTCTCGACTTACCTTTCGCAACGCGCCCTACCGCTTTTTCAATGGACAGCCTCCACCCTGGACTGGCAGACGATGCTTCAGTGATTGGAGATATGGAAGACGCGAACACGAGTGCACTTGGCGGCGCTCGACGCCGACGCCATGACGACGAAGATGACAGTTCCGACGTGCTGGAAGATGACGATTTGGAGAGCACGGTCGGTGGACCGACAAACGGAGAACACGGACACGCAGAGGAAGAAAAAGAGCTTCCAGCTCATGCATGCGCGTACGCAGAAATATTCTATTTTGATTTACGATTTGTTCGTCGGCTGATCATGCCATTTATTCTAGCTACTGCGGTATCCATAACCCCAGCAGCGTTGTGAAATGCCTTTCTTGCAACAAATGGTTTTGCAGCGCTCGCGGTAGTTCCTCGTCATCCCACATTGTTAATCACCTTGTTCGCGCTCGCCACAAGGAAGTTCAGCTCCACCCAGCCTCGTCTCTCGGTGACACTATCCTCGAATGCTACAACTGCGGAACCAAGAACGTCTTCCTCCTCGGTTTCATTCCTGCGAAATCGGACACCGTCGTGGTTCTTCTATGCCGTCAGCCATGTGCTGCACTGCCTTCCTCCAAGGACATGAACTGGGATACATCTCGCTGGCAACCGCTCATCGAGGACCGCTCTTTCTTGCATTGGCTTGTGGGAACTCCCACTGATCAAGAACAGCTGCGCGCGCGTCATCTGAGCCCTCAGTTGATTGCAAAGCTGGAGGAAATGTGGAAAGATAAGCCTCAGGCCACCTTGGAGGATCTTGAGAAGGCCACCGCTGTGGATGATGAGCCCGCGCCAGTCCTGCTGCGCTACGACGACGCCTTTCAATACCAGAATATTTTTGGGCCCCTCGTTAAAATTGAGGCTGACTATGACCGAAAGCTTAAGGAGTCTCAATCACAGGACGGCTTGGTGGTTCGTTGGGACCTTGGTCTCAACAACAAGCATCTCGCAAGTTTTGTTCTCCCTAAGCTCGAGCTTGGAGATGTGAAGCTAGCAGTTGGCGACGAGATGCGCCTGAAGTATAACGGCGAACTGCGACCCAAATGGGACGGAGTTGGATACGTCATCAAGATCCCAAACAACCAGTCTGATGAGGTTACCATCGAATTGAGCGCGAAGGGCGACCACCACAAGTCTGCGCCCACTGAATGTACCCACAATTTCACCGCTGACTATGTCTGGAAATCGATCTCTTTTGACCGTATGCAATGCGCCATGAAGACTTTTGCTGTGGATGAGATGAGCGTTTCAGGATACATCTTCCACCGTCTCCTCGGCCATGAAGTTGCAGCCGCGCCGATGAAGACACAGATTCCGAAGAAATTCAGTGTCCCCGGTCTGCCGGATCTGAATGGCAGTCAGATCAATGCCGTTAAGAGTGTTCTGCAGCGACCGCTGAGTCTGATTCAGGGCCCTCCTGGAACTGGTAAGACCGTTACTTCGGCTACCATCATCTACCATCTTGCCAAGCTCAATGGAGGCCAGGTGCTCGTCTGCGCTCCCTCCAACGTGGCGGTTGATCAGCTGTGTGAACGTATCCACCGAACTGGCCTGAAGGTGGTTCGAGTGACTGCCAAGTCTCGCGAGGACGTTGAATCTCCCGTTAGTTTTCTTTCCCTGCACGAGCAGGTGGCAATGAATGATACCAACATCGAATTGGTCAAACTCAATCAGCTCAAAGGCGAGCTGGGAGAACTATCCAGTCAGGATGAGAAACGCTTGAAACAACTCACTCGCAACGCGGAGCGTGAGATCATCAGCAACGCCGATGTCATCTGCTGCACCTGTGTTGGTGCGGGCGATCCTCGTCTGTCCAAACTGAAGTTCCGAACCGTTCTCATTGACGAGTCGACCCAGTCCGCGGAGCCTGAGTGCATGATTCCCTTGGTCTTGGGCTGCAAGCAAATAGTGCTGGTCGGTGATCACCAACAACTTGGTCCTGTTATCATGAACAAGAAGGCAGCCAAGGCTGGTCTTAACCAGTCTCTTTTCGAGCGTCTTGTCATCTTGGGCTGTTCCCCCATCCGCCTTAATGTCCAGTACCGTATGCACCCCTGCCTGTCTGAATTCCCATCGAACATGTTCTATGAGGGATCCTTGCAGAACGGCATTACTATCGCCGATCGTCTTCGCCGTGATGTTGACTTCCCTTGGCCCATGATGGATGACCCCATGATGTTCTGGTCCAACCTGGGCCATGAAGAGATCGCAGCTTCGGGAACTTCGTACCTCAACCGCACTGAGTCGACAAACGTCGAGAAGATTGTCACTCGCTTCTTCAAAGCTGGTGTGCAGCCCAAAGACATTGGTATCATCACTCCTTACGAGGGTCAGCGAAGCTACATCGTCAGCTCCATGCAGGCTAGTGGAACTTTCAAGAAAGAGCACTACAAGGAGATTGAAGTGGCATCCGTTGATGCGTTCCAGGGCCGAGAGAAGGACTACATCATTCTATCCTGTGTCCGTTCTAACGACCACCAGGGTATTGGTTTCTTGAGCGACCCACGCCGTCTCAACGTTGCACTTACTCGTGCTCGATTCGGTCTTGTCGTCCTCGGAAACCCTAAGGTACTGTCCAAGCATCCTCTTTGGAACAACCTTCTACAGCACTTCAAGGAACGACACTGTCTCGTAGAGGGTCCCTTGTCGAACCTGCAGGAGTCGTTGATACAGTTCAGCCGCCCCAAGCAAGCTTATAGAGGTCCTCAGCGTTTCCAAATGTCGTTCAATCAGCCATCCAATGTCAACCCGGTCGCTATGAACGGCCGCAATGGCTATCGCAACGAGTACCATGATTCGGGATCTGTGGTTGGATACATCCCCGACGATGTTTCATCCGTCCATTCATCCACCTTGGGTGGAGTTGGTCTGCCCTCCGGATACCCCCCAATGTTCCAGCACTTCACTGAATCGTGGCGTGATCGCCGGGGCAATGGTGGCCGAGCAAAGGGTGCTCCAAGTGTCGCTGGGGAGTCTGTTGCTGCCACCGAGTCCGATGTTCTCAGCAGCATCGTTGACACCCACAGTATCGATCAGGGTGGTGTCAGCCTTACCGGTCTTAACATCAACAACATGAATAAGCAGCCCAGCTTCAATCAGTCCGATCGACTTAAGCGCTACGTGGAGTCTGGCGGTCGTGAGCCCTACCGTGCCGGCGTCCCTGACAACGGCAGCATCTTCGGCGGTAGCTCCGCTAGTCTTCGTGTCACTCGTGGTGTTCCCGGCTCCAGTCAGAACCATGATGACGACGATGCCCGTAGTGTTTCCACCGCATTTGCCAGTCAGGTCGGTGGTAACTACGACTGAGTGAGGCATAGCATGGCCATAAGCATACTAGGGTAACCTCCAACAGGTTTTCCCTCTTCCATCACCAGGGAAGCAGAGTATTGTACGACTATCAGGGCTTCTTCCAGCAGAGTCATTGCCCATCCGTTTCTTTTGCCGACAAGGCCTCGTCACTACTTCTCAGGCATCTCAGATCCCTGAATTGAACTGAACTACGAGTTGAGACGAGACCCAGCCCCTTTTCGGTCTAATAAGACCGGTATGTATCCCTTGATCTGGGATAAGCGCATAAACCTGTCTAGGGCAGTAGCTAGCTACCGTTTCTCATGTTATATGAGTCTGATAGCAAGTTATCGAGCAGCTTTGGGAGGTTTAGCCTGCCCCAGCTCGATTCTTCTTAGCAGTAGTTACCTAGCCTTAGATAGTTCTATCTTATTGCTTTGAAAACCCAAGACCAATCGTTTGTTTTGAATAGGAATTAAGTATGTCGACCAATCTTACCACTGTGTATTGGCCCTCGAACGATCGCCTTACGATGCTCCGCTCGATTTAGATCTGAAATCTGCCCACACTATGACCAACCAGAGCGCCACCTGAGCATATGCCACGTCAAAAGGGTTACCCAGGTAATAATATCTACTTTCAGCTTCGGCCATAGCAGGCTGAGCATGCATTTTGACGTTACCAAACAAATGCTTTAAATTGCTGAAGCCTAAATTACGAAGACCACATGTTCTGCACCATGCAATGCGATGTACTCCGTACTCGGTCTATGAACTGAATTTTCATACTCGGTAGTTATTGGAATATAATTCACTGTCTGGCCAATCAGAATAAATGCTGTAACCTAAGTACATACATGCATTTCCACACCAATCATATATACTTTTACGTGACTGCACCGCCACATCTCAGGTCGCCATGATCTTCAGGCCGAAACCAGCATCAACAAGGCGGATAAAATACTTCGCAGTCGCTGCCTGATCTATGGTTGGATACTGTAAGGAGATGAGTAACTTATCTACCCAAGCTACTGGGTTTATTATGAGTCATTTTGTGTGGCCAAAATCAACCAGTTTTGGGGCATTTATAAAGCAGCCGATTCCTTGTCGAGGTACAAACTACGGAGTACAGTACGACGTATATTGATTGGGCCGAAGAATCTGCAAAATCAGATTATTCAGCTCACGGCGACCCCGCGATAGTCAAGCGCGGCCCGAAATCGTTGCCACACCAGCCACAGTGGCGGTAAAGACGCCATTTCCCTTATAAATAGGCCAAGGGGTGTCGGTGCCTGATTCTTCCTGAAAAAATCGGCTTCTCTCTTGTTCTATACATCCACACTTGCCACCATCCAGCCTACTTGACTCAGAAACTAAATTAATTAGTTCTCTTGTCAATATTCAACTTTCTTCACCATTTCCCCCCCTTTTGTAATTTCTTTAGCTACCACCATTTTACTGTGGGTTTAAATTCACTTCATCTTCATCGTCACGACTCCCTACTGTGCTATCTTGACATGTCTGATTATCCCAGTCCCAGAAGTGAAGCTCCCCCGGGACCTGGAGCAACGGCTGCCTCAGGCCTCGCTTTTGCAACTGAGAACTTCGCGGAATCAATTGCTGCCGCCAGGATGAATAGCGAGCAGCAGCAACCTCCTGCTCCTATCGGCTACAGCCTGGAAGGGCCACGCCCGCGCCTTTCTGTTCGACGCGCCCGCGATCCACCCAAGAACACCGAGGGACAGATTTATTGCGACCACCCTGATTGCGAAGCAAATCCCCCCTTCTTCCGTCGTCCATGTGAATGGAAGTATGTACTATTAGATCAATCCCCAGCATCAACGCAACTTACTAATTCATATCCGTCTAGTAAACACATGGACAAGCATGACCGTCCCTACAAATGTTACGAACCCGGCTGCGATAAGATCCAAGGCTTCACGTACTCCGGCGGTCTCCTCCGTCACCAACGCGAAGTCCATAAGAAGAATACAGACGCCAAGAAGCCTCTTATGTGTCCCTACGCAGATTGCAACCGCAGCGCCGGCAACGGATTTACGCGACAGGAGAACCTTCGAGAACACTTGCGACGTCGCCACATGCACAATGACGAGGGGAATCCCAACCTTATGGTCGACATGCCATGGGACCGCGCTGGTGAGCTGGATGGCAGGTCAAACTCCTTGCCAGCCACTGGTATCAAGCGCAGACATAGTCTTACTGACGGTGACCTGCCTGAAAGTGATGACAATGGCGCCGATCTCCACAGTGAAGTCAAGCGACTGCGCCAGGAGGTACAGGAGAAGGATCGCCGTCTAGAAGAATTGGAACGCATTGTTGCAGGACTTCAGGCGGTCATTCCCCAAGCCCAGCCCGAACCCGAGGTTCAGCCTGCTGTCTCACCATCTATGCCGCCTCCCGCTCCCCAGGCTCCAAAACAACTCTCGTTTTAATTCACTCCGATATATCCACAATTTCTTTTTCCAGCTCCCCCTTCCCTTTTCATCTCGTGGTCTTTTTTGTTTTTTACATGCTTTGCATTTTTTAGGCGTTCGCCAAAGCGGTCACTACTAAAATGGATTGTTGGTTTGGAACCTCTCATTGCATCGGGGGCCTGATCTTCTTGGTTGGTGGGGAACGCATCCAACCAAGTAGATGGGATATGGCGTTTTTTTGACCATGACCTCAAGGAGACAGGCGTTTAGTTCTCTCTGGTAGAGGTATCTTGTCCCATATTGATACCCAAGTGTATCGTTCTGGATTTTTGCAACCTAATAATCTTCTTGTTACACTCTTTCTAGTGACATTGGGGGTTTCATCTATAGCTTAATCCATCCGATTATTTTTAAATCCTCTGATATCGGGACGTTGGTTTCGCCCTGTACATAGGTACTTTGAACTTGCAATTGTATTGAAATTAAATGTAGATTTGTATTCAATATTCAGATGTAAACCTAAGCACAGCTGCATCTAGATTATGGACGCCGCGGCATAATGTCTCAAATATCCATTCTAAGCATAGTTCATGCTGACGCCTCGGATTTAGGGACTAAGGAACAAGGCTATACGATGTGTCCAATTAGGTTATATCAACGTCTTTGGAGTTTGAATTTTGTGGTCGATATGATTCAATATGATTCAATATGACTCGATATGACTCACAATATCTGACTAACTAGTAGCCATAGCTGTCCACGGGTGTCTGTGACATTGGTCCAGATGACAAATCTCCTGATGGCTTTTTTTGGGCTCGGACATTTGGGCTATATCGGACTCCGGTTTTGGAAGCAATGACTTCGCACCTCGGCACCCTCGGTGACCCACCTTTCACTAAACAGTCTAGACTGGGATGCTGTTAATATCCATGGAGATTGTTGCTAGATAACAGGACTTAAATTTTTCCTCTTGTACCGGATGTATTTGTCATTTGCTGTGGCTGAGTTGGAGCACACGACTGCATTCCAAGGTGTAGATATGGATTTATCCGGGAGCCTTTCTCAGTTGACCAAGTGGGCAGGTTTGTATTTCTTCCAACTTCCAATAGGAGTGAAGTAGCATTAGTACCTTAGTAGCTGCTATCTAGGCTGTAGCTTTCAGCAGCCAGTCTTGGAAGACCATGAGCCTTGGAAACGGTCCATTTATTTTGCCCATTTCTTATTCTACTATATGCGTTTTCAAGGCTCTACACTGACGAACATGTTATCAAGATAATTAATTATCATGATAATGATCATCTGTAAGCGCAACTTTCATCGTCCTCCAAGTGTTAATGTCTATATCAGCCCGGAGATGTTTTCTTTGTCGTTGATTAGAGAAGGGGAAAGCTTTAAACCGTATGCTCGTGGTTGTCGATTCTCACTGATTGTCCAAATTGACCTGAAGGAACTACTTTATTTGTCCTCACGCTCGTAACGATGTAAATCCATAAATAATCTGGAATCTTAACTTCTTGAGAGAGATAGCGAGCGTAGGTTCTGATCAAGCCCTAACTCCGGCTATCGTGCTTATCGGAAAATACATGTATTCACCACCACTACCGCCACTTCCAAGTATTGCATCGAAATATCTTCAAATTTTTGGCCACCTGCTCTTCTTGAAGTGTGCCTAGCACTGTAATTTGTCATCCATAATGAAATCTTTCATAGGAGTACAGAGAATTTCTAAGGTTCGTCATTTTTTCTTTCCCCAAGTTCAAACTAAATCAACGTTTAAAACTATAATATCCTCTAACCTCCTAATAAGCAAGAAGAAATTATTTTGGAAAGAAGCTGAGAACACTGGTATCACATCATGTCATTTATGAATATTTGGATCATGGATCAACGCCGGACATCACCAATCCCCAGCGCGCTCTTCACATAATTTCCAAGATTTCATAGCTAGGTGAACTCACAAGAAGTGGGCTTTTTGGGTATTACCACAATTCACGCACTTTTCTCGCCAGCTTACACTACTTGGAGACTGGGGGGGGGGGAGACTCGGATTGTGATGTCATAAAAGAAATAAATAGTATGTAAAGCAAGGTGCGCCACCTTTTGACTCGAATGACTTTCTGTGGACTGTTGCCCCTCAAAGATTTATAGATGATGCAGGCTCAGGTCTTTATAGTTGGGGTGAACCGCGATACATCTCAAGACCTGACGTTTGGCGGCTACTGCATCCTTCTCCGACGAAAAGAGACGACTTGGTTCGTGGAATGCCGTAACAATTTGAAGACAATAAAAGGGGCGAGGAGCTTGGTAAAACTGACGGCCAGGACTCGCAATCCAAAGTAGAGAACGACTGGAGGCTTAACTAGATATAATTGGCTGACAATAGTCTGTTTAGTCCACTCAGATTGGGTTCTCAGCAAATCTTTGGCCAGCCCTGGTGTGAGTCCGGCATGGACCGCTCAACCGGTTCACGCATAGTCTAGATACCTAGGTATTCATGAGGGGGAAAACTCACCTCATAATTTTGGAACCTTAGAAAATGAAAAGTTGCTCAGATGAAGAATGGATCGGTATCGTCGCTAAGTTCACCACTGACGCCGGCATTCACAAAGCCCTAGGTTTGATGATCACAAGATATCTGTGAGATATGAGTGGGTTCTACTTGAAGCCAGAAGGCCTAGTGGATCGCTATGATTGATATTTATACATACTTCGGGAATGCTCTGATGATATCAAAGAAGCATTCATGCCCAGATGGAGTATGTTGAGGTCAGAGTAAGTGATGTTGAATTAGAATATCTCGATCACTCGTCGAATGGCGAGTTATCTTGATTCAACGTCGCGTCACAACTATCTATGTAACTCTTTCAGGCATGCTGGAACAGTCGATGAATGCCATCTTAGGTATGGCGATGGTGATGGCAGGGGCGCGCAGATGCTCATATTTGACTTCTGCATGGAAGTCCTCCGGAGTTTTCTAAGCCCAGTAGAACCATATATTAATTCAGCATCTTTAGCTCCTTTTGACTATATACAGCATAAAGATGCTAGCCAAGCCAGCAAAGATAACAAGAGATTTGTCTTCGAAAGACAAAGGTTCACCGACTAGCTCTCTCATCTTCAATCTGCTCACGCAAGTCTGAAAGAGCACCTTTACGCTGTGTCAAGTGGCTCTTCAGCCCTTCCACCTGTTCACCAACAGTCTTCACATCATCCCTTAAGCGCTCCAAGTTCTGACCATCCTTTGCTCGTCCTACTCCCTCTCTTAGTTCACGCAACTCTCGCTCCTTGTATTCCAAAAGTTGCAAGGCCTCCTTCTTAATCAGAACCCAATTTGGTCGGCCATCATTCCGAGGCTGATCACGCCTCGTCTCTGAAGCATGGCGGGCAGCCTTCAGCTTCTCTTCCATCTCCACTAACTCCCGACGTAATCTAACCTTCTCCCACTCTTCATCCTGAATGGTGTCGCTGAAATCAGTTCCCTTGGGTTGGTACGCACCCTTACCACCTACACCTAGTCGACTAAGATAGGTATCTCCAAACTTGGCTTTGCGACCACTTGTTGTCTCTTCACCATCAGCGCCCCAGCGCTGTGCAGGTCGAGGGTGGTCAACCTGGTAATCAATCTGGTTGTGTTCAAAAGAAGCTCGCAGCGATGGCGGAATCGTGCGGGGGATGCGGAATCCCTCATGGCGGTAGTTTAGGATGTGTAGAAATGCTAGTGCAGCGTCCTTATTAATGGCTTGGGATGCGGAAGGGTTTACTAGGTTCCATGCAGAGCGGACATCTGTATCAGGAACGTCGAGAGAGTCGTACAGTTGGTGGAGAGATTCAACTGGAGCTTAGTATTAGAAAAAAGGGTGATCTCGCATGGACCGATATGTAGGGCAACTAACAGGTAATTTGGCCGCGGTGGTTGCGGCTGGAGCTATAGATCTCCTCATACTTGGACTTGTCGGCCGGTTTCATGTACCAATCGAAGCCATCCTTCAGACCAAGCGAATCATCCTCATCTTCTATCCGCTCAAATTGTTCTTGATGTCCACCCAGTGCGCGTGTAGCTTGGACGAGATGTGACTTGGATTCCGGGATAAGCCAGTCGGGCAGAACGGGCGGGACTTCTTGTAGCTCCTATATTGCGGGCCACGTTAGACAACGGGAGCGCAACTTGCGAGTCAATTGTTAGGGGTAGACATACACCGTTGACAAGGTCAAACACAAGGCGCATAGCGACACAGAATTCTTCGAAGTCCAGTTCACCATCGCCGTCGACATCTGCAATGTCCCAGACTTTCTCCAGTTGATCATCGCGCAGGTGACTATTACGCAATACCGAAGCGGCCTGTGAGCTGTTAAGGTGCGTCTGGCCGTTTCCGAGCGAGGAGAAAATCTCCCAATATCGCTCTATTTCCCATTGTTCAATCTTTTTGGTAGACATGATTGTAAAATAGTCAATTAGCGGAGGTGGAGGAGGGCAGTTTGAGTTGGCGGATCGGCTGTCCGCCTTCAGGGGATCTGAGGTCATCGTTGTTTACTGTACTCGGAATCCCAACACAATTTTATTAGCTAGATACTGGTCTATATCAAGATATTGGGACTGAAACTTCCGCAATTATCTTCCAATTTTGAGACCTTTTAATACAAATCTACTCCGTACGTCTGTGGCTACCTAAATACTCTGTACGGTTCAATATAAATTGACATAGCTATACTCCTAACTCGCCTTCTTAATTGGAAATAATTATGTTCAACAATGTAAGAAATGAGGGATTACTCATCGAAAAGACACTTTGGCCGAGTGGTTAAGGCGCGCCCCTGCTAAGGGTGTTCATTCGTGAGCGCAGGTTCGAATCCTGCAGGTGTCGTTTTTTTATTTAATGTCATTTTTTTTTAAAAAAAAATGTCACGTGATAAAACAGAGTATCATTTTTATGCGTCCACGACTTATTCTTTTTTCAATTAATTTTGAAATTACTCGTAGCAGTCGATTTATCCAGAGGTTTGAAAGGTGATAATTGCGTTCAATATAACCTAAGAAAAACTGCATGAAATTGGCCACGTGAATTGATTTTAAAGAATGCATGGAGTGAGAGTTGTATATTCGTAATCTATTTTCAGCACAGCAGAACATCAGCACTATTATGATCATAAATCATGACTTCTTCTTTTGATCGGAATCCTCCGTTTTTGCCCTTTCCCGCTGGGCAATTAACTGCTCATTGACTTGGAAAATGGCCCGCTCAGCCTCCAGTGATAATTCGGGTGCATCCAAGATTGTGGCCAACTTCCTAGCGTCAGACATCTTCAAGAGAACCCTGTCATCACTCGGATCCATTTCTTCAAATATCTCAGCCGGGGATTTATCGCCGGAGGTATGTTCAATAGCCCGAGCTGCACATTCAGCATACAACTGTTCCAGCTCGGGGAGGGAAATTGGATTAATGAGGTCTTCTTTCACAAGGAACTCCAAGTGTCGCGAACCGTTAAGTGCTATAAAGACAATAATCGTCAGCTTTTTGGAATATTTTGACCGGCAAAATACTTGACTTACCGCGCCAGTGAGACCAGCCTCGATATGCCAGATAGAAGAAAGGAATATTCGGGATGCTGTATTAATATAGATCATTAGTATGCATCGTCAAAAGAGCAATGATTGAGTAACTTACACTGGGATTAGGCCCAAAGGAGCAGTAAACGGCGCAACACCAAAACTCCACATCATCTTCTTTCGATGAAACTCTTGCCTTTCTGTAGCGATGGTGCGTAAAATGTCTCGGATATGCTCCGTCCGTATCGCATTTCCTGGGAAAAGAACTTCAATCTTCTTATTCCCATGCTCTTTGTCGATGCGCCGCGCGGAATTGAGTGATGGAATACTCTTCAGACCCCATTCTTCAAATGGAATACGCTGTTGCACCTTATTCCCCCATGTGATAAGGTGATATTTCCAGCCCTTCTCCGCTGTCTCCCATTGTGCCCATGTCGCTGCTGCCTTTGACGTAATGCGATCTAGTATAGAAAGTTCCGCGGGAATATCTTTTCGGAGTGGGCGAGAGTAAATAAGAGCTCTTCTTGTCGAGATGGGAATCAGAAAGAGACGCATAGCGGAAGGGTAAAATAATCTTCTTTAGTTGGGAGAGGGTAGTCCGAATAGAGACTGAGTCGAATATTAACGAGGTTCAAACAGTGTGAAAAAAAGAAGATGACATGCAATTCGCCTTCGAGGTGCAGATGAGTGTAGCCTAAAGGAAGGCTTGGGTGAGAAACTAGGGGAGAAGGACGTCATTCCGCGGCCGCAAACCTCGTTTTTTTGGTTCCGCAGCTTGAATCCGCCTGAGACCCATCGGCACCAACCTCCCCCTTTCAAATTTTTTTTCCTTTAGGTCGGATTGCACGGAGTACAGCTCATGAACATCTTCATTTCATGACTGCTGGTACTGGTGATGAATTGCATAGTTTATTGAAATTTCGCCTTTTCCGAGTCACCGGCCTGCTAGCGCTCCTGCCATGAACTCGCAAAGCTCCAATACCGATAACGCTTCAGACAGCTTCTCCAATGAGAAGCTGTCTGTAGAAACTACTTCTGCTAATGGGTCCTCTGATCTTTATAAAAACTACTTAATTGTTGATTCCTATAATGGAATTCTTCAACAAAGTGTCTCGAACTCACCGGCCACCACCAGGATTCCAGTAGTCAAGAAGATCGAAGACCAGATAAAGGCAGAGCGTACATACGTGAGGACTCTACCTGGTAGGCCGTCAATTTCACAGTTGTTCACAATATCTGCTTTTCCATACTGACTTCGGACTTTTCAAGCCTGGATTCGATCTGTCGATGTAAACGACCCAGATGAGGAAGAAGCCACAGCAAGCGATCGCCTATTGCCCTCCGAACCAAATGGTGTGTTTGTAGCCCAACATAATCATTCACCATATGACAGGTCCGGTACCGAATACTCGCAAGCAAACGGACATAGTGGCCTTCAACGGAGTCAGATCTCCCAAGAACCAGAATCACGTTGGAAAACGTTTTCTAGAACTATCCAATACCCTCGCGAACCGGAGGTGGAGTTCAAGAAAGTCACACCAGAATGGATGAACGACAATATTGGAGATTATTCAGGGCCTTGGCGCGGCAATCTTCTCGATGGCGATAGCCCCGAAGGCCCACTGCATCAAAACACTACTCGCCGACAAATGTGGATCAAACGCCTCAACCAATCCTTACTCAGAAGCCCGATCGCCCCGCTAATTTTGAGGCTCACTGTTTGGTGCTTCTCACTTGCTGCTCTGGCTCTGGGTAGCTCGATCCAGCATTTTTCAAGAGGGGGCCATCAACAAGGGCCCTCTGCTCTGATGGCGATCATTGTGGATGCAGTTGCGCTGGTATATATCCTCTATATCACTTTTGACGAGTACACATCAAAACCCCTGGGTTTGAGATCGCCATCATCCAAAGCCCGTCTCATCTTGCTCGATTTGTTTTTCATTGTTTTCGATTCTGCCAATCTGAGTTTGGCGTTTGACTCACTATCAGAGGTCACAGGATCCTGCACTGAAGCGGAGGTCAATCAAGTATTGGATCCTCGAAATAATGCGGTTTGCTTGCGGCAGAAAGCCCTCGCGTCTGTTTTGTTGGTTGCGCTGATCGCTTGGCTTATGACATTTGCAATCAGTGTTCTCAGGTCAGTAGAATCTTTGTCTCATAATGGAGTTCGTGACTGATACTGAAGCTATGACAGACTCGTGGAAAGAGTGCATCGATGAATTGTGTCCGACTTCAACACACTTTCATTATTTCGGTCATCTTGTTGGAGTAGTCCAATATTTCACATCATATAACGTTTCTCCAATGAAACACCCTGACTTTTGATGTTGTTTTTGTTCTCTTCGCATAATTATTACCATACAGATTCCCAACTCCCGATCCGCACATGAGCCAACGATCTCGAGAAAACTTCATCCTCGGTTATACATCAATGCAAGCTTGCACTCACCTTGAAGTCCTAGTCTGGGGTCACAGCATTACGAGACTTTCTAGGATTGATCTAGCCAAATTGCTTTTGTATCAAGGTTATACCATACTGTATTTGACGCTACGGCCGCAAAATGACGTGCCTGTGCCTGTCTATACAGTTGTCAACTTGAGCCACAGCCGTTTGCAGCATGTATAGCTCGGCCCATTTTCCCTCGGCGGTTGAGCTGGGTGTACACACTCTGCCGTAGATACGAAGAGATATACCGGCGGTTAGAGCCGATGATTTCCATCATGTTGGGCTGATCAAAACGATATAAAGGAGCAGGATTTGAGCAGGAGTTATTTGACAAGCCCAATGATGTGACGTCACAGCGGCACTGTGCAAGTTCCTACTTGTTTGTAATTACACATATCAGCTCTAGAATACCAGATCAAGATTACCGCTATAAGTACTGTTTCTACCTTGATACGCAATTTAGTAAATAAGTAAATGGTGTGATTTAGTTATAATTCAAGAAGCGCATGGTATATCAACTTTCATAATAGAACTCGTAGATACATTTGCCCTCAATTATCTCGGATAAAAGTATCACCGCCTTCCGTATTTTGTCTCACCGCCTTCCTACCCAGGTATCCCCACGCTCGCCATTCTGTCAGCCTTATGATGACTTTCCCGCCACACCTTCTTATCTCCTAAATATCCTTGCTTTTGGAGTCCTGGATCTCCTTCTTTGTGGGTTTACCATCTCTTGAGCTCCAAGGGATTGAGAAATCCTCGTCAACACCTCTCTAATTCCCTCAACCTCGAGTGAATCTCTCACGCGTCACTCGTGACGCCAACTTGTCTCCGGAGGATTGGTGCGAAACTTCAACTCTTTTGGTTTTTTTGTATCATCACAAGCTAACGAGTTGTTGTAGCATGCTAGATTTTTCTCTTCCCCTCCATTTCCCTCTCTCTTAACACTTCTAGTTATCATGGCGCCCATGCAGATACCTCACAAGGATGACCTGGAGGAAACGTGAGTCGAGTCTTGGCCTCCACAGCCTGTTCAAGGATACTAAAATATTATTAGATGGTCTTTCCTGGCGGCTGGTATCGATAGTGTGATGCTCAAGTTGGATGAAGGCGTTGATATGAAACACGTGAGTTGGACCAACTACGTTTTTGGATGATAAGCTAATATTCAATGTTTTAAACTTTACAGTACATGGCCCTTTACACGTGCGTTATTCATCCTCGAGCTCTGCGCTGCGTATTCCTTTGCTCACATATCGAATCAACTACAGCGCAGTGCATAACTTTTGTACTTCACAGAAAGCGGTTGGACACTCCACCCTTCAAGCGCATCGTGGAGGTACGCGCGAGCTGGATTACTTCAGTCTACCCATGAGGCTAAGCTGTTCTCATCCGCTCTACCCTTTTACATATCTATCAATTACTAATATTTTAAAATAGCACACCTACTGGGCGAGGAACTGTACAAGCTATTGAGTGAGTACCTTTCTTCCCATTTGTTGTCCGTGTACAACGAATCAATTCGGCATAACGGAGAGGCACTACTGGCATTCTATATTCGCGAATGGGCACGTTATACTGCTGGAGCGAAGTTCTTTCACCATCTGTTCGGATATTTGAACCGCCACTGGGTCAAGCGAGAGATTGATGAAGGAAAGAAGAATGTGTACGATATCTACACCCTGTGCCTGGTAAAGTGGAAGGATGACTTCTTCGGAAAAGTTCATTCTCCGGTGATGGCAGCAGTCCTTGATTTAATTGAGAAGCAGCGCGATGGCGAAACGATCGAGCAATCTCAGATCAAGAGCATCGTGGATTCGTTTGTCGCATTGGGTCTCGATGAAAACGACAGCAGGAAATCTACTCTTGAAGTCTACAAAACTTACTTCCAGAAACCGTTCATCGATGCCACCACCAAGTATTACGAAACCGAGTCACGCCGTTTCGTGGCGGAGAACAGTGTCGTGGAATACATGAAGAAAGCAGAGGCCAGACTTGAAGAGGAACAGGCTCGTGTAAACCTCTACCTGCACCCAGAGGTCACGAAGAGTCTCACTGCGACGTGTTTGCAGGTCCTTGTCAGTGATCACACTCTCCTGCTACGCGATGAATTCAAAATTCTTCTTGAAAATGAGCGTCAAGAGGACCTTGCTCGGATGTATCGGCTTCTGGCACGTATTCAAGATGGATTGGATCCGCTGCGCACAATTTTCGAAACTCACGTGCGAAAGGCTGGTACAGCTGCTATCGACAAGCTCGCCGCTGATGGTGAAAATGTCGAGCCCAAACTTTATGTCAATTCTCTTCTTCAAGTTCACGCTCGGTATCGTAAATTGGTCGATGATGCCTTTCAAGGAGAGTCTGAGTTTGTGCGTTCTCTCGACAACGCCTGTCGAGAATTTGTCAATCGCAATTCAGTTTGCAAAACCACATCAGCCAAATCTCCTGAGATGGTGGGCAAGTATGTTGATTCCTTGTTGAGAAAGGGTAACAAGGCTGCTGAGGAATCGGAGGTCGAGGGGATACTGTTGCAGATCATGATTGTTTTCAAGTACATTGAAGATAAGGATGTCTTCCAAAAGTTTTACTCAAAGATGCTGGCGAAACGTCTAGTTTCTTCAATCTCGGTATCTGATGATGCAGAGGCATTCATGCTTGGCAAGCTGAGGGAGGCCTGTGGAAATGAATACACCCAACGGTTGACGAAGATGTTCACGGACGTTGCGCTTTCCGTTGATCTCAATGGTCAATACAATGAATGGCAAAGTAAGGTCCTCGATGATGAGGATAGAAAGCGACTTGTGGACGGTCAATTTATGGTTCTCGGAGCTGGATTCTGGCCTCTCACCCCATCCGGCAACGCTTTTACTGCACCTGCTGAGCTTACAAAAAGCGCTGAGCGTTTCCAAAAGTTTTACTTTAACAAGCACAATGGTCGTAAGCTGACGTGGATGTGGGTGTTGTCAAAGGGTGAAATGAAGGCCAACTATGTTAAGAACACCAGGGTGCCGTACACATTCCAGGTGTCTGCCTACCAGATGGCTATTTTGCTGTTGTTTAACGAGGCCGACAGCATTCCCTACTCAGATATTCAGAGTGCTACCTCACTCCCTCCTGAGATTCTCGACCCCACCCTTGCAATTTTCTTGAAGGCGAAGGTGCTTCTGGCAAGCCCTGAAGGTGCCAAGCCCGATCCTTCCACGATATTTTCCCTGAATTACAACTTCAAGAATAAAAAGATCAAGATCAATCTCAACGTCCAGATCAAGACTGAGACAAAGCAGGAGATTGAACAAACACACAAAACAGTAGATGAGGATCGCAGACTGTTACTTCAGGTATGGTTATCCCTAGCTTTTTCTTATTTTTTTTTTCCTATATGCGCCCGTTACTAACATCCTGAATTAGTCGGTCATCGTCCGGATCATGAAGTCTCGTAAGAAGATGAAGCACGTCCAGCTCGTGCAGGAGGTCATTCAGCAGGTCAAAGCCCGCTTCCCTCCCAAGATTGCAGACATCAAGAAGAACATCGAGACTCTGATGGAGAAGGATTACATGGAACGGTTGGAAGGGGATGAAATTTCCTACATCGCTTAGATTACCCACCTCACTTTTACATCTGCGTCTTCAACATTCTGAACCGACGCTCCCGTCTCAGCGTTTTGCTCGAAATCCGTCTGCACTCCCAACGGCCATCAACTCCATCCCTTTCTTTCCATCCCAACTTCGCATCTAACTATTAAGTATTGCCCTGCTCTGTTCGACCTACCCATCCTTTCCCCTCCGCCTGTTCCTCGACTTCTTCCGGTTTGTTCTGCGTGTTCGCCAAAATCATGTGGACATCTAGAATGGATCGGAATTAAGTCGAGTAGAAATTGTTCAGATGGAAAAAGAGTTTTGCCGGTTGACACAGGAGTTTTGGGCATAGCATCATCATCACATTTTAACTGTCCATAATAGCGGGACTGGAGATGGAAAGTTCCTAATGAAAACCGAAATATTGACAATTCTATGCTCTTACGTAGTACCTAGTCTACCCGTGAACCTACGCAGCCCTGGATGTACCTAAGTATGCTCGTATGTACTGAATAAAAGCAGTTCCTAAACTTCGTTCAACATGCACGCATTTCAACATGACAATAGCGGGCAACTTGATAACCAGGATACCACTTTTCAACCATATTCTACCGTATTCTAATAAATATATTAACCAAGTTGAGTCTGTATCTCCGGCGGCTTATAATAATCTTCCCAGCCATATGTCTCGCTCATGCGGCAAAAATCCAGCGGTTCGTGTATCAGTAGGAAGGAAGCACTTTCATCCAACCAATATTTCCAAGGTCCACGTTTGTAACACATCCATTAAAAGTGGCCTGGCAGGGGATCACGTTCTTCATCCGGTATAATAAAAGGTTGTTCTTGGTGTAAGGTAGCTATCTTGGTCCAGTGATTGAGATGATCTTGGAGAGAAGCGACTGTCGCGCCCTTAAACGAGACTATCATCAAGAACCGATAGGACAAAGTCGTCCAATAGATCTAGGCCATGGTGAAAACTCAAGAGTTTCTGTGACATCGCTCATGATAAAATTCATGGATTTCGTGTTCACTCAGAATCACTTCGGTATCTCCAGCGATATATCATAAAGCTCAGGTAGGTCTTGAAGTTGTCTTCCTGGAGAAGGCACTCTAGCTCATCCTCGGTACTAACTTCAATGAGGTCTCCATAGCAGGATCTCGTTTCAAAGGCCTTTCGTGAAGACGTCTTGTATTTGACAGTGCGCGGCTCATTGTGGTCGAGAAAGAAATTGCAGTCAGATAAGTTTGAAGATTCTTTGACCTATGTGTGAAGGGTAGCTGGCGGGGAAGAAGTGGATTGTACTGCGAAGGGTAGAAACCTTGGAAGCCTGTGTTGTTTATGTAGCGGTTGAAATAGAAGAAGAGTTCTTGGAATCATTCTTGAATAATACGATATTTTGTGAAGAGTTTCGTGGGTGGCCTTGAAGCAAAAGTTGAATAACTAGGTAGGTAATTGCGAGCATCATGCCATCCATGGATCAATCACAAGGTACAAAATATAAAAACCTCCGTATGTATGTTTGGTAACGTTCCACTAAGAACCCTGACAAGCTTGGAAATCAATTACGATATTATACCACATAATTTAGGTATCATAAATTTATTTTTTTCTTGCCATTTGAATTCGATCAAAATCATTAAAACATTGAAGTATATCCGTATCATCTCAGATCTGACCTGAGGATGTAGGCAGGGGCCGCAAAAAAAAAAAAAAAAAAAAAAAAGAATGCCGAAAGAAAAGATATAAACAAGACGAAGGGTATGGGTAAGGATGAATGCCGCGCCAGGAAGAACCTTGTAAGTAAAAATAGTAATCATGTATAGGTGGAACGGTGTAGTATGTTAAAGAACAAAAATTATTTCACGTTCACGCGGCATGGGTAGAGTCGTTTAAGTCTTCGGCCTTCTCGAAGGCCTTGTCTTCTAGGACAGGAGGTTGGTGGGCCTTGCCCACATCTTCAGCCTTCCTTGGATCTAAAGGTGTGTTCTCGTTCTGTTCCGGATCTAGATTGAGCGAAACAGCAGAAAAACCATCTGAATCGACTGGTTCTTTATGTTTTGGCTTTTCGTCGTTCTCCACAAGGTTTAGTTTTTCGATGGCTTTGGGCTTATGAGCCGGATACCCGTGCGACAGTGGAGACTTGGGGAAAATGGTTTCGGAGGGGTCATCGTCACGTCTGGGTGATTCGCCACTATCCCGACGCAGAATGATATTGCTCCATCGTTTTCTGCGGCTAAGGCTGCGAGAGAGACCATCTTCGTTCTCGCTGTATCGTACCAAAGAACGACGGCGACCGCGGTCTGACTCGGTGGTTTCATTTGAGGAAGATGTGGTCAGGGTGGCTGGCGTATCCACGCCGGCATTCGAGCCTGCTGGCGACGAACTGCGCTTTTCTTTCGTTTGCCACTCTCGGCGCTTCTCGCTGGCCCAGGAGCCCCAAGAGCTCAAGTACGATGTTGCTTTCTGACTGACTACGGTTGCAGAGGCCTGTGCTGTGGCTATGTCTAGAGAAGGCCTTTGGCGGGGGCTGAACCAGGCTCCAGAGGTGTCGGAGGGAGAGTCCAGGGTCGCCTCGGTTGGTGGCGGAGAGCTGGTGGTGTCTAGCGAGATCGAGGTACGCTGTGAGGAGTTTAATTTCTCCTCGGTGCGTTTCCGCTGGGCCTCGCGCATGGATTCAATGTCGGACCAGAAGCTGCTGAATGCAGAAGTGACTTTCTTGTGGCCTGTTGCGAGGTGGCGGTTGAGTGCTTCTCGGCCTTCGCGCACGCGTTCATCGAGATGCAGATCAGCCACCTGCTGAGATACTCGTCGCTGGATATCCTCCATCGTCAAACCACCAGCACTTGGGTGTTTAGGCTCGGTGATGGAGAAAAGGAGAGCGTCCGAAGTAAGCCGCGAGAAAAGAGCATAATTCGAAGTCTTTTTCCACTGAGTCAAGAACTCCACGTTAAAATCAAGCGCAGGATCGCCTTCAATGTTGAAGTTTTGCAACTGTGCCCTGCTCCGATGGGGCGAATCACCAGAAGTACACGAGTTGAGCTCTTCGTGGTATTTCATGCAGGATAAAAGGGCCAGCAGGTACTCCTCGAACTGGAGTCGGATAAACTCTTCTGAGCCCATGAAGCCGAGCGTTTTGGGCTGTGAAGGGTGGGCTTCATCCCAGGTTCCATTGACAATCTGGGTAAGAAGATCTATCCAGCGCCTGTCGGCTGCAGAAAGAATTAAGGCGTTGCGGAGAGTTGGCGATGAGATACTGATGCTGTCCTCATCAAGCTGTTTTCATTTGAGACTTAGATTAGACATTTACTGCCGTCCTTGGTTATTCCAGTAGACTCACGTTTATCAATATATCGCTATACCGGTCTTTTTGTTGCAAAAGCAGCGAGTTAGTGGATCCTACCACATAGGACTTTGTGCCATCATCGGCCAGCAGATCCAGCTGCTGTAGAGGAGTATAGGGCCCAAACATGCTCCCCTGAAGGAAGATTAGTATATATTACTTGAAAATTCGGATTCAGGGCTAAGCTCGGAGGCGTACCTTGCCAAATATTTGTAATGGTAAGCCCATATAAGCCAATACTAATATAGTTAGTATGATGTCTTACGGAAAAAGGTCAGAGTAAATCATACATGAGCTACGATCGCTCGTTTTAAGTGAAGTTGGCTTCTCGACATTTTGTTCGTAGCTGTCAAAAGAAGGGTCTGCACAGTCTTGAAGACTATTGATGAGTCCGGGTATTAAAGAGACAAGTGAGAATTGAATCATGCATAAACGTTCACAGCGAGTGCCAAAAAAGAGCATCTGAAGAGATCAGCTGAAATTCTTGCGAGAAAAAAAGAGCGCATACACACCTTTGGCTGCAATAGAAGGCCCTTGAAAAGGACTAGTGTTTGATATTTGAATTCATGAATCATCTCTCGGAGAGAAAGACCTTCAGATCTAGTCAGTATGAAATGCCTCATAAAATATAGATAGGAACTTACCGAGATTCTGGTCTATGGGACCATCATTTAGCAGACTGATAACCAAGCCCTCGCGAAATTTCTGTCTTCAAATTAACATTCGATTTTCCCAACAGAAAATATTCAGGTAGTATTACTCTCAATATATCAACATCCGAAAAGTCCCTAGAGATAGATGTTCAGATTAACTTACGTCCGTAAACACAATGGTTAGGACAAAAGCCATCCTAATTTAATAACAAAAGCTCGAAAGAACATACCGCTGCGCAAACCACGCCGAGGTCACAACAGACAATTTCTCGCGCAATTGACCTACCCTCTGAGGGCTATCCGTGATGACGACAACAGCCTTTTGGACCGTAGATCTCGTCACCTCCGGTGGGCGATTGATAAGAAGTCTCGCATCAAGTTGACGCGAACAAGAAATACCAAAGAGCGAAGTTGCAGGTGTTGCAGGTGCATCTTTTCGACGCAGTGTAAAGTAAGAAAATTCCTCGGTAGACCTATAACAAGAGCGCAAACAAGCCCATCAGTTGACTGGTCCGGGACAAAATTGCGGGGCTATCTCATGAGATAACTCGGAGGGAATTATCCCAATTCGATTTCCCCACTTAGAGAGCAATGCAATCAAGACAAGAGGGGGATCTCGTACAGATGTGCGCCGTCGGAAAGGGCCATGAATGGAAGTAATGACCAGTCGTTTTCAGTTGCTGGATCTGTTCCTTCGTCGGCTATACAGTGTTCGATCTCTGGGCCCCTGCAAGTTTCATATAACCACTCAGGTCAGTTGATTTTTGCTACAGCTGTACACCTTGCAGATATGGTTGCAATGTCAGATACTTACCGCGCATGGTGAAAATCAATGACCAGTACAATGGGGTCTTGTCTGTCAGCCATGGCTATTATGGAGTTGAGGAGCAGAAAAGCAAGGATTTGATGTCCTCCACCACCAAAAAGCTAAATTGTCCACTGTCACCAAATTCACGGAAATAAAGATTGTGGAAGTGTATAATTTATGACATTTTGAGACAGGGGAAATTGATAGGGTTATCGTTCACGTGTTGATTACGGGCGGTGTGGAAGCCCCGCTATGAGGCTTTTAATGGTTCGCGCTTTTATTTCTATACTCGCTCGTATCAGCTTCTTAAATATCGAGTACTTTATTTCAATCATGACGGAATCAAATACTTCATTATTATGCATCTTGGAAGTTAAGACAGATTCCAGAAATCAAATTGAGGATCAAATTATACTCCTGCTAGTACAATTCAAGTGCGGTCTGAACGACAAGAGCCTCGTCGTAGAGACCAATATCGTATCCATGCTCTGTCAAGTATGCCTTCAAGCGAGAATTCTCGGTCTCGAGCTCACGAGGCATATTAAGGACCAAGATCCACGTAATAAGCCTACCGAAAATGGCCAGAGCACCACCAATAAGGAAAGCTGCCTATTGGCCATTCAACCGAGTGGAAGGACGCCTGCCTGTATCCGCATAAATAGCTGCGTGTCGATAAAGGTACCAGCCTTACCTAAAGAGGCCGTAAAACCAACATAATGACTCTACGAAGCGGTGTTGGGAATGACTCAACAGCGCAGATGAATGTGGCGACTCCGGGTCCCATTTCTCTCAGGGTTTGGAAGATGCCGTACATCACAATAAATAGCGGGAAAACTTCCTGGATGGGTCGTAGGGCACTCCCCAGAATAAAAGCCCAATTTCTTCACAAGAAGAATCCCAGAGTTATGGATTGCTTACGATAGATACGATCCATTAGCCATCCACCAAGAATGCATCCACAAGGTAGAAGCAGTTGAGCAGAGTCTGTATGACCGACCGATTAGGACAATAGAGAAAAGAGAGATTGAGATTCAATTACACCATACCCGATACTCTCGACAAAGCTTTTGTCGATCTCCATATGTGAGATAATCGTCGAGGAGAAAAGGCCAAATGGATAAGTAAAAAAGTCATGACAGAACCTGGCCAGGGCTCGGCGAGGGTTAGCAAAAGATAAGAAAAACTGAACAAGTTTTGACTAATACGTTCCAAGCACAAGTTTCCAAAGCACTTCAGGACAAGCCAGTATGGGTAGTGAGACTTGATCGAATGCTTCCGATATTGCGTGTAGTTGATCATGCGCAACCGAAAGAAGCAAATAACGAGGGGTAGCTGGCATAGTCGTTAGCTTATGTCCCAGGATAAGAATAAGACATCACCTGTCACAAAGCCGAGTCTGAAACAGACTCTACAGGCACCCTCGTAGTCGTATTAATGAGAGCATACAAGAACGATCAAGGCAACCACTCTAGCAACGACGAATTCCTAGATGCTGTCAACAATAGTCATTATCGGTCAAAGTGATAAAGAATACTAGGTCGATAGCAAGGTCTGGAGTGAGGGAACGCTGCTCACGCAAGTTAGCCGTTTAATCCGCAGCCTCGCAGGTACTGGCACAAACAGGGTACTCGCCTTCGGCACCAAAACCAACAATGCCCTGTGCGACTATCATCATCCAGATCATACTGCATCACTAATTTAGCTTCAATTATGAATCAAATCCGCATTGCTCTTACCCGAGTTGAGTTGCTCTATGGGCAGCAGTATCCAGAACAGGGCCAAGAATAAAGAAGTTGCCAGCATGATGCCCGTACGGCGCCCAATACGGTCAACTAGTACACCGAAGAAGAGCATGTCAGAAACTTCGCGGAAGAAATAGGAAACGAAAAGTCGGGACTTGACTGTCGAGGATATTCTGCCCTTGTATCTGGGTAGATTACCTGTCAGCTCGTATCTAGAAAGAGTCGAAATAGCCCACAGCACGTTGAAAAAAAAGACTCTATTTGTTTGACTACGAGTTATTAGCATTTTCTGTTTGCCGGGACATAGAGGGACCTACTTATTTGAGCATTATAGCCATCACTGAAAAGCCCAAGACTAGCGGTTATCACATTCAGAATACCAGTGTTTATCCGTTCGGGGTGGCACGCCTCCAGATCTGAGATTTGCTTGTCATTTTCCTCTTCAACACCGACCATTTCCATGGCAGTAACGATTGGAGGAGCCTCCATTACCGTGGTGGAGTAAAAGATATTGGAAGTACCAAGAGATTCCATAGAATGTGGGGAGATATAAAGGTAGAGAGGTGGGAATAAATATTGACCCTCCGTTCCGCCTTAATATAGGGGGATTTTTGAAAATTGAAGATAGAAGTAATTCTGAAGGGCAATTGATGAGACTAGCAGGCAACTGATGTCTTAGTGATATCTTCTGAAGGACATGAGAACGATCTCAAGGAACACTAACACCGTCTCGAAGGTTGGCATACTACCTGGATATGAGAATCTAGATAGACTTGACAGGAATCTAGGCGGTTCTTCTCTAGATGTCAATGTTTCTTTCCGAACTGTGGAAGATTTGAGAAGCTCTGGTTAGTTAGAGCCTTGGAATTATTGGAAGTGCTGGAGAACGACGACTTGCGCTAGAAGAACCCCACGTCCTTTCCAAAGTTCATTTACTTATTATATGGGCTATTAAGATTTTGTATGCTGTCATGCTGCCGTGAAGTTAGAAGATGATTGCCATACCAATATTGCTCGGGTGGCAGTACATGAAATCAAATACGATAGAGTACGGAAATAATAAAGCTCACGATCATTCCGATAAATTGCCATCACCAGCCAATTCTTGACGACGCCGAAGTAACTATGGACAATTGTTGCATCATAAGGGGGAAAAAGGAACAAAACATTGAAGATAATAAAGGACCAAAATAGCAAAAGCACGCCAAATTTGCAGAATAGTCTCCGGGAAACAGTGTGACTCGCCCATCACAACTGCAGAACGTAAAAGGAAGGCATAAAAAAAATGCAAGTTCATCTAGGGATTATCTAGGCAAAAGTTTGAGGAGCGACAGGAGGCTCTTGGCTCGCAACCAGAGCCTGAGCCGCATCGGTGCCTTGATCGATGTTGTGGAAGTCAAGGATTTCCGAGTACATCATAATCTTCCAAGTGTCCACAGGCAGATCGGCATCGTTAAAGGACCAGTCAAATTTCTCTTGTGCGACAGGCTCGTCTGTAGGGTCGTGGTATGGGGTCAGGTATTCATGGGCCAGAGCCTGATCGGCTCGGACTCGGGTCTTCGGGTCAAATACAAGCATGCGCTCGAGCAAATCGATAGCTGCAGATGAATTAGTAAATGTTTCAAGATAAACAAGGTCAGGTGATAGTACCATCAGCATCCGCGTTTCGGAATTTATTGGCAAGAGATTGGCGCTCACGCTTAGGAAGGGACTTGACAAATCGCAAAGTCTAGGAAACAAATAATTAGCATGCTTGTTTCAATTACAAAGCTGAGAAAGCTCACGTTTTCGCTGCAAATGGTCTGGATCACATCATCCGGAGGAGTTCCAAGCAGCTCGGTAATGATAGAAAATTGGTTGACGTGGTCCTTTCCAGGAAACAGAGGCTTTCCTTCCAGCATCTCGGCAAAAATGCAACCCGCGCTCCAGATATCCACCTCCACATCATACTTTTGCCAAGTGAGCATGATTTCGGGAGCCCGGTAGTAACGAGTCGAGACATATCCGGTCATTTGAGGGTCCTGAATGCGAGCCAGACCGAAGTCGCAGATCTTCAAGTCGCAGTTTTCATTAATCAAAATGTTGCTGGGCTTCAAGTCCCGGTGGACCACACCAGCAGAGTGAACATATTTCAATCCACGCTGCAAATTGTTAGCGTGAGCGACGCGATAAGGCAATGCAAGATACACGTACAAGAATCTGGTACAGGAAGTACTGAATGAATTGCTTTTCAAGTGGTCGAGAAGTCAAAAGGCGGTGGAGATCAGTGCCCAGGAGTTCGGTAACAAAATAGCTAATACGAGTCAGCAAGACAAGTCATATCGTTTGCGCTTGTCCAAAACATACATATCCTCCAGAGGGGAAATGAAGATGTCGCTGAGACTGATAATCTACATTAGTGTGTCAGTACAGCGGTTGTCGCGTTCCGTTGTAGTGGGATCGCAACTCACATTCTCATGACGGAGATGCTTGAGAAGCTTCAGCTCACGATAGGTGCGTTTTGAAAGAACCGGAGTGCTAAAGGGCTTCATGATCTTCTTGACAGCCACTGGCTGACCGGTCAATTGGTCTCGCGCGGAGCTATATCAAGGTTGCACTCCAGTTAGCGGGGTTGTCGCGCGCAATATTATACAGGTGCGATGGCACATACCAAACGAGACCGAAAGCACCCATACCCACAGGCTGCAAGTCGGAATACCTGTAAAAGATGAAGTCTCAGCGATTAAGAAAAAAAAAAAAAAAAAAAAAAAGATCAAAATAACCAGCCATGGAGGGGATAACAGTACTAACCGGCTAGTGATCTCAAAGGTCGTGCCAAAGATCTGGGATCTCACGAATTCAGCCATTTTGAGTAGTTTGGGGAATAAATCTAACTCAACAGAGCAAGTGTTGACAAGGGGAGAAAGGGGCGGACAAAAGATGTGGGGAATAAGGGTCGCGGTGAAAGCAGAAAACAACCTTGGAAGAACGATGACGTTCGCGAGAGAAGCTTGGAACTGGGTTACTGCCAAGATGACTAAGCTGCCCAGTTTTGTTCTTTAAATAGGCTTCCTCCTTTCTTCTCAACCACACTACAGCAACAGACAACAACACAAGTGATAAGATTCAAAATTAAACATATCTACAACCTCGGAATGGCTTTTGAATACTCGTGCTCGGTTCTATCTTTTATTTCGTGTGCCCTGGTACCATCCATTCATGGTTGCATCCACCCATCCACTCTCTCACGGCCCTAGCCTAGACCGGGTCTATTTGACCGCCCAACTTTGTTACGAAGGATCTTCCTTTTTCTTTTCTCCTTTTATTGTTTACTTGGCTCCCAAGAGTATAAATTCCAGTCAGACTACCCTATGGTTGACATTTGAATTAACTGTCGCGCTTAACTCGCCCCTGTGGTGTGTTTTCCTCTCATTTGAGGGGCGAAGGCACTATATTTCGTATCTCGTGTGCCGAAGGTTTTATTTGCTAAGAGTTACTGATTAGTGGTCTACTGTGTATATATGGTATCCGTACCTGGTTTGAATCTAGATGTGGATATAAATAGCATCCATATAATCCCGATCTTGGGCTAAACGTTGGAAGGTGGGTAGATTGACATACTATTTACTAGATCTGTCATATGAAACAAGGTGTTATGAACTAGATATATGCATATACCTAGGTAATTATCCAGATAAGTACAATGCCAAGGCACACTTTTCTTTTTCTCGCTCTCGTTCTCGCCATTCCATTAATTTCTCTTTCAGATACCTTATATCTCTGTATTAGATATTAAACCTTATCGTATCCAGGAATGTAGTAGATTTAACTGTTTAACTATTTGACTGTTTGACTGTTTGACTGTTTGACTGTTTGACTGTTTGACTTCTTAAACTTCTTAAACTTCTTAAACTTCTTAAACTTCTTAAACTTCTTAAACTTCCTAGAGTCCATAATTACCCAAAATACTAGTAGTATATCAATACCTAACTTGGTACTTCGTGATTAAATAGAGATATCAATCTAAGTACGGTCATTAGGTACAGCACGTGAATTTCATGCCTCAGGCTAACATTTCTACCATGTGCGTCACGACTCTCTGAAAGCTCCGGGGTTTGACTCGGCATTTACTTCTAGTATGACTGTGTCAGGAATGAACTACCATAAATAATAATAATCTTTCTATTTCTATTTCTTTGTCTACAGTCTATAGATATTTACCTAGTCATGTCGGGGGAGTTTTTTTTTCTTTTCCAAAAATACAGCCCCAATTGCCCAGCAAGGCTATTATTGGGGCAAAAAATTGGAGGCTTAACTAAGAGAAGATACTCCGTTCCCCATGAGGTTAATTACGGGTATGGCTTGTCACTCGTAACACCTTTACCCCGATCCCTCTCCTCCACTCAGCATGACGACGGTCACACTGACCTGACATCTCTCTCTCACTCGCTCTCTCTCTCTCTTCTTCACCTCTACTTTATCACTTCCCTTTTTAGACCCTCCTTCGGTCTGGCCCCTCCAACCCCCTTCCAAAACCCGCAACCCTTTACTCACATATAACTTGCGGCTCCCGTTGTCTTGTCGCAAGTTTTCTCGACACTTTTCACCGTTTTAATTCGATCTGCGCCCTGCGCCCTGCCCCCGCCCTCCCCGATCACCTTCACCACCCGAAATTTCACTTGCATTTTCTGGCCTAGTCGCAAGCGCTTCACCATTACATCATACCCGTTGCGCCCATTCTTTACCTCGTCTGTGGCTGGTGGCCGTCTTTTCGTCCCCAAGGCTGCGGCCATCCCGGCTGAACATCGCTTCAACCCACGCGCTTTCAAACAGTTCTTGTTCCCTGCTGGCTTGGGATCTCGACCTCCTTGAAAAATGGGTCATTGTTTTAGCTCCGATTCCACGGGGGATGCGGAACAGAAGAAGAAAAGTCAGATGATCGATCGGAAACTCGAGGAAGACTCCAAACGATTACGTCGAGAATGCAAGCTCCTATTGTTAGGTACGTATTGACCTTTGCGCGGGAAATCAAATATTGGCTGACTGTTCTCCCCTATAGGCTCTGGCGAGAGTGGCAAGTCCACGATTGTCAAACAGATGAAGATTATCCACCAGAATGGCTACACTGTCGAGGAGCTGGCCCTATACCGCTTGACCGTCTACAAAAACCTCTTGGATTGTGCAAAGGCACTTATTGAAGGTTATCGCCTATTCTCCCTCGAACCATCTAGCCAGAAAGTCAAGGATTACATGAAATTCCTGGAGGAGTATCATATTGAGACGGACCCCAACATACCGCTCGATTCCAAAGTAGGGGATGCAGTCACATATATTTGGAACGACCCTTGTACATCAACAGTACTGGAACGACAAAATGAATTTTACCTCATGGATTCGGCACCATAGTAAGCAAAAGTATTCCTGTTCGCGATATCAAAATGCTCATTCTATGATACAGTTTCTTCGACGAAGCCAAACGAATAACAACACCGGATTACATGCCGAATGTTTCAGACGTACTCCGAGCACGAACAAAGACGACGGGTATATACGAGACACGATTCACAATGGGCCAATTAAGCATACAGTAGGTGAAATAGAGTTGATTGATAACTTTCTCTAATCCGTTGCACAGCATGTTTGATGTCGGTGGTCAGCGCAGCGAGCGAAAGAAGTGGATTCACTGCTTCGAAAATGTTACTTCCATCATATTTTGCGTCGCCCTAAGTGAATATGACCAGGTGCTCCTGGAAGAAAGCAACCAGGTAATTTATCTATCTGGTCCGTGCATACACACATACTGATCCTGTTAGAATCGCATGATGGAGAGCTTGGTTCTCTTTGACTCCGTTGTCAATTCTCGATGGTTCATGCGGACTAGTATCATCCTTTTCCTGAATAAGGTCGATCTATTCCGACAAAAACTTCCTCGTTCCCCATTGAGCAACTACTTCCCAGACTACTCAGGTGGTAATGATGTTAATCGTGCCGCCAAGTATCTGCTTTGGCGATTCAACCAGGTCAATCGAGCACACTTGAACCTATATCCTCAGTAAGTTTGTTGATGATCAAACTATAGTTCATGTCTAATCAAAGCTCCACACAGTCTCACTCAGGCAACTGATACTACAAATATTCGCCTCGTCTTTGCGGCGGTTAAGGAGACCATATTGCAAAATGCCTTGATAGACTCAGGCATTTTATAAGCTACGGACTCCCCGCCAACCTATAGCACTCATTGCCCTATATATCTCGTCACACTGATAACCCTCTATTTTCGCTGGCCGAGGATCCTCGTTGGTTCACTACTTGACTATCATCTTATTCCCAGGGGGCTTCTTCAATTTCTTATTCCTATGATCTACCATACCCCATTTTTTCAACCCGATCTTTCCCTTTTATCCTTTCCTCCCTTTTCATTCCTTCTCTCGAATCTCAGACTAGCTGCAGGTGTTCACGGCGCTGCTTTTCTTCTTGAACTACATCCTAGGCGCTGATTGAGTGATACCCCATTTTGGTACCTAGGTATCAAGTCGGTTTCCAGTTTTCTTTGTACTTTTTTACTGGCCCTGGGATCTCAGGCTCAACAGCTATCCTCTCTTTCTCTTCAATTCTTCAACTTCAACTCCAACACTGCATGAGCGTCTCTTCAAACCCGACAGGTCGACGGATCCTTGAATCCATTGACCCTCTGCTTTAACGCCTTCTACCACACATCCCAAGATATCCACCGGGCGCAACAACTTATCTTGACACGCCTGCTTCTTCCAATGGCTTTTTTTTCCTTTCTAGCACCTGTATGATGCATATAACGGCGGATTGACATTCATATTTGATGCCAGTCCTTACCACAGGGCTTGTCTCTTTTTTTTTGGAATATTTAACCTTCTGACCTTTGATGGAAGCAGTGACTTCAACGCGATTCCTTGCATATTTTTTCTTCTTCTCTTCAGGCTATATGTATTCTTCTACGCTTTTTCCAGCGCAAAGTTGAATTGCTTCAACTTCCAAGGTTCTGAACCCTTTCTTGTGTCTCTCTTCTCCATAGTACTTAATTAATACGACCATCGACAGATGTATACCTGTAGGAGTTGTAGGAGCTACTGAAGAAGTAGGTGGATAAATACCTAGGTATTGTATATTATTCTGCCTTTTGGTATTCTTTGTCGGATTCATATGTATAGACCTATGTAGGTATCAGAGTGGGGGATTCGTCAGTGGCTAATCACATCCTTGTCAGAGGGCTGGCTTCCGGCGCCTTCCAATGGTTGTCTCAAACATCGTGTCTTTATCTCGTAGGTATTGTATTCTAGACAGCTGACCGTTGCATCGGATGAAGCCGAAGATCATCCGTGGTGCAGTTTTGTCTTTAAGAGATTACGTTGTAAAGTTGGGATAGAAAGCAACCTTGGATTGGCTATGAGGCTTAAAGGTCTATGGGCTTGTCGTTTCCTAGAGTCCATCTAGCTTATATCTCGGTATTTGGCAGAAACCAAGGATTGGGCTTAGGACACTACTACCACAGATGGAAGGAGAGGGTTATTCGCCCATGTGATTCTATTCTCCTTTTAGTCTATCTAAGTAGGTGATCGTACGACTCGACAGCATTGGAAACTGTGATCAGGCTATGTTCTAGGTAGATAGATATAGTCCCTATCAATCTTTCCACCTGCTTAAACCTGTTTCCCCAAAACCAATTCTTGAAGACGACGCAATTATAAGATGAAATCAAGGATATCAAGCTACCTAGGTAGAGAATAGAAGATACATCGTATGATTTTTATTCGAGGAAGCGACGAATGGCGAGTCTAGAATGAGGCTCGAGCGCACGATAAGTTGGCCAGACTCCACTATTAAGTGGGACGTTTCAATGTGGGGAAGTGTCGTAGAGTATTCCAAGAGTAATTAACTCGGAATAGGGAAGATCAAAGGGTTACTACCTAGGTAGTTAGCTGAATATTCTCCGCATTGGGAGATCTTTGTTGTCAGGTGGGTTTCCCCTCCTGCCTTGGTGTTACCTACTATTAAGTTTCCTCCTCAACCTCTTTTTCTTCTCTTTCCTTCTTCTTTTCTTCACCTCTGTCGACTCAGAGTTCTTTTCATCCCATATTTCCCTTTGACAACGACTTTCCACCTTTCAACCATGGTGACTGATCTCCCCAGTCGCGAGCGTAGACCATCTGTCGGAGCTCCCATTGCAGATTTACAGGGTCCCGTTGGCCCAGGCTTCAGCCGCCCCAAGCATAAGCGTACATACACTGGATTCGGTCCTACTGAGATCAAGGGTGTTGAAGCGAGTATTCCTGAATCGTTGCGTGATGCGTAGGTTTATCCTATTCTATAATGTTGAGGACTTGAGCTGACTCTACCTTCCAGCTGGCGTAAATATGTATGTCGATATGAGATGAATTGAATTAATGTCATGGGAAGCTCACCTATTTCATTTAGTCTGCTTCAGAATTTACCACTAAAGAGGAATTTGCGGTATGCTCACTTCCGATTGAAAGAATGTTACATTCCAAGCACTTGACTGACAGCTCTCTTAGAAAGAACTAGTGCGCCACATCGAGACGACTCTTGCTCGCTCTCTCTACAACTGTGATGAGCAGTAAGTGTCCCATAATATACTCAGCTGGTCGGATTAGAGTCTAACATGGGACAGTGCGGCCTACTCCGGAACGGCGCTTGCGTTCAGAGACCGGTTGATCATCGAGTGGAACAAGACTCAGCAGCAGCACACCTACAAAGACCCCAAAAGAGTTTACTGTAGGTCAAACGGACGATATATTTGGGGTTTTTTGTTTCTAACAACATGTAGACCTATCTCTTGAATTCTTGATGGGTCGTGCTCTTGATAATGCCATGCTTAATGTCGGCCAGAAAGAAACTGCTCGAGGTTTGTCATCCTCAGATTTCACTACCCCCGTCACATGCTAATAATCTATCAGAGGGACTGAAGGACATTGGCTTCCGTGTTGAGGATGTCATTAGTCAAGAACACGATGCCGCTCTGGGTAATGGTGGTCTCGGACGTCTGGCAGCATGCTTCCTGGACAGCATGGCCACACTTGACTACCCAGCTTGGGGATATGGTCTGCGATATCGCTACGGAATCTTCAAGCAAGAGATTGTCAATGGATACCAGATGGAGGTTCCTGACTACTGGCTTGACGAAAACCCATGGGAGTTCCCTCGCCACGAAATAACAGTGGACATCCAATTTTATGGCTCAGTGCGCAAGTATCGAGATGAAAATGGCAAGACTCAAAACTCATGGGAGGATGGAGAAATAGTCCAGGCTGTTGCCTATGACGTTCCAATCCCCGGATATGGAACCAAGACCACCAACAACCTCCGCTTGTGGTCCAGCAAAGCGAGCAGTGGTGAATTTGATTTCCAAAAGTTTAACGCTGGTGACTATGAAAGTGCAGTGAAAGACCAGCAAAGTGCTGAGACCATCTCCGCTGTGCTTTATCCAAATGACAACCTTGAGCGAGGCAAGGAGCTCCGACTCAAGCAGCAGTACTTTTGGTGCGCTGCTTCATTGTACGATATCATTCGGCGTTTCAAGAAAACGAAGAGAGCTTGGAGCGAGTTCCCTGATCAGGTTGCCATTCAACTCAACGATACTCACCCCACTCTTGCCATCGTTGAGATGCAGCGTATTCTACTCGACAAGGAAGGCCTCGAATGGGATGAAGCGTGGGGCATCGTGACCAAGACTTTTGGATACACGAACCATACAGTCCTACCGGAGGCCTTAGAGAAGTGGTCTGTTCCTCTGTTCCAGAGCCTGCTTCCCCGGCACCTTCAGATCATTTACGACATTAATCTTTTCTTCCTGCAATCGGTCGAGAAGAAGTTCCCCAACGACCGGGACCTTCTGGGGCGAGTTTCAATCATTGAAGAGTCGCACCCGAAGATGGTCAGAATGGCGTACTTGGCAATTATTGGGTCTCACAAGGTTAATGGCGTTGCTGAACTGCACTCGGACCTGATTAAGACAACAATCTTCAAGGATTTTGTCGAGATCTATGGCCCCGACAAATTCACCAACGTTACCAATGGAGTCACCCCCAGACGTTGGCTCCATCAGGCCAATCCAGCACTTTCTGCATTGATTGCAAAGAAAATTGGAAGCCACGCGTTCCTTACTGACCTGACACTCTTGTCAAAATTAGAGGATTTCGTGGGTGATAAAGAGTTCCAGCGCGAATGGGCAGAGATCAAGACCAACAACAAACTGAAACTGGCTGAATTGATCAAGGAGGCAACTGGCTACAGCGTGAATCCCACCTCACTGTTTGACGTACAAGTGAAGCGCATTCACGAGTATAAGCGTCAACAGCTCAACATATTTGGTGTGATTCATCGCTACCTGTCCATCAAAGCCATGTCAGCCGAAGAGAAGAAGAAAGTGGTACCCCGAGTATCCATCTTTGGAGGCAAGGCAGCCCCTGGTTATTGGATGGCCAAGACCATCATCCACCTAGTCAACAACGTGGCTGCCGTAGTGAACAAGGACCCCGAGATCGGCGACCTCTTGAAAGTCATCTTCATTCCAGACTACAATGTCAGCAAGGCGGAAATAATATGCCCAGCCTCTGATATCAGCGAACACATATCCACCGCCGGTACGGAAGCCAGTGGAACGAGTAACATGAAGTTCGTCCTGAACGGAGGTCTCATCATCGGAACATGTGACGGAGCCAATGTGAGATCAAAACCAAACACCGCTCTATGATTATTCTAACTTGAAATCTCTAGATCGAAATCACCCGAGAAATCGGCGAGCAGAACATCTTCCTCTTCGGCAACCTCGCCGAAGATGTCGAGGAACTGCGCCACAAGCACTTCTACGGTAAATTCCAGTTAGATCCAGATCTAGAAAAAGTCTTCCAAGCAATCAAGAGCGGAATATTCGGCGATCAATCCGAGTTCTCAGCGTTGACCTCCTCCATTGACGAGCATGGTGACTACTATCTTGTTTCGGATGACTTCCACTCCTATATTATCACTCAGGATATGGTCGATAAGTCGTTCCAGGATAAGGAGGAGTGGCTGATTAAGTCTATTACTAGCGTTGCGCGCATGGGATTCTTTTCTACTGATCGTGTCATTAACGAGTATGCTGAGGAGATTTGGAACGTTGAGCCTGTTGTAGCTGAGGATTAGTAGTTGTTCATATTTAATCGAGCAGTTTAATTGCATGATTACTCCAAGATTTTATATCTTCAATCAAATGCTTAAGAAGGACTATTGAGTAGTTATTAAATACTGGCTCACAAGTGTCAACTAGTTTATCCCGAGGCCATAGGTTCGAAACAACACTATTATGTCTTAACCTTGAAACCATCTAAGAAGTCACATGAATAATCACCGAGACAATTCTGCTGTATTAGAACCATAGATCAAGATTAGCTGTGATAATCATCATGGTTGAATCATACGGACATGCAATTTAAGCCGCGGTCTCATCACCCTCTTGAATAGTCTTAGGTCTATACTCCGAGAAAGTCTCAGGCCAAAGGAACATCTTCTCCTCTCTAGAAGGTGTAGCAGCAGCCATAAGAGTAGGAACCTGGCAAAGAAATAATCAGTCCAAAAATCCTAACCTTGCATCCAAGAAAATGTAAAGAGACAACATACCGCCTCCCGACTAGAAATCCGTCGCCACATATTCGCGCGCGGATTATACCGCACCGGCTTCCCGACACCCCCAGTCTCCCTTGAATCCTCACGACTAATAGCCTCAACCTCTCTCTTGATATCAGAGAAAGTGTCAAAAGGCGTATACGCAATTCCATGCTCCTTGCAATATTCTTCAAGGCGCAGACCGCGTCTAGCGAAGAGGACGTCTGCTTCACGAGCAGCTGCAAGGTCTGAAACACCGTCTCCGATGAAGATAATCAGCGGGATTTCGTCAGGCTCGCATTCAGATTGCGCTTGTTCGCGCGCTTTGTTTACAGAAAGTGCTTTGTCGTGGCCTAGTTCTGTGTCGTGGAGCCAGATTGGTTTCCATTCTGAGCCATCTGGGTTTATGACTGCGTCATTGGCGACTATGTCGATAGTTGAAGACTTGTATAAGTTAGCCCAATCCAACCTAATTAAAATACAAGCATTTTGTCACGGGTTCAACTCAATTCGTTACATACCTCACCCTCGCCTAGGAAAGTATCCAACACACGCCGGAGGACAGGTTTCAACCCTGCGCTGATAACATTGAATGGGAACCCATTCTCGATACAATAGTTGTGGAATTCACGGAAGCCAGGATCGATCTCGAGAGTTTTTTCCATGACCATGAACCCGTCGTCGAAGGGTATGTTCAATGACGCCCACATTTCCTCTGAAGCTTCGCGGAAGGAACGCTCGCCGGATTTCAGCTGTTTTTCTAGCTTTTCACGGGCTTCAGCACCGCAGCCGTGGTTGTCGAAGAGAATGTGGCCAGTGTCTTGCATGAAAATTGTGCCGTCGAAGTCTGGTGATTGTTAGCATTTGTACTGTTTGGACTGGGAGTATAAAACATCAACATTAAAAAATAAGGGTCTATAAGGCCTCCAGGCCTGGCTAGGTAGTTATCGCTGGAACTATTTAAGATCTATACGTACCGGAGAAGATAATGATCTTTCTCTTCTGTGGAGTAGACGTAGTGGATTTTATGTTCGAATTCGTCATTTTGATTTTGTTAGGGAATTGGAGAAGATGAGGGTGAGTTGAATTAGATAAAATGAAGCATCGTGAATTAAAAAAAATATAGATCAAAACCCTGATTCTGGCAAACAAGAACAAGATCCTGCATTCTATGACGTAAAACTAAGAAGGATAATATCATAGTTGGACCCTTTTAGTCGAGTGGAGAAAAAGCGGAATGAACGATTTATAGACTGTGATTTCATGGTTGTCATTGGTGGATTGACAGCCTAGACCCGTTCTTTGTTCCAATTCATTCAAGGCGGTGGATAAGGCATAATAAAGTCACGTGTAGAGCTTAAGTAAGGCACGTGATGTTGCTATCGATAAGGCGCGTTTTTGATACTACGGAATCGGAGTCGCATCAGCTTTTTGCTACAATGAAGACATGGACTCGTCTCGAACTATTTCAGAATTAAAATCTAAATTCATCTGGAGTCAAATCCGCATATTCTCTGAGAGCCTGAGTCTCCCCGAAAACTGGAGAAAGTATGCAAGGCCGATCGAGGAAGACGATCTAGGAGAGAAGGCAATTGAAGATGTGCTAAAAAAAGGTGCCTTTACCATCCCACATGAAATATACGTCATATCTGGCCAACATCAATGCGATAATTTCTCATCGGGAGACGTCTATTGCTGACATATTCCCAGTGAACGCTGTCGCAAAACAGCACAATCGCATCGTTTATTCCTCGCAAGCTATTCACCATATCGCCCATCAGATTGCCAGTCTCTATTGGTCCTCGGTCAGTCAGGATATTAACAGCCAAGCTAAGCTTGGTAAAGGTGTGGAGAAGACAGCGGATTTGTCCAAACACTTGTAAGGACTTGCTTGAACCCTTCAGGGCAAGACAAAGCATTTTGAATTAACGTCGATCCAGAAACATCGTTAACTTGCCACTGGATGTCGAGTATCAAGGTGCCAGTGCAGAACAAAATACAAGGTCAGCTTCCAGATGCATCCAGCTTTTGTCCGATTGGAGTTCCACCTGATAACACTCCGTTGTACAGATACCAAGACCTCCGGGAACGACTCGCAAGTCTGGATCAGGAGCGCCAAAAGCGACGGCAGCGACTCGAACAGATAGAGTTTCTTCAACGCCTACTCGAGCCTTTTAAGAACCCACAGCAGGATATCCAGCCAAATCTTGTTACTCGAGATGGGGAGTTGGTCCAGGAATTAGAAAAGATGCGTATGCTTGTGGCGCGAGTTGGAGGCCGGATTGCACAGCATAAAGGAGTGAGCAGCGTTCAGGTGGACCAAGAATACTTGCTTCCAGGATCTGACCAGCGACTGGAAGCGTTATTAGGCACGGAAACATGATTTGATGACATACCCATTTTTGAACCTTGGCCATAATTTGGAAAATACCCTGGTCCAAGCCAAACTCCAAAACCTAGCACTGCAGTAGCCACTTACTGTTGGCAGGTTGATTTTATGTAACCATGACCACCAAGTAGAATTGATTAATTCAAGTTAGGGCGGATCCCGCTATGAGCATCTTAAATAGACTTAGACGGCCAACTGGTGGAGAAGGAAGTAGGTATCTAGTAATCATGACCGAAACTAATTATGAGACTGTTACAGCAGTTGAAATCGAGGCAGGGCAGGTACGATTGACAAAATTAATGTAGAGATCTGAGAATTATTCACTCTTCCCCTTCTCATCGTCATTGATCTATTACAGCTACATTTACGCGCACGGGGGTTTTCAGGGGTACTTTTTTGACCCTATGAAGATTGCATGTGAGGCGTAGGCCACGGTGCATTATTCAAGCTTGTCGACTCACCTGTCAATAGCGCATATTGGCGCGCATTTATCGTGTGTTTCATCTATCTCTGAGCACTATGGATCAAGTGAAGCAGCTGGTCGGCCTGAATTCAAGTACGGCGGAGGCGGTCAGTGGATCTAACCAGATTGGGAATTGTGCCACCAACCCCCAACACTCCCCCAAAGCTAGGTACTCCAACGAGTTTATCAACAACAGGATTAATCACGATCTTGGATCACCGATTGATCATAGATCTACCAACATAATCACATGTACCGCCACAATCGAGGGTGAAACTCCTTCATCCACTTCCAAGGCACAATTTACACGTGGGCACCGTCGTCGTTCAACCCACGTCACTCGCCGTGACCTTGAGAAGTTTCAGACGGAGGTCTTGGGTGTTGAAAACCACGCCAACTACTACGAGGAAGACGACTCCTCGGCCCCACTCGATATTAGCGATCCCGAGTTTGATCGCCTCAACCTTGCTTTTGAGCAAACATCGGTATCGATGAACGGAATGCCTGGCAATCAGGGAGGCCTGTTTCCTGGCTCATATACGCCTGATAGCTCACCTGGCACCCCAAACATGGCCAACATGCCCAGGCAGGCCATGTCCCCTGCCCTCCCAGTTCCTGGTTCACAGATGCACGGTGGTGCTATGGCCGCTATTAATGGCAACATCGCCTTGAACGCCGGTCATCAGATGGATCTCCATCATCTTTACGATATGGTATTGGAACTGAGTGAGGTTCTTAAGAATAACCGAGAGGTTACTAAGAACATTGTTTCTAGCGCCGAAGAGATCATGGTACGCATCACGTAGTATTGAAAACTTATCACTGAACTAACAGCCAAAAGAAACATGGTAGCCTTGAAAGTACCAGCTCAACAGCGCAGCAAACCAATGGAGAAAGTGCAGGTGAGTTTGGAAGCCCGTCCGATCCCCTTGGACGACTCAGACTAACGTTGATGGTCTTGTAGCAACTAGGATCTCTGAACTCGAACGAGCCCTCGCGAAAGAGAAGCGACAAGTCGAACATCTCAAGAACGAACAGATAGAGAATACGAGGTTGATTGGGGATTACGAAACCGCTGTGGGCACGATGGTGGAGCAGGTCCGGAACTATTGCCAAAACAACAACATGCATTACCTATCCTTAAAAGGCCACTACAACAATCTCCTTCAAGCAGAGCGGGATGCTCATCTGGAAAGCCGACTTGACCGTGATTATTGGCATGCTCAAACAATGAAATGTGCCGAGATGATTCGCACTGCGCATCGGCTACGATCGGAGGAGGAGGATGTGCCTATTCGAATTGTCACCGGTCTCCAAAATGAGGTTCGTGCATACCGTAACGCTCTGGGAATGGAGGTGGAAAACCCCGAAGATGAATACGGCTGGGAGATTCTCAAAGACATACCGCAAGCAGAATGAAATGAGGGGAAAGGGAGAAGATCGACGTCGAAAGAAGAACATGTCCATGACGATGACGTGATATTCTTATGTTGCATAACTAGTGAGGCGTTTCAAGGAGTCCATCGATACACGGATTTTTTATGTGTTGGCGTTTTTAAATAAGGTGGATTCGCGCCCCCCTTTTTGGTGGATATTTTCATACTCTTTTACTTCAATACCCGTTCGTGATATGATTATGCAGTGATCGACCTTACATGAAACATCCTGTTAAGCATTTTCTATGAGGTTCATTCAAATCTGTACTTTATTCCCCGCAAATAATAGCGAACTACTGTAAAATAAATAAATAAATAAAAACCAGATACCCCCGTTAGCCCACTCGGACCATTTCCCCAATCCATATACCTCTGCCCACTTGAACATGCAACTTAGTTATTGCCACCTCGAAGAATAGGTATCTAGATGTCACTAAGTCAACCCAATTATAACCTTGGAACTACTATAGGATAATAGGATGACATATCCGTAGATGTCATCTTCTCTCACGTGGATCCGATTATGTCAGTCAAATCCATGATCAATGCTTAAGCTGTGAAATCCACCATATCCGGTCGCTTCCATTTTCCTTACCTTTTACCTTTTGCCCCTGTTTGATTCACTTCTCATAATGCCTTTGGTTATTCTACAAATCAGGCTTATGGCTCTGTGATCCTGTGCCACGACCTCGACATACAAGAACAGGGGGGATCATCGTGCATATCTGAAAATACCCTGTTATTTTTTATTTTTTATTTTTTACTTTTATTTTTCTTATTTCTTTTTTTTTTTTTTAAAAAAAAATTATCGTCTGGCCTATCATACCCTTGACATTAGGGGCACTTGAGTGTGGGGGATCAACCACGGAGTACTGCGTCACCGGATTTAAGATCTGCTCTGTTATTCGATCTTCCTTCCACGCCACTCGGTAATATTCGACTTAAACTAGACATTATCTCACCATTGATTTTGAAGAGAGTTTAACATGGAGGGCGTCGAGACTGTAGATGTGAGCTGGCTCCATCATTCACAAAAGGGCAAGTGCACATAATTACTACTCATCTCATACTCCTTGCGACCCGAGACTCCAAGACAGATCGCCAATTAGAGCTCTAACATTCTCTTCAGGTCATCTTTCGCGCACAAAATCAGTTACAGCAACCACTACCAACAGCGACGACAGGGCCAGCCCAGACAAAGAGCTCGCGGCCGCACAGTCCAAGTCAAACCTCCGATCTCGCTCAAGTAGTAATCCCACACTCTCGCCGACTTCTGAAGACGCACAACAGCAGCCCGACGGCCTCAAGGATGCAGTAAAGTCAGAGATGAAACCAGCGCTGAAACCACAGCCCAAACCGCAGCAATCGAGGCCTAAGCCGGCCGAGAAAGTCGTAGAGCAGAAACCGCCGTCTTTACCATCCCCAGAACCTCAGAAAACTGCCCCCAAACCTATTGCTGGTCGCAGAAATTCATGGATTTCTAATTTAAGCTCGAAGTTCTCCACCGGTACAACACCGCCATCCCAGTCTAGCCTCAAGGGAACCCCAGCGAGCCCCAAAGCAACGTCTCCGCTCGACATTAATAAGTCATTTAGCGCGAGCTTCTCTCCGAAGGACAGGGAAGATGGTAAAGACGAGCCTCATACTTCTACGTCACCCAAGAGCCCGTCTTTCCTTCACAATGCGTTGCGCAAACTTTCGTCCAATACCGGCGGGATGCCCAAGTCAAACGGTGGACTCTGTCCGCGTCGCACACTGAATCTTGATCAAGATCGTGAGCGGTGCAAGATTTCTGACCTTCACCAGGGTAAACTGCACCGTGTTGCTTTTTGCGTGGACGTGGAAATTGCGGGGCTTTCGTATCTAGACGCTGATGAAAATGCTCCCCCTGTCAATCAATTACTGCAACCTCGGGTGCAGTCCCATCAAACAGCGAAGAAGGCCACGTACGTGAAGGAAAAAAGGAAAGAAGATGGGGGAGCACTTAAGAACTCAGAAGCTGCGGTTATCAAGAAGGAATCTGTCATAAATCCAGCTCAACCCCTTACTCCGGCTCCTGCTACAGCTTTAGACGCTACTTCTGCGAGTGCTCAGTCCAGCTCCCCTCCTACTGAAACAACCACCGATGAGCCTAATAATAAGCCCAACGTTGAGATTAAGGAACCCACACGGAAGCAAGAGAAAAAGAAACGCTCCGAGGAGGAAAGGAGGGAGCGGAAGGAACGGAAACGAAGGCAGGCAGTTGCAAACGGGTCGATTCCACTCCAGCTAGAAGCGCACGACGACGAAGATGTTCCCATTCCCGCGGAGACAACTACTACCTCTCGTACCAAGGCTCAGGGTCAGCCTACCACGGACCCTGTGCGCATCTACCGACGATGCTGCCAGCTTCGGGAAACACCTGTACTCAAACGAGTAGTCGATGAAATTTCATCTCCATCTTCGACTCTTGCTGAATCCCCCGGCACTGTGGCAGCTCTGGATCTCAGCAATTTTCCCATGACTTCGCAGGACGTTGCGACACTCAGCGACTGGCTCGCGGTTGTCCCTGTCCGCAAGCTCATACTCGAGAATTGCTCCCTGAACGACGAATCTGTGCGAGCAATCCTTTCCAGTTTATTGTCCACGAAAACTGTGGAGCAGATGCGTTCTCGCCGGAGACGTGCTCGACGATCAGAAAAGCTTATCATCATGAAAGACGAACGCTGGGGTGTTGTGGAAAAGCTCTCACTCAAGGATAATCCGAAGATCGGTCGGGAAGGATGGCGCTGCATCGGCCTTTTTATTAATCTGTCCAAATCCTTAAAGGCCATCGATCTGTCTGGTGTGCCTTTTCCCAAGCCACGGGCTGTCATGGATCCCTCTTTAAACCAGGCTCAGGCCCTATGTCCACTCGATGTCTGTGATACATTTGCCGATGCCTTAGCACAGCGATTCAGTGGTGATAGACTTGAAGAATTGTTGATGAGTGAATGCAAACTTTCCATCCCACAAGTGAAGAGGATATGTGAGGCAGCTACCAAACTTGGGTTACGGAGATTGGGATTCGCCAACAACGATATGACCAGAGCTGGCTTGGTACATGTGGTAGAGTATCTGAAAGCCGGAGAGTGTGAAGGCTTAGATTTGGGAGGAAACCCTATTAAGGACGATCTCGACCTCTTTGTGGATGCCATCGAACCCGAACAGCCGCTATATGCGCTTAGTTTGGCAGACTGTTCCCTGAATCCGGCAGTGATGTGTCCATTATTGCAAGCCCTTACTCGGCTTCATAACCTTCGTTTCATCGACTTCTCGCACAATCCTGAGCTATTTTCGGCACAGCCTAGCGCCCTGGGGCCATTCCGGCGCTTTCTACCCAAGATGCCATCTCTCAAGCGCATCCACCTGGTAGACGTCGACCTGTCTCCTGATCATGTCATCAGCCTGGCTGAGATCCTACCGGAATGTCCGAGTCTGTGCCATATCAATATTTTGGAGAACCCACAGGTTGTGTCCTTGGCCTCTGCCACGGAGGCTGCGGCTCAAGAAGAGGCATGTGCCGTCTACGCTTCCATGATGACTGCTGTACGTGTATCGCGAACGATCATCGCCATGGATATCGACGTTCCTACCGCGGAGAACAATGAAGTAGTGAAGGCACTGGGTTCTCAGATCTTGGCTTACACTCTTCGTAATCTCGAGGGTGTGCCTATCGCAGAGGAGTTCCCCGAGTCTATTGGAGCCACTGCGGGCAAATACGTCCCGATTCCCGAAATCTTGCAGCATATCGTTGGATACTCAAATGGCATCGATGAGACGTTTGATGAAGACGACGAAGCCGCACCAGATGAAGACTACGTTATTGGCGGTACAGGCGTGGTAAAGGCGCTGGGTGTCTGTCTTGGAAATTTGGATCAAGCTGGAGGTGACCTGGGCGATGCCTCTGCTCCCCCCAGTGGTGCGAATACTCCACGACGCCGTAAATCTCGCGTTACTACCAAGAGACCACGCGACATGTCGAAGAACTTGCTTGAATCAGCCCGCAACATTCGGACCCGTATTCATTCGGCTCTTGTCCGTGAGGACCGTGCTGGTAACGATGCAAACTATAGTAAGTGTCCATTCAAACTCTATTTCAACCTCATACAATTTTCACATGTATTAATTCCCTCTCTCTCTCTCTCTCTCTCAGGACGTTTGCAATTCCTGGACTTTACCTTGCATAAGATGATCCAGCGCTTTGAAGATGAATATCCCGAAACCCGTCTGGTTGCTAAGGCTGCCTCCTCTGGCACTGCTCCCGACTCAAATTCGCTACATTCTACTGACGACATTCCGAGTCAAACTGCTCCCACTGGCAATTTGAGCGGCGACATTGCGGAGAATGAACACGCCGTAGATGACGAAGACGCGGATCATTTCGGTTTCCACCTCTCTCGAACCAGCTCGATGACTTCACTCCATGCTCGTGCCATGACCTCAGAAGAGGGTCAAGTTCATCGCCTTGGACAAAATCTTCGTCGTGACTTCCTCAATCCACCAGTTGGTCAGAACGATTTCGATGATGGCGAATCACACCTCATTGCACTGCGGGAGAGGCTCGAACAATTGCAAGAAGAGCAATCCCGATCTCTCTTCGACGGCGCAAACGACGACACCTTCAAGTTACTTGGTAATACAGTTGATGAACTCTGGGCTGCTCAACGCCAAGACGCCGAGGGCTTTGAACGGTTCAAACAGTCGCAAATCGCAGCGCAGATTAACAGTGGCCTTCGCCATCCCTCGTCTATCCCAGAAGGAAAAAATGATGCCAATGGCACCTGCCTTGAGAAAAAGTAGAAAGTCGCCTACCTCTCAAAACCTCGGTCGTTGATTCTTTCCCCTCCCACCCTTTCGGTGATCCTTTTTGATTCTTTGTATATATTTCTATTTTTACGCTTCTGTGGCTATACCCATTCAGAATTACCTTTTCGCTTTGTCGTAATTAGTTTAGCAATCTTCTTAGGCAATCAATACCCTCTTTATTCCTTTACTGTGAGCAGTGTTTCCGCGAACTTGAAGTATCTATTCACTTCTTCAAGAACTCGTTCATATATAGCACACGGAGTTGCTAGATAGGTGATTGGGAATGGCATATGGGCATTGATTTGGTCTTTCAACTTTAGAGATATCAGCCCATAAAGAGACTCGAAGAGGGTCCCTACAGTCACTTATGTTAGTCGCAAGTCATGAGTATACTTCAGGATAATAGTTTTTCCTCGGCTGAGTTTCCCCACAAGTCCGGGGTATCACATGTCAACCTTGGAAGCTCATTCTTCTCTACAACTCCTCGCTACTTCTTTTCTTTTCTCCTTCACTTTCCTCCTCTAGAAATATAATCACTGCAACAGCTCCACACAGTGAGCACCCGAAAATTATCTTTGCTTTTTTGAGAGGCCATGTCCGCTATTGACTCTGGTTGATCCATCCGCCATGCCTGCTCACTCCAAGCTCCTACCCGATCGCTCCGTCAAACAGATACTCTCAAGTCTCACGTCACTCTACCTCCGACACCGCACTGCAGTCTCACGAACGGTGTATCTTGCCCTATTTGCAGCTCTTGCGAAGCGAATTCATAATGCCATCTCCGAACAAAAGGCAGCCTCCCAGCAGGTAGAACTGCGCCGGCGGCCCGCCACTGCCAGCCTCGGTGATGAGGATCAACCGCGCAAAAAGAGGGTGGGTATCAACCACGAGTTCTTCAAGCGCTTGCTTCGCTTACTCCGAATCCTTATCCCTGGTTGGCGTAGCAAGGAACTGCGGCTTCTGTTCAGTCACAGCATCTTTCTCGTGCTCCGGACGTTGCTCAGTCTCTACGTTGCCGAACTGGATGGCCATCTTGTCAGTAACCTAGTTCGAGGAAAGGGCAAGGATTTTTTGCTGAACATTTTCTGGTGGATGATTGTGGCTATACCTGCAACCTTCACAAACTCCATGGTAGGTCTATTCCCGAGCGAGAGATGCACCTCCAATCGCGACATAATCAAGTAACTTGCTCACTTTTATAGCTCTCATACCACCAATGCAAACTCTCTCTAAGCTACCGGAAACGCTTGACCGACTATATCCACGAGAAATACCTATCCAACATGACTTTCTATGCAATCTCCGCTCTCGATGACCGGATCAAGAACCCAGATCAGCTGGTTACGGTTGATGTGTCCCGCTTCTCAGATAGCTTGGCCGAACTCTATTCTAATTTAGCAAAGCCCATTCTGGATATGGTTGTCTACAACTACTCTCTCTCAAAGAATGTTGGAGGCGAGGGGTTGTTCATCATGAGTTTGCTGGTACAAATTTCCGCCAACGTGATGCGCATGCTGACCCCGCCGTTTGGCAAATATGTCGCTGACGAGGCTCGCCTGGAAGGTGAATTCCGGTTCTTGCACTCCCGACTCATTGACTACAGCGAAGAAATTGCCTTGTATCATGGGCATGAAGCTGAGAAAGATACTCTTGATAAAGGCTACTTCACCCTGATCAAACATGTCAATCGCATCCTGCGTCGACGTCTGTATCATGGATTTATGGAAGATTTTGTAATCAAATACTTCTGGGGTGCCTTAGGTTTGATGCTGTGCAGTGTGCCGGTGTTCTTCAAAATTCCGAACCAGGTCACGCAGACCATGGGAGACCGAACTGAGAGTAAGTCTCGCTTTTTCCCTAAGTTTTATCTATTTTGCTAATACCTACAAGGCTTCGTCGTCAATCGACGAATGCTATTATCTTCGTCTGATGCGTTTGGCCGTCTTATGTTCTCCTACAAGGAGATCTCTGAGCTGGCTGGCTACACTTTCCGTGTCTCCTCGCTAATTGAGGTCATGGATGACCTCTTAGCAGGGAGATTCGAGAAGAAATTGGTCTCCTCAGCATCGACCGAGGAGAATGCAGCCGTTCTCTCCGGTCGTGGTAAGGCCATAGAAGGCGACTCCATCGAATTTAAAGACGTGCCAATTGTATCACCCAATGGGGATGTTTTAGTCCGAAAGCTATCCTTCACAGTTCATTCTGGCGACCATCTCCTCATTGTCGGCCCCAATGGATGTGGCAAATCCTCACTGTTCCGCATTCTGGGCGGACTCTGGCCTGTCTACGGCGGCTTTGTCAAAAAACCTCGGTTTGAAGACATCTTCTACATTCCGCAAAGGCCATATCTCTCCCGTGGAACCCTTAGGCAGCAGGTCACATACCCGGACGGCATTCGCGAGATGCGCGCCAAAGGTATAACAGACGCAGACCTGTACGAGGTTCTGTCTGTGGTTGAAATCGCCTCAGTGGTCGATCGTCCCGGCAGCTGGGATGCTGAGGAAGAATGGCGAGATGTGTTGTCGGGTGGCATGCAACAGCGCATTGCCATGGCACGTCTGTTCTACCACCGACCCAAGTTTGCCATTTTGGACGAATGTACCTCCTCTGTAACACTTGAAATCGAGAAGGTCATGTACGAGACGGCGAAGAAGCTGGGCATCACATTGATGACGGTCAGCCACAGACGGAGTCTGTGGAAATACCATAAGAAGATCCTCACCTTCGATGGTCAAGGCGGTTACGTGTTTGCCGAGCTTGACTGGGAAAAACGTCTAAAGCTTGAAGAGTAAGAACTCGCTCCATATTTGCTTTTTGATAACGAAGCTAACTTCGGACAGTGAGAAAGAAGAATTGGAATTGCAACTACGGACTGTACCCGAGTTGCAGCGACGGATTGATGAATTGATGGACATTTAAAGAACATTTAATGAACATTTAATGAATAGTGTATGTAATAGCGAGTGTTATTGTTTCAAGGGAAATAAACTAAGAATTTTCAGAGCTCACCAATACCTCCAGCATTAAATAATAGCATGTTTCAGATCTGATAAGTGGTGATAGGGCGATAATGTACTACTGAGTATTCTAGAGTGGGTCCGTGATCTACACGCTTTCCACGTCATGTCACGACCTTAAATACATCTTCGACCATCCCCTGAGGACTTTTTTTCTTTCTTCCTCAACTACCTTACTTGTGTTGTTGCCGCATTCCCTGATTCACGACTGTCATTACCACACTGAGTGTTGACCAGAATGCTGGCATCTACTCAATCCCTGAGCCTTAGCCAGGCCAGTCACCTATTATACTGAGCGTTGCCATGATGGATGGATTCATTAATCACTTAAGCCCTTGTGTCAGCTTGAACTCTCATCTCCTTAAACTCAATTCTGACACAGATGCGCTCTTACACATTTGCTCACTAATTAATTTTCAAGGATGTTTACATGTGTCTTCTTCTAACTTTAGGCTAACATTACTAGCGAAATCTAGGTGATCATTGCCTGAAGGATTTTGGGGAGACTTTACTTTACTAAATCACCTTGGTCGACACAGCAGGGATATCGTCATTTTGAGGTATTTGCGAGATCACCGAAATCAGAGTTGTTATCGCCTTCCATTGCTTTCACCCCAATCACAAGGTTTCTGACCTCAGTGAATCTGGGTCTCCATCTATCATGTTTTTCGAATAATCACCTTTACTCTAGAACCCATCTACATCTACTAGTACCTTCGATAACCTAGCGGTAACATCACCTCAAGATCCAGAAGGTCTAATTTACATAGATGCAGAACGGCAAAATATCTAGGCGGTCAGCATCGCCTTAGAAACACCAATCAGACAAGAGAAACGGCTAACTATACAGCCCTCCTGTACCTCGGCAACCTTGGAACTGTTGCATTTCTCAACTTCCCCACGAAAACATACCCTTCTTAGAATAACAAAATTAAATTCTACAACCGCTTTGGCCATCTTGCTCGCTCAACTTTTGAAAATCCCATTCTAAGCGCCACATTCTCACAAATTTAAATGGCAGAGCATGCGCGACCTATTGGCCTTCTTTTCGACATTGGTGGGGTTTGTGTAAGTCTTCACCAGTTAAAGGGGTCTCCTCTGCACTTGATACTGAATATATAACAGGTGGTATCTCCATTCCAGTCCATTCTAGACTACGAGTTGTCAAACGATATTCCCCCAGGATGGGTGAACTTCAGTATCTCTCGAACCTCGCCAAATGGCAGCTGGCACAAGCTCGAGCGTGGTGAGATCAACATGGATGCGGATTTCTTTGCGGCATTCAATGTAGATCTCCAAAGTAAAAGGCTGTGGAAACAGTTTCATGAGCAACTACAGGAACAAAAGGGCGCGAGCAGCTCGACACCTTTACCCCCACTTCCAAAAGTAGACGCAGAGTGGCTCTTCTGGGAAATGATGAGAATTTCCCGCACGCCAGATCCGTACATGTACCCGGCATTGACGAAGTTGAAAGAGTCGGGCAAGTATCTGATGGGTGCCTTATCAAATACTGTCAAGTTCCCGGACGGGCATGCATTCAATCAGGATACAATAGGATTGAGATCACAATTTGACTTTTTCATCTCGTCAGCGCATACAGGACTTCGGAAACCAGACCCAGAGATCTATCAGGTCGCATTAAAAGAGATGGACACTCTGGCGAAGAAGAGAGGCTTATCCGGAGTACAGCCCACAGATGTTGTCTTCTTCGACGACATTGGGGAGAACTTGAAGGGGGCGAAGAAAGCCGGCATGCGTACTGTCAAGGTCACCTTAGGAGAGACTAAATATGCCGTCAAAGAGTTGGAGAAGATCACTGGTATTCAGCTTTTGATTGATACTAGCGAGGATAAGGCGCGACTATAGAGGTAGAAGTATAGTAGAAGTCCTTTCTTTTGGGTTGATTTTGAGTAACCTAGATGCACTTGAGAAATGAGTTAAAGAATAAAAATCCGAACATTAAGGTCAGTTAATTTTATGAAGTTCGGTCGCCGACCTCTAGACATTGAAGGGCTGAAGGACCTCGTCGCCAACCCGCACTTTTTCGCGGATGCAGACTCCCGCTAAGCGAAACCCCCCACAAAGTCGCCGCCCAAAATTTCTTCTGCTTCTTTTGTTCACATCCGTCGACAACAGGCTTCAGCACCGACAACCGTCAAAATGGTGAGTCTTACTACTGCAAATGATTGAAATCATTATGCATTCTTTGTAGCCGGGTCTTTGCAAGATGCTTCGGAATATTTTCTGAAGCGCTAATTGCTGACTCGAGATTTTCTATTGCAGCCTTTCACCAAGAACCAGAAGAGCAACGCCTACTTCAGGTGAGTCGATTCTAAATCAATTATCCTATTTTCAATTTACTGACCTTTTCCCAGTCGTTTCCAGACTAAGTACCGTCGTCGCCGCGAGGGTAAGACCGACTACTATGCTCGCAAGCGCCTGATCACCCAGGCCAAGAACAAGTACAATGCGCCCAAGTACCGCTTGGTCGTTCGTTTCACCAACCGCGACATCATCACCCAGATCGTCTACTCCGAGATCTCCGGTGACAAGGTCCTTTGCTCCGCTTACGCCCACGAGCTCAAGCGTTACGGTATCACCCAGGGTCTGACCAACTGGTCCGCTGCCTACGCTACCGGTCTGCTCCTTGCCCGCCGCACTCTTGCCAAGCTCGGTCTTGACAAGCAGTTCCCCGGTGTCGATGAGGCCACTGGCGAGTACGGTCTCGTTGAGGCTGTTGAGACTGAGGACGGTGAGCGCCGCCCCTTCAAGGCCTTCCTCGATGTCGGTCTTGTCCGCACCTCCACCGGTGCCCGTGTCTTCGGTGCCATGAAGGGTGCCTCCGACGGTGGTATCTTCATCCCCCACTCCGACCGCCGCTTCCCCGGTTACGACATCGAGTCTGAGGAGCTTGATGCCGATCTCCTCCGCAACTATATCTTCGGTGGCCACGTCTCCGAGTACATGGAGAACCTTGCCGATGAGGATGAGGACCGTTACAAGTCCCAGTTCACCAAGTACATCGAGGATGAGGTCGATGCCGGTGACCTTGAGGAGCTCTACCAGGAGGCCCACAAGGCTATCCGTGAGGACCCCCACAAGAAGGATGAGGATGAGGGTGCCAAGAAGACCAAGGCCGAGTGGAAGGCTGAGTCTCTCAAGTACCAGACCAAGAAGCTTACCCACGCCGAGCGCAAGGCTCGCGTTGAGGCTAAGATCCGCGAGCTTGCTGCTTAAATGCATCACGCGGTCTGACCTGTTGATCAAAAAAAAATGTGCTAGAGCGCAAATTCTAATACATTAAAAATAACTTCTTTTTTTCCCCCTCACGATGTTGATTTATGGCATATTCCCACTTTTGTTACGGTTAAGGGGTGTTTTGTTTTGGGAGCAATTAGTTCAGTGTTTTATTCAAGGCAATTTCCTTCACAGTTCTAACTGCTCCAATGTCCATGAAATCTCATCGTTCCCTCATACGCTTGATCCTGTAGTCTTGTTGTAAGCAAGTGCGATTCTAAGCATCACTCAATTTGCCTTATCTAGGTACCGTTTTTTCTATGCCAGTTCTTAGCGTGCCTTTTCCATATTAGTGCTCACCTCATCGCTGCTTTTGCTCACTGAGTAGAACCAAGCACTGGATTCGCCATCTGTTTGGCGTTAGCTTCCGCTCGGCACACAACATAATAATGTTATCGTCACCTCTAATATCGAATGCCACCTCGTCGTCTTCCTTCACTGATCTAGTCTCTCGAAATCGATCAAGTGGCTCCGCATACCCTATAATACAAAATCTCTCGTTTTCAGTGGCTTTGCATCATGACGTGCGAGGACTGGGACTCTCTGTTCAAGAGCGACTCCTTTACTACACAGTACAAAGGCGACAAAGTAACTGGCCAGTTTGCATTATCATTGATAGATCAGAGCAATATTATTGCCGATTCTAGGTTGAATTCAAACCAGCCTCTCGTGGTACTTGATAACACCTGCGGTACTGGAGATGTTTCTCATATCATCTACCATGAACTGGATGACACAGCCAAGGGAGCTTGGAGCCTAACATGTGGAGATATTTCTCTAGGCTTGATAGAGAACACTCGGCGCAGGGCAGAGGAAGAACAGTGGTCTAATGTAGCGTTCGAAGTAGTAGATTCACAACAGATGAGCTTACCGACTGCTCATTTTACTCATGTTTTCACTTCATTCGGTAATCAACCCTATTAATTTACGCGTTATGCCAGGCCTTTACTAATCTATACCTTCGTTGATAGCATTTATGGCTATGCCCCGAGGCTTGGAGGCACTTGATGATAAGTTCAATCAACTTTGATTGATCAATATTGGACTTTTCTAATACTTCTCCATCGTTAGAAGCCTGCCAAGTTCTGCAACCAGGAGGTATCCTCGCATTCTCTACTTGGATCGGGCGTAAGTCCATATGATCTATCCCGTTGTCTGGCATTTCTATAGATAATGGTGATAAAAAACGCTAAAAATATATCAATAGCTGGTTGGGTCAATATCGTCGGAAATGCAGCCAAAACGATGTGTGGTGATTGGCCATGGCCAACACCTAAGGCGTTCTTGGAAATGACACAGAAGGGCGAATGGAATTCTGTGGCCTGGATCGAGTCGCAGCTCTATCAGCGGAACCTCTTAAACATCAAAGTCAGGGCTGTTCAAAAGAGTATCTCGTCGAAGGTGCCCGACTTTCTTGCAGTGACAGCGCTTATTCTTCCTATGGTATCTCAACATTTCTGGTCAGAGAAGCAACGAGAAAAGACCGGAGAGTTTCGGCGAGCATTAGAAACTTATATAACGGATACTTATGGAAGGGAAGGGGACATTCCCATGAACTGGGTGGCTATTCTCTCTACCGCATGCAAGCCAAACCTGACTAGTTAGTATTTAGTTAGGGCGGATAATACACAGAGCATGGATAGCCAGACTCGGGCTATATAAACCCGAGTTCTGCATCCTAGGATGACAGACCTTTCAACTCTTTAACATCTTACTATTACTACAACTGTAATACGAGAAAGAAGATAAAGGCGATGTGTCAGTAATCATCTAGTCCCCGCTTTCTCAACAGTCGTGTTCAAATGCTTTCTGCTGTCTCTCTGCCACCTATATCCAACTGATGATGCATTTTTAGCTTGCCAAGTAGAATATCCGTTTTGTCAATATGTCAACCGTACAAGACCTTCTTCTGACGCATTCGCATCCACCTGTGTGGGCTGATAACGGAACCTCACATAGCACTAAACGTTGGACAACTGAATTTCCGAGATTTGAAAAGATTATATGTCATGGACCAAGGCATGGGCTAGGGAACGTGAGTTTCGAGGATGTTCACGAATTCATTGGACCTGACTCTAGGGCACCTTTAGTAGCTAGCTTGATGGAGACTCTGTTGATTGGCACGCATGTGATGCTGAAATCAGACTACTATATTTACACCCTCAGACCGAGGGAGAGTCCGCCTTGTTTAGATTTACGATACTGCAACTTTAGAAAATGCGCAAGAGTGAGAAGAGAAGTAGTCCGATGCTGAGGATTTCAAAATAGCGTATTATGGAGTTAAATCTAAAAAAAAAAAAAAGCAAAACTAACAGGAAAGTTCAATTCGCCGTTTGCATACGAGACATAAAACCAAGTTGATATCGGAAGTGACATAACTTATTTTTTCAAATGGCTCCTCCATGGATCGTTCTGCCAGGCTCGACTGCAGAGACTATGCCTGCCTCTACAAGATCCAGAATCAGGTTGAATAGCATACCATCACATCCCTTCGCAGCCATGAAGTTCACTGTCACTGGAAGATATTCTTCGTGATTGGTGACAGTGCTGTTGTATCGAGCTTGTCCAATAGGAATGACGTACTCTGGGTTCTCTGAGAAGACACTGATGAAAGATTCGGCAAACGAATTCAGAACCCCAATAAAGCCATCATAGGCGTTTCTGTAGACTGGTGTGGCCTCCTTTGCGACAAAGACGATAAGGCTATCAGAGCACGTTGTGTCATCCTGGACAAGAACACGCGTATTCCACCAGTCCATGAAGATGGTCTTGTTTGCAATAGCTTCGGGCACCCGATCAGGGAATTGTTCTCCAAATTCCCAAGTGGCCAATGTGGATGGGTTCACAAATGGAGTTCGGCCATTGTACTTTTTAGCGTAGTCGGCGTAAAACGGATCGGCCACCAGTTTTTTCTGCTCCTGTGCACAAGGAATAACCCAGGTCAAAGCAAGAAGTTCTGAAAGTGTACTTGGCGTTCCAGCTGGCCGAGTCTTTTCCCAGAGGGAAGTATAGTTCAGCGTTGACACATTGGCAGACAAGAAGTCTGTAAGATTTGACTTGAATTTCAGAAGAATTGAATCCGATTCGGTCAGTTCCTCTTCAGGGAAATCAAACAGTTGAATTTTCTTGGGGTATGAAACCTGGGACGGCGCCGAATCGTATAGAACCTGTGCAGCTGCACTCCACAGATACGGATCACGAGCCAAAAGTCCTGCAACATCAAACTCGGCTGCGAGAGTCATGACGCCAGTCAGATTGATCAGGCCATGAGTGGGTCTGTTGCCGAAAATACCGTTATCTTCAGCTGGGACACGAATCGATCCTCCGGTGTCAGAGCCAAGAGCAAGGTCAAGCCAGTCATATGAAGCCATGCCAGTACCTGGACCAGATGAAGAGGAGCCTGGTTCCTGGTAACCATCAGCTCGGGGGTTGAAAGGAGCCAGGTAGTCCATGCTGTCTCTAGCATTCTCTGGAGCTGCGAACTGAGCGGTCTTCATCTTCCCGATAACAACGGCACCTGCATCCACTAGTCGCTGCACCGCGTTACTGGAAGAGGTGGCTTCAGGATAGAGTTCGTACCACGCACGATTGCCCAATCCAGTTTTTACTCCTTTAACATCATAAATGTCTTTGATGCCGATTCTCACACCTGCTAGCGGAAGTGTGTTTGTTTTGGTGAAATAAAGACGCGAGGGAACACCGATAGTGGTAGATGATACTCCAGGAACAGCCGCAGGGATCTCAGTATAGGAGTCGTTGGACTCAGGGACAAGGCCGACAGTAAATGCTTCTTGGACGTCTGAGTAAAGTCGATATGGCCAATATAGTTGTCCTGTGGAGGTGGCCAGGAAATATGGTCCAGGAACAACGGAAGATGAAGAAACAGGTTCTGAAATGATCTTGGCGGTGTTGTATTTCTTCAATGTTGCATCACTGACATTGATTGTCAATGAACTGTGCTTGTCTGAGCATTTGTCACTCGCGTATTGGACCAAAACAGCTACGAAGTCAACATGTTAGTTCTATACATGGAACATTGAAATTCACCCAACAAGAAGGTAGGATTTACCTTGCAGAAATCCTGCATTAAACACATCATCTTTCGTAAGATACTCATCAATAACACTCTCGAACGCATTTGAGTCAAATGTGGGCAAACAGGTCTCGATGACGGTTATCGGTGTGAAGCCGTAGCTGGAACTTGAACCATTAAGCTGACCGATTGGTGCAGACAAGGGACCGATAGATTGAGGCGGTATATAGAAAGGAATGTCGTTCAGCTTCACAGTAACACCAGTATCGGTTAGATCTGTCACTGCGACAACAGACTGGAAATACGGGAAAGTGGCTAAAGTAGCCAGTATAATTGGCTTTGTTGCCAATGACAATGACAACATAATGACCAAAACTTGAATTGTGTTGCGTGAATATAGCAATGACCTTCTGAAGGCCTGCATTCGGGTTCTTTTAACTAAACCTGGTGATTACGTTCGGGTTTCGGCTTTGGCATTGAACGTGAATTGCCCCACTCAAACTGCTATCTAGATTAGTTACATATTTACATAATCTATTTAGATAGCGGGACGTTAGTTAGTGACCGCAAACGTGGAGAATCATGGGCCGGGGTTTTTCCGTTTAATGTTTTCAGTTACATATACGAGTTACATATGCGACTGCGTTCAAATTTGACATATTCCAAAAAATACTTCCAAGTACACTAGGTCAACCAGTATGGCTATTTATTAGCGATTGATGAGCTCCAGAAACTCGAAAGTATCGAACTCCGTCAACACCCCATATCTATCTACTAATTTGCGAAATTCGCTCGATACTTGGATTGCCGCCACACTTTGCCAAAATTTGGTACCTCAGCCGAACCTAAGCCGGACGACCGTTCACATCTCAATCCAGATGGCAAATCCAATTTTGTCTTATCACCAAAAGAAGAATTCCGTATTCGGAGTTGAGCCGTCATTATCAATCCTTTGGACGTAAAATACGTAACCAAGGGAAGAACTAGGAGTAAGGAATATTCTTATCGATATGATCCACCTTGCCCTTTTCCAATGTCTTACTTGTATACAATATATTTTCTATCCAACGAATGCGACGCCTTGCTTTGACATGAATAGCTTGGTTGCTGGCGCGAAAAGATAAAATTGAAGAAAACATACATTTCTACTATCCCATGCCAAGCAAAACATAGCCACCGTCATCTTTACGGCTCTTGTCATGAAGTCGATGACAAACCATTAACCTGATCCATATTCTCGGGGTTACCACAAACGTGGAACCTTTCAACACGGGATTTGCTTAAGCAAATCCCGTGTCAAATCCGGAAATTCCCTATCATTCCGTCGCCAGTTGATGCCAATTCACAATTCCAAGATCGGGCAAAATTACCTCCAGATCTTTCCTAGATATCAATGGAGACTCAAGAAGGTTAGAAGTAGTTTCTACAAGGCCTGAATGCACAAGCCAAAGATATTCCAATATTCAAAAAGCATTCTCCGCATTGATGGGATCTACACAGTATGTTATCAAGGTTATCAATAACCTTATTTCAAAACGATAAAAAGTACCGGGGAATTAATTATTCCATATTCCGGCAGATTAGATTCCAGCAGATTAGTGTCGATATACCGATCTTGCATATTCAGAGAGCCTTTGGGTACAAATTATAGAAACACAACCTAACCGTTCGCGGAATTCATTGAATAGCGGTAATTACCATGTGCACTTGTAGCTATTTCAGTAGTTGTATTAGAACCTTGGAAGTAACGGTCTTCTGTTGCTTGCTTGATCGCTGGTTTCATCCCAATTGAAGGATCTCGTTTGTATTTGATATTTCTCTATGGTAATAGCAAGCTTATCGAACCACTGGCAAAAGGGCCGATATTGTCGCCTTTGTGTCTCCCTTGTTCCTCAAATCTTTGCGTAGAAGTTAAGGTGAGGTGGAAAAAAAAAACACTTTCTTGGCAAAAACGTTTTCTTTTTTTTTTTTTTTTGTGATATCTAGCCAACCAAAGGTCTTACGGCCTCGTGAATTATAACTGTAACTTCAAGCGCTACCGCCTGCTAGGGCAGCGATAGTCGGGACGGGATGGATAGCCAAGGTGCTCGAATCGCTGACCAAGATCAGCGCCGACACCGGCCAAAATAGTAGACCTGGATCTATCTATGGGCCAGAAGAGCAGCAGTAGGCGACCTTCTCTCTGCCTTCCCAGCAGGTTACAATCGACCTGGAGAACCTCATTTGAGGATATTATTAAATTCACTAAGCCAGATTTTTATGTACACAACGTGTATTCCCTCCGCTGTCGTATTGTGCCGTTTTAGCGTATACCAAAGTGGAGTATATTGTATAGCTATCATTGGCTTAAAACTCAGACCGCTTTTATAAAATAGTAATGCTTACCCACTATTATCTTAACCAATGAAATAGACCATCGGTAGTGTTGGAAAAGCTCTTATGGATTCTAATTGGCTATAATAGTTATTAACCTATTCCTTTTTCGGATGTGATTATGGAGACTGTATTGACAGAAAAATGGCGCTTAAACGGCACAATACGACGGCGGAGGGGATTACAGGCCAGGTAGCAATATTCTAGCTCAGCTAGAAAGTGAACTAGCCAAACGCTCTCTCGCAGAGCATGTTGTGTTGGGAGATATGAATGAATATGGGGAGAAATAGGCCAACAAAAGCGGGCGACTAATGGAATTTGAAGGGTACGGGTATTAACTATGTAATAGTATGAATAGAACTTGCAATCTCAGCCAATCATATTTTAATTGGCCTAATACCCCTCTAATAGTTGACAAGTATCATCCCACTTGAGTCTTCAACACCCGGGCACATGTACTTCACATGATGCAAGCTTGAAAGGAAGCCAAACAATGCGTATTTTCCTTATTCGACATGCAGAGACGGAGCATAACGTAGCGCAGGTATAGTAAGGCGCGCCATATTCAACTATATACCTATATACATCACATAATTTTGAGTCTTGATGCGATACTGATCTCGCTTGGCAGCGCTGGCACTACTGATTCAGCCTTGACAAATCACGGTGTATTACAGATTGAGCATCTTGCTCAACACTTTGCCACCAAATCTATCCATTTTAATACGATATTTGCATCTGACCTGAGCCGAGCCCGTCTCACAGCAGAGGGCATTTGCCGCTTACAGCCTCAGCGAAATGGCGTTCCTCTTACACCTATCTTAACCCCGGATCTGCGCGAAAAAGATTTTGGCTCGTTAGAAAATGTCCGCTGGCAAGCTTCTAATACTGCATCTCCAGGTAATCGGGGACGTCCCGAGAACCTTGGTCCTGCCTCTGCTGGCCTGCATATTGAAAGCGAAACCAATGCTTCAATGAGACAAAGAGCTACTTCATTTCTAAACGGATATTTTCTTCCCTTGATGCTTGATGCTTCTGAATCTGAGGATAACGTGGCAATTGTTGCTCATGGTATCATTCTTCGTGTGCTGTGGAATTGTCTCGTTGGGCTTTTTGATCCTATGCATATAACCTTGACAACTGGCACTCCTTCATTTGATAATGGACCAGCAGCCCTGGTTACACTGAACTGGTCGAATACAGGGTATACGAAATTATGGATTCAACCTCCATCTCAACAAAAGCTGAGCCTTGGTGTAGGCCCAGATTCGGAATTGTCAGACAATTCAATATCTACATCAAATACTTCCGGTCAAGATTATCTCCTGAATGGGTGGACAATGAGAATAATTGTCATTGATAGTAAGGACCACCTTGCAGGTCTGCGTCGGACTCGTGGGGGAATTGGTAGTGCCGCGCATGACACGCGACAAAGGAGAATCGAGCAATTCTTCAAGCAATAACCCGGTAATAGATAATAGAGAGAGAGAGAGAGAGCAATATTTAAGTGGTTCTATCAAATAGGAGCCGCATCTTGATAGCTACAGCACACAATGCTATTTGGAATTTCTTTCCCGAGACACAACCATACATATATATTTGTACATAATCTAGCAATTCATCACCTCCGACCTAGCATAAATTGGAAAGACAATCGGCGTAATACCAAGGTACATCAGGAGCCTCAAATGTATGACTATGGTGTACACCAGAATACCTCAGTCGCAAACCAAGCGTAGCTATCAGTATTCAGGTAAGCATGTGACAGAGGCACCAAATTCCGGGTTTCCCAAGGTCCATATCAGATTTCAAGATCAAATGTTCCGTCAGACAACTGAGGCGACATCAAGAGCTGTCAATGCGTATACATATGCAACAACTTCGTTCCCAAGGTCTCCATCTTCTCACTTAACTTATTCCCAATGGTACTGCAGGCAACGGCACTGAATCCGCCATAATCCCTATCATTCCCACCATATTTGAATGCCTCATCACAGAAAATCATCTTAGGGCTAGCAGAACTATCCTCGCGCAGCTCTGCATGCATGATGTCGTCAATGAACGCCATTCTGCCCGTTCGAGGTTCTGACTAGTCTTCGAAAATTTGCATCTGGCCGAGTACAGGACTGCCGGAATACACCGGATATCTTTTGGGATTCCCCTTCGTGCACAATAAGTCAGTATGTAAGTACCAGACTTGACTGATTCAATCTGAGAGCTTACTTATGACCAGTTCCCTTTTGCTTGCATCGAAGTATTTCAGAAAGATATGGTCCACTGTCACGGCAGTTGCAGTCAATACGACCTTCGCCATATCTAGGGCATCGTCGATTATGCCTGTGATTTGGGCACTCTGCTCAGTATCGAATCCCAAAATTTGCGTGTTGTAGTGGATTACCTGGGCCGTTCAGTGTCTAAGAGAGTAGTTAAAGCACAGGCCACTAAGGCTCTTGTAGTAGAGCATGGAGCAGCATATCTGGTGGGTTCTTGAACTTCTTGGGCTGAATCCATGAATATCACTTTGAATTTCTTCTATCGCCTCGCTACCATCACTGCAAGCGAGATTCTGAAACTACTAAGCCAACTCAAGATACAAAAATACATGAGGACCGATAAGCGATGATTTATGGGTAAAAAGAAAAGGAATTCGGTGAACTATTTGCTGATACATTTCAGTCGCGAAAGGATTTGTTGCCTTATAAAAATCTCGAGAGCGTGGTTTTAGGCACTATGGAACTAAACTGAATACAGAGTTATATTTATGATGACCTGAATGGACTGCAGATATTGTGTCGAAATTTGAACGCTGCTTTTCAAGGTTGGAGCATACTTACTCTGTTGTATTCCCTGTGTTAACTTCAATCCCTGGCCTTTTAAGGTTTCCTACCGATCTAGGGGCTGGATCCACAGGAAATACTTGCGGGCTTCTTCGAAATCCTTCGTCATAGATTCGATTGGCACGATCACGAAGTGGCTCTGGCGTGACCCATGAGTTTTGGGGATCGCGAAGCCACAGGCGTAGCAAATGACGGCTTGTGTTCAATTAACTTGGAATATTCTTGGATACACCACAAGAGCTAGCTAAGAGCTTACCGATTGTCTGAATCATCTAAATAGCTGTTTCGAGCATGTATCATGCTTAGGTTATTGACAAACTGCATGTCACCTCTCTCTAGCTTCATGGCTACATGGCACTCTTCTGCAAGAAAGTGAAGAGCATCCAGTGCCTCCACTTGGATGGGGCTTAGCATATTCATCTGTGAGTGAGCACCAAATCCAGAGAATGAGCGTCGAGAGAACTGCAAGATCACTCGTTCTGGAGCTGTACCGCAAGCTGGCTGATAGAACAGAAGTGGTCGGTGAGTGATTAGACCGGGCTTTTGTGCGCTAAGACCGATTAAAACGCACGTCAGCATGTCCTTTTCGAGATCGTGGAGTATAAACTTGTTGCACACCTAGGAATCGGCCAGTCCTCCGCCAATACGCGGATCAGATCTGGGCGGGTCTCAGCCAGACGATTATATACGGTCCATGCACTCGCAAGAAGACTTTCACCGCCATTTAAGGGCTCACTTAGCACAAAAAGGGACACTATATCCCCCACATCCGTGTGATATACCACTTCTCCATCTGAATACGCTGCTAGGGAAAAGTTTTGTACGTCACCGGGACGTCGCATGTCGGTTATGTGGGCCAGCATAACGTCTGCAGGCTGCCCCTCAAATTGATGATCTTGCCGACCGCGAATGGCGGCGATATGACACGAGATCCCGACAAAGATGATCATATTCTCTTTACGAGAATATTGCTCTACTGGAACTCCTCTAATAAGTGTGAACCCATAGCCCGAATGCAGATTGTCTGATGCGGATCGGAGGATTGAGTGTAAACACGGCAGAGGAAACGTTGACGGTTCAAGAGTTTCCATTGGTTGATTCAGGTCTGCAGAACACCTGTCAGTCTTGAGTGATTAGGAGCAGTATCGTGGCTGGCTAACTTTTGAAGTGTCTGAGCGCTGCATCTATCTCGACCAGCTGTGGAGCTTGTAGAATTACCAGGTATGGAATCTCAGCACCTGATGGGCGATCCACAGAGATACTTTCTTTTTTCCACGCCATATTTGAGGCCAATCTTTGAGGAAATCCAAGCGGAAGAATCGTATCCACGGGTCCTTTCTGAGAATGGTCAAACATACGAGTTTCGTACTCAATACGATCTGGAAAATAAGGGACTTGTTCGATTGCTTGAGCCATATTGCCACTGGAATGTTGGAATATGAAATTACACTGGACGGGGCAAAGACCTCAGGATATAAAAGGGCTTAGGACATGAGCATTTGAGAGTGAATTTTTATACCTAAGTACTTACATGGGATATTCCGGGATTCCTCTCCCCTTCATCCATGCGAATATTGTGATGCTGACGTATATCAAGGCTTACTTTAATATGCATCTAGTTCTGCACAACAGGTCACACTGTAAATTACTTATCCAGTGAATGTGACCTATCTATGAGGTGGGGAAAGCACTCCAGGGCTATGGGTCGTGGCAAATGTGAGGCCCAAGCTGAAAAGCTACCTAGCTCTGGAGTTGCGATTTTTCAGTCCCTGGCTCTAGATTCTAGAATGGATGAGATATTGCAATGCAGCCGCATCAGCTAGTTGTCACACAAATAACTTGGATTATTACCTCATCCACCTGCCGAGACTAGCTGCAACCATTTAAAGGGAAAGGCAAAGTATTAACAAGGGCTATGGACCTTCCATGAAATACCCATTACATTATTTCTGAGTCCAAAAGTCTTTGAAGATTTCACCAGGACTTCAACATGACCATCCTTTCCAGGCATGATCGAGCCTTATTCGAAACAACGAAGCGTGTTATTGCCGAGATTGTCAACGAAGGGCTAGCTTATGCAACACTAGAGCTCAGTGCGCCTGGAGAGCTACAAATACTTTGTCTACGGAGTATACTCAACCCTCAATATGGAAACTTGGTCAATGTGGCAATCAAAGCCGGCACTATCGTTGAGATGAGAGATGATCGAGTGGTGTCCATCATACGGCCAGACAGCATACAGTCGCCTGTGATTATCGCAGGTACTGGTAAAGGAGAGTTAGACCCAGGAACAATTTTTAAGCTCCTGAGTACTTCATTCGGAGATGTCATCAGTGAGGCAGTACTAGAAGAGATCGTTCAGGAATTGCGCAATTCAGCCGCCAATCAAGGTAAGATAGCACGAATGTCACACTTTCTTTCGTTGTGTTAAAAATACTTAGATAAATGGCTCGAGATTGGCCACGGCCAGCCATTGCTAAGCCTCGAGCATCAGTCTGCTCACTGGGAAAGAACATTGATCTACGGCCATCCCAGCCATCCTGTAGGACTTCTTGAAACCCAACTCACTAGCTGAATTCTGATTTTTGTATTCATAGTACCATAAACTATGCTATGCCCAAGCGCCACTGAGACAAGTCACTCCTGATGATATCCCCCTGATGCTCAAGCCAGCTTTAGCTTTTATTTCTGTGCCCCGAGCCGATCTTCGTATCACAGGTCCCTTTGAACAAGAACTGCAACCACTTATAGAGAGACTTGAGATTCCAAAAACAGACAGTGACCGAGTGATCGTCCCTTGCCTTGCTCAGCAGCTACCATCTATCCTGGAGAAATTCCCAGAGACAGTTGTTCTAACTTTTATCACTGATTGTGCCGATGCCCAGGCCTCAATACGTACTCTCACCATGCGATCAGAGCTGAATTTCAAGTATCACTTGAAGCTCTCATTAGCTTGCCAGATAACTTCCGCACTGCGGACTATCACGCCTTGGTCAACTTCCAGCGGCCCTATTATAACAGAGCTCTTGGAGAAGTTACTTCCAAATGACCTTTGGGTTTTCGGAGAGGTAGCAGCTGTATCAGGCAGTCAAGAAAACTTCAACGACGCGCGCCACCTTTCTTGTATCTTGCGAGATAGTCTGGAGTCCAGAGCTGAGGCAAATGATGAAACTCTCATCATTGCTGCAGGGTTGGCCCAGAAACCTAGCGGAGACAGTCGTACTTATGCAGAGATTCTATACGGTCTAGAAACAATCTCCCAGAAAAAAGAATGGGTTCAGAGGTGAGTATGAAGTATAATCGCCAACTGAATAATAGACATGCTGATTCTCATACCAACAGATACATTACCGTTCTATTTGAGCTTGTGCTTCCCCCGCTGGCTCAGTATGGAATTGGATTGGAGGGCCATGGGCAGAATCTTGTTGCCCGTATTTGCCGTCAGACAGGTCAAATTAAGGGATTTGCCGTGCGCGATTTCGGAGGTGTGAGAATGCATGTTCCGACATTGCGAAATCATGGATTGAAAACCGATTCAGTGCCACCCGGAGCAGCCACCTTAACTGAGAATCTACAGAATGTGTGGAGCAAGGTACATCATTCGCTTCTGCAGAATCACGTCGGACTACTACTTGTGGCATTGGAATTGGATGACCATGGTGGATGGGCAATTACTCATGAGATCCTATCGACGGTTTTAGGGTCTGACGAGGGCTCACCGGGGAAAGCCTTATTTGATTACTTCACTAAGGACACAATGCCCTTCAAGTGCTTTTTGCGAATGAGAATGGAAAGTAAATATCGTGATGTGAGTATTCCGTTGTCATATTTTGGCGTAAACTATGAATGGTGTGACTGACAACCTCTACAGTACATTGAGAGGGAGGTTCCTAATGTACTTCTCAAAGGTTCTCCACGATGGGAGTCTCTCTTGGACACATATAAGCCATCATTCCATGCCACTTAGCAGATTCACGTTGAAAAGATGAAATCAAAGCAATATATAGACTAAGAGAAGCTATATAAGTCTCAGGTTTGGCAGACGCTAGGATTTGGGTAGCCTCTATTTCGGAATCTAAAAATTCACCATTGTGGAAACTTGAGGAATCCATTTCACCTGATACCAGCTCGCCTGCCATAATATTACTATCATTTCCCAAATCATTAACTCGCTCTCGAGGGCCTTGCTCTAGTCCTCTCAGCATCCCTTTGTGTCTGGACCTGTTTCTGCCACATTTTTGAATATCGATTCTTCATCGCCAGAAGCTCATTGTGAGTACCACTCTCAGCAACACAACCCTCATGCAACACAAGAATTGAATCGGCGGTAGTGACAGTCCTCAATCTGTGTGCAATGATCAAGACGGTACGACCCCGTGATAAAGCCCACAATGCATCCTGGATGTGTTCGGTCTCAGTATCTAACGAGGCAGTGGCCTCTTCTAGGAGAACGATAGGCGGATTCTTGAGAATAACCTGTGCAATGGCGATCCGCTGCTTCTCCCCTCCACCTAAGCGCAGACCACGATCGCCGATTTTCGTCTCATACCCATCGAGGAAAGCCATAATTTTATCATGGATGCCGGCTGCACGACAAGCCTCATAGATATCGTGGTCGGTTGCATTTTGGTTAGCATATCTCAAGTTATACATGATAGACCCGTTAAAAAACATAGGAGTCTGTGGAACAACTCCAACATGGCTTCTTAGTGATTTAATCGTGATATCTTCAACGTCCCTACCATCAAGGAGAATTCGCCCGCTGTCTATATCATAGAAACGGAAGAGAAGACGAAATATGGTTGACCTTCCACCACCAGTCTCACCGACTAGGGCAGTTGTTGTGCCCGGCTTGCAATGGAATGTGAGCCCAGTCAGAGCGGGTTTGTGATCGTCATATGCAAATGCGACATTGTCAAATACTATGCTACCCCTGCAATATGGCAAGGGTTTAGCAGAGGGCTTGTCAATAACCGACGGTTGTTCTCGGAAAAGCTCGAGGAGTCTTTCAGAGTTAATCAAAGCGGATTGCATATAGCGGTAGAAGGTCCCAAAGAAGGTGAGGGGAGTCTGGAGCTGAGTCATGTAGGTGAGGAGTATGACAAATTGACTAACAGGGCGCTGGCCTAGAGACACCTGATATGCTGCTATAAAGCACATAACTAGCAGACCCAGCATGAAAATAGTGTTCTGGCAGATGCTCATTAGATTTTGGGCAAACAATGAGTGCGATTCAGCATGTTGGAGATTCGTCACAGCCCCTTGGTAACGACCAATCTCATAATCTTCCGCGTTGAAATATTTGACAGTTTCGTAAGATACGAGGGAGTCATTCCTGAGATTCACCTGTTCAGAAAACTTTTGATCTAGATATAGATCCATAGGGGTATCGAACAACTCACTTGATAGTATCCTCTTGTCTTGACGCATTGACCATCTGCATCCGCGTCTCTGCCCTCCATATCGCAATACGAATTGTGACGTAGACGTAGAAGAATATGAAAATCGCCAAAACGAGAGCATAATAGGCATCAAAAACAATAAGGAAATAACCAATAGCAACACAAAGGTCAATCATCATAGGAATCACTTGGAACGTTACTTGTTCTAAAAAGGTATTGATAGAACTCCCCTTGGTCAGAGCAGATAGAGCTTCACCCATCTTTTTGCCTAGATGAAAATCTAGACTAAGATTATGGATATGCTCGAAGGCCGCAGTAGATAGTTCCATGTACGAGGATTGGCTAACAGAGGTCCACATATTCGACCGTATAGATTCCAGTAGACCCTGACTACCTTGAAGGTAGCGGCAGAGAACGTACAAGCAAATCTGGAGCCAGGGGACTTGGATCTGGCCATTACTGATAGACATTGAATCGGTGACAACCCCTACTTGGTAAGGTACCAGCAGATTGACGATACGCTGCAAGATGAGCAAGACAAAGCAAGCGATCACCACGAGCTGCAGTTGACGAGACTTGGATGGCCACAAGTAAGGTAAGAGCAGTGAGTAGCCGCTCAGATACTCCCACCAGCTAGTGGATGGAGTGGTATTTGGCCCAGCCCACGGTTCCGATGCCTTGGGAGTTAGGAGACCTTCCGTTGAGCCGTAACTGTCGTCTGAGGATAAAATAGAGTTATCGAGCAAGCCGGTCGCCTCTGTTACAAAGGGAGATTGAGAAATCTTTCGAGCGTTCTTTTTAGAGTAGAAGGGCGTGACGAGATATAGTGCCACCATGAGTGAGAGAAATAAGAGTCGTATACAGCCGGTTCCCACTTCCAATAACTCCCAGGTAGTAATGGTCCTACGTAGCGGACCACCAGACAGATCTCCGACGATTGGCTCATGGTGCGGGACAACGTAGACTGATAGTGACAAGAACAAGATGGCCGATTCAAAAATAATTGCAACAGTCCAAGGTAAGACTTGTGCATATGTTGGGGAAGGATTATTATCCAAGAGTGAGAGTAAGACGACGGTATGAGAAAAGAATGAGCCAACGACGTATATCTAGTCCGGAATTTCAGTATTACGTTTTCATCTGAGCTGGAAGACATACCACGACTGCTTGACCACACCACCAATGTTCTGACTTGGCAACCAAGACATGGGTCATATGAATGGCGGCATCGACCACCAAAGTTCCCATGACAAGAATCACAAAGCTGGTGAAGGCTGATTTCCCTCTTGAAGGGACTCTTATCCGCGCCTCGAGAAGATTCCAGGTGTTCATAGTACTCCGTAACCTCTTTGGAAGCGGTTTCCCACCCGGGCCAAATTGCGTCTTCCGGTCATGTTTACTGGCACTCCGAGCGGCGTGAGCGGAGCTTGCAATGAAAGCGATGAAAAATACGAGCAAAAGAAATATTGGTTGACTTATTTGGAGAAATGTAAGAAGTTGATGGGAGCTGGCCATCGTCAACGGTGTCTAGGCCCCAACCTTGGAAGTTTCTCAGCAGAAAATACTTTTCCAAAACCTCTTTTTGAGCTGATGTTAGAATGTGATAGAGAGAAAGCTGGAAACCTTGATCTGCAACGACCCACTGTGGCTGCATTATTGATCTGAATGTACCCAGGTAAGTATCGATTGTCAAAGCCACACACCGAAACTTTGTCATCTGTGCAACCCTAGAGAATTTCCTGGGGTTTCTGTGGCTTTGATTCAAATTGGATGCCTCTAGCCTCGGAAATTACCAGGGGCTTTCCATCCCAGGCAAGATCAGGCGTTCGCTTGACCGCCCTTTCTATGCACCTACCTAGGTAGATAATAATATCTAAATAGTACCTTTAGGTACCTCCATATAATGAAAATTCATTCTAAGGTTGGTGCCAGTAATCTGGTACAATTATTCTCATGGCCTGATACCTTTTCTGGTTTCATCTTAATTTACCTTAGCCTTTATTGATATACAAACAATCTCTGAATATGAAGTGGTTATGCATCCACGGCACAGGTTCTTCTGCCACCATCTTCCAGGACCAACTTGGTAGGCTGCCTAACTATAAAACCCTTCAAATCCAAGCACTAACATTGAATCTGTAGCGGCTGTAACCGCCCACTTGCAGCCATCAGAGCATGCATTTCATTTCATCAACGGCCCTTTCACGTCCAAATCAGCTGCCGGCCTGGATCTCCGCTATCCAGATGGCCCCTACTACACGTGGTGGCAAAAGGCAACTGTGCCCGATATTAAAGCAGCCTGTCAAAACTTCCATCAATATCTGATTCAACATAAAGGTGACACGTACGAGGGGGTGGTATGCTTTTCTAGAGGATGTCTCCTGATCGCCAGTTACATCTGGTTTCACCAGGCAGAGAAGCCTACCGAGGCACTGCCCTTCAAAGCCGTCGTATTCCTTTGCGGCGGTCCAGTCTTATCGGTGCTAGAAGAGCTAGGAATGACCATCTCTGAAGAAACTCACAAGTGGGATAGGCAGACTAAAGTAGCTCTCCGTGAACGAGCATCCAAGGAAGCGATCCTGAAATGGGGAAGGGATAGATGGACCACTGTCGGAGGGAATGGTGACACCGACCTACAGTTAGATCCGTCAGCCCTAATTGACGCCTCAAATGTATTTGGGCTGGATACGGTGCAGATGCCTCAGCAGCTGCGAATTAATATTCCAACGCTCCATGTCTACGGGCGAGTTGACCCTCGGCTGCCGGCCTCACTACAACTAAGTTATTTATGCGAGTCAACAAACCGATTGACATATCAACATGAGGGTGGACATAACATTCCACGAAGCTCCTCGGCAGCCCAAGGTATTGCGCGGTTAATCGATGAATGTGCTCAGATGATAAAGTGAATGCAGAGTAATTACCCAATTAAATTAGCCAATTAGGAATAGTTTGATCAGTAGTTAATCATATATCATGTGATCTATATTAAGCGAGGGTCTGTGCGCAATTGCTTTCCCTTATAAGCCAACCACTTCCCACTTTCCTTCCCCTTCTTTCTTTTCTTCTTTAGCTCTCTTTGCCAATTGGCTTAGATCAAGTGTAGTATCTGTTCTTTTCAGTTTAATCTCTGAAAGTTTTCCAATGGAAAACACATTGATTATCCTTATTTTTGATAACAGCGACCAGCCTCTGTGCTTGCGCATGCTGGACGCACTGTGTCACTGGGCTTACACTACCCCCGGTCGATGCGAACATCTTTTTTCATCAACTGCTTCGGCTTGTCCGATCGCTTGGAGAAGAAATGTATTAGCGGTATCCATCGTCTTTCAGCGCACCTGATTTGGTATATTCGTGATTGCAATCCTAAGTAACGTGCTTGATAATTAGTCATGGGCCTTCTCCGTACAGAACTACACTGCAGTGCTGATTTGATTCGAAGGACACCTACTATCATTGAAACCCATATTCATCAACACCACAATAATGCCGATCATCAAGAACTTTACGCTCCCAAGCTCAGCTAAGAAGTTGATTCTGCCTAACGGACCAGAATCGAAACTGTTCGTCGCCTTCATTGCCTCGCCCGACCCTATTACAAAGCAGCCTTGGTGTCCGGACGTCCGCGCTGTTTTGCCATATCTCAGCAAGGCATTTGCCGGAGGTGATACGCCAACTGTAGCACTTGTCGAGGTTGGACAGAAGCCTGAGTAAGTGCATATAAACACCAAAATTTGGTGTAATACGTCCTCTAGTGCTGTAACGATCACCTGGACATGCGCTGATATGTATTCGTTAGGTGGAAAGACCCGCAGAACGACTACCGAACAATCTGGGGCATCAAGGGCATTCCCTCGCTAGTACGCTACCAGCAAGTTGACGGAGAGGTCACTGAGACGGGAAGAATCCTGGATGATGAAATTCTGAAGCCAGGAGGTTCAGAAAAACTATATGCTTTTATTTCCTAGGTTGCATCAAAATCATTCATGCCCATGTGCAGGTGCTACGCTGTTAGGTACTGAGAACTCTTTTTTTAGGGATTTTAGGTAGATTTCAAAGAACTTCAGTTTTTATTGTACAATCATAGAAATAATGCATCTTAAAATGGGTATCAAGGGCACAACCTTCTTTGATAAAGCCAGGTTTGTGTGTTATCAGAAGAAAATCAGGATGAATCATAGGCCATGACATTTATCGCCGCCGTTAGATGATGGAAGAAATGCATCGCCCTTATAAGTAACAATTGTAGAGAGAGGTCAATAATATTTTCTCATTTCCAACCTCACTCGAAGATGTTCAAAGGGATTGGTGGTGTCAGTTGGCGAGGAGAAAAATACTGCTGATTTCCCCATGGATTTCGAAGAACCTTTGCCGGGGTCCAAGCTACGTAAATAACCCACAAATGTAGATACTTGTTTTCGGAAAGAAGAATACAAGTGCAGGACAGTACCTTCACTTTCATGACGCAAACCGCTCATGCCATCAGCTTGAGACAGTGGGCTGAACGCGAGTATGGTGCTGAAAATATTCTTTAGTAACTGAGCCGCAGGTGCATGCCGTTTGCTGAGGAACAAGGCAAATAGCATTTGATCAAGCATATCTTCGTGATAGTCATGTAGGCGAGAGACTGAGTGAGCTGTTTCAATGGTACCATCGATGTCGCCGCGATCCAGACATTGTTCAATATTGGCGAGAGTGTCTTGAAAACGAGACCAGGTAGATCCAATACCAACTTGGAAACAGTAGTCACTGAATGCAAGAATAAAGTGCTGAGCATCAACCCGGAATCTTTGGAATACGTTCCTTGTGTCTCCTGAAAGAGAGCCTCGGGAAGTAGAATCACGAACAAGTCCTTTGACAACAGACACCATTCGGAGGAGGCGGAGCAGGTGTTTAAAAAGGAGATCATATTTTTCGAGTGACTGCGTCGTTATCAAAACATTGATAGCCTCGGGTGGTTTGTACTGTAGACGAAGGAAGTCGAGTGCTTCGATGGCACTGGGGTCCTTGCAAAGAAGGACCTCTTCTTCTGTGAGCTCACGAATAGAGAAGCTTAGGTCGCCAGGAAGTTCGGTATCTCTTTGTGTTTGAGTAGTGTCCGATTTATTTTGACCTTCCTCGGAGAAATAACAGTCTCCAAGAAGTCCCATAAGAACGAGTCGCAGTTCCGAGCTGGCCGGTGGCCAGTTATCCCGGTTTCCTAAACGTAGACCGGTGTGCACACCACTGCGCATTACTCCGGATTTGCGCTCTCCACTCTCCATTTCAGGGTCAAACAGAGAATGAGACAGATTCGAAGCGAATGACCCATCCCCGAGCAATTGGAACCGCCATTGTAGACTAAGGTGATCCCGGAGCTTCTTTTCTTTGAACAAATGATGGAGACATGAGAAGTCAATCAGCTGCGCCTGCGATGAAATGACAGGAGCGATTGATAGGTAGAGAGCAGACACCATTTCTGGGCCAAGAGTAATCTCCCTGTCATCAGACCAGTAATCCAGATTCCTGGCGCGCTGGAGCATCTCTCCGACATTTTCACTTGCAAGGGCCTTTTGATCCATTGCAGACCCCGACACAATGTTCTCATCGTTAATATCAAAAAGTTCAAAAGTTTGTTTTACGATGTCATGATTTTGTAATTTTTGATGATCCAAATAATTCTCTGATTCCGTCATAGGCTTGGTTGGTTCCTTTTTGAGATACTTCAATATCTCTACGCGGAGTTTTCCTTCATACTCAAAAGCTTTTTGTTGAATTCGATCGACACCAGCCCATGTAGTTGCACAAACTAGGCGTAGGGCACCTGTTCGGGAAATAACGTCATGCCTAGCAATCGGATGATTGGGATGTGACTTCTTGAGAAGTCGCAAACTTCGACCACTCTCAAAGATAATCTGTGCCTGGTCGACTGGAATGAATGATGGCATATGATCTTCATCGTAGGTGTACTGGACTCTTGAAGGCCCAATTTTGAGCCTGCTTCGATTAGCAAATTGTTTCATCCGTACAAATGTTCGGTCGCTTGAAATCAATTCATTGAGGGCTGATTCTTCAGAACGAAGTCCGATCCAACCCTCAACAAATCCAAACCAGGGGCTAGTTACTCGAGCCACTATCTCTTGAACGAGATTCTCCATCCAGTCATATTTTTGAGCCAAAAATGTAGCTCTTTCCATGACAGTTGATATGACTTGAGCATCTGAGTTTGCCTTCTCAGCTGCTGCTGCAATGTCCACCAGCGCCCCGACCAAATCTCCACAGCGAGTGAAGAGGATCGTGGTCTGCAAGAGCGACACAATTTGACTGGAATGAGCTGAAATTTGATGTTCGAGGTTGTATATAATCACGGCAATAGCGCCTCGTAGGGAGAATACGGATGACAGGTCCTGAGTTTTCGTCGGAGAATTTTGCGTCAAAGTCCTCATTCGCTGCATATTCGTGCCGCACTGTAGGGCATTCATGATGATACTGTTGAGAATCAATTGGCTCACGCCAGAGACCCGGATATCTTGCAAGTGTTGCTCGAATGCCATTGTCTGTTGGTTATAACGGAAGAACGGTGAGCTCCATCCGAGGCCGAGGCGTAACAGGCATCGAATAAAGACATTTTCTTGAACTAAGCGACCTGTAATATTGCGTCCATGAGATTCGGACTTGTGTACCAGTGCGGCATCAAATCCCTTGGCTCCAGATTCGCTGAAGTATGCCGATACTGGCTCCTGGAAGGTCGGTTCCAGGAATTTCTCCCATGATTTCAATGGAATAATAGCAGCGGTATCATCCTGTAAAATATTCAACGCCCATATATCATTTTCCTCCACTGGATCTTGCGAGCAAACTTCGGGAGCGTCAGATTCGGAATCTATGGACGGGTCGACGACAGAGTCGATGGAGTCAGGAGAGCCAAGATCACTTGAGAAGAGGTTCAGTTTCCATATTGGGTCGGTCGAGGCATTTTTCTCTGGGAGACCTTGAAAGCAATCCTTTGGAATTGCTGCGAATTAATCCATCATTAGCATTTAGCTTTATCGCGCGGGAATGGGTGTTGTACCTGAGAGATCAGAGTTCCATGGAAGAGCTTCCAGTGGCTGTAGAGCTTCTATGCTAAACCTCGAAAGTCTCCAGAGACTCTGACTGGAGAAAGGATCGGGTTCATGGTCTTCTTGATACATCGCGAGTCCATAGCTGGTGAGAGACGTGTTGTGTTATCGGACGCGTTAGTAGTTGTTGGTGGCCTTGTTGCCTCAGGCAATCTATTTATATCGTAGTAGTTAATTCATCTTCTCTGACGTTACATCTTGAAACCAAAACAAGATGAATATGTTCATTTCAATCATAAGTGGCAATGTTAGATCTAAGTGATTAGATCTTGAGTTTTAGAAATTTCAGCAAATATTCGGTCACAGTCGTACCTTAGATCTGGGGGTGACGGGAGCGAGGCTGACTAGGGACTGATAAAACTTGTATGACAGTTCTGATCCTATCGAGAGCCGGTCCTAAGCCTATCCATAGTGGTTGGGAACATTGTTGCCCTTCACCACTAGACTACATTGTCGTGGGAATATATGTGTGGCCAATTTTTGTGTTCATATAGATACATATCACGTGATTAGTAGACCCACTTACCTTTGGCTTATCGTGCACCATCCAATCGATAACAGAACCTCTTAACTAGAGCTCAATATTGTTTCCCCAAATCACCCCCTCAATTTCTTAAAATCCAGCGATTTACAGCTTCTAAGGCTCATAAAATCATCACAATGCCCTCTCGCAAGAAAGCCAAACTTGCTCACTCCGCAGGCCCTGAGACGGACGCGACGCATTCTAGCGCAGACACGCCCTCAACCGCAGAATACGACTCCCTTACCGACCCGTGGACAGATGAGCAAGAGACCGCGCTATTAAAGGCAATTATTAAATGGAAGCCAGTTGGTATGTTGCAGCTTCTAAACGAGTCAATGTCATGAGATCGTATCGTAAGGCTAATATGATTTAAGGCTTGCACAAATCTTTTCGCATGCTCGCAATCTCGGATTATTTGAAGAGCCAAGGATATGCTCCTTCTACTGCAGAGCATATGCGAGTTCCTGGAATATGGAAAAAATTGGGCACGCTCTACAACCTCGAAGCTCTCGATGAACGGGTAGATCCACCAGCGACCTTCTCCTTCCTCTGGCTAATCAATACTTATCTTTTCAGGAAAATGCGGTTATCACAGGAGAAAATGACGAAGATGATGAGGCCGAAGGTGACGAAGAAAAAGCAGAAAACGACGAAGAGAATGAACGATATTGCCCTTTTGAGCTTCCGTACGAGGAATATGGGGATATGATGTTTGAGAGGCGGCTTGCCATGGAGGGATCCTCATCGCCCGAGACTAGCCGCATGGCCGACTCTCGACGAGGGAGTACTGTAGCTGATACAGATGGTATGCTCCTTCTATAACTTCAATTTTCCGACTCAATAAGGCAGAAAAAGAAACTAATCGCCTTGAAAAAAGCAGAACCTCGATCCTCACCGGCTCCGTCACGAGATCGCAAGTCTAGCCGTGGAACGCGCACGGCTACTCGAGAAACGCGCTCGACAAAGATGCAAGTGGAAATAGGTGCCGAAGACCAGGACAAAGCCTCTGATGATGAAGGCGGCTCCGACGAAGAAGACGATGAAAACGAGGAAGGCGAAGGGGATGGCGACGAGGAAACCGATGGGAAGGACAGTGAAGCTGAGGAAGAAGCTGAAGATGAAAAAGGATCGCGAAGTACCCGGGCTAAAACTTCTCGGTCCAAGCCCAAGGATAAGAAGGCCTCAGCCAGCACTGGCACTCGCCGAAAGGGTCGTCGCCGTTGATTGGTAGCCGAGTTTGATGATTACCCTTTCCTTTCTTGCTTTGATACCTAGGGACGGCTCTTTGCATAGGCGTTATCTTGATATTTGCTGTATGACTAGGACAATACGCCGTATGTTTTTCTATTTGCATTTAACCCAGTGAGAAATTGATATGTGAGAGAAAATTATTCTTTAGCTACACAAGTCGGTATAATTCGATCGCTGTAAGAAGTCTAATGTCGTTCGAGAATACGGGAAATAGAATAAAGGGGGTCATAGTACAGGGAATCCGAGGCGCTGTTTAGATTACAGGCGCTTGATGATGGCACCGGCGTACTCGTGGGTCTTAGAGCTACCGCCAAGGTCACCAGTGAGGGTCTAAAAGACAGATATCAGTATAATTCTAGCCAGATTCAGAGGTAAAAAAAAGTAGACTCACCTTGCCCTCAGCGAGCGTGTCGAAGATAGCCTTCTGGATGCGGTTAGCGTGGTCGTGGAGACCCATGTGCTGCAGCATCATAATAGAGCTCAGGAGCAGAGCAGTAGGGTTGGCAAGACCCTTGCCAGCGATATCGGGAGCGGAACCGTGAACGGCCTCGAAGATGGAGCACTCATCACCAATGTTACCGGAGGGGGTCAGACCAAGACCACCGATGAGACCGGCACACATGTCTGAAAGAATGTCACCGTACAAGTTGGGCATAACCAGAACCTTGTCGTTGTAGGGAGTGGGGTCGGTGACGATCTTCAGGCAAGAGTTGTCCAGCAGCTCAGCATCGAACTCGACATCGGGGAAGTCCTTGGAGATATCACGGGCAGTGTTGAGGAAGAGACCATCAGACATCTTCATGATGGTAGCCTTGTGCACGACGCGGACCTTCTTCTTGTTAATCGACTCAGCGTACTGGAAAGCGAAGCGGAGAACACGCTCAGAGGCCTCTTTGGTGATGAGCTTGATGCTCTGAACGACACCGTCAACAACAACGTGCTCAATACCGGAGTATTCGCCCTCGGTGTTCTCACGGATCAGAACAGTGTCGACACCATCGTAGGGGGTCTTGTAGCCGGCAATGGAGCGGCAAGGGCGGACGTTGGCGAACAAGTTGAAAGTACGGCGCAAAGTCAAGTTCAGGGAAACGTGACCCTTACCAACGGGGGTCTAAAAGACGGTAAAATGATTAGTTTATTTGGATTACTGCGGCGAAAAAACAAGGGCGGTCGAACTTACGGCAAGGGGGCCCTTAAGAGCAACATAGTTTCTCTTGACGCTGGCGATGGCATCGTCGGGAATAGCAGTCTTGCCGTCCTTGAGGATGGGACCGACATCAACGGATTCCCACTTGATAGGAGCCTGCAAATATCTTAGTACTTCTTTCATACAGCGGAGTTGTCTTTGCGACGAGTCGATACCTTAGCAGCCGCGAAGATATCCTTAACAGACTGGGCGATCTCAGGGCCAATGCCGTCACCCTCGATCAGTGTAACAGTGTAGTTGCCCTATTGACGAAGCCGAAATCGTTAGTGTCAAAGTCTTCCGTGAATTGTTTTCCGTGGCGGCTGAATCGCTCGAGGCCTTTGCAGCTGGCGCCAGGATTGGAAAAGAACGAGATTCGTTGTAGTGTCACGTACATCGGGGCCTTTCTGACCCTTGAATGCGGCAACAGCACTCTTGCTAGCGTAACTGCGCAGCTATAAAGAAGAATGAACATGTCAGCCTACTGAACTTCATTAATGACAGGCACGAGGCGGATTCATACCTGCGACACGGGAGTCACAAATTGGGTAGTCCGCAGGGACAGACGGAGAGTAGAGAGGTTTCTGGCAGCGAGCATCGTGAAGAGATCCCGACTATCGGCTTTGTAGAAGGATTGGATGGTGGGGAGAAGAAGTTGGAAGGAGATGGCGGGAGGAAAGAATCGACTTTCTCGGCGCCGCCCCGATCCGACCGGGAGACCACATTGGTGGTTTGAATGTGCCCCCGGCTATCCGAATCCACTCTTGTTCTGCTATCAATCTATTGGTGTTGAACCCCCTTCGATGGAGCTACGAAGCTACAATCGATCTCAAGCTCCTATTTTAATATATTGTTACTGCAGGAGACCCTTGATTATCTGGACCCATATAACATCCGACGCGGCATAGCTGGCACCATATTCAACATGGACGTCGCCAGCCACTACAACCTCCCTTCCGAGTTCCCAGAGGAATGGCCGGTAGCACTGGATGAAGCCGATCAATCTGACGGAGAACCCCTCGAACAAACCAAATCCCGACCCCGTAAGTCCCGTTACTTCGCTCTCGAGCGCACTCCTAGCAATTGGCGGAATAACTTCGGTCCCCGAGGCCAGGATGGCAGGGACACTACCGCACAGAGTGATGAGCCGGACCCATTGGGAACAAGTGATAGCGTTTTGCGCCTTCTCAAAGAAAGGGGAATAAATGTGAAGGATGAAGGTGGTAAACATTCGCAGTTCCTTCTTTCGTCGACGTCCTTCTCCCCCGCACTCTTCCTGTCCCAAGCCCATAACACCGACTCGATCGAATCGCTCATGAATGGTCTCAATCATCTATCACAATCAATTGACCAAAAGTCAGCGTCGCTGAAGGTGCTAGTTGAGGCGAACTTTGAGCGCTTCGTCCGCGCAAAGGCAACTATTGACAGTGTCTACACCGAAATGAGAGACCAAGGTGTTGCAACGGAACAAGCCTTCGCGCCTCGTAGGTCGGGGCATTTTCGCAACTATTCAGGTCAGCAACAGTATGCTGCTGTTTCTCCTGCTCCTGTGGGAGTTAGTAAAAATGCGTTGACAAAGGAGAGCGAGTATGGCATGAAAGGTATTCGAGGTCCCTTACTGGAAGCTTCCGTCAAGGCGGAGGAGGTTTGGGGCCCTGCTCTCGGAGGTCGTGATCGAGAGCTCCTGCTCAAATCGGTTGTGGATAGTATGGAGAAGCATCGCGATGTATATGAGATTGGAAGCTCCCTGTCCAAGTCCATCCATCAACGTGACTATGATTCCGTCTTTGAGCAATACACCAAGGCAAGAACCCTTGCAAATCGTGCGAAGAATATGGTGGAACAGACCTCCAGTACAGGCCGACAATTAATTGATAGTGACGTCCATATGATTCTAGCCATGGGAAGAATGTGGATGGATGTGGACCACCAGATTCAAAACTTCAAGCGTGATCTATGGAAACGACTCAGTGATGCACCAACTTTATCAACAACTAATACAGCTTCTGGGCCCGTGGAAGAACATATGGAGCTTATTGGGGCACTGCTAGAACTGGGTGTCGACAAGAACCCCATATGGGCGTGGCTTGATAGTCGCCATCAGCTCTTAAAAACCAAGATCACGGCATTTTGCGATCGCTGCAAAGTTGAAATCGAGATTCTGAGACGGCGACTTGCTAGTGGCGAGAGTCCTACAGCCCATGCTACGGCTTCCTACCTTCGTCTGGCACCCCGTGACGGAACAGCGAATGTATCTGAGAGATTGGATTCAGATCAAGTTATTGAACTATGGGACTGTATGCAGGCATTCCTTACTCGACTTCTTTCTTCCCAGAGCGGTCTTCTGGGAGAAGTACTGGACTTCTGGGAAGTTACACAATCATTCATTAATGGCAGTCGACAGCGGCTTCTTCCTGTCGGCTTTGAAGGCGAAAGCCGTAGACACCACCAGCTCTCTCGTGAGAATGTTGGCGCTCTTGAAAGAGGTGTCGTTGAACTAGTCAATCTCATTCGTGAAAATGTTCTATCTCTCTTCAACGAGCCCCCGACAGATGATATTTCGCTCCTTTCCTCTCCCATTCCGTTGACTCCCACAAGTCCGGAATCGCGAGGCATCACCCCGACTGAATCTCGCTTCAAACTGGACCCAAAAAACATCCCATTATTAGCCCCCAAGCGGGGAGAGCATTGGGAGGAGTTTGCTTTCTGGCCTCCTTTCTCCAATTCTCTTAGTGGCGTTCACTACCTCAGCAAATTCTTGGTTATTATTGGTACAGCGGCCAGTGAGATGGCTGCTTTAGACCCTGTCAGCACTACGGGGACAACTTACGACCTTCTGAAGTCTCTTGTAAGCATCGCCCGTGAGCGATCAGCCCGTGTGGTGTGCACAGCATGGAGTAAGGATGCCGAGTTTTGTAAGATGCTGGAGAACTGGACGCGTGATTCAGAAAAGCGAGATCTGACTAAGATGCCGGGCCTGTTCGTGGCTTTTGAGGGTGCAATCCTCAGCGGTATGCAGAAGATTTTGTATATCTCGGAGGCTATAGCCAAGCCTGGGTTCCTGGATGTTGTCACCAGCCCACCTTCAAAACTCCTACAGATGGTTCGCACTCAGTTCGTTTCTAGTATCTACAAAGCGCTTAGTGGACTGGTCGAAAATGCGGAGCGCCTTGCAACAACGGAGCATGAGAACGAGTGGGTGATTTCTCAGCCAGCCTTGACTGGCCAAGCAATCGATGCGGCTATGTCGGTGCTCGCAGTAGATTCGGTGGATTCACAGAATAGAGTAAGTCATATTACCATAAGATCACATAATTATGTACTGATTGTTTGTCCCAGAATGTACGGATCCTCCTTACACTCTCTAATTTGAAGGCTCTTCAAGCCGAATATGTACCGCAGTTGATTGCAAACTTCGAGAATTCATTCTCGGTCAAATTAACAGAAGAGAGCAAGACGGTCCGAGACGTACTCAAACAGATCGAAGACCGATTATTCCAGTCATATACCAAGTCGACTATCGCAACATTAAACGAAACAATCGCTACTGGCATCGGAGCTGCGGACTGGGTGCCTTTGACTGAGAGACCAGATCAGGTTCGCCCCTACGTATACAGTACCATGTTGACCCTTGTGCTGGTTCACACGGAGATCACCACCACCGTACCCTCCAGCGCGCTAGTTAGTGCCAGTAAGACATCGCCAAATACCCCATCATCGCTACTGGCCACTATTCTGTCGTACCTCCTGGTGCAAGTTTCTCACTCCCTGCTAAATGCATTCCGATCTCGTCCCACTTTCACGCTTGCAGCTCTGATGCAAGCCACCTTGGATACCGAATTCATTGCACAGACGTTGGCTCAATTCTCGAGTGAGGAAGCATCTCATACTCAAAGCCAAATCTACGTGGATCTAGACCGCCGCACTACCAATGAAGCCCGTACCAAACTACAGGCTGAGTTAGGTGAGATGCGAGGTGTGCTTAAACGATTGAGAGAGCGTACCAAGGGCGAGTTTTCCTGCTTCAAGAAGCCTCGAAGTGGAACAGGATCTAAGTCTGCTATCGTCACATAGTGTAGATATATTGAATTAGCAATATTATTATCAAATAAAGAAAGCTAATCAAATCTTTCATAACCTTTTTGGCACTCACTAGAGCCAGGTACAAGTGGGTATCATGCTGCTGTAGCCCTTCATTTTTTTACTCCCAAGCATATATATTTTCAATTCTGACCAACCATCCTCTGGATTCGACTGAGCAATGCATTGCTCTCTCTGCCCAATCTTCTCTTGCCAAACTGATCTGGCCGCTTAGCCCGGTTCATCGCCTCTCGCTCCTTCTCTTTGGCCAAACGATCCCTCTCGCGTGCTTCGGCGGCCTTTTTTCGCTGCTCTGCTATCTCGATTTCCTTGGTGAAAGCAGATTTCTTCGGTTTGCGCTCCCTCCTTTTGCCGTCATTCTGTGGGCGTTGTGGGCGCTGCACCAGTCGTGGAGCAGGATCTGGCTCCGGTTCATTCAACATGGCCACACGGTCCGGGTGAAGTTCCAAACTTGTCTCTGCTTCATTCTGATCTTTGGTCTTTCCATTTTCTTCATCGGCGTTGTCATAGACAGACTTGGTAGGCGCATTCGCCAGTTCCTGGGCTTTGATCTTGGCGTAGGCCTTCTTGACTTTGGCTTTTTGAATCAGGTCGGACTTGATTTTTTGGGCTGCGATTGATCCGGGTTAGATCACGGATGTTGATAAGGATGATTGTGAGCTATATTCTTACTTTTGCGCCGGTATGTGCCATCTGGGAGGTTGGCAGGGCCTACGCTAAAGCCCTTGCGCTTTTTGACCGGTGACTCGGTCCGAGATGCAGAAGTATTGATAGCATCTTGGGGGCGTTTTGGTGCCATGATTATTTGAAGGAGAATTTGTCTTATCTCTGGATGGTGTTTTGTGAGGGGGAGTGGTAGCGAAGTTGGAGAAGAAAAAAAAAGCGGATCGACACGCTAAGTCCGAGCACCGAAATCGTAGGTCTAGAACGAGCTTACAGTCTATACTAAAAAGAAGCAACTCCCCTTGCTACTAGTGGACAACATATAGAATTAACATTTTTCTTATATTTTCATTGATTCTAATTCTATGGGTTGCATTCCAAGGTTATCAATCTATGAGAATCTCTAATATCCCACTTCCTAAAGGTAAAATGATGAATCATCTGGACCCACGAGATAACATGATCGCTCACCTCTTTTCACTCTTCTCACTCTTCTTTCTCTTCTTTCTCTTCCACCCAGACTCCTATTCAGACTTTTACTTAAAAATCAGTCACTACTCCTCTTTCGTCTTCTAATCACCTTATAGTTTCATCCAAAACCAACTTCCCTTCCAATCATTTTTCACCTTTTGCGCTATTCTCGCCCAACGCACACGCATCCTAACCTCCGCAGCCCTGACGGGTCTATTTTCGAAAGCTAGCCCCATTGGCAGCCCAATGCAATGTTTGGGCTAGCGTTTCAGAGCTCATAGCATTTGATTTTACCCGAAATCATGCCGCTTTTTCGCGATCCAGATCGCCAGCGTCAATATATACGGTCGAATGACCATGACGAACTTGAAAAAGCTATCCAAGAATCATCTCGAACCCAAATTGACCTCGAAAATCACTATTCGGTCGATAACACTGAGCACTCTGCTACAAGTCGTTTATCATCCTCTTCAGACCTTTCCCCGATTATGTCATGGGCTCGTACCGATCGGCAAGAAATGATTCAGAGAATCAAAGAATCCTCACCTTGGAGACTCGAAATAAGGGTAAGATTTGCCTGATAAGCTTGATATATACATTTTTTGTCGTTTCGATTGTTCATTCAAAGGTCTTCTGCTGTTGATCTTCAAACTAACTTTCTGTAAAGCCGCAGCGTAACAGTGGAGATAGTAGTTACATGTCTCATGACTCCCTGAGGGCGGCGACACAGACAGAAAGAGATGAAGATGAAGATTCCACTTTCAGAGACCACATCTATAAACAGTCATTCGAGGAACTGGGGTCGCCAGCCGATATCCAAAGACCTCGATCTGCTTTACACTCAGGGGATTTTCGGGAAATTGTGCCACAGCATGCTCCTGACTCACCCCGGCCTCGTTTCGCGCAGCCCAGTCTATCTTCTCCACTTCCTCAACTGGGTACCTCACCTACAACCCCATGGTTCGGTGCTCCGGTCTTCTCTACCCATACTCAGCGGCCAATTCTATCCAGCGACTACCGTGACTCTACTGTAGCCCTGCAAACCCGAACCCGAGCACCTTCACTCGGATCATTCTCTTCGAGTTATGTTCTCAAGGCGCCTACAAGTCCTTTGGTACATCAGGCCAACAACACTGATTTGGACTTTTCGCCTCGAGAAAATTCAAGGGATTTTCTGGAGCCTACAGAGAGAGCGAATCGGCGACGAACGCTTCCCCCGGAGAGCTTCAGCCATCTCCAGTCATCGCCCCCGGGTGTTAAAGCTGTCAATATTCGCACCCCCTTTTCGCCGCGGCGAGAGGATCTGTTTTTCCACTCGCAGCACTCACCCAGACGGTCACTGAACTCAGCATATTCCCTTCAGCTTGCCTCGACAGGCAATAATACCATATATGGTGCAAGAAGGCTATCCTTAGCTTCCGAGGCCCCTCATAAGTCTCATGCGCCAATGGTGGGCTCTTATGAGGAATCTATCCTACACGGACGAATGTCTATGAATCCGTCTAAGCCACTGGACTTCACGGCGCAAATAGGAGTATTGGGCAAAGGCAAATGCAAAGGAAATCTCAAATGTCCACCACATGTCTCAGTGCCTTTCCCGGCTGTTTTTTATCACTATCCGACTTCAGGTAATGGACGCTCTATTTCGGATGACAGTCCCAGCCCTTATGTGGGACAGATCGATCTGGAGAACTCGCTTAGCAAGAATGATTTTAGCTCGACCCCGCGTCGTAAACGGAAGGTCAGTCTGACAAAGGGCTCAGAGAACAAAGCTGCGGATGACTCGGGCTTGGCTCAAGTTCCCGATTCTGATACCCGACGCCGTAGGGAGAAGAAGAATCGGGGAGCAGAGTCACCCAAATGCCCGCCTGGGGGGTGCTACCGGATTCCTCAGCAAGGACAGCTGCAGATAATCATCAAGAATCCTCACAAGACAGCTGTGAAGTTGTTCCTTGTCCCTTATGATATTGGCGATATGAAACCAGGAACCAAGACCTTCATCCGGCAACGAAGCTATTCGGCTGGGCCGGTAGTTGATATGCCGCTGAGTGCACGTAGAAACTACGGCACTGATCGCCCTGAAGCGTCCCTGAATGCCACAGAAGATCCGAGGAACAAACCAACGCTGCGGTACCTTGTTCATCTGAATATTTGCTGTCCATCTCGCGGTCGCTTCTACCTACACTCGACCATTAGAGTGGTCTTCGCTAACCGGGTACCCGATGGCAAGGAGAAGCTACGAAATGAGATTCAACTGCCAGAACCCCGGTACAGCCCGTACAAGCCTACTCGAGAGCCAGCTCTTTCGTCATCTGCAAATGCTCGGTTGGCAATCGAGAATGCCACTCGACGACGCAGTACCTGCCAAAGCCCCATCACCCATCTTCGCCCTCATGTGACCGCGCCTGATGATAAAAATATCCCAATGCACTGGAATGCAGTGAATTTTCCAGGCTCGTATCCAGATTCTCATCAGTCTGATGAATCTTTTTACAGCAAGCTCAATAAGGGCGATGCTGGATATGGAGGTTATCTATATCATTCTGGACAGAGCGGTCCTGAAACTGGCGAGAGTCTACTCGCGAGGAGACTTCGACACTTGGGTGTCCACAAGCAAGAATCATTTGATAATTAATAAGCCAGGTATATCACGACATTTATACTGGCTTAGCACATCGTAATACCTCTTCACTCTATACATTACCAAAGATACAGGCATATGACTCGCCGGCCCTGCAGTCATACCATACATATACCAATTCAACTAACCAATATAGCTTAGCTCCCACAGTTGTTACCCAGCAGGTGCGACATATTTGATTTACTTTTGCCGACCTTGCTTTCTATCCTTTCTTTTTGATCGCGTCTCCATTCGTCCAAGTAAGCCAGAGTAGGACAGGCGCATGCGTCACCGGCTATATACCCCTTTTTTCTACATATTTCTTTCGTTTTATCTCTATGGCTATCTCACAAACATATCAATATTCCAAGGTTGTTTTTATATTTTATCGAATATCAATCAAAGGTTTTCACCACCATCCAAGCCCTGTTCTTTCAAGCATTTTTATTGCTACATCATGTAATCAAATTTACATAACTAGATAGATGCCCTCACCAATCAAGCTGTAACACGCTTCAGTTAACTGGTTCCAAGGTTGCAGAGGATGAAAGAGCTGTATTCTTGCATATATATTTACAGAGGACGCTAGGTACAGCAATCAAATATTAGAAGTTGGGAAGCAGATTCAATGTCCAGGCGCCTCTTCCTGTTGGGGGATTAACAAGTCTCCTAACGATAGAAGAACACTGAATGAAACCCACATCAAGGCTAGAATCAAACTGTGATTAGGAAATTACAGTCGAGTCAGCATACAGGGCCACGATATTCGAAACAATTCTAACCAGAATGCTCCACGATCTCGTTCACCAGCACACCATCCTTGATGTAGCTCTTGATCTGTTCGGGAACAGGGCACTCCTTGGTATCATCGTCTGTGCCCTCCTTAGGTGGGAGAGTGATGTTCACAGCACTGCATTTACTTGTGAATATCTCGGTGTTCAAACTCTGTAGGCCAAGATAAACAGTAGCGCCATCGACCTGGTCGAGAAGAATAGTTGGGACGGTACCATCAACCTGCACAGCAAACTTAGGTGACTTGATCACATCAAGACTGCTAACAAGCGATTCCACGATAATGGAAAGGCCAGTGCAGTTGTCAATAGCAATAGCATTGGCCTTGCCATTGACCTTGACAATGCTCTTGTTGCAGCGCGAGATCAGAATGGAATGGTTCTGCTGTGCGGAGATCTCAATGATATCCTCTGAGCCCTCGAAGTTCTCTACTAACCACTTGCTACCCTCCAGTTCTTTGCGCGGAGGCTTGCGGGTACGCATGCTCTCGGGCTTCGGCTTCTTGCTAGGAGCAGGAGACCTGGCCCGAGGAGAGCCTACGGTTGAACCCGCACGTAGACCGGGGTTCTTGTGTGTCATCTCCGACTTATCTACCTTGCGGAGACCAGAGGTGATCTGTTCGCCTTGGTTGAGCTGGTCGAAGACTGCACCCATGTCTGGAGCGGCAGTCCCTGGAGCAGGAGCCGGAGAGGTGACCAGGGGAGGTGGTGGTGGTGGTGGTGGTGGGGGAGGGCCACCGCCTCCACCAGGGACATTTAGAGCAGGAACAGGGGGAGGGGGAGGAGGTGGTAGACCGGTGCTAGCGCCGGCTGGAGCACCACTCTTGATCTCCTTGAGAGCCACCTGAGCGTCAACTCCAGATTCATCGTTCCATGTCAGGCCCTTGGGGTAGTGTTTCTTGAGATAAGCTGAAAGAGACTTGAAGTTCTGGTAGTACGCTTGGATATACTCGACGTGTGTTTGGTCCCTGTTAATATGTCAATAAACAAATTTCTCTGGCCCAGGAAGAAGGCATATACATACTTGTCCTTGTACTCCTTCAACACCTTATTTCCGTAGTACTGGATACCACCAATGATCTCCGTGACGAATTCCGCTGGCTTTCCCTCGAAAAACCAGCCCAGAGCAACGATGCCCTCTGCGACAGCACTCAGGTGATTGAACAGCGGCGAAGGCCGGTTAGACTCCCGAATGTTGTTGATGCTGTCTGAGGCCTTGTGCAAGTCTGTCACAAGCTCTACAGGCTGGGGATCGGGCTTCTTGGCCTTTGTCGAAACAAAGAGGTAGGTGCGCTCGGCTTGGAAGGCTTGCAATACCGCTTTCGACTAAACAAGCATGAGCCAATGTGTGAGTAGCACAGTCCACTTTGAGGCTTACCTGCTCAGCCACCAGACCACCAATCTTCTGACCAAGGTCAACAAATTTCTGGACATCCTCTTTAATCAATTCATCGAAGTCCTGGATCTGCGGCGGGATTTGGGCTGGCGGAGGAGTTGCCGGCGGAGGAGGAGTGAGCTTCGGAGTCACAGTTGCAACGGGCAAAGGAGTTGTAGGAGTTCCCGCAATCGTGGAAGCATGAGGTTCATCTAGAGTCATTGCCATATCCTCTAAGCGTGAGGTTGCAGCCTCGAGCCTGTTTGGGCGAGCGCCATAGTCAGTCAAATCTGCTAGGGGGCGCTCGTGGTACAGCTTGGACTAAATTGAAACATGGACGCAGCTGGGCACAGGGGATGCAGCTACCAGAGAACAGTATACATACCGTTTGATGAGGGTGGTGAGATTATGCATATGGCCGCCACTCGCCATGGTGGGCAACACGTAGTTCCTGAGAGCGGGAAAGTGAGTTGGTCTGAGGAAAGGAGGAGGTCGATTGAACGGTGACTATTGACTGAGGGCAGAAAGGTAAATCTGCAATACCTAAGTTCTCGCAGTCAATAAAAACTAGAACGGAGTTCAAGTGAGGAAGACAAAGACGGAGGTAAAGGAGGCCTAGAGCTATGAGATCCCGCAGCTCAAGCCAACGGTATTATTACATACGCCTATCAAAGCCTTGATTATGGGCACCATGTGTATCGCCGGTATTTCCAATACATACTCCACTAGCCCACCTCAATTCCCCAACACCGGATAAATTGAACCTCTGATCTGATACTTGTGATATTATACATATTACGCTATGTCTGAAATAGTTGCTGATAATCAGATGGGTGATGTTGACTTTTGTACTTTGGGAATGTTTATTCTCGGTATGCTTCTCTCTCCAGGGTTTTCTCTCTAAGCCCCGCAGATCGGATTCTCACATATTATGAGACAGATGACATTGATTTCGGGAGCTCTAGACCGGGAGTCAAGAATGTTCTCGGAGGTGCTGCATCATTTGCAGTCCTAGGTGCCCGTCTAGTTGCAGGCTCTACGTATGCTCGATCTGTGAGCTGGATCGTGGACGTTGGTTCTGACTTCCCTTCCGAGACTCTTGCAGAGATCAGGTCTTGGGATACAGACTGCTTGTTCCGGGAAGACCACAGCAGGCTCACAACTCGAGGCTGGAATGGCTATCATCCAAATGAGAAACGAGGTAAATGAATCTATCACGTCGGAGACTTGTTTTGAACGAATATGAGTAACCGCGATCCAGACTTCAAGTATCTCACTCCGAAACTGAGGCTAGAACCCTCAATGCTCTCTGATGCGCAAGTGTGGTCACAGACGTTTCATATGGTCTGCTCTTCATCACGGTGCATCTCTATTGTTCACGATATTCTGCAACGGCGAGAGGAACTACGCAAGGCGGGCCAGACCCCTAATAATGAGAATGTTTCCAAGAGACCCATCTTTGTTTGGGAGCCAGTGCCTGATCTGTGTACACCAGCAGAACAAGAAAAGTTCTTTGCTGCTATTAAAGTTGTTGATGTGGTCAGCCCTAATCACCTGGAGCTGGGAATGTTGTTTGAGCAGCCTGAATGGACTAAAGACAGCCCAGATGGCCAACAATTGATTCGGAGGATCATCGAGTCTGGGATTGGTCCAAATAGAGACGGCTGCCTGGCAATCAGAGCAGGGAAAGACGGAAGTTATGCTTTCTCCAAGGCCCAAGAAATCTGGCTGCCTGCCTATCATCAACCAGATACTTCGGTTACTACGGCCGTAGTTGATCCTACGGGTGCCGGCAATTCGTTTTTAGGTGCGCTAGCTCAGGGAATGGTGTCTGTCGGTCGAGAACCTTTTGAAGTGATCGAGTCAATCCTCTCGCATTCTAGGAATTGGGAAACTGCTCTGGACTCATGGGGCACGCGTCGAGGATTGCCCATGGCTCTCATATGCGCAACGGTCGCTGCCGGGTTTGTGGTTGAACAGATTGGCGTACCGCAGATTTCTCAGAACTCTGGTAAGGAAATGTGGAATCAATCTGAATTCACGGAACGAGTCCGCCTGTACACGCAACGATTATTCAAGACAGTGGAAGAGTCTCCTCAGAGACATCTCTTGACCAAATGATCAATAGCTGATTTAAGGAACGCCCTTCTATTTTCGTACAGCCTGGGAATGATAGTAATGATAGTAAAAAAACACAAAAAGAAAAGGTTCCATCTTGGGACTTCTCCTGCCGCTGCCTTATAGATTCCGGTTCCGCTTTCTTATGACTCGTTCTTTGCAGCCTGCTGTGCCTCGTGTTCACGGATTTGTCGGCTCCAGCTAAGATCCCGAAGACATCATGGTCAGTATAAGGTCGACTTTCAATCTATGGAATCGAGGGGGATAAACTGACTATCGGCTAGGGAAGAATCTGCCGGGTTCAGGCATGCGATCGCGGTATTCGCGGTCGGCGCTAGTGGTGAAGGCAATGGCAGCGACACCGATAACAAAGGCACCCATGACAGCGGTGTTGACCTTCCAGTTGGCCGGCTGGGCGTACCAACCACCAGCGGGGGACCAAACTTCCTTGGGGTACCTGTGCAGTGTAATATGTCAGCGTACATCATCAAGGAAATCGACAGGTTCAAACATACGGGATCTTTCCACCTCCACCCATTGTGAAGATTATTCAATTGAGGGTATGTTTGGGATGTAAAAAGAAGGTCGAGCTTAGGCAGTTGAAGCCGAAATGGCTGCTCGTCGATTGGAGAGTCGAATGCCAAGCATTATTTCCTATATAGGACTAGCGTTTGATCACACGACTTCAGATCCCGTGACTACCGACAATTTCTCTTTTCTTGCTCCGTAAATTGGCCGCGATACCAATCTCCATATCTGTTGAAGCAGCGTGGTCAATTGATACCTGTGTTCTCCCTTTGTTTTGCTGCTAATGTCTCTTACCGCCCAGATGAAGAGATTGCAGCTTCAACGATGGAGCAGCACCGTCCTTGCGCCGCAGGCTCGGGCTACTAACAGATTGCATCAACAACTTTGCTCCGCCGGGTGTCGGCACAACTCAACTGCTGCGGCAGTTGAATCACAAGCTACATCTCAAAATGGAATTACGGCGGATGAGGCTGCGGCAGAGCTGAAGCGCCAAATCCGAAAAATGCACAAACGCAAGTCAGAACTCCAATATCCCTCTCCTCCGGTTGAAGCCGCATCCAAGTCGGCTAAGCTTGCAGCCCTCCACGCTCGACTCTACCTCCCCTCCCGATTACCTCTTCAGACACTCGCGCGGACACTGGTCGATGCTTCCGCGGATTCAAATTCCGATTTCAACAACAAATCGTTGGCCACTCTTGGCGATGACCTTCTCAACTCCTACACCACCGAGCACCTTATTTGCACTTATCCTCGCCTTCCCCTGAGTGTCATCTTCGCAGCCACATACGCCTATGTCGGTCCCCAAACCCTCGCATCCATGACTCGGGAATGGGGTGTAGATTTCGCGTCCATCCCCGGAGGAGAGGTCGACCCTGGTTTACTTCAGTTCAAGCGGGTTGAACCTGGTACTGAGCTCGAGGAAAAAGGCTCATTAAGGCCATATGCTGAAAAGAAATGGAAGAAAACAGTCACCTCACAAATTTTTTATGATGATCAATTTGGTCAGGCTTCTCAGCGGTCAAAGTCTGGTGTTACCGCCGATGAGGCTAGTTCCACCTTCATCCGTGCTGTGGTAGGCGCAATCTACCTGCATGCTGGTCGCACAGCCGCCAAGCGGTTCTTTGAGCAGCACTTCCTTTCTCGACACCTTGACATTTCAAGCCTATTCAACTTCTCCCAGCCCTCCAGGGATCTGGCCCGCTTGTGTGCACGTGAAAACTTCGAGCGTCCCATCGCTAAGATAATCAGTGAGACTGGTCGCCTAAGCAGACATCCTGTCTTTTTGGTTGGCATTTTCTCTGGCCAGGATAAACTGGGTGAGGCTGCTGGAGCCAGTCTTGTTGAGGCCCGAGAGAGGGCATCTCTTAGTGCACTAAAGGGCTGGTACCTGTACAGCCCACTCAACGTACGGGTCCCCAGCTCTATGGAGGAAGAGGGTGCTACTCCCTGGAAGCCTGCATACGTTGACTTGGGTGAAGTGATTGTTTAATAAGCTCTATTCAAGCCACGCTAGACGGGCATGATTCCGTCTTATTTCATGTCTTTATTGTCCTCTATCCCTCCTTTTCTAGTGCGCCTATGTTTTCGCATAGAAAGGCCGAAAGGAATAAGAGTCACCTCTCCTGTCTTTTTGCATGACCGGATACTGTACAATATGGGAATTTGTGATCCCTTCGATTCATCTGGTGTCTTCTTATTTTCATTATTGGATTTCATTTTTCTGTCACCTCCTGAGGTCCTTGTGTATTGTTTATTTGGCTAAATCCCCCCATTCTTCAGTTAGAAATCGGTCAAAATGGGATGCACAAGGTTACGAGCCTTGGGCATTTATATTATAGAGGTGCTCCCCTATTTACTGTGCTTCAAAAATCAATTCAAATTCCAAATATATTTGCGGTTTTTTTATAGAGCACGCGATATGGTCCCGCCACTCGGAATTTATATAGGTCTATTCTTGGGCTTTCAGAGAGAATCAAGATAATGTCCATATTCATCCCAAAGCTCCGCAACTTCGACCCCAAATAAGCCATTCCAAAATCCACTGTGACCCTGAACTCGTTCGTCTTCACTTTCACCAACATATCCAACTCTCAAAAGTCGATCATTCAACATACCAATCGCCCCCAAACCAACTCGCACATCCTCAAGCCATGCCAAAAAGTATGCAGTATTCTGGTACCCAGCATCCCATTGTGACGGCCTCTCAGCAGCAGATTGGGGTCTTTTCCAATGAGGTGGCTCCAAACGAGCTTTGAGCCGAACGAAATCCGCAATACCTTCAATGAGTCCTCCAGGTGGGCGAGGCACAGTCTCATTCTCTTCAGCACTCGGCTTCGGGGGTGCAGTATGTTGGTAGCAGTGCACAAGCTCGTGGGTGAGAACACCTACTAGCTCATGCAGCGGGTCAGCCTTGGCAGATGCGTCTGTACAGTGCTGCACGTATGAAAGCGAGAGGTGAATTTCTTTATGGTCGTCGTCCAAGTCGCTACCAGTTGTATAAGCGACGCCCTCAAAGTCCCTAAGGAATAGAGTTACGGAGCGTGTTGGGGGGAATAACAGGGTGGAAAAACAGCTTCCTGCCTGGTTGGCTATCGTATGCACTGGTGTGCTGATTGGCTGTATATAGATATCTGACAATGTTGCCGAGCGCTGTATCGAGCGTTGATGCAACATCCGGAATAAGAGCGAGAAAAGCGCTTGATGCTGGATGACGGAGTTCCTGCACATGAAGCCGCAGCTTGGGCCGAGGTATCTTTTGTGCGATGTCGGCTTCGTTAGGTCTTTGATCCTGCGATTTCTTGAGTGGGCTAGACTTAGGGATGGCTGTTGCTGTTGCCGTTGCCATAGCGAGTTCAGTCATGCTATAGCCTCTGTACTCCGACCAGTATTTGAGAGCTTCTTTACAAATTTGCTACTTGAGTGAATTGTTCTCTGCTGGGAGTTTCTGTTGACGTTGATTCAGGAGTAAGCCGCGTAAGAGTATAAGATGCGGGAGGTGGGGAGCCCTGCGCTCGGTCCAATCAATGACACCTCTTTCAATGCTCTTCACAGCCTACGGAATAGATATGGCTGTCTAACTGTCAGTTAGCGTCGATTAATGTTATCAATCTAAAATTGAATATAACACAATGATATCAATCTTTTAAATTTAGAGCTTCTATGGCTGTCAAGATTTTAAAGGGTTGTCAGTTTTGTGACAGTCACCTGACCTTACTCAGAGTAGCAGATTAACCAAGGATTTATTTATTCAAGGAGATCAAGTATATGATTAGTATTGTGATCATTGAGTAGGCTCTCTCGTTGTCAGATTCGAGCCAGTTGTTATACTCCGTTTGTACGACTATAGAGTGGTTGCCCTTTGCGACCACTTAACATCAACAAACCCCAGAGAGATATTGGGTTAGGATACAAACCCAACCAAAGCTGATAAACCACCACAAATTGAAAAATAAACATCTGACAGTACTAAAGCATAGAAACAAGCCAGTCATCTTTCTAATCAATTCGTATCTCTTTAATTGATCTACGATTTCTGTGAAATCCCTTGATTCTATATTCTTGTTCTTATCTCTTATCGCCCCTTCCATGCTTGTTGTTCAACTTTCTTCCGGCGCTTATCAACCGACCATCCCACCATTCATTCGCGCTCGCGCTCTCGTTCTCTTTCACGTCCACACTGACTTGGTAAGTGATATCCAATCGCTACGTGGTTCTAGCGTCGTATTTGTGCGCGCTTGTTTTTCGTGTTTTGTCGCAGCGCGGTCGCGCGGTCGCATCCTTCCTCGTTCACCTTCTCCGTAACCGACTGACCGGAAATAAACAGTTGAATCTTTCAAATTCACATTTCAATACACAGTCATACAGACTCTCTGTCTATTATCCATCCTTTCAATCTTGCTACACAACACTCCATCCGAATCTCACCTGCCATCATCCGACGGTGCCTCCTATGTCCTATTGGTGACACGAGATATTTCCCCCCAAAAAATGGAGTCAAAGGCTGCGGAACTCCTGGCTGCTTTCAAAAATCCCAATCTCTCCACTGACGTCAAAGTTTCTCATCTCACCGGAATCAAGTCTGATATCAAACAAAAAAATGTCCCAGAGGGTGCCATTCAGACCATTTTCGATGCGCTGAAGCTCGCCATCACCTCACAACACTCCTCCGTTGCTAGCGCGGGATTTTCCACATTGGGCCACCTACTGAAGCGCCTAACGATCCAAGACCAGCAGCAATGGATTCTTTCGCAGTCACGCAGTCTCTATCCGATATTATTGGACCGACTTGGTGATCATAGGGAGCGCGTACGAGCTCAGTCTGCATCAATATTTACTGACCTATGGCCCCTTGCGAACGATGAGGTCGAATATAATGTTCTTCAATGTGCTCTTGTGGGCAAAAATGCTCGCGCCAAAGAAATGAGTCTACTTTGGTTGTCGAATGTACGTTCAGCAATCTGCTCTATGTGAATTCCCATTCTGACATAAATTCTTACAGATGACCAGAAACCATGGCTTGATGTTCCGTCAGTATGTACCTTCCCTGGTTGCGTGCTTGGAGGACGCCGACAGTGCCGTTCGAGATACGGCAAGATTAGTCGTCGTCGAACTTTTCCGGTAACTTCACTGTCTTTGATATCTCCTTGCGTCCCCATACTTACCCATATGATCTAGAAATGCTCCTGCTCGGGCAAAATCCGATTTACAAAAACAATTGGTTGCTCGGGGAGTGAGAAAATCAATTTCGAGTTTTATTATTTCCGGCATTGGACTTAGCGCTGCGGAGCCTGAGAGTACAACTCGGCCCGTTTCCCGAGTTGATCGGCCAATTTCAGTGATGTCCTCGCGTTCACGCGCCGTGGATGTAACGGACGATGGTATGTTCTATAATAAATTGGTCTTTTGACATTTGTTCTAACGTCATTCTAGAGCGAGAGCCCCCAAGGGTCGACCAGTATCACGAGCTCACCACGATAGATCGACCGCCTCGAAATCTGTAGAGCCACTTATGAGACCTAAGACGCCAGCTGAGGCGCCAAGCACCTTGCCCCAAGAAGAGGATAGCATAGAACCGCTTCTTGTCTCTTCAGCAAGAGACATTGATGATATGACGCGTGCTATGCTTCCTTGGTTCGAGGGCAAAGAATCTGAAGAAAACTGGATTAAACGTGAGAAGAATTGTATTCTTCTCCGAAGACTCACTCGCGGTAATGCGCCTCAGGAATTCACTCAGACCTTTGTCAGCGCCACAAAGACCCTCCTGGACGGGATTTTCAAGGCAGCAACCTCTCTCCGAACAACATTGTGCACCAATGGCTGCCTTTTGATGCAGGATATCGCCCGAGTCTGTGGTCCAAAGATTGACTCAATGGTTGAGATCATCATGCAGAACTTGACAAAGTTATGCGCATCTTTGAAAAAAATCGCGGCTCAGAACGGGAATTCCACGGTTGAGGCTGTTATTGAGAATGTGACGTTCAACGTGCGACTTTTGCAGCATGTCCACATGGCATCACAAGATAAAAATCTACAGCTGCGATTATTCGCGCCTGCATGGCTTCGGACCTTGATTATCCGACAGGCGAACCATAAGGGTTCTGTCGAGCATGGTGGTGGTCTGGATCTTGTTGAGAAATCGATTAAGAAAGGACTAGGCGATGCTAACCCGGGTGTGCGAGAGGCAATGCGCAGTACATTCTGGACATTCTATGGCGTATGGCCCGAGAGAGCCGATGGGTATGTGTTCATTGCTTGGGAATCTGACGCCTAGAAACATATGCTAATTTTATATAGGATTATGGACACCCTTGATGCCAAATCACGCGGTCTTTTGGAAAGGGACTCGTCAAACCCAAATGCAAGTGTGACCTCAAAAACTTCGGCTCCTGCAAAGAGCGCAACTGGTGGAGCTGTCAGTCGCTCCGCCCTCAAAGAAGCTATTGCGGCTCGTAGGAAGGCGGCTATGCCTTCTCGCCCAGACTCTGCACAGTCTGCCCTCTCGGAAAGCCAAGCATCAGATGCTGGACACAAATCATCCAGTAGGACTGTACCTACAGGCGCACCTCTTTCTTCTTTGTCATCTGCACCCATGCGACCTGCTATGAAGCCTCGTCGACCTGAGGTGAGTCGCCCGGCAACTGCTGACCCTTATGCTCGTCGACCGGAATCCAGAGCTGCCCAAACGACTAGCAAGCTGCCGGTCAGTCCGAGATCTGTGCGGTCGAAAACATCAACACCATCTTCAAGACCTATCAATCCGCCTCGTCTTCGGCCCCACGAGGGACCCGGTCAAACGGGTACGACCAGGGGAAAACCTAAGAAGCTTGACTTGTCAAAATCAAAGTCCCATGGTGATCTTCACGCAGCAACCCTGGCCCCAAGTGACTCCAATGAAAGCTTGATAAATCAGCCATCTTCACATCCCCATGATATCGACCCACCGATAACAGCTGAGGTATTGAATTCCCCTGCACCTGTTGTTCTAGAAAGGCTCCCGCTTTCTGCGGCGCAATCATCATATCTTCATGGCGACTCCCCGAAGCCTGATCTTGACTTGGTTCCAGAACCAGAGTCTTTGGAAGCATCAAAACCACAGCCGCCTGAGGAGCAGCCATTCGAGGAGCAGCCGTTCGAGAAGCAGCCATTTGAGGAGCAGCCATTTGAGGAACAGCCATTTGAGGAGCAGCAATTTGAGGAGCAGCCATTTGAGGAGCAGCAATTTGAGGAGCAGCCATTCGAGGAGCAGCCATTCGAGGAGCCTAATCTCCCCAGATCAGCAACTGCAACCCCGTTAAAGCATTTTGATCTAGTATCTGACACTGAGTTTGCTGCGAAGAGCCACCCCGAAGAAATGATCATATATGAGGATCCTACCACGCCCGTTGCTACTGAACCATTGACTCCTACGATTGATCACGTTGAGCCTTCCACTCCCATAAAGTCTCCATACCATGCCGATGATCAAGAGAGTGACATCGACTCTATGGTAGAAGACCAAATTGCTGCGGCCACGTCTACCAGAACACCTCGCTCGGGGATGGGAATGCTTGGCTCTGATGGGGCTAGTGAAATTCGTCTCCCAGCGCCAATGCATAGGACACCTCTCCGTGGAAGCCCTTCGCCTACTAGGAGTCGGGCACAAGCAACGCCCAGCGGACCAGGCGTAAGACTTGATTCTACTTCGCATCCCGTGAGTGAATTACATAGCTTGCCAAAAACCCCCAACAAAGAGAATGCAATTTCATACACGCCCAAGGTCGCAACCCCACGATCGACGCCTAAAACAGGTGCCTTGGAGGAGGTGCCGCTGAATGAATCAGTTTTAAGGCTCGTGGAGGCTAGGTCACCTTTCGGATCTCCACGGGTGACTGTCCAACCCCCCTTCGACGTGCTCGAAAGTGGGCCGAGAGGCACCGGAGCCCAAGCCCTCGATCCAAAGACCCGGCCAATGCGAGAGAAATGCTTCAAAAGGCCAATAGTCGAATTACTGCGAAGACGATGGATATTTCTGGCTATAGAAAGCTGCAAGGTCTCTTTCAATACCACGGCCTAGACCTTGTTTCTCGCGAAAAGGACTACTACGCAGTTTTAAATGCCTTGTTGAATGAATTGGAGTCGGCTCCTACCAGTCGCAAGGACCACGATGTGAAAACCCAAATTCTGGCGACCATACGGTCTATGCTTCTCCGAACTAGCGACCTGTTCCATAAGTATGATGTGCCTGCAGTGGCGGCTATCATTCGGACTCGTCATCACTACGAGTCAAATTCTCATTTTGTCACCTGCCTGGAGGAGGTGGAAGAGCAGTTGGTTTCCTTGATCCCAACCCAGTCAGCTATTGATGGTGCACTACAAGCAATGGAGCTAGGGGAGGAGGTGGATGGCGAGGAAGCGTCTCGGACATTGATCATGGGCATGAATACCATTAAACAGGCACTTTCACAAGGCCCATCTGAGATATCTGATGATACCCTTGCAAGTATCGGTGCAGTGGCTGGTCAGCAACTGAACCACGCTCGTCCAGGCGTGCGCAAGGCAGCTACTGAGCTGTGTACACAGCTTAACCTCAAATTTGGCCTAGATCGGGTCCAAAAGCTGACCCAGCCGGCTGGAGAAGGATCTCTCAACCTCCTCACTTACTTCATGGCGCGCGCTCGATAAGTGAACTTTTATCATGTACATATCTTCGGTTACTCTTTTTTTCATTAAGCTTTGTAATTACTGTAAGGCGCACGTCGTCGATTCTTATGCGCACAGAACCAAAGTTTCATAAAATTACCTTGGTAGATGAGTGTCTGCCTTCAGCATTGAAGGATAGGAAGATAGATCCATGCTTTTTTGAGTCGGTCTGTTGGCATTGAATTGTCACCTTACAATTTGATAACAGGTCAGCTCGTAGATACCTATCTTGGTAATTCCGGAAGCTGCCCCTCTCAAAGCGCCAAACCACATCATTGTGCATTGAAAATCAGCGCTGATCTCGGAAAACCTATTCCTCCCCGGGTCATCAATCTCGGTGTTTTCTCCGACCTTCTCATGTATACTTCGTATCACTGAGTGTCCTAATGCTCAGATGGGCTAGACTCGGTCCTGGAATTCAATACTCCGCACTGAGAAAATGGCACTGGACTATTTAGCTAGAAGCCGGCATCCATTGAGTCTCGACAATCCCAGAATTCTCTAAGCAGCCTATTTTCCCACTTCGATCTCGATTCATATCAAATATGGCACCAACACTGACAGGTGGGAACCCGCACATTGTCCATCTGCCTTCGACGACTGCATCATCACCCTCTGAGCCCCGTACAATCATACAGCAATGGTTCACAGCTCTGGAAAACCAACTGTCTCAGCCTCACTCCATTGATCTGATAAACCTCTTTCACTCAGAATCATGGTGGCGTGATATGATTGCTCTTGATTGGGACATGCGTACTATGCACACAGCTGCTGAAATTCAAGACGTCCTACGCAAGCGACAGAGCCAGGCACGACTTTCTCACTTTCAACTGCAGGACAAAGGTCAATTTAAGCCGAAGTTCGAGCATGTCGTAGACGGAATTTGCTGGATTTCTAGTATGTTCTTTTTTGAGACTGCCGTTGGGAAGGGTGCGGGTATGGTGCGCTTGACGCAGACTGCGGAGGGTGGGCCATGGAAGGCATATGCTGTGTATACTTCCTTACAGAAACTTAAGGGCGTAGATGAACCTCTTGGTAAACTTCGGCCCGAGGGGACGACTGAATCTATGCCTGGTGGTCTCGCTGGTGGGACTTGGATCGAGCGACGGGAGCGACAGAAGGAGTTTTTGGATGAGGAGCCCGTGGTTTTGGTCGTTGGAGCTGGTAAGTAACATCTGATATTTTGAAATGACTGGGTTAATTTGACATTGGTTTAATGGTACAGGGCAGTCAGGTCTGAATATGGGTGCTCGGCTGCAGAGCCTTGGTCTTTCTTGTCTAATTGTAGACAAGCAGGAGCGTATTGGTGATAACTGGCGCAATCGCTACAGGGTGAGTAACGACAGAAATCTTATGGTATCCTATACATGCTCACTTAATAATCTCCAGACTCTTGTTACTCATGACCCAGCTGAGTTCACCCACATGGCCTACCTGCCATTCCCGCAGAACTGGCCTCAGTTTACCCCGAAAGATAAACTTGGAGACTGGTTCGAAGCTTACGCAAGCATCATGGAGCTCAATGTCTGGCTCCGAACATCCGTGGCATCAGCTGAACGCAACGACGCAACATCCACATGGAATATCACCGTCTCTCGCGGCGACGGATCTCTGCGTACACTCCATCCACGCCATGTTATCTGGTGCACTGGGCACTCGGGCGAGGCACTTATTCCAAAATTTCCAGGACAGGATTCTTTCCAAGGCGTGGTGTATCATGGCAGCCAACATCGTGAGGCTTCCGAGTCCGACGTCCATGGCAAGAAGGTTATTGTTGTCGGAACTGGTAATAGTGGACACGACATTGCTCAAAACTACTACGAGAATGGAGCAGATGTGACAATGTTACAGCGCAGTGGAACCTATGTGATCAGCGCCGATAAAGGAGTCCACATGATGCACGAAGGAATGCACGAGGATGGCGGGTGAGTGTTCGCTTTTATTCTCCACGATATCACTTCTCATCAATCTCCCATTGACATTGATAATTTTTGCGACAGTCCCCCAACGGAAGAGGCAGATATCGTATCTGAAAGCCTTCCAAACCCTGTGCAATTCGCCTTGGGTGAACACTTTACCCAGCGTGTCGCAGCTACTGACAAAGAAACTCTTGACGGTCTTCGTCGTGCAGGCTTTAAACTTGACTTTGGCCCCAACGGAGCAGGAATTCTGTGCTTATATTACACTCGGGGTGGTGGGTACTATATTGATGTTGGTTGTAGTCAGCTCATCGTAGATGGCAAGATCAAAATCAAGCAAAGTCCCAACGGCATCAATGGGTTCGGGCCTCGAGAGCTGCATTTGGCAGACGGCAGTAGCCTTCCAGCAGATATTGTGGTCTTGGCTACCGGATATGATACCATGCGTTCAACTGTGCGTAAGGTGCTTGGTGATAAGATCGCCAATAGATGTGTGGATGTTTGGGACTTGGACGAAGAGGGAGAACTTCGCGGGGTAAGCTTCTTTGTTTTAATTGTATCATGATAGTAGCTAACCTTGCCATAGGTGTGGCGTCCCAGTGGCCAGCAGGGATTCTGGTATTTTGGAGGAAACCTTGCTATTTGTCGGATTTACTCTAAGTTCCTAGCCCTGCAAATCAAGGCGGTTGAAAATGGTCTTTCGACGGGAATCAGGCAGCAACAAAGCGAAGTAAAGATATAGAACCGTATCAAGTACCTAGTAGCCTAGGTTCCGAACAGGGTCAAGACTTATCAAGTTCAAGATAGTTAGTGACCACCATTTCATCTCTTCTTGAGCCATTCATTCGAGTCCGGTATCGTGAGCATATAACATGGTTCAATTTAACATCAATAGTTGGTGGTTTAAACTGCAAAATTAGTGGACGTAGTAAGGGCGTATGGCGAATTTCCTGTGTAGACAAAATGGGCTTAAATATGGTTGTAGTCAATGTAGTTAACCTGTTTTCTATCTCAGTCAGCACTTTGTTGAATCAAAACCTTAAATTTGGTATTATATAATTATATAATCAGTTATCTCCGAATGCCGTTGGAGTTAAGCTAAAAGCCGCGACATCAGCTTGCAGAATTTCCACTCTATTCCACTTTTGATCACTCACAACCCAATCTCGGTCTCAAGACTCAATATTTAACATTTAAAACATTTGTCCTTTCTCAATGAGTACCAATACTTCCTTCGCTGGACTAGAAGTCGGAAATCATAGCTCTCGGCTGCGTCGAGCACATACTAAATCACGGCGAGGTTGTCGGAATTGTAAGCTGCGACGGGTCAAAGTAAGTCTTTACTGAAATCAGAAATGCCATAGTCCAAATGTTAGAGCCTAGACCTCTGAGGTCATCACTGGCCTTTGGATTAGTCTATTTCAAGGTTGAAGCAGAGTATAACAATTCACAGTGCGACGAAGCACACCCATGCTGTCAGAAGTGTCAATCATATGGCGTGACTTGCAATTATGATTCGTCCCATGCTGAACAGCTGCAGCTAGAACAACGAAAAACAAGCAAGACACCCCTCGAAAGCTCTTTTGGCCATGTAATCTTTGACTCGATACCTCTCAGTCCATGCTTGATAGTTGGAAATGGTTATGGTTCATTTCGACTGGATAAGGATGGTCTTGCTTGTTTAGATAGATTCCAACACCGTACTGTTGACAGTTTTGGAACTACTTCTTCTCGTGAATTGTACCGGACTGATGTAGTCAGACTCGCCGTTCAGGTGAGACCTTATTCAAAGGCCCCGAAGGGACTTTTATGATCTGACGTGGCTGATTATCTATAGCATCCGTTCTTGATGCATATCATTCTTGCAATCACATCAATGCATGATAGTTATTTGTCCACGTCTTTGAGAAGGGAAAAGGTAATTCCCGAGGCATACCACAGTGCGCATGCTGCTGCACTATTATCTAAAAAGCTGTCCGCTCCAATCATGCCCGAGGACCGAGATGCTCTCTGGGCCTCTGCTGCTATGCTAGGTCTTGCCAGCGTCACTTCTCTTGATGCCTCGACTCCCTCAGAGGCATGGCCACTTAAACCTTTTGACGCGGGCGATCTTGACTGGATGAATATGAGTAAAGGTAAGATGGCTATCTGGAAAGCCACGAATCCCCTTCGATCAGACAGCATCTTTCATCCAATGGCAACCGATTTTCGTGCAATGACACAGCCGCCAAAGTACTGCTCAATAGACGAGATTCCCCAAGAGTTTGTCAAGTTGTGCGGATTAGATATATCAGTCGATCTATCCCAGAACAATTATTATACTGCACTCTCAACTCTGGTTCGATTTTGGGATTTTGAATACAAGCAGGATCTGTTGCCAGCATATCTTGCTTTTCTCAGTTTCATGGAGCCGACCTTTCGAACCTTGCTACTTCTGAAAGACCCACGGGCACTTTTAATTTACCTTTATTGGCTTTCTCCTCTCTGCAATTCTGTGTGGTGGGCCATGAGGCGGGCACGGTTAGAATGCCAAGCAACATGCTTGTATTTGGAGACATACCATGGCGGTGATGAGGATATTCAGAGAATGTTGCAGCAACCTAAGGTACAATGTGGGCTAATGGTGATCACTGATATGAGTACGCGTCAGACTTAGATTAAAAATTCCAGTATTAGCAGATATTATGCAGAAATTTGAAATTTCAACTGAGAAACTCAGAAATCATTTGGCATTTGAATGAATTATGACTTCATTTGAGCATGACTTTCTATACATGATGCATAGGTAGATTTGAACATGAAGAGGATCCAAGTCTTCTGACCATGGAAGGCGATGTAATGAGGCAGAATCAAGATGGATTTGTCGTTCAAGTAAATAAGTGGGGCGTGTGCATCAAACTTCTAAAACCAAAAAGTCGTTGTTATTATATCCCAAGACACTATAGTCTGGTAGTTAAGGCCATCAATCTGCCAACCAATAATGAGGTTCGAGATCGGCGCTCGATGAAATCAAAACTGTCATACAAGTTTCCTAAGTTTCTAGTCCATAAAACGGTAAACCTTTCCAAGATCAGCCCCGGTCTGCCAGATTTGAGGTACGACTGATGACTGAATTATTGACGAAATTTTTAGACCTCATTTGATTCAATTAGCACTACTGATAGCCATCCATGAGCGGAACGAAGCTATCCATCTTTTTTCCTTTTCTATTCTTTTTTAAGGGGGAATCATCAAGTCGGCCAAATCTTCTATAGATCTAGATCCATCCAGGCACGTGACCGGAAACACTTTTCCCAAATGGAGAAAAGAGCCGATCCACAGCCTGGAGGTTACTCGAGGTATTCATTAGCTCTCCAGCGCTTTTACTCGGGAGTCAAAGCCAAGGCAATCAAGAGGAATTGTTTGTCAAAATAGTATGAACCGGAAAGCAGTGTGCGTGTCCGCACCCCGTTAGGCCTGCAAAAATCATGAGCGAGCGAGGTTCGGAAATCGTCTTTCGAGCGGAGAATGTGCCGATCCGACACTTCAAAGCATGCCGATGGTGTAAGAGACAGAAAATGCGCTGTGATGCACGGCATCAAGTCCCATGCTTTCGATGTCGCTCAACTGGGCGTGACTGTATTCTAGATCCTATTGAAGATAATACCCGGCGACGAAGTGAACGTCGGAGAAAGACCATTGGACAGTAAGTTACGATCCCACGAGCTAATTTCAACTTATTGGTTTTTGAAAGAACCCTAATTTTCACAGTTACTCATCAGTCGCTTCACCACGGGAGCAGCACAGTGTCTATCACTCTCCTGTCGCCGGACACGATGCTACTTTTGACACAAATATCGACTCCCTTCCTGCTACATCAGCGCTGGAAGATCTACGAAGATCCCAAACAACGGATCAATCTGGCCCTGAATCACAGCAACTCAGTCCAAACGACATGATTGCTCCTGTTTCGGCAGTTCACTCGATGTCAGTAAACCTACTCGGCACGAACAGTGTGAGTCTTTTGATATACTTCTATTGAAGATACTTAAACTAATCTGCTTCGAAGATACTTATGGAGCATTCGACAAATGGCGACCTGAGAGGCGACATCATTGCTCGAGGTATCATCACTGAGGAACTTGCTAGGGTTATGCACGAGCGGTAGGTGGTTATAAGGAAGTCCAAACAGTCTTGGAAAGCTAGAGTAGCTGATCCTTTTTTTTAGCTTTTCATGTGGTAGTAAGCACTATTTACCTCTGTTTGATCCTATTCGGGATACATTCGACTCTATACGGTCACGCTCTTTGTTTTGCTTTACTGTTATTATGTACCTGGCTAGTCGAGCTGTGGTCGACTTGCGTAGTGATACACATATGCAACGTGTATTGCAAGATGAAGCGCAGCGTCTGGCTGAAGATAGTTTTTTTGAACGCCCTACAAAGCTTGAAACTGTTCAGGGAATGATTCTCCTCGCTGCTTACTCGGAGAAATCCTGGTTTTCAACTGCCCTCATTTTACGCACAGCCTTGGACTCTGGGCTGGAGAAATCATTGGACACATTGTTGTCGCAGGAAAATGTACCTCGCAGCTCTCTATCTGCCTCAATGGCAGATCGACAGTTGGTGTGGCAAACACGAACTTGGCTTATCAGTTTCACACTGGAACTAGATGTGGCTTCAGGTACAGGCCGCAAGTCTCGTATTGGCGAGGTGGATGTAATGAAATTGCGCAAGTTCCTTGACTACCCGCTTTCTCTACCTTGTGATATGCGAACAGTCTGTATCATCGAACTTCACCAACTTCGAGGTTCGAATACATCAAATGCCTCTTTTTCAATTCATTGACTAACACGTGGTTTCAGCTAAATCGCGCATTATATTGGAAAATTCAGGGACGATTCGTGATGTCATTTCTATAGAATTACCTGGAATTATGAAAAGACTGCAAAACTGGTGGACAACTTGGGATAATCTCCATGACAGTATGTTCGCTCTCAGCAGTCATAGCTCAGAATTGTTGATACTGACTCTCGATTTTAGATAACGGCTTTCATGCTGGAGCGTTCCAGCGCAGTAGCCTGAAACTTATGCTTACATATGCCAGGATCTTTGTACTATGCGCATCCTTGGCTCGCATCCAAAAGTTACAAACTAGCTCCTCCAACTCCGACTCTGAAATGATAGACGAAAGCGTAATGAATCTTTGGCAAACTCTCGTTACGACAATTATGGACCAGTTGGCGTTTCTGATCAATGAGCCTGCATACAGGTGCCAGCTGCCATGGGCTCCCACATATCCCGCTTTGACCATGGCTTTTGTCAGTAAGTATTGTTGGTCCAATTCTAAACTTAACTACTCTGCAGGAAACTGACTCGTAGCTAGCTACTTTTGCTGTCCGGATAGCTAGGTGGCGACCAAACCTTATTGATCAAAGTCTTCTTCTAGAAAGAGCAGAAAGGATCTGTGAATTTTTGAAGCAACCGCCATACCCGGACATTCACCGCACTGTATCTGTCTTCGTTAACTATGCCCGAGCCTTGATTGCCAGCCAGCAACGAAGCAGTGACAGATCAGACAGGCCCAGACCGTCCGATCAAAGGTATGGACACATAACCTCCTACACGGGTCCATATAGTCAGATGCCTAATGCAGCTCATGTGGGGCCTTTGGATGACCCTCAGTATCGACCTGACTCGGCTCTTCCGAGTGACCAAGACCCGAATATGGTCCCCATGACAGGTATTGATGCCGCTGGAACTCTTGCAAGACTACCCAACACTATGGAAGCCCCGAATTGGACAATGTCTAACTCTATTGCCGACTCTTTTGGTCTATTTGAGGAAGGACAGAACGACATTTTTGACTTCTTGCCCATGATGCCCTCTTTACCTCAATAGAAAGCAAGATTAATTCTATAGTATGATAATAAACCTTGGAATCCAATTTATAAAGCTTTCGGTTCTGTTAAGCCCAGCATAATGCGAAGGATTTCCCAAGTGTCCACTTCATTTGATCTACAATGATGGACCAAATAGTCGCGGCCCTCATCCCGAGGTCAACTATAACAACACATTACAAAGGACTGCGATATATTGGGCCGCAACGCAGTACACATCCATATGCTATCCTTTTCATGGAATAGTGGATTAGCATTGACATCTGCAAACGCAAATCGTAGCCGTAAACGTTTAATGGCTCAAGATTCGAGGAATATGAGCCTACCAAAATGGCCGGTCCCTTACCGGCGCCGACTGCCATCAACCCTAATCAACGGATCCGGTCCGGCGCCGGTCCCGCTTTAAGAAATTTTGAAGTACGAAGTATAGGAACCATTTCGATCGGTAAGTGCTAAGTGCTCATAACAAATGAGTCAAAATATAGGTCCATCAGATCTAGACAATGGGACTCGGATTTTATGCCGAATATTCGGGGTCCATCGGTTTTGGAGAAAATATTTATTTCTTCATATAACTTCCGGTTCTCCCTGCCCAGATGCCCTTTTCCAAAATTCTAAGTTGAAATCTGTTTGAATTGGTGACATGATCAACATAATTCTATTTTAATTTTCTTCTTTTTTTTCATTTTTTTTGGCAGTGATTATAGACCCTTCAAAAAGCTCTATAGCCATGAAGATTATCTCAGGTACGATTTAGACCAATCCGGTACTTGTACATGTTTTGATAGCATCCCCTAACATCATGTAGACAAAGGCCATTCTTTCATCAGGGAGGCTTCCTCCTCAACGACTGAGCCACACGAGAATAGAGACTACACGCTCACCGAGCACTCATCGGACGAAATATTAGTTGAATTCTCAGATGATTCTTTCGCCAATCCAAACAACTGGTCTATCGTAAGCTCCAATATTCTAGCCAGGCGCGTTATTGTGAGGCTTCATCTGGAATAGTGCTAATAAAGCATTTTTCTAGAATAAAAAAGTGTGCAATGCAGTCATCGCACTCTTCGCTGTGCTCAATAGCGGTTTATCGTCTTCATTACCGAGTAATGCAATTCCTACAATCATGCAAGACTTCAACAAATCTGGAAGCGGAGAAAAGGTGCTACCAACTGCCATCTTTTTGATCGGATACTGCGTCGGACCTATGGTGTTCAGCCCAATGAGTGAGACGATAGGTCGAAAACCTGTTCTCTTCTGGTCTTTCAGTGTCTTTTGTCTTGGAACGTTGGCTTGTTCGCTAGCACCTAATTGGGCAGCACTCTTAGTATTCCGGGCTATTTGTGGAATCATGTCTGCATCCCCACAGACTGTCGTTGGTGGCGTTTATGCTGATTTGTTCTCCGATCTGAAAACTCGTGGCCATGCTATGGCACTATACATGGGAGTATGCTTTCCTCAAGACATCTACCTTTTACATCTTCCGGTACTAACTTATTTCAAGGCTGCAAGCTTTGGTCCAATCATTGGTCCTATTATCTCGGGATGCTCCGTCCAATACGGCTGGCAATGGTCATTTCGTATCGACTTCATCTTGAGTGGTCTTAGCTGGATTGGTCTTTGTTTCCTCTCTGGTAAGATACTCTCCACTGCATTCAGAAGATCCTTACTCACATATTATACGTGTTAAGAAACGTTCTCACCTGTTTTGCTCAAGAAAAGAGCGGCAGAGTTGAGAAAGGAGACAAACAGCAATCGTTACTTTTCTTCGCAAGAGCTCAAGCAGACCGATACGTCTTTTACCATGACACAAATCGCTACTCGTCCTCTCTCAATGCTCGTTTTTGAGCCAATTGTTCTTTTTACGGCTCTTTATATTGCTCTAGCGTGGAGTATGGTGTTCTTTTACTTCCAAGCATATCCCATCATTTTCGAGGGTAAGCTGGCTTGCTAACTCCCGACATGTCGGTGGTTCAAGTAGAACAAGATTGAGAAGCTAACTTTTGAGATTAAGGAACCTACAACTTCAATGTTGCCATGACCTCTCTTACATACATTCCCAGTATGTTGATTTTATCGAATAGACTGATTATATTGCTAATAAGTGACAGTTGGTGTTGGCGCTGGAACATCTTCCCTGTTTGCCATTTACTACGATCAATTCTACGAAAAGTCCAAGAATGCAGGAAAAGCCTGGGCATCCGGGGCAGAAATGCATCGGCTTCCATTGTCCTGTGTCTCTGCTGCTTGTCTTCCGATTAGCCTCTTTTGGCTCGCATGGTCGGCAAGATCTAGTATTCATTGGATTGCCCCTGTGTTATCAGGCGTACTTTTTGGACTTGCCTATCAAACGACCTTCATATCTCTGCTAACATACGTCACCGATGCCTACAGAATCTACTCTGCCAGTGCACTTGCAGCCTCTGTTATCCTGCGCAGCATTGCTGGTGCACTCCTGCCTCTTGCGGCAGATCCGATGTACGCAAATCTCGGTGTTTCGTGGGCAACATCGGTCCTGGGTTTTATTAGTCTGGCTTTTCTTCCTATTCCTTTTGCACTATTATATTACGGCAAGTCGATTCGAAAGAGAAGTCCTTTTTGTCAGCTATTGCTGGAGCAGGAGATGTTCAAGGCGGCAAATAGTACAAGAACACCTGAAGAGGTATAAAATGCTTGAATTTAGTCCTAGAGACTACTCTAGAGATTGTCCAGGTAACTTATGATGACCGTGATGGATTTTTGAACTGAGTCTCTGTTTTTTAGAACTTTTAGTGATCTGGCCTTTCGGGATAACCTGCATAATCATTCATATAGGTAATTGCTTGGAGTTAATAAGAATTTTAATGCAAATTTGCTCATTTAATTAAACTCAAGGGCTCCAGCCCCAGCCTTGGAAGGTTTAAATTGAACCAGCCTGACTATACCGAGGCTAGAACCTATTGAGCTCCTATGAAATTTTGCAGATGCATTAAATTTAGCACGCTAACATCATAGATAAACTCAACTAAATAAACTCACCTAGATAAACTCACCTCATACGTAGCTAGAAAGTGATGTACAAGTCTTTTTTTACATAAACTCAGTAAAGATATGTAGAGCAAAAACCCACATCGAAGTAGCAAAGATACCAAATAAACTGGCGCGAGGTTAGACTATGCAAAATAATGTTTGCTAGGGGATTTTGAACCTTTGATTGGACATAGACATGGAGAACGTGCCAGGGCATTATCGGAATGCGCATACAGCGTATCGGAATTTGGGACCTAAACACAACTTGATCGCCGCATAACGACTAAAGACATAAATATAAGGGGCACTCAATAGTATGTGTCTAAATCATTCTTAACGTGACGTCACTTGTTTTTACAATCTAGGATTATATATTACTGTTTTGGCTACTGTTGTTCCTCTTATCGTGCCTTCGATAGACTCACCGGGTTACAAACAGCATTGTACTGGCTAATATAAGGCTTCAATTTGCGGAACCCCGACTATAGTGAAACGCGCATGAAATGTCCACCCTTCAGCTCGCTCTTCGAGACCTTCAATTGGAATTGGACCCAGACAGTGGATACATTCGCTGGGCTTCAACAAACCCGAAGCACCCTAGAAACTGGAGGATTTCAAGGAAGATATACGACATTGGATTGATTACACTCCTGGAATTCTATACGTATGCGCGACAACCAGCACAATGACATTGATTTCATATTTACTGACAATTCTTCTGATAGGACTGCGATTAGTACTTCCGGGGTACGTTACTTCAATAATAATCATACTACACTAGCTTGTACTGAACCTTGAGATCCAGTCAGCAGCTGCGAGATATGGCCAAGAGAAACTCGGAATTGGGGCAACATTAGCTCAATTTCTTTTTGTGTCGACGTGGGTTCCTTTACCGCAACAACATATAAACACTACTAATCGAAGGCAGGTATCTACTCGGTCAAGGGATAGGTGGTATTATATTTCCACCTTACTCAGAATGCTTTGGGCGCAAAAGGCTGTATATAGGCAGCACCGTATTATACAGTGGTTTATGTGCGATGATCGGCGCAGTTGAGTCTCCAGCTGCTGCTGTAGTTGGGCGATTCGTCACAGGAGTTCTTTCAGCGATACCAACCAGTATTATCACAGGAAGCATAGAGGATATGTTCAACTCAAAAGCTCGAATATGGATGATGCTATCGTATATTGGAGTCGCCAATATGGGAGTGGCGATGGGGCCAGTCATGGGCACGTATATTACCTTGGCATGGGGATGGTACGACAGATATCTCACCACCAAGTCAGGCATCTTGCTAACATCGACTTGTAGGAATTGGATTTTTTATGTAGCTGCCATTGTGACTGCAGCTATCGCTTTCCTTCTTCTGTCAATCAGGGAATCACGACCGTCATTGCTGCTAGAACGTGAGGTCGATACTCTCCGCAAGCAAACTGGTATGCACTCTCTAGAAGCCTTCAACCCAGACAGTGTGCCAGACTGGCAGAAATTCGTGAAGAATGACCTTTTCCGACCAGTGAGACTTCTCTTCACTGAGCCTATAGTCTTCGCTGTTTCTATCATGGGCGGCACTGCTATGGCAATCATCTACCTCTTTACTGAAGCTTTGCCGACTATCTATCAAGCTATGGGTCTAAGTCAAGAAAAATCCAGTCTTCCGTTCCTTGCAATTGGTCTCGGATTTTTATTCAATATACCAGGCCGAATTCTTGAATACCAGACAGCCAACGCATATTGCAAGGAGAAGCATTCGCTTTCTCCTGAACACAAACTCAAAGGATTAGTTTTTGCAGCCCCTGCACTAGCAGCCGCTCTATGGTGTTTTGCTTGGACAATTCCCCCAAATGTTCACAATGTACACTGGATTTTTTCCGTCATTTCATTGCTTGTGGTTGGCTATGGGCGGAATGAGATTGCGATCGTATTGACAGGGTACATGGCCAATAGCTATCTGTCGTATTCGTCCAGCGCTTTCGCAGCGAACGCGCTTATGCGGTCAATACTGTCGGCCACGTTCCCTTTATTTGCACCTATGATGTTTAAAGCTCTTGGGGCAAACGTGTCTGTCTCTATTTTAGCTTCCACGATGACCGTGTTTAGCGTGATTCCATTATTGTTTCAGCGACATGGAAAATCGATTCGGGAGCGCAGCAAATTTGCACAATACAGTATGAGCATGTATGAAAAAACTACTGTCGAAAAAGATGGAAGCTAAAGATGGTGGCATACACCGACTATATGCATTTACGCAGACCTCACGGTTATGATACAACTCGGCTTTAAAAGACAGTGGAGGTTACAAACATTTCTTTCGACTTTTTTTATTAGTTTTAAGATAATATCTCCTCAAACTTATTAATCTTAATCAATGACAGCCCCAAAATTTGCCTTACTCTTAATTAGCCATCAATGTTGGAACCACATTCACCGAGAATGGTATTCAATTAGTCCCAGGGGAATTCAATCTAGCATCAGTTAATGAGATGAGGATAGCTAGAATCTAGGAATAGAGAGTTAGTAGAATGAAGCACACCACACTACGCGAAACCAGAGCATCTATCTACTACCTTAGACTAGCTGCCACTTTTCAGGTGTAATTTTATACTCACAGTCAGAGTTGCATTGCCTTTTTCTATTCTATCCGGGCTATGGGGATGTTGATAAGCTTCAATATCAATGGTCACAGTAATGAAATTTCTACCACAAAATTCGCTAATTAAGCATCTGGTAGCTATATCACTCAAAATCATTAGATAAATCATAATCAGTGAACTAATCTATTCAAACGTCCATTTACATGGGCAAAAACTTAACTATAGCCTTCTCTACGCTTTGATAAGCCTTATATTTTGCTGGATTGGGTAACATGTAAGCATTTGTGGAATATAGAAGTCTATTTCTTACAGGATAGAGTCTGTCAGTTATCATATAGAGTATTTAACTTAAGAGACAAAGAGGTGGTCAGCCTACGCTGGCGTATCGACTACAGATCACTTGTATGGGGAGTAACGGGATAGATCATGTATATATCTTCTAATGAAATAAGATTAGATCTTGCATATTTTTCGACAAGATTTTTGAATTTTAAATAGATAACTATTTATCTACACAATACTCTATTTATCATTCATTTTTCCGTATTTCCTCTTTAAATTCAATACTTAGCTGGATCGCTTATGATGAGCTATCACATTCTCCTTTCCCTCATTCCTGCTTCATGTAAGGGTTGGAACGTAATCCACCATTAGCTCAAATGACGAAATGTTAATCAATAGTATCTTAGTAGGGTGCATAAAACTTGAACATCGCCGTATCGCATTTTAACCGGCTTCTTCAGAAAATCCACATCATGTGGCCATCCAGCAAATCAACCTTCATCCTTCTTTATATGTTCAGTATTTTTAGCCATGCTACACTCGCCAACCACCTCCGTGCTAAAACTCCGAAAATAAGCTGGCATAATCTAACAATGGGTGACCAGATTGAATCCTCTAAACCAAAGCGAGTCCTCTGTAGCTATGGTATTGATTTGGATGCCGTTAGCCTCTGGTTTGTTTCTTTTCAATCTTACCAAGTGATTCGTTTTTTTTATACTCACAATCTGTAGGGCTAACACTGGTGATGGTACAACTGCCAACCCAACTGACATTTCTCGCGGAATCTACGGCGCTACCGTCGGGGTGGATCGCCTCTTATCCTTCCTCGACAGACACCATATCAAAGCTACTTGGTTCGTTCCGGCACATTCTTTGCAGTCTTTCCCAAAACAGGTAACAAAAATACAAGATGATGGGCATGAGATGTGAGTCTTGATTAGCGAATCTGTCTCCTTCAGTTGTCACGATGGCGGCGCTGATGAAGCGACGTTGTCGATAGTGGGGCCCACGGCTACACCCACGAACATATGAGCGCCTTGAATAAAACGCAAGAAGAGGAAATTATCTCCCAGTCACTCGAAATCCTCACTTCGTTTCTCGGCAAACGACCCAAAGGCTGGACCGCACCGGCTTGGACACCGTCATCTCACAGCATCTCCTTGCTTGAAAAGTACGGTTTCGAATATGATCACTCATTTATGCACCACGATTCGCAAATGTACTATCTACCGTACGTGCCATCCTTCAAGCCAACAGACGTTCGCCAGTCTCCCTCGTCTTGGATGCAGCCCATGAGCGCATTGCATGTATCCAGCATTGTCGAGATCCCGGCAAACTGGCATTTGGATGATTGGCCTGTTTTTAATGTTGGGAATGGCGGAAATGGGTTTGTAGATCCAGATGTAGTCTTCAGGCTCTGGACTGAGCAGTTTGATTTCTACTATAAAGAGTATGATTCATTTGTCTTTCCGATGACCATTCATCCGCAGGTAAGTGGAAAGGCCCAGGTGCTGAAAATGCATGAGAGGATTGTTCATTATATCAATTCACATGAAGGGGTGGAATGGATGACGATGGATAAAATGGTTGAGGAGTACAAGTCAGGCCAATTTCCAGGTTACGTGGTAGAGGGAGGTGTAGACTTATAGTTTCTTTTATTGATATTGAGCAATTACCAGCAAGTGGTTCATACCAAAGTTTCGAGTATTCCAGGTCTCGGGTGTGGCTTATGGGGCTGTGGCAAGTTGGAGATGGGAAGACTGGTTAAAATGAAGCTATGGAAAGTAGGCGTGAGCGCTTGACGGAGACTATCGATAGACTTGTTTTGTATACAGTCGGTTTGGGGACATTCGTATATGATTATCAGAGACTTTGCTCTGATAATCCAAAGAAGATCCGTTTGAGAGCCTCAACAGTTCAATCCAGCCCAATCCCAACACTTGGGTGGCCGTGCGACAGCATCTGAGTAGAAATCACAAATCTGGACTTCTGGTGACATTTTATCTGATAACGGGTCATCGGATTCCGGAAAATATGCTTCTCTAAGCTTCCGCTTCACTACTTTCCCCACGGAATTACGCGGAACAGGGTCGCCGTCACCCAAAACACGCAACATTGTGGGTAGCTTGCTGGTTGGCAATAACCCGGACAGGTCTTTTCTGAGGGACTCTAAGGTTTTGTTGGGAGCAATATCAGGCATCGTGCGGTAGGCCACAATGGCTGCTACACGGTGTCCCAGCCGAGAATCAGTTACCGGCAGGACGTGTGATTCTGAAATGTACGGCAATCCGGAGATGGCAGTCTCAACCTCGAAAATGGGGACTTTATAGCTATCGCAGTTTATAACTGTGTGAGCGGGACATGTTAGTTAGAATAGTGGTAAGTCAAAATCATATTGCAGTCTCACAGTCCTCTTTGGTACGGCCCTCGATCACAAAATTGTCCCCTTGCATATAAGCTTGATCACCAGTCCTGTAAAAGCCATCATCGTCGAATGCAGCGTGCGTTGCTTTCTCGTCATTCCAATAGCTTTTTGACCGCCGTTCCCATTAGTCAAAAAGAAACATTACCAGACCATGGATGGCTTACCCAATGAACATTGTTGGGGTTCTAATCAATAGCTCACTATGATCCCCTTGGGCTAATTTGGCCTCAACCCCAGGTAATGGTTTGCCTATGATATGCTAAATAGAGCCACAATGTAAGATTAACTGCAGTGAAGAAAATTCGCAAAATATGACTTACAGAATGATCATCTTGGTCATCAAGTGATGTTTCCAGCCCTATAGGTCCACTCTCCGTGGTTCCGAATCGAATAACGAAGGCTCGCCCGCCCATTTGTTTCCGGTAGAACTGTTTAGTGGACGGCATTGTCAATGTTCCACTACTTCTTGTAGTGTGGAGTGCTCGAAGGGCTTTCTCGCACTTTCGTAAGGTCTCTGGAGGACCCCTGCGGATCTCAGTTTCGAAGTATTCCTTTATTTGAACCCAGAAATTTGGTGAACCTGTGAGAATCGTCACTTCTTCTTGCTGCAGGTACTTCCAGACGCGTTCTGGGCTAGAGTCGCAATCCATCATATCCACCCGATTGCCGCGCAACATATAGCGCAAAACATCAGTGACGCCAACTCCATTATGAATTGGTCTTCGGAACAAGAGCACGTCCTTTGGGCTGCCCAGATCGCGAACAAAGGCATTGAAGTATCGAATGGAGTGAACAAGGCCCTTAGGGGGTCCTGTGGTCCCCGAGGTAAAGAGCGCTAGAGCCGGACGCTCCGGATTGAATGAAACATTCTGGTTGATGAACAAATGCACCGGTTCCGTGTGATAGGATGGGAGCTGAATGGGAACAGTTTTTGCTCCAACATCGGTGCCCTTCAAGTACTCTCGGATAGTATGATTAAGTTCTGATTCACCTGAACCCGTTAAGATCAAAGTAGAATCGAATTTTTCATGGAAATAAAGCACCTCTTCTGGAAGGAGTGTTGTTGCTACCCCAATATCAGTTAGATTCTAAGGGAATAATGGACTGATATCTTACCAAGTGGTATGGCGGCTGCGCCAACAGCAATAATTGCACACAGAGCTACCATGAATTCATAGGTTCCAGGGGCAAGGATACTAATGAAAAAATGATTTTTACGGACTATACCTTGTTTATCAAGGGCCGCTGGGCCAATGAGTTCTCGAAGCTTATCGCGATAGAGAAGAGTATCATGGAGAAGTCGAGAAGGAGACGCCTGTATGTCACTTTCGATATCATTGATGACAGTATGGTCACCCTCATGGGCAAGAAAAAGCAGTCTGCGAAAGAAAGGAATGTCAGGAAGCCCGCGACTAGCCTGGAGTAGTTTTGAATTCCGCATCTCAGCCATGATCGCTCAAATGCTACCAAACTGGCAGACTTTATTTTCTACTGTACTTATGCTTTTTTCGTTTTCTTTTTATATATCTTTTTTCTAACATGATATCATAATTTTGCAATAAATGTATTGTTCAAGTGATGTCATTTTGCATGAATATGTCTACAGACTCATGGCATAACTGCAAGCGTCGCCTGTCCAAAATGCGGTGAGGGTAGGGCATAGAAACAGATTAGACACTTCCAATATGCAGCCATATCTTGCTAATGCCCCTACGTGTAAATCTTGGCTAGTTCCTGTCTCATCCCTTCAAACCAGCGGTAAGGATTTCCAGAAGTTACATGTATAGTACTCCCTGGTAATAACTGATTACTTCCGCTACTGTTCCCCGAGAGTATGTAGCTGCATAATTGCTCTATACTCTGTAGAGCTTATTCAGGCTAGTCAGTGCGGAGAGCGTCTCCAAATTGTAAAATCTTAATTGCTAGATAGTCAGCGCAGCCGATCCGATGTCTTTCAATATAAATTTGACGAACTGGAAAACACCTCCCCTCCCCCCTTCTTAAATGTGTCAGTACAATACCATTTAATTGGATTCCTGTACTATCAGCAATCCTCATGGTTCTAGGGCGCTAGGGAACCAATAAACAGACTATAGAAGACCTTTTTTGTGATTAAACTTTATCATACATTTTCAATTCTCCCTGTTACACGTAATAAACCATATCTCAGAACCTTTATTTATGATCCCTCATAATACGCGGTCCAAATTCTGCGACACATTAGTTTCCATGTTGAAATTCGGCCCTCGTGGGATGAGACACCGTCGATTACGTTCCTAGGTACCCATGATAGCACAACTAAATACATTGATTATGGTGCCTTAAAGTTAAACCAATATTATATCTATGCTTCCATTTTCTTGACTATTTTGTAAGGTGTGGAGAAAAGGGCTTACCGTCCACTCAGCCGTAACTAGTTGACCCCGGTAGTTAACGTAACGCTGCTGATTTTTATGCGCGCTCAGTATCTTCGGATTTTCAAATTGACAATGATGCACTTTTTAGGTTAAATCTGGGTGATTTCGATAATTTCCAACTTCGGAAAATTGCAACCTTAGGAAATCGAACAAGCTCTTACTTACTCCGTAGGTAGCAAAGTCAAAACCTTGGAACTTCTGTACAGCAGAACAAATACTATTGTACGGCGGGTTACAGTACCTCTTATAGTGAAGGCTCGCTAAATATCTTAGTAGTATAGAGTGGTAATGAATATACAATGACTTATCGAATAGATCTTACTGTGGGTACATAGTTACACCTGCGAAATATTTAGCAGCTAGTCTATGGTAGTAGATAGATGCTCTGGTTTCGCGTAGTGTAGTGTTTCATTCTACTAACTCTCTATTCCTAGATTCTAGCTATTTTTCTCATCTCATTATATGATGCTATGTTAAATTCCCCTGGAGCTAAGTGAATACCATTCTCGGTGAATGCATTTTGAACACTTACCTATCTAAATACTCTTAGTGACGACTACCGCATCAGTGAACACTTGCACGTCACTGACAACTTCGTCATCGGCTAGTCCAAGTACAGCGGTGACTCTGGCTCCGATTACAGTTACAGCTACACCGACGTCTAGCAGAGAGGCAACTAAAAGCCCCTCAAACTCTTCGTCCCAATCTAAATCTCACAACTGCAATAGCAGTTGGATTCGCTGTGCGAGTAGGCGTAATAACTATTGTGCTTGGATCATTTCTTCTCTGGCTTCAGCGGCGGAAAAGTTCTACCTCAAAGCTAGACACTACATATGTTCCAATGGAAGATCGGCCAGCGCATGGAGATAAAGACTTCCACGACTTCCGATGAGCAGCCTCAAAGTGCCGACGGACATCTTTCTGGTCTGCCGCAGTATAAGAGTAAGTAGAGCAACAGACAGGCTTAATATGATGATGCATGTGCTTCCAGCTATATATCGTCTATGTATAAATATATGAGGCGAATATTTCTTGAGGAGGCACTTTTGAGCAAAACCTTGCCGACATTGACACTGCTCATCTTGACAGTAAAACATCCCATCTCCCGAAAAAGCACCTATGATCTCAAATGAAGGCATCTCAACCTCTTCAAATCTGATATGACATTCAGCAATCGATCCCCCTGAAGCATTGGAGTCAAAAGAAATTTCAGCAACCACACTCGTGTTTATCATAAAATCGTCACAAACAGAGCTCTATAGAGACTGGTTCTTGTCGACGACATCCTGAAGATCACCAAGTTGGGCGCCATCCCAAGCTGTTATCAAGCCGATATTTTGATCAAAGGAAAAAGTCGTATGAAGCTCTAGATTATCCCTTGCCAGATTTTGGGCTATCGCCAAATTATCGCTCACAAGCCATGGGGGAAAATTTTGAAGTTGACGGGAAGAAGATCGATTATAATTTGAGGAACAATCTGTTCGTTCGACTACCATGAAATAATAATTTGTTGGCTTGAATATGTCCAATAGCCTCCCAACACGGTTTTTCACCCCCTTTACATGGCGAATAAACTTAGTTTACAATTGAGAGTGTGGCGCTAAATTCGAGATTTGGTTCGAGAGTTATTAGGAATCATGCAATTAGTGGCGTAGGAGCCATATTTGCTTCATATACATACGAAAAGTATTTCAATCTCAATTTTTCAGCCTCTTGATTCCAGAGCAGATATCAGACCTCCCACATTAACTTATTCTCTTTGAACTGTTGTATCTACTATGTTGTAAATATCTTTAGCGCCACTATAGATCATGCAACCTCAAATCTGATAAAAAACCAAATTTAGCCAAAGATGATAGTGGAAAATATTTCATATAGTAGAGCGAAGGCCATGTAATACAAACAAAGATATACAAGGATGGGAAGATACGTAGTTATTTTCATTTCCTGTAGTCCCAATTAAACAAAGATCAACTATTATGTATTCAAATGAGCATATTTTGAATAGGGCTCGAGAATAAATTGAAGAGATTATGATGTCCTTTCAAAATCTATAAGTGCCCAGGCAGATATGGCGCCAAAGTCAAGGATTTATCGAAGCTGCAAAGGAGGCCTGACGACATCTAAGATGGACGCTAAGGAGCATTTGAACAATTCCCATTAGTGAGATTATAGATCCACCGGGGCAATATCGCGAGGCTTAGTAGGCTCGGAAGATTCGCAATATGTGATCCACTTCCAAGGTTGTGAGATTTAACCATGTCCGGTGGATGAAATATGTTGTAAGGGCCTACTCTTGCGCCTGCAGTCCTCAACTTGAGCCAAAAAGGCTATTATAATCTTCCACACGATAAAATTATGCGCAAGCTCCATACCCCACTCCAAGATGCCATATCAGGATTGCTGTGGGTCATGCCGTTAGATTGGTAGATTTTAGGGGCCAGGACCTAGACTAATAAATAAATGGCCCTAAAGGAGTTCAAATACTGACTTACTTTGTAGGTAATTGTTCTGATACCTAAGTAAAATTGACATCCTTTGAAGTTTCATTCTTTAAGTCTTGGCCAACTTCCAAGTTAACTACTTACAGATAGCTGCTATGATATAATTATTAACATAAAACATGTAAAACATTAGAAAATTTAAATCGCTCAGTATATAACACCAAATTCCAACCTTATCGTCATCAAAAATCACAAATCAAAAAAAAAAAAAAAAAAAAAAAAAGAACGAATATCATTATCTCATGAGATTAGAAGATCTCGCACACTCATACCCCTTGGTCGCGGATCCGATGCCGTCTTATTCTCATCAAGGGAGTCTCTGACTGTGCTATGAGCCAAATGCTTGCTGATCGATTCGGCAGTGCCTCGACGGTCTTGAGTCAGCATAAGCAAGGCAGCCGAAGCCTCGTGATCGATGCCCTGGAGCTCTTTGAAATTTCCCATGGGATGTGTCGGGCCTAGGGCTGGGCTAGGGAGCACAGATGATATATCTGGTACGATTGGCACTGAGGGCATGCGGGTGCGTGGGGAGAAGGACGGCGAGGCGTCAAAAGTATGAGCACTCAGTTTAAGGGCTTCGGGAGATTCAGAAGCCGAATATGAATATTCCGAGGAAGATTCACGCTGGTGCGGGGGTACGTTAAAGTCCACGCCTCTTTGAGCGATAAATTCCGGGGATGTTGGGGAAGGAGGTCCCACTGAATCGTCGGTTCCAGCAGACTTGAGGTCCTGGATGCATTGTTCTAGATAATTGACGTAATCAATGCTGGCCTGAGAGATAAAAGTCAATGTATTGTTCATAGATAGTGAGAAGACGGGAGAACTGTACCTGGAGGATGGCTAATTTGTGCATTTCTTGTCCTCGGCAGGCGGGTATCATATCTTTCAGCGTTCCAAATTCCTCATTCATCTTCGATCGCCGACGTCGTTCAATGAGACTGTGAGCGGTCTTGCGAGCAATCTTACGTCCGGCAGCGCTCGTCGTACTCGGTTGCTTCTTCTTTGACGATGTAGTGGCGGTATCAGGTGATTGACTGGATGTCTTTCCGTTTTCCTTGGGCTTAGTCAAGGCCTTAGAAGTGGCAGGCGACTTTGGTTTCATTTGAATGATCTTGCGAGCACGAGTAGGAGGAGGTGGAAGTTCAAACCCCTCGAGTGAACGCTTCGTTCCAGTGCTCGAGCGGGACTGATGCGTATTCCGGCCTTTGGGGGCTGCCTTGGGTGAAGTAGGAGATACTGGGATATAAGTTGGGTCAGATCGAGACGACCTCCGACTTTCCGACTCGACCTGAGCCGGACTCAAAGCAGCAGGAGGTAGAGCAAACACATCAGTGCCATCATAGGGCTGATCCTTGATGATAAGCTCGCCCGACATGGCTGGAGTAGGCGGGAATTGTGAACGAGACATTGTGAGAAAAGTAGACGAAATGACAAAAATGCAGAGAACGAACACGTAACACAAATGGTCAGTCTTACAAGAAGAAGGGCGAAATGCGAAATGCGGGCATTGTTATACTTAAGGGTATAAGGGTCGCGTGAACGTGCCCCAGGGAGAAGCGGGGATTGGATATGAATAAGTGGGTCCATATTAGAGCTTATCGTTAACAAGAAGGGGAGCACGTGCGACTTCAGTAAGTTACAGCCCTCAGTTATCGAGACTACGTAGGCAACTTTAATTAATAGGATTCGACACTCTCATTGATCAAAGTCTATTATCTTTCACTGATAGACTAAAAAGCAGCAGAAACCGAGCACGTGCCCCTTCGATAAGTTAGGGTTCCTCAAATAGGGCCCAAGATCACTACCATGATGATCATTTAAATAACTTTTTACTTAGATTCGTTGACTACATATTTAAGGTCTCATATATCTCTGATTCATATTACCTTGATGGATTTCAATCACTCTAATTAAACCTGAAAAGAAAAAAAAAAACTAAATCAAATCAAATTCCAACGAATCCTTCAATGGGGTATCCTTTCCGCGTCAACTCCAACTCCGAGGTTCCTGAACACTGTCATCAACTGGGGCTAACCGATTGGCACTATTTAAGACATTCCTGATACACCTCTGTGCTATAATGACCATGGATAGTTAGCTCTCCTGTCACCTGAAGTTCAAAGTTAACAAAAGTACCAGTACTTATCGTCATGAGATGCAGCAAGAGAACATGTCGATGTCTCCAACTTGCACACATCAGGACAATCGGCCAGAGTCTTCAATTCATGCTGGCTTGTTTAACCCAGAGTATCATATTTTGGCTTGGAAAGACCGCTTGTCAAAGGTCGGATGATGCCAGTAGTCGTTGCGTTATAAGGGCCAGTAGAGTTTCCCGGAGGAATTGTGATGGCGATTCGAGCGCCATGGTATGGTCCAGCAGCGTGTGGTACAGCAGCTGCAGTACTAGCAAAGACAGCCACATAGATGGCAAAGATATTGTTCAGCTGCATGATTGCTTTATGAAGGAGTCTAGCCTGTGGGATGAGAAGTCGAGTAATGTTGCTGAGTACAGCTACCCTTGAGATATCGCCTTATATATACATAGGTAGATATCGAGCTTCATTGAGGCTGGGAATAACAATCTCAGTCCATTCAACGAGAGCCTCATGAATTCTTTCGTTGCTGTCATTGGTTCTGAGAATATTGTGGCTTAAGCCTCGCACATAACAGCATTCTACATGGGCTGGGCACATTCCTGTTGCAGATCAAAGTCTCCATTCATACATAAAGCCCCTTCTTCAAAGTACTTAGGCTCCGGGGCTAGCTGTTTGTGGCATACCCATGCAGTAAGTCCACTGATGACCTCGGGAGTCTAAAAAACCTTTCCAAGGCTTTGATCAGTGTAGACACTGTTATGGGTAACGAATTAAATATCGCGCAAGTAAAAAGTCCGAAGCTTCATAACATCTCACATTCCAAGATTTGCTCAATGCCAACTGCATGAGACTGGACCAATCGGAACAATTCTATCAAGTATAATAATACCTAGAGATACTTGGTTGCATGGCTATGTGCAGTTCTGTCGAGTAATGCAGTGGAACTGCTGCAACATGATGGGAGCATTGATCAAATTGAGCAACTATTGACATCAGAAGAACACGTATGAAGCCTTTCTCGTTAATCGTTAGCAGATTTATTCTTCCCTGAGTGATCGTTACGAGGTTTATGCCTAGGGTTTCTTCCCAATCCATCCACATGAGCAGCCTTGGAGTTGATCTCTTACTCTTGCTGAGTCCAACTCGCGGCCGATAAGCAAAGTGGATGGGCTACCTAGGTGGGTAAGTATTATTGTAGTAGATGCATTGATCTAAACTACCTAGATTGCTCTAAATATTCCGGTCGTCGTATCTAACCAAATATTCTATCTATGATAATCTGACCAAATGTGTTCTCAACTGGGGAATAGTCCATTCGAAGAATCCGATTACCGGATCGAGCACTCAACCAAAGACCATGGTCGCTTGAACTCTCTTCATCACCATCAATGTGGTGACGACTTCGGCGGTCAACAACACACATTCCACGAGTCCACTGACCGGTGGTCTCAATACGAATATCCTCCGGAGAGGTAGAGGAAGGAGCCCAGATCGGGTCTTCAGAGGTCAGGGCAAACCAGACACAGATAGGATCATGTAAGCTCAGCTCAGCAGCATCACCGGCGTTACCAGGGTGCAGTCTTTCTATAGTGCGGAAGGTGTGTGCCATGAACGCAGATACCCACTCTGCAAGAGGGGAGCCGGCATTAAGAAGTGGAGTGATGGCGGTACGGAACTGACCACCGGTGATATTGTGGCGCAAAGTAATATCCAAGGGGAAGAGACGCAGCGTCAGCTGACGGCTCAGCTTCGCTGGATACAGCGGAAGATTTGGGCTTTTGGCGGGCGGAAGTGTTGAGTTTGGGTTAGGTGATGTGAGGGCAAAAACCCGCGCGGCAGCAAATGCATCAGCATAAGCATTAAATTCACCGACAGGAGTGACCTATAACCATGATTAGCCAATTTCAGTTCAGCTTTACAGAGCTATTTCAATCCAAACTCACATTTCCTGGTTGGTTCACTGTGCCACCCATAACGACAACTTCCTTAGCGCGGAGGAAGGTCTCAGGGTCTTCCGCTGCAGCCAGCGCCAGGTTTGTGAGGGGGCCAACCGCCACAATGGTTACACTGTCAGGGTCGTTCTCACGAAGTGCTCGGAGGATTTCCTTGTGTGCAGGAAGCTTGGATGGGGTGTAGAATTGTTCACTGGAGCCAGTACCAGTCTCAACTGATTTGATACCATCAGTATCGGCTGTTGGGTCGAAGAGATGCTCCCATGGTTCACTGGGGGTAAGATGCGGGTGCTATATTTATTATCAGTCATTATGCTGATTTTCAAAGCATTTATACAAATGATAAGTTACACACAGAAGTATGAATACCTCCGAGGCCATCGGTTCCATCTGCGGGGTAATTATTAGACAGATCAGATCAATATTGGGGGCAAAAAACATACGGAAGTAATCAGCCAGCAACTTCTGATCTTCAAGTGGCTCCTCAGCACCAACTGCCACTATAGGACGGAATGCACGAAGGGTGCCAAATCCTTCAGGTTGACCGTTCTCACGGCGCCACTGTATCTCGCGCTCGAGGATATGAAACATAGAAACCACATTGCGAAGGCAGCTGTGAATGGAAAATGTCAGATGGTTGTTTATACATAGGTCATGGAGTTAATATAGTATAGTCTAATAGACTCGTGACTCTTACTTGTTCACTTCAATGTTACCAAAGGTTAAGGAAATCAGCAAGACCTCTATCTCTTCTGGTTTAGCTGATAGAGCCAACAGAATGGCCAGAACGTCGTCGATGCCCTAAATCCTCAGTCAATTTCAACGCAGTTTACCCAGGTCATTCAATGATAAGTTTGAACATACAGGATCTGTGTCAATAATAATTTTTTTAGCCATATTGGAGGTTTGTTGTGTAATGGTCGAGGCAAGTGTACTCCGTACCCCCCGCTATCTAAAGGCTGTGTTTCTGCCCAAATAAAATACAGTGTTGTAGTGTATTAAATCAGGCGGTGTCCAGAGATCAGTATGATTTAATGACGATGATGTCACGTGGTATAAGTTGTCATTCTTATCAGTCTATCTTAGTTATCTCATGTTTACTTCTCTGCTATCTTCTCTAACCTCAATCTCTTCCTATTCCATTCCTTACCTTTTCTATTTTCTTCTCTAATCCTTTTATATTCCCACCTTCATTCGCTTTGCTATTTCTATAGTATGCACTCCCCTTTCAGCTGCCGACAGTGCCCCCACATCATTTTCGCGAGTGCCATCGACCTCGAAAATCACATTGTGGCCACCCATGGCCAAATTTGTCTGGACTGCTCTGAATTTCTTGATTTCGGTCCATTCGCCTTATCTGAACATCTCAACTACTGCCGTGGAAAACCTTCTCTTCGGACTGAATTCTTCTCCTCACTCAAAGAATCACTAAGTACCCCAGTTCAATTTCACGCATAATATCTCGTTTTTTTTTCAACGGCGTGAATAGCATGATCGAATATTTATACTAATGTCCCCTTAAATCTACAGGAACATTAACTCGAAAGTGGTATTCAATTTGGGCGATCAATGCCGTATCATCCGCATATTAAATGGCATGGTCCATCAGCCCCTACGCCTTGAGCTTTCGTCCTACACGACCACAAAAGTCCCGAAACCTCCACCCGCCAAAAATCCCTACATCAATCCTTCCCTCTTCCGTGAGGCCCCCTTTTCATGCCTTCAAGCGAAAAAAGCCGTTGCCTTGGACTGCGAAATGGTCCAAGTGCGCGGAGGGCAAGTATGTGCATACTTATCTGCAGTGGACTTTATCACCGGAGAAATCCTCATGGATTGTTTCGTTCAACCCGGGGAATATGTAACCGACTGGTGCTCCAGATACAGCGGCGTCACCAAAACCCTCATGGACAAAGCCATCTTCAATGCAACCGCTCTTCGTGGTTGGGAAGATGCACGAGAGAATCTATTCAGCTATGTGGACCTAAACACCATTATCATTGGCCATGCTCTCGATAACGATCTCAATGTACTGGGTATCATCCACGCCAAAATCATTGACACTTCGATTCTGATCGCCGAGAAAGTTTTCTTGCGCCACCCCTCAGCGAACACCCAGAAATTTCCTCGGCAGTATGGTCTCAAAGTTATCGTCAAAGAGCTTATGGGATTTAGTATCCAATCCAGCAGGATGGGACATATGGCGCTAGAAGATGCACAGGCCACACGGGACCTACTCCTATGGTGCATCAAATGGCCTGATATTCTCGATAGATGGGCCTTCAAAGCGTACCAAATTTTTGAGACCCAAACACAGGAGCGGGAGAGAAAAGTGCAAGACGCGAAATTGAAGCGAGATAAATTGTTGCAGGATGCGAAAGGGCCGCAAGGGAAATCTGAACGTGAAAAACTCCAAGAATGGAAGCAGAAACAGTTTCTGGAGCGAGAAGATCTGCGAGATAAGCATTCAACTGAGCTACAAACTCTACTACAGAAGCAGGCACTTGAGTTTCGTCTGGGTGATGAGGAGGCAAAGCTACATGCCGAGCAACTTATGACATTGCAGGCCAAGCAATCAAAAGAGTGGGGTAAGCTCTGCCTGCAGCAGCCACAGAAATGAGGCGTTCAAGGAAAGTATGGGCTCTTTGTGAAAGGGCAGCAAGAGCGAAATGACAATCTCAAGCAACGACAATTTTTTGAGGATTTCCCCTTTTTTGATTGATTATGATATTCCCTTTAGCGATTCACTTTTGTTTCATCTCTTTGTCTGGCTGACACAAGATCCTAATCTACTTATCACCAGGCCAATCTAACAAGATCTTCCGAGGAATGAATCCAAATTAGTTAAAAATTTTCCTAGACTAAATGTACCATTGATAAATCTGGAAATCTGGACATGTAACATTTTAAGTTGAGCTATATCAGGTTTCTAGAGAATACCTTGAAGCATGGTCAACCTCATCCAGGAATGGATGGCGCTTCAAGATCCGCGTAGCTAATTGGTTCTCGGAACATGTGCCTTGCGTAAGATTCCCACTGCTGCGAAATGCTGAAGACATCTTGCACCTGGGGATCTCCAGTTGAAGCAGTATCAGACGAAGGAGGAGCTGGCTTAATAAGACGGTTACCCTGCTTCTGAACATCCATTCCACGTTCTCTCTCGATGGCTTCCTTGATACCTTTCTCGACCTATGCATACAAAAGGTCAGCTTTGCGGAGTCTGTGAAACAAGGGTTCTCGGGTTAAGTAAATTCTACCTTCTCCAGTGAAGTTCGGGCATTTTGGACTAGCATAGCAAGTCCAACTAGGATTGACCCTCTCGGAGCTCTTGGAGCATCCGATTGAGGCACTCCGGCGCTATTGTTGGCGTGACCCTATAACTTTTTAGTATCAAACCCTTGAGAATAACTTGAAGCGAAAGACTTACTCTGTGTGCCCATCTGTGCTTATGCTTCCACCGCTTCATCTGTCTCTTTGTTGGCTTGGTGCCACCGCTCGTCTGAGAAGTTACAAGAGTAGTAGTGACATTGGCAACTCGCGGTTGCTGAGTTTGCACAGGTCCCCTGACTCGAGTCATTTTGCAATAGAAGTCTCAAATTAGAAAACGATACAGTTCAGGTGGGTGGAGGTAGTTAGGAAAGTGCTTATTTATTGAAGCAACAGCATCTGAGCTATGTTCTTTGTGCCTCGGACTTGAGAAACTGTGGATCCCTTTCATTCTCTTTCGTCCTTTTTTTTTCTTGCCACTTCTTTCTTTGACGGCTTTGTTACAACTCCTGAGTCCTTGGAAAAGCGACATTTGAAAAAACTCGTTGAGGATGGTGAGAGAGATTGAGAGGTTCAAAGGGAAGATGAATTCTACTTCTCTATCGGTATGGCTAAGAGTTGATAAAATGGTACTTTGGTCTGAAATTGGTATCCACTATGACTAGTCAGGTCAAGATCAACTAATAGTTTAAATTGATGTCCGACGGACTCCATACTCCGCACCTCCAGGGCTAGAGCGCCTAAGTACTAGTTGTGCCCGTCGGAGTGAAGAAATAACGTATGATTACAAATTTACATGGGCAGAATTGGACATACATTTGAATATCTGCCCAGGCTAGCTCAACTGGTTAAATGACTCGAGCCGAGGCTAATGGGAAGATAGGAAATACTTGTATGAAAAGTCCAAAATATACATCGAGCACCAAAATAAACACTCGGTAAAAGCCAAGGTTTCAAACTTATGGCTTGGAAAATCTAGTTATTCGTGATAAACGTCTGGTAACCATTTTTTGTAATCATCCCAAGCGGGACAAAACGTTGGAAAGGCTTATAGAAAAAGAATTACCTTGGCATGGAAACCGAAAAGGCCCAGGAATTTCATCTCATCTGGCTAGTCAAACAGGCATATGAAAACATTTTGGTGAAGAGAAGGGTACAAAAAGCTGAGTATTATAGTATGGTGGGAGAAATCAATGGCATCCATCATGAGCCGGATAGTAACTGAAATTGGAACAAGACATCACCACGCTAGTAGAGTGGTAAGGTTGGTCCTATTTATTTCGGAAATGGAAGACTTAGGCTACTTCTTTTCAAAAGTTTGTGTTGTCCGAGCGACGATGCTGTGCGTGGTATACTGAGAAAGTAAGAATAGATATCTACACTTCTCTAGTAAACCTTCTTCTTCTCGTCCATGCTCAATTGACCCGGGCCCATGTTAACCAAAAGTAGGAGACCGCCACTAGGATATAAAGTTAGAGCAAGGCAATGATTGCATATGGGGAGAATGAACGTACACAATGGAAAGAATTTGGAAAAAGTCGTACTTGGCAAAGTCCTTGTGCGGGTGGTGGGGGTGGAGCTATTAAAAGCAGTTAGCAGGCTGAACAGTGCGCGGGAGCCGAAAGTTTAATAAAACATACTGTCCAGAAGTTGTTGACAAGCACGTTGAAAACGCTCAGGAGAACCACCAGAATGATAGCACTCCACTTAGCCTTGAAGCCGACAATGACCATGACGCACGCGACCAGGCCAAACAGGCTAACTAGCACGCGCCACAAGTTCCACTTGCCCGAGAAGACAAATCCGACAAACAAGAAGATGAGCAGCACGCGTCCAGCGAACTGCACATACATTTTGCGGTCCTTCTCGTCAAGTTGAGGCAGGCCAGCTGGGACGAACTTCTTGCGAACCCACGAATCGGACAAAACCATGAGTAGACCACCGACAACACTCAAGTTGCGGAGGAAGAAGTTCAGGTCGAAGATCAGGCCGTATCCTAGGCCTTGAGTAATGACGACACCCAGCAAACCGGCGACGCCATACTCGGTGCGCTTGCGGGCGATGACAAGGGTGGAGCAGACGAACATGGCGATGACATTAACGATCAGGAAAAGATGCGTGAATCCCCAGGGTACTATTTACATCAAAGAAATCGAGTTAGTCACATTTCTGATATAATAAGGATGCACACTTATGTGGTCACCCTGAGAGCGACGCTCGACTGTTGAGGGTATCTTACTACTCCTGAAGTCGCGTAAATATTGGAGCTGGTCGCTCCATTGTGTGAGAATGCGAAGTGAGTCCTCAAGGAAGGTCACAACAATCAAGAATCGTCCAATGGCGGGCAGGTATCTATGGCAAAAGAACACGGTGTCAGTGGCATTGTTTCGAGATCCCTTGTTTCGAGAGCGAGAGTCGGCCCCAACTGGAAGCAAGCAGTAAGAGCTCCCAAACAGCTCTCCAAGAGATCCAAATCAAAGAAGAACGTACGGCTTCACTGGATCAAACGCGGTGTCTAGCCAGTCCTCGATCTTGCTGGTCTGTTCGCGGATCGCATCGAGTGGGCTTGGGTCGTTCGAGGCATCTGCACTACCGGGGCCGCCAAACGGGTTTTGGTGGCCGAGATTATAGCCCGCGGTACCACGGATTTGAGTCATATTGATGCAGAGCGAAGGTGGAGGTCCGAAGACAAAACGTTCTAAGACGAGTAAAAGAAAAGAGAGTAGGAAGAGTTTTAAGGAGTGAATAAATAGTGTGGAGCTGTCGGAGTATACAAAGACCCTGTCTTCAGGCCACGATACCCGGAACTACGCACTAGTCCTGTTTAGGATAAGTGACGACAGTGATAACCTCACATTCTACTCAAACATTCTATCAAAGGCAAACATTCTACAATTTCTCATGCGTTGCAATTTATCTCAATTGTAATAAATGTAAACTAGTGACCAAATTAGCCCCGTGCTTTTGGATTTCTGTCCCTCGCATGTCTTGGGGAGGGTAAATGTGTTTTCTGAGTGCGTCCTTTGAGCACTTTTGATTGAAGAAAAAACAGCGTGTTGACGTTAGTGGCACTCCCAAACGCCATGGACCAGATAAATAATAGATACAATTCAAAATAAAGCAAACAAAAGGCGTTTGGGGCCGGGAGTAAAGGAGATAAATGAACTTAAGCGGCCCAGTCCGAGTCCAGCGGGTGGCCCTTCTTGCCAGAGCGCATAATATCAGGCAGGTAAGTGGGCACAACGGTCACGCGAGGCTCAACGGGGACAGGGGCAGGGGAGGGCTCCGATGCGCTGGCCTCGGAGATGCTCTCAGTAACCTTGCCGAATGTCTTCTTGGGCTTCTTGGAGATTGTGGTCCAATCGTCGACGCCATTGGAAGCTTCCAGAATACGGATTTGTTCCTCCTCAGAAGGAAGACCCTGGTCCCACTTCTTAGCGGGGTGAGTAGCCGGAGCTTGCTCAAATGTGTCGAGAAGCTGCACGGGGGCAGCAGGGGCCACATGGGGAGCGGCGGTGCCATTAGCCTTGTCCTTGCCCTCCCAGGCGTTGCTGGTGGCTGGCTGAGAGCGAGCGGCCTCGCGGCGCTCAGATTCCCGAGCGGTATGCAGCTGCTTCTCGAGCAACTTGCGGCGCTCCTGCTCCGCCTCTTGGACCTGTTCTTTGCGGGCCTCGTTCTTGAGGCGCTGCTGGCGCTGCTTCTTGGTCTCAACTTGCTTGAAAGACTGGACCTTCTCCTTATTAGGCTCAGATTTCACATTTCCAGTGACGCGGAGAACGGAGGCGGCAGGAGACGGGGCCTCCAGCATGTCGGACACGTAGCCGGCGGAAGTCGAAGCGTTGACAACGGGAGAGACGGCGGGGGAGAGGTCATCGTCAGCATCGGCGCCGGTGGAAGAGGCGTGTGAGCCGCTCTCAAGCTGGGCAGCTTTCTTTGCCTTCTTCTTCTGGTTCTTGCTAGCGGGGCCGGCAGGCGAAATGCCATTCTTGATGGCAGCCAGGCGGCGGGCCATCTCCTTATTGTCAACGTCGTCCTCCGGCTCATCTCCACTTGTGGGAGGGGAAACAACAGTTTGCACCTCGGGCTTCTTGGAGATGGCAGGTTCGGAGGCCTTGTTCTTCCGCTTTTGTTTCTTGGGTGCTACTGTTGCCTCCACCTTTTCAACGACAGCGCGGACAGGCTGAGCCTTGATCTTTGGTGCGCTGCCATTGGTGTAGTACCATCCGAGACTACCAGCCACCACCAGCAGGATGGCCCAGCTGATAAATGGGTTCATTGTGGATTGGCTAGAAAGAAAAGAGAAAATATAAGATTCAGTGGTCCTGATTTCCCCGGAGCAGGGGAATGCCTAAATCCCACATACTTACTTTTGAGACAGAGTGGCGAAAGAAGCCAGAGTAGTTTGAGACTACTTCTGGGGGTATAGAGTTGAGAGAACGTATGACAAACGAGCACGCGCACAGTCAACTTGGCACGCGCAGTCGCAACCGAATTGGTTGCACACGAAGAGTGAAAGGAGGAAGGGGATTGGAGGTGCCGGGGATGCTAGAAAGTCAGATCACGCATCGAAACCGTCGCGGGCCCTGGGAAATCTGGTGAAATCTCGATGGGAATTCCGCTTTGTGGGAGACTTTGGATAACGGTAGCTAGAGATGGAAATTGTGAATGCGACAAGACAGGATCCGAGAGCGCACAGTGCTCAATGGAGCAGAAATACACAATTCAGATTGGTGTGGATATGGCAGTGCTCAGATGAAGAAAGCACTGGGGAATTGAAAACGGTAAAAGAACGACGTAGTGAAGGGAAAGGAGAAGGAGCCAGAAAAGGACACGCTGAACATCCGAGGGGGCGGTACACTGTACGGTAACGGTGTATGATCGTTACCACTCCTTTACTACTACCCCATACTCTGTACTGTTCACTTATGCTAAAAAAAAATGTAATAATACTATGAATTAGGTAAAAAAATATACAGTGTAACAATCCCCTATTGAGATCAAGATCTAATCTCTTGATAAAGAGATACACAAGAAGGAACATTTATACGCCTATAGATCCTCTTCTCCACTAATCTATACCGGTGTAATACGTCCCCCGGAGCCGAGCCCCATACACTGCTCTAGGTGGAACTGACTATGCGAACAGGCCACGTCTCTTCCGCCAAGTATATTGATAACACGTTCAATTGATCAGCTATTGCATGGGCTTCATGCCATCAGCAAGGAACGAACCTCCGAATGCATGGGCTTATTGGTTTAGAAGGAGACAAATATTGACCAATTATGTGCATGGTCTCGCAGGGACACCTACTCTTAAGCAGAAACAACCTTGCTGAAGCAAATCAGGCGGCTACCTAGGTAGTATGAGAGATCCAAGCGATACATGGATGACGATAAACCACTTTCTAACCGAAGACTCCTTACCTCCTATTCAAACTCGGCCAAGTCAAAACATAAGTGGACCGTATCTTTCAATACCTCAACCAGAGATTCAATAAATCTCCTGGGCATCAATAGAGCCTAACTTCTAAGCGTCAATTTATACAATATATTCAAGCACAACAACATACGGGAGGTTTCAAGACATTCGAAAAGGAACTGCGGGTTCCAGTACAAGTTGTATTTACGTGTAGTGTCTAAGTAAGCAGTCGCAATAACTTCATCTAGAATACCTAAGAACTTAACACAGATGATGAGGATAACAAAAAAGACACATGATGTTACGACGATGTGATGTTGATATTGATGTAGTGATGTACGTAGGTAGTGATGTCTCAAAGTCTCCTCTATTTTCTTTTCTTCTCTACCCACAGCCAGCCTTGGAACAAGCAATGGAAAAAGGAAAAAAAAATTGTACAAGTCAAAACATCACAATTTTATGTATAATATATTACTTGGCCGTGCACGAAGGTAGCCATTTGGGTGTAACTGATAGCTTTCAGTCAACAATATATAATCTCAGATTTCTCCCCAGCAGTGTGTAGAAACCCCACCTGGGCATGCATATGGATGATGCTTAGGTGAAGAAGAAAGAAAGATAGAGGAAGAGGAATAGGAAAATCTCTGCACTTAGAAGGTCCATGGTAAAGGTTGTACAAATCAGTGTAGCGATGACCTCGTCGGCAACAGCATGAGTTCGAAGTTCCTCAATTGTTATCTACGGCACTGAAAAGCGACCTCAGTAATTAGTACCCGTGGTCTAAGGGAAATGAGTGGCCACCTCTTAAGACGGTGAATGATTGCCACGCCTTAATACTCATAGTTGAAAGGTAGAACTGATTGATTCATCATGCTATGTATGCGCCATTTGTATGACCCGAGGACTAAAGTGATTAATATACAAGAATGGAAGGGTGATAATGATAGTCAGAAGTGTCGAAGATTGGCAAGAGAAAATGAAAAAAAGAGACAGAGAGAACCTGATGAACCAGGAAGACATGGATTGACAGCAATCCAGAAAATAGACGCAGAAAGAAGGTAATGATGTATATGTGGGTGACAATCGCCGTGCGTCATCTGGTAGTGCCGTAGCCAATTGAGGCTTGTTCATGTTTTGCTAGCCTGGGAGTGCTTCTGGACCAGCCATGCCCTCGAGTTCAAACCAAGAAAAAGAATAACGCGCTTTGTGAACGGAATTGAATGATGAAAATGAAGAGCTGGCCGCTACTTTTTGCTGGAACGCCTTGCTAGCCCAGGAATGCAATGAAACTGTAAGTCAGAAATAGAAAATCCGAGATAGAAGGTGACGGATGAGGATGAGGAAGAGGGTGATTGGGGACGAGGGTAAGGTGGTGATGAGAATTGATGACGATTTCGAGTTTGTACTTTTTAGATGCGTACAGGGGCCAAAGAGGCCATATTTCGACATCTAAATGTCCATACTCCAGCGCCACGGTCGTACACGTTCTAGCTCGCCGAGGCTGAGATCATCGTCGATATCATCGTTGATTTCTAGGTGTAATAGGTGGACATTGTTCTTGCTGTTTTTGGCTGCAATAGACAGAGCTTGAGCCATATGTTGACGCCCGAGGCCCCTTTCATATTGGGTTTCTTTAGAAACTGGTCGTGTTGTAGGTGTATCGGGAGGATATTTCCACGAGGCGCTGAAGGACTGGTCATCAGTGTTGGGCATGGAGAACATTGAATCTGATTGAGAAAATCGATGTAGATCCAAATCTTCATGACCAAAGCTTCCAGATCGTTTACGCTCGTGAGTATTAGATGGTGGACGAGGTAATTGATGTTCAATAGATTCATCGTTGAGATTTCCATTACTTATATCATGGGTGATTTGTGCCAGGGATTTCTCATCCCGGCGGTGATTGGCTTGGACGTTACGTGGTTCTGGAAAGAAACCACCAACGTTATCAACAGGTGAGAAGACGGATTCCTCTTTTCCGGCCATTACTTTGGCGCTAGGGGGAGGTTGAAGCATCCATCGGGTTTCGGCTCGGCTGCGGGGTCCACATAGAATAGGCGGAGTCGGATCTTGGACGGGAGGCACATTGGGAGCATAGTATTTTGACTGTTCATACTTATCTGTACGACCACGTCCTGAGAAGCCAATCGAAGATCCTGCTACTTCTTGGCCCCAGAGTATTTCATCTTCACGCTGATACCGCATCCCGGCGAAAGAGTGCTTCGAGCTCTTCTCTTCTTTTGTATTCAGCATATCATCGGATTTCCAGCTGTTAGTCCTTTGATGACTACGATTACCTCCCCGGCGAGTTGGAGGTCCTGGACCGAGGGCAATTTCCTGGCGCCATCCTTCGTTTGTGCTAAATGCGGTTGGTTGTGGGAATGGCCGGGGTTGATCGCAGATAACTTGTGATTCCAGTTGTTTTTCACGCTTGACTCGAGCTGCGTCCTTCTTCCGCTTCCGACGGTCAACACTCATAGCACATGGCGTGCAGGTGGCATAGTAAAAGACGGCGGACTGCGCGCCCCGATAGAACCACATATCTGGCGCTTAGGCGAGGTGAGAGAGTATTGGGATGAGATTGATGTCGAAATGAGATTCAAACACACAATCAAGACGGGCTTGTAGCCCCAGAGAACTGGTGAATCTGACACGGTCTAAGTTTCGAGTTTGTGAATGAAAACCGCATGAAGGGCCGAGGTCGAGGAGGTTGGATAAGGGGGGATAGTCGTAGAATGACGAGAAAGTGGTGAAAATTGGAGATCCCTACGACCAGCGATGAGAGAAATGGAGAGTCAAAAAAGAAGAGAAGTTGAAAAAGTTGCTAAGGGTAAAGTAGAAATAAGAAGGGGGGGGGGGAAAGGAGGATGAAACTCAGGAGGTTCAGGATGGGGCGGGATGGGATGGTCACGTCGATACTTTCTGCCTGGGCGCTCTTCCATGGTTAGCGCAAGTACCTTGTACCGCATTGATTATTTATTTAGTTTACTAATTTCTACTCAAATACATTTTTAGTATGGTTAGTTTTACGTTCAGCCATTTTTTATTGCACTATTATTTCCTCTAAACTCTTCCATGTCTCAACCGGATGTTGGGTAGCTAAATTTGATTTTTTTTCAGGTTACGTACCTCTATCCTATAGTAGTAAAAGCCCGTGTCCTACTGTGCAAGTGTACCTAAAAACTGTAAGGCTGAGTGCATCGATACCTTAAACTACCACAAACAAACGCACACTCATAAGTATCCTGCATGAACTCCAAATTCCCAATTATTTTTGAAAAATCAATATGCCTATTGAGACCTCCTGTGAATTTGTGGCTTGGCATCTTTCCGTGGTGGAGTTTGGTTGTTACTCCGCCGCAAACGGGTACCTGGTACTAGCTACTTAGTACGGAGTAATAGGGGGAAGATATTGGCAAATGGGGCCATCTGGAAACTAGACCCGCCAGAGTTAACTAGAATGGATAATCCATATCAGTTACTAGTATCTACCTTCTAAACCCTAATACGTTGCAAATCTGTATTCTATATTGTGTATTCCTTGTTTCGAATTGATCCTCTTATGGCCTAGGTAGGGATATCCCTCGTATACCATTACTTCATGATTGATTGCCCTCGGAATTCCTGCCAATTTCCGCAAACAGATACAAAAGATACGGTGAGCAGTACCAGTGCCAATGATGCATCGTACATGAGTACCGCATGTGAACCTTGGAAGCATTCTTATAGTCCTGCATCGGATGAACCTGCAATTGAGATGATTCTCGATCGATCCGGCCTCGAAGACATATTAAGTGTGGGCAAAATAGAGGAGTCAATCAAAAAGGGGACCTAGGTAACTTCTTGATTTTGATATCAATGAATTACTTCTACACCGACTCAATACACGAGATCGAGATCAAGCTAAGTTCAGTTTTCAACTAGGATTCCTCAGTTGATTCAAATAGTAAAGATAATTGAGCTGGGATTCATGTGGGTATCAATTCATAAAAGCTCTCAGGTTTTGTTTTGGCAGATCTCAGTCCACCGGACGCAATGAATCCCATACTGCTGAACGCCTGAACGCGCAAAAGTCAAATCACAACACAAGGCTCATTTGCCCAGCCTAGGCTCCGACACCAACCTTCAGGACTGGAATTCGTTCCGCCGAGACTTTAGTCCAATCGATCTCCTCATCCATTTCAGGGTCGAGCATGGCAACAACCGCAACTTGGGTGCCGATGATCAACAATGTTCCTTTGTTCTCGGTTTTCTTATACAGAGCCTCCTCGTGAGGAGCTCGCTCGAATGCATCGATCAAAACGATGTTGAGAACACGATCGGAAGAAAAGAGTGTGCCGACATACACTTTGCCGTCAATTGTCATGACAAGCACTTTCTCTTTGATGAATCTTGAGTCAGTAATTTACTATGACATAATTTCATGATGCGGGACCTACTGCCAGTAAGTTCGTGACGCTCGTCCGACATTGGGTCCACAGCGTTAGGCATTATGGTAGTGATTGATGAATGTAAAATAAATTTAAAAAGTGGTGTGGAGAATGAGGATTTAAATCGGTGGAAGATGTAGGATTAAAGATGTTGGAGTCAACAAGAATGTAATTGGGCAAATTCTCAATGTTTTGCCAAAGGCGGTCAGTGAGACCAAAGTCACGTGGCAGACATTGCGTACCCAAGCACGATATTGGCGTTTCTAGAATTGATAGGAAATAAACGTCCAAGGCTCCGATTAGCTTCAATAGTTCCAAGATTTGATTAAATATATTATTTGATGTTGATATGAATCATACATATCCTTACAATAGGTGGGTTATCAATTTATTATTATTTTTTTACTAATCTAGAGAAGCAACCAGCACAACCATTTCACTTCCAATGTCACAGCATAATGTAGTCCGAGAGTACTTTTCAAACAGTACCTGCCTCTAACTACCTAGGTAATTGAGTATGGAACATATCCTCGGAAGAGATCTAACTTGGAAGGGACTTGGTCCTCTGTGGTGAGTTGTGATTTACCTCGGTAATTTCCAAGGATTTTCAGGTTCTTTTCCACGATAATCATGTTAGTTACGTAAATAAGGATCTTTATAAGGATTCCAAGGCTCTAAAGTCCCAAGTTTTACAGAAATTCTATCTAGAGACCCAGGTGAACACCCGAAGACTCCAGCTTATCCCAACTCTGGAAGGTTATTGTCGGTACACCGGTGGGTATAGCAACTCGATAAAGGTGATGAGGCTAACGCCCACTTCTGACACCTATCACAGGTAACGCTTTACGCCCCTATGATATCTGTGTGTCCTTTGAAGTGGTTGTAAAGTCTGGTTTTCATTCTTAGTTTGCTATCTATTATATAGTAACAATTTGATCACATGACTGTTTTGTTCCATATTCCAACAGTTATATTATTCATGGATAATGATCTCAATAGGTAGCGAGGGATATATATATATAGATAGTAGGTATGACCGTGAAGCCCTGTAGCCTTGAAGCTCTTGTCAGTTTAAGGATACCTATCAATGGGCGGGGATATTTCTTGCTCTAAGATTCTATCAAGTAGAAACTGAGCCACCAAATTATGCTAGTCTTGAGGCTAATAAATCTAAAACTGTCACTAATGGTGAAACTTCAAGGGATAAGAGCTGATTCGTGAAGTCCCAAGGTCATTATCGTTCATTTGCTAACTACTTCGCATATAAGTAACGGACTGTGGTTCTTGAGAACTATCTTAGTACAAAGTAGAAGAGATCCACCTGTGAAACATAGCCAATAACCGATAAGCATTGTGAACTTGGCAGCTCTAGCGTGGAGTTAGTCTCGGCATAAAACCTTATTATCTAGACCTCTTTGCTTCACGTCTTTTGCAATACCAGTAAAATGAATAATCTAACCAAGACCTATTCATCCGGTATTCAACACTATAACAGGGTCAAAATTTGACAGAGACCCGGGCAAAGTAAAAGACTCCAGCATAGCACAATGATGGCTACTTTCTTCCTTGGCACAAACTCGCTGCTAGTGTTCTAGGTATCCCAAATAAATGCACTAGAAACAACATTCAGCATCAGTGACAGCCCGGATCATTGCTACTCACCTGGGGGATATAGGTGCTCGCAGCTCTTTCATTCCATATTGCACCCCATGGTCTTCTGCTTCTTGCTCCTTGAACTACCGGGCTACGGATTCAGAGGATAGTGAAAAGTAGTTGACTTCGATTCTTCCTCTACTATGAGTATTCCTACAAGCTTTATCACTTATGATTCTTCATTTGTTTACTGGTGGCCCTGAATCTTTCACTGAGCCTCAGATTACGTAGGTTTATGGGTACTCCGACTCCGTCTGGTGCTTCTGGTCCCACTGTTCCCCTCATCACTGCCGGGCCTTTGGGAACTGCTGCTGTTGTTCCTATCGCTGTAATAATTTAAGATCTAAATTAAAAGGAAGATGGGAAATTGGGTTATGCTAAATATGGATTTGCAAAAAGACTGGAAAAAGTCTATCAAATTTAGTTCCAGTGCTATGAATTACCCCGGCCCCATATTATCCAGTTGCTTGGTAGTCCTGGAGATAACTACGGGTCATACGTCCTCCTTATACATATGACCTCGGGAGATGCGTTAAGACCGAACATTGAACGCTACTTTCAATGTCTCTCCAGCTATTTCCATAAAGAACATCCAACAAGTTTCGTCTCTCTTAAACTACCACAGTACGAAACAGAGTGTGTAAAAGTATAGCAATTCACTATCTGTGCACGATATTTATCGCCCGCAATGTCCCATGCACTCGAATCACGCACTCAACGCACTCAAATCTAACGGTACACTGCTGCCCCTTCCTGCACGATACCTGCGCTGTCCACCGACAAATGGACGTGGCTTTGGGAGTAGACCATCGCCCTGGAACTTGAATCGAGTGTCGTCGACCCGAGCCTGACCATTGGTTAACTGGCTCCTTGATCCTGGCACGGGAGATGAGCCGCCATTGGAAAGTGTGTATGCACTGGGGTTGAGTGCAGCGTGGGGTTCGTGTGAGACGGGACGAACGGGCATGGAATATGTGCGAGTTGGAGGTTCACTTGGAGGTGCCATTGGGGGTGGAGGTGCCATTGGAGGTGGAAGTGATGTTGGCGGAGGTGGTGGAGGAGCTGCGGGAGCTCCAGCAGGGGGTGGTGGAGGTGGTGCTAGTGGAGAGCTGGTATTATGTTGACCGAATGCCGAGCGAGCTGCTTGAGCTGCAATCGATGGCGGAGCAACAGACGGAGGGGGTGGAGGTGTTGGTCGTCCAGGAGCAGATGGAGGCGGAGGCGGAGGGAGTGCTGGACTAGCTGATCGAGGTGGTGGAGGCGCTCCAGATGGCTTTCGCGATGCAGGGGGTGGTGGAGGTGCCCTTGGGGGCGGTACGTCTGGAGCCTTGCCGGTCGGTGGAGTAAAAGCGGATGATGACCTTGAGGCAGGTCGTGGGGGAGCTTTCTTTAGGCTAGCAATCAAAGGGTTCATAGCTGTCGAATCTGATGATGGTGGAGGAGGCGGTGGCCGTCCACCTGGTAATCTAGGAGCTGAAGGGGGCTTTGGAGCTGGTGCAGAAGGTGCTCGGCGCACTTCCGAGTCGGACATATATGGAGAGTCTCGGATGGCACCAGTGTCGACACCACCACCACGACTCCGAAGTTTGGGCATTCCACCTGCAAAAAGACCACCTAATTGCGGAGCAGTTGCACTAGCAGACTCATCTGAAGCGGATACTCCTTCGCTGTTGCTTCTCAATCTATTGCCTGATGGGACCGGTGGTGCAAGCCCACCCGGAATTGGCGGTGCTGCAGTGGGAGGCGGTCTCATGCCTGGGACTGGCGGAGCACTTCCCACTGCCGGTGCAGCTGAGCTACCTCCAGATGATACGATTACAGGCGCTGATCGGTCATTGGTGACTGCCTTCTTCAACCGGGTGCCACCTCGAATATCGGATAGTAGTGCGCCCTAACAAAGAGTTAGCTGTCTTCTTCTGAAGCGACGTGGTGAGAGTCATCATGGGAACGCGAGAGGAACCTACCCGATCTTTCGCTTGTCCTTTGGAAGGCTTCCCAGGTAGACTAGCAGGGGGAGGAGGTGGGGGAGGGCCACCACCGAGCCCTCCAGGCGGAGGAGGAGGGGGTGGAGGGGGAGGAGGCATTTCGAAAGCGCGTTAGAGACCCAAGTTCGTCAAGTATAAGGGTGCATGAGTCTATCAGATAATATTGTAGTAGAGTGGGTATGCTCCCTTTAGCAGGAGATGTTGCGAAGTAGAAGACGTCAGTGCTATTACGGGGGACGTAATGTCTCCGCCTTGAGCCTTCTCCAAGCAAAAAAAAGAGCCGCCTAGAACAACCGCCGCCACCTGATTTCCTACAACGCCATTCACTATGAAACTAACGGCTCTGCGGATTCAAAGAGGGAGACCGATTTCCGTCTGCCAATTCTGTCAATTCTCGACCTCGCGCCGCCTACCCTTCTCTCGATTCCCGACCACCTCTGAAAGTGTGCATAGGCTCGCACTCGCATTGCCAAAAATAAATTTGCGCCCGCAATTAATCCTCCCCGTTCTATCGTCACGCAACTATGCATCAAATAGCGAGACTATCGAGGCGCAGTCGGTTATCCGAGGTATTCAACAGGAGGTGTTAACGGTGCACAATGCGGAGGTAGTGCCCTCCAATGAAGTCATTTTAGCAATGCTGCAGAGATGCCATAAGATTGCCGAGTCCCTAGTTTCGCAGGAGCGTGGTCAGAATGAGCGTGACCAAAACGAGAGTTCTTCAAATGAAGGCAACGCAATCTCCCCGCTTCTGAACATGGAAGAAGGGCGAGGGAAATCGCTCGATCCCCGACTAGCAGACTCAATCTCTGAGATTGCTACAGGACTTCTGAAAGATGAAAAAGTCTTCATTTCCCCAGAAGCGCTAGAGATTTATACCAAGACTCTTGTTCTCCTGCAACGGGCTGAGCACTTCCCCGAGATCTTCAACTTGTACGCCAACAAACCAGTGCCAGAAGAGAACAGCTCACCGATCAAATTCCACAAGGCCGATCCGAAGAGTGTTAAAAGTGCTATCCCCGCTGAACTGGCCAACGAAGCCTTGGACATTGCCATCGCGCAGAAGAACCTTTCGCTGGTGCTGGCCATTATCGACAATACGTTTTGCGCACCTGCGTTCCACCGTGCGAAGGTTTTGAAGAAGGCTGGTGTTCCATTGGCTGGTCTGGCTGCTGCTCCTCTCGCCTGCTATGCTCTTGCCTCAATGGCTTCAAATTTCCAGAATACGATGGATGCTAGCACTGCTACTGGACTTGTTTTTGCCGCGTCATTGGCTTACGTTGGTGGTGCAGCATCTCTCGGCATTATATCTATCACCTCGGCTAACGACCAGATGGAGCGAGTGGTTTGGTTACCTGGTGTTCCTTTGCGCCATCGTTGGCTGCGGGAGGAAGAGCGTGCCGCTATGGATAGAGTTGCTGTTACCTGGGGTTTCAAGGACCCTTACCTGCGCGGCGAGGAAGTCGGCGAAGAGTGGGAAGCTCTCCGCGAATTCATCGGTATGCGGGGCATGATATTGGATAAGACCGAGTTGATGGAGGGCATGCAATAAGCCATGAAATTTTTACTATTGTAGGCTTACTTAAATTAAGAATTGTACTACTGATTTGAGCGTCTGGAAACTATGTATAGTACTGATCATTACAGAATTCAGAGATTCTCTTTCTGTTGCTTTAGAATAGAACTTATTCAAGATCAAGTCGTGAGCTTCATTTTTTTATGGGTCACTAAACTAATGACACCTATCACTCGCTGAACCTTGAACCTGCTAGAATACGGCACAATTAAGTGACGCAACATCTAGTACAGGCGCTTGGGGGGAGACATGGAAGCCTTGATGACAAGACTTCCAACGTTCTGCCAGCCCTTCTTGAGCAGGGAGATGAGGTAGTTGATGGCAAGCATGATGTTACCAATGAGCTCCTCCTGCTCCATACCGACGTTGCCAACGGCAACACCAAGGCAAAGAACCTTCTTAAGCTGGAACTTGATGGTGGACTTGACGTCGTTGACCTTGGCCTGCATGTCCTCGGCGTGGGAAACGGGAGTAGGGAACTTTCCGGCCTTGGAAAGACCGGGACCCAACAGACGGGGAATCTGCTTGATGAGAGCCTCGGAGGCAAGGAATGCATCGTACTTGCGAGCAAGCTTCTTGATGAGCTTCTTGTTCTTGTTCAGCTTCTTCAAGTCATCGGTGGACATGGCATCGAGACCGTGGTGCTTGGCACGGTCGAGATCGTGCTGGTCACCAATGATGCTATAATTCGAACATAGTCAGTAACGTATTCTGCGATTCAGAGTTTCCATATTCTCGACAGGAGTCGGTGTGAGGTCGGCATGGAGGTGAAAAAAAAAAAACTCGGGATGGGCGAAGACGAACCAGATAGCCATGTTGGGACGGGGGATGCTGGGCAGCTTGATGGTACCAGAGAAACGCTTGTCACGCTGGGGGTCGTAGTTCTTCAGGCCAATTTGGAGCTCGACGGTCTCGAGGAAGTTACGCTTCTTCTCGTTGAGCGAGTACTCAAGCAATTGCTGCACATTCTCGCGCACTCCGGCTGTGAGGGCATTAGTTTCTGCATTCAAAGGCCTCAGAGAAGGCTTCAGATTAAAACATACCGACTGTAATCTTCGACATGATGGCGACAGTCTTCCAAAAGAATTTCTTATGGTGTGGCTCTGCGTGGAATGGCTGGGAGAAAAGAAATAAAGGTCTGCAAATTCTCCGCTTGTGGGTTCGGTGGTGTACTAGTCCTAAATGGGACTAGCGATGCCCTAGAGAACGAGGTGGATGACTCAGTAACTATCACGTGATATTCACTCAGTAGTAAGATCAACTTCAATGCTAACATCTATATAGTATTTAACTGTAATTTACTTTTGTGATCTCGAAGCCCATCATTTTGTATAAATCGCTCTACACTGACATTCTCAATAACAGTCTCTGCAGTAATGCTGACTCGTGATGCTCCACATACTCCAGCTTCTGTGTGTGTTAAAGCTGCGAGAATCATCGCTTTCAGTAGCCGGCGCCCATGCCCCTTCTGCCGGGCTTGAGACGAAAAAAATATGCTCACCAACAAATAGACGAGACGGGTACTACTGAGATCATTTGTATCTGGGACTTCTGGAGGTATGTGGAGCCTGTGTCTTTGAAGAAGATATCTCTGGGTTTCGCGGGCCTCCACGGGCCTCCGCGGTACCCGTATTGTCCTCTAGAAACAGCCATGAGCCCAGGACCGTGACAAGTTCCACCCACTCTTGGTTTAATAGACAGTGGAGCGACTAGCCGTGCCAGTGTATTTTCACCCTAGTTCGGATTTTGCCACGGAGATAAAGGTCTTCCTCGTTGGACTCTGGATTCTCGATTGCTATTGTTGATCCGGGAACATGGATTTAACCTCTTATGGTGATGAAAACCACTTTGGGTTTGTTTGCAGAGCATAGAGTGCGAGCTTCTTGAGACGCTTTGCTATCTCATCTAGCTACTCTGGGGCAGGAAGCTCTTGGTCCGGAGTGTGGAGCCATAAATGGGGTAATGAACTGTGGGGTATTAGATCGAGAGACGAGGATCTTGGTTCACGATCCTGATATCGGCGGAGAGAGGTAGATGTAGAAGCCGAGCAGTTGTTCTCCATATGTCTATCTAGGTAGGGACCTGTAAATCAACAATCACTCTTCTATCACAAGGGCTAACAAAACATCAAACTTTGGAGTATACTGACACGGATCTGGACTTTGATCTGGACTTTTATTTGATGTTCTGGGCTGGGAACCTCTAGGGCTTAGAGCTCACCGCTTGCTCAAGTGCAGGAAATAGTATAAATGAGGTCACATGTACCTAGGAACAGTTACCAGTAAGGGCTTGCCAGGGTAGTCTATTCAACGGTAACATTCTCACCGCTCATTCCATCCATTCATGGATGACAGGGACATGGATTGCAAGGTCTTAATAACTGCTCTGTGCAGTAAAAACCTACTAAAGAAGGTAGATATGCCCCAGTTGGCCGGTGCTCTAACTATCAAATGTTGGATGTTGTAGTTGTATCTACCTCGGGACCTCGGAAGGTATCTAGGTAGGTATGAGACTGGGGTGTATGGAGTCATGAAGATAGGGTAGTGTGCTAGAGCTTTAGCATCAGTGTCAATGCTTTTAGCGAGATCTCCTCCGAATCAGTTCTTTGTTTTTATCATAGTCAAAATTGAGACAAATTAAAAACCGGCAATTGTCAATGGTTTTGGCCGTATTGGAAGTGCCGAAGCCATCCAACGTTGGAGTAGTCACATTTGTAATCACATTTGAGGAAGTACATTTATAATTCCTATACTCAGGCTCTTCCTGTGTCGATGAGTTACGAGTACAAATGGTCCATACTTATAGAAAAGGATGTAAAGATGGATACCTCGTGATAGAAGTGTCGTGATATAGGTAATGAATTGGTCAATGCATAAGATAACAATGTAGTCGGCAAGTATGTAGTATTGGTGGCAGTCATCATACTTACCTAGATAGACAACTGGACATATAACATGCTATGATAGTAAAGAATATCATAGTAAAGAATACCTATAAACACTACAAGAACTATACACCGTATAGTATGGTAATGTAATTAAGGCGATAAGTCGACCCTATCAGAACAATACAGGAGTTTCGCCTTCAGTGTTCGCCTCCGGTATTTCAAATACGAGTCAACGTGTCCTCTTTCTGTTGCAAGTTGAATATCTCCGTTGCCTAGATTTTACCATAATAGATTCATATATAGAATTGAGATCGGGCTGAAATAGGTGTTCTCTTACGCCTATATAATATATTTGTCTACCTGAAAAGCGACCAGTACGAGTGCACAGCCTTTGCCCACCCGTCGCCCTACCGTATTTTCTGTAATCACAAACACAGACACCAACTTTCAACTTTCCCCTTCCTCTCACTCCCTACTTGGATCCTCCTTCAACTTTACAACCAAGTTCTAATTATTTAACGTAAAGTGAGTTGTTGTCGATCATCCCTTCCGCAATCACTACATCTCGCCCCTGACCCGGTCCTAATCCGTCCACAACACGTTTTCCATCTTCCCCTCCGCCTTTCTCCTCCTTAATTCCCCCCTCCCTTCAACTCTAACATCAACCCACTTTCAGGTCTTTGAGATAACCGAAAACATGGGTATCGCATTCTCCAAGATTTTTGATCGGCTATGGGGCAAGAAGGAGATGCGTATTTTGATGGTTGGTCTTGACGCCGCCGGAAAGACCACCATCCTGTACAAGCTCAAGCTCGGTGAAATTGTCACCACCATCCCCACCATCGGTCAGTTTGATTTCGCCCATATATTCCGACTTCAGAAATAAGAGATCAAGGGCTGACTCTGCGTAATTGCAGGCTTTAACGTTGAGACTGTCGACTACAAGAACATTCAGTTCACCGTGTGGGATGTCGGTGGTCAGGACAAGATCCGTCCTCTGTGGCGCCACTACTTCCAGAACACCCAGGGTATCATTTTCGTGGTTGACAGCAACGATCGCGACCGTGTTGTCGAGGCACGTGACGAGTTGCAGCGCATGTTGAACGAGGACGAGCTCCGAGATGCCCTTCTCCTGGTTTTCGCCAACAAGCAAGATTTGCCGGTAGGAATTTCTCAGGATGATGACGATCTCGGTTTTGAATTTCCCCATACTGATCTTTATTTTTTTTTTTTCTCTAGAACGCCATGAGCCCCGCTGAGATCACCCAGCAGCTTGGCCTCCAGAGCCTCACTCGTCGTGCTTGGGTATGTGCATTGTTTCGATATATGCCCGTTGCAATTACTGATTTGACTTCTCCAATAGTTCATCCAATCTACCTGCGCTACCACTGGTGATGGTCTGTACGAGGGTCTTGAGTGGCTCGCCGATGCCCTCCGGAAGTCTGGCCGCGACTAAGCGGACTAACAGACTATAATATGCGATTTGGGGAGGTGGTTGTGTTCTTGAGTGCGTGCGTGTGTGCGTGTATGTAGCAGGGCAAGAGAAATACCACGGGAAATCTGCGAATCTGCGATGGATGGGGAGTTCTTCATGGAGTCCCTCCGAAAAGGAGGATTTACTGTTATGTTCACTCCACGGTTTCTATTTCTCTTCGCTATGCTATTAGCCTCATCTGTTCTTATTCTGGCGCCACGTCAAAATTGCTGGTTCTCCTTTTTTTTCTCCTCTTCTGTGTTTTGGAATTTGTATACATTGTAAAGCAAAAAAACGATTGCAGTAAAAAGCATGTACTAAACTAGTATAAGAAGACAGGGATTATCAGCCAAAATTAGAAAACCAAGCAATCCCGTCTGACATGGTAATTTCCGAGTTCTGGACTTGGGCCCGCTCCTCGCTTCTCCTCTTTTATCTTTTTATACCTTCTTGTATCCGCTCTTTTTCCCTGACACTAGCTCTATTTGATATCCGCTGAGTCCTCATTGGCTCTTCTAATGAAACTGTTCGTGTTTTAGGTCGCAAACTGCGTCTTAATTGCCTGGTCGACGATCTGCGACGATCTGTGACACCAAATCAAACCGATCATCGTTCCCTTCTGCATCTCTTCCCCTTTCTCATCTCTCTCATATTGAGCAGCCTTATTAATTCTCTGGAATTAAATGGGTTGTTGACTTGACCACATTCAACCCTTCTCTGTCAATGTTGACTTGTTGCCACCATGACAGTACAGGTGAGGAGATCCTCCGCGGCATATAGCAAACCATCGCCCTATGCAGCCCGTATACAAGAAAACGATCTAGAAAAACAGCCTCATCGACCTCAAAATCCCCACAAGCGCAGTGACGATGACTCGGATAGTGGCCCTGAATACTCCTCCACATCTTACCCGCCTCTCATGGGCGGGAATCTCCGTCGCAGTCGCGGGGGAACAACAGGTGTGGGTTATGGGTACCGAGTGCCTCAGCGGATCATGCGATGGCTCTGTTTCGCTCTCTTTGTCTCGCTGGTGATTTTCATCTTGACCCTCTTCCGATTCACTATCTCCTCCTCCGTCTCACAGGTCACTGCCGAGCTACCCAAGGTCGTTTCTAAACCACCGCAGTGGGAGAGTTTCCCTTTCCTTACACGTTACCATGGTGGCTTGAAAAGCCTCGTGTCGCGCGACCAAAATGTACCCGAATACCCCGGAGACGGAGCAGAATTAGTACTTGGGTTACCGACAGAGGACAATGCGGCCAAGGGTGCGGCCAAGGATGTGGACAAAGATGCCAATCATCTGGTCTCGCGTGACCCGAAGCCCTCTCTGACTAGCTCCGTCTTCAACCCTTACCCAGACTACAACTCCCCGGATTATATACAAAAGTATGGCGAGAAGCGCGAATGCTTCCTCGACGAAGGAAACACGCAGCGCGTCCCGCCAGTCCAATCCTACCATGGAGTACCAAAAGGGTTCCCGGACCCCGTGACGGGCTCGAATGAAATGCTTGGGATTCGCAACGATATGTGTTTTGACCGCTTTGGTCGCCTTGGTCCGTATGGATTGGGATACGGCGTCAAGAAGGGTGGTATTGGCGCCGGTATGGAAGGTCATCGGGATGGTGCGGAGAGTGTTTGGGAACATCTTCCTCCCGTAGATTACCGCCAGGTCGAATGGGCGGGCGTTCAAGAGCGCTGTATCTCTGCAAATCGTCATCGCTTCAGTAACGATTCCCAGCCGCGCCTGAACCGGTTCGTTACAATGCAGGTGGGTTCTCCCAAGGTTGAAATTCCCCAGGTCGAGGACAATCAGCTGCAGCCGAAGCCTCAGCTTGGGGTTGATCGCCTTCCTAGGACTGCGCTGGTCATTCGCACATGGCACGATTTTAACTACACGCCCGAAGATATCATGTACCTGCGCTCGGTGATTACAGAGCTTTCCGTGGCATCTGGCGGTGAATACACAGTTCATTTCCTTATCCATGTCAAGAACAATGACCTTCAAATCTGGTCAGATGACGAGACTTATGAGAGTGTTCTAAACGATGCCCTGCCAGCGGAGTTCCGTGGAATGGGAACTCTCTGGTCGGAGGCGCAGATGTGTTTGATGTACCCTGGGCTGGAGGAGACTTTCGCCCGAGGATTGCCCATTCACGGTGTTTACCGTAGTACCTATATGCCTCTTCAGTACTTCGCCTATCAGCACCCGGAGTACGATTTCTTTTGGAATTGGGAAATGGATGCGCGCTATACTGGTCACTGGTACCATCTATTCGATAAGGTGGGCGACTGGGCCAAAAAGCAGCCCCGAAAAGGTCTCTGGGAGCGCAACGCTCGCTTCTATGTTCCGTCGGTGCACGGGACTTGGGACGACTTCAGGCAAATGGTTCGGGTGCAGACTGAGATTGGGACCAACAGTCCGAACAATTTGTTCAGTGGTGTGAAGCCCAAAGGGGCACCAGAGAGCGGCGAGCGGACTAACGGGATCCACCAACAGGGTGACAAGTTTATATGGGGTCCTGATCGTCCTGCCGAGCCGGATATTTTCGAGGTTGAAGGCGAAGGTATCCCTCCAACGACTATGGATAAAGACCAGTACACGTGGGGTGTAGGCGAGGACGCGGACTTGGTCGTTTTTAACCCTCTATACGACCCAGAGGGCACCACCTGGCTGCTCCGCGACGACGTCACTGGATACAACAAGGATAAAGACATGCCGCCACGACGAACTGCGATCATCACAGCTTCGCGGCTCTCACGCAAGCTCCTCACTACCATGCACCGCGAGACGGCCCTACGCCATCACAGCATGTTTTCCGAGATGTGGCCGGCAACCACCGCGCTTCACCACGGCTTCAAGGCCGTCTATGCGCCGCACGCCGTCTACGTTGACCGCCGTTGGCCGACCAAATATTTCGAGTCTGTCTTCAATGCCGGCCGTAACGGGGCTTCCGGTGGAGCTCGCACCTCCGTATTCGGAGACCGTGAGCACAATTTTAAAGGAACGACCTGGTTTTACTCTGCTGGCTTTTCTCCTAACATCTGGCGCCGCTGGCTCGGGCTTCGTGTGGATAATGACGGGGGCGAACAGGAAGAATTGGCCGGCGAGGGCCGTATGTGTCTGCCTCCTATGCTCCTTCATCCAGTCAAGGATATAAGGATGGTTATTGATGATGGGGAACATGCAGAAGATCGGTGATTTTATCTTCCTGACTCTACTCAACGGCCTTACGACAGATACTTTCCATTCTCTTCCCTTTTTTTTTTTTTTTTTTTTTTTGCAAGTCCGTTTCCCATCTATGACATCTTACTGTTCTGCATTTTTGGATAGCTGGTGATTAACGGGCATGGTTGCATTACTTATTCCTGTATAATGTCTCTTAATCCCCCCCCCAGCGATGTAACGTCCTCAACTTGTTTTTGATTTTTGATTCTTGTTTTGCGTCTGACTGTCATATCAAAAGGCGTTTTCTTGTGTTGGGATGGTCTGGAAAAATCGGGCCATGGCTTCATGATGCATTTTTTGACGCGCCGATGTTTTTCTTCTTTTCTTTTTCTTTTTGGGTCCAGTCTTTTAGGTCTCTAGACTGTGAGATCCAACTCACTTTTCGTTTATAATTCATATCTCCCCTACCAAGGTTTCTCTATCAAGGTTGTTCAGTCTATACAAATCACGAATCCGTTGATATTCCTATTTATCAATTTGTAAGTTCGGAATCAGATCTATGTACAGCGATGCTCTGGACTTCTAACAGAAAACAGAAAACACAAAGCTCCAAAACCCCTCTAGTTACCAGTTCTAGACCAGAAAAGAAGAAAAGAAGAAGAGAAACGACCACTTTAAACAACCTTGAATTCAAGCCTGACAAAGCCTCGACACTTTCGAAAACTGTTCACACGAATCCGGCAGTGGATATCTCTCCAAGAGCTTCACAGGCACGAAGCAAATATTACACTCATATACCCCATCAACATCATCAACAAACGAAAGACAAGTAACACAAATCCGATGCCCACACTTCGAAAGCAGTATGTCAGCCACATCCCCGTCAACAACACAACTATGACAAAAGTGCGAAGGGAACTGCACGTAAGGATCCAGCATACGCCGCTCAATCTCGCCAGCAAGCTCCTTCCCCTTCTCAACACGGGCACGAATCAGCCGGACTCTCGTCTTGAGTTTCTCCAGCGCGTCCCGATTGTACGGGCTATGTCTGTGATCTCTGTCTTGTTGCCTCGTTCGCGGTTTTTGGAGCGAGGGAACCTGCTCCATAAAGATTACTGGACGGAAGCGTTGAGAGGCTGGTGTGTCTTGCATGCATTTTTGCTCGAGTTGCCAGCGGCGCCGGACTTGGCGGTTTAGAAGGACTGTGAAATAGATTCGAAGGACTTGCCAGGCGCGCCATTCGGCTATTGGGTCGAGGATGAGTGGAGATGTTGGCATGATGCCCTTTGGGGGGAGAGTAGACTTGAGATGAGACTGGGCTAGCTATGTGTATACATCCCCAGGTTGGATTGGAATGGATGTAGGTAGATCCCGAGGTCTTTTAGCGTGGACGCCTTTTCCTAAGGGCTCCCAATTCGAGGATGGTTAGGGTTAATTCTGTGAATGCATCCTTGGACTATGGCTTTAAATAACAGCACGACAGAAAAAAAAGACTGCCAAAAAAAGAAGCTAGAGCCGAATGCGTTCGGCCGAGGCGTTGTGGCGTCCCCAAGGTGCCGCTTTCCGAAATGAGAGCTCGTCCCAAAGTCTGGGGTAGATGCTATATAAGTCTTAATTGGTTACTTGAATTAGAGATTAGGTAAACGATGGGGAAGTCCCGTGGAACTCCCTTCATTTGATATATCCAAGTGAGCCCTGGTTATGGATTTATTGCCACGAGTAGGAATGCCCGGCCGGTCGGTGTTCGTGATATGCCCGAACACTTCCTATTTTGGCTTCGTGCATGATCTAACGGCTTAGTCCGATATCAGATTATTTTCCCCATCTTGACTTGGTTTCTTGGGTTCTTGGGTTCTTTGGTTCCCGACGAATTGTTGGGGATATTGAATTGAGGTAGTAATATGTGTGCGAGAGTACCTAGGTATCTTGCTTAGAGAGCCTTGAAACCGTGAAATGAGCTTAAGACGAACTGTGGAAGAAATCTTTGTTCGTACGCCCGGAGCTACCGATTTATGTACAAAGTATATTACACAATGATAGCGCCTAAGTGGGTATAGGCGGTAGCCAATCATATACCATCCGCCTTTATGGGCACGAGACTGCTTCGATACCTCAAACAAAAACTGTGAATCCTGCTAAAAAAAATACGCTTGAATATTAACCTGATACGTATTTTGGACCAATCGCTTCTTTATGTCGATAAAATGCTGCCATAAACGTCTAATATAACTGATAACTGATCACTAGGGGTATTTTGTTCATTGAAAGAACCGAGTAAGTAGGAGCAATAAGTAAATTCTAGCTAATGACCACTTTCACGATCTGTGAAAGTCAGGGGATTTCCATCGTTAGTAAGTATCTGTTCTAAATCATATCCGATCGCTAAGCCGTTACCCTGCTCCTGCGCCTCGCGAAAGTCTGGCGCATAGTCATCCACTAGATCGACTTCATCCTCCAAGATCTCTCTTAGATCTGTATCTTCATTACAAACAGTGCCAAGACAGAAAAAATCCAAACAATTCAACAATTCAATCCAGTCGAGGCTCAACTCGCGGGCGGGAAAAAAAATCCCTGGATCTCCAACTTGAGATAACATCCAAAATCAGCCATCGGACTATATAAGATGCAAGGAACTCGTAAATCCCAAGAAGCAGTAGAGATCCAAAACAAAAAGTACCTGCAACTGATAGTCGCACAGCAGAGACTGAATATATTCTAAGGGACAATGGCTGAGAACAGGACAATGCGAAGTCATCCATGAATGTTAGACCACAACTTCCACGTAATAGCGATAGGACATAATAGAATTTTCTTTTGCTCCAAGACGGCAGTGTGTGTCGTGATAATCGAGCCTTTTCAGAGAGCGCATGTTCAAGTATTGAAATAAGCAGGTTGACGTCGGATACAAGCAGTCGTTGGCTTGTTGGGTCAGCGACATACCCGGTTGGCTGTGTTTCTTGTGCCAACGCTGTCATAACATCGATATACATGATCATTCTCGAGTAGAACCCTGGATCAGTAGGTTCAACTGTAAGACGACACACATGCGCCGCATTTTCGTATGAAGGTGATCTCATGCATATCGTTTCATTGGTGAATGACCTGCAAGGCAGATATGTGAGTTCGATAGGGTCGGGGTAAGTTTCAACGTGACTGGCTAAATAACTGCGAAAGAAAGGTTCGAGATCCCTAGAAGCATGGGGTTATTAGCAAAAAGCAGCATAGAGCTAGATGGGAATGCACTTTACAATTCCATTTTAGTGATTGGACGGCCAACGCTACCATTTCGAACCGGAGGCTTCGTGTGCATCTTCATCGTTCCCATTAAGCGAATTTTCAGGGCTTTGAATATGATCACCAGGGTAGTGATCATCCCTGGGATTGTCCAGAAGAAGAGGAGCCTTGCCGCCTCAAAAGTATTCATTTTCGTCGGATCAACCGGTGGTCCATCACAAGTGAGGCGAGTTGCCATTCTCACTTCGCCTGATTCCTCCATTGTTGTCATGTTTGAAAATGAGGTGTTGGGCTTCCAGGAGCTCGGCTGCAGAGGGTCCATCATCCTGTTTGAAACCACACCGTCTACCTTTTCAAAAGGAGATGCGAAAATGTACTTGTGCCATTGTGCTTGATAGAAAGTAGAGCGAGGTGCTGATGGCAAAGAGCGCACCAACTTTAGTTCGTCCAAATACTCTTCGCTTGTCTCATCAGGCAGACTATGAGGTTTTTCTGAAACTCTGCTCACTCGCAATAAAATGTTCCGCTTTTCATAGTAGGAGTTGTTGATTTCCAGAATCACCGCGTCAAGTTCCCGGTTTTTATCGTAGAGATACCACCATGACACTACACTTCTGGACCATCCAAGAAACTGGGGAATGCCCAGTAGGTATGCGTACGGCCATTGTGAAGGATCCTCATTCTATGAAAGTTATCATAAAAAGCCCGAAAGAAACGCATAATATCAAATAGAGAGTTTCATACCTGAGAGAGCAGGTACTGATCCAACTTCTCCCGTAGAGATAGTCCATGGTCGCCTCGGTGAAGAAACCGTGTCGAGTCGACACTGAACCAGCAGCTCAAGTGGGAGAGAATTCGATTCCATTTCATCTCAAAATCTCCCGGAGGAAGAGAGACATCCAGAGAGCTATCATCGATGGCTAATAAGTTCCCAATGCGGCATCGAAGCCCAACAGGAACTCCTACCGCAAGATATCGGTTTCTGAACCGATCCTTTGTGGGGGTGAACCGCCTGTGATTAAAATTCACAGGAAATAAGAGAGGTTTTCCCAGAACCTCTTGACTCTCATCCGATAACGAAGTCAATTGACGACTGGCAAAAAGTACCTGTGCCAACATGAAGGAAAGAACCAAAAAGAGAGATATCAGTCCAACGCCAGCGACATTGATCCAAAATGATGGAATTTGTGCTTGGTAAGCAATATAGAGCAGTAGAACTGCTATGTCTTTGGTCACCATTTTGATGCGTAGTCTACAAATTCTTGACTCTCGATCCTTTCCACGGTTCTAAGGGTTGGTTAAATACCCCTCCCTAGGTCAGATAAACTCCAAGGCTGCAAACCATGTACCTCAACACTTTGAGAAGGAAATAAATTCGCTCCAATTCTCAAGAGTTTATTCCCGCAATATCGGCGTCTCCGAAACGCAAGATTGATAGAAAGGATTGTTTAGTGCGGATCCACCCGATATTTAAAATTTGACATATATGCTGGCTCCAGTTAGTACATGACTTTTATTTAATTCGGCCCCATACGGAGGGCAATATGTAAAGAGTGTTACTTTTGACAGTTCAGGGCTGGCTGAAGTGCAGTTAGATAAAGGTACACTGACGTGGACGCTAGGTAAAAACTTCGGAGTGAATCGTTTGATTTGTAGCTTAATTGCGCATCTCAACGGCTAAATTATACTACCTTTGTAAAAGATCGTGAAAGACTAACGAGAAATAGAATGGGCAAATCTTGGCGAGTCATTTTCATTGGTCACAATGCGAACTGTTTAGATCCTGCTTGCCGCATGTGGCTGATTACCTACAGCCTGTTAGAAATAGAAAGTCGGACAAGTTATTGCGGTGTAGAAGATTGGGCATGTATGTACGAGGGGTCGGGTCTTACAGGCAACTCTTCAAACAAATAGATCTTGCAAGGCTAGGATTGGGCAGTTCATGACGGTTTTTCGATGGAGCTCAGCTGGGAGTTCAATGGTGGCTTTTCTGAACCTTGAACGCAAAACCAAGAGTGGAATGTGTTGATGAAGTTGAAAAGACATAAGTACTAAGATTTACTACGCGTATGATGTTGTTTTCCTTTCAGACCGATCTATTGAACCGTCATACGGTTGATGAATCAACACACATGAATTTATGCCACAATGAAACCTGCTTCTAAACTCCCATGCCAGGTTATTATTGTGGGGGGTGGTGTATCCGGCATAGCAATGGCTTGCCAGCTCAAGAACATGCTCAATTTGAACGATTTCTGCATCTACGATCGTCAGAAGGGACTAGGAGGAACCTGGTTGGCGAATACATGTGTGTTCAACAACCAAAATTTTAGATGGAAAAGGCTAATATCTTGATGTATTAGATCCAGGATGTGCTGTGGATATTCCAGGGCTTTGTTACAGCTTCTCCTTCGCCCCAAATCCTGATTTTACCCAAGTTTTCCCACCCCAAGCAGAAATTCTTGAGTACTTAACTTCTGTGATCGAGCGGTATAGTGTGAACAATCATTTCACAGGAGGACAGGAATGGGTTAGGGCCATTTGGCGAGAAAAGACAAAGACATGGCTTGCCGCTTTCCAAGACATCACGACCGGAGAATTTTTCACCCAAGAATGCCAGATTTTGATTTCTGCAGTTGGCGGCCTTGTTAATCCACAAGAATTTAAAATGCCCGGTGTTGAGCGTTTCCAAGGAGAAATCATACACACGGCCAGATGGAATCACGATGTCGATCTTACAAATAAGAAAGTGGCAGTCATCGGTAATGGAGGTAAAGCCAGTCTTTGTTTTATTTCCTTAATTTACATTATAAATGCTAATTGTAGAGATCCCCAGCATCCGCTATTCAGTTGGTTCCGGCTATTTTCGAACAGGTAAAATCTGTCACACAGTTTATGAAGGTCAGTATATGCTAAAAAGTCTTGGACGATTTGGCCTAGGCAAATATTGAAACACTTTCTAGACTCCCCATCATATTGTCCACGGATCCAATTATAGCATTTCTCCTGAGTGGAGAGATATATTCCGACAAATTCCCATACTGCTCTATCTAATTCGCCTCAGTCTTTTCCTTTACATGGAACTGACGTGGTTGGTATTCCAAAACAATCAGCTTGGGAGGGTGACGCGTGCTTCTATCGAGAAACAGAGCCGGCAATATGTTCAAGAAACAGCACCAGGTAGAAAAAGCAACATCAAACTGATTCCTTTCAAGGACAAAATTGATCAATTTTCACAGAACATTATTGGAACTTGTTGATTCCAACTTATAAATTTGGTTGCAAAGTAAGTCATCAAATTCAGCAGCCTTCAATGACCCAACTGCCTAAGGCAACTCATGCTGACTGCATGCCAGAGAAGAGTCTTCGATCGTGGATACCTTAACATCCTCAAGTCGAATAAGATTCGGCTAACCAACAATTCAATTGCGGAAATTACTACGGATGCCATATTAACAAATTGTGGAGAGAAAATATATGTTGACGCAATTGTAAGTATCCATGGATACTGCCAGATGGGATCAAAGCGAAGCACTGACAGTATCAAAGCTTTTAGCCAATGGCTTTTCCCTCACGCATTACAATGTCGAGCTGAGAGGTCGAAATGGCAAAGCACGGGAGCAGCATTGGAAAGAGCATGGTCACAAGGTCACTTTCAAATCGATTGCGATGCACGAGTTTCCAAATTTCTTTTATATTCTCGGGCCTAATTCTGGTCGGCTGTATACGTCAGCTGTTGATATCATCGAAAGGTATGTTTTTCTATCAAAGCTATATATAGCTTTCAGCTCCAGGATACTGATTACGAGGGAATAGTCAGGTAAAGATGGTTATCAAGATAATCACACCCATTATCCTATATCAGTGCTCATCTGTTGAGGTGAAAGAAAGCAGCGAGGAAAGATTCGACAAGAAACTTCACCAGGCTATTGATAGGACAGTGAATAGTGAAAGTTGTGGTAGTGTAAGTTTTAGCCTCATTACCCCAAGTTTCTCATAGGCTTTGGCCAAATAAATTCGGAATGTAAATTACTGACTTCATCGGCATACACAGTATTTCATTGATGGAGAGACAAACAAAAATTGGTTTGTGTATCCTTGGAACTCATTTCATCTTTGGTTATCGACAATCTGGGAAACGTCTGAGGACTGGGAATATCAAGGTAAAAATTGACACTACAACATAACTCTGTTTTCTATGAAAAGCTAGTAGTTACAGAATAATGCCAAATTCTAGTATAAAAATGCGTATTTAACTCAGTAGAATTGAACTTAAAGTGAGAGCGCTAACCCTACGTTTCTTGTACCAAGTAACTATAACCACAATAAAGCCAGTAGACTTCAAATAGGCTATAGCGAGATGAATTGTGATCTATTGCACACCATTAGACCTATGAGCTCCTATTACTTATGAATGATGAGAATCATAACTAGTTACTTGAATTCTGCATAAGTGGTGTCCATCTGGCCATAAGACTAAAACGGCAAAACTGTGCGCCAGTATTGCGCTAGGTGGGTCTTTATACAAGTTCGTCCACTCAATCTCCGCTGATTGAATGAATAGAATTGGGGGCCAAAAGATACCGCCTAGTTGGCGCCAAGCTGCTAGCTGAACTGAGGGCCAACATGACCTGGGATGACTTATCCTATTAATCCTCACACATATCGTAACTATAATCCAAATATGTGATTGGGGTGTAAGCATTAATGTGTATGTGCTGCTACCATTATATTCCAAACATCATTATCGTTCTTCTTTCGCCGATCCCAGTGTCTATCAGATTACATCATGCCAGGTGTTCCATATAGTAAAGCTTGCGACGCTTGCCGAAAAGTAAAAAAAAAGGTAGGTTCCGAGGGTTGAGAGTTTCTAGACAAGCCTAGTGCGTTTCTAAATTATGCATAACATAGTGTGACGAATTACAGCCCTGCTCGCGATGCACACGGCTCCAGTTACCTTGCGCTGGGAGCGGCCAGCGCCGTTTTAAATTCAAAAATACTGAGTGGAGGCAGACCAAGTCTAGCAGCACCCGGGCAGATGGATCAAAGCAAGTCGTAAATCTACCTATGTCGCAGAATCCAACCAATCCGCTTCTAGCTCGTTTCATCAACATTTCCGGAGTAAGCGATATCCGCTTTGATATCTCCTACTATGGGGAATTTCTCAAGGATCTTCCCAGGAGATTTGGACATAGCGCTGTGCTGGATGCTGCTGCGAAGGCTTTAGTCTCTTCCTATCCATACTTCTGCGGAAGAGAGGTACCGCGTGATGTGTTAGTATTGCATGGAAAGTCCTTGAGGGTGCTGCGAGAAAGCTTGGACGATCCAGTTCAGGCTCGATCTCCCAACACACTTTGTGCAGTTTATCTCATCTCAATTTGTCAGGTATAATAGCCCCACTTGGGTATTTTTAGTATTTTTTTTCGCTGATTTCGGGGTTAGGACTGGATTTCCAAGTCTGAAAAGCAATATTCATGCCATGGTGAAGCCATTGCGCATCTCCTCCGCATTGTAGACTTGAAAAAATGCACTGGTGAATTTGAAAAACGTTTGATCATCACCGCGAGCGTGCTTGTGGTAAGTGGTCCAAGTTGTGTTATTCTGCATGGTTCCCTCACTAATCGCGTATGATAGGTTCTGGAAAGATGGCCTAAACCTCGACTGCAAATGACCCCCAAATTCTGGGGTGACGTGTCGGCTCTCATTAAACAAAGCTTTCCTATTCGACAGAGCGACAACATACCACGACCTACAATAAGCATAATGTCGATTCTAAAATTCGAAGAGTACCTACGCAACCCATATCCTCATATTGCTGATATCACATCCGCCTATGAAAAACTTCGGGACGATGAATACAGGATCAGTAAGTATTTAGATCAGTGTGGCCCCATCGACAAAGCCGGGTTTTCGTCGTTTGAAGTTGTTCAACTATCCGGCTATCGAGCTGCCTATGATGTGGTCATTGCTCTGGCAGTCGTTCTCAATAATATTCTCCGCGCATTTGATCCTACCAACGCCACCCTTGCCGGAGATTCAGCTTTCTTATGCGAGAAAACCCTTGCTGAGGCGGAACTGGCATTCCACTATCGCCCCCTCGGTGCAGCGCATGTAATACCATGTCTTGCGATTGCTTTGGCTTTTGCAGAAGACCCACACCAGATGAGCCGTATTGAATGCGTTTTATCTGAATATCAGACTTACTATGGAGAAGGTCAATGGAAAAAGCTTGCCATTTGGTTAAGAGCAGTACTTCAGTGTCATCGCGGGCAAGGAGGATCCCTGGCTTCTACCAATGTCGACCCCTCAGTCTTTGTAGTACCTGGAGCTTTCTGTATGATGCTATTGAAGGCTTTTGGAAACATGGTTGGTGCATCAGTCCACCTGGATTCGAGGCTGTTAGCTCCAAGGTAATGAGAACTACATAGGTACGATATTGCAATTTGAAACAGTACATATGTATCTAAATATGTAAATAAACAGTTACCTAGGGGGTTGAACCGCATAGGGATTGAGAGAAGGGACATGAAAATGCCACAAAAAATATACGTTTTGTATTCAAAAGGGAAGCCAAGCCGTCGAAAGAATGTTAGGTCTTGATCCATCAGATTAGGTACCTAGGTACTGTCTTTGAGGGCCATGCAGATAGCTCTAGATTAGAATAAGCACTATCATAATATAGAATATTGTATCCACCGAAATAAAAGGAGAGGAGCAAGTGCTGCTATTTGCAATCCCAGCGATGAATTTCCGTAGCGATCGTAGCGATGTTGAACTCTCAACTGGGCTATTCTCGATGATACCGTACAGTGAAAATCTTGAGGCCGAGTGTTTGTTTTTGTGCGTTCTTGCAGTACAACAAGCACGGCATTGACCCGACTCGGTATGATTTGGGTGAATCCATGGATGCCATGTACCATGACGTTTGTGTGTAGATCAAGGGTGACAATGGCATCATGTGCTTGATCAAAAAGCGCGGGTACCGCCGACATGCGGGGTTCAAAGTGCAAAAGTCGAAAAAGTCGACCTTACCACAATAAGGGTATGAATTTAAACAACTTCCAAGGTCTTTATCAAGAAACTTGCTTGAGCCATTCAGTCACCTGAATATCAGACGTGCATTGATTAGGTCGATATGCCTCCTTGACTCTCTGCTCTGTTACGAAGTTTTCCATATTTCTTTGTGTCAATGGCATCATATATCGGTTCTTTTTACGCAAAAGATCCCTTTCAGCAAGTGCAGAAGGAGACAATTTCGATAAAGTGTGGCGGATGCGATTAATGCCCCCATTTGAAAAAGAATGGAGTTGAGGTGGACCAAATGGGTTTTCGTTCTTCCAAGGTCCTTCTGAAATGATGGATTTGGGGTTTTTGGCACGAAACCGAGATTTAGACATGATGGGAAGTGGCAGAGTTGAATATTGAAGGACGATTGAAATCAAAACATTGTAAGGTTTAAGGAGAAAATGGAGGAGAAGACCCAAATAAACTATCCACGGGTCTCGGGTCTAACCATGCTACTCAGCGAACCAGAAGGCAGATTGTCGGCCCAAATTACGTGGTAGATGGATACGCTAGTCTATATATAGAAGTGGATATCTTCCGACGAATTACCGATTCAACTTTCTACAAGTATCTCAATAGCCTCCGATCCAGTGATCCAGCTTTTAAGTGGAAACTCGAAAATTGCTCTTTTCATTCCACCTGAGAATTCATATTCAACATTTTCAAGAAGCCTATCTTTGATCAGTCGTTGGTTAGCAGGCCAGGTTCTTAACATTGTATAACCTGGTAGCTAAGGAAAGCCGGTGTGCTCAGTGTAAAGAACACGAGGAGTGTGAATTCACAGGGAGGTTGAACAAATAATACCATTTTCTTACTTAGAATATGTAGGAGGATGCAAAACCCTCTCCACTCATCCATATACTAAAGGTTAATCTGTTCAGCCCAGCCGTTCGTTCCACCGCCACCAAGAATTTTTGTTTATCATTCCTGAGTTTCCCTGCTCTGTATACTCATCAGCTCATTCGGCTCATCACACTCGTCGAAATCTGCGTCATTCTGGACATGTGGAATTCAATTCTAGTTCATCGAATTTTGCTGTTAACTTCCGCTTCATATGAGACATTTTCCAGCAAGGATGAGTCTGAGACAATTCAGGCAAAGACTAGATAAGACCTCGCTCACCACACGTGAGGGACAGTCCGTATTCTCCTGCCTATTAGTTAATTGTAGCTCTTTTTGGTTGACAATGGTAAATGATATTACGATAGTGCTTATTCTAGTCCAAAGCTATCTGCATGGCCCTCAAAAACAGTACCTAGGTACCTAATCTGGTGGATCAAGACCCAACATTCTTTCGAAGGCTTGGCTCCAACGGAAATGCCTGTTCATCCACCGTGATATCCTTATAAACTGTATCCCAACGGTGCTGAAGTGGCGCAGGAGTATCCCAAGCATTTTCAGGATCACGCAACCAGAGCCTGAGAAGATGTCGTCTACTAAAATTAGCAAGGGCCTTATCATTTCATTTAAGGAGGAGACAAACTCTTTACCAGGCTCATTTCTGAACCCATTTCGAGCGTGAAAGATACTTAGATTGTTGACATATTGCACATCACCTTTTTGGAAGTCCAAAGAAGCACTGTGTTGTTCTGCCAAGAAATGCAACGCATCCAGAGCTTCAGCTTGGGCTTCGGTGATAGGGGGAATATCAGGTGACCGAGGCTGAGCGAGAAATCCTGTAAAGTACCTTCGGGCATACTGAATCAACACCCGCTCAGGAGTGGTTGCTGTAGCTGGTTGATGATACAAGAGAGGCCGGAGGGTAAACGGCTTCTGAGGGGTGTTGAACCTATCTGGAATCAGCTTGGTGAAGAATAACTTGATCAGTGAGCATTGATATCATACCCATCAACAGGCCAGTCCTGCGAGAGAGTGTGAATAAGGTCGGGCCTTTCTCGTGCAAGGATGTTGTACACGCTCCAACTACTAGAAAGATAACTCTCGCCGTGTTCTGCTGCAGGGCTCAAGCAAAGGAGTGATACAATATCTCCGGCATCGGTATGGAAAACCTGTTTATCAGCCGTATTGGAAGGCGCCCCGATCTTCTCGTTTTCAACACTACTGGTGATATCTTTGATATGAGACAGTACGGGCGATGTTCCATTTTGCAATCGTGTATTCTGTTGTCGTCCTCGTATATTTCCAATATGAGAGGAGACGCCGGAGTAGATGATGACATTATCTTCAAGAGAGTAACTGTCGATACGTAGCCCTCGAAGCACAAAAAAGCCTTGGCCACTGTGGATCTCTTTTGATAATTGCCTGAGGATGGGATGCAAGGAAGGAAGCGGAAAGGTCAGCTGGTTAATAGATCCAAGCGGCTTATTGAGTGCTGTTGTGATTAGAGCATGATCTAAAAGATATATTGATATCCTCTTTCACACCTTTGAAGCTATTTAAGGCAGCGTCGATTTCATCTAATTGAACATCGCTCAACTTGTAGACCCAGTCGCTCCGTTTCTCGACTTCTTTCCCCTCCCAAACGAGTGGGGAAACCAACTTTTGCGGAAACCCAGCTGGTAAAGTGGTTTGCAGTGTTTCCGTCTCCTTGCGACGACGAGTACGTGCTTGGTACTTTTCATAGTCCGGGTGATATTGAATATCTGGTTGGCTATGCCCAGTAACAGTTTCGGTGGTAGACATGGTTGATTTCTTAAGGGTCGATTTCTTGAATGTTGAAGTGGGGAGAATGAATGTTGTACAATGACAGTTCCTTAAATAGTTGGTTAAGCGGACTAGTTGTCAGACTTGACGACTATAGCACGAAGAATCGCGTCATTCGCCGCTTGATTATTCATGATTTCGAAAATATCCTCCGTTTTGGGCAGTGATTTGCAAATTAAAAATATAAATTAAATAATCAACTGATGTTCATGAGGTGAACAGTAATGAATGCCCTTCGGCTGAAAAGTACAAATGCAAGCTACCTCACATCGACTCGTTCAATGGTGACTGTACCTGGCTTCTCAATTTCTTGTATAGCTTTCTGGGTTGCAAGGACCTCTTCACCCTGGACAACATGATTTGCACCACCAAATAGGGTGTCAATCTCTTCAAGAGGGACCTTCTTAGTCTCTGGGATCCAAAGCCAAACGAAGACAGCTAGAAGAAAATTGATTCCCGCGAAAAGGTAAAATGCATAGAATCCATCATGTTCAAGAAATATGGGGAAGAATTGTTGGAAGATAGTGTTGGCAACGTTCTGTGTCTGTGAAGCCATTCCCACGGCTTGTGCACGAACATTCATGGAGAACACCTCGGAGGTCCAGATCCAGACAGTAGCACCCCACGAAGGTTTGTCTGAGGGAGCTGTTAGTATTCATTTCAGTAGAGAAGAGGATGATACTAACAGAAGAGAATGAACAAAAACAGGAGGAACACAATCGATATGCCCACAGCCTCAGATTTGGCTCCGCTGGCGAGCGTTGGTGTCTCTGTTTCGACGGCTGCGACAATGATCATACATATGCCCATACCAATGGCCCCTACAATTAAGAGGAACTTTCTGCCAAACCGATCGATGATCCAGATGGCATTAAGAGTGAAAATGATTCCAAAAGTGGCATTGAGAGCATTGATTAGCGCAATTTGGCTAGAGCTGGTGAATACCTTTTGGTAGATCTTTGTCGAGTAACTGTTGAGTGAGCCCTGTCCAGTGATTTGCTGGCCGGCGTTAAGAACCAGTGCAAGACCCATACGCTTACGAAGAGACTTGTCTTTCCAAAGCGCGCTATAGTTACTAGAGATGGCTTCCCTCTCATATTCGATGGCTTCACGAATTGCCGTGAGTTCTTGTTCCACTTCCTCTTCGGTTTCTCGCACTTTCTGAAGAGCACTACGTGCCTTCTCGATATTATTTCCATGCTGGATGAACCTGAGAGCTATTAGCTAACCTCTGCATGAATCGACAGCTGGAAGATATCCTACCAACGAGGACTGCCAGGGATTGTGGGAAGAGCAGCGATGATTATAACAGGAACCAAGAGTTGAAATATAACAACCAGTCTCCAGTCCCATTCACCTAGTTTGGCAACATTCTTGGTGCAGGCATAGTTAACCCAGAAACAGACGAATGCTCCAACAGAGTAGAACATCTGCCAAAAGGTCATAATCTTGCCTCTGATTTCTGGAGGTGCCAATTCACCAATATAGATTGGACCAGCCGCTGTATTATCAAGTCAATGTCCGCTGAAGGCAAAGCTCCAAACTGCAAACTCCAACTTACTCAATGCAATGCCCTGGCCAATACCGATGATACATCGCCCAGCAATAAAATAGGCAATTTTGTGTCGTGGAGCGAAAGCCTGCAAAAAAGTTGCAATAATGACGAAAACGCAACCTATTCCCATTCCGACCTTGCGGCCGAGATAGTCTGCCATAGGCCCTCCGAGGAAGAAGCCTCCGAAAATGGCACCAACAGTGTAAGCCGTGTTGATGGAACCGATCATCGTGGCATTAGGTTCGTTGAACCAGGCCATCCAGTTGTCGGAACCCTGGACGGAGTTGTAAACTGATGCATCATAGCCATATAACACCATACAGGACGCGGCTACGCACGAAATAAGCCTGCAATAATTTGTTAGAAGGCTCTAATTCGAAAATTAGATCATAGATAGCCGACTCACCAGTTGTAGGCTCGCTTGCGGCCCATAGTGAAGCGGCCTGCCATTATGGTAATTGAGCAGAGTAAAAATGTTGAAATTCGGAAGCACCTGGCAATAAGGGTAGACCTGAATGAGAAGGGCTTTATAAATATGAAGGTTTCCGATATAAAACCTACCTGGAAAGATCAGATTCTTTCCGATGGTCTGAGCAGAGATTCAACGCCAATTACGATTCACCACAACCCCAACTTGAACTAAGACCTGCATTTTGATTCCCAGACTAGGGCTCCTGAATAGCGGGGAAAGAAGCAAGTGCAGGTCAAAACCTGGGGTAACTCTCACCTGGGGCGATATAAGACGTTATAGCTCGGGTTTCCACGAATAAGAAGCGACAAAAAAAGAGGCTTTGGAGAAAGTCATCTCCACCAATTGAAGATCCAAATTCTATGAATTCCTCCATATTCTCCATATTTGCAGATAAGACTGGAGCCCTAGTCTGCTTAAGCTGTCGGACTCGAGAGTATTTGATAAAGTATCCCCACCATTAATCTCAATATAGACCTCGGGATGACTAGAGCCGTCTAGGAGGAAGATGATAAGATATTAAATCAATGATAATCCATGTACGCTAGAAGTCGCTAATGAAACATGATAATCATTGATCCTCATAGATAGCGGAAAATCCTCAAATGAGTACGTCACATCACGTGCTTCCGCGCGCATACGTTGCGCGACAAAAAATTGAATATAGATTCACTGATCTTTTGATCAAAGAGCTTTTTTTGACTCCTATTCCACTCATATGATGGGACTTCAAATTAAGATTCACTTTCTCTCCAACCCCAAATCTCTTCATCTCTCTTCCCACCATGGCGCCCCGTAAGAATACAAAAAAACAAACGCGACTGGCCTTCGCCCCCGCGGCACCATCTTCAGCAACTGATACTAGCGATGCCAATACCTCCCAAGATCGGTTGCGAACTCTCTCCTATATGCATCCAACACTAGCCTCAGTGCCCGTCAAACGCTCTCGAGAAAGCAAAGTTCCGTCAAAGAAAACTGTCTGCGCAGAACCACTTAAGCAGAGCCAGACTTCTAAGGGAAAGCCCTTCCCAGCATCTGAAAGTGAAGTCGAGATCGTCTTACAAAATAAGGGTATGTTGCTGGCCTTCTTATCACAAGCATTCAACACACAGGCTAAATGCGAATAGCACAATCTCCAATGCTAAATTTAGATGAATCCTCTGATGATGATGTAGCCATCTTCAGCTCTCAGAGAAGTCGCGGGCCTAAGTTCGCTGTGCCTTCCGAGCCTAAAATTCCCAATATCCAGGATAGTTCCGATTCCAAGGGAGTAACTGTCCGCCCACAACGGCGATTGAAGCGGAAGGCAGAGAGCGGGGCCATTGAGAACGATTCCGACTCTGATTTGTTGATTTCATCGCCTGCGAAGCGTCGAATAAAGCAGAAAGAAGATACCACAGCCCTTGAGATCGAATCCGATGACGCTGATTTGATAATCTCGTCGCATTCAAAGCGCCGATTAAAGCGGAAGGCAAAGAGTCCGCCCATAGAGATCGAATCTGACTCTGATGCTTTAATTTCATCGCCTGTGAGGCACCGAAAACGGATCATCAAACCAAGCACCCCTCAAACACGTCACACTGGAACAGATCTAGACATTTTAGATATTGAGGAGGATGTAATCGACCTCCAGGATTCAGGTATTCCAGTTCCATGGAGCAGAGACGGAGAATCCAAGCTAACATACCCTGTAGTTGTCAAAAAAACACGAACCCGTGGTCACTTGGCGGGATCGGCGCGAAATATAAAACTCCAGCAACTGGAGGCACTGCGCCGCCGCCGTGCCGGATTACCATCAGAATCCGAAGATGAGCCTGAAAATGGACTGGAACAGAGCCATATTGAAGAAGATGAAGAGGCCGAGAGCGAGACTGAAATTGCCAATCACAGCAATGAAGACCTCGACCAATATGAAGATGACTTTGTTCTCGAAGACGATGCTCTGGGTGTTCCGAACGAAGAGATACCATTTGAGTTCACCAGGCACGCGTATAAAAAGCCGAAGGAATACTTTAGGGACGTAATTGGCTGGATGGTACATAACGCCCTTGATCCGGCCTTTCCACGCTCCGACGCCATGTACAAAATGGCGTTTATGAAGTTGGAGGATGAAGTCAAAGCACGTGCAGGTTCTCTACTGATTTCCTCGGTCTGGGACCCGGACTTTCGCAATGCGCTTCTAGCTCGTCCTTACGTCGAAACTACGGGTGTCTCCACTATGGAAAACATCGTCTGCGATGCTTGCAATCGATCGGGCCATCCAGCTTCTGCAGATGTTAAACTATACGGCAAACCATACCACATGCATACCCTTGAGCCCATATTGGATGATGAGGACGAGGATGACAGTGAGGACAGTGATGCCAAGAACAGAAATGACTCTAAAGTCGAGCGAGACCGAAACGGCCGTGCTCTGCCGAATGAAAATAAGAGGTTCTATCTAGGAAGGTAAGCTTTCAGCCCACAACATCCATGTATATCGAGGACAATATCTCACACTCATCAGACAATGCAACAAGAAAGCACAGCTAGCCCACACCCTCACACATTGGCGCTTCCATCTCAATGAATGGGTTGTGGACCATCTACGGAGAATGGGATGTATGACAGACGCAGAGGTCATTCGCCGAAACAATATGAGTCAGAAGAAAAAGACACGCAATGCGATTGCAGTGCTTGAAAGCATGGTTGTAAAGGGTGAAATTGACAATCTTTGGCGGGACTTCCATTCGACCCTCAAGGGAGCCCGAGAGAGAACAGTAAATGACTACCCCACACTCCGTACTTAAGAAATTGAAGGAGAATATAGAGCTGACCAATTGCTTATTTAGGCTGAATGATGACATTACCGAAGCTGAGAGTATATGTATCTCTGTATCTCTTATCATTCCCATGGATTCTTACTTTTCTTAGTGTAATGATACCCACCACCTAGGTAATTAGGATCGCTTATCTATGAAAATGGAGAAATTGACACTTCACAAGATGAACACTGGGCACAATGCGATCTCTAGAAAGGGCCGCAATCTGTCTATAAATTTTGATTACTGGCCCCCAGGGCTCATTCATACGAAATCGAATATACAACCTAAAACCTATGCCCGAGGTATTCTATCACAAATAGCACGAATTGGATAGACCCAAATCTCATAAACTAGACATACAATTCACGAAGAAAAGAGAGAAAAAAAATCGGAGATCAAAAGGTGTATAGGAGGACATTGAGGGGAAGAGAAGATGATTGTGGTTGTACAAATACATGCATGCATAAGCTGGCAGAGTTAAGCTTCCAGTGAGAATATTTCAAGAAGCAAATGGAAAGGGCGATAGGGAAATAGTCGAAAGCCAGACATGTTGAAAAAATCGACACGAAACTCATTCTTTGGAGACGCTTTTTCAAGGTCAACATTGAGTATAGGTATACTCAGTCCCCTTTTGTATCCGATCAGAGAAAACTCGTTATCTTGTCGATTCTCTACTGCTTGTAGCAATTGACAAATGGGTAGCGCGATTCCGATTCGATTTTTCCGTTTACCAGGTGGTATTAATTTACAGAGCAAGTTGAGCCTCCTTCTTCTCGGACTCGAGGCCTGGTGTGAGCATCTGGTTGAGAAAATATGGTCAGTAACCTGCGACAATTCTTATTTCGTTGGTAATAGCGGTCTTAGCCACGTTAAAATCGAGCGGTAAATTAGAGCCATGCATAGCACCACAATAATTTGAGCAACGTGACCACGCGGGACGAATAGAAATTTCAAGGATCAAGCGTCGAAAGACCTACTTCATTGGCGCCCTTGATCATGCCCTGTTCGCGCTCCATCTGGATGTACTGCTCTTCCTCGGCGTAAGCAAGGGCGAATGGGACACCGAGTAGGAAAGCACTGGTGCTAATGATCCACAAGGCCTTGCCACTGAATGAGAGGCTGGCCTTGCCGAAAGATGTGACAGAAGAGATGGTGTTGTTCACGGTGCGACGCGCGGAGGGAGGGATCATGTCTTTCAAGGCCGAGACACGCTCGAAGAAAGTCTCTTCCTCGAGTTCGATTTCTTCATCTTCCGAAATCTCTGAATCTAATATTATTGGAAACGGATGTTAGTTAATGGATTTGGAGATTGACGATGAAGATGCTGTTTGATTGGCGATTGCACTTATGTCCGGTGAAATCCGTAGCTCAGGTCGAGGCTGACGTATGTAGGATGACCATGTTTGATCGCGTATTTCGATGCAATACCATGGGCCCTTGCGCTTCGCGTGATGTGGAAGGAGTAGAAGCCATTTAACACGTACCGGTGTCGCTGTAATCTTCGTCATCGGAGACGAGCAGAGCATCGTGCTTGCTGGGGACGGGCTTATCAGTAAAGTGCTCGTCTTCAACCTCGGTAAGCTTGACCATTTTGACGGTATTTGATGGATTGGTGATTGGAGATTAAGGATAGAGATGATTGATGAATGGACGGGAAGCGCCAGTTCAGACACTCCGACTTTTTTGCCGGGCAAAAGCGGCGAGGAGCTTGGACCCGCAAGCCACGACGTAATCAACATTTCTAACATTATAACTAGATGCCTTTTCGGTTTTATAAAAGAGAAATAAATTTGAAATTGTTGTACAGAAATTTTACAATTGCATAGGCGGTCTTCATTAGTACAGATGTTTTCCAAGATTGTTCCTGTTGTCTTTTAACCAGCCTATTATGCCTTCCTCGAAAACACGATGTCTAGTACACGCCGCTATATGGAGTTGAGTATATAAGAATTTTATAGACTTTTTTCATCGACGGCCAAGCTTCCATCGAGCGATACGCTCTTGGATTTCTTCCCAGGGGAATTTTCGGAGCTTGTAGCCCTCCAGCTCACCCTCCTGCAATACAACTGTGGGCATGCCAGTGCCCTGGCCCTTGTTGTGGATCTGGCCACCAAAGACCTGAGAAGCCACACGACGAAGATCGTGGACCGTCAATGCCTCAATCTGGTCACACATCTCCTTGACTCCGACCTTTCGACCGTGCACTTGAACCTGGCGACCGAGATCCTCGAGTTCGACCATGCGAGATTCGAGGTTCATGAGCAGTGAAGAACGAAGCTGGTTCTTTGCCCGGTTAACTTCCTGCGTTTGCAAGGCAGCGTATCCGGTATCCAAAGTCAAGGACTGCAGCTCGCGGCACATGACCTCGAGCATCTCAGTTGTTCGGGTTGGGCTGCATGACGCGGAGATCCCAAAGACACCGCTATCAGTGTAGCTGTGGTTGAAGGCCACACAGCTCTCAACCCAGCCATGCTGGTTCAGGACATTGGTGTAAAGTCGTGAGTACATGCCCTTGCCAGGACCACCAGCTGAGAAGGAGCCTCCACCACCAAGGAGAGTCTGGAGAGTCGCCAGAGCGTAAATGTCAGGTGAGGAAATGGGAAGTGCCTCGAAAGCAAGGTGAATGTAGCTCAGTCGAGGTAGCATTGGGTTAGCCGGTGGTGGAATTGGAGGGAGAGCAAAGAATCCACCAGTGTAGTGAGCGGGCCTGTGGATGTCGAGCGTGGAGTTCTCAAGCAAAGACGTATCGATCGGCGAGACTGTGTTACTTTGTGAAGGGGAGAGTTTATTGAAAAACGGAAGCTTCGACAGGATTGACGAATTGCTTTTTTGCGAAGTGTTAATGCTGCTCACGGTCGACGTGGGTGTGAACTGAGGGACGGTGGAGGCAGACAGAGTAGTATCAATGCCGGTGCCTGATAGAACGGGACCTTTGCTAATTTCACTGCGCTTCATGTCGCCAAAATATTGCTCAGTGAGCTTGACAGCCTCTGCATGAGACACACCGGCAAATGCAACCACCATCCGGTCTGGGTTGAAGAATGCCTCTCGGTAGCGCTCTACCACCGCCTTGTTAATCTCACCTAGTCTTTCATGGGGACATAGTAATGGGTTTCCAAGTGTGTTATTTCGGTAGGCAGTCATATGGACCAGCTCCGGCAAGATCAATTCCGGCTTCGACCAGATCTCGCCAATCTCGTATTCTGCTGTGGCTAGCTGGTCCAATACTTCTTCCTCGGTGATGAGAGGATCCCGGATGGTCTCTGCCAATAGGCCGAGGGTTGTGGGTACAGCTGAGTTGAAACTGGCAGACTGGTACATCAGCGACTCTCGCGACGAGGCACACTGAATATTACCGCCAAGCGACTCCAACACCTCTAGCATCTCATCCGCTGAGCGCGTCTTGGTCGATTTGAAGGCCAAGCGATCCATGATGTGACTAACACCACGCAGACTTGCATCTTCATAACGCGAACCGGCATCAACGTAAACTCCGACGCCCGCAAAGGGTCCCGGTAATGATTCCGAGGCGACACGAACTCCGTTCGGAAGTGTGGTAATCTGATCGAATTCCCCGAGATCCTATTTTACACACAAAACAGATGATTAGAGGTGATTATGACAAACGTAAGCTTGAAGATGGAATAATACCTTGGAATCATTGAGGGTAGCAAAGCTTCTTGACGCTGAGCGAGGAGCTCGTGTGAGAGGCTTTGCGGATTCGATAGCCCTCAATGCAGAGCGACGCATGTTTCCTGCAGAGTGCATACGAGAGGCCATTCAAGTGATAACAGAAGTGTGTTCTGTTCGTTTCGTTATGAATTCGGGGCAGTCGGAATCTTGCGTTTCAGAGAAGACTCAATGCGGACTGTGATGTGATTACCTAATCTGCTATACCTCCAGCTCGGACATAGGACGAATCAATGTCGTTAAGAAATTATAGGACGCAATATTGAAGATGAAACTTTGGAACTTTCTTGCTTGCAAGTTTCAAGTTTTTTTCTGTATAGTCCAAGAAGCAGATCAGAAGTAGACGGTTTGGGCAGATGAAAGAAAAAAAGAAGTATTGTTTGCCTAGGTTTTTAGGCTCTACATCCGTCCTTCTATCAAAATTTGGTTTATTAACACCTATCTAGTATACCATGTTTGAATTGTTCTATATTTTAACCTAAATGAGCACCATTATAGGTATGCATATAGCGATGAAATATTGTAGTCAAGGGGAGACCACATTTCAGTTGACAGTCCGTATTACCCACTAGGGATGTTCGGAGGCCCAGACACGATACCAATCAAGACAAGATGCATTCGCAACGCTTGCACCGATTTTGATGTTAAGTCCACACAATATCTGTTTGACTGCATTCTCGACCTTTTTGCCGTTCGAAGTCACTGGAATCTCAGGACAGGTATCGATAACGCCAGGGACATGCCGAGCACTCAGCTCCTTTCGAATAACCGCCTGGATACGGGCCGCAAGGTCAGGTACGGTAGAAGGACTTCCCGGTGCAAGCTTTACAAAGAGAATAACCGTCTCATCGTCATCAATACCTTCTCGTCGACGACCAATGCAAAGAGAATCCTCAATCTCATCTGCAAAGTGCTTCAGTAAGACATTATAGATTTCCGCACTTCCGAATCGGATACCGGATGGTTTGAGAACACCATCACTGCGGCCCAACATGACCACACCTCCGGTGTTAGGGTTCAAGCGCACGAAGTCGCCATGGTGCCATATGGAAGGGCCGAATACATCAAAGTAGCTCTTTCGGTACTTTTCCAGGCCTGTTGGACCAGGTGGCCAAAACATAACTGGCTGTGCTGGGAATGGGACTTTACAAACGAGGTCTCCAGGCTCGCCCGAGGCACTAATATCATTCCCAGCATAGTCGAAAACAGAGACCGCCATACCTAAAGAGCGGCACTGAATCTCTCCTCTGTGGACTGGAAGAATGGGACAACCAGAGCAGAACAACGATAAAATGTCAGTGCCACCTGTGATAGAGCCCAGCATTATATCTTCATGGATAGAAGAGTAAATGTAGTCGAAGGTAGATGGAGCCAATGGGGATCCAGTGCTAAAAATCGCCCTCAGACTCTTCAGAGTTACTGGCCTGTGTGGATGATCGCGGGGATTTAACGCGGCTTGCTCCAAAATGGATAGATATTTCGCCGATGTACCAAAGTGGGTGATCTGAAGTTCCTCAATAAGACGAGGCATGGCCATCTCTCCTTTGCCTCCTTCAACATCAAATGGCCGGAAAGGTGACCCATCATACAGCACAATGGTAGCACCGCTCGCCAATCCAGAAACTAGCCAGTGCCACATCATCCATGTGGTCGTTGTGAAGTAGAAAAGCCGGTCTCCAGGTCGAATATCGCAGTGTAGGACATGCTCCTTCTTGTGCTGCAGTAAGGTGCCCAGAGAACCATGAACAATAGGTTTCGGTGCGCCTGTGGTGCCTGATGAGTAAAGAATGTAGACTGGATGATCAGGTGGCAAGCTTGCAAATTCCAGTGAATTTGCCTCTTCACGAACGTCAGAGAGGAATGTATCATAAGTAACGGCCTTTCCATTTACTGGGCGAAGCTTTTCAAGGCTATAATTGAGAGATTTTGCGGTCTCGAAGACGACAAGAATTTCCAGATCAGGCAGGTCTGAAACAATCTCTTGTACCTTAGCATGTGATCCGTGGACTTTGCCATTGTAAAGCGAGGCATTATCTGCAAAAAGAATCTTCGGGCCAATCTGCTTAAGTCGTTCAAGAACTGCATGAACACCAGTATCTGGAGAAACTCCAGTCCAGAAAGCGCCGATAGAGGTCGCCGCCAGCATTGCTACGACGGCATTGGCGTGGTTACCAACAAATCCAGCCACACGGTCACCAGTTTGGAGACCAGACTCTTTCATAGTATTAGCGCATTTTCTAACACGCTCCCTCAGCTCCTTCCACGAGATATACTCGCGATCAGCTTCTGTGGCATTTATCACTGCGACAGTATTCTCGTCGGGCTGACTGGCAGGGTAAAGGAGATTCTCGGCGAAATTCAGAGTACTTCCCCTGAAGAAATCAGGCCTTGGAAAAAGCAAGTCTTCGGACTCAAGAACCTTCATCCACCTGATATTAGCGAGAGGACCTTGACATCCATGAGATGTGATACTCACTTGTTGGTATGGTTGGTGAGCTTTGATACTTGTATAGTGCCAGATCTCCTCCCAGAATTGAGTTGGCTGCGAAACACTCCATTGCCACAACTCATGGTAGTCATTCAGAGACAGGCTGTAGTTCTTGTTCAACTTGTTCATGAAATCATAGATCTGAGTGGTCTCGGGAGACGAAGGGCGCCAAAGCTCCTTCGCCTCTGGAATAGTGACAGTCTCTATATGCGACATGGCTTGACAGTTGAGTTGGTATTACACAGAGCCGACAGCACTCAGTATCGACCATAAAACTTTAAGTCACAGCTCAGTGGCGACTTTGGATCCCAACACGAGATAGCGGGGTTACGCTGGTAATTGGCGAGTGTATGCGGTTCAACAGCACTATATAGGTAGATATATAAATAATTTATGCCCGCAATAAAGTTTTCAAGATCCAGTATGAATGCAACCCGCTCTTTAAGGTCCCCCACCTTTAAGCAATGGGCATTGATAGATGCGGAATGTGGGAACTTTGAAAGGTGACATTTTTTGCCTGAGGCAGAACTAGATGTTCCGTTTTCATCGAGCTTTAATGTCAGGGCACCTCACGTAGCACTAAGTAATAGGTTATAGATTGAGTGAGAGAGAATTGAATCAATCGGTCATTAAAGTATGACGATGTTTAGTTAATTAAGTTACATCAATGAGAAATTGATCTTTTTCAGAATAGGCACTGATCGCCTAATCACTCCAGTCAATTGTCCAATTAGGACATACCAGAGATATTATGAGAAGTTGATACGGCCGAGTTAATTATTGTTTGATCAGTGTCCAGCCCTAAACGTATATCCGACTTCGGGAGGTTTGATACTAGCGGCGCCACTATCGTCACCGAATGAAATTACTTCGTACTATGAGAGCCCCTTTCCATGTTTCTTCAAAGACTTTAAAATTTAATTATTGATGCCCAACTAGCTGTACCTCGGTAATCTGCATTATTGAACGCCCTCAATAGTTTGAATTTTCTTCAATATGTATGCTCTAGGGCTGGGATATCCATGGTTCCAGCTGTCAGGGGCTATAACTTCCAGGAACTAATTACCACTAATACTCCCTTGAGGATTACTTGAATAGAAGTGCCATTGGTGTATATGGATTACCTTTGAGGCTGTAATATCCACAGTGGCCAGTTACTCGCTGTATTTGGTACCGTGGGCCTCTTTCCAACGGCACAAATAAAAATGAGTTGAAAAAGGCCTCATCAATACCAGAACTGTAAATTACACAAATTACACATGTTTACATAAAACGAGCATTAAAAGTCAATATTATCGGACAAATATTGTATCAGCCACGTTTTATTTAATACCAGGAGCGTTGATGATTATGCATCTCCAGGTACCGTGACTCGCTACTCCATCTTGTTACTCCTTTCTCCTTCTTTCAATCTCCAGGAAGTCAGTACAAGAGAGTTTCCTTTTCTTTGGATCTTGGATCCCTTTTGTGTACTATTCTTCTTCTTGTTCCTGTCCCCCTCCCATTCCACGTGTGTCAAGCCACACTTCTAAGGTTGTGCAAGCTCTGTCGGAGTCTTCGGATCCAGATTAATACGAAGATCGGAGTAGTTACCATCACAATTGTATGTTCTAATGTGGAAATTTCATTCGGTCTGAATCCTTTTTGTCATTATTACATTCTCATCCTTCTCATCTGAATCAACAAACTAACCACACCGAGTGCCTCAGACTCAGATTAGATGACTTGTTAATACTTGTCATAACACAATCTATCTTGAACAATACTCGTCTATCACGCTTGTCTCGATCACAAGAGATTGCGCGTGATTTGATTAACGCGCCTCCTGAAATTTTCCCGACAGTAAAACTGTCAACCCGCTTCGTCGCTTCCCTCTGCGATGCCTCGCCGGTTCAGCAACGCCCCTAACGACACTTCTTCCAATTCCCCGTCCTTTTCGCCTGATTCTGGAAAGGGCGGATTCGCTATCAAGGCACCTTCCGTCAAGTCCCGTCGCCTTTCCCAATTCTTTTCGTCGTCTCCTAAATCCAAGACCGACTCTCAACCCACACAGGTGGCCCACGAGTCGGCCACTGGAAATCCTAAAGCAACTCTGCCGATTAATTCGGCATCACTGTCCTTACCAAGTATCTCTCTGTCCACTGCCACGGTCGATAACCTCAACATGGAATCTTCACCGACCACGCTCTTTCAGCCTCCAACCCCTGAGGAGGCCCGCCGGCTGGCCAAGCAACATGCGCAATTCGGCCCCATTGGTCACCCGAGTCACCGATACTCCAGTCGAGACCCTGGTGGTGTCTTCCCGGAGCCGGTGATGGACGAACCGCCTTATTACTACTTGCTTACGACCTACATCAGCTACCTAATTCTAATTGCTTTCGGACACGTCCGTGATTTCTTCGGAAAACGCTTCCGTGAGGAGCATTATAGACACTTGAAGCCCCGCAACGGCTACGGTGCTCTCAACAGTGACTTCGACAATTTCTACATCCGTCGTCTCAAGCTTCGCATCAACGACTGTTTCGAGCGTCCCGTTACTGGCGTTCCCGGACGCACCATCACCTTGATCGACCGAGCTACCGATGATCACAATAACCACTTTCACCTGACTGGTACCACCACGGATACATTGAACCTGAGCTCTTACAACTACCTGGGTTTCGCTCAGTCGGAAGGCCCCTGTGCCGATATTTCGGAAGATACAGTTCGAAAGTACGGAATCAGCACTCCCAGCACTCGTGCTGAAACCGGTACGCAGGATCTGCACGTAGAAGTTGAGGATCTAGTTGCCAAGTTTGTGGGCAAGGAAGACTCCATGGTATTCTCCATGGGATTTGGTACCAATGCCACTGTTTTCCCCGCCCTCGTTGGGAAAGGCTGCCTGCTCATCTCCGATGAGCTGAATCACGCGTCTATTCGTTTTGGTGCTCGTCTTTCTGGCGCATCAATTGCCATGTTTAAGCACAACGACATGAAGGATCTTGAACTGAAACTCCGCGAAGCCATCTCCCAAGGTCAACCTCGCACTCACCGCCCCTGGAAGAAGATTCTGGTCGTCGTTGAAGGTCTCTACTCCATGGAAGGATCCATGTGCAACCTGCCGGGTATCATCTCTTTGAAGCAACGCTACAAGTTCAACTTGTTCATTGATGAGGCTCACTCTATTGGAGCCATTGGTCCCATGGGTCGTGGTGTGTGTGATTACTTCGGCATTGACACTTCGGAGGTCGACATCTTGATGGGCACCTTCACCAAGTCATTTGGCGCCAATGGTGGATATGTCGCGGCTGACAAGGTCATGATTGACAAGCTTCGCGCTACCAACTCCGGAATTTTCTACGGTGAATCTTGCTCGCCCGCTGTTCTCTCCCAAATTTCTTCAGCTCTTCGCATCATCAAGGGTGATCTTTCTCCTGGCCAAGGTGAAGAGCGACTGCAGCGATTGGCCTTCAACTCCCGATACCTTCGTCTCGGCTTGAAGCGTCTTGGTTTTATAGTATACGGCCACGACGATTCGCCTATTATCCCTGTACTTCTCTTCAACCCTGCCAAAATGCCTGCATTCTCCCATGAGATGCTTAAGCGAAAGATCTCTGTCGTGGTTGTTGGTTACCCCGCTACTCCCCTTGTCTCTTCTCGTGCTCGATTCTGTGTGTCGGCGTCTCACACCAAAGATGACCTCGACCGGGTCCTCACCGCTTGCGACGAGATCGGCAACGTCTTGCAACTCAAGTTCTCCACTGGAATTGCTGGTGGTGCCTTGCCTTCGGCTGAAGAAGCCATGGCCCCCCCCTCCTGAAATGGAGAAGGATTGGCAACGTAACCGCTCTGCCAAACTCTCTCCTCCTCGATGGAGAGTGGAGGATGTGATCCGGCGTGGAGTCCAGGACGTCAAAAATCCTCTGTACTAATTTAACCTTGTCCCCCCGTTTGATGCCGCCTCGGAAAGTCATGCATTTACACCTGAGCCTTTTTCGGTCAGAGTTTCCCATACCCGAGCCTGGTTGTTGCTGGTCACACTGTCTCGCGGTCTATTAATTCCACAAGAACCCTTTCCTGTTCGCACTTTTGCTCAGTTTCTTTAATAATGCCTACATATTGTTATTGTTAAATGCACAGGTTGCTTAAATTCTTTTTCTTCTGTTTAGATAGGAAATATGTCTGTGGATTAGCTGTGGATGTATAATTAACGCAGCTATAATAGTCCTGAACCTGCTAAGTTTCCATACCTACTTATAGCCTGCTCCATTTCGATCCTTTTCAGTTCCTACGACGTAGGTATTCATGGATCCTCCAAGACTACTTTGTCCATACGAGATCGAATTAGGCATTCATGTTGATGCCTTGGACTAGTATTTATGACTAACCAGGTCTGGTAACCAATAGCGATTTACCCCTGAAATGATGTGGGGCGCCAAGCCTTAGTATCTCTATAACCGAGTCCACCGCATGGGCATTTTCCAATATGTTCTGAATTCTCACTGCACGCAAAGATGACTGCTGCCGATTGTGATAGCTATGATTGTGCTCCAAATCAATCGGGATTACTTGGATTTACACTTCCTTTGACCTTCCTTCATGTGAGAACTCCCACACCGTTTCCCCATATTTGTGTACGCGCTGACAGGTTGTTTGCTTACTTAGGAAGGGCATCGCTTCCCAAATGCTCTTGAGGGCGAGGAAGAATATGTGTAGGTCATTTGAGTGAATGGAAATCCCTGGGAGTCACTAATCCGATTCAGTCGTGAACCTTTGACCTATCGAGAGATCCTGATGATGCGTGTCATGAACACCATCACAGACAAGCCCGATTGGGAAATAAAGGTACTATGAATGTTTTGGATCTCAAGAAATTTGTTTACTAAATCTCTATCAAGGTTTTCAATCCGATCATCTTCTCCAAATGGAAAGATGAGATTTCACAAAGCAGCCAGGATGTTTCGCCTAAGATGATGGACTTCATCATCACTGAATTGCAGTGGAAGGCCAAATCTTTCGAGGACAAAAACTCTGTTACTGTGTTTGGTGGTGTTATAAAGTCTGATAGAGCTATTCCGGAAGAACTGAAGCAAGCTCTGAAGGATGGAGTGGCGCCCTTGGAAAGTGTCCCAGAAGCCCAAAAGGACTACCACCCCGGATCAGACGACAAGGTAATTGATCTGGTCCACCCTTCCCTTTTCCCCATCGTCTATGGGAAAACTCGCATTTTGCGAGACAAGACCCTCGGTCTTGATGATTGCATCGGTAGTATCGGCCAAGGAGAAATCCTTCCAGTTCCAGAAAAACCCGCCCGAAATAAAAAGGAAATCAACGCACTGCAGCCATACAGCACAAATTTCCAATGGCTTCCTTGCAATGTGGCTCTAAAATCTGGAAGCGATTCTACGCCCGAATGCCAGATTTCTTCTTATATCAACAACTTGCATCCGATCCAGCATCGTGTACTCTATGGTGTGATTGAGAAAATCATTTCTCACACGATTCCGCTTTGGAATCAGACTTTGGACGTTGACCTCTACTACAGGAGAATAACCTGGGACCAAGTTGAATACGAAGAAGGTGATGAGAAACCGGAGCAGGGTGATGATGAAGATGACGAGGTTTATTGGACAAGATATGACGATTGGTCAACTGCTCGTAAGAATGTCCAACCTGAGCCTGGAGAGTTCAAGCCTCCGCAAAACTCAGCTGCCAAATTGCAGGATATCTTTGCCAAATCTGGACTGCAGGTTATCGTTAAGCTAGCTAATATCGAGCTCACGCCTGACAAACCTGACTATGAGGGAGGAACTTGGCACATTGAGGGACAGTTGGTAAGTTTTCTTCTCTCTCTCTCTTAGACCGCTTTTTATCCGCTTCAAAACTAACGAAGGTTAGAATGAACATATTGCCGCCACCGCAATCTACTACTATGACAGCGAAAACATCACAGAAAGCAAACTCTCCTTCCGTCATCGTCCAAACGTAGAAGATTGGAATGAATACGGCTATGAGCAGAGCTGTCATGGATTTATGCAACAGATATTTGGGTTTCCCGAGAGCACTGACAGCAACGGTAGCACAGACATCACCCAAGACCTAGGAAGCGTTGTCTGCAGCGAAGGCCGACTTCTCACATTCCCCAATGTGCTTCAGCACTGTGTCTCGTCATTCTCGCTGGCAGATCGCTCAAAGCCCGGTCACCGCAAGATTCTCGCACTGTTCCTCGTTGATCCCCACGTAACTGTCATCTCGACCGCGAATGTTCCTCCACAACAACAGGAATGGGGTCTAGAAAAGGAGGAGCTTGTTCGTGATATGTTAGCTGGTAAACTTCCTGCCGAACTGCAAATTATGGTTAGTGATGAAGGTATTCTGCATCCGCTTATGTCTTTGGATGAAGCGAAGGTTTTCCGTGGCAAGCTTATGAAAGAGCGCAGCATGAAGTCTAGTCGGCAGAACGCTTGTTTTGAGACTGGTGACTTCAATCTCTGCGAGCACTAGGCTTGCAATTTTGGAAGAGGGGTTTTTAGCCTCAAGGCTCTTATTAGAACATGTAGTTAATGCTTGTATGATTAGATCTTGTTTTCTGTTTCCGTTTCTCGGATATCGTCTTCCTTTTACCATATTATCTTAACTCTTTATCTTACCACTCCCTATATCATCTATTAACAGCATCCCATTTGCGGTAGTCTTCTTCTCCTTCTCCCTCCACACCCGAACTTGCTGCCTACCTCCGCCTTGCCTTGGCCTTTACTTTCACATAAATGTGTCTACCGTTTTCGCTGACCTCCCCATATCTCAAAGCCTTATATCAAATCCCAGGCTCCTCTTCAGGATACTTTCTTTACAGTGATCAAGTTGCTGGTGACCCTCATTTTAAAGTTCGCGACATGCATAAGGCTCCTTTAATCGCAAATGTGCGTCCTAGGAGGTACTCTTGATCCTGAAATACCACCGGTATCTAGAATGGAAACCACTATTTCATCCAGAGCGAACCAATCACGACTGGTCGTCTTTTGAATCGTGATCTCCTACCTATTCTCAGCCTCGAGGCTTATGAAACAAAACAACCGAGAAAAAGAACTGACTGGGATATCCTCCGAAACGTCACTGATACACTTGAGGCCCCTGTGAGCATTAGGCTTGTAATATTGGAAGAGGTTTGTTAGCCTTCTATCACCGTTATCTTATTGAAACATGATGTTAATACTTTTGTGATTAAATTTCGATTTAACAGTGCCTAGGTGACCTTCTGCGTAAAGGAAACGAAAGCTGATGAATATAGCAATGATATTGAGTGTTGATTCGCGTGTCACAAGGAAAGAATAGCAAAACTATCCAAATCATGTCAACAGTAATCTTGGAATCCTGCTGAATAGAAGGTTTGATAGATCTGGCAAAAAGTTCTAAGCATATATTGGCCACGATCTCATCGATGAGCTTGACTTAGTAAGGTCATCCACGCCTAGTGTTTTCTTATATACTCTTGCATCTTCTCCGGATTAAATTTTCGGGTATGTCTTCTGAAGACATGATGATTGTGTTTTGTTGAGCTAGATGTAGAAGGATTAAGAAAATTCAGAGCAGTAAGAACTTTTGCCCACATACATTACAGATATTTAATTTAGGAGAGGAATTGAAAGAGATCAAAATATGTAATCAATTCGGTAGTCAAGAGCTTTAGGATAATTCATCATAAACTAGTGTCATGACTATGAGCATGCCCTAATTAAGATTCAAACGTAGTTTCATAATGTATTCCATTCCAAGGTTCTGCAACTAAGCATAAGTTTATAATGAGAATTCGTAAAAGGATATGCCGAGAGGTAAACCGAAAGCAAAACCCAACGCCCCTAAAGCATAAACACAATGGCTGAAATGCGCCAGATGAAGAACTGTTGTAACAGTTAAGTACAATGCAATAAAAATCGAAAAAAGTAGGCCAGTAGACCAGATTGTGAAAGTCGTAGAGTATCAAACACGCTTCAAGATACGACTCGGATAGGAACGCTCAAAATTTGTATGTGAAATCATTAATTAGACGGTACCATATCGGCCCTGCTCTGCGCCAAGAAGAGCCTGGCTCTCTGGAGTAACGCGCTCATAAGGTGTAGTAGATGGAATCCAGCCACGCATCCAGCCGTGTACACGTTTCCAGTGGGTATGGCCGTGTTTGGAATCACTGTCGTCGCCTTCGATACTGACATCTTCTTCATCCGGGGAGCCATACATGAGGAACTGGACTCCCATAAATCCGTCTAAGCCAAGGACACCAAATGCGCCCAGGAAGAAAGGGACGGAACGGCCGATCCACTCCCAGCGATCATTACCATGGCTGTCGGCCCATCCGCCGCCGCCATATGGTGACATGTCAGACCAGGCATTCGGGTTTGTGACCAACGAGGCGGAGTAAAATAGGTTACCGCAAAAGGCGGCCATGAACAGAAGCGGGGAGAGACCTTCTGTGCTCTTGCGCTGGTAGTTCTTGTAGAGCTGAGGTGGCCGCGAGCCCAGATAGAGGAGAGTGGACATCCAGGAAAAGATGCGGCCCACAATCTCAAGAATAACCTCGCGAGACACGTGGCTGATGGGCGGGTGAGATGGGGGAGCTTCTGTGGGTGCAGCATTTGCCAAGACAGCACATAACAATGAGGCCATGAGCATGGTTCGTGGAAGGGCAAGTGGCGGACTACTGGCACTAGTGCCAATGCGCACCATGCGCCGTGAAGAAGTCACCTTCTCGTTAGAATATGAGGCTAAATGCCCAGGAGAGTGGGACGTTGATTGGCTTTGGTCACCAATGTCCTTGGCATCAGTATTCTTTGTCATATCCACCGGTGCCGGTCGCTGGTAGGTCGAATTGTCGTCTGATAACGGCACGCCCTGCAGAACACCACACCGGGCGTCCGGGTCAGACAAGTGAGATAGGTTGTTATACCCCTCGTACCGGCGGGCTTTGTAGTGTGTGTACCAGAAATACTGGATCACGAGAGTTAGATCAACAAAGACATAGTAGCAGGCGACCACGACTTGCCACCCCGCCTGTCGGGTGAAATGTGCTCCGAGAAGATTGCTGACATCCCCTAAACACCAAATGACCAGGAAAAACAGAGATAGCCCTGATGTTGATTGCACTTGGTAGTTCTTATAGATCTGGGGCATCTGGGCAAAGAGCCATGAGACAATACTGAGTGTTCCAAGTGTAGTGGAGACTAGGGCGAGAGGAGTGGGGAGGCAAATGTGGAGGTGGGAGGAGATAGCGGTCAGAAAAGGAGAGGTCGGTTCACAGTGGTCTGGTAATGATGCGAACATGAATTGTAAGAGCGGAGGAGCCATGATGAATTCACAGAATAGAGTATATCAGCAGTGTATGTGTTTGTATCGAAGTGCACGAGCAATAAAAGTTCGTAGTTCCGATTGAAGGGACAAGGTTATGTGGGGTACCGGGGTATCGGAGTATCGGAGTAAAAAGAAGAATAAGGATGAGATGAAAGGATAAAGTGAGAATTTAACAAAAGTCTCAAGGTCGAAAAGAAGAAGTGGGTTTAGAGATCATGTGAAGGTGACAGATCATCCGCTCGCATCACGAGTTTAAGCTGGACTGTATGGAGTAGGATCACCCTTCTTTTATCGTGAGATAAGATAAGAATTGGACCTATCAGAATGCGGGGTTTAGGGGGCTTTTTACAATCGCCTATATCGGCTCTCAAGTTGTAATCATCGTTGATTCTATTATATATGGGCAACTTATATTTTCAATCGCCATTTAAATCTCACATTTCGTTTTCAATCTGTTGATTTCTGTAATATCATTCAACTCGAAGCAGATATAGATCTCTTCAGGGCTTCCAGTCCACGTGACCACTTTAATAACTACAGATTAAATCAAGATCTCAGAATGTGAGACAGAATCATTTGGCATACCATAAGTACTGAATACTACCTAATATTTTGACTGATCTGATCGGGATCATCAAGTATGGATACCCCCTTAGCGTGTGGAGTGGAGAACACTCCTTAGCGTAGGGCGGAGTTAGAGTCAGGAACCCCGAAATAAGCAGATAAGCGTACTAATATTGTCACGTACTTCGTTGATGCATTCCAAATTGTCATGGTCACCCCCATGGATTTAATACTAAAGATTCAATACCAAATTAACTCTCCCAATCTTGCTAGTCTTGTAGCAACGCTGAACACAAAAGAACCATGAAAAACTGCCCCACTAAGCTAGGTCGAGATCCTCTCATTGCAAATATTCTATCCACATCCACCTAGTAGTCATCATCCGAGTGGTGTCGAGAGTGGCGGCTGTGGCTCCGGCTGTGACTGCTGTGACTGCCGTGGCTATGTCCATGATGATGATGGTGGTGATGACCATGCTCATGATGGCCATGCTCATGGTGGCCATGGTGACTGTGGCCACTATGGCCACTGTGCTGACTACGGCCACTATGACTGCTATGCTCACGGTGATCATGTTCATGTCGGCCCGACGAGTGACGACCATGATCCCCCTTGTGATCCTTGACCTTGTTTTGAATCATATTTCCAGCGATAGCCCCACCCAAGGCACCAAGCAGTCCGTGATCCTTCTTATGCCCAAGGTAATAACCAGCCGCACCACCAGCAAGAGTTCCTGCGAAACCACGTTCAGTTCCGGACTCGGCACCACTGCCACGCTGTGCCTCATCTTCAGATCCAGATACATGCACAGACGGCGGGTGAGGGGAGAATCGAGTTTGTTCGGCGGGATGGCCACCACTTTGAAATATCAGATTCGGTATCATATAGTAGACTTTTTGTGTTACTTACTAGTATCCCAGATTTTCACCGCTCTGGGTTGGTCCTGCATTCACTCTCTGGTATTCTGGGCCGGGTGTGTAACTCGGTCCTGGTGTACCTTGGTTGTATGCGCCTGGCTGCGGGGCATACTGATAGTTTGGTTCCTGCAGCGGCTGCGCATGGCCGTATGGTTGCTGGTAGGCATGTTCGCTCGGGTTGTAACCTGGAGGTGTCGAGTACGACGTGTACTGGTTATAAGGGTCTGCCATGTTGGTGAAGATGGTGTAAGAATCTAAAAAGTTTGACGAGGCATCTGACAAACTTCTTATAAGAGCCGGAGAGATTCCGTCTTATGACCGGCTTATGGAGGTACACTACGGTGCGGCTGACCTGACCGCACGACCCTACTGAAACGAACGAATCAAAGAAACACGGGATGAAAGTATCTGTAATTCTGAAAATGAGGTATTGAAAATGAACTAAAAAGGACTAAAATATGTTGATATTGAAATACGTCATAGTCGACAACAAATGACTCGGGGGGGTATGAAAAATAACACTAAATAATCAAAGAAACTGAATCCAATGCAAAGTAGCGCTGACTTCAAATCAGTATTTGCTTGAGAGAAATGAAACAAGGACACAATGCACATCAAGCGAGTGGGTATTGACGCAACAGAAAAATGAAATTCAAAACGAGCGGGGCTGGGGCAGTTGAAAGATGATGTGACCAGCACATACTATCTTCGAGTCCATGTTCCAGAATTGGCAAGTTCATATATAACAGATGTCCACCTAGAAAGAGTCAGGCAGAGTTTACCTCGTGCCATGTCTGTTCCGCTGGGACATCCAATTAACAAGCAGGTCATCAAGTTGATTGTTCATCTCCTTGAGTCGTCTGCTCTCTTCCTTGAAGAGACGGCCTGTAACGGGGTGGTCAGGGCCGGCGGGGGGAATGTTTGATTTGTCATGGACAAGAACATATAGATCGCGTATGTCGTTTTCTTCATCCATGTATGATCTTAGACTGGCATCGCTCCATGTGGGAGTGTCTACCGAAAGGTTATCCGCCGAACCAGGGGTAGTCAAGCTGCCCTTGGTTTCGTGCATGTCGGTTTCAGGGGACGACGGGGGGAAATTGGTGAGCTTGAATTCGCCCGTTGGGAAGAGTCTTTGACTAGACCAGGTGCAAATACCGGGATGTGGCCCTCCACAGGAGAGACATCATCAACGGGTAATTCATGCTCTGATTCAGGTTCATGCTGAGGTTCGGCCTCGGACTCGTGCTGGGGTTCGGGCTGGGGTTCGGGCTGGGGTTCGAGTTCTGGTTCAGGTTCTATTTCGCGAGCAACCAACTTCGGCCCAAACTTTTGGGCAGGAATTGTCACGGAAATTTTTCCATTTTGGAGTCGCTCGGACGATCCATCAGTTGGACCGTGTGGACCTCTCCATTTGGCTTCGCTGGATGGTCGATCGACCGGAGATATCACTTGCTCTCGAGACTCGTGAGTAGTAGTAAAAGACTCTTTCGAGGATCCCTTCGAAGAATCTTGGTAGTTGGAAGGAGATGTCACAGCTCTTCGGGTTTCCTCCAGACTACTACTGTGAGATGTAACTTTCCGAATTGTCTGAGTAGTGTCATAATCTTTTGGTTCTGCTGTGGGAGACGTAGGTGTAATAGGCGTCTGTTGTTGTTTCTGTAGCTTATTACCAGCCTGTCGCGGTGATCTAGCCGTCCGCGATTCAATGGATTCCATGGAGACCTTGGGTTGTGGTGATGCACGGAATGCAGATTGTGTGGGAGACGTCGGCGATGTTGGAGACGTGATAAATTCGTCCCCTTCATCATCCGCAGCCTTGCTTTTCTTGTCCTTCCGCTTGAAAAGACCACTGAGCATCCCTGGTTTCTTGTCTTTGCGTTTCTTGTCATCCTTAGACTTGTCCTGCGGCGGAGATGCCTTATCAGCCTCGAAGCTTCCGCGTCCCTCTTTCCATTCGCTCAACGTGCTATTGCTGGTAGACTCGTCGCGTAGCAAGTTTGGCGTGAGAGAAATCTTCTTCGGCTCTGCGGTGTCGTCCTTGAAGAAAGAATCTGTATTCCGTACAGTACCATTTCTAGACTTTTTGACCGTCGGTTCTGCGTCTGTTTAAAAAAGTTAGCATTCAAGGCGTGCCACAAATTCGGTATCAGCTTACCGTCACTGAAGGGATCTTCGTTTGATCTCCGTCCTTCAGAGCTTGATCTCACCGGCTCGTTCCTTTCTGGAGCATGGACTTCTGGCTGTTCTGCAAGCTTGTTCCCCTTGGGCCGAAGAGGTTCCACAACAATATCCTCATTTTGATCCTGGCCATCGCCCTCCTCTGACTCCACAGTTTCAGTCTCATCATCATTAAAAAAGTCGCCATGTTCAGAGTCGTCCTCATCCGTAGAGTATTCAACATCCGATGCCTCGATATAAGTCGGGGGGGCGAAGTTGACGTTTTTGGTGTTTCGTCTGCGCATGGCTTTCTTTAGAGGGTTTTTGGATTTTTCGGAGTTGTCGCCCAACATAGTCGCAGAGAGCTACTGAGGTTAGACGTCATTCAAGAGGAAGAAGTTGAGGCGGACACATACATCAACATTTCTGTGCTTGTTCAGTCGAGCGAGACGTTCAGTAGGCGTTTCAATGTGCTCTGCCGGGAGATAGCCTAATAATCATTATTAGCATGTCAATCCATTATCTAGTACAGTCAGACGAAAGACTCACCAATGCTCCCATCTTTCACGACGCGGACCAACCACCAATAACTGTTGCTATCATCCAAAAGGACCATTGTATCTCCCTTGGCGGCGTTGGCCTGTCCGTCGACCGTTGCAACAAAATTGTGGAGCGCATAGACAAATTCAAAATCAATGTCCTCTGCTTACTATCAGTCCTTTACGCTCTCCGCACAATATACCCTCTGATACGTACCGTCATCAATAGAAGGAGAGCTAGAGATCTTATCCATCATATCATCGTCAAGATCATCGTCGCCATCGACCAAGTCACTATCCTCATGATCGTACTGTGAATTTTCTTTTATTTCATCTGTTTCTTCGTCCTGGTATTCATCCATTCCGTCCCGGTGTTCAGGGTCATTGTGCATGGGGGGACCATTCTGGGCTTCCGATTGTGACTCTTGGTTGACTGTACGAATGGTTTGTTCCTGATGGGTAGCAGGCCGGCCGCTGCCCAGCGGAACTGATTCTTCGGGGTGTTTGGAATGGTCCTGAGCCGAGGGGGAATCATGGTCTTGTAGATCCATGGTATCTAAGTTTCGTCAGCACTTTGCTCTCAACGCTAAAAACAATGCGCTAGCATACCGGCTCGGATCATCGGAGGTCTCGTCATCTTGCTGTGTCAAAGGAACGTGGAACAGCGGTGAGTGTAATTGACAAGATGTTCAAACAAGGAGTGATTGGATGGTAGTCGTCGATGTTCGAAGTATTGGAAACGGAAGACTGGTGTTGAAAAGAAACCGGCGGGTGTGACCTTTATGACTGTATGGACAATCGGAACCCCACTGAGTCTCCAAGAACTGAACCGGTCACCCTCAAAGAAAGACTGCGCCTTGACAGGGTATAATGTGGGGGGGAGCTTGAAGGGGCTGCAGGTCAGTTGCAGCACGAACGCTATACGCGCACAAAGAGAACAATTACTGCCAGAGCGATATTTATTACAAAAGAGAAATGAAATGAAAGGGCTTAATCAAGAATTTGACATCCCATTCCGAAGTCCCTTGTCCCGAAAGGAGGTGTTTAGGAAAATAGGCGCTCCTTCCGCGCGTTTAATCAAGGGACTTGACCCCCTGAGAGGGAATACCTTATTAGGAAACTAGGGCTTAGGGCAGCTCCATACAGTCAGTGAATTTTGGTCCCGTTATCACCCGATAATCCCGGGTTTCTCCATTTAATAATCGGATCGGCCAATCTCTGACCTCATTTGTACTTCTTGTCTTTCCGCTCTTCTCCGTTTCCTTCATTAACGCAATAATCCCTTAAACCCCAATCTTGATCTTTTGTCGAAACCACTTTTGCCCCGCAAATAATAGCTGTGACGTCTCCACTTTTCTACGCCTATCGCCCCACGTGTGATCTCAACCCCAAAAAAAGTCAGCACGGCGAAATCCTGTACTTATATACTGCCCCAAAACCCGTACTCCAGACTGCAGAGGGTTCTCGTAACCCGACTGCACCCTGTCAACTGGGCTGGCTACTACAAACCACATTCAGCACGGTGCTCTAGAAATGGGTACTGCGCAGAACGAGAGAAGCGGGGCAGCAGGCTTGAGAATTGAGACCTCATTCCGTCAGAGAACAGGATGCAATGGAGAAGATGAGGCAAGGCATACGTCGGCAGCCGATAGTGATGGTATCAAGAGCGACCGCATCAACATAACTCGTGATTACAGCGCGCGTCGTCGCGATACTGATGAAGACCGTAGTAGGTTAAATGATTTTCATTCAACCACGTCGCCCATCTCAGTCCCCCGCTCCGATGGCCGACCTATAGACGATGACGACTATCCTCACAAGCCAGACGAGGTAGATGGATCGCCTTTAGACAGCTATCTTCAGGCACGCCGCCCTTCTATAAGCTTCAACCCTAAGGTTTCTATTGATTCTGGCCATGAATACCCATTGGAGCGGTCTCGAGAGCGGCCCCCACTGAAGTTTGAATCTCGGACTTCTGGCCTCCGAAATGCTCTTTCTCAGGACGACGAGTCATTCCCTAAAAGCCACGGTCCATGGGAATGGAACTCGAAACGAGGTCAGCATGAGCGGGGTATCCCGACCGGATCCTCCCGCGCCCGCTCTGTGGTGAGTCCGATGAATGAGTCAATAGAAGGGCCAACGTCTCTCACTTCGCTTTCAACGGCATCACCGCTCGTTGACGAAGTGAGAACACCACCGGGAAGTAATAAAGATGATTTACTGTCACCAATTTACTTTACTTCTCCCTCTCACCAGTTCTCATCCCCTGTGGAACGCAGTGCCTCCTGGTCAGGAGATGCGTTGACAATATTTGGAAGCAAGCCTCGCAGTTCCACTATGGATCGAAGCAGCAGTCTGCGAAATCCTATGCGCAGTTCACGCCGCTCTACCGCCACATCCAGCGGTAAATCACCGGCCAGCATGTTCCTTTCCATGTGGTCCGGTCAAAATGAAGAGCCTGTTACCCAACCTGACGAGGAAGGCCAAATGGTGGGAACTGACTACGTCCTTGGCAAACAGATTGGCTTTGGAGGCTTCAGTGTTATAAAGGAGGCCTTCAAAGTGGAAGAGCAAGGGCAAGCTAAACGACTGGCCGTCAAGATCGTTAAGAAACAAGTGACAGGCCGCAGTGAGAGTGAAAATGAAGGCGTACAAGCTGAATTTGACCATGAGGTGCGAGTCTGGCGGTATCTTAACCACCCCCACATCTTGACTCTTGATTCGGTTTACGAAACGGATTATGCGACCTTCTGCTTCACAAAGCTTGCCATCGGTGGAAGCCTGTTTGACTTTGTCCGCCAAAACCGTCAGGGCCTTGATACAGCTCTTGCGAAGAAATACTCCTATCAACTAGCATCTGCCGTACGGTATCTCCATGAAGATGCCCGCATCGTTCACCGAGATATCAAACTTGAGAATTGTCTCCTTGATCCTGTCAAACAGCCAGACGGCACGGTATCTTCGACATTGGTGCTCTGCGACTTCGGCATGTCAGAATGGATGGTGACAGATGGTGGCGATGACGGCCCTGATCCATATGATAAAGCTACCGACCGACCGCCACTTAAACAAATGGGCCCGGCAGACTCAAGCACCAGCGTTGCAGGCAGTCTTGAATACGCCTCTCCTGAATTACTTCAATCAACCAATGGATTGATCCATCCTTCGGTTGATGTATGGGCCTTCGGTGTCATTGTCTACACTGTCATCGTAGGCTCTCGACCATTCCAAGACTCGTTCACGCCTCGCGTCCAGTCAAAGATCATGGCGGGAGAATGGAACCGTGACGCCATTTTCGGCGATATCGATGATGAAACCCTTTTGCGAGATCGTCAAGAAGCGCTCGATTTGATCGAAGGCTGTCTTGAAATGGACGTGCGTAAGCGTTGGACTATTCGCGAAATCCTCGACTGTGCCTGGCTTCGTGATATTGCTGCAATCCATGAAGAGAGCTCACCGGAGTCTGCATGGAGCCTTTAAGAGACCTTTGATTTACTAGCACATCTTTCTCACAGTTCTCATTCAATAACTGACAACAGACCCAACTTGGTCCGCCCTTTCTATATATCTCGACTTTCTCCTTCCGGTTACCCCTTTTTCGAGCACTTTTCAGCACTCGCTTTTTTCCGCATTTTGGCATTTCTGGCATTTTGGATCTCTGATACCCTTTCCTTCGGTTTTGCTTTTGGGATCTTTACGGGATACTTTGGGTCAAAACGCATTCTCAGCTGGGAATTGGTATGTATGGCGATATGATGTATTTCACGACGAACAAGCACGGCGTTTCATTTCGGGCATTATCGTTCTGCTTTTGAGCTTCTCATGTACCTTATGCGAACATTGATTTGCTAGTTTCTCTAGTTTCATATCTCCTGCTCCAAAAGTCAAATCAATTCAACTATTAAGCAATAATCTAGAAAATTAGTGTGTACCTAGGTAATTAGTTAATTCGTGCTTCCAATTTTGACGCGCTCTCATTATAATTGAAACTATCAGTGGATTAAGGAAATCTTATTTTATATTTTTAGACAAGCATATCCAAAAAGGCTAGTTATACATATACAAATGCTCGGGCTCAACCAGGCAAGCAACGCAAAAACAGAAACAGAGAATATTGTAGACACAACCTCAACCACATCAAGATTCAATCAGAGTGTATAAACTACCAGACTCTGTTCTCTGGCAGCACCTTCTCCTTCTTGACACCAGCAGCAGACTTACGCTCCTCGGGCGAGCGGAAGAACAGACTGGGACTCTCCATCGGCTTGAGCAGATGAGCCAAGTAACCCCGATGCGCCGGGTCACGGTAATATTCGACATCACGACGATTAGTAGGATCGGGCAAACGATACTTCAGCCCAAGAGACTTCATAATCGTACTCTCGGACGCATCCTCGCCAATCTTATCAGCCAGCAAAAGCTCCTTGGGCGCGCTCTGCGGAGACCATGCCAGTGAGATGAAGGGGTGCGACTCCTTGTGGAGGATGTGCCGGATGGAGCTGGGCGTGTAGAAACGTGTTGTTACGGAACCACCAGCGGCTTCGATAGAGGCGATGGCTGACGCCGAGGCGCGGGATACTACAACGTGGATGGGTTGTTTAAGCGGGTTGGTAGCTCCTTCCGATGCGCCGCCGAGAATCTTAACGCCGTCCTTGACTTTGTGGATGCAGCGGGATTTAGTCAATTCACGGAGTGTAATTGGGCGCTTGGGATCGATGCGCTCCTGATCGATCCATTCTTGGATACGCTCGAGGTTGACGGGCGCCATGTCGACGGAGAAGCTGAACAATTCTTAGTTGGTGTAATTTATAATGTGAGGTTTTGAATAGACATTTGACAGCTCATCAAAATTCTCATAGATCAACCTCAAAAAAAAAAAAAAAAAAGGAAAAAGTAAAGAACAGTACATACGGGTTCTTGCCGCCCCGTTCGCCGGAGACGACGATGTCGGCCGTCTGACCACCATTGAAGCGAGCAGGGACTTTGCCGTGCTGTTTTTGACCCTTGTGGCCACGACCGGAGGTTTTACCCTTACCGGAAGCAGGACCACGACCTCTTCGGATGCGTTTGTTGTATGCGGAGGGATTGTCGGAGAGAGCAGAGAGGATGGAGATTGGGCGGGATTGCTGAACTTGAGGAATTAGGAATGCCAGAGGTGATGATTGTTGGAATGGACGAGCAACGAATTGCTGTAGCTGCATAGGCAGCCCCAAAAGTCTGGGCGGCATGGTAATGGGCTGGTAAGTGTCCACAGGTATCGAGATACAGTGGACGGAGATCTTTTGATGTCGGACGGAAAAATATAGGGCCGTCTATTCATCACGTGATTTAGTATACATATTAACCAAAAATCGACCATCTGATTCAAATCTTGACGAAACTGCAATTTCTATCTAAAGAGTAATATTCACTAGACATTCCAGGTGGAGCTTATAGAGGTATTGCAAACATGCCCGTATTTCCTTCGACAATACAATACTAGAGAGAAATCTATGACCACTGAATATCCTTTGCCATTGGTCACCGTTTCATATTTACTGTTTTTTTTATTGGGTCCCTAGATTGACCTAACCTTACCCTAGTCTTGGTCAATGGTCATAGAACGAATGATTCGCTGACTCAGTAATGTAAAGAAGGTTTTGATATGTAAAAACTCCCAAAGTTCCTCTCTAATCTGAAGACCTGCAATTATTAATGCCTCTGTTTCCAAGATTGTCCACGAGTATGACCTAGTAGGTAGCATAGGAAGCTTTCAGCCGGGGTAGGGTACTTATCCCTGGCTTCTAGAGTTTCGACCCAATATCAACATTGAACGTACAAGGTAACTCAAAATATTTATCATGGACTTTGCGGCGACGAATAAGCGTTCAAGAATCCAGAAGCCACCTTACCTACATATGTAGGTATGTATGTACTATGTAGAGATCTTCAATGATATTGAATCTCTTAATTGCCCGATTGGAAAGAGTCGAATGACCAACAGGCACTACCTAAGTATAGATGAATGAGTTGGTGAATTTTGGCTCTTCAGTATGCCTCTTCAATCAAAAGAGCTTTTCTCAGAATTGACTGCCTCTTCTCAAACTTATTAGAATAGAGTCTGCTGACGGCTCATACAGAATGTGTCCAGGTTTTGTGGAAGGCGTTTATAAGTCCATAGATAATTTGACCAAAGGACTAGGATAGTGGAGAAGTTCGGGTCTGTGCCGATTCGGTAATATAAAATCCCTTGTCGTTCCGGAAACCCAATCAAAATATTCTGTCTATTCTCAAATACCCACCATGCCACCAATTCGTTCCAAAGAAAAAGAGAAAGAAAAAAGCAACAGAAATCTATCAATCATGAGGGCCGTATAGAACTGGCTATTGAACTATAAAAAATGGCAGATCTCCCTCAGTCTTAGCTGTTGCGCGTTCGTTCACTGTTGCAAAGTCAACCCTCTATGATCGTATAAGCGGGATTGAAAATTAGGCTAAGAAACGACCATCGGGTCTTAATTTTACTCCTCTTGAAGCACGTTATAGGGAATATTGGGGGTAATCTCTATGGACGAGAGAGATGCAGCTTCCATCTTGTCTATGTTGAGAGATATGGCCAGTCTTTAACTCCGATCATAATCTTCAACTATTGCTGTAACCACCTCTTCTATAGGCAAAAACTGGCCATTATAATTCATTAAACGCCGTCCTGATCCAAAAAAATGTTTCTCTCGGAAGCATGATTATAAGAGGGCACTTTCAGAGGATCCTAGAATTATCAAGCCATAGTTTGAATTAGTTGGGGGGAAAAACAATCCAACAATATGGTATCAAATTAGACAATATCTTCAATTTGACAAATCTTGATTCGCGAGATAAATGCAACTCAAGAATTGTTTCAAGTTTACCTCTGCTAAACCTTGGAATACTATAGCTCTTTCTAATCTAACTAGCTAGGTACCTAGGTAGGAATCTTCAATCACGAACAGATCACTAATGTTAAATATATAATGGATGGTTATGTTAACCATATTACCCCTACATTCGACCACTTATACGAAGAACATGATGTTATCTCTATTTATATACCTCTATATATCGCATCTCTTATAGCCATTTGGTATAGGCTGTTTTGTAGTTTTGAAGCATCTATATAGAGAGAAGGTGGCAATCTGAGACCTAACATTGATTCGATTGAATCATCATCATATTTTTCTACATGATCAATATAGTCCTTTAGAAAAGTGGATCAAAAAATATCAAAAAAATGGGCAGCGTGAAAGAAGCATCGGGACTGTCTATAAAGGTAGTCTAGGAAGTTTAGAAGATATTTATGAAGCGGTTGTTGAAGAGATTGGTGGTAAAGAGGTTTATCTGACACAGAAGCTGGTGTAGAAGCTATGATTGAGCCTTTACTCTCAATTATACCTATTATTTGGTATCAGATGGGTTGTTCTGGATATGTTAAGAAAGTTTATCCAGATACTAAATAACCTGATCGAGTCGTTTATCCAAATTTACTTTATTTTGTGCTTTTAAATCGCGATTTTTTTTTAAAAATGTAAATTTTGACATTTGACCATGTCCCATTACATAAGCAATATTTGACTAGCTTTCCGTGGTTCGTATCACGCATTCTGAGCACTAAGACTGAAGCTAACCTTTTGACATCTATACAAACCTTAGAATCAACTTGGAAAGAGCCTCAACCTTGCCTCGGAGAAAGAAAAATGGACTGGTTACTCGGGAGAGTAGTTAGTTACCGATTTGTTACTCAAAGGTTCAGGTTCTGGCACTTGAAAAGGCTGTACATCCATCTGTATCAAGCAGGTAGTGGGTAATCTAAATATTCTACCTTTCAAGCTCTCTATATCAGTTGTACTTATTTACCCAATGCCTATTTGTTTTGCACAGGAGATGTACACAACCTTTCCAATCATTGAGATGGTAACACATGAACTTTGGAAAACTCCAAGGCTTTTGCAGACTCGAGGTCCTTCATTGCATAAATGAAATGCATCTGAACTTCAATGTTGATATTCCCAAGGTCACCCAATCCACGACAACCAAAAAATCACTCGTAGCCCTACAGGGAAACCTTGGGAACCCCCAAGGACCCTACTTAATGACAGTTTCCTCTTCCAGGATCTATATGCAGACGTAGGCATATGGAGACTACCTACCTCGGTGCAGAGTGGTGAATACCAAGTTTTATGCATTCCAAAATCACAGCGGGTAACAATCCAAATCTCAAAGAAGCAAACCTTGTAGAATTCATCTGATATGGATGAAACTTCGGAAAAACGACACATCTATACCCAGGTAATTGGAAGCAGCCCCACCACACCCCCAAGACCTACGTGAGAAGATGGATATTCTCAAAGAATTCCATTCAGTCTTGTACAACCAGGATCTAACTTCTGATGTATCATATTCCAAGAATGAAAGGGAAATCCCCCGACCTGCAGAAACCGACCAATTCAAAACATAGCGGTCAGCTTTCCCATTCATGCACAGAGTCTAGGACTAGAAGCAAGGCTAGAAGCTACAGTACATTTTAAGGTAAGGAAGCTGACAGGCCTGACATTGACTGCCTCGATTACGTGGAGAACGGGGGGTACTGACCAGCAAACTCGTGCGTTGTACAGGGAGAAGTAAACGCGGGGCCTCTGGGCAATCCATACTCGATCCGATCCTGAGAATTGGTGAAATGTATCGGCGACACCGCGGAGTCAACTGTGCTCCAATACTGATCCTTTCCAAGATTCAATTCAATGTTCCGGGTTTATGCTTTGTGCTTTGCTATCTGTACTGTCTGGGCTCCCTTACCAAGATTGGAAAGTTGTCAGGTTTGAATTGCTTGGGCGTGTGGGGTTGTGCATTTGTTTGTGCTACAGGTCGACTTACTGATGTAAAATTCAGGTTTTGGGTGTGGGGGTCGGAGCCGATGTTGTGGATATTGAGGCTGCAAGTCGAAACTGAGACTTCAGGAGTGATATGAGAATGTTCTGATTGTGAAGGTTGGATTTCAATTGATGTGTCTAACGTTCCGAGGTTGAAAAGATGATAGGTCTAGGTGCCTAGATACCTCACTGTTTCATGTGTCCTTATATTTGAAATATGGATAATTGAGAGCATGGCTTGGTGGCCTATTTCAGGTCAGATAATGTATTCGAGGTGTTTTACATTGGATGTAGATGTTATTGATTAAAGTGCTTCATTGAACAACTGCTGAGAGAATACTGCTGCCAACTGTCGGTCTTTATATCGGGTATGATTGCACATAGACATGAATTGAGATGGCTGTGGTCGACTGATTTCATATCAGAACCTTTATCCTATTCAGTGAAGTCAACCAGTGAACTTGGGTGATAAGAAGTAAAAAACATCAACTAGCTTGGTCAGTGAATCCACACTATTTGATTAGTATCCATCCCAAGTCAAAATCAAAATACAATGCATTGAAATCCATAGCTCGGCTGCGATGATCAGAAATTTTAGCAACAAGCCGAATAGTAAGCAGCCATGGAGCACGGGTGCTCACTTCCTATCCAAGTAGGCAAGAAAACAGTCGATTGATGCATGAAAGGCTCCAGTAATATCCCATATATAGAAGCTTTATCCATGTTCAAAGGTTGATCAGAAAGCCACGACGAAAAAGAACAAGCCAGAACTTCACCCCAGACAGCTTCTTTGTCCACTACCCGGCCGAGACTGTGTACTCCATGAGAACGAGTACACCCGGTATTCAGCCTCAAGCTAACAAAGGTAACTCAGCCTAGCACCTTAGCAGCTAATCAAGCCCAATGTTTTTTGCACTGTTTCACAAGCATGCAAGAAGCAAAGAGATTCAAATATAGCCAAACGGGGCTGAATTTGCAGCAAGGACAAGCAGGACGAAAGAAAAAGAAGGGGATAGAATTAGTAACGGCATCGCGAAGTAGTTGTCTAGTCGAACATTACAAAGGAGAAAGCCTAGACCTTTTTAGGCCCCTCCTGAGGAGCAGTTGGGTTTTCGCAAAGTGGCACAATGACCAAATTCCAATCACAATCACAACCAAACTCGAATTCGGTATCCGCGGAGATAGATGAATCGAGGAAGAGGGGAGTGGAAAAGAGAAGCCGCGCGCGCTTGCCGAGGGGTTACGCTCAGGGCGTTAAATGCCCCCATTTATATAAGGGGATTAATTGGGGATCTATCCGATCACCAGAGTGAGTCTCATGACTGGTTAAGTCTGGCTTGGATGCA